ATCCGGTATGTTCTGTCACCTGCAATATGAACGCTCAAGCATGATTGCTAATTTCGTCCAAAGTTCAAATCGGGTGTGGTTCATTCTTTTGTTAATTGAGACGATATCTTCCTGTTCTCTTTTGCTATTTTGACCATCATGTTGTGCTTTAGAAAGACTGCTGTAACCTCGATTCTTGTGGTGGAATGTCTGAATTTTGGTCAAACTCGGGTCGAGATCGTGGTGGGACGTGCACGTTCGCCCGCCTTCGAGTCCTCGTGTCAGAACATTCCTGTCATGTCTACTTCCCGCCTCGACCTTGTCAAATTGTGATACACACGAACGAACGAGAGAATCTGGCTTCTGCTCTAGAGGATAGCGATAATGGCATCGATATTGAGCCGCAAACGTGACATGGCGTACCTCACTTTCTTCCTCATCCATATCCCAGTCATGTTCTGTATGCAAGCCCACGAAGTCATCTGGATTCCAGACCTTACGACAGTTGACTGATGAAAGGCCGCAGGCGTGGATCTCTACCCACTGTATCCAACTTCACTTCGGCCACCTTTCTTGGACAAAATCCGACATTTCTACATCGAAACGTACCATGATCAGTTCTTCATCAGTCCGCCGGCATGGTTCACGATGTACATGTGGATGGAGCTGCTGTATCACACGCCATTGAGCGTTTGGGCTATCAGTGCCCTTTGGAGAGGTGCTCCGACTTCAAAGCTCATTCGTGCAGACCGTATTCTGACCTTGTGACAGACGACAAGCGATTGCGCATTCACCTTTTGGCCTTTGCTGTACAGACTGCTATAACGACTAGTACCTGCATCGCAGACTACCTGAGTTGGACCACCATTAGTAATGCTCAAAAGCTTGAGCTGGGCAAGCTATATGTGCCGTACCTGGCCCTGTGTAAGTACAGTAGCGAACTTGATGATGCTGTTGCTTTGAGCTGATGACCACTTTGACAGCAATCTTCATGGGCATCGACATGTACGGCCGCCTGACGAAGGCTATAGTCGGGAGGATACCACCGGTGGACAAGAAAGTGCTTTGAGTATAGAATACTAGGAGCTACATAATGGCTACGATGTCTACTAAGACTAATATGTATCTAGGATAGGTTAGTCTCGGGGCATTGGGGCCTCGAGGGACGTATATAGTTGCTAATCGTACGCATATTAAGATATCCCTTCTTTCGAATATATCTTTTCGCTATCGTAAGGGAAGCCTTAGCTAGAGAATTAGCCTACGTAACGGGGAACGGGGAATGAGTGAAATATAGCTTCGAGACAGGCGATAGACGAACTCGAGATAGCAAAAGACATCTTCAAAACAGGTGATAGAGGACCTCGAGGTACGGTATAACTATGAAATTTCGTGTACTCGTACTAGTAGCTGCTGACTTGCGGCGGACAAATGTTAAAGTAAGGTACATGCATGTCAATATATCTACGGTTGCTGGAAAGGCCAGTCGACATACCATCAATTGGCTGACTCAAACGCTGTTGTTCCATGCTGTACAAAGAAGAAAAGGAAATTATATCATGAATGCTTCGTGGGAAAAGCACGTCGCATTTCTAGTAAGGTGTCACGCCTTGGTATTGAATATTCCCATCTATATCCATTTCGATGTTGTTGCGTTCGTCGAGTGTGAACCGATCAATGGCCGCGACCACCGGATGCCTGACCACGACCGCCGCCGAACAAGTTGTTGAAGAATCCTGAAATCTGGCCGGCGATCGACTGGATCTCGGCTTGGCTGGGACGACCTTGGTTCCCTCCAAAGCCAGGACCACGGTTGCCTTGGCCAAATCCGGGAGGACCAAAGCTGGGCCTACCGTTGGCGCCGGGGCCGAAGCTGCCAGGGCCTGGGCGACCAGGGCGACCAGGCTGGACTGGTGGGCCGAAGGGACGGGCGGGCTGGGGCTGGGGCTGGGCGGGCGCAGGTGCGGGCGCAGGTGGTGTCGGCGTGGATGCCTGATCTGTCGTGGATGTGACAAGAGTGCTTGGGGACTGGCTGGTGGTAGATGAAGACGATGTGGATGCAGAGGTGGTGGTTGGGACGGCAGAGGGACTAGATGAGCTTGAGGTCTGCGAGGTCGTGACTGGCGCGCTAGTGCTGGAGGAGCTGGTCTGGCTTGTGGACCGGCTGGTTGTGGTCTGGGCCGCTGTGGAGCTTGCAGAAGATGACGTGGCAGCCGAAGCAACCGATGTGCTGGTTGAGGCCGGGCCAGCAACATTGCTGGTTGAGGCAGAGCTGACTGAGACGGGGCTCGCAGATACAGTGCTGGTAGAGGCGGGGCCAGCGACGTTGCTGGTCGAAGCAGAGGATGTCGCAGCAGTGCTGGCGGATGCCGAACTACCCGAGGACATTCCAGTTGAAGCTGTTCCAGGCGACACAGTGCTGGTTGAAGCTGGACCGGCAACATTGGTGGCCGAAGCAGTGCCGGTGGATCCTGAGATAGTGCTGACGGAAGCTGTGACGCTTGCTGTGGAGCTGGTTGAAGCAGGTCCAGCAACATTACTCGCCGTCGCAGTAGACGCAAGTGAGCCTGAGCTGGATGTGCCAGACGCGGCACCCCCGATAATGGTGGTAGAGGCAGATGCGCCACTAGTAGTTGTAGCGACGGAGCTGGGAGAGGCTGATACCGATCCGCTGAGTGTCGGAGATGCAGTAGCTGAAGCAGAGACAGAGACTGTTGCAGAGCCAGAGGCCGCGCTGGTAGAGTCCGAGCTGGTAGTGTTCGTGCTGGTACCGTTCTTTGCAGCGACCAAGGCTGCAGTAGCTCCAGTCAAGGGGGACAAACCAGTAACAGAGCTGAAGAGCTGACACTCGCCTGAGGTGACAGTGATGGCCATACAGTCCGCATTACCGTCACAGGAAGCCATGCAGGAGGTGACTGAAGCACTATTATCACGGATCTTGAGCGAGCTGGCAATCTTGTGGCCAGTGTATGATTGATCACAAGCTATGGAGTACACACTACCCACAGCGTCGGTGTAGTTGCCGCCATTGCTGCCTGGGCAGACGAGGTTGTTGGCAGGCGTCGCTGTCGAAGTAGCTGACGTAGATGTCGAAGTTACGTTGGCCGAAACCGACACGGAGACAGAGGCGGAGGCACCGCTCGCATCGGTGGCAGAGATTGATGCCAGATCGGAAGATGTCGTCGTAGCAGCGACGGAGGTGATGTTGGCCGAGTTTGAGGCCGACGCAGAGGCAACATCAAGGCTTGACACAGTCGAAACAGCCCCAAGCGTGATCGTGGTAGGGCCAGTCAACGGGATAGACACAGAGGTGGTCGAACCACCAATTACGGTCGTAGCGTTCGCGCTGTTGACAGGGATATCGGCACTGGCGGATGCCGAGACTGTAGCAGGGTCGGCAGCAGGTGTAGAGGCGGAAGTGCTAGTCGCCGTACCGTTAACGCTATTAGCTGGGACAGTCGCGCTGGCTTCCGACGAGCTCGTGGTGGAGTCGCCTCCAAGGACGATAGTCGTTGGGCCAGTAAGCGGAATGGAAACGGATGTGGTCGAGCCGTCAAGGGTAGTAGTAGCGTTGGCACTGTTGACTGGCACGCCGGAGCTGGCCACTGGCACATCAGAGCTTGTGGTGGTGTTGCCGAAGACGGCGGATGTTGGGTTAGTGATGGGCGCCGAACCAGTCGTGGTAGGATCTCCAAGCGTAGTGGTAGAGTTAGCGCTGTTGACCGGGACTCCAGAGCTAGGGGCAGCGATGATGGAGTCGGTAGGAAGAGTAATGCTTCCGCTGTCTGTGGTTGTCGCATTGGCGCTGTTGCTGGGGATCGAGGAGCTGACTGTTGTTGTGGCGTTGGATGCCGGATCGTCGGTAATGATAGCGGAGTGGGTGTGGACTTCAGTCGTACCATTGGTAGTACATGTGGTCGTGAATGTCGTGTAAGTGTTGTCCGCAAGACTTGTCCCGTTCGCGCTGACTGGGGAGCTGGTGATTGTAGGATCACTGCCAGTGCCCGTGGGTCCAGCAGCATCTGTGGTGCCATTCGCGCTGTATAGTGGGCCAGCACTGATTGGTGCAGTCGAAGAGGCAACGGTTGCATTTGCACTGTCTGTTGGGATAGCGCTGGCGCCAGTACCGGTGATCAATGGTGTAGTTGCGTTCACAATAGGGAGGCTGGCTGTGACATTGGCACTGTTGGTGGGCTCTGCACTTGGGTCAAGAGTAGTTGTGGCGTTCGCCGAATTGATCGGGCCGGCGCTGGCGCCAGTACCGGTGATCAATGGTGTAGTTGCGTTTACAATTGGGAAACTGGCCGTGACATTGGCGCTGTTCGTGGGCTCTGCACTTGGGTCGAGAGTTGTTGTGGCGTTGGCTGAATTGATCGGACCAGCGCTGATCGTTGGGGAGGTGCTGTTGTCGGTCACTGGTGCAGAGTGGGTGTGGACTACCGCAGTGCCGTTGGAAGTGCACGTGGTCGTGTATGTGGTGAAGCTGCTCTCGTACGGCGTTGTGGCATTCGCGCTGTTTGTCGGCAGAGCGCTGACACCAGTTCCCGTAATCGCCGGCGTAGTGGCGTTGATGTAAGTTGGATCGGCGAGTGCAGCCGTGGTCGTGGCGTTTACGCTGTTGATTGGGCCAGCGCTTATCGTGGCATTCACCGAGTTGATGGGGTCTGCGCTCACGGTGGAAGTGCTGTTGTCAGAAACAACCGCAGAGTGCGTGTGAATTGCCGTGGTGCCATTCTCGGTACACAAAGTTGTGTAAGTGGTATAGCTCGTCGCAGCGGGAGTAGTGGCGTTTGTGACGACAGGTGCGAAGACTCCCGTGCCAGTTGGGCCAGCAGTTGCAGTAGCATTTGCAGAGTAAATTGGACCAGCGCTGACAGTGGCATTAGCAGAGTTTGTTGGATCACTGCTAGCAGTCACGGTTGCATTCGCCGAAACAATAGCCGAGTGAGTGTGGATAGTTGTTGTGCCATTTTCGGTACAAAGGGTTGTGTACGTCGTGTAGCTCGTGTCCGCAGGAGTAGTGGCGTTGATATTGCCTCCCAGAGTCGCATTGCCAGTCGCAATAGGGTCAACGCTTGTAATGGTGGCGTTGGCGGAATTGCTCGGGAAACCACTTGTTGCGTCCGCTGTGGCATTTCCTGTGACGACAGCGGAGTGGGTGTGAATGGTTTCAGTACCGTTCTCCGTGCATAGGGTCTGCATGTGTATTAGTATTTTGGATGTGCATGGCTCAAGGGAACGTACAGTGTAGGTAGTATAGCTTGTCGGATCGGCGACGACTGGTCCAGCAGTAATGGTGGCGTTCGAGCTCAGTGTCTGCGATGCAGTAACCGTGGAGTTGTCTTGCGCTGGGCCCGCGACGGGTGATGTGATCGTAGCATTAGAGCTTGCAGGTGTGGTGTTGGCATCCACGGATGCCGTAGTAGAAGTCGTGGAATTATCAGTTATCGTTACCAGTTCGGAATGAGTGTGAACCACCGCCGTGCCATTTTCGGTGCCTGTAGCCCACCATCAGATACTGTTCAAGCCTTTGCCTGATGAAGATTCTTACACGTAGTGGTGTATGTAGAAACAGATGTATACGTATCCCTCTGATACACTCTTGCCTGGCCCAATGCCGCCAAACCCAACACCGCAAATCGATACATCTTGTTGTTAAGAAACGACGGTGGTGACCTGAAGCGCTCTCCTCACCTTGCACAAACTTGCAAGTGGCGAAGAAGTACGCTGTGGTGAGAGAAACGAAGGACTTTGCAAACGAGTGACAGGACTATGCCCAAACAACAATACAGAAGAACAAGACGGACAACGTCGAAGCAGAAGGGCCAGATGTGAACGAGAGTATATCCTACACGGAGATCCAAAGATGGGTACGGACTGGGGCGACTGCAACGGCCTGTCGTCAACGACATCCAATTAGCAAACGGCGGCTCTGCTACCGCCGCCATAAGGAGATGAAGCCTCCATGCAAGACCTGCTGCTGCTGCCGAACGCGAAGTGGGTGCTTGCCATATCGAGCTTGTGGACGCTGGAGTGGACTCAAGAACAGGGGCCGTGAATTGATGATTTTTCGATCCAGATAGCTGACACAGGGTAGTCCGCATGGCATGAAGTCTGTGCTGTCGTCAGAAAGAGATCAGTGTGGCACCAAGCTAGCCTGATTCATGCGTGGTCGCGATCCAGGTACCTGAAGTAGACCGCGTCTAGAGACTTTAAAATAGGTTGCACGGACTAGTATGTGTGGAGCTACAGCAGACCCCATCATGATGGCCTGGACGAGGATCTACGCGAAGATCTCGAAATCTGTTCAACATCAGATTTTCATCTGCTTCGGCTGATCTTGAGGATGTCATTACGAAGATGGCACTATCCTGCCGCCTACACCACGATGACAGCTAAAAGATGCTGCGTGCGCGGCACCTAGGCAGATAGCGGGAGGAGAGATGAAGGGGCTTGAAAGTGGGTTCTGCTGCGAAAGGTTGAAAGCCACAGCTCCCGAATTCGGGTGAGGTGAGGCGATTATAGTACGGGATGGACCCGAGCGCGCCGCCTCCCGCCGAATGATCTGCAGGATGTCGCGAAGTCTTGCACATGCCAAATCTTCGCCCAGCGAAAACATTTCTTTGCTTTCATGTCTTGTCAGGCTTGTATCAGGATCTCGTGTCTTGCATTCTACTAATCGTCGGTGGCACTCTAACGCTGTGCAAACAGACTCTTCCTGAACAACGTTTCGTACCACCAGCTTGTCATTGGAACGTGCCTCGCACAACGTCTGCCCCCTGGTTCGGCCGGAGCAAAACGCTCCGACTACCTGGGCTGGCTCGATGTAGAGCGCCACCTGAAAACCACGCTCCTCGGTCTGTCCACCTTGGGCGTCACTTGGCAGGAGATACGCGAGCCCATCACGCCAAGCAGCAGTGTCGCTTGAAATCACCCTTCGAAGCATCTTGTCCTCCTCGGCATCATTCCACCGGCGCGGTGTCAGCACAGTGGCGTGCACAGCTTTGTCGCACAGGAAAGACATGCTGGTATGAGCCTCAGACACGTGTGATTACTTTCAGACATTAATGTCTTTCGCCATTCCGAATCAACATTTCGCACTTCAGCTTGACCCGTCGTTGCAGCTCTGCATTCACGATTTCTGGATATGGTGATGATGATCATCATAAAGCCATTGTTATGTCTACTTCGTTAGCAACCTTATTAATTCGGCTCTCGCTCAATCTCGGCTCTGGTGCAGTCTGATACAGCCGAAACAGACACAAGGAGGATCAGAACGTGCAAAGCTGTCCCATCCTCAGCCATCTATTGACATTGAAAACAGCCCCGATACGACATCACAGTCGAACGCTGGCTGACCTTTCAATTGTCGCAACACATCAAGGTAGACGTACTTATGCCGTCTCGTTGGCTGCCAACATAGGACGGAACCGAAATCCATATGCATGACCCAGGGTACAAGAGAAACTTCCGCCAAGCTCACTCGCCACCTGAGACGTCCGAAGTGAATACCTTCACGAACCGTTGGCAGAGCGTTCGCCATCTACGTTGGCTGTTCCACATCATTTCTACAATAGGTATGTACATGAAGTCGTAAATTACAAGGTACAACCGATCAAGCCGTACATGCTGGTGCGTTCTTACTGGTCTTGGTGGACGTCACGAAGATCGTGGATGTGCTCTTGAGAGTTGTCGTTTTTGTCGAAGGAGGAGGCGTCACTACAATCATGTCAGTGCCATAATGGGATGATGGGGCAGGAGGAATAGCTCACCAGTAACAGTTGCACTCTTCAGGCTGGACGTCTTTGTAGAGTAAACAGTACTTGTAGTCGGATCGATGGTCGAAGTACTGGTGACGGTGGTGATTGCTGACTTCACCACTGTTTTCGTCTGACGAGCCGCAGTGACCGTTGATTCGATCGTTGAGGTCTTGTAGCTCGTACTCGTCCCGACACCGCCACTTACCGTCACTACAGAAGACTTCGTGGTAAAAGATGTTATCGTGGAAGTGACGGTGCTCTGCTTGAGAGTCGTGAGCTTGCCAATCGTACTCGTACGTGTGACAGTCTGATAGTCAGTCGATCCAGCGAGACTGACGGAGCTCGTCTTGACGTATGTGAGGAGAGTGGTATAGACTGTGCTTGTCACATGTCCTGCAGCTTGGTTGGCAAGCTGTCGGCGGACTTTGGAATCCACAGAAGGAATGCACTTCAGCGTTGTTGTGCTTGCTTTGGTCGTGGTCTTGATGCTCGTAACTGTGACGCTTATGGTGGATGCTTTACCATCTACAGTCTTCGTTGCCGTGGGCGCAATTGTGATGGTGGTGCTAAGCGTAGTAGTTGAGCCTTGGAAATGTTAGCATGGCTACCTCAGTCATACAGAACAACCATTACCTTTGGGCGAGGAAGTCACAATGATAGTGCTGGTACTGCCCTCGTCATCGGTGATGGTGATTGGCGCTGGCGTAAGGGTCGATACCAAGGATATGGTAGTCGTCGCCTTGACTGTAGAAGTCTTCCCAGCCACGGATGTTGTGGAAAGTACGGTCGTGGACTCTTTGCCTGTTATAGTGGTTGTAAGAGCAGCTGGCGTAATCGTGCTGCCAGCGTCCTGAGTAATTACGGTCGTTGCAGTTGATGTGACATCGGCGGAAGTGAAGCTGGTGATGAGCGTCTCCTTGTCTGTGACCGTCTTGGTAGTGTAAATCGTGGTCAAAGGCAGAGTGCTTGATGAGATCGTGCTGGACGATACAGAGCTGGTGCTGGTAGAAGTAATAATGGTAGCTGTAGACGAGACCGTGGTGCTGGCGCAAGGCGCAGGTGCAGAACCGATTCCCGGGACGAATGGCTGAACATCAATACGAGTGAAATTGATCCAGTTGGTCGTGGTGAAGAAGTTGCCAAGTTGGAATTGGGCCACAGAGCTATCAGTCAGTTGCTCAGAGAAATTGGCTCTGTTGCAAACCGTGGCGCCTGGCCCATAGTTATGGTACTCCGCAAATGTGACTTGATCCGTCTGAGGCGAAGACGTGGACCACTGATTCCAGCCAGCAGCTTCGATCATGCCATCCAAGTACGAGTCGATGTAAGCCACACGCGCGAGATCGTTCCAGGGACGACCAAGGCCAACGCGCTTCAAGCCAGACTGACCAGTAGCAGGAACAATGCTACATTGATCGAAGACAAAGCCTGCTTGCGTGGTATTGGTGGCACGCTTGTCAGCTGTGATGTTGATGTCATCTTCGTTAGCCGCAATAGTAGAATTCAAGAAGTAGCCACTTCCAGAGCCCCAAATGAAGTCGATAGAGCCTGCAATATAGCTCTGGAAGGCAAACAGGTAGCCATTGATGAGAAGTGTGTCCTGGTTACCGTATACTTGGCAGGAGTATAGCGAAGCATACTTGCTGCTCTTGACGGCAAAGCCGAGACTTGCGATGTCCTGCTGAGTGCCGTTGTCATTACGGAAGTTGATGTTGTAGGCGTAGAAGTAGTTGCCAGTAGCGTAGACCGTTGCTGAATCAGAGTTGCTCTCATCACTTTGTGTATCGACACCGTAGGAGAAGGTAATAGTGACTTTGTTACTGGAGTAGTCGGCCGTGGATTCACTGTAGCCTTGGAAGATGGTCGTGCCAGACTTGTTGACGACCAAGTGCTCTTCGTACGATCCCGGATGGATGAAGATGGTGGCATTAGTCTTGCTCGAAATTGGAGCTGCATCGAGAGCAGCTTGAATAGTATTGTAGGTCGTGACACCATCGATAGGGGTCTTCGAGACTACGAGCGCGCCAGCTGGTGGTGTTGTGCCGTCGTAGGTAGAGTTCCCGGCGACAGTCACATTATTGCTGCCTGTGCCACTTCGGATTGATCCCTGGCTGAGGCGTAGTGATCGAATTAAAGTAGGTCAAGTCGATCCATGAGGTACTGTCCATGACGGAAGCCAGAGGATACGTGTCTGTCGTGAGTAGGGTGCAATTCTGGAAAGCTTGACGAGCGGGAACATTGTTCTGCCAAGCTCCAGGACCGACATTAGCATACTCAGCAAAGGTAATGTGGTCGGTACGAGGGTCGGTGGTACTCCAGACCTTCCAGCCAGAAGGCTGAATGCATTTGTCGAGGTAGCTGTTCTTGACAACCACGAGAGCATATGCGGAATACGGCCTGCCGAGGTAGATAGACTGGGTCAAGTCGACCGTAGCATCGGCAGCAGCTGTGAACAAACATTGGTCGAAAATGTAGCCGCCGATTGCAGTTGCGGAGGCTCTACTTTGTGCTGTCATGGCGGAAGATGCCCTCTTGCCAGCTATGGTGCAGCCCTTGAAATACGCCTTGCTGTAGCCCCAGATGAAATCAATTGCACCTACACGATTAGTATTAGCAAACCGAGCTTCGCGAGCATATGAGTAAATAGTACCCACCCTCGATGTAAGAGTTTTCATAGTACTGATAGCCATTGGTGGCGCCCGTCAGTAGAGTATCCTGCCACCCAATCATTGATACCGCATAGAAGCCAATATCGTTGCCATAGATTGAAGCTGCTAGAGTGACATAGTTTGACTCGAGGCCATCCAGATTGTCCGAGTTAATCATGTTAATGTTATACCACGAGATCCTGTTGGACGCAGTCGAGATGGTGGCGGTCTCTGCATCTGAATGACCTACTGGCAGGGGCGATACAGACAGTCCGCGCGAGAAAGTAATCGTCACCGTGTTGTTCTGGTACGAGTAGCCTGGATTGGCTGTAGTATAACCGATGAGTCGGACAGCGCCGGGACGGTTGATAGAAGGCACTTGCTCAGTGTAGGCGCCGGCATAAATGAACAAGGTCTGGTTTGTATAGTCGTTCGGCAGTGATGCTAGGGCTGCTGTGATGTTGGCGTAGGAGTTCTTTACCTGACCATTGGGCGAGACGAGAACGGCGCCGGCTGGAGCCTGAGTACCACTGTCGGGATGAGCGTTGATGGAAGCGGTCGCAGACGGAATAGAAGTGGTGGAGTTCGAGCTGGTATTTGTGGTTGTTGATGGTCCAGTCAAGGTGTATGATGGTATATAGTTGTAAGCGGTCTGATCCAACCAGCTAGTATCGCCAATCCAGGCTCCCAGTGTGTAGCTTTGAGCCTGAGCAGAAGTCAAGTTGGTGGCGAAGGGAGCTCGTTGGGTACTGGACTGCCACGAAGATGGTCCGCTATTGTTGTACTCTCCAAATAAGACTCCATTAGTTTGTGGGTTGTTAGTCTGCCATACAGACCAGCCAGCACTGTTGATCTGAGAGTCAATGTAGCTGTTCATGTAGACTGCGATGGAGAAATTGCTATAAGGCCGTCCGAGGTAGCTCAAACCCAACGTGCTACCATATGTTTTCGTGCCAGTAATGTAGCACGAGTCAAAGACATAACCTCCGGGAGAAGTGCTGGTAGATCGCGATTGAGCAGAAATGCAAGCACCTGGCGTGTTGATGGCGATGTAACACTGATGGAAATATGCTGTCGAGAAGCCCCAAACCTATAATGTGTGTTAGGATACGCTCGGCCAAATGTGGTATTGTGTCATCTTACAAAGTCAATACTGCCTTCAATGTAGCTGTTGCTGAGTACTTGTATGCCCTTGTTGGCCAGAAGCGTATCCTGGAACCCGACAAACGAGCAGCCATAGGCGGCAATATTGTTACCATAGAAGTCAGCTGCAAGTGCTGCAGTATTCTTCGTCTGAGGATAGGTGTTCACGAAATTGATGTTGTACACTGCCAAGCAACTGTTATCGTTCGTCTTCTTCGCATTGATGACGGGTGTTGTCTCATCTAAACCAGCTGAGGTAAGCTGACCATTACTGAACTGTATGGTGACGTTGTTGGAGGTATAGTCCTGGGGCGCAGATGTCTCTCCAATCAAAGTCACTTTGCCGTTCCTACTGATGGAGACTTGCTCGGTATAGACTCCAGCCTTGATCTCGATGGTCTTTGCCTGATTATCGTTCGGAAGAGCAGCAATAGCGGCAGAGATATTGCTGTACTCGCAAGCGCCTGGGAACTTTGACACGACCAGTGTTGCGGACGGAGCACATGCTGCAGAGCTCGTCGTGGAGACGGCGATAGATGATGCAGTGATGTTATTGGCAAAGACCGATGATGTCGTCAAGAAAGCAGTGGACGTGATGGTCGACGATACGCTACTAGTACTGCTGGAAGTGCTAGCAGAGGCGACCGACGTTTGGGTGCTCTCGCTGTTCTGGATCGCAATGAGGACGCTTTGATCGATCCACCCGAGATCCGACGTAGCGTAAGGAGGAAAGCTGTCAGCAAAGACCGAGCCAGCAGTCCATTGACTCATCTGATCTGCGGTCATGAGATGGTCATAGGAAGAGCGAGACGCCGAGTTGGCGGAGAATGCACCGTTGCCAGTAGTCTCAAACTCGCCATAGTAGTCGACATAGCTTGACGAGGTTGGGTGCACGCCAGCTGGCGCAACAAGAGCAGCCATCGACGTATTTCGAAAGATCGCTTGAGAGCCGGCACCATTAGGTGCGGCTAGATAGACGTAGCCGTTCGACGAGCCACTCTTTTGCACAATGGAGCACGTATCGAAGACAATGGTGGAATTGTAGAAGACATTGTTGATCTAAGACACTGTTAGCGAGAGCACTCAAAGTCATAATGATGCGTTCGTCCTATACCGAGGCGCCCTTGGTGTACACGAGCAGAGCATTGCTGTTGAGCGCTGTTATTGTAGTGCCATACACGTACATCCCGGGGTAGCTGTAGAAGACTTTGTCGGCGCCTTCGATATAACCGCCCGAGATCAAAGTAATGCCTAGGGAAGAAGTGATAGCACCCTGTCCGGCGGAGACGAAGCTGCAATCGTAGAAAGCGTTTTTGGTGCCACGAATGGACACAGCATAGGCAGTACCTGTGGTGTTGCTGTTGACGAAGTTGATATTGCGCCATGATATGCCTTGTACGTTGTTGCTCGCGACTGTCAAAGGACCAAGTGGATGGCTAATGGTAACGCGGTTCTGCGAGTAGTCGCCAGGAGAGGAGTTCTCGCCCACGATAGTCACGGTCTGGGTGGCCTGTACGGAGACTGTCTCTGAGTATGTGCCGGCTTTGATTGTGACGGTAGGGTAGCCAGAGTTTTGGGCATAAGATAGCGCTGGGCTAATCGCGGTGAACTGGCCTGAGCCATCTTGTGCTACTGTGATGGCTGTGGTGGATCCAGGTATCGAGGACGACGACAGTGAAGTCGAACTGGTCAGTGTTTGAGAAGCGACTGTGTTATTACTTTGTGCTGCTGCATAGGAGAGGAAAGCCGAAGCAATGAGAAGAAGATGCATGATGAACGAATGTTAGGTCGCAAAAGCGACAATGAGCACACAAGCAGACGAAGTGATGATCGAGCAGTCCTTCCTGGTAGATGGATCAGTCAGTCAGTACATATAGTGACTCAGTCAGTGTGCACATCGACCAATGCCGCGGTTCCTGATTAGCGACCACACTATTAGATCTGGCGATGATCCACCACCACGTGGAAGAACATGGTGCCAAATGCAGACGTGACAGGCCTTGTCCGTGCAGTCTAGCCGTGATTCTGCGTGATGGCAGGCATTTTTACGCAGGTACAAGCTTGTACAAGGCGGCACCCAAGACGGAAGCTAGTCTGGCTAATGGAAGATCAGTGGCGAAAGGTCGATTCGTCCGCTGCCAGGGATAGCACCCTCATGCTGGCGGAAAGTGGTGCCGGCTCTATCTTGCCATCTCGACTGCTGTCATGGGTTGGGACATGACATTATGTGCCGCGAGGCGTGAAATGCCGTACGTACAGCAATCCTCACCATGACCCCAATGACTCCCATCTTCTGATCTTGTTGCAGCGAATGCTCGTAAAGATGGTCGAGACAGCATCCGCGCCTGCTGTATCTGACTCGTGAGCACAGAGTCTCTCGATTGGTGGAAAAAACCCACGTCCAGTGCCGCCATCTCAGTTCGCTTGCGCAGGCCCCAGTAAACAGCCCGAACAAGCTTCCATTTTGAGCCTCACAAATGACCGAACGGCACAGCGGCAGTCCGTCGGCGTCAGATCCAGGCTCCTGAACGTGAGGTCGGGGGCGACATCAATCTGCTGTGGTTCCCTTTCGTACGTTGTGGAGTCGAGCTAGAAGGAAAGTAGAAAGTGGGCACGGACGAGTAAGTGGACGAAGCGTAGGGCTGATAATCCGATCCTTAATCGAGGCCGTGGCTCATGAGCAGACGGAGTTGACGAAAGCGAATAGTGTGGGATCGGTATTTCTCGAGACACATTAATAGGTAGTGGCAGATTATACACATACAAAACTCCACCAATCTCTATACCGTAATCTTGGCCGACACTACTCTACATGCCAAAGAATCGTCTGCGCCGTTCAGTCCTGTCGCCTTCTCGTTGAGCTTTCTTGCTCGCACGCCTGCCCAGACGAGCCTCAACTTCCCTGTCGTCCAAATACTCAACGTTAGGTCCCTCCACGGCCGTATCACCCAAGACATAGCTCAGCCGACGCGAAGCATGCTGTGTCCTCCTAGAGGCACCTTGATGGGCATCCCGACGGTCCCCTTCATCACGCATCTGCTCGCGTGCAATAACTGCCTCGCCATGTTCGTGGAAGCTGCTGTTCCGGCGTGATGCTGCCGGATAGTGGTGGACCGTGACTGGCTGGGATGGTGGTGGATGTGTTGCAGAAGGCGACCTTACATCTTCCCGATATGTTCCACTTCGTCCTTCAGTCGCGCCTGTTGTTGATGCGACATAGCGAGCGCGAGCATCAGCATCCCGCCGAAGCTGGTCGTCAGCATATCTCGCAGCTTGATCCTGCTGCTGCGCTCTTGCTTCCGCCTCTGCACGTTCTCGAGCCATCTGCGCGAACTCTGCATCAACGAGGGGATCAGACTCAATCCCAGCTGGGCTCTTGTCACGCTGGCCGAGTAGTCTTGCTTCCGCCGCTGCTCTATGCCGCTCACGGGATGCGTCTCGTCTGGTTTGTTGTCGTCGCTCCGTCTCGACGAGCCGGGCGCGTTCGATGCGTGCTTGGCGTTCCTCCTCGCTGTATGAGCTCTGCCTGCTGTCGCGAGATCCGCTCTGATCAGAGCGTGGCCGTACATTGCTCAGCCCGACATCACGTCTGAGGTTCGAGAACTTCGGCAGCGAGCTCAAACCAGGCGATGCAGATGTGCCGCTGGTCGATGATCGTGGTGATCGTTCTTCTGTAACGATGCTAATGCTAGGACGTTGTGGCCGCCCGGATGGTGTCAAAGGCTCGTCGAGCTCGACGGTCGTGCTCGACAAGGACGACCGTCGGGTGCTTTGTGGTCTGAACTGTGCAGACCGATGGCGTTCGTTTTCCGTGGCTCGAGGAAGTTCGAGTGATGGCACCCTATCGTATACAGCGCTACCATCTGCCGCTACTGTCCTAAGGGGTGTGCCATAATCCGGACCCATGGAACGAAGTGGGCTATCCCTTCTCGTTGGCATTAGGGAGGGATGTAGCGGTGGCGAGGGTGCTTGCGGGCGACGCTCGACATAAGAGATTGGCGAAGACGAAGAGGAGTACTCGGCGGGCGACTGGCCACCATAGGTTTCACTCCTGCGAGTTGAGCCGCGCCTGCTTGACCGCCCAGTAACTTCTCTGTACGTATTGCGGCGACCGTTGAAGCCCTCCGTGACCAGTATAGCATCGTTGTTGGAGCGGCTCGATTGGCTGGGGCGACGTTCGACAGTAGTGGCACTTTCGACGTCACGCATCTGGACGTTGCCGCATGTACCAATAGCGCGAGCTTGGGTGCACCTGATGGTCCTTTCGTACACACGAACAGTATCGCCAGACTGGTAGGTCCTCCTCTCGATAACGCACATCAGTACTTGTTAGAGGTACTGAAGGTGCCTAGATGTTGTCGAGTGTGGTTGTGCAGGCTGCGGCTTATTAGGTCGATCTGCTAGTGGTGTGCTCTGTTTCGAGAGTGGTGTTGTGGCTTTCCGAGTCGTCAGTATTGTTAATGAGTTGCTGTGAGCAGTGGAAACGTCGTCGATGTGTTCTCTGGTTCCTAGTCTACTCCGCGGATGCTGGAGGAGGTCAGGCCTTTCTTATATGGCGAGGTGACCTTGGTGACTTTGGGCACTGTGTACTGAAATCGATATGCTTGTAAGCTGAATCAGTGGTATGTATGTCAGAGTGGAGGATGTGTATGTACAAAGGAACTAAGCAATCACAGTGAGAGGCGTATATGCACAATGTATGCAGGTCCCATGAGGCTCTTATGAAGATTCACGAGTCGGAGCCTGGCGTCAGTAGTACACCATGTGAGCCATGACACCACAGTACACTTACTGTGGGCCACTGGGGCCGACATCATCGTAGGGCTCGGGTCGTTGACGGGAGGCCATGCTGTGCAGGAGAGTTTGCATCTCAGACGTTTGCACTGCCCGGTGTCCTGTCTGTGCGGGCTAGAGCTGAACTACAAGTGCATTGTTATTTCGACGCCAGTCGTAGTCGGCGTGTCGCTTAACAATCCTCGGCATGGATTTCATGATCCGATGCTGGTCACAAGAAGGTGAATTCAGTTGAGGCCGCAGGGAAAAGAATCTCGTGCCTGAGTAGACCCTGTGTTGGAGACAGAAACCCGCATGTCCATCGCAGCGTGGCGTCCTCACCAGGCACGCGCTTTTCGGTAGCATAAACATCCTGTGGCACGGTCGTAGAGTTCGACAGTGCCATCACGAAGCCGAGAAGTGATGGTCGGAGTGTTTCGAGAAATGGCATGGTGGGTTAAATGACGGTAGGGTGCTTTTTAGGGATTGTTCTTGTGGAGGCGGAGCTCGACTTTTCGAGGCTGAGGCACTCACGCCTCTCAACTTCACCACAAGCGAACTCTCACAATCTTCACTTCCACCCGCATGAGCATGCACACTACATTGGTAAGCTACACTAACAATACTCGCACTGGTGGACGTGCTACACTTGTGGCCCTACGACCATGCCTTCACTCTTCTACGACCTTGTTGCCTCGCCACACCTCCATCGTCAAGCGAGTACGCGAGTCTGCTGGCTTGAGGCGCATTTGCGCACGGCTTGTTAGTATCTCTGCTCCATCAGCATGACTTTCACTCACCAGCCACATCTAATACCCATGACCGAGCAATGTTTGCGTTGAGGTCATTACCAAATCGTCTGTGACCCATGACCAGCTGAAGTGGCTACCCAGACATGTAGGATTGCATGTTGCACGGGCAGTTATGAGGCTGATATGCATGAGGAGTCATCCTGCCGCCACTCGCACGGCTTGTGGATGTGTGCATGAACTGCTGGGCCTTGCGCTTTTTGCTCTCACGTGCTATTGAGATAGTTGGGCTGTTCTTATACATGGTCCAAGGTACTCTGTTGTATCAAGATTGGCTTGTGTGCTTTGACAAAGAGTGACACGCATCGGGTACACTGTCACGAGTGATTCCTCAGCTCTGAAATTGAGGCAGCTCGCGAGTCCACGCGTACAGGATGCTCTGGACCTCAACATTGCCATGCACAGTGGCCTGGGTCAGAGAATTTCAGCCGAACCGTTCTTTGCAGTTCTACCATGAACGATGATCCTCAAGAACTCAGCTTCCCCACCTCTCATATGACACCCAAGCACATAACAAAGCACGTGGGTATCCTCTCAGTCGCCAAATGCTTCAACGCTTTTTGCACAATCAGATATCACGAACCAAATGTCATCCTTCTTATCCTCGCAGGCAATTTCAATCGAAATTCTTCATTCAGGCGACCTCGCGTGCTTAAGCCTTGCCTTCCCGCCTGTTGAAGTAAGAAAATCTTGTTCGCCAACATTCTATCGTTGACACCCAACTCAAAGTCAAGCAAAAAGCATAATGAGACCTCCAGATTCATGAGCTGGACCCTGCTCACACCACCGACCTTCGAGTAGCGCTCTTGCGTCCACTTGTTGTCCTCTATTGCCTTAGCTGCAACCCGAATAGACGCCAGTGCCAATCGATGTACCGTGCGGCTGGTCGAGGGCACCATAATATCTGCCACACAAAGTCGATGACAATATGCAGCAGCCGCCAGGTACACGCCTGCAGAATGCGGGCAGAAGTGATGTAGTCGTAGAAGGTAGTCAGAGAGCGTGAATTGTGGTACGGTCTTTGAGAAGAATCGTCTCGCTATGGCAATCCTCTGGACCGTGGTGTCCTCGGCATCTGCACCCACTGTAACCGTGATGGGCTCATGCGGATGTGCTTCAGGCGAGCCGATGATCATGGCACATGTGGTCTCCGGTGATGATGCACGTCGAAGTATGTCATCGTCTTGCCTCGGCGTCACTGGTCGAGAGACTGGTGGAGTTGGCGGGACATCGCCCATTGCATCTGCCAGAGTCTGCAGAGCATTGACGAGCATACGCAGCGCTCCAAGGCCAGATAATGAAGTGATGTCCCAATCGCTGCTCTCCAGCTCCAATGCTTCGTCGGACTTCTCAGTCAATGGACACTGGGCGTCTTGTACATTCTCTTCAGCCCTTGGCTCAGGTGGAGGTGGTGGAGCACGAGCAGCAGCCTGCTCTCTCGCATCTCGGTCCGACCTGCCATCTTCCATGCCTCGTTCAGATATCACACAATGCCGGCCGGCAGATCTCACGTGTCCATGAGCTGAGCCTGATCATCTGTCAAGCTAGACGTCGCGTGGAGGTAGTGTTGATGAATCGTCCTCGATAGCCTGGATGAACACATTGGAGTACCTGCAAGACATTCGAAGAACGCGAAGAGGCAATCAAAGTACACTCTTCACCTTTTAATGAGGTTCGGTACTTGCAGGGTTATGTAGCTGTCGTCCAAACAGCGATAGGTAGCTAGCTGATTCGCGCCGTCGAAGCACCGCAAGACCGAGCTGGCTCAAGGCTTATTATTCTGCGGGAAGGTGGGATCATCGCCGGTGAGGTTTCGGCAGAATGTGACTTCACTTCACTTCATTTCGACATATCACTAATTACTCGGTTGCAATATCGCGCGCATTCTGCCAGAATCTATCGCAGTACTCTGCCATAATTGTGTGCGCGTGAGACATCGAGGCGATGAAACCCTCCACCTGCCGGCGTCGCGTGAGTAGCAGAGTTTCTCTCGAGCCGAAACACGACGCCACATGCGACCGCTTCTAGCCTTCTGCATACACCCACAGGGTTCATACGCCATATATCGTAGAGATTGTTGCGGGGTTCCTTAGGTCTGTCTTCGAGCCGTCTGACGTTGCAATTGCAGTCAGTCGCCGAAGCTCCCTTCCTATCGACTCAACATCCGCCAGGTGGCTCTGGACAGGAGTTGCTCGATGCATGGTGAACGCGTGGGCAACCATAGCATACACGGAATGGTTGACTCACGAGCTGATCCATTCCAACTGCTTCTGATAGAAGGCTCACCTGTTATTAATGAGGCTACGGCATCTCAGGATAACATGTACTCCAGGAAAGCATCGATGGCCATTGTGTCAGCTCGCAGACGTCCTTACAGCCCAGGAGTCTCAATCGACGCTGGCTAGGCCGCTCATCGTATGAAGGCATCAGGATCTTGGCCTTGGATTGCGAATCCTTTAGATTGCAAATCCTACCCTGCGTAGGATCTTCTGATGGATGTCAAGCAGAATGCTCTCTCACTGTTGGCTCACATGCTACACCGCCGCATCTCTTTTTGGATGATAACAGCTTAGCCAACCTCGCAGATACCTACGTCATGGGCTTGCTTCCGCCCCCCCCGTAGAGGGTAGCAGCACAGCTGTACGCATTCCGGACCGCGCCCAAGGCACACTTGGCAATACCGTCTGGAGATCTGTCGGAGTTTCCATCCAGCGAAACGTTGCACACTACTGTCTTTTAAACGACCATAACATGTCGACAGAATGCAGCAAGCAAGGCTACTCTGACGCAGCGACTGGCCGATTGCCACGCCTCGACTGTATGCCAGCACATAATCCTGTCAAAACCAACTTCGGGCGGGTGGCTCATAATCTGCCAGACGAATGATGCGCACACATATAGCGAGGATGCTATGAATACAGAACAGCAGTACTCACGTGAGCTGCTCCGAGTTTACATCCACGGCGGCTGCGGATACGAGCCGCACACATGCAGAAGCCGCTAGCGTCGACGTGCCTTCCTGCAAAATTAGTGTGACCTTCGCGACCCTAACACACGCGTGCTTCTTGCATATGCCGCCATAACCACCATCAATCAGTCTTGTCGTCACCAAGATGGCCGACTCACTGCAGCGCTTTAGTGAGCACATGGCACAATTCGCAGCACAGTGTGATGCCCTTCGCAAGAAAGGCGCCTCCGTAGCGGAAACCGCTCGAGTCCAGCAAACAGAAATCGAAGACCAAATTTCCGCGATCGAGGCTCAAGCCACCGGACCTAATTGCAGCTCGAAGGGCGGCTTCGTGGACAGACGTGGACATTATCAATAACCTTGCTACAGGCTCTGGCTCGATCATATTGTGCGACAGGTCCGGCACAGACACCTACCGCGGCCCCTAAGCGTCTTCCTTCTCCCGCCCTTTCGAAGCACGTGCCCACCACTGGCTTTCAGGAACAGCAAGCAAGAAGCGCTGAGAGTGTCACCACCCCGACCCAAGTGGACACCAGGTACGACTCACCGCTGACTGGCGCCCCTGACGCACACTCTGGCGACTTCGACGATGAGATCATTGTGAGCTCACAGAATGCACTTCCCGCAGCCACGGCATATCCGATCATCCACGAGAACTACCCCACTGTTATTCTCCTCGAAGCAGGCTGGACAGAGATCTGGTGCGGTGACTGCGGTGCCAATTTCAAGGCTCATCATCACAAGTTCCTCCCGGGCTTGCGTGGACTGCATGGCCATTGGATCAAAGCGCACAGAGATCAGCATGTGGATCACTCAAAACTCACGTGCCTAGCAACCTGCCGTAAGCGCCTTGTGTCGCCTATGGACGTTGAGCTCATGCGGCGAGGGGAAGAGCCGGATGTCGTGATCCTGGCTTGACGTGGCCTTATCGTCAGCGCAAAGCTACCTGGCACGGCCAACGCAGCTACGTCGCAGAAGCCGGCTGTTCACCTTCCAAGCGCCAGTAGTGATGGAGCACGAAGGCCTCAACCATCATCCAGACAGCAAGGTCTTACTGCACGCGAGGCTATCACAAACAATGAGCAGGTTGCATCGAAGGAGGGACTCACGGAGTACGAGGCTTATCAAAATATCATGGCACACGCTGGTGCCGAGGGCAACCCGCCAACTAAACGGAGGCGCACCACTGGGAGGAAAATCTTGAGCGTACAGAAGTGATGCGCACAGTTCCGAGGAAGTGGCAGGGGGGACTTGACCGGGCTTTAGCCATGATCACTTCCGTCATGAATCGTAGTACACGCATGCGATTCCAATGAGGAGATTTGGAGGATCCCGACTGGTCTACCAGATCTGGACATATCGAGGCCGATGCATGGACGAAGTGCGTTCAGCTTGGCAGTGGAGATGTAAGGGATCATGGTTGGCGGAGACCACCCCAGGAAACGAGCAAGAGAGAGCATCAACCGGACACCGGGCAGTACTCCGGTCTTGCTTCGTATGTAAACATCGTAAATTGACCACGGTACATGTCTTCAGGCCAGTCGCCGCGACGAAGCCTGCTCTGCATCCTGTCAAGACCCATGAGATCAAGGGAAGACCAGTCCACACCGCGTGCCACCCGGCATGCTACTACTAGACAAGGCTACTGTTACTGCGAACATAGCGATGCATCATCGCTCGTGAGGACAGTTGGTCTCAGTCTCAATCGCTTGTGACATCGTGACAAGCGCCCTTGACCCCCATGGCCCAATCATGTCTACACTACAAGTGCGAAGAGCACCCAGCCACTCCCACACATCCGGAAGGCACGACCAGGAAGACTTGCCCAGGTGGCATGTGATCGCGTCCCTTTCCCCCAAACAAGTCCATGCGGTACATATAGCAAGCAGCCTGTAGTTCCTCGCCACACCATATCCCGCCATAAACTGTGCTGCCGACAAACAGACAGGCAGTAAGCAAGTGTGAACCGCATGCTTTACCACGCCATCGGACAGGACATCCGACGTGCGACAACAAGAGCGCAATTCAGGGTTAGAGAAATTCACAATCTTCCTCCAAATCATATCTTCGACGACGAGAATGTGCAAGAGGGCATGCAATCAGCTCGTAGGTGTGCGCACAGGTCGTCACGGTATGAACGTCGTATGAGAGCCAAGGTAGAGAGAGACAGAGCCTTGTGATTGACTCAAGTACACCATGACCGTCAAAATCCACGAAGATCAAATGAACGACAAAAAGACACGAATGCGCGGGAATTAAATCTGGTTCGGGTAAGGAAGTTGGCCGATCAAGCATGCACACACCAATTAGCAATTGGCCGAATAAGCAGCAGGTGACGTTCCACGGAACATCTTGCACTCGGTAATCTGCCTGGGAGAGCTCGCACGATCGGGCAGCTGATATGGAAAGGGGAGTGCTGTTCCATATTTGTAGATAAGGTAGCTGCTTCCGTTCAATCTACCTATGCGTGCTTGTGGTGCGGACGGGCGAGCTACATTTCTAGCGCAGCCGTATCACACCACCACAAAGCCGCAGATGATGACTCTCCGGCGCATGTGAGGACAGGCCTTCACGACCTCCGGCCCAGCGTAGTGTCGGTCGGGCGCCGCACAAACGCCGGCTCGTCCCATGTCCACTCACCCATGCTATGACCTCCCACCCCACCTCACCTCCACACAATCTCACCGCCATACCCACCCCTCACTCTCTTGTTCCTTAGACTTCTCAAACCAACCCCCTCGCCCCCGCCTCCCCCCAAAAAACCCCCATCCGCCAAACCTTCCTAACCAATACCTCCGCCTCCTCCCCCAACGCCATCTCCAACCCCCCCACGACCTCCCTCGCTCCTTTTCTCTCCCTCAAACCCCCTAAAACAGCCTCCACCAACATCGCCTCCCTCACCCCCAAAAACCCCTCCACCAACCGTCCACAATACGGCCGGATCTCCTCCTCCAGCACCCTCTCCGTCAGGAACTCGTACTTCAATGGCGTGGCGAAGAGTTCGTCGACATTATTCGGGATTTCGGCCGCGAGGTCCCGGCGTGCGGCGGCGCGTTCAGAGTCCGTGAGGTCTTGGCCGCGGGTGGGGACGTTGGTGTAGTCGGCTGCGGAGATGGGTTTCAAGGTGGGCCGTTTGGAGGTGGAGTTTAGAGCGGCGTCTTCTTCGTCTTCGAGGAGACCTTCGACGTCGGCTAGGGCGGTGCCACCGCGTTTGTTGTTCGTCATGGTGGTCGCGGTGGCTTGCGCAGTGCGTTGTCGAGCTGCCACGTTGCCGAGGGAGATCTTGAGGCCGGGAGCCGCAGTCGCCTGAGCGCTGCCACCGGCGGCGCGCGCCGCGAGATCCTGAGCCGTGCGGTCGAGGAAGTCGTCAGCCATGGCGTTGCTCTCCTCTCGTCTCATAGCCAACTCCTCTCTCTCTTCCTGGCGATCACTCGCATCCCGATACTCCTCTTGCTGACGATAATTGCCGCGTTTGCGCAACCAAGACGAGCGATCGAGATAGTAGTCTTCCCTCCCCATCCGCTCCTCCTTCGCATCATCCCATTCCGCCAGACGCCGCATGACATCGTTCTTCTCCTGCGTCTGATTCCTCGCCTCTCGAGCGTCGCGTTCGCGCTCTCGAGCCAGGGCTGTGGCGCGCGAATTTTCACGACCCTGGTAGCGACGCTCGGCATTTTGGAACTTCTCCTCCCAGACATCCTCCTTGAGCTTTTGTTTGCGCTCCTCGACCGCTTCATCGGGCTCGGAATCGTCTTCGGCTTCGTCTTCGGCAGGTTGTTGCCCGTTTGTGGAGCCGTTGGCGCCGACGAAAGCCACGCCGTTCGCATAATCAGATGGGAGCTGAGCGCCTCGGTAGCCTTTGGGTCCAGACGGGACTTGCTGACCTCGTGGCCCAAGCGGTATATTGCTGTTCAACTCTGCCACGGGCTTATCCGGATCTCCATTCCGATAACGTTGGCGCGCGTGCTCAGTACCCTCGTCCCTTGCCATGCGCTCGAAATCCTTGCGGCCTGAACGATCACGAAATCTCTTGATCTCGGCAGCCACGGTGGCGCGCATCTCGGCAGGGATATCCGAGAGCTCATCTTCGGATGCTACGGGAATGGTAACAATGTCCTCTTGGTTTGCGAAAGAGTCACCGTTCGTCATGTTGGTATCGCCATTGGCATCATGTCCATGCATGACCATAGCATTGGCGACGAAGGCGTTAGCGTTGGTGATGGCGGCCAGACACTGTCGAAGATCCTCTTTGCACCCATCCAGTCGGAACTGGCGAGCGTCGTCATCTTCTTTGCGCTTCCCCTTCCACTCACTAATGTAGTCCCGACTCTGCTCGTCCACTACCACGAGCAGTCTCATCATCTTCGCCTCACCTTCATCGTTCTTGACCACTTCCCCCTTTTCTATCACCGGGACCTCAATCCCATCACTATAAATAGCGTTGGCCGCCTCCAACGACTCCACGTCCTCGTACTCGGCGAAGCCAAACCGACACAGCTGATCGGCCGAGTCTCTCGCCCTCGTCCAGCGTCGTAACTTGCCCGCACACCTCAGCACCTCCTCGATTTGACCATCCCCGGGCGCACCTTCCTTCAACCCTCCGACAAAGATGGTCCGAGCGACTTCCTCGCGAGTGGGTGGGTGAGTAGCCTGCATACTATCCCTGACTGCCTGCCTATCCCTCTCGACATCTCGTCCGCCTCTATCTCGGTCATCTCTGCTTGCACCCAAGCCTAGTCTTCCTCTCCCGTCGCCGTCCCTGCCTCTCCCGCCTCGTCCGCCTCCACGATCGTCACGTGCTTGTGGGCCATCCACGCCGAGACGGATGGTGGAGGCGTTCCAGTTAATGTTGGCGGGCATGTTGGGTGGAGGTTGGAATTGATTCGGCATTGCGCCGGGTGAGTTGGCCGGCATGCCGCCGGGTGGTGCGAAGCCAGGAGGAGCGCCGTACTGTGCCTGTTGACCACCACCATATGCGCCTGGTGGAGCTCCGTAGTAGGCCATCTTTGAGGTGTGCTCGGATCAGGCAGGCTCGCGTACGTGTGACTGTGCTACTGCTCTATAAGATGATGTGACCAGTATGAAGCCTTCTGGACCTACATGGACAGTGAGTGAGTGTTGAGGGCACGTGGTAGGTAGCGGATCAGTCCAGTCGAGTCGTCCAGCAGAAGTTGTATTGTGTTTTGTGGTCGACCTCACGATCTTCAAATGTTCAGCTTGGAGCTTCAAGCACGGCGCGGAGAATCATTCTGCCGAGCACTCCCGGTCGTTTGACATGTCCGCAACGCTGCATACAGCGATGTAGCATTCGTGCCTTCCCTTTCAATAGTAGGCAGGTCTGATACAATGGAGCTCTACAAAGTCGGCGAAGCGTTCATTCGCTCCTCGCAACCGCTCCTTCCCTTTCTAGCCCCAGCAGCATATCCGCGCCTTCCCCAGCGAAAAGCCATCGAAGCCGTAACCCGACACTGCCAAACAGCACGCCGACCCTTGAGCACCACCCCTCCTTCCCGAGACGACCGCAGCAAAGCTCCACGGCGTTCACCAGATGATTCCGCACCCGACTTCGACATCGCCGCCCTCCTCGACGGCGCTCTCGACGGCACCAAAGGCACCCCCTCCGCCCCGGCAACCCGAACCTCGCACTTCAAATCCAACTCAGCGCAGCAGAAAGACAACCCTCCCTCCACCGCCCGCTCAGCCTCAATAGACCGCTACGCCCCACCACCCGGCGACTCCATGGACGACATTTTCGCCGCCATGAATAAACAAGCCAATCAGAGCACCCGTATCAGCTCCTCAGCTGGTGGCCGTCGAAGCACCGCAGACTACGCCTCCCTACTCAACCCCCGGGACACCTCCGGCCGCTCATCTCGGAGCTCGGCCTTATCATCATCCATCAACATGGACGCCAATGCCCCCCTACCCATAAAACTCGGTCCGAGTGTAGGCCGGACAGTAATTGTCGACCAAGCACGCGGAATGGACATCGGTCGTGCCTTCCGAAGCTTGGAAGTGCAGTGCGCGCGGAATTCCGTGCGGAAAGACTTCAACCGACAGAGATTTCACGAACGGCCGGGCTTGAAGAGGAAGCGGTTGAGGCAGGAGCGGTGGCGGAGGAGGTTCAAGGAGAACTTCAAGGGGGTCATTGGATTGGTGCAGAGGATGAGGGCGCAGGGGTGGTAGATCAGGATCAGAGGGGTGTGGAGTGGAGTGGAGGGGCTGTACATCTGTGCGAATTACTGTAGGACATGCAGAGGAGATGATTGGTAATGGCTGTGTACATGTACATCACAACCGATGTCTAGCGTGTACACCACATCGCTGTACATCACACTCAGCCTGTTGACCACCACATCTTATAGCTACTTTAATCGAGCGGTTGGTCTCCTTCCGACATCCCGCACGCTCACACTCAAACCCATGGATTGCTCTTTCAACAACAAGGTACATAACAAGGTGTCGAGTGACTAACGACGGGTGAGTCGAGGCGAGCCTCCACATTTCGCAGTCGTCTTTGCCATCATCTCTCTACAATGCTCGTCCGGCCTCTGCGGCCTTTGGAGCTTCGAGTCTTGGCATGAATTCAGCCAATCAGCATCGACCTTCCGGTCTCTGTGGCCTCTGCCATATCCTGATGACGATGAGGTTGAGGAATGGCGAAAGTGACCTCTGCAACTCGCTGGGGTGGCGTATATAGACCTGCCCCCTTCCTTCCCAGTCATGACCACGCATCCATCTCATCTTCAAAGTCTCTCTCGTGATCCAACAAGCGAGCGATCTGTCCCCTACCATTAAAGCAAAAGCCATGCCGACACCACACGATATCGCCCGCTTCCTCAGCTGTCAAGCTCTGGGCACAACCACTCTACCTCAAATCGATCTCAAAGGCAAGACCTTCCTCATCACGGGCGCGAACACCGGTCTTGGCTTGGACGCTGCGAAACACCTGCAAGTAGTCCCATCCACCCATCATAACGGTGACCAAAGCCGCTGATAGATGGACTCTTCACACACAGAGCCCGTCTGCACGCCTCCAATCTCATTCTCGGCTGCCGCAACCCAAAGAAAGGCGAAGCAGCTAAATCCTCCATCCTCAGGGAGACGAACTGCGAAGGGACCACAACAATCGAAGTCTGGGAAGTCGATCTCGATCACTACTCCTCCGTCCGCGCCTTCACATCGCGCCTCAAATCGCAGCTCCAACGTCTCGATGGCTTCATAGCGAACGCCGGGATCGAACTCACCGCTTTCGAGACATCGGAGGGATTGGAACGAACACTGACGATTAATGTCATTTCCACGTACCTCACGATCTTATCCCTCTACCCACTCTTGCAGTCGACAGCGGAGAGGTATAAAGTCGACACCCATCTGGCGATCGTAGGGTCTTTGATACACTATTTCGGTCCAGACACCCAGCTCGATGTCCCCGCGGGGGAAAGTGTGCTTGATGCTCTGAGTGATCTGAAGACAGCGGATATGGGGTCCCGATACCCCTTGAGCAAACTCATGGTCCATTTAGTCTTCCAAGGCATGCTTCGACACCTCCCCTCCCCTTCCCGTACAGCAGACACGAACGGCACCATTGTCAACCTCGTTAACCCAGGCTGGTGCGGTACCGAGCTCGGCCGCAACAAGGATGGTAATATGTTCGAAAAGGGTATGTTCGCCATGATCGGCCGGACGGGGGAAGAGGGTAGTCGGACACTAGTCCATGGTGTCATCGCTGGTCGGGAAAGTCATGGTCGCTACTTGTCTGAGTGTAAGGTCAAGCCGCAGAGCTCTTATATGGATAGTGAGCGTGGACAAAGAATGGCCGAAACGCTATGGGAGGAGGTCGTGGGGCGGATTGGAAGGATTGATTCTGAGGTTGTCAAGCCTTTCCTGTAGAGACTTGTGCTTTTCCTAGATGGATGTGGCTCGGCTTTGTCGTTGATCAGGGCGTCCCAGTCCAGCCAGGAGACACCGTGCTCGGGGTTCAGATCAAAAATTGTCGTAGCCGATCCACCTTCGTCTTGTGCTGCTGGTATTGTACTGTCGCTGAACAGAGCATTGTTCTCATTCAGCCAGGCATCTAGATCATCCATACCATAGATCCTCGGCACATCAACGTCGGATGCACGACCATCATTCCCGTCAAAGGCCAACTGTACCGCATCGAGCTGAGCTGGGTTTGACAGTCCCTTTGGCGGTAGTGCTAGATGCTCACTACGCAGTCTCGTGACCCTCCTCAGCAACTTTGCAATCGGCTTCCAAAGCATCCCCTGATCAGGATCATCATTCGGCAAACACGAATACCTCCTGAAGATCCCACACGAAGCGACAAATGTCCTATTGGCTTCCGGACCAGACGGGCTTCGACACAATTCAGCTAGAGCCACAGCTAGTGCGTACAACGGCGGCCATTCCTTCCACGCCCAGGGTGCTAGTTCACGGTACTCGAATCGCAGATGCCGTTCTAGCACGTCTGTCGCGGCGAGCATGGGGTTGAAGTCATCCCAAGGTGGGATGGCGTTGTATTGTTGGATGAAGGGTGGTCGACGGAGAAGGAGGCGTGTACAGGCGAGGATGGTTTCGGCGGCGTATCGAGTCAGTATCTCGATCGGACGGGCACTGCTGAGGTCGATGGAGAGGTAGCTGCGATCGTATGAGGCTTCGAGGTCGTTGAAGATTTGCAACTTTTTGTTCCAGCTTTCCCAGTCTTGTTCGTTGGTGCATCGAACATCACATAGTCTCTTATGGCAGACCATGGCTTGATTCGTCATGGTCGTGAAAGTCATGTCTGTGAACTTAGGACCATATGATGGCTTGGCTGGAGGCGTGATGATCGACATGCATTCCACGTCGTCATTATCTAGGGGTGGCGGACCAAGAGCGCTTGCCCTTATCATAGGCGCGGATCCTCGATCGAGCGTGGCCTGTGTGTCCATGATGCATATGCTATACCACAGTCGTCTACGAGACTCCAGCGTCTCAAAGTCCATTGTGTTAGGATCCTCCTTCCCAAGCTGTAATGCGCTTGCCAGGCGTACGGCTACAGCAAGCAGTGTCCAATTCAGCGCATGACCTCGGCGTGTCCTCAGTGCTTGCAGATAGATCACAAATGCCTGTAGGCCTCGTACGGTTGGCGCTTCGAGTATCCTCGCTGCGGAGATCGCAGATTCCGTAGCATGCCGGTAGCTATCGAGGACGATATCTTGCTTTTGCCCCAGCAGCTGCACGCACTCGAATTCACTAAGACTGCATACTGCCATGTAGCGGATGGCGACCATGAGAGCTTGTGGCGACGACTGATCTTGAGTACCGATCAGATCTTGCATCACTCTGGGAAATATCACAGGCTTGAAGACGCTGTCCACGCGTTCTCGATACACCTCGAACAGCACATCCTTCAAGCGGGAGTCCTGAGAGAGGCTGTGACATGGACTCAGTCGAGGTGCGGGAGAGAGCAATGATATCATTTACGCTCCTGGCAGGCAGTGGATATGTTCAGCTTCATCTGGTCGCCCGACATAACAGCCATCATCCTCGTCTGGCGTCTCGAGAGCCGCTCGTACAGCCGTCACTTCCCGTGTCAGTGCCGTCCAGAAATCTGCTGCGACAGGATACTCATTGTCCGTCCGGAGATCAGGCACAGGACACCGTCCAGCAGCGATCACGTCCTGTTCATCTACATGCGGCCCAGGAGCTGACCTGTGCTTCAGCAACACTTCCAATCGAGCCAGACGAGTCTCCAGAGTCGCATTCGCGGTTTGGAGTCGCCCGCTTCGCCCTCGTGGCAGACGTGCTCGCTGTGTGGCGTTGCATTGAAGACCGGCACTTTTGCACGCCGAACAGCATGGCGAGGTTTTGTCACAACGTGTCTTTCGTTGCCGACATTGCTCACAGTTAAGAAGTGGCATTGGCTCGATGAATCAAACGTGTTGGGTTGATATATCGTATCGATATGTGCTTACAATCGGCTTTGAGAAGCTTGATAGTGGTATCTTCTGTACCGTCTTGGGGATATCCCCGCAATGGAAAGCCTTGTTACGGTGCGGAAGGCTGGATTGAGCTGGAGACTAGGATGTCTTCATTACTTTAAAAACACCTATATGCATTAGGGCCGACTTAAGAACGGCAGGCGTCCTGTCAACCGTCCAACGCGTGTTGACTCTGACTAGTCACGTAGGTCATGCATGCTATTGATCAAGGAGTGAGTAGAAGACGCACTACGATAATTTGACGATCACAGCCATCATTGTTGATCTCGCATGCCATGCAAACAAGACAATGCATAATAAACGACATCATGGCTCTCGAGCAGCCGCCTCACCTCCAACATCGCCCTCTCTAGGCTCCTCCACAGCTAAACACACCGCAGTAGCATACTCGCCGTCATGACTAATACTAATTTTTGCTATCTGCCCGTCCACGTCGTCATTTTGCAGCTCACCAGGAATCGGGTCAGTGGTGAGTATAGATCTGTTGCGCCCGCTCGGTGTCTCATTTGGCGACAGGCTGTCATCGGGCGACTCCTCGCTGTCGGAACCATCCTTCTGCACGGTCCTGTTGTACGCCGAGGCAGGTTTGTCCAGAATAAGTGCATACAGTGGTCCTGATCTTGGCGGCGGCAAGCTGGGTAGGATCTGGACATGTCGAAAGGACAGTCTGCGATGCCCAACAGCTTTAATCGCCGCCTCTTTCGCCGCCCATCTACGCAAGGTCAAAACGGGCCTGTATCATGGCCACTGGCTTACCTACCTTCCACTCAGATACCTGACCGCCATTGGCAAGTCATCATAGACAACCTCAGGGCCTTGGTGGAACACCTGCCAGAAGATTGCTTGTTCGCGCCACGAAAGAAAGCCTCGGAGGAAACGATAGAGGTTCGCGTGGCCGGGTTGCGATTGTCCTTTCAGTAATATCCCTCGGATGCGCCGCGTGTCCACGATGTCTGTGCCGATGCCTAGCGGGAACGGGAAAGGTCGAGGCGGCATTGCTTTGTCCGTATATATGTACCGATGGATCAAAGTATTCAAGGATGGAGAAGGTCGAGGAGCGACGCGTAAGGTATGGCCATGGTACAGACTGACTGACAGAAGTCGTGTCAAATTTGCAAGGACGAAGAGGAAGGGCGAAATATGAAATGGAACTTGGTGATGAGGAGGACAGGGGCAGAAAAGTGGTGGCGAGAAGATGCCGAGTCGAATAAGAAACGCAGCGACCGAACTATTGCGTACGCACTACGTTGTCAAAACGACAACAGATCCCCCTCCCCATTCTGTACATGTTGAGTCGGCTGCACCGTCCCCAAACCCTGCCCCTGGTTAACAATGTACATCTGTCCACCCTGCTCGCCATGCGTGGCAGCCGTCGGACTTCCACCAAAACCATCATTATCGTTAAGTTGCATGCCATGCATCGAAGCGAACAGCGCATCCGCCTCATCCAGCACATCACCATTCCGCCCGTTGGCAGCGCCGTTCGATTGTATAGCCATCTGTTGCTCAGTCAAGAGTCTCGCTTGCTGCGCCGCTTGCCACGAGGGCATGTTGTGTTTTTGGAGTGCAGGACTATCGATCAAGCGTCTTGCTCGAGCGGAGCGGAAGACGGTGTGCACGGGCTTGAGGTAGACTGTAGCCAGTGTGCCGACCACGAGGCACATTTCCTCCAGCGTCACGGGATCCAACTTCTCGCTCTCTGCGGTGATCGCAGGCTTACCTCCCATTACAATATCCTTCGCGGCCGTGGGGTTGCTGGAAAGGAGACGCCAATACATATAGCCTCTGTCCCGCAAGTCCGGGTTATCCGTGTCCTCAGTCGCCCATCTCAGAACTTTGGGGACCATGTCTTGCCCCTTCGTCGGCCGTTGTATGAAGAGCTTCACCGTTGCTGTCAGAAGAGCAAGCTGCACTTCATGTGTCTCGTCTGGCCAGCTATCCAGGAAGTCCTCAAGCAAGACCTCTGAATTATCTATTCGATCGGCATACTGCCCAATGACCCAGATCATAGCTGCTTTAGCTTCCGGTTCGTCCAGACTATCAAGGTTCTCGCAGAGCGTAGAGATGATCGACTCATACTGATTTGGATATTTTCGAAAGATATTCTTGATCACGACGGTGGCCTCTTGCACGATATAGCTGACCTTTGTCGCCACCAGCTCCAGCAATGTTGTAATACATAGCTTTGCCGCAGGTTCGATCTTGATGGCCAGCTTTCCTATCGCTCGCACAGACTTTCTCACAAAATGCACGTCAATTTCGGTCGCGTATTCTCGTAGCTCAGTCAGTACCTCACGAATGTTCTTCTCAGAAGCAAGCATGAAGATGAGTTCTAGTTTAGTCACCTTGACATAGATCGGATCGTTGTACTTGCAGAAGAAGACTCGGATGTCATTTCGAAGAACCTCTGGTCTTCGCTGTAGAATCAAGAGTGCGTTCCGTAGTGCCAAATACTGAATTTCTGGTCCCTTGCTGAGTAATGTGACCAAAGGCGGACTGAGCTTTGCACAAAGTGATGCAATGGTTTTGTCGGAGTCGATGTAATTCATCAGGTAAAGTATTACGCGTATGCACGTGAGTACCACAGCGGAGTTCGTATGCGATAGGCGTGGCGTTATGCGATCAGCGAGGAGTGCGGCTTCCGAGATGTCTTGAGGGACGTATGATGTGAGTGCTTCCAGAATATATGTTTGACCCCACTCCGAACAGTCGGGCAAAATCTGGACGATCTTACTGGCATTGGCGTAGTCGATAGTCAGTTTGATGCTTTCGCTACGTTCCCAGATGTCCATGAGTGCAGCAAGAGCCGATGATACAACAGTCGGGTTTTCGTCTCGCAGCATCAGATTGAGTCGATCTATTAGATCACTGCTCTCTACCAGCGTGCGGTCGTGATCGTATAGCTTTGCAACGCAGAAAGCTGCAGTCTTCCGCACGTACGGATCTGAGTCTTTCAATAACGACTTCAAGGGTTGTAGCGTCGATTCGACGAATTGTCGCACGTGTATGTACGATAGCGTTCGTAAAGCTAGCGCGCGCATAAGAGGATTTGAGTCTTCAAGGTCCTGCATCAGTCGTCAGCTAATCAGTATCGCCATTAGCACTAGAATTCTATACACACATTGATCAAGATGGGAAGGGCCTTGAGCGCAATCTCGGGCTTCGCTCGTGCGTAGTTCACGAGATAAAGGAAGCACCTGGAGTCAATTAGCCACAATGCCTCGCCGTCCCAAAATCAGCATCTTTGCTTACATCTTCTTGATCTCGAGACTACTGACACCCATGACGCCAATGATATCTGGGAACAGCGCCACCATATCATTGTTGCTCATCGTCATATTAGCCACAATCTTCTTCAGCGCAATCTTCTTGCTACTAAAGTTCTTGTCCTTTTTGCCACCGCTACTGTTGAGCTCGAGGCGAAGCTCCGCTACTTTGCCCTGACGTTGTTGGGTGAAGAGTAAGTTATGGTACAGGGTAGGGATGGGTGGGTGATCGTGGTAGGAGGCTTGGTGCACGGCGTAGGTGTAGGGGATGAACATGGTGGTGGGTATGGCTGCTCGACTTGCGACTCATGCAGGCCATACGATGGGTGCGCATAACCTCCGATAGCTTCAAGGTCTCCAAGCCGTACTTCGACCTCCAATCCGTACTTCGGGTATGCTGATAGGGATGTGTGTATGCAGAGGTGCAGAACTTACTCTAGCAAAGAGCTTCGCATCCTGCCCCGAACTCATCTTGTCCTACTCGACTCCCGCCCAGTAGGACAGGGCAATCACACCCTAATCCTCTCAATCGATCATGCGCCTCTTCTCACCTATCCAGCCAATGCCCTCGAGAGTTGCACCCTACGATAGTGCTTGTACGGATCGCTCCAAAAGCGGGGCTATGCAGGCGCGGGGTGGTCGGCGGTCGCACGGGAGATTGCTCGTGCTATCTCTACGGATGTCGTTGTTGTGGGAGGAGGGATGTGATTCTGCGAATAATGTGTCGAGGCGTCTGGGGAAGGCGCTCGGGATGATGTGGATCTTTACTCTGAAGCTTGCCCATTTAGCGGTAGACGGAGGTGAATGGATTAACGCCGGCACGGCTTGGCATTCGCTGTTCTCACGGCGTCGACCTTGTAGTTCAGAATGCATCCTCTACATCACCAATTACTGCAAAACAGTCCGCCATGACAACACAAGTCACAGTTCCACCGCCGCAATGGCTTGTCGACATGACATCAACCTCCACCGCCCTCACCAAACCTAAAGCCAACATCGTCGACCCACCAGGCTTCACAACCCTTCAATCCAAACAAAAGTCCTCCAAGACCGCCGCTGCACCCGCTCGTAAACAACCCACACCCGAGGAGATGGACACTCTCAAATTGAAGAAAGCTTGGGAGCTCGCGATAGCTCCCGCCAAACAACTCCCCATGAACGCCATAGGCATGTACATGACAGGCAACAGCCTGCAGATCTTCAGCATCATGATGGTATTCATGTTGTTCAAGGGTCCGATCACGGCCATGTTCAGCATACAGAGTACGTTTCAGAGGTTGGAGACGGATAGCAATCGCGGTCAGATGCTGCTTGTGAAGGCGGCGTTTGTTGGGTGTAACTTTCTGGCGCTGGCGTTGGGGATATGGAAGGTCAATGGGATGGGGCTGTTGCCGTATGTCCTTTGCTCTTACTATGGCTTGAATACTGTGCCTTATGCTGACCTACAAACAGGACTACTAGATCAGATTGGCTGGCCTGGGAAGCGGCGAGAGATCCGTTGGAACGGGCTTATTATGTACCGTCCTGATAGCATCGACAGTGTGTTTGAACAGCGGCGAACGGAATAACGTACTTGCAGCACATGCTTTGCAAATCCCTATAATCCACATATCTCCTTGTTGACCTGCAGTTCTATATCGCTGCTCAAGTACACAAGGGTCTATCCTGCGCTCTACTACTGCCCTTTCAATAGAGCGCCCTGAGAGGGAGCAGAAGCATGGAATACACAGTCTAGGCTTTGGAGAATTGTATGAAATTGGAGCCGATGTTGTGATTGAATGTACTTGGAACGCAGGACGAGTACACGCACCCGGTCCTGGTCTTCCAACATTCTTCCCAAGAAAGAGCGTAGCTTGGAACACTGGCAAAAATTGTCACTCCCTATCAGTAGTCTTATCGAAACTAAGTCTGAAATCTGATGCTGATGGCCAGGCACACAGTGGATCAGAACTGCAAAAGGGAAGGCACACCAAGGTATTTTGCCATCCTTACGATGGACTTTCGGATAGTTAGATTTCAAGCTACTTCCCCAAGAATCGTCAGTCCGTCAAGTACAATAAGTATAGTGCAATGCTATCCCGGCCTCTGACCGGCTGCTGCCTGTCCTTCTGGCAGCTGCCCGCAGCGGTGTCTCTTCTTGACTCGGAACATGGGGGTCCACCAGGATCTCGGCTTGGCTCCTACACTGCATCTGCAGACAGGAAATCGTGGTTAGATCACATGAGGGCAACGGGGTTTCCGTTAGATGGCATTGTGTGGAGAGTGAGACTTGACTGTGTCTTACTGTGTTAGGCTGCCCATGTCTTTCCTGCTCTACTATGGCCCAAATGCTCTTCATGAGCCAATCTGCTCGAGATGGGTGAATACGTGCAAGTCTCCATCGTTTTCACGCCGGGTGTCTTAAAGCCTGAGACGAAGCTCCCATCGATTTGAAGAAGGCAGACACGTTCTATTAGGCGTGCTGGTGGGACTTCGGGAAGCCACGATTTAGACGCCACCGATGCCGGCCACGTGAAGGGAGAAACATTATTGCCGTCTAACGCCCATAACTCCCGCGCCGACACCTCCGTCATCAGGCACATTGGCGTGACTCCGTCATCTTCCAAACCAACTTCTTCCCGCAGTTGGTGTATATGTAATACATCGCCAGCCATAGGACAAACGGAATTACAAGTCAGCAACACCACACATGCGGCAGACAAAACCGCTCGGGTCCAACGAATATGGTTGCCGGAGTAGGAGAAGCAGCGGCCACAGGGAGCCATGATGTTCCCTTATCAGGAAGAGGACAAACACAATCGAAGCCGCTGGGAGAGGCGCCAAAGGCATTGAAGGGTGTCAAGGTGGTGGAGAAGAGCACAGGATGGAATACCAAGAATCTGAGCAGTAGGATCATGGTGGATGCTGCTTGCGCCGCGACTGCAGGTGGTATGGTTGCGCCGTTGATTAGTATGATCGATAAGTGAGTAGAGTGCAGCAGTCTTGCTTGAACGCGATGTGCTAAGATTAAGCCCCAAGAGCTATCATCGAGAATGCATCCGGTAAACGCCAGATGATGGACTCGCTCAAAGCATCCTTCTCAACACTACTCTTCCGACCACATCGGTATCTTACTGGCAAACCCTTCCTTCTCATCCTCATGCTGTACAGTGGAACATATTTGACGGCCAACACACTCGATACGTACAAATCGACTGTCAAGAATAGACCAGCGTCGAAAACCACGAGTGGACCTTCCAAGTTCGCAGCCACAAGCGCCGCAAATTTAAGTCTCTGCCTATACAAAGACAGTCAATTCACGAAGATGTTCGGCACAGCCTCTGCTCGCCCAATACCGCCAGTTACATATGCGCTCTTCGCCATCCGCGATTCACTTACGATCTATGCTTCTTTCAATGTGCCACCGATGCTTGCGCCAACGTTGCCACTGTCTGAAGCGGCAGAGAAGTACATCAGTCGTGCGTCCGCAGCTCAATTCCTGGCTCCGGCGGCTGTGCAGCTCATAAGTACGCCTTTCCACTTACTTGGTTTGGATTTGTATAACCGCAACGGTGGGACACCTTTTAGCGACAGGCTGAAAAAGGTTAGACTGGACTGGATGAAGAGCAGTATTGCGCGTATGTGCCGCATTGTACCTGCTTTTGGATTTGGAGGGGTGGTTAATAATGGTATGAGGTCCAGGATCATGAAGGGGCTGGAATAATAAGCGTTCAGCCCTTCTGACCTGAGGATAAAGTCTGAGCCGGGGTAACATGCCGCCTCTTTTGCGCGACCGACTGAGACGCGCATGCCGCGATGACTCTTCTCGAGTTGGGTCTGATCGCGCGAGCGGCATGTGGGCTGGAATTGATTGATTGACACATTGCAGCATCACACCATCAGCGTCTACATAAGCGGGCATCATAGAGGGACGGATAGACTTGTTCATTGAGCGTGGCGAACATTAGAAGGCTATCTGCATGGTGTTGGTGCATGATAATGCAGCGTATTGTGCAAGACGCTGAGAAACATATCTCCTGCTCATTTTCACCTATTCATGATCGCATCCTTCCCCTCATATGCATTTATCAAAAGCAAATAGTTGCAGTAACGTGCCTGATTGCTCATGCGAGTCACTGACAGCCCGTCCAATCGAAATTGCTGCCGTTGCGAGCCGGATAGGCCTGGCAGTCTGGGGATGCATCTCCGGAACCCTAGTCATCGTAGTCGCCGTTAGCGACAGCTTTGTTAAGCCTCTTATGTTGCGCAAGAAGTCAAACATATACACATTTGAAATGGCTGATCCCCGCAGTAGGTATGCGCAGGCTCAGGCCCCGTAGCTGGTCTTAGATCGTGCATGACAGCCCGTCTATCATAGCGGTATCTGACCCGTCATACGACCAATCACTTGTCGACCAGTGCATCGCGAACAACGCGGCATGCCCACATGTCATGGTCAAGCATTCTGTCATACGGTTGATCTGACTTCACTCGTTACCAAGGTGTCGGAAGCCCGAGAATGTGGTTACGCGCGAAGCTTTTAGTTTGCGGCAAGTTTTGTGTTTTTGTGCTTCAATTGACTTCACTTCCTTCTACCTCACTCGATCTTACTCCGCTTCACTCCAAATACCTCATTCTATCTCACCCCTTCCACTCCAACTTACGCTTGATGTCCCCTGTGGACGTCCTGGTCGTGTGTCCAACTTTTTCCACGGCCCCGCATCGGTCTATCGTCCAAGGCCTCATTCAGCGGGTCTATCACCTCAGTACAGCTCAGCAGCTTATGCGTCAGAGGCCGTCGTTCTCCCTCCGCTCCGGACGTGCCAGTGTTCTCACGCAGGCTACGAAGGGTTCGCAGCTACGAAGCAGTCCTCTTTGTCGTGCCGGCCTACCGCTGTACTTTTGGAGTCGTCTACACGATCCGACGACACCCCGAGTCTAATGAGACACCACGGCTCGTCAAGCATTACCGCCGACGTGCGGATTCTTGCAAAGGCTTGCGTCCAACTGCTATCCAGCTGAATTCGATTTAGCCACACAAATATTTGACATGTCAGTACAAGTACAACTTACGCCGTATAGTATAGCTTCAGGCTCTCATCGCGAATCTGTCTTTGTGCTCCGGCTACGAGTTGGGTATAAGATGCAGCTGGCATTGCTGGTGACTGCCCATGGGGATGACCGACACAGGGCCAGAGCAAGACCGTTTCCAGGGTTCTGTGCAAATTGTTCTGGATATCTTCTCCAAGTGATGCGGAAGCTGAGAGTGGTAAGCTTCTGCCATGACTTTGCTGTTCCCACATTAATCTTACTTGGGTTCCAACTACCGACAAATAAATGTCGTCGATGATGCTGAATCTCGTCGAATCCAGCAGAATAAAGATATCCACGTAGCCGCGAGCCGGCTCGAGGGTCCCGATTACTTTGTCGCATAGTGGTGTCGTACCACTCGGTCCATAATCGCAAAGGCTCGGTGAGGTCCAACGAAAGTCGCCCACTGTGCGACTGGAACAGGAACTCCAGTTCAATCATCTGCAGCCAACCGCCTGGCTTTAGGAGTCTTTTCAAGTCCATCACATAGGAGGCCCATCGATCCGTATCAATGCCCTCCGACAGGAAACGACTGTTGATCAAGTCGAAGGACTCAGGCCTCAGACGATCCGCACTATGGTCGGCACTGAAGCGTGCGTTCAGGTTCCATCTCTTTTTGACGAACTCTTGAACTGTTTCCGCATCGCTATCATCATCGTCCTCGTCATCGTCGTCGTCGTCCTCCTCGGCACTATCGCCTAGATATAGGTCAACACCCGTGACCTGGGGACAATAAGTCATTAGTTGCTGGCGGACAATTCGACACAAATTTCAGAGTCTCACATACATCGCACTCATAAGCTCCGTACTGTTCGAGCAGATCATCGATCCAAGCTCCCTTCCCGTATCCACAGTCAAGCACGGCAGGCTCATCGACGCCTGGCGGTGGGAAGTGCTCTTGCGGAAGGACGACCCGATCACCGCATACCTCACGCAGAATACGATTCAATTCATCGAGTCTGTTTCCCTCAGCCTAGCGGATAGCTCAGCACCTGGCGCTCAGCAGGGATAAGGAGGTCTCGGGTTTGTGTGACATACCTCATCGACAGGTATGCAATAGACGTCGTTGAGGAGCGAGAACTGCGCAAAGGTGCGATTTCCACGGGACACTGTTCGATCGTCTCTTGGCTGTTGAACGGTCGACATTCTTCGTGCTCGTGCGAAATATTCGGAGGCTCAGCTTGGTGTCACTCCTGGCACGTCACTTTACGATGTGCAGCCACGTGGTATACATTGTGCTCCCGAACTGTGCCGGGCCTTATGTCCCTACCCGCCCAATGAATGTGACTAACTTATGGTCGAGCGCATTCACTATTTTCCAGGCAGTCCGAACCTATCGCAATAGTGTTCCATGGCCCAGCCACTAATGCAGCGTCTAAAGCTAATTCTCAAGCTGATCGTGCTATGCTAGATACGAGAACCGAGAACTTGGTCAAACACAAACTTATTGGTCAGACGACGAGCTTGCGAGGATGCTGGCAGCTGCTAGCTATTCGATCACAAGGGCATGCGTCTCAATGGCGTATCACTCCTTGGGTGCCTGGATAGCTTGCCCTGGAGAGATTCCCGGAACTCGGTCGTACTAGCAGATAGCAGATACGAGCGGACGATGTCCCAGGACTGACCTTCAATGGATGTGCTGTGTGGTGGGCTGGTCACGCCACGTACAGCTGCGAGTGTGACGCTTCACGACAAAGGTCTTACAGCCAGGTGACATCGGTTATCATACTCAATTATAAGGGTACGCGTGGCGCCAAAAGTGGCCCATTGAAGACGATCGGGCCGCAGCAGTGTGACAGTCTGTCATCTTTTAATCTACGGGCCGCAGGAACCCACTGATGAAGGCCGGAGCTGGAAGCGGTACGTACTTTCTTACCCATGCCTCCGGAAATGTGGTGTACTACTACGTCAGATCATTGGCTCGCTCGACTGCATCCGACGACTGCCTAGCGTGCGTAGGGCGAAGGGAAGCACGGATACGGGGGTTGCACAGCTTCGAGCCCATGACTTTGGGTCTAGGTTTGTTAAACCGAGCAATGCCGCCTCCTTCAATCGTCAACAGCTGTACGAGTCAGCAGCGAAAGCGCACTCCTCTGACCTCGGCGACTTATTCTGAAGACAACGATCAATTCTGGAAGAAATCAGAGCAGCCTGGCTACCTTGCCTCCTGCTAGCCTCCCTCCTAGGTGTCTGCTCGCGCAAGCCAAGGTCCGAGTGTGCTGGTCAATGAGACGCTTGGCCATGCACGACTGAATCAAGCTAGAAGGATTCGGTATACATGCTGTGATCTCACGGAATGAGTCCGCTGAAGACGTGGCCACCGCACGTCCGTATTCTAACCCACAGGAAACAAGCGCCCAAGATGAATGACGATAGTAGCTTGTGCGTTAGTCTTCCCGGCACTTTGCACTGTGCTCTGCTACACAATGTAGTATTGCCTCAGGTTAATGCTCGCAGCGGAGTCTAAGTGAATGAAGTCTACCATCAATGCTAGAGGAATTTGCATTGAGATCTATGGTACGACCTTGTGCTCACGGCGACAAGCGAACAGATCATATTCACGCGAGTATTGACAAAACCTGCAGGATGTTACCGGCAAGCTAAATCGCGTAAGCCGACCACAAGCGAACGTCTTGGAAAGTCATATGATGCGCTTCGATATGACACTATAAGAGTGAACAGCGTCATCCAAGATCAGTAGTGAAGCTGTTAGTCATGGCGCTACTGCGTGACTGCCCGAAACGGGAAGCTAGTTTATGCTTTTGGCACCAGCGGAGCAGAGTGAAAGTCTACTCACAGAGGACAGTCTGTATGTCGCACCTGGTAGCGGGTAGACCGCGTTGTCACGAATTGTATGAATGTTCGCGCTTCGAAGCCGGCGTTCGCATCCCCGAAGCGAATCTTGAGATGAGAAGCAAGTGTGTTCGCTGGCGGTAGGTGATGCTTTAGATCGTGAGGCGCTGGAGATATGCGCACATGACACGTAGAGATAGGCCTCTGCTGCATCAGGATCATGGACACCGTTCTGTTACTGGCGATGCAGGGTTCGGTCTACTCGCAGCTTGGACGACCGCCTGCAGGCTCGCGTGCTCGCTTACTATCACAGAGTCCGCAGAAGCTCTCGTCCTCGAGCGACCTCGCTGGGTGATAGCCCGAAGCATCTATGAGAGCGCCATCTTCGCCTTCGCCACCACCTTTCCACTCTCCACAAGCTCCTCCGTCCATGCCTAAACTCCACTTCAGGAATCTACCCAGCTTCGCCTGCATCGTCTCGATCCGCTCGATAGTCGTATTGTTGATCTTGTGGAGCTCCGTCAAAGGCTTCTGACCGCAGTCGGCCTCAAGACGTCGACGGAGCTCGCGTTTCTCTGGTGTCGCCCACCATTTCGCCCGATCTGTCTCGAGTGACTCGACAGCGGCCGCCAGCAGACGTAGAATCTCCAGCAGTGCTTCTGGGATGCTTTCGCGGTTGGTACTGGCTGCTTCGTTCTTGGCGTACTCGTCGTGAGATGCTTCGACTAGGAAGTTGATGTCCGTGATTTATGCCTCGAGTGGCTTTGGCCAACGTGCTTGCGCAGCGGCCAGCTTGATACCACAGATTTGACACATTCTGCTTGGGAGTGAACACGCTTCTGTGTGGTCGAGTCGCCAATATGTGCTAATGCTTCGAGGCGTCGAAGTCGACTTTCGAGGTCGATTACGAGGGCGAGATCCTCTTCTCCTGAAGTAACGGCCATTTGAAATACCACGGCTGCGGAGTCAGTCACTTACGAGGCACCTACTGCAGAAGAAGAACGGCCAATGACGGATTTCGTATGGTTGCGTCAGAGACCAAGACTGTAGTGGCGAGAGATAAAGTTGTGAACAAGAAGTGCTTGGACCTGCGCCTGCGGTAAGGCAGCACGCGCATATTCACTGTTTAGCCCTGACATACACTCGGTCTATCTAAACATTCACCTACGCTGGCTAGCACACCACTGCCCAAAGCGGCCTGGGCATTTCGCCTTTGTTCAGACTCGGTCGCCGTGTCTGCGGATCAAGTCTCAAGCCAACATATGCTTCACGCCGCGCCGGATTGCCGGTGGTGACGGACCAGGTCTGCAGGCCGTAATAAGCGGCAATGCTGTGGACGAGGTAACGACTGCAACATGAATCAGCGGATGTTCGAGGACGTTCAACAGTGGATCTCCCATACCCGAAAGCTGCACCATGATCATCAACCAGACTCTGGAAGATGAGCTTGTCTTTCTCCAGCGTCTCCTCGTCCTTTTCCCGCTGCCTCTCATCACTCATCACACCATTGCGACCAACGAACACAATCTCCTCGTCTTCACTATCAGGATCTATCAACCCTTCCTTCTCTAGCTCCGCTTGCTTGGCTTCCCACTGCTCGATGAAGCCTCTTACTTCCGCCTCAAGGTCCTGCAATAGACCCTTCGCGCCACGAGATTTCTTGAGCTTCGTGCGCAACTCACGCGTCACCTTCTGCACCTCGGCATCTTCTTTGCTCTGCGGTGCCCTGGCGGCTTCTGCTCGCTTTTGCCTTTCTCGTGCTGTGCGGGCGTATTCGGCGTCCCACAGTGGGGCAAGGAAGTACGGTACTGTCTGACGTGGGTGGGTAGGTTGGACTTCCCAATCGCTAGGGAGCGGCGGCTCTGCCCAGGGATTGGACAGCAGTCGATCGTTCTCCCATTTCTGCCTCCGTCTACTACCTTCTTTGCCCTTTAGTAGCGCATCTCGGCGATTCAAGCTGTCGCGTCTAACGGGCTGGCGCCGCTTGTATACTGTGTGGACAGCTTCAGCTCGAGAGCGAGGAAGTGGGTCCTGGTCGACGCTGTCGTCTAATGGTATATCGATCGTCACCGTCGCACCGCGTGGCGTTCGTGCTTTCGGCGTAGGCGATTCGATGGAGACGGCGCCGACAGCATCCGCAACTTGCGATACGGCCCAAGCCTCGACTCGCTCAATGGATGAAGGGGCCGCCACGCGTTCTGGCGTCTCGAGCTTGGTTTGGAGGCTCATGATGGATATCTGGATTCGAACAACTTGCGGGACTATGGATGCAACAGTCTATACAAGGACACAGCGATAGAAGAGTATGATGGTGAAAGATGCCTGGGACAAACACCTGATGGTCATAGTCACCATCTCGTATCGTCATCTGGAGGGGCCGTTTACGGGTCAGATTGAGATCTCCGGGAGCCAATCAGATCTCGTGCTGGCCACATGTTGGCGGATGTCTCTTCCGTCTCATCTTTGTGACTCGAGTCCCTGTCTCCAGAGTCATCTGTATAGGGATTGTTGGGAATGATGGCAAGACTCACACAGACGGCCACGCTCGCCCTCATACACGAGACCAAGTCACCTCGCGGCCTCGAGGAATTACAGCGTCTGCTTCATCTTCGACACTAAGCTATGCGGGTGACGGTGCATTATTACAGCATGCTATTGCTGGAAAGGAGGGCTTTCGACCTTTAAAACCCTCCCAGGCACCACTACCGATCGAAAATGCGGTCCTAGGCAGTATGCAAGGCACGACTACGGCGCGTGTGCACGTTTGGCCGGCCACTGATCCTTCTGTTATCTTGCCGTTCGTTCCGAGAAGATCGTCTCCACGTGGTTCCAACTTGGCAAGCAATTCGCTCGAGAGTCGAAAGTATAGGGTGCGCATCGTTTGTGTAGCGTATGCAGAAAGAGCTTTCGCAACCATGAATCGTGGTAAGCTGCGCAGTACTTATATGAGTGCCAAGTACCGCCAAGGTAAGCTTGTTCCCTCATTATTGTACGCGGCACACGACACTTGCAGTGCGAATTACTCGTCATTATGGCGTTCAGTTCAGATGACCAAGACTATGCGGGCGAGAAGAGGTTCGCCGGACGAGATGTCCAACCTGCTCCGGACAATGCTGTCGCCAATATTGACGACCCAGAGGCACCCTCCAAAGAAGTCTCGTCCAAACGGCAAAGTATCAGCGATCTGTTCACGATATTCTGCGCCGGATTTGCGCTCATCAGCGATGGCTACCAAAACAGCTTAATGACCATGACGAATGTTGTCCTCAAGGCCGAGTACGCGAAACAATACACCTCCAAGTGGAGCACCCAAGTCTCTAATGCTCTTCTTGTTGGCGAGATCTTTGGTCAGATCATCATTGGCTTGACGTGCGACTATCTTGGACGAAAGACTGCGATTATTGTTACGACGCTGATGATTGTCTTCGGCGGTATCCTGGCTACTGCTTCGAATGGCCATACCATCTACGGCATGTTCTGGATGTTGACTGTGGCTCGAGGCATTGTAGGTTTCGGGACGGGGGGTGAGTATCCTGCGTCATCAACTAGTGCTTCGGAAGCTGCGAACGAGAGCCGCTTGTCACAGCGTGGACCTATCTTCATCCTGGTCACGAACCTGCCATTGTCCTTCGGAGGTCCCTTGTCGGTCTCGATCTTCCTGATCGTTTTGTCGGCCGCTGGCCAAGCCAGGTTGTCCACGATATGGCGGGTCTGCTTTGGTATTGGTATCATCTTCCCATTTACCGTCTTCTACGTAAGTGATCCAAGGCATGTCGACCGCACGCGTTGCTGATCATACGTGAATAGTTCCGCTTGAAGATGCTTAACAGCAAGCTCTACCGCCGTGGAGCCATCAAACGTAGAGTACCATACCTACTTGTCTTACGCTACTACTGGAAGTCTTTGATTGGTACTTGTGGAGCATGGTTTTTGTACGACTTTGTAAGTTCAGAGCGGAGCTTTTTGCTTCACAGACAAGGGCTGATATCTGGGAATAGGTCACGTTCCCCAACGGTATCTTCTCTGGCCAGATTATCTCGTCCGTCGTCAACAAGCACGACAATATTCGATCCACCGCGGAATGGCAGCTTCTTCTGGGCACCCTCTCATTGCCAGGTGTGTTCATTGGCGCTCTTCTCTGCAACCGTCTTGGGCGAAAGAACACCATGATGCTCGGTTTCGCGGGCTATCTTGTCTTCGGCCTCGCCGTCGGCTGTTCTTATGATAAGGTCACCAAAATTGTACCGCTCTTCGTCATCCTGTACGGCTTGATGCAGTCGAGTGGCAATCTTGGACCTGGGGATATGCTTGGCCTGCTATCGTCCGAGTCTTACGCTACTGCTGTAAGAGGGACATGCTATGGTATCTCTGCTGCCCTTGGAAAGACTGGCGCAGCTGTTGGCACGCAAGCATTTACGCCAATACAAACCCATCTCGGCAAGCGGTGGACATTTATCATCGCTGCTATTTGCGGTGTGGCTGGTATCCTGGTCACCTTTTTCTTCGTGCCCAATATCAAGGGAGACGATCTGGCAAATGCAGACGAGAAATTTCGACTATACCTCGTCAGCAAAGGCTGGGATGGCGAGATGGGAGAGGACGATCTTAAAGCTCTCGCGGATCAGGGCATACCCGAGAGCGTTATGGAAGACGCGGAACGAGAAGGCAGCATTGCCAAAGCCATGTAGATGATCTGACATGAGATGGTCTGATTTCAACACTACGCCTTGTGCGCTCCACCACTCATTGCCTCCTCATACTCCAGATCTGGCTGAAACTCCCAGTACAGAGCCTCAGGGTCACTGGCCATCTCGAATGTATACTTCGCCGCCTCTTCAGGCACATAGACCTTCGGTATGCCATTTGCGGCAGCAGCGTCAACTAGAAGCTGGACTTCGCAGCTTCGCTCCATCAATGTGTACATGTAAGCGGCCTCGTCCACCGTCGAACCAACCGTGAGTAGACCATGGTTCCGTAGAATCATGCCTTTGCCGCATGGTCCGAGCGCTGCAGCTAGTCGCTCACCTTCTTCAGCACTGAATACGACACCTCCGAACTCTTTGTATACTGCCTGAGCGGCGCCATAGAAGTAGGTAACATCTTGATTTAGCATCTCGAGAGGTCGTGCAAAAGCTGAGTAGGCTTTCCCTGCTGGACTATGGGTATGGCATGCAGCAGTCTCCAATCGTCAGCCGCAATCAATAGCTTCGAGGAATACCGGTGCGACTTACAACGTCAGGACGTGCTTTGTGGACGGCGCTGTGAATCAGGAAGCCCGCAGCATTAGCTGGCCGCGACATGTTTCCACCAATAGCTTTTCCATCATAGTCTACCAGTATCATATCATTCGCTTTGAGTAGTGCAAAATGTCGTCCGAGACTGAAGTGGCGAGACGTATGTCAGTTGCAGGTCTCGTCAAGACGAAAGTCGTACTGACGGGTTTGTCCAAAAAGCATGAGGATGTTCTGGATCTCGAACGCTGATGTGGCCGGACATGCCTTCTGTGTATCCTTTGCGAGCGAACACTCGGAAAGCAAGAGCCATATGCTCTAGCATCCACTCGCGATGACCTGCAAATGTGGGATGCTTCGGGATACCTTGATCACATTAATTTTGACATTCATGCTCTTATGGCTCGATCTGGTCTACCTGGCAACGAGACGCCTTGTGAGATCATCTCTAGCGCAGACTTCTGCTTGGGCTGAACTTCATTATTCTTCGTAGGTACAGATTTGGCCGTGATATGAGAGTCTGATTCGGTGTATGTCGACACCGCTGATGGAGCCATTTTTGATGGTGAAAACGAGGATAAAAACTTCGCAGTGAGTCAACAATGAGGTATTAGCAGCTGTTGGGTTTCAGCGTTCAGGAGATGTCAATGATGAAGTAGGGAAGAGCTTGATTTGTTGGTCGTCGAAGGGCGTCGTTTAACGAAGTCTTGGTATGGGGTTGACGACCGGGCCGGTCGAAATGTGGAGCTCATGCATGCTGCATCTTCACTATGTTCGTCAACACTCACGTAACGGTAACTCTGCCAGTATCTCCATCCTATGAGACATGAGGAGCGCAAGTGGGTGGTTGGCGACATACGTGCCTCGATGAGTTGCTCAAAGCACAATTCGACTCGTCCAATCTGCATATCAATCCCGTGCCGAATAGACAACTGACATACTCAACACTCATCGAACCCAGAAGATGGTAGGCAAATTCGTGTGACAGCCATCATGCTACGCTGACTGCTCAGAACATCGTCGAAGCCAGCATTGGCGACCTGCAGCATGCCTTGACGACGGGGTCGGTAACCAGCGTCGAGCTTGTAACAAAGTATCTACAGCGCATCGTCACATATGACACTCGCGGACCTTGCCTCAACTCGATAGTACTATTCAACCCCAGAGTCTACGATGAAGCCGCTGCCTCTGACGCCAGACGCATGTCTGGGCAGGTCGTTGGCCCGCTCGATGGCATACCTTACACGCTCAAGGACAGCATGATGTATGTAGGCATGACTTGTGCTACTGGCTCGCCTGCTTTCAAGGATCTCCAAGCAAGTCGAGACTCCTTCGTCGGCCAGCAACTTCGCAAGGCAGGAGCGGTGCTTATCGGGAAGACCAACACGCCACCCATGATGGCTTCCGGCATGCATCGTGGGCTCTTCGGTCGGGCAGAAAGTCCATATAACCTCGACTACCTTACCGCTGCTTTTTCATCCGGATCATCGAACGGTTCCGCAACTTCGACGGCTGCCAGCTTTGCAGCGTTCGGACTTGGATCGGAGACAGTGTCTTCGGGCAGATCCCCTGCATCGAACAATGGCCTTGTTGCATACACGCCGTCGCGGACAGTGATCTCGCCGCGTGGCATCTGGCCTCTATATCCGACCTGCGATGTTGTGGTCCCCCATACACGGACGGTCGCAGATATGCTCGCGGTATTAGATGTTCTGACAACAGAAGATGCCATCACTGAAGGCGACTTCTGGCGTCAGCAGAAATTTGTCGATGTGCCAAGAGTGGATCGGCCGCAGTCATGGTCTACGCTCAAAGAGGGTTCTACAAATTCATTGCAAGGCAAACGCGTCGCAGTCCCGGCCATGTACATCGGCGGAAAGATTGCAAATGCCAAACCAGTAACGACGTCCCCTGAGGTACTGGAGCTGTGGAAGCAAGCTCGTCTTGACTTGGAAGCATTGGGTGCCACAGTGATCGAAACAGACTTCCCTCTAGTTACAAAGTACGAAGATGACTCGGCTTCAGGACACGCAAACAATGTGGAAGGATTCAAGCCCGGCTGGAACAGTGTGGAACGCGGCGAGCTTGTAGCATATCTTTGGGATGACTTCTTGAAAGCGAACGGCGATCCTGGTTGTCCTGATCTCAGTTCTGTTGATGGCAGCCAAATGTTCCCAGCTCGTCCCGAAGGCTACCTTCCGGATCGTTGGCTAGAGACAAAGAACTTCATTCACTATCCTTCCCTGGTAGAGCTGGCACGGAAGCGTCATGGCAAGTCGATATGGAGCATCGATGGTATCGCTGAGGCGCTTCCAGCTCTCGAGGCGGGACGCAAGCGTGACCTCGAGGACTGGATGGATGCCAACGGTATCGATCTTGTTGTCTTCCCAGCGAATGGTGATGTTGGTAAGGCTGATCTGGAGAGCAACGGAGAGAGTGCAAGGCATGCGCTCCAGAACGGTGTCAAGTACAGCAATGGCAATCGTGCTATCCGACACTTCGGCGTGCCGACCGTGTCCGTCACGATGGGTCTCCTGAGCAAGTCTTGTATGCCGGTCAATCTTACATTCGCGGGAAAGCATGGCCAGGATAGTGATCTGCTTCGTTATGCGTACGCGTTCGAGCAGCGAACCAAGCGGAGAATAATGCCTCCTGTAACACCAGCCTTGACGTCGGACCATCTCGATCTCGGCCGGAAGGAAATGAATCCCAGCTCGCATCGTCCGCAGCTTAGCCTGTCCATGGTCGCTGCCCGACGAAGCGAGCCTGAAAAGGCCAGCGTATCAGGGGAAGTGCAAGGTCAGCTCGATGACGATGATCTAGTACACGTGTCCCTGTACGTAAAGCATGCTGACAAGGATATGAGCCTTCCGTCGGTAGAGCTTGATGGTGTGAAAGGTCGCTGGAATGTCGACGTGGACATAGTGGAGTTCATGCCATCTCGGCCAATGTATGGTGGGTATGGTGAAGGTGTCGAAAAAGTCGTCATCGTTGTCATGGCGAAGAGCAAAGCAGGAATTGCAGGCAAGTTGATGCTGCTCGAATGAGGTGCAGCAGTGATAGCACGACAGACACCGAAAGCGATCTGGCACAGGTGTGGGATGGAGATGATAGAGTACTTCAACAAGCAACGGTAATTGAGGCAGCACTTGCGCTCATCTATTGTACTTCGAACCATAACCACGTATCTATCGTTACAATTCTGAAAAGTAAGCCTAAGGCTTATACAAGAAATCCCAAAACTAGCAGGGGTATAGAAGTCGAAACAGATCTTTTTACGATGAAGGGCCAACATTGATGCCGGGGCCAACAAGGTTGACAACAGGGTTGAAGTTCTGGTAGGTGCAGTAGCCTTGTACCACTTGCGAGCTCTTGCCGGACTGGACGGCTTGGCCGTTGCGCATGATGGCAACTTCGGGTGTGACACCGTTGCCAAGATCAGATGGGAAAGGAACCATACCGGTGGCGGGCCCGTTGTTGTCGGCCTCGAAGGTCCAGTACTGGTTGCTGCCAACAGACATGGAGATTGTAGACTTCTCCTTCACAAGAGCCCATGCGAAGACGGCATCGTCAGGGTATTGAGCATTGCGCACAGCCGTGGAGGAGCCGCCGGAGCAGGTAGCACCCTTCGGATGAATGCGATGCCAGAAGACAACCTGGTCCATCGTGATGGCAGGTGGCGAGCCGTTCTTCCACCACGAGATGTAGTACTTGGCGATGATACGCCATGGTGCGTGGTTCTGGCCCCAGACGTATGTACCCATGTCTCCGAGCACCACGTAGTCCTTAGCAGAGGTATCTTGCTGGTTGGGCAGATCGCGCAGGTAGTGCGACTCGCAGAAGTCGTTCCAAGTCAGAAGTTCAATGATGTCTGGCTTGACATCATCACCAGTGAGCTGCTTGAAGCGATCGTCGAAGAGGGTATCGCTGTAGGCAACCCACGTATCAAGCGGGTTGCCGTTGTTCAGATCCTTGTACTGCCAAGGTGAGACACCTGAGACATGTATTAGCCCAATCTCCGCTGCTCTGGACTTTCTCGCTTCGACTCACTCATGATGTACGGTCCGGTCTTGCCTTTAGACTTTAGCGCAGACTGGAAAGCCTGGTCCGGAGTGGCAGTGATGTTGTTGCCAGTGTTCAACGGCCAAGCCTGCCAGTCGAAGTATCCATCAATGGACGAATAGTCGTTCATCAACTTATTGGCAGCACCCGTGGCATCGTCCTGGGCAGCTAGAGAGTACGTTGTAAGGGCGGGCGCGAGTGTAATTGCGTTAGATCCGGACAGACTGCTTTTGAGGCCGGCGAAGAAGTCATTGCCATACTGCTGGACTTGGTCGCCACCATAGGTAGACACCAAGATGTTGCTGTTCCAGCGGTAGGTTGCCGAGTTGCCAGCGTACTTCGAAATCATCTCGCCCATGAAAGTCTGATTCCAGTAGATGTTGCACGTGCTGTAGCTCATGTCGAAAGAGTACATGAGCTTGAAGTTCATGGCGGCGGCAGCAGTGAATGCATCATCAATGCGGTCCACTGTCCAGCCAAGACCACCCTGGCAGTCCGGTGGAATCCAGTTGAGCGCAAACCCGTCAATACCGATCTGTTGCGCAGAAGCGATATCTGTCTTCCATTGGCCGACATCGTATGCGTAGGCATTCTGAACCATGAAATGCGCGAACACGTCGGCGGCGGAGGCAGCTCGGACGACAAGCGCCGCCGCGGCAGCTACGTTAAGAGTAAACATGATGATATTGTGATGTGCTGTATGTTGATTCCTGATGGCGTTGAGCTGAAGGCTGAAGGTTGACCGGTAAATGAGTGTAGTTTCGAATCTGAGAATGAGTGTTGTGAAGGAATGGACTGCTCTTCAGAGCATAGAAAATGAATGTTAGTGAGGCAACCAGGCCCAACCTTCCAGAGGCGCGAGTATCGCCGTGAACGATGGTGTGAGTGCGTGAGGTCCAGGTGGTAGGAAGACAAGACAGAAGAACCAGCGGAAGAGGCAGAAGTAAAGGTACCAGTGGTATCCACACGAGTCACGCTCGGGTCGCCAACCAACAGACCGGGGTGGCCAGCCCTGTTCATCATCACGCTGGTGCTGTTACAAAACGGTCTTTGTTATCTTCCACAAAGATAACTCTAATACTGCGTGGAGGCGCAAAACTGGTTTCTCGGCTGATAGTTTCCTTGTCAAGCCTCTTTGTTTCTAGCGACGCGTTGGCGTACGAGAGCAGTTCGAGGAAGCTGTGGGCCTGTCGTTCACGGGGCTTCATCATCAACATCATGCCTGGATCACGCCTTGATGAATCGAGGGTAATACTCATTGAGATGTAAATTAGACACTTCCGTCCGCCACGATAATCACCGATTAGGCCCATCTAAGCATCCTCCAGGAGTAGAATGCCCTCCAATATCCCACGCCCCACCCGTCCTGCCTCCTTGTGTTCCCTAAGATCCGCATACCAAAATTGCACGGGATTCAGAGCGGCGAGACTGCATGAATCTCCGCCACACCATGCTGAAGAGAGTTGAGATCAGGGGCAAGACATGCAGCGGTCCGTCCCTTCGGCGGCTGCAAGGACGCGGATCCTGGCTGGACAGCAAGTAGCGCGGTTTCAGCTAAACGCCTTATACAAACATAAATCGGCGGCTCGGTGCAACCAAGAAATGAGCTCCACGAGTGAGACCGCCCAGGTCGTAGCTGCATCGACATGTGATTGCTGCAGACTCGCACAAAGGCGCATCCGCCAGTCTTCACGAGTGCAGCAAGCATCGCACCTTGCATGCCATGTGCAAAAAGTGTGTTACGAGTGACACTTTTGTACTAATGTTCAAAGTCTATCTTTCAGAATCTATTGTCGGACGTGAAGAGCAGGAGGGCTAGACTGTGCCGAGCCCACAGCCCCAGCAGACCCACCGTAGTCTGCATGGCAAGGATTTCCATCGCCAGCCGATCCTCACGAAGAGGACCTCTCCAAACCAGCCACAGATTGAGTATCGTAAAATTGCTGGTTTCAGTCACCCGGCTCTTGTCATCGACAGCCACACGCACGATGTTGGCCTTGTCCAGTAGCTTCAGTATTTCCCCGACGACCGGTCTCAACGGCTTGTCTTCGGTAAATGTCGCGACTGAAGGTTCTAGTAGTCCTGTCCTTGCGTTGAATCTTGGCAGGCGATGCCTTGGACAGGGTACAATCTTGAATAGCTGTGGCGCGGAGTAGATGAAGTTGAAGATTTGCGGGATGAACAGCAAGAGTAAAGTCTTGCTGAAATGCCCAAGTATTCCGACGACTGCAAAAACCATGCCAGCGAAGTAACAGTAAGTGTCTCCGACGAAGACTTTGGCTGGGAACCAATTGTGCCGAAAGAGTGCCAATGAGACACCAACGAACGGCAGCAAAAGATAGATGCTGAAGAGATGTGAGTCTGCCGCAGGATGCGGCTGGTGCACTGTTGGTGAAAGGTATAACACATCGTTCAGTAAGATCAGGCATGCTATGACGATCGATTGTCCGACTTCGATGCCGTTGACTCCAGCAAGAATGTTGATGCAGTTCGGACAGAAGATCGAGACAGCGCCCATGTAGAGGTAGTATAGGCCACCGAGATCGATCAACTCTCCCACTCCTAGATATTGACGTAAAGGTACCGGCACACTGACATGCGTTACGCCAAAGTCGACGAAATAGAGTGCCAGCATTGGAAGTGCTGCAAAAGCCGGGATGAAGAACTTGTGTCGCCATCGCATGTCGAACAGATCGTCCAGGATACCCAGGATCGTGATGGATGCAAGCGTTGCATACGCGAAGCCATATGAAGCCAGCTACAATTCGTGTCAGTACAGTATGTGTGGCTATCGTTGTCATCTAGCATACCTTCTCAAGTGGGAAGCGATGCAGGAATCGACCATTATCAACGCTGCCCTCCTCCAGTATGCGCTGCTTGTCACCATTCCCAGATGTAGATTCAACGATATGTTGCTTGAAAGCAAAAGGCAAGAAGCTCACGAGCACTAGTAGATACACAAGTGCGCATATCAGGCCCATGCACTCTGGTCTGCTAGGTGATCAGCTCATATCGTTGACATCTCCTTTGCATAACAACCCACATCTCTACAGCATTCTTCTTCGATAGATCGCGACCCTTGAAGCCTCGCTTCATGAATACATCGCCACTCCATCGTATGAGCGCATACGCGAATGCAAATGCAATCCCGCTAACGGCCAATGAGGCGAACAGGGGCTCGCCATCATTCTGCCAGGTGTTGACGAGGACTGCAAGACAAGCTACTGCAAGAAAACCGAGTGAGTATCCCTCGGTACGGCTCAGCTCTTGCATTCTTGCGTTCCGCACTTATGACCCGCAGGCAAAATATGAATGCATTGGGTAGACAAGTGTCCAATTGTGGATGGAGAAGTAAGGTTGATAAGGATCAGCCACGAACTAACGCACGGTGCAGCTCACACGTCAGATCTGGGGACTGTATGTGCACGTCCATCGTCAAGATCATGGATGCGTGCCTATGTCAAACGAATAAACACCATCGGTCGCAGTCCAGAAGATATGGGATAGTATCGCTCATGCTACGCTATAAAACAAGGCAGATTCTGGAAAACGGTATGGTAGCGACCATAGCATGACCATGACGCTCTTGTTTCTCCCAGGCCATATTCCAACCTGCCATGGCGGAACATAATGGTTTCCACCGTCTATCACATGGCCATAACGATCTAGTGCTTGCAACTGCCTTTAACCTGTATGGAACTCGCATGGCCACAGCCTCTTCGGACCACCGCGTCAAAGTCTGGGACTTGCACGAAGCCACAACTCAATGGATCGTGACCGATGTCTGGACAGCTCACGACGCCGAAGTCACGGACGTGAGATGGAACGGTCCCTACGTAGGTGAACACATAAGCACCATTGGCGAAGATGGCCTACTGCGTCTGTGGGAAGAGGATCTCACACAAGCTCCTGGGTCTGGAAGGAGGTTCAAGAAAGTCTTCGAGCTGGTTTCCCCGACGGGCGTACCATTCATGTCCCTGGACCTCAAAAACATTGGAACCGAGACTTATCTGGCGGCCGCCACGCGAGATGGCTATCTGATTGTCTGTGAACCTGAAGACCACGATGACCTCTCTGCTTGGAAAGTGCTTTGGTCAGAATACCTCTGCATGACACCTTCACGCGCAGAGGAGACTGGCTTCAGACTAAGCTGGCATAAAGAGAAGCTGCCAGCCTGGCCCGCAATCCTCGCCGGTCTGGATCGCAAGAGTCTGAGTCTTGCGGTGGCGGTGGGGAACGTTGTCAAGATCTTCCGTTCCGACCACGACCGCAAGCTCTACACTGCTGCTGTGCTAGAAGGCGCGAAAGATCTGGTACGAGACGTCAGTTGGGCGAACGGCAGCTGTCGTGGTCACGACCTCATAACTTCCGCTAGCAGAGACGGCTGCATAAGGATCCATGAACTGCATACGCCTGGGGCCGTATCGCTGCCGAAGTCCGCCACTATCACGTCCGTGGCGAGCCGCCAGGAAGCAGGTGTTCGCACACCGACGACGAAAGCCACCACTACCTCTGGCATCGGTGCAGGACTCGCAGGAGCAAGAAATAAGCGGAAGGATGTCACTGCCCAGCCTGCTGGAGTGGTGAAGCAAGAAGCCAAGCTCGTTGCAGAACTGTCAACGCATAGCGGAGCACCCTGGCGTGTGAACTGGTCTCCAATGGGCGATCTACTGATTTCGAGCGGTGATGACGGGATGGTGAAAGTATGGAAGAAGGCTATGGATGGGAAGTGGTTGGAAGCTGTAGAGATAGACGCACTAAGGGATATCTGATCCCATCCAAGCGAGTTCACCTAATCAAGACGAGCGGGATCTCATTACCCGGCTGAAATGTTGACACCGTGTACGTAAATGGAGAAGTGCTGACACGGCCATGATTTCATGCTCTACCTGACAATTTTCCTATTCCAAGGATGTGCTTACAAGCAAACACATTACAACGCCTCGCTAAACCCTGATCAACTTACACACACCTCTCCATTGTTCCTGTTCTGCCCCCACCAAAGCCTCCTACGTACGCACGCGACCCGTATCACCTTCCCCCAAGCACACCCAAAACCTCCTCCGCCTCCCTCCTCTTCTGCTCCAGCAGATCCTTTCCCCGAACAAGACTAGTAAGGCAAGAAACCACAACCTCCACATTCTCCTCACTCCCCAATACCATCCTCTCCCCCTTCCTCTCGCTCTCCCTCACCCACACAGCGCAAACAAACACCATATCCCCCGCCACAACCCTCCTCTTCGTGCCAACAAACGGATGATCGCCAGAGAAATAAATGCTCTCCAAAGCCGGAAGCAACATCTCACACGGCACGCCCACACCGAGCAGAACATCCACAGCCCAGTGCATTGGAGGCGAATGCTCCTGCGGCTCAATCGCAAAGCGCTCCAACATCGTCAAGATCTTCGAGACAGGAAATGTAGCCTCCGCAAGGTCGAGACGACGACCCATCTCAATAACCTTCGATCCAACCCTCTCCCACGGCAAAGGCCCACCCGAAGGCGCAGAAGCGACAGCGCGATCCCGTTCAGACCGAATCAGTTGTTCCCAGTTCGAGTCCACATCCCCCGGATTCCTATGATCCGCGACATGGAAGATGAGGAGATTGATATCATAGTAACCCGCCTGATCAGCGAACTGATGGAAAAGGTCCGTTACGCTTAGAATCCCTTCCCCTCGCTCCAAGCTTTCGAGGACGGCCTGGCGGCGTTCACCCTGTAGCCGGGAATCGGCTTTCATGCGCTGCAGGATATCGTCTTGGATGTTGGCTACGTCGAGAAGATCCGAGATCTCACGCAAGAGTTGTTGTTTGCTCTGCCGACTATCCATCAATGCTGACGAGCGCGTGGAAGCGTTCGTGCGGGCGCGGCTGAGATAGCCTATTCGCTCTTCTAACGTAAGGTCGAAGTAGCCCTTGGCGAGATCTAGTTGCGTGGCGGCGGCTTGCAGGTAGTCGTTGTGATGGGCGTAGTAGTGCCAGAGCAGATCGGCATGCTCTCGATCGTCCTGGCTCTTTCGTTTGAGGTAGTCGATGACGTGTTGCGTGTCGATGTTGAGGAGGCGGTTTGATTGGCCGTTGGAGACGTACCAGTCGTATAAACACGTCTGGAAGACAGAGTCGTCCGAGCTGTTCACCACGTCGTACGCCTCGCTTCGCCGTCTCGCAGCCAGATTATGCTGTCCTTCCGCATCCGCCGGCACGTTCGCAGTCTGCTGATCCAGTATCTTGATTGTCTCGAAGATGAGCTGATAGCATGCCTCCCTTTTGTCGAAGTCAGCCTTCCGCGCATCTCCATCATTCGAACCATCCCGCAACCAAGCCAATGCTCTCTTCGCTCGGTCCCGCTCCTGCGCGACAATAAGACAAAGCTGGATAGCACCAGCATAAAACGACATCTGGATATACTGCTGCACAGCCCACTGCAAATGCTCCCCACTCAGATTTGCAGCGACCTTCTGGAACAGCCTCTGACTCTCATTCAGCAGCACTCGGCCCGTCTCGCTCTGCCCACCAGCCTCCGAAGCACGCTTGACTTGCTCTTGAGCCTTGAAAATGATGACATCCTCCGCACTACAGAAGGAGCCGCAGCGTCGGCGCAAAGCCTCCGCAACAGTATCAACGTTACTACCATTGGCAATATTGCGGTTGACAATAGCTTTCACCAGCTCCTTCGCCAGCTCACGGCCCGAGGCGAAGACGAAGAGTTGCTCGAACGTGAGTTCCATAGCCTTTCTCCTGCTCTCCTCGGACAGTGCGGCCAGAATATCCTCCAGCCGCTCGTCGAAAAGGACGAGAGTGAAGGAGATACCTTCGACGATACTGCTGATGAGCTGCACGAGGCTGTTCATGGCTCGATGTTCGCCATGAAGTGCGATCTCTTCTTGTCTCGAGCCAGGACGACCCATGGCTTGCGGTCCAGCCAGACCTTCGATGAGCGATCGATTGCGTGCTAGGAGCTCGGACAAGGTGTTGAGTTCACGCTGTATACTTCTCAGCTTGTCCAGCGCGATGGTAGAAACCAACTGAGGTGGCTGCCCAGGTTTGATTGCCTGAACAATGACCCTCGCGGGCCAAAGCGAACGCACGAGTCGCGAGATATACAGTGCCAGGCCTTCATGTCTCGGACTCGGTCGTACACTATCAATGGGCTCTGCATTGCGGTCGACGACAGCATTAGAATTATACTCTGCTTTCCCACCATGGTCAATGAAAGCCTTCCGCGCAGCCTCAATAACGTCGGCATCCGTCACAGCGGTGACTCGCGACTCGGACGTGACGTCCATACCCTGCCCGCATGCAACGGCTAGGGCGGTCGCAGCCGTCTCGCCGCGGCCATAAGCTCGCACGAAACGCTTGATATCGCCATCTCGACCCTCGTCGTCTGTTGAGGCATATCGCATCATGCTAGCGAAAATGTCGACGAGTCGTCGCCGTCGGATCGTCTGTACACCATCTGCCGTCATAACAGCGATCTCTGCCGAAGACTTGTCGAATTGCGTTGCTAGCTCGTTGCCGAAGCCCAGGGGCGAATTCGTGGCGGCGAAGGTAGGTGTGACGACTGAAATCATAGAGTGAGGTGATGGAAGGTCGATCCACTGTCCGAACTCCACGAATCGTGAGCTAAGTGCTGAAGTGTCCTGTGGATTCTTGAGGCGTGCGAAGTCGGGCGCAGCGCAGAAGACACGTTCTCGTCGTGATTGGTTCGGATCTTGCTGCTGGAAGGCTAGAAAGTAGCCAGGTGGTAACCGATGTGCTGCTTGTGTTGGGCAGAGCATCTTTGACGAAGTGTCAATAGTGCCTTGTGGGCCACTATAGGGCTGCACAGCGGTCGAGCTGGAGGCCGCTTGCTGCTGTGACGGGGGTGCGTTCGGATCTCTGGGCGGGAAGCGGATGTGTAGAATCTGCATACTGCTCGGTGCATTTTGTGCATCGGCCTGTCCGCCATAGCCACGAGTAGCTGACAAGTACAACCTGCAGCCAGTGTTTGTAGTGGCCATCACACTCAGCTTCGACGCCTCGGTCGCTGGGATGGTGCTCAAATCGACTATCCGCACATCTTGCGAGTATAGCAGATCCGTCCGTCCAGTAAAGTGTCCAGTATTCTGCAGCAAGCTAGCCAGCGGTCTCGAAAGCGCATGCTTAACACGCTCCTGGACCAGCCAAACCTTGATCTCGCTGTTGTCGCTAAGGGTGTAGAGAAGATCGCGGGTATCGTCAAGCACCAATCTCCTCAGAATTTTCTGTCTCGAGCTCGGTCCAAAGTACTGCCCGACCGTCTTGATGGGCGCAGGCACGAAATCGTAATTACTCCTCGTATGACAGATCCTTGCACACTTCCCTCTGAACCAGCCTTCCTCCTGTTGATACTGAAACTCGTAGATATCCTCACTCCCAGCATCGAGGAAGAAGATCCGGCCAGTCTTGGCTGAGGCCTCAATCTCGCGCACATTCAGGCCCTTGGTATGGATCGACATACGCGTGTTATAGAGTGCAACAGTCTTCGCACCGGTAGAGGTCACCTGAGTGGCCACACCGAGCAAAAGCATAGTATCACTCGTCGCAACCACGAGCAGATGGCTGATATCCTTGACAAAAACACCAGGCTTGGGCTTGATGAGCTTGACGGCCGTGATGGGATGGGTGTTCTCCTCGTAGCCTATCAGTTCTGGGTTTTGTACTGTGTAGTCCCATAGGTACAAGCAGTTGTCCATCACCGCCCAGCAATGGCTCAACCCCGGCATTACTCCCATCTGTAGGCCACCCACTGTCTGATTCGCCTGCTCGATGACGGCAGTGGGCAAGTCGTACATGCGCAACTTTTGAAAGGGAAGCCATGCTGGATTTATGGGCAGCTCATATTCTCCACTCATGCCCTGCGATACCAGGCTCTCGAGGTCAGGGAAGCGCTGCTCCTGTGCCAATGTCTCATTGACTGTCCGAGCCGCGCGCTCGATGGGCGAGATCTGGGGTGTGGTCGAGTGGCCGGCATTGGGATCCGCTGCCGCTGGGGCTTGGAAGTTTTGGCGCAGAGTCGCTGCTTGTGGAGCGAATATTGTGGGTGCTGGCGCTGGTGTGTTGATGAAGCCACCCGGGAGGGGTCGCTGTGGGGTCTGTGGCACCACGACAGCAGCCATGGTGTGTGTCTGTTGGGCGAGTCGTCTCCTTTGCGCTATGCAGCGGTGGTGGTGGTGGAGGAAGTGATATCTTGGTGCCAGAAGCGCATTACCAGTCACTCGCTATTAGCATGTGGTGAATGAGTGTGTTATCTGTACAAAGGGAAGGGCGGGACAGGATTTTCGTAAGAAGCCGGTGGCTGGCTTATTCTACATGTATTGTACGTGTCTGCGACAATAGCAGCACAAAAGTTCACTTCCAAGCTCTTGTCGGAGTCGCGTGGATCGCGTTCACATTCACGCACGGACCAGTATGGAGAAAGCTATACAGTGCACATTGGTAAGACTACTGAGCATTCACTCACACCCATTGCATCTCAACACCGCTGAAATGGCTTCCATCATGCCTCGCTCGCTCTTGCGCCTCTCCACCCGCCGTCCAGCCTACATCTGCGCCCACTGCCGCCACTATGCCACCCCATCGGACACGGCAACACCAGCACCAGCCCCAGCACTCCTCCTAAAACTCCGCTCCGACCTCAAAACAGCCATGCAGCAAAAAGACAAACCCCGCCTCAACGTCCTCCGTGGGGTCCTCGCCGAAGTCACAAACGCAGCAAAAACAAACAAACCAATACAATCCGATATGCAACTGCTCTCCCTCCTCCGCAAACGTGCCGCGGCAGCCAAGACAGCGAGTGCCGAGTTCAGTAGTGCAGGACGGCAGGATCTGGTAGAGACGGAGGAGCAGCAGGCGAGGATCATGGAGGACTATGCCGGTGGGGTGGAGGTAATGAGTGGGGAGGGATTGAGGGAGGCTGTGCAGAAGGTCGTTGAGGAGGTGAAGAGGGCGGCGGGGGGGAAGGCGACGAGTATGGGGGATGTGTTGAAGAGGCTCATCGGACCGGGTGGGACGCTGGATGGGAAGCCGGTGGAGAAGGTGGAGGTGTCGAGGTTGGTCAAGGAGATGATGGGAAAGGCTTCATGAGAAGAGGACGAGTAGCTTGGGGCAGCTTGCGACTGTTCACTTCACTCTCCCCTCATTGTCAAAGCTTAGTCCTTGAAACATTACGCCCGTGGCGAAAGATCGCGCAGACGGGTCACCACTCCAAGCGCTTCTAAGGCCGGTGTCTGCGTCACTTGGCCATCCTGTCGGACTACTACGGATCTCCCGATGTGACGATCTCTCTGGCCCAAGGCGTAAGAAACTCTGTCATGATCAAGACAGATTACATGGCGCACTGAGACGATCGAGCTACGAGTCCTATGGCAGGCCGTGGTTGACATGAAAAGCGGAGAGCACCGTTTCGTGAGCTTTGCGGCAATTTAACACATGGATTGCGAACATCGCTTTCCGCGAGATCGGGAAGGCAAGATTATACTGAGAGCGTCTGCAAGGACTTTCGGAAGATCGTTCGGTGGCGGTGTGGGGTTGCTGTTGTGTATAAGATGGATATTGAACAGAGCGAATAGATATCGCTCACTGCAGTCCGTCTACGAGCATCGCATGTCATGGAGAAAGAACGTCTGAGCACATCATTCTAACCATATCGTATCTCAATGCCTCTTGGGCTCCCAACGCTATGTCATGAGAACACGGGCAAATCATCAAAGCAATTGGCTTGTCCCCTTCCAAAATTCAATTGTTGCGATTACAACCTCACGCTTCTCACACAGCTTCAACTTACAAACAGCCACTTACCTGACCATCAGCCACAACATCTTCCAGAGCGCATAATGCATCATGGCTCCGAAGGCGAAGACGAAGAGGGTATGTCGCGCTCTTTAACCTTTGCCCCTAACCACGCTGATAACTTGACGTAGCCTGACCTTAATTTCCCAAAGCCAAGCCGTGTTGGCAGAGGTCACAAGACTGCGCGCAGGCCTTGGAAGTCATGCATCAGGAGTGAAGCAAACGTCTCCGTTCGACGACTGGAGCAAGAACGTCTCAAAAGGTCGCTTCAAATCGTCGCAGAAGGAGAGAGGCAGGCTCGAAGATCTAGCTTTACATATGCTGCGTGAGGGCACTCTACCCGATGCACCTGTTGATGTGAGTGCTTCTGCCATCATATGTTCTGGTACCCGTGTTGCTTGCTGACGATGTCGAAGAGTGTGCCGGACGCTTCTTCGAGAAGTGCGGCGATACGAAGTGCAAATTACTCGACTTGCCACGCGAGCTGAGAGAATGGATCTGGCGCTTGGCAGGTTGTTGAAAGTAAGCTACTACCGATCTACATGCAGCGACGTGTGTGCCTGTCCACAGCCGACGAGATCAGCGAGCGAGAAGAATACTACCCCGAGCATAAAGGTCGGCGCACAACACGTGAGATCAAGGGCCTTCCGACCCGTCCAGCTGTCGCCTTCATCAATCACCAAGTCAGAGGAGAAGTTCTACCAATATTCTTTGGCGGTAATTGCTTCGTGCTCAACATCAAGCAAGCAAGCGACTGCATGATCATACCTTGGCTCTCACGGCAAAACCATTACTTGAACTATCCTATCAGCCACATAGTGATTGAGCTCGACGTCCGCTCAGACCTACCTAGCACTCAGATCCAGCACGGCGAAGTTGTGTTGAGCGGTCGGCGTGGTGAAGATGTGCAAACGATTTGTGGGAGGGCATTTGGCCGAAAAATGCACGTGCATGTTGCGAGCACGGGTATCTTCAAGCCAAAGCCCTGGTGCAGATGTCGCGAGGTCCGCTTTTCTTGTCACTGCAGATTGTTTGCTTGAATTTCTGTGCTGGCAGAAGGCAAGAGCTGCGAAGACGTGTCTCAGCTGCGGTAGACCGTGCCGTCATCAGGCGCGGCGGGGTCTAATAGGCAGTGGGATGGTTCAGACGAAGAGTGAAAGAGCGCTCAAATGCTAATCATGGCGTGACCGGACATTGCGTTCAGTTACCTTAGCCCATGCAAAGGTGTATATGTCAGGCTAATCAGGCAAAGCACTCGGTACTGATTTCACGTCAATGAGACTCGGCTCTTATCATGAAATGTCTTATTATGTGAAGATCTACGTCTGTATGTATCTGTATATGAACACCAATCGAACAACAGATCCCTCTAAATACCAGAATCATGCTGCAAGTAAGCAGGGTTATTGCTGTAGTAGCTCTCCCAAGCGTTACACTGGCTGTCAAAGTCGGATGGAATATTGCCAACATTCTGAATTTGACTAGCCGACTCCAGGAACTGGACGGCGAGACCCTCGTCTGCGTGCCATGCGATATGGCAGTGCATCAACCAAGCACCGGGATTATCTGTCTGGAAAGCAAGGGCCAACCAGCCATTTGTCGGCAGCATGGCGACGTCTCTCCTGGTTGGGTTGTTGTAGTTCAAACTGTTCGCGTCAGCAGCGGTCCAGGTCGTGGTTCCCGTGCCTAGGACGTAGAAGTCATGGCCGTGGAGATGGATGGGGTGAGGCACAGCAACGTTGTAGGGGTTGCCTGCGACTTCCTGGATGACCCAATATGTCCACACGTTCGCATTGGGCAGCTGGATCAGGTTGGAATCTGATGGAAAGCCGCTGCTACCTGTCCTGACGTACTCCAAGGTCGGTTTGTCCCAATCGATGGACAGAGCCGAGCCGTTGATCTGCCAGTACACTGTGATCGAGCCATCATTCTCATTCTGCTGGAGCTGAGATGTGGTGAGCTCGGTGAAGGTACCGGTCTTGCCAATCGGGACATAGGAGTTCCAGTGAGGCACAAGACCTGACTGATCGTTACATGTCTGCGTGTAGCTGTGGGCGGTGCTAATCGGGTTCTCGGTCTCGTGACCAACATAGGCGAACACGGAACGAATGTTGCCGTTGTTGAAGTTGCTACCGCAGCCGGCCTTGTCCTGAATATCGGCACGGAACCAGTATGCGCCAGGTGATTGATCCGCGGTAATGATCACATCGTATCGCTGACCGATACCAATGAACAGAGTATCAACCATGAACGGCTCCACAGGCACAAAATCAGATGCAATCACTTGCATCTGGTGACCGTCCAAGCTGACCACGAAATGGTTGTCGACGGCGGTGTTCATCAACCGAACACGGTGCTTCTTTCCCTGTGTCAATGGCGTAAGAGCGTACTTGCCGCCAGAGTTGCTGGTCATGGAGCCATTGATCAAAGCGTTATCAGCTTCTGGGGGAAGAGCGTTCTGATGCTCAGCAAGCGAGGCGTGGTAGTTAACGGTCTGGTAGTACCAATCGGTCAAAGGAAGCGGGCCAAGCTCAATATCGTAGTTTGCCGTTGCTGGACCGTGGATCATGATCTGGCCAACAACGCCATCACCGTATTGGCAGGAGAAATGGGAGTGGTACCAGGAGCTACCATACTGCGTAGCCTGGAAAGTGTAGGTCTTGGATTGGCCAGGTGCAAGAGGACATTCAGTTACACCGGGCACGCCATCCTGACCATTGTTGTGGTACTGTCGGATACCGTGCCAATGGATCGAAGTACCATTGTTTTGGAGCTTGTTGTTGACGGTCACTGAAATCATGTCGCCCCAGTTCGCCTCAATAGTTGGGCCAGGATATTGGCCATTGATGGCCAAGACGGGTCGTGTGAAACCATCTGGCGCAAGAGTAACATTTGTAATGTCGAAATTGTAAGAGACAGTGCGGCCAGTGTTGGGCCAATTTGTGTCGAAATCTGTTTCGACAGAAAAGCCGCCGGACCAGCAGTTTCTGGAGCTTGGGCTGTTGGTACAAGTCGAAGTTGGCGCAGCTGAGCTGGTCGTGGAAGCCGTGATCGTTCCGGAAACAATGCTGGACAGCGATTTGGTTGCGCTCGGCGTTGCAGTGCTGAGTTGTTGCCATGTGTCGCTGATAGTAGTCGAACAGGCGGAGGGCACCACAAAGCTGTGGTTCGGGTCTGCCTCCCAGTTGATGGTACCGTCACCAGCGACTGTCACATACTTGTATTGTACGGTAGTACCTGCTGGAAGGTTCACCGTCGCTGACCACAATGGGTTGCTGTTGCTGTACTGGTTGGCACTGAGAGCAACGCCGAGTCCTGGACTCCAGTTCCCAAGCTGGGAGATAGATCCGGTGAGGTTCACACTCTGACCCCATGTCGTCGTGACCAACTCGTTGAAGGTCACAGCTACAGAGGAGCAAGTGCCAGAACCGGAGCCCGAGGTCGCCGAGACCTTCACAGCATAATTGAAGCTTGAGTCGTAGACGTAGCTCCCCACTGTCGGCCCAATGAACGAGCATTGGTTAACCCCAGTGTGGAAGTTCGCAGCCACACAACCCGACTGATTATCGCAAGCCTGCATGCATTCTGCTAAATTCGTCGCCGAGTTCGTTGTGGCGATTGTTGGGCCATTGGTGAACCCCGGGCAGTATACTGTGTATTGCACATTGTTGCTGTCGGTATAGACCTTGTTCGCGTAGGTGGGACAAATGGGGGTTCCGGCGCGTTCCTCCAATGCTCCCTGTGGAATCGCAGACGCCAAAACGGTCGCAGCGAAGGCAGAAACGCGAAGACATTGAGAAGGATGCATAATGAAGGTGATTACAATGGACAAACGATAGGGAGTGTGAGCGCAGAGAAATCTGCGAATAAGAAGGACGACCTCGAAAAGGTCCGCAATGGAAGGCCGAGCGGGAGAGAAGCCAGAGAAGAAGGTTGGAAGTTCATGTATAGGGATCTCATACCTGGACAGTGCGATCCACCTAAGCCTGTCGTTCAAGGTCGCTCCCGTATAGTGCAGCAGGGTTATCGGCCGCCGTCGATGCGCTTGACATATAGCGTCTGCTGGGTAAAGTGGGTTTCACATGGCTAAGCTCGGTGACACGAGCAGGAGGGTGGACAAAAGATGCCAGCCACCCCGAGGTGGCACAAGCGATACGAGCGGTGCGGCCCACAGGAAGCGGTCAAAATCAAGAATCATCTCGGAAGGTAAAAGTTGAAGAAGTATTGCAAGGAGGGGTTGGCCTCTGCGAAAGATAGGAGCAATTTGCGAGGAGATCGCTGCTGGCATATCGACCAGGGGCCCGTATCCGAGATTGGCCGGGTCCACTACTGCAGGAACGAAAACATCCCGCTGCGGAAGGTTTGCCGTTTGAGCCGCGTCGCCACCTCTGTCATCTTCACATCTCGAGTCTGTAGCAGAAAGACGTGCAAGGCGCGCCAGAATGACGAAGACGAGGAGGCGACAAGGCAAGAAGAAGGTCGGTGTGACCAATATGGCTGTTGTGCAAGGACAACCACGCGTGAGATACCAAGGCAAGGCCCATAAACCGTCCATCGTATTAGAGCTTCGCGAATACGCCAATGCAAATAGTAGTAAGACACACTCCACCGCACTGCTGCGAGAGTCACAGACTGCATGTCTCCAAACTTCCTACATCGAGGGATCAATTTTCGAATCGCATGAGCACTAAAATCATCGGCGCTATACCATAACGCCTCGCTCGTAGGGAGACGCAAATCATGCAGGAACAAGAAACCACCCATGACAACCCACAAACTACCCCTCTCAGCCCTTGATGAGCATTCGCACAGCCTCCCTAGCAACATTCGCAGTCGCATGCTGCACAGCTTCAGCAGTACCACTCCCTGTTCCTGCTTCCGCACTGCTCGTACCGCCCTCAAGCTCAGGATTAGGGTAGTACCACGCCGTGACCGCAATCAAGATATAAACCATGACGCAGAGCGCGCCTTCAAGATAGTCCGACTTCTCGTCTCTAAGGAAGTTGCCGACCACGATGATGGCGAGGATGAGGACTACAGCGTCGAAGAGCTCGAAGTTGAGGAGCAGGTCTCGGCCGAGTCCCCAGCCGACAAGGATGACCAGGGGCGTGTTGAGTAGAGCTGTCTGAATGCTGGCGCCCAGGACGTGGGAGAGCGCAAAGTTCATCTGGTTGTCGTACGCTTCGTCCACGGCCGTGAGATGTTCTGCAGCTTTTTCAACCAGAGGGATCAGGATGAGACCAATAAAAGCGTCGCTTAGATGGCGCTCCGCCACCATGAAGTCGATCTGCTGCACCAAGAACACAGCCATGAAGCTGACGAACGTGAGTGCAATGAGCACAGCAATGATAGCCTCAGTAGCCGTGAGCTTCGCCTTGGCAAGATCCTTGTGACGATCATGATCGCGTTCTTCGTCGGCCTCGAGGATGTCTTCGTACAAGCCATGATGGCTTCTAGACTGGAACCAGACGTATACGAAGAAAGCGACTAAGAGGATGATAGCGGCCGCGCGTGAGATTCGAGCCGTCTCCATTGTGAGTCGTTCTGGCGTGACTCGACCTCCACTGAGAGAGGTGTAGTAGATCGTAGGGATGACGAGGCCGACGGCGGCGACGAGCATGAGATTACTACCCACTTCGCTGATCGCCTCGTGGAATGTCTGTTGTGGGTGGAAGATGCCGCCGACGAAGAAGCACATGCCTGGACACGAGTTAGTATCCGCATATATAGTTGCATTTATGTGTTGCATACCAAGACAGAAGAGCAGGTTAGCAAGTATCGATCCCAGAATGGCAGCACGAATGACAGCAAAATTGCCGCCATTGGTGGAGATCAGCACCATGAACAAGATGATCTCGACTATACTGCCAAACGTCGTCTCCAGAATCACGCCCAAAACCTTCGGAATCTTCCTCGCCAACTCCTGTCCACCAAAGCCCACCAAGTTCGCGGCCGGTACCATGCCAATGTAACAGGTGATGAAGACCCAAAGCTGATGCTGCGGGAAGCCAAAGTGCATCACCATGGCAGCGATCGTAAATGGCCAGAGGATATTCGTCCATTTCGAAGCAGTCGATGTGGAGCGGTAGCAGATCTGGACGAACTTGAGAGGATTGAAGCCCTTTCTTCCAGACTCTCCATCAGGCTGAACCCAAGGATGTACTACGTGGCCGGCATGATTGATCTTTTGTCCGTTGTCGTTGTAGCGCGGTAGCTCTTTCTCCTTCGTCTGCTTCTCCCTTGAGCCGTCGTAGCCATTACTATAAGGGGCCTCTATCGTGTCGGGGTGGGCGTCTTTCCTGGTGAAAACTTTTGCACGACCTGGCTTTCGTTGTTTCGTCCCGCCGTATCCCTGCTGCGAGGGTGGTCCGTAATTTTGCTGTGGAGGCCCTCCGTTCTCGATTTGAGGGTGTACGCCGTCCATGGTGGTAGGTAGAGGTCGACAAGCTCACGATATTGTCAAGGAGTCTTTGCTGTGGTGAGCTTAAAAGTTGGTCACCACCTCCGCGGATACCAACTCCTATACGATGTATGCTAGGAAGTCTCACGAGTCAAGGAGCGTAAGGGGAATTGTGAGAGGAGGGTGACTCTCAGGTGGAAGGATGTGTTGTCGATGGCATCAGCGTACCATGTTGAAGGAGTGTAATGTGGAAAAGAACAAACGTGGAACGTGATTTACTGTCATCTCTCTCGCTGGACGCTTTGGGCGCCTGGACAGCGTACTGCATGCGTTGCCAAGCTGAGCCAAGAGGAAAGGCTGATGAGGTTTGCCATGTGGAAGCTCCAGACCGCGCGAATCGCTCTCCCCTGAAGGCTGCAGCCGGTGGCATGATCGGGCAACAACGATCTTGAGACATGATGCATCTCATCATAGTCAGTATTGCATCCGCCTACAGTACACATATATCTACGTTAATGATTTCCTACGTATATCTTGTCTCGACAAGCGATGGGTCCATCGAGCTTGTCCCTCGTAGCTTCGGAGCTTGTAAGAGAGAGAGTTTGGTGACAACTCATGCTGCAGACTTGGCGTACGGCAGCCAAGTGCAACAAGCCTCGAATAACAGGCTTCGGGAAACAACAATCAAGGCAACGAGCATATATAGTGAAACGGAACGACTGCAGGCTGGCAGTGCCATCGTGCTATGATCCAGCATGTTTTTGTCACATCGAAGAGATCTATCCAACTGTGTATCTCATAAACCTATCGTACAGCTCCACAGATTGAACTAGTACAAGCGCAAGGACGGCTGAATGTCAGCGCACAGCATATATGTACCACTTCTGAGTTGACTGCCCTCGCGCAGAACGCAGGCACGGTCGTCCCTCACTCAGGTCCCATCATCAGGCTTCGCACTCCCGTATCCAACATTACCACAGAGCGTCCCAACGAACAGTCCACTACCGGGAGCCATAGGATGATTGGGTCCCGCATCATAATACACCAAAGCACCCTCTCCACAGTTTAGCTCCCCAGAGTCGAAATCAACCGGAAACTCGAGCGTACACTTCCCGGTCCGAACATCCCAAAGACTGGCCGCACATCGATCTGCTTCCGCGCAAAGTTGACAACACTGCGAAGCATCGTCCGCAGTGGTCACGAAAGCCGCACCTCCGGTGGGCGTATCGCTCGCATATTCTAGTCCGAACCCATTCGATGCCGATACCAGAGCTGTAGGCGCACAGCGGGCGTCCTGCGTCACGGTCGAGGAAGCAGTAGCCGTGCATGTCACGGTCGAGCCACAGACGCCTTCTGTCGTTGCTGTGGCAGTGGCGATCGCGTAAGCAGAGCCTCCGGATCTCGTGCTGGTCACAGTGATCTGGGAATAAGCGGTATAGTCCGTGTAGGTGCTCGTTACGCCAGTGGCTTCGATGAAGGTATAAGTACCGCCATATGTTGTTGTGAAAGTTGTGGTGGTCGTGCAGGGCGTGGCTCGAGGCGAAAGACCGAGTGCTCGCCTGCTGTAGCCTGTTGGACTTTTGCCGGAGGTCGTGTAGACTGTGTGGTGCGACTCCTTGTAGCTGTTGAGAAGGTCAGCAAGGTCATCCTTCGGAAAGGCTACGCTGGTTTTCTTACACAGTGCCTGATGCTGTGCAATCAGTGGTAGTAGTGGTCAAAGTCGCCAAGGTCTTCGTGCTGCTCTCGATCGTCAAGAAGGTGAAGGTGCCTAAGTCTTTGGGCGTGGTGGCCGTAATGGTCGACACTGGCGTGGTAGTGTATGAGTCCTGCATGTATCGTTAGTCAAGGTCGTCGAACACCACGATCGTCTGAAGACCATACCGTATAAGTTGGGATGATGACTTCGGTAGTGACGGTGACGCAGCTTGCGCCGTCTTGTGGCAGAGCGTACACTCCTACACCGGCCAGTAGGGCCGCAATAGCAATAGACTGCATATTTGGTAGTAACAAACGAATGACTTTCTCTGTCCAAGGGTCGAACGGCGGAGCACAGAGGGAATGCTTTGTACTTGATGTGATTATGTCGTATCGCAAGTCGGGCCCAATACAAGGTAAATCGCTGATCTACCTAACATGAAACCGAATGCTTCCGGCTCTCAATCAAGCGGATGTACGAGGTCGTCGGACAGTGAGAGCGAAGATAAAATCAACCGCAGTAGTGAATGTATAGATAGAAAGAAGAATCGAGCCTCCTGAAGGTTCACAGTCGTCCTCACCTGTACGAGAGCCTTGCCTCCAACAGCAATACTTTTCTGCAGACCGCAATACTCGTGAACCAATGATGAGGAAAATCTTGGTTGCGTTGGTGCAGCCTGAATTCACCCCAGTGTGTCGATCATCGCAAGGTCGTGCAGATCTTCGTCAGGAACAGGAAGTGTCCATGCAGGCACAACACGAGCGCGGCAAGGACCTTACCGCATGCACAATTTTAAAATAGAAACGGCGTGGTTTACAGGATGATGGCATGGATATCATTCTAATACCTATCTCTATTGCCGTGAAATGTGAATCGAGATGGATCATGGATGGCTGTGAGTAGTCTCACTGCACTCCGACACAGCCCTCGCAACCGGCCTCGTATCAGAGCCTCTACTTGATTCGGCTTCACCGACGGCCTACCATCCCAGTTCTTCAACTGCTCCTGTACTCGACCATCCAACCTCTGCTTCTCAGCCAAGCTCTTCACTTCCCACCGCTGCTTGAACGCCTCTTCGCGTTTCTGGCACTGTCCAATCTGCTCTGCCAACCACCTGCTCGTCCCTTCCGCAGTCCCAGCTACATTAGTCATGGGCAGGAAGTGACCTCCCGGAATTGTCACGGACTTGACTCTCCCGGCTGTAATGCCCCCACTACCACCAGGAGCGGTTCCAGTGGCATTGGTGCGGTCGACGAGCTCCTCGGCATCGCATAATTGACTGCCTTCGCCTAGCAGGAAAAGCGCAGGTGGTCGTAGTGTGGAGAGGAACCTGTATGCGACTTGAGAGTGAGGGCTGTAGAATGGCCAGGTCACAGGGGCTGTAGGCTGGATATCAGGATGCGTATACCGTTGGTCCTCGTCCACGGGTTGTGCGACCGTGATGTGATCAGGATTCGGCTTGATCAGTCCTCGAACCTGCATATGCAGTGGCGTTGTAGGTTTGGTCGAGTTGTCATCAGGAACCGTGACTGTCGGACCGTCTCCCCAGACCGTCTCGAGAAACCTCTGCAGAACTTGTTTGTCCCAGGTCTTGAAGAACGGGCTTCTTCTCGTCGCCTCCTCTGCAGCTTGTCGAGGTGCATACGCTTCGGGCTTGCGGAAACAGTACCTAAGCATTGCTTTGGTGGACGGAGATCGTGTCATGAATATCGGCGGGTCCACCATAACCAGCGCGTCAAGCAGTCCAGGATGAAAGTGAGCCGCTGCCACGAGCTGCGACGCTCCCATTGAATGCCCGATGCCGATGATCGGTTTCGTCATGCTTAAGCGGAAAGTATCGACCATACAGAGGATATCTCTGGAATGGTCGAACCAATGCGGTTCGTTACCGAGCATCTCATCATTGAGCACAGCACTCGTGCCTTGAGCAGTCTGATCAGCTATCCAAATACTGCTGATCGTCATCCTTGAAATGTTGGCATAGCTCTTCGAAGAAAGGTTCGTAAACCTCTTTGTGGGTCGCGTTGGCGTGAGCGGCGATGATGGTGACATCGCCTCGAGCACGTCCTGTGTGTACTTCGCGCGGAGTATAGCTTTTGGTATGGAGCCGGAGGATGTCTTCATGCGAGAGAGCAGTCGCAGCAGGACACTCGCGAATATGTCGGCCCTCGAAGACGTGCTCGGCGACGACAAAGGGTGAATCGAAAGACATAGCGAAAGAGAACGATATGAGGTGATGGCTCTAGAAGTGCTTCAAGACTCACCAGCCTTGGCAGAGTACTCTTACATGGTCACTTTGAAGTAGCTGGCCTTTTCAAAATGCATTCGATGTCGACCGTGTGTGCACTCAGGTACGGCCTCTCGAGTTGGTCGATCTCAACCGGCGACGCAAGCACTGTGTTAGGCAAAAGCAACAATATCTTCCATCGAAGCCAACGCACCACGATGACCTACGCCATTGTGCTGGTTACGTGTCTGGACGTGGGTGAGAAACGGTTTCCTAAATTCTCCTTGAGAGCTTCCAATGGACGCGCCTGTGATCGAACATCGGCCAGAGTCTGTCTCCAAAAGTAGCTTCTCCTACAGTCACCCTTTCGAGTATGTGCACGACTCGCGGCGCCTGACAAGATATCGTATCAAATTTCGATCAGCACACGGAACCAAACGAGCGCTTACAAAGATCTCACGAGGATGTCCACTGGTAACATGCCAGCTTCTTGAGCGATAATAACAGCCTCATAAGAGGTCGTCTCCAACGTACCAGAGCTCGGCCCAAGACGAAGGTGCCTTGCGTGTGGTCAACAGGTGCCGTCCATAGACACAGCAGAGAAAGCAGCTCGTGAGTTACTCCGGTACTACGACCACCTGGTTGGACACATTCCTCAATCGCAACCGTGTAAGTGTGTTTCCCCAAGGACGTGAACATCATATACCATAACTACATACCCACAACACCCCCCACCCACACCTCCCTAAACCAACTCATACCGACCCCCCTTACCACTCCAACGGCTCCGTCTTCTCCTCCCCCCGATTCGTCTTCGGCACAGCCGCAGCATCAACCTTCACCGCCCCCTGCCGATGCCGAGTCAAATATCCACTCCCATCCAACCACGGCATCTCCTCCGTCCTCTTCCGCTCAAACCTCTTGATCTTCTCCTCCTTCTCCAACGTGATGCCAATATCATCCAATCCATTAATCAAACAATGCCGTCGAAACGTCTCCGCCTGGAACTCCGCCAAAACCACCCCCTTCGCATCCTTGACTTGCTGGGCTTCAAGATCGACTTCGATTTCCCGCCCTGCTTTCGCTTCGTCCGCGATCTTGTTCAAGGCGGCTGTGTCCGTGATTTGAAGCGGCAGCATACCGTTCTTGAAGGTGTTGTTGAAGAAGATATCGCCAAAGGAAGGGGCGATGATACATTTGATCCCGAAATCTAACAGAGCCCAAGGAGCATGCTCGCGACTACTGCCACAACCGAAGTTGCGGCCCGTGCAGACGAGGATCTTGGCTTTGTCGTACGGTGCCTGGTTGAGCACGAAATCCTTGTTCAGACTCCCATCCTGATTGAAACGGGCAGCGTGAAAGAGACCCTTGGACAGCCCGGCCCGCTTGATAGTTTTGAGGAATTGTTTAGGGATGATGGCGTCGGTGTCGATGTTGGTCTGTTCCATAGGGGCGGCGATGCCCTTCCATTGGGTGAATTTGGGCATGCCGGCTGTGCTTGAGGGGGCCTTGGATTTGACGCTGTTGCCTTGGCTGTCTTCGGCTAGGTCGAGGATGTTGTCGAGATCTGCATCGCTGTCTGGTTCGTCGACTTGGGGCGGAGGAGCGACATCTTTGGGTGCTTTTTTGGAGGAGGGCAGGGCTTGTTCGTAGCCGGAGAGGTTGCGAACGTCTGCTAGTTTACCGACTAGAGCTGCGGCGGCAGCCATGGCGGGGGACATCAGGTGTGTACGACCACCAGCTCCTTGCCGGCCCTCGAAATTGCGGTTACTGGTTGAAGCACAGCGCTCGCCGGGAGACAGGATGTCTGGGTTCATGCCTAGACACATCGAGCAACCGGCTTCTCGCCACTCGAAGCCGGCGTCCTCGAAGATTTGATTCAGGCCTTCATCTTCGGCTTGACGCTTGACCAGACCGGAACCAGGCACGATCATAGCGCGCTTGAGGTTCGGTGCGACCTTCTTACCCTTGACGATATGTGCAGCGATCCGGAGATCCTCGATACGGGCGTTTGTGCAGGAGCCGATGAACACTTTGTCGAGTTCGATATCGGTCATTTTTGTGCCCGCGGTCAAACCCATGTACTCCAAAGATCTCTTGCAAGCTTTCTTCTTGTCTGCGTCCTCAAAATCATCCGGACCTGGTACAACTCCAGTGATGGGCACCACATCCTGCGGGCTCGTACCCCATGACACAGTCGGTACGATATCCTTGGCGTCGATTTGAACGTCGATGTCGTACCTGGCATCCTCGTCGCTTTGTAAGCTCAGCCAGTACTTGCATGCCTTCTTCCACTCTGCACTGTCGACCTTCGGTGCCAAGGGCCGACCCTTGAGGTACTCGAAAGTGGTCTCGTCCGGAGCAACCATGCCTGCTCGTGCACCTCCTTCGATAGACATGTTGCAGATGGACATGCGAGCCTCCATCGACAGTCCTCGGATGGCAGACCCGCAGAACTCGATGACATGGCCAGTACCTCCAGCGGTACCAATCTGACCGATCACGTGCAAGATTACATCCTTACTACTGACACCATCCGCCAAATCGCCATTGACTTGCACTCGCATATTCTTGCTCTTCTGCGTCATCAGAGTCTGTGTCGCCAAGACGTGCTCCACCTCACTCGTGCCGATACCGAAGGCCAGAGCACCAAAGGCTCCGTGTGTGCTGGTATGCGAGTCGCCACATACTACAGTCGTAGCAGGTAAAGTGAACCCCTGCTCAGGTCCAATGATGTGCACGATGCCCTGTCTCTTGTCACCGAGACCAAAGTATGTAAGCTTGAAATCCTTGACATTCTGCTCTAAGGTCTCGCACTGCAGTCTGCTATCATCCTCTTCCACGAACTGGCTGACGTTCTTGAAGTTCTTCCGTGGCGTGGTGGGGACATTGTGATCAGTGGTTGCAAGAGTGCAGTCTGGTCTTCGTACCTTTCGTCCAGCGTTCTTCAAGCCTTCGAAAGCTTGAGGTGATGTGACTTCGTGGACCAGGTGGCGATCGATATAGATGACGATGGTGCCATCGTCCTGCTCGTCGACGATGTGGTCTTCGAAGACCTTGTCGTATAGCGTCCGCGGACCTTTGACTGCTCCAGGCATGTTGTGGCAAATCTTATTGAGGCCGTATGAGTGTTGGTCTGCTCTCGGTATTTGCGGTAGTAAATGAGCTGGCAGGAGGAAGAAGTGCCTCTCTCGTCTCTGGACACACCTCTGTTGATATTCCTCGACTTCGAAGCTGTTTCACGCCGACACCGGCCTTCTTACAAACATGCTTCTCCTCATTGGCTGTGAGCCATAACCCCGCCTTCTCGTACCTGCGCAACGGCACTTTCGGACGCCGAGCACCTCCGATGATGACGATGGCTGGGGCCAGCTCGCGTGCGCGACAGATCAGCTCGAATCAGGTAGCAACCATAATGATAATACACATTAACACCTTCATTTCTACACCACCCACATAGCAAGGCATCATGAAGGTCACCTCAGCCATCACAGCGCTCACAGCAGCCTCCCTCTCCCAAGCATTCACCCTCCCTTCCACCCTGCGATCCGCTGTCAACCAAGTCGCCTCAGGACAAAACCCTTTGGTACAAGCTGAGCGCTTCCTGATCGAGCTCGAACCCGGCAGCACACAATGGGTGACGGAAGAAGACAAATGGGAGCTCCGAAGCCAAGGCAAGAACTTTTTCGACATTACTGGGACGCCTGAATTAGGTCAGACCCTGGCTGCGAGCGACAAGGCGACAGTCAAGTATCCATCTAAGACGGCTTACAATGATACCATCAGCCCGCTGCTCAAGAACCTGGATAAGAAGTTGATGAAGAAGCACCTGGAGAAGTTCACGAGCTTCCATACCCGATACTACCGCTCCGATTACGGCAAGCAGTCCTCGCAGTGGTTGTTCGACCAGGTCAATGAGACATTGACGGAAGCGGGCGCTGGTGTGGTACAGTTCTTTGAGCATCCATGGGGCCAGAACTCGATTATTGCTACTCTTCCCGGTAAAAGCGAGAAGACGATTGTGATTGGCGCGCATCAGGACAGCATCAACCTCTTCTTGCCGTCCATCTTGGCTGCGCCAGGAGCAGACGATGACGGCTCAGGCACGGTGACTATCCTCGAAGCCCTCCGCGTCTTACTCCAGGACAAGGATATTCTGCACGGCAAGGCCGAGAACACCGTCGAGTTCCACGTAAGCCGCAGCCACCCCCTCAAACTCATCCGCGTAAACCTTCACTGACAATTTCGTAGTGGTACTCAGCCGAAGAAGGCGGCCTCCTCGGCTCCCAAGCCATCTTCTCCTCCTACGAGAAAACCGGCCGGGACATCAAAGCCATGCTCCAACAAGACATGACCGGTTACACCCACGCCACGCTCGCGGCCGGCGAACCCGAATCCGTCGGCGTCATCACCGACTTCGTCGACCCGGGCCTCACGATCTTCATCAAAGAAGTCGTGTCCACATATTGTTCCATCCCATACATCGAGACGAAATGCGGCTACGCTTGCTCCGATCATGCGAGCGCGAGTAAGGCGGGGTATCCCAGTGCGTTTGTCATTGAGAGTGATTTCAAGTATTCGGATAAGAAGATTCATACGACGGAGGATAAGGTGGAGTTTTTGGATTTCGGGCATATGTTGCAGCATGCGCGGTTGACTTTGGGGTTGGCGTATGAGTTGGCTTTTGCTAAGTTTGATTAGAGCGTGGTGTGTGGGGAGGGTATGTGTTGGACACTTAGATACCATTGTGCTGATAGCTTTTGCCAAGTTTACAACATGATCGACCACCTGTCACGTTCTCACATCACTCCTATTGAAGCTTCCTTCATTACGGACCGCTGTCAGCATCATTCACTCGCTTACTCAACTCACCTGCTCACGAGTCAGATACAGCAGCAGATATGGCCGAGCCCTTGATCAGGGCACATGCACTGCATATAAAAGCACGACACATCGCTGCATGATCGACTACAAAGCTTCCATCATCCCACCGCTTATATCTCGATCCCGCGATCCCCACGGAAGAAACACATCTCCCAACATCGAGCATGGCAGCTTTGAATTCAATCGGGCTCTTCACGCAGGCTGGCTGGCTCTACGAAGGCAACTACCCGGAATGGCGGTCGCGTATCGCAGCTCTGGACGCGCTGGAAAATCGCGCGCGCGGGAGTACTTACCAGGAGTTATTCTTCGAGCGGGAAGACCGACTGAAGGCCTTGATGCTCGAGAATCTTTCGCCTCAACTCCTGGATCGTGTACCAGACCAAGATCGCGACACATTTCAGTGTCTGGAAGCCGCCCTGCTCGCTCGTTGCCGGCCTTTTCAACTCTTTGGCCTGCCGGTCGAGATCAGAAGCGCGATGTATGGGTATAATATGCGCATACGCTATGACCTGCAGCATGGGCTTGCCAAGGTCAGTGGGCGAAAGGCCTTCTTCCCGCCACTGCTCTATAGCTCGAGCGCCGTACGGACGGAAGCACTACCGGTTTTCTTTTCCCAAACCCTGTTCTCTCACCAAAACCTCGTCCCTCACCAACCCAACATTATCAACGAGGTGGTGCGCTTCTTTGGAGTCATCGAGAAGCGCTGTTACAGACATCTGCGACGGTTTATGGCGCGGTGTTACATCGACGATTACATGATTTGTTTCGATGTTACGATCACCTACCATCCAGGGGTGGGGCTGGACGTGAAGTTCTCTGACGATGAAACCCGTGAAGACGGCGAAGAAGTCATGGACGAGGCGTTGAGGGAGAGGATCTGAAAGCATGTTGCTGATGTGGAGGGCACGAGAAATATTCTGGGTCTTCAAGGAGAGGCTATTGTTATTGCTATAACTTCTTGCCCGGAGTTGTGGGCGAGTGAAGGATGAGAGGGCGTCTTCAAGGTCAGGAAGATAGGGGCAGTGGTCCGCCCATTCGAGTCCGCTGCTGCCGGTACTTTATGCGAAAGCCGTGCGGATGCTATCTTCTCCCTCATCCACACACAAACAAGTGGGTAGTTCAAGGTCGATATCCGGATTGCTGGTCATCTCAATCCTTCACCAGGATATGCCTTAGTCAAATGCTTTGTTCACAACTTTTGCTTCAGTGTGAAGCCTTCACTTGCACACAGAGCACTCATTCGGTAGCTATCAGCAGCGCCTCAATATTCGTTGTCCACGGAAATGATCTCGTGATCGATAGATCCAATGACATACCTATAAGACTAGGATCGTAAGACTTCTCTCGGTACAGACTCGACCTTACCACTACCACTTCACACCAAGGATGAACTCTCACAGCCGGCTCACAGAAGCGGGCTGGCTCTACGAAGGGAATTTTCGGGAGTGGGAGGAACGCATGATGGCTGTCTGCATCGCAAGAGGTTTCACCGCCTCCCATTTCGGAACGCTGGGCCGTCTGATGGAATTGCCATTCCTGCTTCCACGCCACGAAAACCAGCGCCTAGAGTCTATTCGGCTCCTGATGCTGCACAAAGTCAGTCTGGCGCTGCGTGCACGTATACCGCAGGCCTCCTGCGAAACCGCTCGGTCCCTGCACGCTGCACTGTCTCGCTTCGCTCGCCCCTTTCGTTTCCTGGACCTCCCTGTAAAGATTCGATCGATGATTCACGAGTTCGTCGTTAACGACAAACGTGTAAGAACACGGACGGTGAATAGAGTATGCTATGGTACGGAGTTCTACCCACCTCTTGTCTACGCCTCTAGTCAACTACGAGCTGAAGCGCTCCCAATCCTCTACCAGGGATCAGAATTCAGGTTCTACCGGCCTGGCCGTGGAGAATTGAGCTTGATGCGGGTGTGCAAAAGTGGATTGCGATCGTGAATGCCCAGTATCTCAAACATCCACGGCGTTTCACTTTGAGATATTCGAGCAGCGACGGCGCCCGGGTTTTCTCGCCTTAACATTACATTCTCGCGCAGGACGGAACTGGAGTTGGGGTTTGAACGGCCCAAAACGATTGCAAGCTGTGGGAGGGAATGGAAGAACGCATTGAGAAGCATGTCGCGAGGGTCGAGATGACAAGGAAGGCGCTTGGTCTCGAGGGTGAGGCTATTGCCATGGCATTGACTTGTGCTGCCGGATTGTGGGATGTGCCGGAGTGGGAAGATCTTGAGTAGATCTTCGGACCAGGAAAAGCTTCTACGTGTGGGTGTGAGATATGAGCTCTACGTAACGATCTCGACGAGATGTATGTGAGGGCTAGCGGTCACGCCAGCTAGCCGGTCGCCCATGAACGGTGGCCGTAAGGGACATTTGTGGATGAGCCGGCCATGCTCGCTCGTGCAGTTCGCGGCCAGCTGTGATAGTAAACATCGGAGAAGCAGCAAAGGTGTTCGTATCCGTCTATCACGTCGGTGTAATTGACTCTTCTCATGCATGTCCTGCCCGGATTGTGTTTTGCGCGACCGAGGTCGAGAAATGGGACGCCAAAGCTCATAGGTGGGGTCCAAAAAGCATCTTCTGCGTATCCTGCACGATAACATTGATCGACCTCCATATCCATGCCGAGGTCACATGAATCCCAGGCATGCCTGCCACAAGCGAGACTGGTTGATCTAAAGATGCATAGTCAGATGGTGTAGACAAGAGGAAGGCGCCCTGAAGACACCCCTAGGAGGGAGTCGTAGCGCCACCAGCAACGTCCACTTCTAGACTTTTCATTAGGGATCCGACTGAGTGGTGGAGCCATAGTCCATCAACCAACCTACCTGGACTAAAGCAGCACAAAGATGGAGAAGCGTAGAGTCTGCCGCCATCAAGCTTAAATATCGGCAGGATCCCGTATCTAAGCATATCCTGAGCATGTCCTCCTGCCTATTTCGGACACGCACCCACACAACAGTATTGTTTGGGATGGACTCCGACGCCGCTGTCGTAGTGTTGTCGATCAGCACTAGATACTTGGCTGGCGACCACCCATAGGTCGGCGTACGTCTCCATGATCGTTAAGGATCGACACACAAGCGTATATACTATCTCTGGCCTTCACGGGACCGAGGAAGCAACCTCACGATGCATCACAAGCTGTTCAGGCGTCTGTGGGAAGCTCATATATGATAGTAAGTGGTTCCCGCCAGGACCTCGTTCTGCAGACCCAATGCAAGCCCTTCCTCTCCCTTGCCCTCATCATGCATCTCCTTAGCTTTGTGGCTCTGGGCCTTTCCTCAGCAGCAGTATCGTTCGCTGCACCAACACCTGGCCATGTCTTGCACGAACGTCGAGAGCCGTCATCTCAGTGGACGAAACTTGATCGGCTCGATGGCGACGTGAAGCTACCCATGCGCATTGGCCTCACGCAAAGCAACCTTGACCAAGGCCATGATCTGCTTATGAAAGTAGCCCACCCCGACTCTCTATCATTCGGCAAGCACTACACCTCAGAGGAGGTCGCCGACATCTTTGCGCCTGCGGCCAAGGCAGTCGATACTGTCCGAGCATGGTTGGAATCCGCTGGTATCGAAGCCAACAGGATCAGTCAATCCGCCAACAAGCAATGGCTTCAATTTGACGCCAAGAGCTCGGAAGTAGAGGAGCTACTGAAAGCCAAGTATCACTTCTACGAACACTCTACGTCTGGCAAAGCCAGTATTGCTTGCGATGAGTATGTGGCCTGGTAGCTACGAGACTCACCTATGGCACTGACACCTACGCAGATACCACCTGCCATCACACATCCAGGAGCACGTCGACTACGTCACGCCGGGCATCAAGCTCTACGCCACTCGTGCGCGCAAGCCAGCCTCCGGCGAGATGGAGAAGCGTACCATGATTGGCAGTGGACATAAACCAATCCCACCACCAACCCTACCATTGCCAGGTGGCCTACCCACGCTCGCCACTCTTGCCGATCTTTACTGCGACAAAGTCATCACACCGAATTGTATCATGTTAATGTACAACATCACCAAGGGCAGCACCAGCACTCCAGGCAACGAGCTCGGCATCTTCGAGGATCTGGGTGACTACTATTCTCAGACCGACCTCAACCTATTCTTCCTTACCCTGGCTTCTTACATCCCGCAAGGCACCCATCCTACGCTTGATGGCATCGACGGCGCAACCGCACCAGTCACTGTCGCCAACGCCGGTCCAGAATCGGATCTCGACTTCCAGATCTCCTATCCATTGATCTACCCGCAGAAGTCGATCCTGTACCAAACAGATGATTCTGTCTACGAGGCTAATTACATATACAACGGCTTCTTGAACAACTTTTTGGACGCAATTGTAAGTATCTGCTTTGCGCACATCGACCGCATCTCGCTGACCATAGGGAAGGACGGCTCGTACTGCACCTATTCTGCTTTCAACGAGACTGGCAATAGTCCACTTGATCCTCCTTACCCGGACCCTGCCGCTGGTGGCTATGTGAGTACAATGCCAGAGCCGTGTGTTAGTCCAAGTCCTAATAAACTCAACAGAAAGGCTCGCTGCAATGCGGTGTGTATAAACCCACCAACGTGATCTCCATCAGCTACGGCGGAGGAGAGCAAGACCTCCCTGTGAGCTATCAGCGTCGGTATGCATGTCTCCGCCACTGTACTAGTTCTAGCAGCTGATGACCTCTCCAGTCAATGTAACGAGTTCATGAAACTCGGTATGCAGGGTGTGTCCGTCCTGGTCTCCAGCGGCGACTCTGGTGTTGCACAGCAAGACGCAAGCGGTGGCGCTACTGTCTGTCTCGGGCCACAAAACAAGATCTTCAACCCCGACTTCCCAGCCACCTGCCCATATATCACCACCGTTGGGGCAACATATCTTCCTCCTGGCGCTAAGGCTTCGCAAGATCAGGAAGTCGCTGTCACCCGCTTCGCATCTGGGGGTGGATTTAGGTGTGTACCGATTGCAGGGCGGCATGTACTTCTGACTAACCTGATCAAGCAACATCTATCCCATTCCAAGCTACCAGTCATCGGCTGTTGCAAATTACTTCGCTACCGACAACCCACCATATCCGTACTACAGCTGCACATACAACACAAGCTGTTTCGGCAACAACGGCATCTATAACCGCATTGGCAGAGTAGGTCATTATCCAGCTCATGACCATTCTATAGCTAACACGCACACAGGGATATCCAGATGTCAGTGCTGTTGGTGACAACGTCGTCATCTTCAACAAGGGCCTTCCGACCCTTATCGGCGGCACTTCCGCATCCTCGCCAGCTTTTGCAGCTATCCTCACTAGGATCAACGAAGAGCGTCTGAAAGCGGGCAAGAGCACCGTAGGCTTCGTCAACCCGACACTCTACAGTAATCCAGGTGTACTCCATGATATCACCACTGGTTCCAACCCGGGTTGTGGCGAGGCAGGATTCACGTGCGCCAAGGGGTGGGACCCAGTAACTGGCCTCGGTATGTCGTAGACTTTCTTACCGCCTTTAAGTGATAGGTACTGACGATATCTAGGCACACCAAACTACCCAGCTATGCTCACGCTATTCATGGGTCTATAGGGTGTGAGACTCTTGGAGCGGTATGGCTAGGGGCTATTGAGCTATGCATAGATGTATAGCTACGAATATCAAGACCATGAAAATAAAACAATCACGTTCACCTACAGTCACGTGGAATCCAATAACAATAGCCACAAAGCAGACTGCACAACGTCGTTATCAGTCATATTGCCAGCTATCCTGGTCGTGCTTCTCGCTGCTCGAGCTTCCTTGCTCCCGATGTCTCTAACAAGTACCACGAAGGACACCGTGTGTCAAGTGTCAACGTCTAGCAGCACGTGTGAGACGACAGGAATGATAGTACCACATCTGTGCGACAACATGCCCACATGATCTGTTACAGATGGCACCAGATACCCTCGAGTACTACTGGAAGTATCGTCGAAAATAGTCACACACCGAGGGCGAAGATATATAGCACGGCAGAATCGACGATGGCTCGCGCTGCGCAACTGGAGCCACAAGTCAATCACCATTGCGCTATTGCTGCTCGATGTCTTCCAAAAAAGCTGTTGATAGAACAGCAATGCAACTCATTCTCCTTCCCCTCACGGCCGCCGCCATGGCTATCAACACCACCGTCTCGCGCCTGGGGATCAACTGCAAAGGCTCATCAGAATGCGGCACGAATTTTAATCTGCCAGAGAGGCTATACAATTGTATACACCACCCCTTCTCGAACCCGCAAATCAACATTACCACCGTCCAAGCTAACTTAAGAGTCAGAAATCTCGAATCTCTACAGCGACATCCCAGTGGCTGATGGCGAGCAAGTCGCCTGCTGGGAGCTCATATGTGTCTTCCCACAAAAGACCTCGGGCTGTACGATGGGGGACGTGCAAGCTGGTATCGTCAACATATACAATCATGGCTGCAAGTCGTGTGGAAGCGCGCCACTGGACTGGCCAGTTGGGAATGATGTCAAGACTGGGGAGATCACGATCAATTATGTGCATCGTACTTGCTTTGGTGACAAGGCCAACGGGGTGTGTCCCAGTTTTGCTTGAACAAGGGCTACTGAGTGGCATATACCAAGGGTCCAGTAGCTGTCCGGAAGTAGCTCCAGGTGCATGGGAGAAGGTGTCTCGCTCGTATCATGTTATCAGACGACAGGCGTAAGTCGTAGGTCCCGGATGAGCTCTGTCATGCAAAGAATGGCCCAAAGCATCCCTGCTCGAGACATTTCAATCCTGCGGCATCGATCTCTTGCTCACGACACCATACCTGGACCGTCACACCCCAAGCTTCCTGCCCTGGTATGCAGTCAGTGGAAGACCAGAGCCGGGTATCTTTCATACACTCACAATTTGGTACCCCTGCCGGGACACGACTCCAGTCCAAGCCGACAGGTTTTTTTTTGAACTTCTGAAGGCCGGACTCAATCAGTGTCTGTGGGAACGCAAAGCTCATGAGACCGATCATCAGTGGTAGCTCGCCAGTCAGTCCACCCTCGCCTAGTAATGCCGACTTGCGACTGGTACGATGCCAACCTGGCAGTACTAATTGAGGCCAGACTTGATCTACACGCTCTACCATAAGACGCGGGAACGTGCCATTAGCAGCCATGCGTGATACCATACTGGATCCCGATTGGACACTGAATTTTGCTTCTTGCCACTGCAGTCTGTTGTGGTTGTCTGCCTCATTTTCGCGTTGTTCAGTGTGACCTTCATCGTACATCAATGGCTGCCGCAGGATTGCTTGTCTCGACCGTAGAAAAACTGAGTCTGACTGCTAGCAAATTCAAAAATTATGCTCTGATCGTCAAAGGCTACCGATCGAGATTGAAGGCCACTGAGCAGAGTTATAAGAATTGGAAACAAAAGTGGAATCGCGAGCATGGAGTACTACTCCCAAACGAGGAACTGGAATACGTCCTGGGTGCCCAGCATCTTAGAGATCGTGCCTCAAATCTCGAGCTTCTCCGTTACAGAAACATCAAAGTGGCGACAGCAATCTCGAAGAACGAGGAGCCAGACATAAATGATGGGTCGTACAGTGTTACGGAGGACGACGACCAGAGCTCCTCGGAGCATCGACGCAAGAAACGGCGAGCAGTCAGCAGTGAAGGCCCGATGAAGGAGGACTGGGAGACCTGGGATGTTGCCTGCACGACCGCCAGCATGGTCAGTCGTTCTGTTGCAAGGAAGATCATCGGCGTGCTGTGGCGGAGCGAGCACCTTTCACAATCACTGACCGAGCTCGAAAGAGCCATGAACACACTGGACACACTCTCGAGTGGTGCACTAGAGGAGTTGAGGGCCAAGCTAGACCTAACTTCTACCATATCGCCTGGAGAGCAAGTGCATGCCATATGGTCTATGCGAAACCATAGGGAGAAGTTCTCGTCCATACTCACCCGGTTGCATCAAGAAGTCACCTGGACATCACCAGGCTATGGCGTTGTACTGAGTGAGCCACAAGGTGACGATTGGTTAGACTTGAAGTGTCTGGAACACGAGCGTGTCTTGGCCACCGATCTGCTAACAGCCCAACCACCTTGTTCCGACTCGCCAATCTCCCAACGAGTGCGAGTTCCGTATCCCCTCCAAGCACGTGCATACGTTAACGAAGCAGCTTTGCATATCAACGAGATTCTAAATGGTGCGCTTGGAGGTGAGTCTCTTCTCGAGTGTGGTTTGGCGAAGGCTAACGGTGAAATGACCTGCCGGATCGCAGCGGCACCAGAGCGCCATGGAAGCGGTGCGCGGCACAGGACCTTCGGTCTCTGCACGAGAAGAACGCAGCTCGTGAGCCTGCTCTGCGGCGGCTCGAGCGTGCTCTCGATGCCGTCCGGCTTACATACTGGATGCTGCTCTTGTGGACCACGCCGTGGTCCGAGAGTATATGCACATGTCGAATCACATGATATGAAGACAATGGCACGGCGCCTCTTATGCTGACAAAACAAGCTAGACACAAGAATTCCAGAAGCACGACAAGACTGGACACAGATGCAGATCTGTGGTTTGAGAATCACATTCCAGCGTATAGCAACCAAGACCAGGCTCGAGAGAACGCGAAACTTCGAGCTGAACCCGTCAAGGCTCTGAATGATAACCAGCATCGTCTATTGTGTCTCGGTATGTCGCTATGCGAGATTGCTCTTGGTATGCCAGTCCATCTGGTCCTATTCGCGAGTAATGGTCTCCGTTTCTCTGTTCGCGGCGAAGACACGGACGAGGAGCACTTGCTCGATCTGGTATGGTGGGCGACGTCAAACCATACCAGAGCCGCGGTCGATTGGTGCTTCGCGCATGCGAAGAGCCCCGATGCTGAAGACTTCCGACAAGAAGACATCCTGCTCTTCTCTTCTAGAATTCTTCGACAGCTTCAGGATTGCCACCGAAATGCTACGAAGAACGATCGTCAGATTACGCCAGCGATGGATGAGATCAAAAGCTCTGACGATTCACCACCGTACACCCTCAGCACGCAGTGCAATCATGCTGAGGAACCGCTCTTTCGAGACTCTGTGCTCGATCAAGCCACTCGAGGCGCAGAACGACTGGGAAGTGGAATACACAGACATCACCAAGATCATAGGAATCGAGAGAGCCGCACCGATTCTAGGGGCGGACTCCCAGGAGGGCGCCTTCCAATCCGTGCAGAAACAACTCTGCATGAGCAGTATAAGTCACAAGAGCCGCGATGACGTTGAATAAGCTGAGAGCGGTCGGAATGGACGGTCTTCATGCGTGCCACAGCCCTTCGAATGCGTCCGAATATGAGGCAAAGCTATGAATGAACAGCCACTGGAATGTGTCCAAGTTTGGAGAATTGGTCTGAGCGGCCCCAACAACAGATTGTTGATGGCCTTGAAAATACTCAGCGAGGGCTGGAGCGGTGTAGGAGCTCATGCAAGCATTGGGACGAAATGGGCTCATACAGGACCTTGATAAGTAGCCGCAAATCTACGATGATGAAGCCGCTGACCGCAGCATGCTCCCACCGTTAGGACTTTCTCATTTATCTTGCCGGTTGTTCGATAAAGCGCAAGCGACAAACATGCTCAAGTGGTCCCTCTAGTCCTCTTCGTAGTGCGCGAAGGCTGGACAACCTCTTCCTCAGACTCATCGTCATCGTCGTCGGCATCATCCTCCTCGCCCTCTGGCGCGTCAGATTCGCTTGCAGCGAAGTACTGGCTCTTCAGCGGCGTAGCCTTCTTCGGCTGTCTGGCTCGGGTCTTCGGTGTCGTCTTGGAAGACAGCAGCACGACTCGGGGGGAGAATGGCGTAGATTTGACCTCGTCATCGTCATCATCTGATCCATCTCGAGCGTCAGATGATGATTCAAGGTCCGAGAGTTCAGACTCTTCCTCATCCTTGACGACATGCTTTTGATTGGACTGACGCTTCGACGTCTGCTGAGGTCTTGGTTTGACAGTGTTGTGCTTGGTTTCGGTCGGGTTGCGCTTGATCGGTAGCTTTGCAGGTTCGGCAATGTCTTCTCTGTCGTCCATGTCGTCATCATCACCTGCGGTGGTATGTAGCGACTGGAGCGACGTAGGCGTAATGGGAGCGTGATTCTGCGGAGGCTGCTTGTGATCGATTTCCATCCGGTCCTCGATTAAGAGACCATCGTCAGCTGGCGCATGCATTTCTTCGTCCTCACTGACGGCCATAAAACCACCACCCTCCATATCATCGATCTGTGCGTCCGCCTTTGCACGTGTCTGTGGCACCTCCTCTTCGTCATGTCCCGGCAAGAAGAAGCCACCGCCTTGGTCGTCATCTTCTACCGCATCCTCCGGCGCAGCCTTCGACTTCGAAGCTACACTCTTACCCTCCCGCTTCGCCTTCATAACAAAAGGATTCATCTCCTCCTCCTTCCCACCACTATCAGCATAATCGATCCTCATCCTCTCCAACACTCTCAAGCCCAACAACATCTTTCGCCACCACTGCAAAGCCGCCGCAGTCCGCTTCGTATCCTCCTTCCGCTTGACCTCTTCCTGCTCGACCTTCCACGCATCACGGACCAAGATCTCATGCTCGTCCGCCACCACCACACCAGTGAGAACAGGAACAGCTCTCTGCTTGCCGAACTCGAAACCAGTACAAGCTTCTGCGTAATCGATTTCCAGCCGACGACATAGCTTTGCCGTGCCCTTCAGAGGGACATGCACGGCACCTTTCGGCACCATTGTGGGCATATACACATCCATGTTCCCGAAAGCGTTCTTGGGAATAACACCATCCTTGATCGGATCCGGTATGATCCAATCCGTCTGGTCCCAACTATACAGCCCTTGCTTCAGCTTCTCACCAGTCTCACGCAGCGCATCTTCCATCTCTCGTTTGCGAATAAGTGTCACAGCCCTCATAGGCACTATCTTCATAGGATGCTGACCCTTCTTCAGCGCGCGACCTTCTTTGTGCCATGACTCGACAGTCTTACACGTCACGACGTCCTCGCGGAGGAAGACAGGGAACTCTTTCGCTTTGTCGCCTTTGCCTGCTGTGAACGTCTTGACCGACTCAGAGTCTGGCAAGATAGCTTCTTCACGACGAAGATGCTGCTCGAGGATGAATTCGGCGGACTGCTTGTACCACTGCAGACTTTCCTTCTCGACCTCTTTCTCCTGCTTCTCAGGCTTCTGCGGTCTGAGATCGGTCTGTTCTTCGAGATCATCGGCTGCCGTCCGCTTGTTCTCCGGTCGATCATAATGCGACATCACTGTACGGAACCAGTCATATTCCTCATAACGCTTGACTTTACCTTTCTTATTGTAGACCGGTCGTTTCTCGGCGGGCAAACGCATGCCTTTTGTCTTGCCAGGTAGTTGATGCTTTCTCAGATACCGTACCGTGACATCCTTAGCTGAGCCGTCCGACGAGAAGGCGATCGTATATGCCATGACTTGCTTCCCGATCTCTGCTTTCTTGCCACGCGGCTCAAAGGTCTGCAATAGGTCGTCGTTCGAAGCGATCGTGGACAAAACAATAGGGTCGACAGGTATATATTTGTGCGAGATCGGCGAGCACACCTCGACCCAGTAGTTTGGGAAGGCCAGCTCTCTATCATACTTCTTGTTTGGCTTTCGCTTCATGGTAGCGGGTGTGATATCGATGAGAGAAATCTCATCGTCTTCGTCAACTGCAGCAACGCCTGCATCGGACGGTGCATCACTCAATGGGCTATCAGAGTCATCGATGTTGATTGGTTTGGTCTGATTGCCGCGAATAGATTTCCGAGCTGGTCGATCTTGCTTCTTTGACGACTTGGCCTTCTTGGCAGATGCTTTCTTTGGCGTGATCACGGCAACATCACTGTCCGACATCGCCTCGCCCTTTGCTGCCTGCGTGGCTTTGCTCTTTAGCTTCTTCGCATTGGCTTCTTCAGCCTTGCTGAAACCCAAGCCCACTGGCTGCAGATTTGCCACCAGCCGTGTCTCCAAGCCAAGACTTCGCAGCAGGGCAGCGAACAGCTGCGCGCCAACGTCGCGTGAACCCTCGCATTCCTCAGCGCAGTGTCGAAGCTGGTCTATATTCTCGATACGCTCGCCATGCTCTTCCATATCCGTCTTGTTGGCCTGCCAGTGCTTGATCTCGTCTCGCATCCTCTTGATTGACATGTATCCTTGCTTGCGCAGTCCAGGCGCAGTGATGGTAAAACGCTTGCGCCAGTATGCGGTCAGCACCTTAAGCAGCCGCAGCAGTGGATCTCCAGCACTCATGTTCGGCACACCCTGCTCCGCATGCTCGGCACCATGATTCCAGTCTCGACCATGACCTTTGTCCTTGCCTTTTCGACCTTTCTTGCTTCTTGCCTGCGCAGTAGCGGCATCCTTCTTGGCTTTCAATTCCTCCTTACTCGATGTGCCCATAGCCTCTCGCCACCGAACTACTTCTCGCTTGACACCCTCCGGCAGGCCTTTGACAAGCATCTTCTGTACACCCTTGTCATTCAGCCAGCCATTGCGGACAGTGTTGTGCCACAGTAAAGCCTGGACATGCAGACAGTGCGAGTAGTAACGTGCTGCTTTCTCTTTCTTTGTAGGTCCTTTCTTTAGACCAGGAATCCGCACACCTTCGTCAACCACGCCACCATCGTCCTTGAGCGAGAAGGAGACATCTGCGATCTCATGTTCCGTAGAGGGGCCGGGCGTCGGTTGGGCGGATGAGTGGTTCTGTGCTACGTCTTCCCAGTCCATGCCATCGTCCTCCTCCTCACTCTCATCCGCATCCTCCCCGTCGTTCCCGTCCTGCTCCTTGGCCGTCTTTCTTCGCTTAGCAGCAGGCACATCCTCAAAGTCGTCGCTGTCGGCTTCGCTCACCAAATCGTCATCGTCGTCCGCATTCAGCTCGTCCAGCAGGTTCTTTTTATCCTCTAGCGTCTTTCTACGTTTTGCAGGTGCATCTGCCGTCTCGAATAGTGTAGGCTTGGCGCGTTTGGTAGGAGTTTTGCCTGTAGCTTTATTGTTGCTGGATGGCCTTGGTGCTGGCGATGGAGACCGGGCACGCTTTCGCGAGACGTGTGGTGGCATTGTGCTGATGCATCTAGAGGATCCCCCCCCCCGTTCAATCTACCAAAGTCCAAACCTTTAATCGTGACTTTGAGATGTGTTTCATGTTTGCTCAGACGCGATCGTACCTGCCTCATGACGTATCGAACGCGCTAAGATCTTGCATTAGCGTGAAGGCACGTGCTTCAAGCTGATCTTCAGATAAGATTAGATGTCTTCCTTTTGGCCGACATCGCCCTCCCATGCAAGACGAGACGGAAAGGCTGGAAGAATCTTTCAGCCTCGGTCAGACGATGCGCATGAATCTGCCCACAGGAGCAGACAGACTTCAAGATCTCAAGTTGTGGCGCTTCGTGGACGACAAGGTGGACTCCACGCTAACCAAACGTCGGCTTGAAGGTTTTCGCCTGTCCGTTTCTCCTCATCTAGAACTTCTCACCATCCTTATCTCCAACCTCACCTCTACTTTCTATACCACGACCAGAGGACGAAGAGGCCTAATGGAATACGTGATCGAATTCTTCTCCCTACTTTTGAAGTCCATCCGCTAAACATAGACGTTAATCGTCCAAAGCAACATCTATTAAATTCCTTTTTGCGAAAGCGCCATCTACGACTTCGAGCCAAGAGCATCAACAAGCCATACGCAACAACCGCCTCGCCAAGAATCCTAAGTTATTGCTAAGCCTCACCAAGCTCCATAGCACCTCATCGCCATGTCAGACACCATCAAAACAACCGACAGCGCGACCTTGGCACTCCTTGGCAAGAAGCAAGTCCTCAAGCGCCGCTTCTCCTTCATCTCCCTCTTCGGCTTCGCAGTCTGCGAATTGATAACCTGGGAGACTGTCCTCGCGCTCTTCAGCCAAGCCTTTGACAATGGCGGCCCGGCGGGAGCCGTCTATGGCTTCATCATCGCGTGGTTCTCCACCATGTCTGTGTATACTGTTATCTCCGAGCTAGCTAGTCTGGCACCTATCGCTGGTGGCCAGTGAGTCTCTTCCCACAGCACCACTGCCCAGACGCGTCAACTGCTAATACTGCTCGTGAAGGTACTATTGGGTATATATGCTCGCTCCACCTCGCTATAGGACCGTCTGCAGCTATGTCATCGGTTGGCTGACTTCTCTGGCATGGATCGCCACAGTGGCAACGGAGACTCTGTTCGCTGGCACCATGATCCAAGGTGCCATGGTTCTAGACAATCCAAATTACGAGGGCAAGCCGTGGCAAGGCACTCTTCTGACCTGGGCAGTCATTGTAGGCTGCATCCTCATTAATGTGGTTATACCGCATTGGCTACCAAGATTCGAGGTCTTCATTCTGGTCTTCCATATTGCAGGCTTCGTCGCTATCCTAACAACACTGCTCGTCATGACTCCCCAGCTCGGCACTAACGCTTCGGTCTGGCTTACCGCGTTCAACACCGGGGGATGGCCAACACAAGGGCTGTCCTATTGCGTCGGCTTCCTCGGCAACGTCGCCACTTTTGTCGGTGCAGACGCAAGCGTACACTTGGCCGAAGAAGTGTCGAACGCTGCTCTCAACATTCCTCGAGCAATTCTAGGCGCTATGCTGATCAATGGCGCGGTTGGATTCGCCATGATGATCACAGTCCTCTACTGCCTCGGCGACGCAGAAACAGTATTGGGAACTGCTACAGGCTTTCCTTACATCCAGATCTTCCACAACAGTGTTGGAAATGTCGCCGGTGCCACGGTCATGACTGCGGTAGTACTAGCATTGACTTGGTCTTGCGCCATTGGTATCACGACCACTGCATCTCGCATGACTTGGTCCTTCGCCCGCGACAAAGGCTTGCCTTGGTCGAGCTTCATCGGCAGAGTCAACAACCGCTCTTCCGTACCCGTCAATGCCGTCCTGGTGGTCACTGGTTTAGCTGCGCTGCTCACCCTGATCTATATCGGCTCATCTGTGGCGTTCAACGACGTGATATCCCTCACCATCACTGGCTTCTACGGATCATACTTCCTACCATGCGCGCTTCTGCTCTATCGCCGCATCAAGGGTCAAGTGCACCCCCACGGCACCGAGGTCGAGACTGTCAGCCCAGCTGGTGAGACAAGCCATTTCCCACCCATGGAGGACACATCCGATGCCAAATTTAGCAAGCCGCAAGATCTCGTTCCATCAGTAGGTGCTGGCCGCATAGAAGTAGCCAACGCTCGTCTCATCTGGGGACCCTGGCACTTGCCCGGCGTGCTGGGTATAGCCAACAACCTCTACGCCTGCTGCTACATGATCTTCGTCATCTTCTGGTCCGTCTGGCCGCCTGCCACACCCGTGACAGCATCAACGATGAATTACAGTGTGGTGGTGACGGGAGGGGTGATGATATTGAGTACGATCTGGTATTTTGTTAGAGGGAAGAGGGAGTACAAGGGGCCGTTGATTGATGAGGAAGTGGCTAGTATTATGAGGATTGGGAGTGTTGTTTCTATGTAAATGAGATGAGGCGGGTCGTGGTGCAACGGAGAAGCTCGTTTAGTGGGATTGAGCATGTAGTCAGGTAGAGCGCACTCACCGAGTAAATATACTGCCGTTCTCGTCTTCCTACAAAATTCGGCATGATATGATGCCCGCGATCTCGAGCTGATGCCAAGGCGACCAGAGCGGAGTAAGCTAGACGCGTTGCCTACCGTTATCCTCAGCTGGACATTGCAGAGCGCAGTATCAACAAAGACAACTCGTTACAACCACGGAAGGTGCATCGTGAAGTATGAGCGCTAGCTATTCGCGGTGTCTGGTCGAAATAGGTGCACGTTGATCCATGTCCTCGGTATAGCTCACGATGAGTCGACGGTGAGCATATAAGGTTTGGATCTTGCCGATTGTTAAAAGCGACTTGACTTGTATTATAGTTGTCTTCGAACATAGACACAGGCCTGTGCCATCCACACATTTTCCAAGCGTTGTCAACACACATCTATTAGGTCACCATGTCCGATGCCACATCCAATACGACCAATGTCCCGCCATCCAATGTCGCCGTCAAAGTCAGTGCCATTGACACAACACTGACTTTACACGGCATGAAATGCAGCCACCTATGGCAGCCAACAATCAAAGGTTTTGATTACTTCAGCGCCGGCACCTGGTCGCTTCTCATCGAACACCCATCCGGCCGCAAACTTCTTTACGACCTCGGTTGCCGCAAAGACTGGGAGAACTTGCCACCTACTTTGAACTTGAAGCATTATCTCGACAATGGGATCTTGAAGAAATTGAAGATCGAGAAGAATGTATCAGAGATCTTGGTCGACGGTGGGGTGAGTTTGGACGAGATTGAAGGTGTGATCTGGTCGCATTGGCATTTCGACCATACCGGTGACGTCTCAACTTTCCCATCGACTACCAAGCTGATCGTGGGAGCCGGGACAAAGGCAAACTTCACGCCTGCTTATCCGACCGATCCGAATGCTCAAACGCTTGATTCGGACTTTGAAGGTCGGAAAGTGCTCGAGGTAGACGTTGAAAGCACCACTTTGCAGATCGGAGGCTTGAAAGCATTCGACTACTTCGGCGATGGCAGCTTCTACATTCTCGACTCGCCCGGCCATGCCGTCGGCCATTTGAGCGCCTTAGCACGCACAAACGTTTCGCCAAGGTCCGACTTCATACACATGTGCGGCGACGCGGCTCATCACGGTGGCGAGATTCGTCCAAGCAAAGGCGTGCAGCTACCAGATAGCATTTCTCCATCGCCTGTGCCGGACATATATGCTTTGACCTGCCCTGGCCACTTCTTTGAGCCTATACTCAGGAATGGAAGTCGTGAGAAGCATATCTTGGAGTGGCAAGACTTTACTGCTGGGATGGGTGTGGAGAGGAGATATGCTGGGACTTATGATGAGCCTGTCTTGCGTGAGACTGTGAGCAAGACCGAGGATCTCGATGCCGACGAGAATGTTTTGACTGTGATGGCGCATGACTGGACCTTGAAAGGAGTGGTAGACGAGTGGCCGAAGACTTTAAACTCCTGGAAGGCACAAGGCTTGAAGGACTTGAGCAGATGGAAGTTCTTGGCCGATTTTCAGCACGCTTGTGGGCCTATTCCAGAAGCAAAGTAGGTAAACCCTCAAAATCATACATCTCGGGGCCGGCATCCCAATAGGAGTCGTACCCCGAATCGTCGCCTTCAGCCAGTCGACGGACAAATTCTTCATCACTGTAAGGACCATCAAGCTCCTCTTCCTCGTCAATGGCATCGTAGTCCAGATCCCAAATCGGTTCTTCACGACCTTGGATGATGTAGCGTTCCCACGCTCGTGCCCACGCACGACTTGGTGAGTGGTCGCCCTCATAATGCTTCTTCATGCTTTCGTACGCAAATTCGCCAAATTCGAAACTCTCACCATCGGTCGCTTCCAGCGAGTCACGCAGGCGCACTGTTTTGAGCTGAGGAAGCGTACCGGCGAGCGCCTTGAAACAATCTGGCCAATTGCCTGATGTGAAGCTGACTCCAGCCAGTTCGAGCCGCTGTAAAGTGTCTTTATGTCTGTTGATCAATTTGACCAGTTCTTCTTGCTCGCATGATACAAATCGCAAGGTGAGCGTTTGCAGCTTAGTCCAGTGGAAACTTGACCCCACGAAGTCTCGCAATGGGAGATTAACAGACCTGCCTGGGTCCGTCCCGTAAATCTTCGGAGCCATCACAGACAACGAAGTGAGCAGAGGCGCCGCGGTCACGAACTTCTCGATCTTACGAGCCGCCAATTCGTGCAACACACGTTCCAGAAGATGAGGCTGAAGCTCACCACTATCGTTCTCGAAAACAGGCCCAATGCCCAAGTGAAGCTCACTCAGTCCGCTGATTGCACTGTAGATCTTTAAGCCTCGTTGCCGCTCAGGTCGAAGAACGCGTGTGATATTGGTGCAACAACCAGCGTTCTCAATGGAGTCGCTGATTGAGCTGCTCCTAGCAGTAGTGACTCAAGTTGGTGACAGCCGACGTGATACTTCGTAAAATCCCAAGAGGGCTCGACCATGCCGCTTTCTACAGCTCTGTGATGAGTCGAAAGGCGTAGCTCGTTGCACATCGTCATTTTTATACCATCGAGTCGCGGGCAAGCTTTGAACAGAGCTGCGAAAGCCTCCTCAGGGGTCCGTTGTTCTTGCAGTGTCATTTGATCCGTATATAGCGCCTGAAAAGCATTGTAAGCTTTTTTCAGCTGCACCCTAGTGTGGTGACCCTTGCGTTCGATCTGAGCACGACGGTATACCCGCCTGTTGTGCCTGTCAGTACGTGGGTCGTGCTCTCCCTCGACGTATATGATTTCGCGAAGCCATGCGCGCCACCGTGCTTTTGCTTCTGGATCTTGCCAAGCTCGATGACGGTCCCACTCCTTGTAGGTCATAGGCTCGAAGCGCTCGGCTTCGAAGCACAAATTGCGAACGCCTTGTGAGACTGGACTTTGTGCGATGGCTTTCAGAGTCTCGAAGCTGTCCCGTAGATAGTAGGCTGTAACTTCTACCTCGTTCAGTAGATAATCTGCCCCGACAGCTGCAAAGCGGCGGCTGACGAGGCGAAAGCTTGAGACGTTATCACAATAGCCACATATCTAGTGCAAGAGCTCGACAGGAAGGTCGGTGATCGCCATAGTCTCTTTGTGACGTGCGTGCCCTTGATGCCAGGAAGTAATCGTGAACACGACAAGAGTGAGGGCTGCACCTAGACGAGGGTGCTTCCAAGGGTGATACAAAGCGATGGGCCCCCTGCGAGCAAACAGTACCGTCGAGATTGAGAAACTGTTATTTGACAGCTAACGCGTTGACGCGTTACAAGACGTCCGTGCGCTCGACACGAAACCTACATCCGAGGTAAACCACGCATCCTCAACAGCTGCTTTGCAGAAATGGCACTACTTTAAGCTCCCAAGCGACCTGCTGGACTGGACATGCAGTTTCCTAGAGCCCACCGAAGTGACTGAATGGCGTCTGGTCAGTCGCGACTTCGCCGCCATAGGCGCGGAACACCATTTACCCGAGGTCACAGTATATTGCCTCGACGAGAGCTTCAACAAAGCCAAAAGGCTCTTCGAGAATCCTGCGATCGCTCGTGGAGTCCGATAAGTGACAAGCTTTGTACGTGGACTATCAAGACTATATCATCAAAGGTGGTGCTGTTCCTCGATATCACTTCATCTAAAAAGATGGAGATTTCGATTTATGAGTGATTGACTCGATGCTGTCGATTCGATACGGCCATGTGAAGGATGTTCCGACGCCGAGCACGAAGGGGATCTACAACAGCATGGACCGGGAAGATCCGACGGTACAGCGTCCGCGTGACTTGCAACCTGCTTAGCAGGAGAGTGCCATGGCCTCTGTCAACGGAACGAGTCCATTACTCTAATCTTGATGCCGTACGCTTACCCGCCTCTGTCATCAGCGTCAAGCAACGTGTCCACAGTGTTCGGCAGCCGACTACCAGCGGCCTTAGCTTTCCTCAACCAGACGAGTGCTTTTCGACGCTCAGCATCAGAGCGATCACGACACCGCTGTGCCTCAGCAGAGTCAAAATCGCCGTCCACACCGTAATCGCTGGACTCTTCTTCCGTCTCAGCAGCGTTGGCTATGCTAGCATGAAGATCCGCTACCCAAAGCCCTACCATGCCTCGCAGGTGGAGCAGAGCCACGCTGCTGTCGTAAGGTGGACTGACCATGAGCTCGTCCATCCGCCGAGCAATGGGAAGTGCTTCCTCAAGCTCCTGTCTTCGCGCTTCGTGAACATGTCGTCGGTCACTGCTGTGTGAGCCGTCGTCAGAGGCTTGACTCGAGCTGACAAGAGATTGGTCTTGCTCTGCAGTTAGCTTCCGGCGTCGTTTCGATCGGTGTTGTACCTCGTACACCCATACATTTAGCAGAGCCGGATAGAAGACCTGAGCGTTGATGGTGTGGCGTGTGTACTGAGTATACGGGTACTGCAGAATCAGGCGCTCATAGTACTCCCGAGCCAATCTAAAGCCTTCGTCTGAGAAAGGTTGGTTTACTGTATCGCTCTCCTGGATGAAATCTTCATCTTCGGGAACAGTACTGCTGACGGAGGGCTTCGTCTGCTGATCCGACGCAGCTTTGCGCCGCATAAGCAACTCAGCACCGATACCCCACCGTCCTTGCTGCCTAACATCCATGCCTCTGCCTGCCACTTCAGTGCGGAGCAAAAGGCCCCATGCTCGAGATGCCCGCTCCCAGTCCCCTCGTAGCGTACATGTATGCAGTAAAGTCGTCAGATTGTCGATGTGTCGACGTTTCAGCGACTGACTTTGATCCTCGGCCGCAACCTTGGGCACGTAGAGTGGCGGATTCAAGTTATCAAATTCCTCTTCAATCGAGGGCAGTTGCTTGATGGCTTTCGTAGCAGCATGTGGGAACGGCGCAGGTGGTAGCGCATCTTCTCGACTGAGTCCAGCTACGTGGTATGGATCTGTCCTGTTTATGGCATGGTGATAAGCTGGTTGTGGTGGTCCTGGTGCGCTTACTGGTGGGGGCGAGGATTTGAGGTCGATAATCTCATCGTCGGTAGAGTCTTCATTGTCTGCCTCACGCTTGCGTTTTCGGACTTGGCTGCGTTTGGAAGAAAATGTAGGCTTCCCTCTTACGGGTCGGTATATCGGTGCAAACATGGCCAGGGTCGATGTGGAAGCAAGCCGTGCCTTGCGCCCGTGCTTGTTAGATTGACATCGCCAGCCGCGCTCCCAGCACTTATTCGGCCGCGTAGGTCAGATGTGAAACTTGGCAGACTAATTGCTGGTCAATAATGTGCACGCGCATGCTTTGACGGCGGGTGGGGGTGGATGAGTGTGTTTCTGAGACGTGCATAGGCTAGCGCATGCGGAAAGCGGGAGGGCTGCGGGACCGCTGGCTGCGACAAGAAGCTGGAGACAGATCAGACAGACAGGCGAGGCGGAGCGTCAGGCTTGCATCCACCCACCACGCCCGCGCCGTCTCACTTCCTCCACGCCTTCTTCTTTCTCGTGTGCGCGTGTGCAGTATCTCTCACCTGACCGACTTCTATTCTGCCTGCGAGGGTTGATTGCTTTTCATTGCTAATACTATTGCTCCGATTCTTAACACGTTCCAGCCGGCTTTGAGTGAGAGTGACAAGCGGAGAAGCGGGTTTCAACGACATCAGATATGGAAAGGCAGTAGATGGGTCATATCACGCCACCTTGACCGTGCAGGCGTAGGAGATCATCATGGGCCAGAGCGGTTCACGGCCTGAGCAGAGGCCTGAGGAGGGCAGGCGAAGCAGGACGGGTTGGCAGAACCGGCGGTCGAACATCTTGCAATCGATACGCCAGCCTGCGCTGGTGGAGGAGGATGATGGTGGTTTGTTACGGCAGCAGCACAGTGGCCGCAGGCAGAGTCGATCTCGCCCACGCCCACGCACGACCAGCACCCACCGACTCTCGCAGATGCTGCAGCCAGCCTTGCGAGATGAGGCAGCCAGCGCCGATGCTGCTCACCGGTCAGGTCTACACCGAACAGCAACACGAGTCAGGAACTTGCTAGGCCGATCGGATACACCTTCTCGCTCATATCCTCACCGTCCAATGAGTGAGGTGCGACCGGCGTTGGGTCTGCTCCAGCACCGCACCTCCTATGTCCGTGCCGGCATGAACCGTGACGGTGCTGACTACTACCCACCCCGCCTGCCATCCATTGATGTCAGCTCCACCTTTGACAACGACGCCTTCACTTCTGCCGACGAGCCGGAGATGCTCGCTCGCTCCACCTCCAGCCGTCGCTCGAACGCAGTTTCCACGTTCAACGCTTTACGGTCTAATCGACCTTTCAGACACTTCACCTCATCATTACGGCGGAGACGCTCACCACAGCCAAGTGCAAGAAGAGGAGGCACAGAGGACCAGGCGGCGATGCTCAGTAGGCTACTGTCTGTGGCAGCGGCAGCAACGGCAGCGACACTGATTGGTGACGATCCATCAGCACTCAGTGAGGCTCGAAGTCTCACAACACAAGCTGGCATGGCCGATTTAGGTTCAGGTGGGGAGGATGGGAGCTTTGATGGGTTTCTGCGAGCATTGCAAAATGGGCGGATAGCTTCTGCGTTGAGGCAAGGCGGTGATGGTGATAGTGAAGGCGCTTCACGAGAAGGTCCACTGAACTTCTTTCGCATGTTTCGCTTCGGGTCTGGAAACAGCAGCCCTACGCCACTGAGCACTGGCCTTGGTGATCCAAGCGAGGCCAGTGATAGCATAGGTGCTGATGGAAGGATGGTGCCTATCATAATAGTTGGCATCAGGTCCATCAACCCATCCGCGGGCGGAGCTGGATCTGCAGCAGACGATCTGCCACCATTTATCGATGCGCTTGGCAACTTCCCGAACCCACTTCCTACCACAGCGCTTGGCGCACACGGCCACGATAGCATCGACTCGATACTACGGCCACCACAAAACGGCACATCCTTCCGCCATCGAAGACGAGCTAGCATGGGTGGCTTCGGCATGGGCAGGAATCGAATCAGTGACCGGTTGGACGATCAACGAGACCATCGCTCACCTGACAGAAGGAGAGAGAGGCCATGGAGTGTTGCAAGCTCGTCTTCCGCGTTCGAGCCTCGACCACCACCTGCCACGCCAGCGAGTCCGAGCCCTGAATTGAGCCGCATTTCTAGCAGGAATAGCACGCCTAGCCACTCCCGGCCAGCCTCCTTTGTTGCGAATAGCATACGTGAGCTTGGTGGCGACTCGAGGCGGAATAGTGCGCTGCACCGAGCTTCGGCTGCAAGCCCGTTAAGTGCGCACACAGAAGAAACTTCCTCCTTGCACTCTTCCCATTCTGCGACTAACCTCCTCTCAAACGACGATCAAATCTCGCCTTTCAGTTATCACTCGCATAGACGATCCGATACCTTGCCGAACATCCACTACCCGCGATTCTCGTCCGGCCACCCCCGTCGAAACGGTGTGGTCGAGCCTGATAATCTGCCGCCACTGTCGAGAAGCAGTACCTCAAACGGGACAGAGGAGTCTGCAGCTAACAACACAGGCAACGAGAGCAGATCGACCAGCAATGACAGCCGAAGCTGGATCATCTACGTGCTTGGTGGTTCGTACCCGGAGAACCATCCTATTCTGACAACACCGAGTCTCTTCACCGAGAATCCGACATACGAGGACATGATGCTGCTCTCAGCATTACTCGGTCCAGCCAAGGCACCAGTAGCTACCGAGGAGGATGTGGAGAGTGCCGGTGGAATCTACAATATCAATGTAGCGGAAGTGTCGGAGGGAGAGCTCAGTGACGCGGAGAAGACTGCTGAGCTAGTTGCCACCGCTATAGAAAGCGATGATCGCGTGGAGCTGGAGGCTGGGCAGAGGTGCTTGGTGTGCTTGTGCGACTTCGAGGCGGAGGAAATCGGTCGGAAGCTGGTCAAGTGTCAGCACTTCTTCCACAAGGAGTGCATTGACCAGGTAAGCGTCTCGCGAACCAGAAAGGCTAGTATATATGCGCTAACACAATCTTCAGTGGCTAACCCAAGGCCGAAACTCCTGCCCTCTTTGTCGAGGCCAAGGCGTGGATGAGAAGGAGAAGCCTGCTGATCCTACACCGGACGGCACACCAGCACGACCAGCGGAGCTTAGCGCGTTATGAGCTTCGCATCATGAAGCGCGACTCGATTCTCGTTGACGGCAGCGAGTATAAGATGTTCTTCTTCCTCACATATTGATACCCAGAAGTACGTACCACATCACTTCAGGCGGCCAGAATGTCGTTTTCGGGAATGAACAGAACGAAGGGGCCGGCGCATGACATACACGGCACGGGCATGGAGGGAGCACATTGACGCTCGACGATGTCGAGTGGGTCGTTCCTTCTTAGGTGCATGGTGCAGACACGAGAAGGCATTGAATTGGGCTGGGCTCGGCTTTCACTCGATGGGATCACAAGGAGGAATCAGTGATGATGACGTTATGACTGCGAAAGATTCACTTTCGCTATTGCTATGTTTTGGGCTTTTGATAGCGTGCATAGCGACTCTCTTCCGATCACCTTACTTCGCTACAGCAGTACCACCAAAACCCCATCTTTAATCATTGACCCATCCGTTCTCGACAATCAGCGAGCGCAAGTACCCACCACCGTGGTCGGGGCCTGTGTTGCAGAATCACATGCAGTCACCATCAGCATCAGCACCAGCTTGGAAGCTCACCGGCCTCCCGGTCGCGGCGGACGCCTACTGTTTCACCAAGACACTGACCATTACCTTCCACAACTGCTCAAAGGCGGCCTTAGTAAAAATTCTGCGCCCGTCCCGTTCGTCCAATCCTTTCAATGTTTTCCCCATCCCACGAACCATCTTCTCTATCATAGGCCGAATATTGGGACCGCGGTCGAGTTTCAGACACTCTATGTTAAAGCTAATGGGCCGTTGCAAGTCGTGCAGCGTAAAGATTACGTCGTACTTGCATCAGGCCAGCTGCCATGGAACTCGGCGAAGCTGAATTGACGCATCGAATTGAAAACCTGGTCATTTTGTTGCGCTGAGATCCAGCTTTCGATCTTGGGGCGTCGGTCATGTTGAAAGGAGAATTCCAGACAGTTTGAGCCGTGGATGAGGGAATGTGTTTCCTGCCTCATTTGTCGGCAGGTTTGTGTGAGGGCACGGGTCTGGCGGTAGGGGTGATTGGGGTTGTTGTCCCAATTCATGATAGTGGACCCGTCTTTCAAGGTGGAGCAGTTGCCGTATATCATAATCCTGAGCTCAGGAGGTAGTGCTAGGATGTAGCAGGCAGTGCCGTTAGTCGCCGTTTCTCCTTGGTGGATTGAATTTGCAGCGAACCTGGTGCGGCATGTCGAAGTGTCACGGAGGAGAAATGTTGTGATCAGTGAAACGAGGAAAAGGGTTGGAACCACAAGAGGGGCTGGGAATACGTAGCCTTTAGGGTTAAGCGAGTGAAGCAAGTCATTCGAGCATGTGAATCATCTTCGCTAGGGTGAATGCGATAGTTCGAGCGCAAGTGATAGATATATGCTTCACTGCAATACCAACCTATCTAAGAGCCTGCCCCGAATAATGCTTTGTAGGTCAGGCTGCTCCGCTTGTTGAGTTGGTCGTCTGATGCTACAGCGAGGTCTCAGTGGTTCTGCAATGCTCCCAAGCGTAGCCATCATCATGCTACTCCCGAACCTGGTATGCATCAGACCTCAATGCATTGCAGATTTCTGTTCCTGGGGCGAATCTACCTTTGTCGAGTCCCTGTACGATCGAAGACTCGAGCTGATACAAAGTCGACTCATCGTTCGCCTACCGCAGCTTGCCACAGCTGTTCGAACCCAAGCTTCGTCAGAATCCTGCAACCGTTGCGCTGTTCCAAACCCTCGACGACTCTTTGCATTCTTTCCACAGTAGCCTTGGAATCTAAACTGGTCTCGCTAACGCTGGTGCATCCATCGCAATATTCGTGCTCCCCCAGACTGATAACAACTTGTCTCCCTCCCAGCGGAACGACAAGTGTATTCACACAATCGATATCCTCGCCAAGCCAAGTGTCAAAGCCGACTATCCGAATCAGTCCGAATTCGTAGTCGGTCATACGCGCCACCCAGCGTTCCAGTCATGGGATTCGGCACTCACGGAGGGTAGTCCCGAATGCATTCTTGCCGTAGAAAACGGGTAACGCTTCGTGGCGGATCTGGCGACATGTTTGCATGATGCCGATATTCTCATAGCAGTCGAATGAAGGCGACGCGTCGTCCCAGGAAACGAGGTAATTCAACCCGTCGTTGACGAGGCAGAGCTCCCAGATCATGACACGGAGTTCCGGTAGCAGGCTCAGTAATCGAAAGGGCGTATTTGGAGTTGCCATCGTGTTGTAGGCGACTTGCGAAGTACCTTGAGTCGGCGATCACGTGGGATGAGACGTTGAGGTCGGTCGGTATGATGTATTTCAGCGATGGACTAGAAGATTGAAATGCTTATAGGCTTCTGCTCGTCCCTGGCGATTAGTAAGGTGGTAAGTTAGTTTGTGTTTGCGAGTCGAGTCACATGTGAAGGTAGCGAGGGAGTGAGTGTAGCACTATCACTTATTCAGCATTATACAGCATCAAGACATTACATTATCCCCTCGCGAATGTGCCCGACATGACTCGACTACAGACCCTCGAGTCTCAACTACTCCTCCCCTCTAGCTCGACCAGTAAGTAGCATACGAGCTGACACCCTTGACAACATCCACAAAGTTCTTCGCTACAAGCCTCTGCGTCTGCTCGCTCGGGTGCAACTCATCGTACCACAGGAAACTATCCGGGCTCGTGTTGGCCACGCAGTTGCCACCAGTAGTGTTGCAGTGGTTGACGAAGCCAGTGACATTGAGTGGCGCGGATCCGTTAAGGTAGGCGGAGGGATTGTTGTGGATATCTTGGAACTGGTCGAATCATTAGCAGATGAGCAGATCTCTCTCTCTCTCTCAAGTGGCCAGAATCGGCAGGTTGGACGAAAGACTTACCACATCGTGCACATTATACACGGCGAAACTGGCCCCAGCATACCTCTTCGCCAGCTCGACCTCGTAGGGGGTGCGGTATTTATATAGCGAATTGACAGTGACCACGCTCTCAAGCATCCGCCCAGAGATCTCGCTAATATTCCCACTCTTGTCCGGCCAGTACTGATTCGGACCCACTCCGCCCTGACCAAGGATACCATATTCCGGGGCCAAATTCAACGGTGCCACGTTCAGGATGACGAAGTAACGACCGCCATTGGCATACACGCGATCTAGCTGATCGTACACACAATCGACATAAGTCGTGATATTCGTGCCCGCCACCTGCTCGTCTTGGATCAAGGCCGAGTAGCCCAGGTCATTGGTACCAATCCAGATGGCGTACACGGTGGCATCGGCCGGGTCGTCCATGAATTTCGTTCCGTTGGGGTAGACGTAAGCGGAATCGTTCAGGTAGGCTGGGACTTCATAGCCGGCGATGTCCGGGAACGGGGCATTGATCGCGCTGAAATACCGAGGCGTGATCTCGTTACTGCACACGGCGCCCGAGACGGCGTAGTTGTAGAGGTTGGCGCCGGTGTATTGCTTGACGTACTCGACCCAGATTCGGCCGCCGTCGGAGGCGTGCAGGCTCTCTGGGTTGTTGTAGCCGACGGGTGGTGCGGCACCCTTGTTGTTTATGAAGTAGCCCAGACGCGAGTCATCTGTGTAGCTATCACCGAAGACGACGAGGGAGGTGAAGTTCTTGAGGGTCCATTGATGTTGGGAAGCTACCGGGCTGGGAGGAGCGCCAGGGTGACCGGATGATGGGCCATTGGGCGGACCCCATGGGTTGTTGTGAGGTGGTCCTGGTGGCCAAGCTACGGCTGAGCTGACGAGAGCAGAGGCGAGGAGGGCCGTAGAGAACATCTTGAAATATGTCTGGTGGAGAGGTTGTTTGCGGGAGATGGAAACCAGACGAGACAGAGAAGTTTGGAGAAGGATCAACAAGACTAATATACTTACTCGCAAACCATACATTAACTTCTCAGCCTCGGAGCGGAGCACCCGCAAGGCACAGGCAGACAGCGACCAGACTGACACCATCGTGTCCACAAACTCTACCGTCCGTCCAGCGCCAATCTGCCGCACCTCCCACATGGCAAACACGCTCCTCGTTCTGCCGCGAGCACTACTCTGGAGCGAAAAGTGGCTGCGAGATGAGGTGATGATGTCGGCAAAGCAGTGTCCGGAACTCCGGATCTGGGCAAGCGGGGAGGAGTGTGGAGTCAATGGAGGTCCGTGTCATATCAGGCTAAAGAGTGACAGCCAAAACTTGCCAGGAACAGGAAGTTCGGAAAGTCGGTCGAAAGGCATGAGCATTTGTGGTTTGATCGAGATTATCAGCCGCATGATGATGATGACAGTATTGAGTCGTCGAGGTATGGTGAATTAATAGATTATTATCGGTACACATCAGTCATGTACTTTCGCTTCGTACCAGGCATTTTGCAGTCGAAGACTACGATTCTTACAGTCGTCCAGGCTCACGATACTTCATCACACCCCTTCCCTTGAACTTCACCTGCGGCTCATGATCGTCATGCCCTTCTCCTCCTCCCCCTAGTCTTCCACCATCACCAAGTCGACCCTCGTCCTGCTGCTGGTATCCACGACGATCGCGCGAAGGACGATATCGATCATCCTGTCTTCTTCCAGCATAGTCCTCGCCGCCTCGTCGTGGACTAGGACGGTATCTATTGTCGTCTCCGCCATAATCGCGTTTGTATCGGTCGTCTCCGTACTGGTTCGGTAGACTCCTCCGCCTTCGCTCGAACTCGCGCGGGTCCTCTGCTTCGCGCTTCTCTCCCGCGTGCTCCTCTCTTCTATCCACGTGTCGGCTTGGAGACTTGCTGCGTTTTCGCTTGTGCTTCAGTACCGGGGACTGGGAGTCCTCGTTCCCTTCCTCTTCGCCGGTGGTTGACAGTGCATTCGAGTCTGATCTTGATCCTGATCGTGCCCGAGGTCTTCCACGCAAACCTTCGTCGACCTCGTGGTCGCTCTGTCTTCGATTTCGTGGTTTGGGTGGCTCGGGACTATCAGCCATGTCCTCGTCCGACTGATTGCTCTTTCTTCTTCGACCTCTATCCCCACTAATTGATTGTGTAGGCGGCTGAGGCTGTGCTTCAGTCTTCTTCTTCTTTCGCTCAAGCTCGCCGCATTTCGCAACCAGCACGGGCTCCAATGGCCTGTCACCCTTATCCACGTCGACCTCTGCGATCTTCTCCAGCACATCTTGTCCAGATACTAATCGTCCAAAGATTGTATGCTTGCCGTTCAGATGAGGACACGGCTCGAGAGTAACGAAGAACCTGTAGGCATCGAACAGTCAGCAACTCAACCCCGACCAGGCATGGAGTATATTCAGGTTGCGTACTGACTACCATTCGTATTCTTTCCCCGATTAGCAGAACAAACCAACCCCGCTGCATCCATCTCCCGCCAGTCCAAGTTCTCATCATCAAACTCTCCATCGTATATGCTTTGCATGCCAGTCCCGTCACCATTGGCTATATCGCCGCCTTGGATCATGAACTCGTCGATGACTCGGTGGAAGGGGACTTGTTGGAAGGACATGCCATTGTGCTCGCCGGTGCACAGTTGCCTGAAGCTACACACATATTGTGATTAGCATGGGCAGCTATGGTGAGCTTAGGGTTGCGACCATACTTCTCGCATGTCCTCGGTGTCTTGTCAGCAAAGAGCTCAATCGTCAATCGACCAGCCGGTTGCTCTCCAATGTTGATATCGAGAAAGCATCTCGGCCGCTGTACGTTAGCCGGTACGTTAGCCATCTTCGAGATGCAGTAGTGATTTTTGTGTTAGGCTACCATATGACTGGCAGATCTTCAGCTCTTGTGACTCGCTGGAAACATCTGCCTATTCACATGCAAAGGCTCGGAAGCCCTCGGATCCGGATGTGGGGGCTGACTCATTTGCGGGCGACTTTCGTTCTCTTCTATTGGCAATTGCTGAGAACTTCGCCTCATTCATAACACGGACAAGGTGGCGTGTCATGAACGAGCGAGTTGTGAACGACCGAGTGCTTACGCCAGTACACTAGTAGCAGTAATAAAGCATTAAAGTGGGTCGGGCTTCTGAGGGTCTTCAAGCAACATGCTGCCTCTCATTCAAAATAATGATACACACGACCCGCACAACCCTTGATCATCCCCTCTTGCTCGTCCGCCGACGAGCAGCTTTCTTCTGCAAATCAAGCTGTCTCATACTTCCCTTCACCTTCTTGCGCTCCTTACGAGCCGCATGCTTCTCCTGCATCACCTCCTCGATCGCCTGATCATCCCTTCGCTTCTGCCGGGCAGCTACTCTTTCGTCTTCAGCATCCTCTACAGATTAACAAACGGTCGGCGCGTCATTGACTTTCTTGACCGTATGTTTGACCGGTATCAAATCCTCGATATCATCGTCCCCGACGAGAGCGGAGCGGAGACGACGATCTTTCAATGCCGCAGTGCTGGCGCGGACATTGGCCAGGCGCGCGTGAATTTGACGCTTATGTCTTCCCGAGGCGTCTAGGATAGGAAGACCATAGATGGTGACCTCCTGCTCGACACCCTCCTTCGGCTTGACGACCATCCGATATGGCGCCACCGTGCCAGGATGAGCCGGGACCGATCTCCTCAAAGCCCGAGTCACAAGTTCCCCGCTCAGGAGATCGATCTCACTGCCCAGCACAGAATGGCCACTCCTGTCCGACCACCGAGCCATCTGCAATTGGATCTCCAAAGCATCCAATCGGCACCACACACAACGTTTCTTATGGCCTGCTGGCTCACGATCGCACGACGATGCCCGGATGCGCTTGGCCATGTGCAGGTATAGTCGGGCATAAGTTGGGCCTACGAAGATCCTTCTCAAAGTCCCGGCGGAACACTGTAGGCGGTGAGGAAGGGGCTGGCCGTTTAGTGCGGAGATGTTCTTGTGCCAGATCGTGGGCGGGAGCTCGACGGACGTTAGTCCAGGCAGATTGTGTAAAGCTCTGAGGATACCTTCACCGATCTCCGGGGATATTCCATCAAGCCAGCCAGTTGAAGTGAACGACAAGTTACGGATCTTGAGCCTGACGCTCTGAGGCATGGTTTGACGGCGAGTTCCGGCCCAAGGATTCCGTATCGCATTATTGGGCTTCTGTGGCCCGATATCCAGGAGGAGCATACCCGCGTCATCATAGCAGAAGGTATTCCGCTTCCAGAACAGTCCCTCCGTCTCGTGAGAAATCTGTCTGTTGACACGCTGGAGACCCAGGTCTTTGCGAGTGCGACATAGCTCCTCACATGCCTCGATGTCATGCCATGGAACATTGTCCTCTAGGTGGATGTTCAAGGGCATGAAGACTGGCCTTTCGCAATCGGCATTGAGATCGCGGAAAGCGCAGCCGGACAGGTGGCGTCGGTGCCAGAGTGGTTGTTCGGTCAGGACTTCGTGGTAGATGAGGTCGCGGAGCTCACGGGGGAGGTCAAGAAAGGCAGATCCCTTGGCGTGGATGGTCAGGATTCGGAGCCCATTTGGCAAAGTCGCCATATCGATGTCCGCCATGTTTGATTCACGGGTGGCCAAGTCATGCGGACTAGAAGAGGTTGTTGGAGAGAAAAAGGAATGCACAGCTGCAACTGACTATGGCAGTTGCAGGATTGAGAATGCTCGACGACGTGAACCGGAAGCTATCTTACTTATACCTGATCTCATAGTGACTTTATCCACATGACGACAGCCTCGCTATGCGGTGGCTGCTTTCGTATGTCTGAAGATGCTTTGCTCCGTGTGAGAAAAGGTGGGAGGGTAAGCAGGTATCCTCAGATTGCTACTGAGCGAGTGTCTGCCTTCCGACTTGTCCCTTACGATTCGTTACGGCAGATACCAACAGGTGGAAGCATGAGTCCAGTGAATCGTAGATGGGGCCTCCACTTGTGACTATACATGTGTGTCGGATGAAGTGTGTGCGACTTCTCGTCGACATGCAGGCGAACAGCGCTACTGCAGGAACGAGCCATATATGATCTAGCGCCAAAAGCGATGCGGAGCTCCAGCTACCACTTTCGCGACCAGCCATTCGCATGTCAAATGAATGATGGATGAACCTCGTCGCATTCACTGACACTCTCGTTACCCGCGAACCAACATCAGTCGATCATTGTTGCGTAGTCGCTCACTTGTTTCCCTCTCATTGTCGCGACACCACCACCAGCACCGCCACCATAACATCTTCCGTGATCACGACGACACCACCTCACCCAACCGCGATACTTGAGTGAGAAGCAATGGTGGACGCGGACGAGATCATCGATGAGGTGGTCGGCGACGAGGAGATGGGAGAAGCGACAGGGCTGGACCCGACTGAGGCGGTGGATGCAGATGACGAGCCGACAGGGTTGGAGGACATTGAGCCAGATGTGCCTGAGCGCACCACCTTCCTCGAGTAAGCGCGAGACGACAGCTCAAGGCGCATACAACGCACGTCGCTAAGACATTGGGCACAGCTACCTCCGCTCCCCAATCATCCAACTCGTAGTCGGCCAAGGCGCAGAACAAACCACCCTCTCCGCCCACCAAGCCCTCCTCACTAAATCCCCCTGGTTCGCCGCACAAGTCGACGTCTTCTCCAAGACTACCACCACCCCCCGCACCATCGACCTCGCAAACGACGACCTCCAAGCCACCTCCAGCGTGCTCGAATACCTCTACAAATCCGACTACTACCCCCGCATGACCGGCACCCAAAGCATGGAATACGACACCACCGTCCCCCAACCCGACAACGACGGCATCGGCCTCCTCCGCCACGCCCGCGTCTACAGCCTCGCGCAACGATTCGGCCTCCCCGCGCTAGCGAGTATGGCGCACCGCAAAATCACCCTCACACAATCCACCGCCCGGGGCGAAATCGCCTACGCCCGTTTCGTCTACACGGAGACGAGTCCCGACGATATCACGATCCGGAAACCCGTTGCGCATTTCTGGGCCACACGCAGTCATGTCTTGCGACATGAGGCCGAGGCGGAATTCAAGCGCATGTGTCTCGAGTTCCCGCAGTTCGGGTATGATGTCCTTAGTCTCGTGCTCGATCAGCAGGAGAAGCGGAGTGCAAGGGCGGAGGCGCAGAGTACCGCTCCGGCGAGCGGGAGGAAGCGGCAGAGGGTTAGTGGGATTGTGCCTTGAGTTCTTGCTGTTTTGTTGGGGAGAGGGCGCTGACGATGTGGTGTAGATGATCTAGCGCGGCGGACTACGAAAAGCCGAGTGTTAATGATCTAGTGAGCTTGCATGTGTGATTATAGCTTTCCTGTGTTGATGGTGTACAGTATGCCAATACTCTACCTCAAGGTACCCCCTCGGCACCTCTTCAATTCCGACATATCAAATCGCAACTTTACGATCCCTGCGCGAGTACTAGGCAAAGGCCCTTGAGGAAATGTGGATTAAGTATAGCACGTCTCTAGCAGGACTCTTAGTATTGTTCGTGCCGAAGGCCGATGGGGGTTCTGTGATTGTGCATTTTTGGCTGACTATCGAAGGCTGGATGCAAGAACAATCAAGACTCGCTGACTGCCTGCACACTCATCGATCACCCTTCGACATCGCGAGAAATCACTGCTTGGCTCAGGCCACCGCTGCTAAGCCATACTCATCTACCAATTCTACCGCTAGAACTCTCACGAAACATGAAGCTGCCAAGGTGGTAAGGATATCCGCTGAGCTCCTGAAGCTACCGCATTTTATGGAACCAACCTGCCGGGATTTCTGGAGGAAACCATGGAATCGCACAGGAGTCCCTTATCGACCCATTCTCATCCACAATTCCACCATCCTCATCTCACGGATCATGAGGCTGACCAGACGCTCAAGAACACTTGCTTTTGACTCTTCCACATACTCACGACAGGAATCTCACGAAACATGAGGCTGTCCAGGTGGCGTGTGCACATCTGCTTCTAGCGCACGTGCTTCCTGTTCGCGCTGCGGTGTCCAGTCCACGACCCGCCACAAGAACGTCGGATACTGGTTGATACTGGGACCTTGTTGCGTAGTAAAGATGTGTAGCTCCGAGAGCATCTTAGCGCCGTAGCCGCCCTGCGGGCTTTTGTGCGAGGCCAACAGCCACGCCGCGGCCTTGTTCGGATCAGTGCCTAAGATGGCGGCGAAACAGCTGTGGCGTGGTTAGCTCGATGGTTTCGGTGCTGATGTCTACATATAGATCTGTTGCAAGGGTAATAAGGCTTACTGATCCCCCGCCTTCAATACGAGGCCCGGCCAATGCGGAAGGCCCTGGGTCCCGGCGCGGAGCACGAGGCACTGCTTGACCACCGACAACGTCTCCTGCGACAAGCCTGCATGGCCCATGAAGATCACCGTGTTCAGGTTCCTCAGGTTATGCGTCCACGTGTCGAATGGGGCCGCTTCGGTCCATCGCTGGTTCCACGCATATCTTGTGCGCTGCTTTTGCTCCTCGAAGAACAGGATGTCGGAGAGGTGGTCGGGATGGAAGAGATGTGCGCCCGGTAGTAAGAGTCCCGACGCTCTCAATTGCTCGAACCTGGCCGTCGGCGAGAGGGCGTTCTGGACTATGATGATGTTGGCTGGGGCGTTGAGGATGAAATTATATCGAGCGCCAAAGGCCTGCGGATCGAGTCGTTAGCACTTCTATGGTCTTTGGTATGGCCCTGCTAATTGAGGGTCTTTCCGTCTCACCGTGGCCTGTGTCGGCTTGTTGTTCTCGTAGGACATGTAGACGTGGTGGTCGGGGCGATTGCAGGGGTCCGGACAGATCTGCTGGTAGAAGTGCTGGAATCCTGGATCTTGCATCGCATCTCGCGGGGACTTTGCATAGGCCCCGGCAAAGTGGCGAGACCAGTATTTCGTCATCTCCGAATGGGTGTAGTAAGCGTTGTCTAGGCCTTGCTTCCCGTAGATCCTCTGGTATTGCTGCTCCGCGGCTTGCTCCGACGCCCACATCAGGCCATTGAGTATGCCGCCTTTGGTGGCGTAGCTTGCGACGTTTACATCTGCACAATGGACTGGCATTGCACGCTCGTCGAGGATTGCATGCTTGGTGTTGTTGCCGGACGACGGCGGTAGTTGACATCCTTCGACATCGGTGGGACCTTTGCCTGCAGGTCTGTTACGTGCTGCCTGACTGTCGACAGACTTTCCGTCGAGAGTCGATCCATACTCCGGAAGTGCAGCTGTTGCCGCGGATGTGATGGCTAGGAAATATATCAAGCTCGGTATAAAACCTAGCATCGTGCTTGGAGATCCTTCCCAGGCCCGGGGATGTTTGGTGAGAAGACTTTCAGAATGCTTGGAAGGATCGAGGGAAAGGGGGATGTGATTAATGGAAAGGCTTCTGGTTGAGAGGTAGGGCGTGGATCTTTATACCAGTTGGCCCTGCCTGCCAGCACGAAGCCATCAGCCAATCTCGTGGTGATGACAGCTCATAGCATGTCCGAGTCCCTAGGCCAGCGCAATGCCCATGATCACATAGCCGGGAATCATATGATGGCAGATGGTTATAGGAGAATACTATTACCATGCCAGAAGACCGTGATCCGTTCGACAAGGCTTCACGGCCAATGCTGCACGGAAGCATGAGCCGAACGTACTTTGAAGCATTTGATAAGTACGCACCTGGTCTACACACGGCGTGATTTACATCACCAGTTTCGTCTTCTGGAACTATCAGAGCGCATGTCCATTCAGCCTCAAATATGTATCAATGGCCAAAATCGCGGACTAACACGAGTCCTGCAGCAGCCAATGGTGAAATCTCCCACTCGGTCGTATCTCTTTATCGCCAAGAGCATGTCCTCATTAGCACTACCTACAACCCTCCCAAGTTTCCATAGCATAAATCGTGAAAAGGTACGCCTGAAAGCATAGAACCACCATCATACCATCGGAATACACCAGTCTTCGAGAACAGAACACCATAGGACTCTGATTACGTATTTCTCAGACTCTGCGCACACAATGAGCGACCACCCTGTCGACTCAGATTATTTCTCGTTCGGTGGTGTCCCGAGCAGGATTCTTCCCGCGGTGCTCATCGTGCTCCTCCAGTTCGTGCGGAGGTCGATGCAGCTGTACACCGAATGTGTTCTTGAATGGCTTTTGTTGCTCTGCCAAAGCTTTTTGCTCCAATGCAGCCGTGTATGGGGCCAAAGACCACACAAATGTCGGAAGCTGCGGCGTCTGCCCATTGTCGTTCGGAGCATCGGTGGTGAAAACCCGTACACCGGTCAAGATGGTATGGCCGAGGCCGCGACGGTAGTCCGGACTGTCCCGGTGCGATGCTAGCAACCAGCCGATCATTGTGTTTGGTTTCGTGCCCAGTATGGTGTAAAAGCAGCTGGAAACCCGTATTAGCGTTGTACTTCTCATGGGAGAGAGCTGGAACACTATGCGCAAGCTCACCTAGACCCAGCAGTGAACTGTACCCCGGGAAATGCTGGAATCTTTCCGATCTGCATGCCAGGTTCCTCAGGACCCATTTCTTGGTAGACACACTGCTCGACAGCCTGGAGCATGTCCGCACGCATAGCAGCACGAGCCACAATGATCTCTTTCAATTTGCCCATAAGGCGCTCCAGATCTCGTCGTCCATATCCCCAGTTTTGCCAACGGACGGTATATGGGTGCTGTCCATGCTCACTTCGAATAGCAGCGAACAGAACATTGGATCGGTGATAAGGGATAGGTAGCATCGGCTCTATCTGGGCCTGAGCAAGGTCGGGCATTGCAGATTTCAATAGCGCCGTTGGCGATTGGGCCTCCTGGATTGTAATTATGCCCGCTGGGATGTTCATGACGAAAGCCAATTTCGCTTTCGTGACCTGGCAGACCGGTCAGATACGCACCACTGGACTGGTCTAAAGACTGCTTACATGTTTCTCCTTGTCGACCGTGACTTTCCCAGCCCCTGATTTGTCGTTCACCCAAGTGACAAAGTAATGAGCCCCGGGAACATTCATATTGTGCGGGCAGATGTATCGATATGCGGTCTGAAAGTCTTGTGCTTGGAAGTCAGTAACCCACTGTTGCTCACTACTCTGAGAACTCCAGTACTGCTTTAACTCGTTCGCCTCCAATAGCGGAGCTTTCAGCCCGTGCTTGTGCGTCCATTGCTGGTAGATTCGTTCCGCATCATTCTCGTCGGCCCACATCAGCTTCATCAGCTGCAAGCCCGTCTCCATACACTCTTTCGTGTTGATCACGCTGGGATTTGCTTGCGATGCTGGCAAAACACGCTTTGTATGGTTGGAGTCCTCGTTCTTCGCTGATATCCACGAATCACTGACCTCGGTGGTACGGCTCTGCTCACGGGAGTTAGAAGTTGTGAGTCGTGATAGTCCATCCTGGGGTAGGGCAGCTGATGTGGTGAGTGAGGGTGTGAGCAGTAGTACGAGTAGCACAGGTACAAGGAGGACCATCGTGACCAGAAAGGACTTTGAGATGTGCGTGTAGATGTGACGCAGGACTGGCGGGATAAATGTTGCACGGATGCCCACCCTGTGCAACCCTCTGTGGTCGCAATCAAATTGTGTGGAGGATGTCGAGAAGTTGGGCCATAGCCCCTTGTTTATGGTGCCAGATCCAAAGCGCCAGCGCAGAGAGTCAGAAGCGGGCAGCAGCCCACCTTTCACTCTAGTATGTCGTTGCCAGCACGCGGACACAGCACAGCACCATGTGGCAAGCATTTGCAGAGCGGCCCGCTTATGCTTCTGTACCAAAGATAGGAGACCTTAGCAGCGGACGTAGCAGAAGGCGTTCGCGGACACGTGTATCCCAGTTTCAGCGCTTGAGTATGTGCACAGACATACATCGTGGACTAGATTTGCGTGATATCTCTTGGGCGTATGCCTTCGCGTTGTGTGACTTCAAAGCCATACAAGTCTACGCCGTCCTCGATCCGCGTTTGTGAGATCGCAAAAACCAAGGTCTTTGGGTACCGTCTGACATGGTCGATCAGGCCTCATGTAGAGGTCCGTAATGAGGCGTGGCGCGGTGCCACGGCCACTTCTGAATAGTGATTGATCGATGGAGTTGCGTTATAGTAAAAGAGATGACAAGAGAGTGTCGTGTCGGGAAAGCCTCACGGCAGCCTGGAGGAAGGGCCTGGGCGCGGAGACGTCCGGGTCACCATGGAGGAAGGTGCCATCGATATCAGTATACTGCTACATACCATTTCATACACCGAGCGCCTCGCTCATTCAATCGACTCTTCGTTGTACTATGAAATAAAACATAAGCAGTCCAGCCCAACATAGAACACGAAAAGGGGATACATAGCCAGCGCAACCCTGTTCTTGACAACGCCACTGCCACCTAAGATGCTGACACCTGCGGCTAGTGACCAGAGTCCAAGAACGCTGTACACTGGTATTCGGACGATGGTCGGTACTCGTAATGCACTGAGTAGCGCGGCGATGACCAGAGGGAAGAGGGTGTAGCCGATAATGCAGACGGATTGGAAGAAGGAGCTAGCATGGATGTCAGTGAAGTCATGCTGGTTGATGAAATGGGAGGCACGTACATATTGCCTCCGAGTAGCTTGATTTGCATCGTGACGATCGCTTCGCCCAGCCATACTGTGGCAAAGACACCACTGAAGACCAGTGACCGCTGATCCTCTCTTGCGTTGAGTGAGAGAAGGAATGATAGCAGCAGGCAGAATAACAGTGGTCCCCTGTCATTCGTGTCAGCAAGTGGTCCTCCCAGTATCACGACCAAGGGTTTCACAATAACATACCACAGATCCCAATCTCTCAGCCCTTCACTCATACCGCCCTGCAAAACAGCATCTGCATCAGGCCACCTGCCCACCAGCCCTCGCAAAGTCTCAACACCACCCGCGAGACTGTTCCCATCTCCTCTCTCCGCACCGCCCATACCACCACCTCTCTGCATCATACCACCAAGCAGGTACTTAGGCCAAAGCACCTGCCTCATTTTCTCCCACACAGCCAGCAGATCTCGCCTTAATGTCTCCCATACCGACTCGTCGATAGTATTAACAGGTGCCCGTCTGTCTTCGCCAGGTATTGCCGAGTTCAAGTAGCCTTGGGTATTGTTCGCTGCGCGGTTGTTCTGGTTGGCTTGGGTGGAGGAGATGTTGCCGGTCAGGGGTGCGCGGTCGGAGGTATTGATCGGGTCGTCGAGGTCGTCGAGGGTGGCTATAGCCGTCAGTATGTGCGTCAGTACTCTGGAGTGTTCCTGACCTTACCGTCATCAGGATCTATCAGATCGTCGTCCTCCACTGTAGGTGAGTCGTAATGCTCATATGGGTTGCCTGATTGGCCATTGTTGCTGCCGGGTCCTGGCATCATCGCAGCCATTGTCGATGTGAGTGTAGTTCTGAGCTTTTCTATCTTCCTCCAATGCAGTTTTTGACTTAAGAGACCTTTAGATGGTAATCCTACTCTTCTCCGAAACTCAAAGCTGCCTGAACTTGACGCGTTTCAGACAGTGGGCGCTCCCGTCTCGCGCCTTCCCAATCTGCATCGACGCTATCACATGATCGTTCATCCTCAACTTCACTCTACTTTCTTCCTACTTCGCACTCCAACTTCATAAAACATCATCTTCCACGACATACTCGGCTTGGCTAAACACCTTGCAGTCTAGCTATGGTCACCAGATACCGCTGCCCATAAAGATAGGACGATTTCACTAAGTACATTGACACGCAGAACAAAAGCCGATATGCATCTGCAAACGGCCGAGCGAAAGTGCTGGAAGAAGATCCACATATCTACACGTGATCGATTGAATGACTGTGTGGAAGCTTGCGTTTGCAATGATTCCAGACTTCTTGCAATAACCACGGCATTGTCTTTACACCCCTGACAAGTAGTGCCTCCGCCACGAGATGGAAGAGCAGTCTGGTCTGACGTATGCAAAGTCCGGCGATTACTGCATGTCGCTGGACTGCTGTAGACTGAAAGTCAAGGAATATAATTGCGGCACGATCGAGGTTTTCGACATCTCTAGTCTACCTCTCCTCGACGGCGATGACAGTGCAGCCAAGTACACGGGACCTACCATCCTCAAAGTCTACTCCACGAGGCAAGTGGCCACAGATCTCGTACCAACAATTGGAGTTGGAGATCTCAACTGACGTGCATCCAGCGAAACACCAGAAGCTGACGGCATATCAAGGAAAGACGAACAGAACAGCCGTGCACTACTCGTTACAAAAGCCGAGAGGGAGGCCAATGCATTGTCCTTACTGAACAGAATAGGCTGCGAGCACGTCCCAAGACTCCTGTCACGATGGATCGAGTCAACCAGGGACGATGAATCCGACGACAGCACCGAGGGTAGCCCTTGCAACGGCTTCTGCGACTTCTCGCTCAAGCACTACATCCTCATGACTAAAGTCCCTGGCATCACGCTCGAGTCTGGATGGGATCGGCTAGCAGTTGACGAGAAAGTCCAAACAATAAAAGCCTTTGTAATTGCAATAGCATCTGTGCAGAAATGTGGCGTCGACAATGGCAGTGCTCACCTCGGCAATGTGATCTGGTCTGAGCAAGAGAATAAGTGGTAAGCCTACTCGACCAGCACAAACCTCTCTCTCAGCACTCTCTGATTTGCGTATAGCTACATCGTCGACTTCGAACGTGCGACGTACAAGCGACACAAGTTCAGGTCGACGGACCCAGACGATTGGGGCATGTACTAGTAGCGCTGGTGGTGAGGCAATGCTGGATGATGGAATGAAATGGTCGGTGAGCATACAAGACTGGACTCGCATGCATCAATGTTTGCGAAACCCCGGCTTCCGCACGTACGACTGATCGGCATCTACTACGCAATTGGATCTGCTGAGAGCAGATCAGGCTTGCAAGAAGTGATACGCTTGGTGCAGATGCTCGATAGATCATCTTCACAACATATCTCACCTTGACTCACCCAGAGGCACAATCTCAAAACTGACGCTATGACAATGATTCCGCCGTCCCTTGAACGGCTGCACCTTCCCATCAGCACTTGTAGCTCGAGCGATAGCCGTGTACCTCCTAGGCTGCAGATTCAGACGCAGAAGAAAGCGTTGCCAGCTCATATCAACTCGTGGCTCAACACGAGCAGCCTCCCAAGTCTCACCACCGTCGACGCTAACATCCACACATTCAACAGGCTCAGCATCCCAGCCCCAACCTTCAATGAGCACCTCAGGGCCCTCGACGATGACGCCCGTTCCCGGCCTCGTAATCATAGAATTAATCTCAACCTGCCAAACCGGCCTCATACTTCCCTCAGGCCCCTCAGGATCAACCTCATTATAGAGTACCGTCGTAAACGGCCCCATCGCACGACAATCCTGCACCGTGAGCTTAGACAACCACTTTGTAGAATTCGTGCCAAACCAACCCGGCACAACCAATCTCACAGGGCCCCCTCGCTCTTTACCAAGCGGGCGCCCATTGATCTCGTACGCTACCAATACCTCCGAACTGAAAGCTTTGGCGATCGGCAGGTCTTTCTGGTATCTATCTGCGTTTACCCCGGCGAAGGAGCCGCGGTCTAGGCCTTCGGACCAGATGTGCGAGGCGTTGGTCAGAGGGCTGGCGAGGCCGAGGAGGTATGCGAGTGGGACGCCTGTCCATTGGACGTTGCCGATGCGCCAGAGTGCTTCGGTGGCGGGTTTGAGAGGACTACCGTAGCATTCGTGGAAGGCCGTGATGGTGTGTCTGGGCATTGTCCGAAGCTGCTCGAGGTTAAGGGCAAAGGGGTGCTCGACTAGGCCGGTGATCACGAGGTGCCATTTGGATGGATCGACGACGGCGGCGCCAATGTGGATTGTCTGGAAGAGCTTGTCATCTGGTGTTATGAAGGTGTCTAGGTCGTGGGGTGCAGGTGGGTGACGGATCGTGAAGCCGGCTGGTTCTAGTGCTACGAATGCTGCGCGCTCTTCATCGTTGATAGGCACAGGTAGGTAGTCCTTCGCCAACAGAGTGGGAACAGTTGTGCTCGTGGATGCGGCCATATTGGAAACCTCCCTGCTTGAATACAGCTGGGCGCATGGCTGCTGGCTATCGCGCTTGCCAGCAGTTGTTCTCGACAGATAGTGACGACTACGTCAAGGCTGTCAGGGGAATCACTGGACAAGCGTTGGACGGAGACATGGAGCCGTTATTGATCCTGTGAAGTCCTACGCCTCATTGAGAATGACAGCCCTACATACCTCTGCCACCACGGCAGACGCACGAGCAGAAGTGAGATCCGAGCTCGGTAAAACCACTACTGCACAAGTACCTGCGTACCTACCTTAGTGGGAACAGTAGTCAGCTTTGACGTCGCTATTGCATTGACACGGTCCGACAACGAGCCAAGACTCGGTGAACTAGAATAATAATCAGCATGCCATGCAGACAATCGGTTCGACGACGTCTCTTGACATGTGCAAATGCAAGAAGAACATGTGAACGACGTTGAGAGATAGCGAGCTGGCAGCTGACAACGTTGAGAAGCATGCGAGACTTCTGATGGTGTGGAGAGGGCTGCACTTCTGAACACGCTCTCACGGTATTGCTGTTGCCTTGTAAACGATACAGCCAGACGGCCATGTCTTCTTTCATCTCTACGGCCGGGTGTGTATGTCATTAATTATTACCTTGTGGCAGCTTGATGTTTGCCACCGCGAGCTCGGATGCGGGTGCAGTAGGGATGATTCAGCCTAGACAGGCTTCCAGAAGCAGGTCCCTGAAACGCGGTCTTCCCCAGATCTGCACGTCCGGCGCCTCAGCCGGTACAGACAATGTTTGCTCGAGGGGGCGACAAGATGGTTGAGACATGATTCTACCATTTAAACACGCACGAATTAAACAGTAAAGATGCTGGTAGCGTACAAATATGCCAGCTGTACAGCTCCATCCTCTTCTCGTGACGTGAGCAGATATCCCGCTGCCTGTAGCGATGCAAACGTGAGCTCGCGTGTCGTACGATATTATTATTGATGGGAATCGCCCTGCCGAACTATGACGCAAAGGCAGAAGTCGTTGAGCCATTGCACCAATCATGTCTTAGCTCCGAAATCTCTCGGCCGTGACAAGCCCAGCGACCCTTCAGCCACACACACCGCCGAGATCCAGACACGCCAGAAGTGTTATTTCTCGGCAACTGGGAGAGATCGAGTGAATGAAGTGTTGAGCTGCGGGCAAAATCGCCTGGGTGGTGCTCTGTGTTATTTCCCCACATTTTCGCTTCCGTCACTGGACGAGTGATTCGCTTCAAAAGTCTTTCGTGCCACTTGTCTCTGCATTGTCCTTTCCTCTCATACCACCTACAACAATATCACCGGCCACCTCTCACCTGCCGACTTGCTCACTTTCGTTACCTACTGCGAGTGCACTTATCTGCTCAGGCTCGAGCACAACTACATCCCACCTTTTGCAGAGATATCACTACCTGCAAGCATAGCAGCATAACCAGCGAGCTACTCACCTACCACGACCACGATGCCTTCGCATCAGCCAACTGCCGGCATGATGGCTGTGGACCCGGAATTCCTCTCCTCGCAGCCATCGCCGGCCTCCAAGCCTGCACCTCAAGAGCCGGTCAGGAACAAGAAATATGACCCCAAGAAGCCACACATCACCGAGACACCACTCACACGAAAAAACTGGTACAAGCATGTGAATTGGCTGAACGTGGTGCTCATCGTTGGCATCCCAATAGCCGGATGCATTGCTGCAATCTGGACACCACTTCGTCTTCCTACCGCCATCTGGGCAGTTGCATATTACTTCGCCACTGGCCTCGGTATCACAGCTGGCTACCATAGGCTATGGGCACACACATCATACTCTGCGACCGTCCCATTGAAGATCTTCTTGGCTGCTGTTGGTGGCGGCGCCGTCGAGGGCTCCATCAGGTGGTGGGCTCGTGATCATCGTGCTCATCACCGCTACACCGACACCGAGAAGGATCCCTACAGTGTTCGCAAGGGTCTGATATACTCGCACTTCGGCTGGATGTTGATGAAGCAGAACCCAAAGCGTATCGGCCGCACCGACATCTCCGACCTCAACGACGATAAGGTTGTTCAGCTCCAGCACAAGCACTACCTGAAGGTCGTCCTCTTCATGGGCTTAATCTTCCCATGCCTTGTGTCTGGTCTCCTCTGGAATGACTGGCTCGGTGGCTTCATCTACGCCGGTATCCTCCGCATCTTCTTCGTGCAGCAGGCCACCTTTTGCGTTAATTCTTTGGCTCACTGGCTCGGCGACCAGCCATTCGACGACCGCAACAGCCCTCGCGACCACATCATCACCGCCCTAGTCACCCTCGGCGAAGGCTACCACAACTTCCACCACGAGTTCCCATCTGACTACCGCAACGCTATCGAATGGCACCAGTACGACCCGACCAAATGGTCCATCTGGGCCTGGAAGCAAATGGGCCTCGCCTACGACCTGAAGCAGTTCCGCTCCAACGAGATCGAGAAGGGCCGTGTGCAGCAACAACAGAAGAAGCTCGACCAGAAGCGCTCCAGGCTCGACTGGGGTGTGCCGCTCGACCAGCTTCCGGTCATGGAGTGGGATGACTACGTCGACCAAGTCAGCAACGGCCGTGGCCTCATCGCCGTCGCTGGTGTCGTGCACGACGTCTCCGATTTCATCAACGACCACCCTGGTGGCAAAGCCATGATCAAGTCAGGTCTCGGCAAGGACGCCACCGCCATGTTCAACGGCGGTGTCTACAACCACTCCAACGCCGCGCACAACTTGCTCTCAACCATGCGAGTAGGCGTTATCCGCGGCGGCATGGAAGTCGAGATCTGGAAGCGCAATGCCGGTGAGAACAAGGATGCCATGATCGTCAAGGATGGGAATGGTAGCCGTGTTGTTCGTGCTGGCGAGCAGGTGACTAAGGTCTACTCGCCGCCTGCCAGCGCTGGCGCGGCATAGATGGATGATGGCAAGGAGAATTTTGTTTTCTGAATCGGTTCGCGTTTGAGCGTGAGGTGTGCTATGGATTGGCGGGAGGCGAAGGGACAATGTGTTCCGATTGATTGATAGCAGCGAGCTTTTCTTACGTTCGCTTGTCAATAGATTTGCCAGACGATACTGATGTCTGATGAGAATACCAACCACTACGTTGCACAAACTCTTCACTTTTCGTCCATCTCCTGCCGAATTACAACAAACCTGTGCATCGACGCTGTAACTGACATGAAGCCGTATGCGTGCGCGATGACCGATCGAGTGAGAGTTGGTGCGGCTTGGGTCGAATCACGGTACTGTCATAATTTTCGATCATCACACCATCATATACTGCATTACTATGCGATATTGTCGTCCGAGCTGCGGCTTACACGCGTACTGCCTTCCAACCGCCAGTGTGATTATTCAGATTTCTGCATCTGTGGTCACGGTACTGGTAGACACAGTCGTGTTTCAGGACAGTCCAGTCAAATACTGGCGATATTGCTTGTCAAGCAGCGTTCAGTGGTATATTTCGACGACGACGATTGATACCTGGCATCTGCATCCTGCCAAGCTGACCAGCGGAGAGTGCTGTCGAAAGTCGGTGGAGGAGGGATCAAAAGGGCACGTCTTGGCATTGCGGAAGTTCTCCGCTCGCATGTGAAAAGCTTCCTTCGAAATATTTCCCATCGGTACAGCAGAAATGTTCGCAGTCAAAGGCTGGTCGGTCGACAATTCGACGCTGAAGCCTCAACTAGAGGTCTTCAGCAAGGCTACAAATGCAAAAGAGCCTGCCGCGCCGGGAGAAGGCAAGAAGAGGAAGCGGAAGCGCAATGAAGCCCCAGCAGCGCAGACGGAGCAAGATGTGGGCAAGTTGTGGGAGCAGCATATCGAGGGCAAGGATCCGTTGAAGGCGAAGAAGAAATTGGAGAAGGCGAAGAAGAGGCAGAAGCTTGATCAGCCGAAGGAGGCTGCTCAAACACATGGAGTGGTGGCAAAGGCACCCGAGGTCACATCGCAGCAGGATGGAGTGAAGAAGATGAAGAAGGACAAAAAGTCTAAGAAGTCTGGCCAGCCACCTACCGAGAAAAATGCAGCACCAAGTGGCGAACAGGCCAATGCTGTGGTAAAAGCAGCACCGCCACCAATACCACAACTCCCCGCTACAGCAAAACTCACCCCCATGCAAGCCGCCATGCGCCAAAAGCTCGTCTCAGCCCGTTTCCGCCATCTGAACCAAACACTCTACACCGCCCCCTCCGCTACAGCGCTCTCGCTCTTCGACCAAAACCCAGAAATGTTCGAGGACTACCATGCCGGATTCCGGCAACAAGTCGAGGTCTGGCCGGAGAATCCACTGGACAATTTCGTCGCTACGGTACGGACTCGAGGTGCTGTCAAACCTCCACGCTATCATGAGAAGAAGGGAGGGAAAGGCCGCGCCCCCCCTGCACCAGAAGTCAATGCAGAGGAAGCGGGCAAACCGACTGTCTTACCCCGAACCCATGGTACAGCCATCCTAGCCGATCTCGGTTGTGGCGATGCCCGCCTGGCGCAAACCCTCAGTGACTCGAACGATCTCAGCACCCTGACTCTCAAAATCCACTCCTTCGACTTGCATAGTCCTTCCCCACTAGTGACAAAAGCCGATATTGCCAACCTGCCCCTCGGAGACGGAAGCATAGACGTCGCAATCTTCTGCCTCGCACTCATGGGCACGAACTGGATTTCTTTCATCGAGGAGGCTTATAGAGTGTTGCACTGGAAAGGCGAGCTGTGGATCGCGGAGATCAAATCAAGATTCGGTAGGGTGGGTAAGGGTGGTAAAGTGGTGGAGCATAGTGTCGGTAGTAAGAGGAAGGCGGCTGTGATGAAGAAAGCTGCTGAGGCGAAGGCGAAGGTAGATGAGGAAGTGGACGAGCAGTCCCTCCTCCGCACTGAAGTTGATGGGCAGGAAGTCGTCAAGCAAGAAGAAACGGACGTGACGGCTTTCGTGGAGGTTCTGAAGCGGAGGGGTTTTGTGCTGAAGGATGGGGAGAGGTCGGTGGATCTGGGCAATAAGATGTTTGTTAAGATGGAATTCGTTAAGGCTGCTGTGCCGACGAGGGGAAAACGTGTTGCGGATGCTGAGAGGGAGAGGGAGAGGATGGGTGGTGGTGTTCCGGCGCAGGAGAAGTTCAAGAAGAAGAAGTTTTTGGCGGAGGAGGGGAAAGAGGGGGAGGAGGTGAGTGTGGAGGAGGAAGGGCGGGTGTTGAAGCCTTGTTTGTATAAGATTAGGTAGTGGTTATGAACATGAACAAACACTAGATCATAATCGGCCGTCCCGTCTCCTTGATAGCGAGACTTGCTATTCATCATATACAGCTTTTTTCCGCATTCAAACCCCGGACAAAAATCAATCCAGACTCCAGTCATACACTCATCTTCATCGCAATCCCCTTATGCGGCTCATACCCCACCACTTTGATATCCTCCACGTGCCACCCATCAACCTCACACCCGGCCGGCCTCGCCACCTCACTCATCTCCAGCGTCGGAAACTCCCTCGGCTCCCTCTGAATCTGCTCCTCCAACGCCGCGATATGATCGACGTAGACATGCGCATCCCCCATCGTATGCGTCAGCGTTCCCGGCACGAGATCCGCGCATCGTGCTAGCATGTGGGTGAGGAGGGCGTAGGAGGCGATGTTGAAGGGGACGCCGAGACCCATGTCGCAGGAGCGTTGGTAGAGGAGTGCGTGGAGGGTGCCTTTTTGGCTCCCGTCTTCTCTTATTGGGGAGGTGGGGGGGAAGGAGACGTAGAATTGGGCGAACATGTGGCAGGGTGGGAGGGCCATTTTGGTCAAGTCCGCGGGGTTCCATGCAGAGAGGATGATCCGGCGATCGTAAGGGTTCGAGCGGAGTTTTTGGAGCACGGAGGCTAGTTGGTCGGTTCCTTGGCCTGTGTAGTCGGTCTGGCAATCTTGGTATGAGGCGCCGAAGTGTCGCCATTGGAAGCCGTAGACGGGGCCTAGATCGCCTTCTGCTCGGTCCGTCAGGCCGATGGAGTCCAGGTAGGCTCTACTGGCGTTGCCGTCCCAGATCTTGACGTTTTGGTCCTGGAGGGTGGCGGCGTTGGTGTCGCCGGAGATGAACCAGAGGAGTTCGGCCAGGACGGCGCGGAAGAAGACTCGTTTGGTTGTTAGGAGGGGGAGGATCAGGGTTCCGTCGGGTTTTGATAGAGTATATTTGTGTTGGGGTGGGAAGGGGAGGGAGCGAGTTCCGGTTCCTGTGCGGTCTGGGCGGTGTTCGCCGTTGGTTAGGATGGCTTTGATTAGGTTGAGGTATTGGTATTCCTCGTGCTGTGGCGAGGGTTGAGGTGAGGGATGGCCGTTGCTATTGGGTTTGGTTTCTGGGATGAGGTCTACTTTTGGTCCGCTGGCTGGGCCGATGTCTATTGTCGCCGCTGGTGCCATTCCTATTACTCGATGGTGTAATGATATGGGTTTGTTCTGGACGACGCGTCGTGGCCGTGGCAGACGCGACTTGGTCGGAATTACTTCGGCAAGACTGACGCCATAGGTCTATGTGGCTTGACTTGGACATAGATACTGTACTTTTACTATCGACTGTCACATGCAACAACCAAACACATAACATCCATCAAGCATCCATTTCTGTTGTCGCATCAGTATCACCATCGTCAAGATGGTGCCAGGCGATCGTAAAACCCTCGTGTCCTGGTTGCCAGATGTGCTCCTCCTCATCGGCTTCGTAAGTGCTTGCATAGAACATCCACCCTCTTCGTGTAAGCACCACTAAAATGTTATGTTATGTTTTCAGCCCATCCTCGCCTACTTCTCCGTCCGCGAAGTGCTCAAACGTCTCGATCCCGACGCTGGCGCCAAAGCCGAAGCCCAGCAAAAAGCCCTAGCAGCGAGCAACCGCCTCCAGTCCATCTTCTCCAACCACGACCGAGATGACGACGACGACGATGAACCCCGTGATCAAGACGAATATGGCGACGATGACGCCGCATACCGGGAAGACAGAAGAGAGCCATTGGTCCTCACACCCATGGAACAAACAATAGCCATGGAAGTTGTGACCCCCAACGAGATCCCCGTGACATTCCAGGACATTGGCGGTCTAGACGGAATCATCGAGGAGTTGCGGGAAAGCGTCATCTACCCGTTGACAATGCCGCACCTCTACTCCTCCCACTCCAGCCTCCTCACCGCACCATCAGGAGTACTATTATACGGCCCACCCGGCTGCGGCAAGACCATGCTCGCCAAAGCCCTAGCGCGAGAGAGCGGCGCAAGGTTCATCAACCTCCATATCTCCACGTTAACGGAGAAATGGTATGGCGATAGCAATAAACTCGTCGCTGCTGTATTTAGTCTAGCCCGGAAACTCCAGCCGACGATCGTGTTTATTGATGAGATTGACGCTGTGTTGGGACAGAGGAGGTCGGGGGAGCATGAGGCGAGCGGTATGGTTAAAGCAGAGTTTATGACGCATTGGGATGGTTTGGCCTCGAGTACACGTGAGGGAGGGAGTCAGCGGATCTGTATCCTGGGCGCTACCAATCGAATCCAAGACATCGATGAGGCTATCCTGAGACGCATGCCCAAGAAGTTTCCCGTGGGATTGCCGAATGCGGGGCAGAGGCGCTCGATCTTTGAGTTGACGTTGCGGGAGACGAAGGTCGACCGGGGTGTGGGACAGGGTGGGAGAAAGAAGGCATTTGACGTCGATATGTTGGTCAAGTTGAGCGCGGGCATGAGTGGGAGTGATATCAAGGAGGCTTGTCGAGATGCTGCTATGGTGCCGGTACGGGAGTACATCAAGATGCAATCGAGAGAAGGGCGGAGTATGAGGGGTATCAGGAGTGAGAATGTGAGGGGTCTGCAGACGGAGGATTTCTTTGGGATGAGGGGGAGTGTTGGGGTGGGGAATGGGCTGCAGAGAAGGAGGACGGGAGAGGTAGAAGATGAGGATAAGATGCTGGGGACTGGGAGTGGGAGTTCGAAGGGCCAGCAGGAAGAGGAGGAGGATGAGTGGAGGGATGTGGAGGACCCCGATGAAGTGGACGTGGAGGATGTGAGACGGTGAGGGAGACATTTAATATGCTTGGACGATGTTTCGGAACATCCTTTCTTCCGGCCTGCTAATGTCTACTCCGTTCCGGATACACTATGCCCGCCCCTCCTTGCGCCAACTCGAACCACACGGTTGAGGCTTGAGTCGAACGCGGTGATGTTGGGCAGTCGGACAGTCCAGTCGATGCCGAAAGGAGGTAAACCAACGAATCAACACAAAAGACTAGACGACACTCCATGCCAAGCTCAGCAGCGATATGCGTCCGATTCCATGTTTGGATCTCCACCGCCATGCTAGCCTCCGTTCTCGAACCTCGACTTTTCGCCATATGATCAGCAACCCGAACACCACCAAAGAGAGACCCTGGCCCTCTCCATCGATACCCTTCCACCCGCCATGCCAGCCCGCCCGGGCCCCATTCCTGCTCAAGTCACACCAACACCAACCCCTTCTCCATATCAAAACGGCATCCTCACCCCTCCCGGATGCAAACACTCCTGATACAGCGCCTCCCTCCCCCTCCCCGCCTGCGTTTTCGCAGCCTGACTCCACGGTTCCGTCTCCACGCTCTCCAACGCCCACAGGGCCTCAAGATCGCTCGCCTTGAGCTCCGCTATGATTTCCGAGGAGGGGTGCTTTTCCCCATGGGGAGGAGGGGTGGGCGGGAGGCCGGAGGGGAGGGGGAGGCCACATGTGTAGCCTTCTTCTGTCGTTGGTCGCGTCCCGTTTGTTGAGTCGGTGGTGGTGCTGCTGCTGGTGTTGGTGATGTGGGTAATATGCGCCTGAACCGAGCACCATGCTGCTGTCCTTTTGCCGGCCCAGAGACGGGTATTTCGCTTATGCCTCTCTAGGACGTCGATCTGGCTTTGCAGTTGGTGGAGTAGGAGGGTCCACCATTTGACTTTTGGGTCTTGGTTGGCGGACTTGGCTTGGCGTTGTTTCTGCACGAGCACGGCGCGCTGGAAGAGGAGGTGTTCGTTAATTTCTTGCGTGCTGGCGTGCTGACTCTTGCGGCTGCCGAAGCGGTGGTGGAGGATGTAGGGTTCGATGGGGATGTCGGGGACGTCGAGGTCTGGGGGAGTGGAGTCGGTGGAGGCGGTTGAAGGTGGGGTGAGAATGATGGATTCGGGGGTGAAGAAGTTGAGATTGGGGCTTGAAGGGGATGAGCCGGGTGAGGGGGTGTCGGCTATGGACCAGGAGATGGCGGAGTCGGAACTCGAGACGGTCCAGGGACCGTTGGAAGCTAGCAGGGAGCCGACCTGGCTGGAGGCGATGGTGGAAGTGTCGAGCGAGTAGTTGTTTTCTGAGGTCGATGACTCGCCGAGGAGCTCGAGAGCCAGGGTTACGCCGATGTGGTTGGGGTCGAGGCCGGAGGGGCGGGAAGAAATACTGATGTTCGATGGCGGAGACATTGTTGCTGTAAGGGGCTTTCTTTTGATGGTGAGGTTTTGGCTTTCTTGGGGAAACACAGTGCCTGATTGTCGATGTGGGACAGCGACTTGACGACTCTAATTGTTTTTGCATACGATGGAACTGTTCTATCTGGGCAGGACGACGCCTGTATATACCCTGCTCGATGAGGCGAGGACAATATGAAGGGGCTGCTTTCGGCTGCAGTCCACGAGTGAGGATACTTGCTTACCTCTAGCTCATCATACGAGGTCTGAAACGGAATCACACTTTGTGAAGACAAGATGACTATAGGGAGCTACGAGACTGGTATGCATTGTTTCTGTAGCAATTCTATGCTTGATTTTACTATGGGCGCCGCGAAGCAAAATCAGGTGCGACGAAAAGCATATAGTAACCTCGCGATCACAGACGACTCGGCCTGAATTCCTGTTCTCCAACCACTAGTCGCGGTACGCAAAACATTCTTATCTTCCTTCAAGCTACTTGGAGGACACCGCGTCTCCACTTCTCGACCACCCCTTCCGACCTAGACATCTCATATGTGGGACGCGATCCACAGACCTCCCTCTTGAGTCGAAGCTGCGCACTTTGGTACTTCACCAGCCCTTCCTGATCAATGCCGGTATATGCCTCGCCGAACTTGACGGGCGCGAGGAGATAGTATCTTCCTTTTGGATCCCAGGCTTCCAGGACATCACTTGAAAATTTCTCGTCTTTCTCAGCGAAGTCTGGGAGGTGAGTGAAGGCCTCCTGGGCGAGGTATTTATTGTTGTGATCTTGGAGCTGCTGGCGCTGAGTCTCGACCCATCTGAATACTCGGTCTGGTGTTGAGACGCCGTAGCCGGCGATACCTGGGTCTGCTTGCGCATTTAGGATGGCTATACCTTCCTTCAGTGTCGTCCGCTTGCATGAGGCGGAGGAGGAATCGCAAGATTCTGGGGTGGTGTCTTTGTGGTCACTGGTCGTCATGAGATAATGAGGGCGTTTGACAGGCATGGTTGCAAGCTGTGGTGATCTTGGCTTCGGTTTTGACATGGACGATGGTAGTCGCTGCGAGGCAGAGATCTGGATGTGAGAATTCTAGACATGACGAGCAGGGTCATGAGCGACCTGGATATATACATCTTGAGATGGGGTTGAAGACAACTACGCGGCCAGGCAATACGACCTTTCCCAGCAGCGTGGCGAAATGGGCCACTATGACGGAGAAAAGATGGTAATATGAGGACAGTAGAAAAGACTTCGTGACGCTTACATACGACACTGGATTGTATGGCCTGAAGACAGAAGGGTCCATATATTTGGCTTCCAGACCACGTGCCAGACGAAGCTTAAGCTGACTGCGGGTCTCTGAATACTCACCAAGCAACGCCATGACCAGGTGAATTCTGCCCGATATACGTCGTCATGCTCTGGTGTGCGATGAAGTGCGTAGACGGTATCCTTAGGATGATGCGAACGAAACGTTGGTAGAGCCGTGGTCGAAAGCAGAGGCTAGTGGCTTGGCCAGGCGTGGAGATTTAATCGTGTTTCCTTATAGACATCTCAATCATACTCACATGCATGAGCCTTTCACTTCTCGGAACACAGCACGCACAAGTCATTCGCCGGCCGAGTAGACGGGACCTGTTAGCTCCAAGGATATGTGTCGTCTTCAACGTTCCAGCTCATGGTGAAGTGCAGGCCGTGAGTGACATATACAGCAACAATTGCCAGAAATCCAGTGACCACTTGAAGCGTCGAAGTAGATACACGAATGGACGTATATGTGTCAGATCGTCTCCCTGATAGCACATCAAAGTCTCCGATTTCAGCTACAACAACCAAAGGGGCCAAGCGCCCGAATGCTATCTACGCGACAGAAGTCACCCACGGGGCAGAGCGCCGTCAAGATCAGCGCAGCTCGGGAATTAGCACGTCTCAAAAGCTGAACATCATATGATTCCAGACTCGGTGGCTGCGCGTCGTCGGCTTTTTTCAAATTTGCAGTTTACCGGGAATTCGGGTGAGGTGATACCCGAGTCGACTGATATTGATAGCCCTGTCAAAATCTCGGCAGTGGCTTGCGTCGCCCACGACCCTGCATACCCACGTGCTATATCGAGCCACGAATACGCTTATGGAGAGAGTCCTTTCATCTTCTAGATCTGGCTTCGGTTGGAATGCATGTTCTGGTCCGAGACGTCTACAACCATCCACACCGACCAGGACTACAATAGATATGGAGATTTGCAAGCCGCTAGCACGGTAGTGTCTCATGTGCATCACCTCAGAGGTACCACGAGTATAACCATGCAGCAGTACCACACTTCCACCATGTGTGGCGCCGATCTAGCCGGTAGAGCGCCAGCCACTGTAGACGGCAATGGCGGTAGCAGCTACGACAGGATAGAGCAGGCCAGGACCGAGGCCAGTCGATATGCTCAACTCAAAGGGGTTGTAACATGAGCTCGTTCAGAAGCGGCAGCTGCATCTGGAGCATGTGGTCGCTGGCGCACAGGGGATGCCGGCAGTGGAACACGACTTGTAAGGTCCTCGCATAACAGATTTTCAGACAGGTACTAAAGATCATCTTGCCTGTGACGCCTACGACGCTCTTTCCTTCTATACCACATTTCGTCCATCCGTCCTCACATCTTGGTGGACTGACCTCCGCACTACTTTCTTGTGTCAAGCAATTCCTCCTGACTGACCATCATCATACGCTGCAATGCTACTCCCACCCATGGACTCGAAGAAGATCAGGCCAAGCGTCCTAGTCCGAGAGCTCACTTCATCAAGCTGTTCCACCCTCGCCACACTCAGTAGTGACAAGGCCGGCGGTACCAAAGAACGCACCAAACACACAACCCTTGAGCATGACGATCGAAACCCCAGCAACCCAGCCCCCATCGAACCTCATATCACGATCCTGGGAAAGGGCAGAGAACTCCTGGCTTTCTCTGGCGGATGTGCCCGCACATATCTCTCCGATCTACCTAGCCGACACAAGAGCCTGTCCAAGGAAGGGGATTTTGCCCATTACGTGGTGCAGCCATGGTATCAGTGGTTCGGACGTAACAAGCGGGTCACGACATCTCCCACTCTGAACACGATCCGGCTGAGGACGTGCGATGGGAGCCATGGTGACAAGACACTCATCAACGGCGGCAGCTTCAATTATGCTGGTATGTATAGTATGTCAGCAAAGTACGAAGAACTGCATCGAAGGTGCCTGGAGGATCTGCCAGTGAGCGGTCGGGATGTGCCACTGATCGAAGACGCTTTGAGGAAGGAGGTGATGGAGTTTTGGGGAATGGATTGCTGTTTGACGACACCGACTGGCTATCAGTCTAATATGCTCGCACTACCCGCCATCCTGACTTCGGACTGGCTGGTCCTGATGGACGAAAAGTCGCATAGCTCTATTCTGACTGCAGCACGGATAGCGAATACAGGTGGTCGACGCAGGTTCAAGCACAACGATATGTGCGAATTGGAGGAAATGGTGAGAGTTGCAGCCGCTGAACAGTACACGAACGTGATGATTGTCGTCGAAGGACTTTACAGGTAGGCCGGGCCAACGGCTTCTTATGAGATAGCATGAAACTGACGCACCACCAGCCTCGATGGCAACTTACCAGATCTCGGCAGTTTGTATCGACTGAAGACTCGATATGACTTCGTATTGGTCTGCGACGAAGCCCATTCCTTCCTCTCCATTGGCAAGACAGGTCGAGGTTGCCTGGAATGGTGGAACGATACATATCCCGACGATAGCGTACCAGAAGACCTGATCGACATCCGCACCACAACACTGTCAAAAGCTGTCGGCGGCGTCGGCGGCATAGTCTGTGCAAAGCAGCAGTTTGCCGAGCGACTCGCGAGCCACGACGAAGAGCTCAAGGCAGAAGGAGAGTCGCTCTCGACGTCTGCAATGTTGCAAGCATTGTGGGTTCTTCGACAACCCCAACGACTTTGCAGCAACCTCCACCGTGTGAGAGCAATGTCGATGTTCTGCAGGCATGAGTTGCAAAGGGCCGGGGTCATGGTGTACGGCGAGCCGTCCATGCCAATACTACCGATCCATGGCGGCCGTCCGACTAAAGCTTCCAAGCTTTCCTACGAACTTCGCAAGCACGGAGTGGCAGCGACCCCGTTCAGCAAGCCTGCCGTACCGATGTGGCAGAGTCGAGTGAGGATTGGTATGTCGGCGGGATTTTCTGATGCGCAGGTCGGTGCGCTTATAGACGCCATCATCCGGTCATGCGAGGCAGCTGGTGTTGTGAGTTCAAACGTCGTTTCTTCATCCCGGCGTCCATTTGCCCAGCACGTGGCCATGGCGGCCAGACACCCTTGCTATGACCTGCTTGAGCAAGAGACACAAAACGCACTTGATTCTCTTCACAGTCTTCTGGATGCGCAGAAAGCGCGATCGATTGCTCTTGCCCCGCGGTTAGATGCCGATGCGAGATCTCCAGACTGCCTGCCCCAATCTATGATAGACGCCGGCCACATCGTCCGCCGCTCATATGGTCTCGGTTCCGGTAGCTCACGGTGGATACTAGGCACATACCCCGCGCACCTCGAAGTCGAAGACCTTCTTTGTAAGGCCACGAGCCAGACAGCAGCCATGACCTACACCAATACGGAAGCAGGACTCATGTCAAGTGTCGCTGCTGTTTGCAGGACTATTAAGGGTCGTAAGAACCATCGTGTTTTGCGGCCTGCCATATCCTCGCGGGCGATCGTCGATGGATGTCGAATCGCTCGGCAGTCATCCGGCGTTCTTCATGCAGTGTACGAGGGTATCGACGACATGCTCGATCTGGCCAAAATCTCGCTGGCTGGAGGAAGTCACGTCACGCTCATTGTCGACCTTGCTTTTGCCCCAAAGGACTTCCTGGCGATCTTGACACAGCGCCTGCTGTCATTGCGAAGCAAATTGAAGCACTTGACAGTCTTTCTCGCCAACATCGACATAGCACAGATATGCTCACGGCCGTCCTCGTGCGCACTCCAAGAGCTCGTAGCGCTCTGTGCCAAATTCAACGCAGGAATGTTGCTATTCGGTTCGTTCTTCGATACTTTCGGTCTTAAGGGCGCATTTCTCGCGGGCGACTGTGCGATGATCGAAGAGCTTCGGTATACGAGCAGATGTTATGTCTTCACCGCCGCCCCAGCTCCATATATGATGGCTATGGTAAGCGCGGCGCTCGTGGAGAAGCTATCCTAGGCTTCGCGATGTTGAGAGATGCATTGGGTGGCATCAAAGCAGAGGCCTGTTTCCAGGACGACCTGCCATCTGTCCTTTTCTGGGGGAGTCGGGTGAAGTTATTTGATCGTTTTCAGTTCCATAGAATCGTAGACATAAAGTCAAGATGAGCTTCCGCTGTGATCCGGAACTCAATCACCATCCTCGCTGCCTTCCTCGTCCTCGTCTACAAAGCCAACTTTGGTCTTGACCCTGGGCTCATAGCCCTCAATAGCAGTACTCGAGACATCTGCACCATGCACGCCCGACAAAGGCTTATGCACAACACCAGCCTTCTCAACGATTTGATCCAGCATAACTTGATTCGGTCTGAACGATGTAGCTTTTTCGCCGCGTTCGAGGGCCAGCTCATGAATGGCATTCGCCACATCATAATTGCCGTTCGGCACAGAAGAATCATCTTTCGTCACAGGTGCCACCACCCCGACAACATCGGGCAGCGTGATAGAGATACTGATACCAGGATCTCGCTCCCAGACCGGAATCTCACTCAGCTGCGTCTTGACAAACGCCATCTTCTTCGCACACGCATTTGAACAGAACCCCATCTTGAACTTGCCTACTTTCCACTCTGCATCCTTGCCTAGACTCACGCTCCGAGGTTCGTTGGAGCAGAGAGGCCATCCGCATTTCCCATCAACGACACGTTCTTCTATCAGTGCGTCCAGGTCCGAGGGTTGGAAGGGCTGAATTAGGACGATGAATTTTGATGCATCTACTTCGTCTCCCGTTTGATGCGATGTGGTGGGATAGTCTAGGAGTACTTGGATGGCGTTCACGATCCGGATTTGCCAGTCTTTTTGGGCTTGGATTTTGCGGGCGTGTTGTAAGGCGAGGGTGTAGTTCTTTTGGTCGCGGGCGGATTTTGCTTCTGCTTCGTCTGGTCTTGGTCCGGGTTGTTTCAATATGGATTTTACAGGGACCTTGAATGCCATCGTCTTGGGGAGCCGTATGCAGGTTGTTGCATGATACTGTAGATGGACAGTCTTCGTAGTCGATATCTTGGCTGTGGTTTGCTAGTCTCGAACGCCACAAAAGCTTAGGCAAGCGGCAATTGCCTAAGGTTGTCACAGTCTGAAACGCGGGTTGGTTTCGTCATCCTTCGAGCACGAGGTCGTCGTTCTGCTGTACCTTCAGCTCTGCATAATTCCCGACATATTGCATGCGTGGCATTCTGGAAGCATAGCGTTGACAGCAAGCACGTTATCGCAAGGCACACACGATCGGGAAGAGCAGATCATCGAGGCCTCGGCGACCTGTTACATGCGCATTAATATTGGAAACAAGCAACCGTCGATCAAGTGGAGCATTTGCGGAGGGAGCCTAGAGCTGATCACTTTTGGTCGACTGACGACAATAACAACAACAACATATACGAAGGTCCTGGCGAGCAGATATCGCACTCTGCGACAACATGGCGGGAATGCCCTTCAAGGTGAAAGCCATCTACGAGTACACCAGCCAGCATGACGACGATCTGAAGTTTCCCATTGGCCAGGTCATCAATGTCACGGAGCTTGAGGGCGACGACTGGTATGTGGGTGACTACACGGATGCCTCCGGGGCGAAACATGATGGGTTGTTTCCCAAGAACTTTGTAGAACGATATGAGCCAGAAGTGCCATCGAGACCTGCGAGGGCAGCGCGGCCAAAGTCAATGCTTCAGCAGTCTCAACCACCACAAGCACAAGCAGTCCCTCAGCCTACTCGTGGACAGGAAGATGAGGAGCAAGAGGATGTACCCGTCGTACCGGCGGCTTCTAAGCCACAACCACAGCCACCATCTGTAGACATACCCGAGCCAAGCAGAAAAGATGAGGAAGTCAAGTCACCACCTTCAGCTACCAGAGAACCTGTTGCTCAGGCCACACCACCAGCTCCGAAACCAGCGCCTGCCGAATTGGCTGCAACATCCACAGCCAAAGCCGGTCCTCCTCCCATCGCACCCAAGTCGAATGCATTCAAGGATCGCATCGCAGCTTTCAACAGTGCAGGAGCTGCTCCGGTTGCACCGCTCGGGACGAAAGCGCCTCGCAATGACTACATTAAGAAGCCATTCGTCGCCCCGCCGCCCAGCCGCAATGCATACATACCACCAGTGCAGAAGGTGGAGCCTGTACATAAACCATACATACGCGACGAGGATCCAGAGATCAGACAGCGAGAAGAGGAAGATCATGCGGCCGCGGAAGCAGCTGGGTTGACAGGTGACTCGCATGGTCCAGCTGCAGAGGATGAAGAAGACGCACCAAAACCGATGAGCTTGAAGGAGCGTATGGCGTTGCTACAGAAAGAGCAGGAGGCTGCACGAAATAGACATGCTGTCGAAGCCCCGAGAAAGAAGCCACCGGTCAAGAAAGCATCCGAGTCATCCGAGCGATCCATCCCTCCTCCAGTGCCAGCTCATGAAGCTGCGGAGGAAGGTGAAGGACTTGAGCGTGTACCTACTCAGCGAAAGTCATTGGATGTCAACCGAGAGCGACCCAGGGTACCTTCGTCCCAAAGACGGCCAGCTGATCCAATGTCACCTTTGCCCTCGGCACCTGCGCACGAGATCCTCAGTGGTGGCGAGGAAGCAGACCAGTCTGGTGCTGGTGAGCTGACCGAGGATGATACCGGCACAATCGGCCCCGGAGATGACGAAGACGAGAAGCCACTCCCGGGGCCCAGAGCGGCAGCTGCACCGTTGCACGGAGCTGATGTCGGCAACGAAGAGGATACGATCGAGAATCAAGGCGATGACGAAGAGGAGGAGCTTGATGAGGAAGAACAGCGTAAGCAGCGCCTTCGCGAACGCATGGCAAGACTAGCAGGTGGTCAACAAGGTGGCGGACCCTTTAATCCCTTTGGCATGCCACCAGCTGCAGCTCCAGCCGCGAAGAAGCGCTCAACCAGGGAGAAGCATCCTGAAGAGGAAGCAGCGGCTTCAGCACCTCAGATACCGCAAATGCTCGCAATGCCGGGCATGGGCGGTGCGATGCCGAAAGTACGGAGCCCGGAAGTCGAGGAGCCCGATCACATGAGCAGAGCTGGGACGATACCGAGAGATGTCGAGGCGGATGACGAGAATGAGGAGCCTACGCCACCTAGACGGTCGACGACGATGGATCGTGGCGAGGCTCCTCCTGTGCCTAAAGGTGAGATGCACCCCAGAACTGTTCTGCGTAGACGAAAGTCCGTTGTGGATTTTGGCCGTTCGGCCGCGGGGATGTGCTTGCAGGCGTGTAAGAACTTGAGCTCGCCTAATTATAGAGTCGAGATTGTGAAGAGGACGAAGTGCTGTGAGTTACAGGCCGTTTGAGCTTGCATACTCAGCAGATCATCTCAACTTTTGTTCTTTGTGAATCACTCAATGGCACGCTGACATGACTACTGCAGACCGCCCAGTCCCGGCAGCACCACAAGAACGTGCCGTACATCCTTTGCCACCTAGCGATACCTCTAGACCAGTACCTCGCCCACCGCCAACAGAGTCCCGGCCTGTCCCGCCACCTCCACCTGCTGCTGCGCTGACATCGCCTGGTCCTGGCTCCGAGTCCGATGATGAGATGTCTATGCATGCGAAGCGATCCTCGACTGAGCATTCTGGAATTGAGCCACCATTGCCTATACGAACAGGCGCTCCACCTGTGCCTGCTCGTGAACTGCCACAGTCACCCGGCAACAAGCGTATATCGGCCTTTGGCAACGAGCCTAGCTCTGCAACATCGGACAAGAGAGCAAGTCGTGTGCCACCGCCTGTGCCTGGCAGCGACATAATGTCGCCAGGTTCGCCAAGACCGCCACCACCTCCACCACCGACTGCGGTGCCGACGAGAACCAACACAGACTTTCTGGCAGCCGCTAACGAGGAGACGGAGCGTGGCGAGAGTGACTACGAGGGAGACTACGATACTGATATTGCTTCAAGTGCACCGCACAAGGACGCGCTCAAAGGTCATGCTCGTGAGCCAAGCGACAGCACGACCGCTGACGAGATGACACCCGTGAGCTCTCCACCTCCACTACCGCAGCAGAACGCTCCTAGAGCTGTGCCGCCTCCTCCACCACAAGCTGCGCCACCGAAGTCTAGACCATCTATGGACACACCTAGAGCACCTCCGCCTGTGCCGCCACCAACTGGTAGACAAACGCAAGATGATGATGACGAGTACGATCCATACAAGTACACAGAAGCATCAAGAGCACCGCCACCACAAGTCCCAGGCGCTATACCCATCGCAGCACCACCAATACCGCCTGATGTGCCTTCAATGATCCATGAAGAGAGTTCCGCAGACGACATGCCGACTCCTGGTCCAGCACCTCCACCACGAAGGTCAACTGAACGAGCGCCGCCACCACCTCCAGCAGCCGAACGTGCGCCACCTATGCCGCCCGTCTCAACGCAACCACCACCCCCTGTACAGCCAGGTATTTCGCGCTCAGCGACAAGGCAATCAATGGACACTCAACGTCAAGTCAGTGGAGCAAGGAGATCGATGGAGCAATCACGACCGGCCGGTGACCAAGGCCAAATGGCGCACGACCTCGACCTGAGCCAAGACACACAATGGTGGACAGCACCTCAGCCACTCCCTCCTTCCCTCCAGGCGCGCAACGGCATAGATATCCTATCGGAAAGCGAAGAAAGCCAGAAATCGCGCCGAGGAGGCCGGACGACGATATCGAAGGATATCTATATCCTCTATATGGATTATAGCCAAACGGTCATAACCGCGCAATACGACTCCAAAGACCCCTCCGACATCCAACTCGAACAACGACATGAACCTCCGCCACCAAAGCCGAGACAAGATCAGCTGGAAGATTACTGGCAGCGTTTCGGCCGCAGAATAGCGGAACAAGTCGGGAGTGTGGGACACAGCAAGAAGGATAGCACGGTCAGCGACGGCACTCCTGCCGCATTACCACTAGAATCAATCAAAGCCCACGCCGACGCCCTCCTCCCAATCGGTACCCGCGCCTACGGCGCCCTTGTCTACGCCAACCTGGCCAACGCCTCCATCCTCCAAAACGACGAGATCCGCCCCGGCGACATCATCACCGTCCGCAACGCAAAATTCGAGGGCCACCACGGGACGATGCGGCAGAAGTACAAGGCTGAGTATGGGACTCATGCTTCTGGGGCGGGACATGTGGGGGTCGTGGAGGAGTGGGATGGGACGAGGCGGGCCGTGAGGGTTTGGGAGCAGGGGAGGGAGAAGAAGGGAGGGGTGAGGAGTGAGAAGTTGAGGTTGGGGGATTTGAGGAGTGGGGAGGTTAGGGTTTGGAGGGTTGTGGGGAGGGAGTGGGTTGGATGGGCGGATTGATGTTGGTGACGGGTAGTATTGATGTATGGATGGAGGTGTTAATCGAGGTTTAGAGGTGTCTGTGAAGAGTGCGTGTAGATAGTTTTGTGCAGCATTGGATCTTTTCGCATCGTTCTTCGTCGCTTTACTCGCACGACCTGATGGTACTTGTAGACTTGCCTGGTTATGGACATGGAGCATGAGACTGGTGAAAAGGTGAAGAGCGCACGAGAGTAAATGCGACCTAGTTGTACAGCATCTTGACTGCACAAATGCTCGAGACAGGGGCAGTATACATGCGCACACGCAGCTTCTGTAGACTGATCGCATCCCCAGGAGACGACGGAACAGGATCTTTCAAGTTGCCTCTTCGGGTTAGTGTCTATCAAATCCAGTGCATAGTGTGCGTAGCCAGAATACAGCGGGACTGCTCGTCTGTCTGTGGCGCCCACAGGAGGAGGATTGCCAGGAGAGTGCTCGAAGGAGTCTACAAGAGGCATGAAGCGCGCTTCTCCTCCCTAGCATGGGGAATTGTTTGCTGTATCCTCGGGGGACGACTAGGCCGGAGACGACTGGCTGGCTCTGCTTGCTCGCACGCGCCTACGCGCCTATGCTGACGTGTCAACATCGATAATCGAGTCGTGAGGGCGGGCCAAGTGTCAGGCGTGCTGGTGCTCTCTACGGGGCTTCGTATAAGGCTTACGCGTCTGTACCTCGTCGTGCGAGGCTGCGCTTGGTCGGGGCCAGGGCGCGAGCAGTGATCGAAGCAGTCCGGATCATCGCTCTTCATGCCGAGCAGCCAGCCTCTCCGCGCCAATGGTGGCTAAGAAAAGCTCCGTATGCAATCCTCTCGGCCCGATGTCGTGCATTTACGGGCGAGAGAACGCATGGTCTGTCTGTAGCATACTAAACGGCAAGAAGCAAATCTCAAGATTGTGCTCCTTTGTGCTCACATCCTACAGGTTTCGAGATGTGGTCTGGTCCTACTGCTGTAAGAAGACTGTTGACACGGGTTCCTGGGCCTTGGGAGTCTTGCTGCCGCGCGTGCACGTCGTTCGAGCAAGGTCTGACTGACGATGCACGTCTGACAGGCGTATGTCGTGGCCCACAAGATCCTGTCTCGATCACGGTTCCATTCGCATCCTGCAGCGAACCTTTCCCCAGTAGATGTGCTCGAGCGTGTGTGATGTTTGCGTTGCGCCATTGATGTTGTCCCGGTCGTACAGCGTCAGCAATCCGAGCAGCGATTGTAGCCATTGTAAATTCGTCGCCGGAAGATTTTGAACAGCGTGCTCTTGTGCAACAGGCGAAGGCAGAAGATCCGGATGGTCGTCCCAGTCAGTCGTCGTCAGCGTACGTTTCGAGTTGGTGAACAGCTAGGTCCTGTGATGGCGGGAAGCGGGTCCATGGCCTGCTGTGTCCGGCAATAGGATGTGCGAGCATTGCACAATTACTGGATGCGGAAGGTTGATACTCGATGCGGTTGGTGTAGGCAAAGAGCGTATGTGGTTGTTGAGAGCGAATTCATGTGATGCTTGGAAAGGTAAATTATGCACAGAGGGACAGCACTTACAATATGACCTACGAATGGTTTTGGCATGACACAGACACATGTCGACCAGCTTGTTGTCAACACGAAGCGGCTGCCAACGATTGAGGCTGCGGCTCAGGACTGTGACCGATTCCTGAAAGAGCTTCTGTTACAGGTCCTGCAGACTGCCATCGTGTGTGACACCAACTTCTGTCAATGTTGGGCACCTTACTATGAAGTGTGGAGCAAAACTTTTGATGTGATTCAATTGTCTTATACAGATCTCCACGCCAGGCACGCAACTTCCGATCCAGACAATGAAGTGTTCGGCCAAGCGGCAGAGTCTGGTTGTAAGCTACCAATCCATCAACCACAAGATGAGGGCGTTCCTTTCAATCAAGTGTCAAAAGGTAAGTCGACCGTGTCAGTCACTAAGGCCAGAACTGTGGGGCCAAAGTGGCGGTGACGGTTGTACTTATAGGTGCCAGCGCTGTCCTGCAGCCAGCCGTGAAAGAGTCCATGGATCTTCTAGAAGACAGCAAATGAGACACATTCCAGGCTAGGCAAGCCATGTCTATGCATGGCGCAGTTTACGGCGTTGACTGGTGATCTGAGCCCACCTGAAACAGTATCATAGGGGGTCTCTTTGTCGTAGCCAGGCAGGGTCCCGTTCAACGATCCGAATAGAGTGTGCGACGGCTCCGAATGACCTGATTCTGGTTTGGTATCCAATGATTACTGGTCTATTGGTGGGGGATGTTATCGCAATCATCTGCGAAAGAAAGACGAAGTAAGAAAGTGGCAAGTCCAAGGATTCCTCGCCGATGCCGCCGCCGAAGAACGTATGAGAGATGGAAGAGGAGTTGCAGTTTTGCACGGAAAATGTTCGGTGGACCGTGCACTAATTAGCCTGGAAAGCCGCCACTCATCCCACACTCCAACTCCACTCTCCGGTTGGTCTTCTCCACCGCTATTTTGCAGACGACCCGGTGCGGATGCATGGTGGCTGACAGGGTGGTCGATCGCCCAAGGGATGCGCGGCAGACTTCTGTTTAGAGCCGGCGAGCACGGGATGGAGTACTCGACGACGCTGCGCATTATTGACGGGATGAGATCGTGGTGGACTTGTCATGGCATTGCGCGCTGCAGCCAGCGCCACGAATACATCAACATCGTCAGCCAATCGCAGCCCTCCTACAGTGCTGAAGAGGCTTGTTTGAGTGACTCGAATTGCGCAATGTGGCGGTTGATTGCGCTGCGGAGTGCCAACAGCAAGCTCAGACAACCACGCTGTCAAAGCTCCGCGTGACCTTCCGCAGCACAGTGCCCTTCGTGACATGTTGCCAGACTCTCTGAAATGCCTGGCCGGATGTATGGGACCTACAGGTGCTAGCCTCGCAACGACCTGCATAAGCAGTACATCGGCAACCGGGCCGACCGGAAGAGGCATCAGGGCATCCTTCTGGTAGGCTCGCGAGCTGCAGTGCCGTGCAAGCGGCTCCAATACATCCATGGTGACGATCATACACCAGGTCGAAGAGGTGGAGCGATTCCTAGCCCGTCACTCGTGCACTGCCTATAATTTACAGGGAGATCGAGGCATGCAGGCGCGATGCGGCAATGCGCGAATTGGATAGATTGCCATGATCGACTTACTAACGCGTCGCTTCTGGCAATCGATCTGACTCGGCGGGTGTAAAGGAGCTAGCCTGAGACGCTGATCCTGCTGGCATCAGGTTATCATGTCAAAAACTGATGGTTGATTGCTCCTTGCGTCGCAGGGCATAGAATAGTCCGCTTTTGGGGAGACCAAGCTAGCTATGCAGCTTTCCACTAACCCTGCTACTAGAGGAGGTCATGGTCTGAGCTCGGTCAATACGATCTGTTTCCGAGGCTGACTCGACCCAGTATGCTGGTAACGAGAGAAGGCCTGAGGTCGACGCTTCTCTTCTTTGTCGAGTAGGCGATGACGGGTGTTGGAGTGCAAGGTCGGCAACCCCTACCTGTCATATGCAGACCCGCCAACCCGCTGCAAAACATCCATCTCTCTGTTCACCGCGAGCAAAGTCCCTCGCCTCTTTGTCCTGCAAAGATCTGGTCAACATTTGTGGAGTATCGATTGAGATTGTCCTGTCCTCTTGCTAGTCCCGGTTGGGAGCAGCAAGGTCGTACAATACTCATACAACGGACCGAGAGACTCGCGGCAGCAGTGTTCGAAGCCAAGTCGTCGCCTGACATCGAACTCGCCGATACCTTTTCACCATTGTCTACATACGCCAATCTTGGCACGGTTGTGTCGGACGCTCCAGCACATTCAGCGTCTAGGGCGAGCATTCCGACTTCGACGAAGTCACCTCAAATAATCGATGTCAGTCCTCGCAACACAACACTACGACGAATTCGACACACCACACACAAGCACCCACCGTTAATGTCAGCATTCGAGCATCGCCAAGCTTCCCACAACGTTGCGATCACTGACCCAGCTGCTTGTGCTGACTAGCGAACACTCGTCACCTAATTTGAAGATTCGAACATCTGCAGGGTGCTTTGCGATAGGTCTCAAGACTACATCCACTCGAGTCGACCCTTGGGCACCGCAGTGGTATGTCCAGCATCCAGAGGCGCCCTGCTATGCAGTCATGGTGCTAACATCATGCAGTTATCTACGACGTGCAAAGAAAGCACATCGGCAAACGCGAGACCGAACTCAAATCGAAATTGAGTGTGTCGTCCAGATCGCGCGTGTCAGCATCCTGGATCTCTTATCTTCGCGGCTTCGTCACTGTACGTTAGGTTGCGCGCCGTTGACGCTTGCGCTTCTAGCGAGCATCGTAGCTTCGATTGCGCCCGGCCCGAACAATTTGGCGCATTTGCTGGAAGCTTGGACCGGCGACCAGATATCCCGCCAAGACTTTCCTCGAGTCGAGTCTCGCAGATAGACTGCACAGTCACGAGTCCAGTGAGCGAACATCGACGTGCAAAGAACATCTTGGTATCCTGCGCCAGAGAAGAGCAAAATTCGGAACGAAAAGTCGGGAAGAACGATCAGAAATCGACGGAAAAGCGCCAGCTTTATGCTCGTACCTATGGGTACTATACTAGCCATGGAACAAGGTAAGCTTCAGCTTTTGATCCCTGGCGATCGAACCGAGCATCATCATCAACCGCCACACCGCCATTATTGCTGAATTTCTGAGCGTCAATACGGAAATGCAGCTGGTGTTGTTGGTCTTGCTTGGCTTTCTGAGACCATAAGGAAGATGGAATATTCGGCGCTACAAAGATTCCTTCGCGTGAAGGTGTCGCAGAATCACAGCTCATGCAACGCCGCTGTGTGACACAAGGACAGCCTCATCCGATGCACACAAGGCAGCGACCATTCAAGCCAACCAGATTTTGATTGACGTTCATTCTTTATTCTCGTCACCCACGCACTCGACGCGCATCGAATTCATGCCGTCAGACCGTAGCTAACGTTGCTTGCAGCCTCGATTCTTCCTCACCCAATACCAATCCAGAACGACTACTCTCTCCAATCAGAGCAAGACTCTCTGTCTGATCAATTTACAAGCCATGCACATCGCCATCAGCCGATGAGTGCCGGGCCCGTGGATCAACTAAGACGAGACATGGTTCTGCCTCAATCGAACACGGCATCCTATGCTTTCACGGCAACTAATCACCCGCATGGACTCCGCTTCGTGCCTGATCGTGGCGTAGCGTCAGACGCAAGTCGGTATGTACTCCTATCCTATTGGCCCTGCCCGTAGCTGCACTGCCCCTCTTCTTCATGTCAGTCGTCAACGCTTCTGCACGGTCGACCAGCAAGCTCTGAGTCCTTCTGGCATTGTTCAAACGTGTGCACAATCGACTGCTGTAACGCCATGGCTCCCAACCAGCTCTTACAGCTCCGGTGATCTGGTTGTCCAATGGGAGGCAAGCATTGCCGTCCTGCAGCAGATCACACGACGAGCCATGTCGCATTCACAGAGTCCAGAGCCTTGAACTCAGCCTTACACGATACTTGCTTCCAGGTGTTACACTTCTTCGCGACAGTGTAACAATATCCTCCCATATGTGAGGTTCAGTGTAGTGGGCGAGCTAACCACTGCTACACAGATATCAGTCGGGCGCACACTTTACTGACTCGAGCTCCGGCTCCTTCTCCACTAGCCCGTCTTCAGCAGCCTCGTCGCTCGCGAACACAGCATATCCGGCGAACCATTACACAGGCCTCACCAGCTTCACTACGCCTGTACTACCACCCCAGTCGTTCGTGCCCAGTCCTTATGCTGGTGCTCGTGTACCCTCACTGTACGTCACCTCCCGTGTACCACGCCCGTCGATTGCTCACTGGCAGACTGCCTGATGCTCACATGCTACTCACAGGCTAGAGGCCTCCACCTCGGGCATGCTCCCACCCTTGGCACGATCCTCGATAGTGTCATTAGACAGCACTGATTGCGAGGCGTACGGAAACGCAGCGGCGCCATTCTTAGCCCGCTCACATCTGTCATCCCCAGGCCAGCCAGGGTTCGCGCCCTACCTAGAAACGCCACGCACTGTACTGTCAACTTTCTCACCACCACTCGGACCGTACTCGGCCATGGCGTCCAACACTGGTTATGGCACCACCCAGGCCGAAAGCTTGAACTTCCCATGGCCAAATCTGGAAGTGATCATGGAGATGACATGCGAGGGTCAGCAGGTAACACCCGAGGTCCACGCAAAAGTGGAAAAGGGGTTCTTCCCAGCACCAAACGATCACAAATGGACGTGTTATCGACGGAACTACTTCTCGGTGACATGCAACTTTGAGCTCCACCCAAACATCATCAATGGACGTCTTTTTCTCAAGCGCAATGGCACCAACGAACAGGTACAGGCCATGGGAATGCGACTGTCTGCAGCGGTCGATGGACCAAATGGCAAGAGCATCGAATTGATCGCGCACACACCGAAGCGTGACAACGGCCCGAAGAACCCAATCACGGTGATCAAGGTCGCGCCAACACCCACCAGTGGCAGAGCGGAGCACTCACTGTCACCTAACGCAGTGTACCAGCTGCCGATGTCGACGTTCCATGCCACCGGTGCTGTGCCGGGTGTCTTTCTGCCTCTGCAGCATACCAATGATCCTGAAAATTCCCCGGCGACTGTTGGCACTTCGCAATTCTCGTCGCCGAGCTATGGCGGTTACCCGGCGCCAGCTTCGTCTCATATACAGAATCCCGCCCAGCATATCAGTCACACGTTCGAACGAGTACAGTTCAAATCAGCCACAGCCAACAATGGCAAGCGACGTGCCTCGCAGCAGTACTTTCACCTGATCGTTGAGCTCTTTGCTGACGTTCGGAAACCCGAGAGCGATACTGCAACTTGGGTTAAGGTTGCCCAACGCGTGAGCGACAAGATTGTCGTGCGTGGAAGATCACCAAGTCATTACCAGAATGAAGGTCAGCATGCACATATTGGGCGTGGTGGTAATGCCAGTGGTGGTGGGTACAACGGCTCTGGTGGAGGCTACAGTGTCAATTCAGGTGGCTTCCGTGGCGTTAACGGTGGCAGTTATGATGCTGGTATGGGACACGGTACTGGAGGGTATCGAGGTAAGCAGTATGGTATGCATCCAGGCTCAGACGGCTCCGAAAGTAGCCCGGACAGTATGGAGGATGGTGCGGTTTTGAACGATCACCATGCCGATGCCACCATGAGCGACGCTGAGCATGCCGACATTCATGGCTCGAACAGCTACCTATACTATCCTGGCACAATTTATGAGGGCATCACACCACAGATTCTACCACCGCTGGCCAAAGTGGACTCCTTGGCTCGCTACACAACCGATCCGAGACAATATGCCGTCAAGACAGAGTATGCTGATGCTGTTCCCGGTGCGCAATGGTCGGTTCGCGGCTGTCGTCCATTCCAGGGTGTCGAATCAAGTCGTGGCTACTATCCAGACCTGTCCGGTGCCTCAGATGGATACACCTGAACAACCAACATACCATCGCCGTAGTCCGAAAGGATTTTTCCTATGTTTGCATGTGTTGCGTTCGAACAACGGCCACAAGGGAGGCATACTCTCGTCCTCATCTTCCGGCTTCACGAGTATCGACCTGTCGATGTGCTGGCCACGACGACCTCGTCATTCAACCACATATCGTGCGCCCGTGCAACTCGCTCTGCACGTCTACATGGCCACAGCATCGATAGGCCCACCTCGCAACTATAACACAACACATTACATTTCACTATCGCTTCTCGACAGGGACACGATATACCACGGAGCGCATCCCGAGCATGAACTATCATTTTAATGGCATGGACAGAACTTGGAACGGAGTCGAAGCGGCATTGCACGGCGCACCGGAAAGACGGGACAGGGACAAGATAAATGAGGAAGACCACATACGTGGCTCGGCCGGGCATAGAGGTGCCCGCCGTCAAGTCAAAAGGCGTTCGTCGCTTGATCGATCATGATTGGATGGTCTCTGACGGCGACAGTAGAAGTATGTCTAACGTTGTGCATGATATTACATAGAGTATGATGTTGATGTTGATGACAGTGAGATGAGGAAGAGATGGATTGGAACAAGGAAGACGAGGGAGGTGTTTGCGTGTTCGTGCCGACTCCGGGTAGTGGGAGGCTGGCTGTGTAGTATGATACCTATGTTCAGTCTTGTATGAATGGAGGCCCTACTCTTAAACTTACTGCCACCTTTTCATTATCCTGTCATCAAATGATTCTACACCTACCTATCTATGCATACATCGTAGGGTATGGTAGCTTGCCAAATCTCTCCACCAACAGTGTCTCGGTGAGCCTCAGACACTGCTCCTGCAAGCCCGTCTCCTTGGCATTATTTGCTACATCCGTGACCTTGCAATCAGGCACAATATACGCTCCGTCCAAGTTCTCACCCACCACATCCTCGTGTGTAGTAGCAAACAAAGCTGGCCGACAGCCCTCGCTGACGGGATCCTTCATGAATGGCCTGACCGCCGCGACACCAATCTTGCCCAAAGTGCCATAAGCTTCTTTCGCTTGCTCAGGCTGATCGGTATTCACACCTCCCGGGTGCGTGGCTATGAAGAATGGAGGCTGTCCAGCACTGAGACCAAGCTCTGACTTCGCTTTATGCGCCACTAGCGACTTTGCCAGACAGACCTGAGCAAGCTTGGTGCGATTGTAGAGGTTCGCGGCTCCAACGTCCTGGTTGATCTCAGCTTTATCGGCGAATTCGACGCTTCCGGTGTTGATGCGGTGGAATTCTGAGGACTGGTAGACTACACGACTGTGGGGAGTCTTCAGTAGAGCGGGAAGTAGCATCATCATGAGATGGTGTTGCGCAACAACGTTGACTTGGAAGTGGCTGTCTAGACCATCTTTCGTCTCGTTATAGACGCCCACGCCTAGGCCAGCGTTCAGGACGAGAGCGTCCAGTTGATCGATTTCTGAGGCCAGCTGCTTAGCTACCTGGTCGGTCTGGGCCAGGTCTTCGAATTCGATTTGGATTGAGTGAATCTTGGAGATGTTGCCGTAAGACTTTAGGCCTTCCTCTGCTTCTTGGATGTGCTCTTCTTCTTTGCCGAGAAGGTAGATCTTTTTGGGATTGTGCTCGAGGAGATGAGCGACGATGCCATAGCCTGATAGTGTCAGCGAGTGTCCAATCTGGATCTCCTTCTCTCTCTGACGGAGGAGACCGACCGATGCCTGAGCTACCTCCTGTGACCACATATACTTTGCCACTGAGGTCTGGAATATCCTTGGATGGATCGAACTTGTTACTGCCAAGTCCTAGCATGGTGAATTGGTCTGCGGATTGTGAGGGAGGATTTAGAGGATGCGATTAAGAGGAGATCACTTGTAAAAAAAAGATACTGTCTAGGCATAGACAGTATGACAATGATACAAGCCTATTACGTCAATACTGTGTGTGACGAGGTGTTATTGCATTTGTTGCTGATCAGGCCTCGGGTTCCAAACTTCGGTCATGCTGTTCTCGAAGTCCACGTATTCTGCTACAGTACTAACTAGACCCATCGACTTCATGACCGCGCACGAGACCGTCTCTTCTCCCCCATTACCCCTAGATATCATCTTGTCAATGCTGTGGTGAAGTGTGGAAGATGTCTCTCCGTCACAGTGACGGTCAAGATGCACTCCACACAAGGCCAGAGCCGAGCCGGCCTTGCCTTGAGCCGCAACCATGATTGACTCGTGCCCACAACCGGCACAGTTACGTCGTTGTTGTCCGAACAGTTGTTCTCCAGTGTACGGAAATGGGTTCCTCCACAGATTGGCTCACTTGGGCCTTCTCGCCATCCATCTCCGCAATCATTGTCACACTCATATTCAGCTTGACACTCCCGATACTAATCCACTCATATCTGTACCGAAAAGCTGCTGCGAAGGAGCTGCCAACATTACTTCTACTAGGGCCGAGTGGTGCTGGCAAGTCTGCTTTACTGACACTTGTACGTCTGGCATGCTGTGGAGCCCTGTTACAAAGCTAATGTCAATTCAGTTCGCCAACGGTATCGCATCAGCAACCCACACAAGCCAAGAGCCTCAAAGCGCCGTCTGCCAGCTTCCGGCCTCGACAACAACATCCGAAGACCGTTACCGATCCGAGAATGACACTTCTTCACGAGCACAGCCGAAGTTTTTGCTTCTCGATACGCCAGGTCATGGCAAGCTTAGGCATCACGCAACTTCCACCCTGACCTCAGCAGCAGCGCTGAAGGGACTGCTATTCATGGTAGACAGTGCGGCGGTGAGCTCAGCCAGTGGATTGACAGAAGCTGCGGAGTACCTACACGACGTATTACTGCTTTTGCAAAGAAGACATACACAAGGCAAGACCTCGAAAGGACCACAAGCAGTACCCGTGCTTGTGCTAGCGAACAAGCAAGACGTGTTCACGTCATTACCATCGACCATCGTGAAGACTAAGCTGGAAGAAGAGATTGGGAAACTCAGGCAGACGAGGAGTAAAGGGCTACTGGATAGTGGTATTGGCATGGATGATGATGCTAGTGGTGATGAGGAGGGTAATTGGCTTGGCGAATATGGAGCAAAAGAGTTCAGATTCGCACAGATGCAGGAACATGACATTGAGATTGATGTCATGGGGGGAAATGTGAAGGGAGATGGTGATGAGGCGGGCAAGGTGGATGAGTGGTGGTCGTGGATTGGTGAAGGCCTGTAATTTCCTAAGAATCTGGACTCTCGACAGGCTTTTCTTTACACCAGTGCTATGAGACCGTTGAGACCAACACAGTCGCCGCGTCCCAACATCCGCTCTGAGCAAGACTGTCACAACATCGAAATGGTCGGTCACCAGGTGTGCAGGCAACTTCGGAGTCGAGGCAACCTACCGCTCATTGATTCATGTTGTTCGCAGAAGGAGAACCCACTGCTCACTACATCCGCAGACACATGTCTAGGAACACGCTAGTCACCGTAGCGGTCAGGCCCGGATGCCAATATTGAGCACCAGCTGTGACCCATCCCACGTTCCAAGCATCGGCTCAGCCATATATGAATCGCCAACCTGCATCTCAAACCTAGTCCGAAATACCAGGAGTTCGATCGTCGACTGAAAAGGGCCATTCTACATCGTAATATCACCAATCAATAATCCACTCACTAGCACCACTATCCCAGAATTCCTCACAAGCAGCCTTCAACCCGAAATTCGGCCTCAGCTCATCGATCGTCAACGGCTCTCTCGTCAATGGATCCGTCGGACTTCGCTTCAAGTGCTCATAGATCGTCGCCCGTTCATACGAATGACCCGTCTTCGTCATCACGGGATCGTGCATCGGCTCAAAAGTAATTGTATCGATAATATGGTCTGGTATCTCTCTGGCCTTGTGGTTGGCTGGATCCGCTGCTGCGAAAATGGTGTGGAGTTCGGCTACTTTGTGGTCGAAGGCTGATCGGATCTCGGCTGCACGTTCGGAGGCTGCGATATTACCTACATCGCCACGCTGGAGTTGCAGAGTGATTTCGCTTTGGTCGCGCTGTCGTTGAGAGTCGAGAGTGACTTCTAGTTCTGCGCAGAGGTCGCCTCTTCTACGCAGACGCTCTCGTTCCCGGGAGGCGAATTTCTGCTTTTTGCATTTTAGGACAAATGCGGAGAAAGTCTCAAGGTCCTTGGGCGAGATCTTGGCTGCTGGCTGTGGATGCAGAACTTGATTGTAGGCTGTTAGTGCCGACGACAAGGCTTCGTTTGGATGGTTGAGCGATAGTTGTGCTTGTGCTGAATATTGTCAGCAGGTGGCGCTGAAGACATACCATGTCGGCACAGAGCAATCGAGAGCCTCCTCAGACCGCTGAGTATATCACAGGGCATACCCAAGAAATAGAAAGCCTAGTCGTGACGTTAGTTGTTGGCCGTATTGTATCGATCGTCAATGCTTGACATACCTTATGATTCTGCCCACCTTGCCCCTGAATCTCAATACTTTTCAGACTATCGTCGACAACTCCATCATACCTCTGCAACTTGAGCCGTACATTTGCACGGTTTGTGAAGATTAGTGAGTTCCTAGAGTACCTGTGTATCGCCTGCGAGTAGAAGTCCTCGGCTTCTAAATATTCGCCATTGCGGAAAGCGACGTTGCCTTTTTCTTTGAGTTGTTCTGCTGCGTAGGATGCCATAAATCGTTCTCAGGTCACAGAGTCGCTGACATAGGTGAGACGACAACTTGTGGCGTGTTTGCGAATACGTGTGTGAACAAGGCACAGGTGTGGTGTGCTTGCTTGCTTGCTTGCGAGGCTGTGCACGGCTGGATTTGGTAAGCGTTTAGCGTACATTCCTCTTCTAGAAGCATCTGTGAGCTTGTATCGGTCACCTGACTAGATTTTCACGCAAAGCAACGTGGATTGGTGAGAAGATGCAGGATGTATATAAAGACATTGTTGTTACGAGGGTGTGTTCTTCTATCTGTCTATATCTACGGAGACGCTGCCCCAGGACGCCAAGGCTATGCATTTACTGTACAACATGCCAGTGGTGACTGCCGTCCTCATCGCACAGGTCAGTGTGTACAAAGACCTGAAATATCCTTGTTTTGCGTGAGAGAGGGGGTCTTGCGTTCACTAGCATCCTCTCATACCCTATAGATGGCATCACTCATCTTCACAACCTGAGCCATCTCCGCCACGTCATGCACCCGCACAATCTCGGCACCACCCTGCACAGCCGCCGTAACAGTCGCAGCAGTGCCCCAGGTCCTATCTTTGGCCTCCGCCACGTCTGTCACCTTTCCTACGAAACCTTTGCGACTGCTTCCGATCAGCCAGGGCATGTCACGTAGGTCGGCCCTTTGACGCAAAGCTGGAAGCTCACGCAAAATCTCCAAATTCTGGTCTACGGTCTTGGAGAAGCCTATGCCAGGGTCAAGAATGATACGCCAGCGCCGTATGCCAGCTTCTTCCGCGGCTTGTAGGCGAGCTTTGAGCTCAGTGGCTATGGTTGGTATCAGACCGGCTGGGTATCGCAAGTTCTCCTCATTCTGCATAGTGGCGGGTGTGCCGCGCATGTGCATTATGATGTATGTACATCCCAGTCTCGCAATCGTCGGCAGCATTTCAGCATCGAGGAGACCGCCAGATATGTCGTTGATGATATGCGCTCCTGCCTTGATTGCTGCCTTGGCCACCGAAGCGCGGTAGGTGTCGATGGAAATGGCTATGTGTTCAGCTGCTGGAAGCGACTTGATAGCCTGGATGGCGGGTAAGATGCGAGTGATCTCATCTTCAGCAGTGACGTCCGGGGCATCGGGTCTAGAGGATTGGCCACCAATGTCGATGACAGTCGCACCTCCGACTACGTGAGCTGAAACGCTTGCTTTGAGGGCCTCGAGATCGGTAGGCTCATGGACACCGCCATCGGAGAACGAGTCGGGGGTCACGTTGAGGATGGACATCATCTGGGTTCGGCGCTTCGGAGCACCAGTATTGACTGTGGCCTGTGGTGGGCCCAACGAGACCTGGGAGTACATTGATGGTGTACTCCATGTTTCCATGCGTCTTAGTAGCGCCTGAGCCGAGGCGCGCAACGGCTCTATACTACCTAATCCTAGGCTAGATGGAAGCGTCAGTCTTGGAGGTCTTCACATTGCATTGCTGCCGTGCTTACTTGTCCAACGGTCGTAGCACAAACTCTCGTTCCTTCAGCAGCTGATGGGGTATAGTCAATCGTTCGCTTTCAAAGCGATCGCTATTGTACAGTAGGATATCAAGATCAATATTCCGCGGTCCCTTGTCGATGTGCTTGACTCGGCCAAGGTTGAGCTCGATCGCTTGTAGTCTGTCAAGCAACTCGACTGGAGGAAGCTGTGTGCGGACCTATGATGGTCAGCAGGAGGCAAGCCATCAATCCACGGCGTTCCAAACGTACCTGGCAAACGCCGTTCAGAAATCGGGCCTGGTCTTCTACATACATAGGCTCGCTTTCGTATAGGTTGCTTGTACGCACAATCCGCATATCGGGCCCATCGTCAATAGCGCTACAAGCTCGCTCAATTGCCTCCAGTCGATCGCCAACATTACTTCCCAAGGCGATAATTGCTGTGGATTCCTGGTTCGTGGTCACAAGGCTTGGTGTAGTATCAACGCTTGGTCTAGAATGACACTGTCCAAAAATAGGCTTGCCATCGAGCGAGCGAGACATCAATGTCACTTCAATGGCGGTGGGAGGCATCTGGAGCCAAAGCAGTGCAGCTTCTTCTCGCACGTGGCTCGCTATGGTCGAGGCGAGCTTGCTTGGAGAAGAGTTGATATCGTATGATGCCATCAGAGGCCGAAGCGCATCTGCCAGGGATCCCATGGTCGGTGACACCTGGGCTGCCGCCACGTCGTCCGTAAACTGATACATATCACTCTCGAAAGTCGACCGCAGAGTAAGTCTCACGCTACAAACACGGCTTAACGAGCCGATGCCCCAGGCCAGCCCAGTGATTATAGGAAGCGTGATCTGCACAGTCGTTGTAGTCCGCTCGTCGAAATCATCAACATTGATCCTGGCACGGAACTGTCCTTTGAAGGTGTGCTGTGACCTGGAGACATGATCTTTCTTCAGTGCAAAGACAAGTGTGGTCGATGGTCTGTCCGATAAAGCGCTGCGGACTGAGGTGGTGATTGACACCAAGTCTTGTATGGAGCCAGTTGCTCCATTCAAGGATGCTGTCGTCAGTAACGTAGACATGCTGTCTAACGTCAGGTCCTTGGCCACTGTGACATCTTCTGTGGACCACCAAACACGAAAGAGCATCAGTGCAAAGCCAGTCGCCTTCGTCAGAGCGGGTGTGCTAGAAGAGTCAGCAAGCGGCTAGCACACACTCTGTATCGCAACAGCTCACCTAACATCAGACTCGCTCTCAGCAAACACAGCTCCTTTGGTCGTGTGAAGAGACATACCACGACTTCCACGATCACCATTGGAATGTTCAGCGGCGCGTTCATTGATTCTGTCTCCAGAAACTTCTTCGAACTCTGCCTCATCATAGCTACTTGACTTTTTGTCATCAACAGTACCGAGAGCGCCCGTCGCTTGGTCTGACACATGCCAACCATCTCCCTGGTCGCTCGAGTCATCGACGGCCGGGTCATTCTCCGATTGCGCGAACGTATCGTTTCGTTCTGACCATCGAGCTCTGCCCAAGACTCGCTGTCTGTTGGTCAAGGTGAGAGTCATGCTGGTGACCTGGAAATGGCTTGGAAAGAGGAGATGCTCACGTAATACGACCTGTGCCAGCTGTGTCGCTACGCGATCATTCAAGTCGTTGGCGACGACGTCCAACAGTCGAGGCGTGATTGCAGCTTGTATTGCTTGAAGTACACTGGAAGTCTCCAGTGCGAGGTCCACACTTGGACCGGATTCCATTCGCTCTACCTTGTGTGCGGTAATACGCATTTCTAGCCACACTTGCTGGCGTGATGTGGATGACTTCAGGAGACGATCAACGGACAGCGAAGGTAGGCGGATCATCCAACGACCATTTATCGCCACTACATTCGCATCCACCCTAGGTGGTGAGATGATCAGCTCGTTTCCTAACTTCAGCGTACCACTGGGAAGCAATGATTTCGCTCCAGCTGACATGAATAGATGGATGAGCGCTCCCTCTGGGAGAGAAGTCATTGTGGAGATGGCAAGGGTCGAAAGGAAGTCCAGACCTTGCAGAGAACTTCGCTCAGCATGCTCTTGAATCAATCGATCGACCATATCGCAGTTGACATGCAGTGCATTGGGAGTGTGCTTGGGCGACCAGTCGATTGTATAACCTAATTTCTGGCAGCCAATCCTTCGGGCGACAGCCGAAAATCTGTGCAAAGGTCAATACAGGTTCAAGAAGATTGGTCAGGATACTCACTCTGATGAACTTCTACTCCGCACTCGAAGTCTCTCGTCTCGATTGACGTACGCGGCGCGTGAATCAATATGGCCACTTAGCACGACCGACGCGCCAAGGTTCTCACGAAGTCTCTGCCGGGTTACAGCCATCGACGACTGACCGTTGATCACAGGCGACCTTGCGTTGCTAAGCTGCGGCTGTCTTGCACCAACCTCTTGTATGTCGGCCAATGCCGTGCTTGCGATAATATGTGGCTCAGACGTACTTGTAGGTGCCGCTATGACAGCAACTTTGACAAGCTTCGCGCCGGGTAGCTGATCTACTAAAGTGCGTAGCAGAGCCTCTGAGACGAATGACGCCGCCGATCGAGCAGATGCGAAAGTCATGCCGCCAAGCACTTGATCTATCACCACACGAGTGGCTGTAGCAAGCGATCGTACAGACTCAAGGGGTGCTTGGTCCACGTTTGAGTCTCCGTGGTCTGGTGTAGACATCACTTGCTGTGTATACTCCAGTCGAATAGTGCATTGCATGTTGACCGGTAGAGAATTGTCGGCGATCTGCATTGTGAACTCTCTCTTGTAAGGCAAGTTGACATATACGGTAGGCCTGGACGTCATCGCAGTATTTCTAGCGACTATAGCTATCGGAAATTGCGCAATTGTTTCAGGCATTCCCATAGAACTGATGGAAGCTGGCGAGACAGGGCCCGGCATGTCTGCGTTGATCTCAAGGACCTCCAGATCTGAATAGCCACTGGCCAAGCTCGTGGCGGCCAGCATCCACAGCCGGAGGCCACATGATTGAGACCTTTGGCACAATCGCTCCACATGTTGCACTATGTCATGGCCACTCGGCAGCTCAGGAGTCGTTTTCGGATGAGCCGCTTCGTTAGTTCTCATGGAAATCTGTATACCATGAAATCCTAGCTTGCGAGATGCCTCATCAGACCTCAAACGTCAGTCTCGTGGGTGAGCTTGGCAAGGAATGGTCTTACAATTTCATGTGTGAACTGTATCTCGCAGACAAGCCCCTCACGAAAGTCTGTGGTCTTTCCAAACGATTCTGAATGGTCGCATAGCTTCTTGCGCTGCTTCTGGCCGCTTGCGACGACAAATGTGCGATGGTTCTTTTGGCGAAGGACAGGCAGCGTGTGCTCGCATTGTGCTTCAGTCTCTTAGGTGCTGACGCGACACCGCATGCGTTGAGCCTAACTATCATGGGTCGACTGGACCACCTGCTTTGCCATACAGGCGTCGCTGATGGCCCAAGTCTTGCTCTCGCTACAGGCCATGGCATCCTGCTTGTCAATAAGTACGTAGCAAAGCTTCGAAGTCATGAGTCGTATTACATGCTCCTACCGTAGCCATATGACTGTTAGGCGACCATATCGGAAGCGTCGCGCGTAGATAGATAAGCTTGAGGCTTGTTGCAAGGGTGGCGGTAGTCCGTCAATCGTGTCATCGCGCGAACATCAAGCAACGCGCCTCTTTTAAGAAATGTTAAACTTCTGCTTCGGCGGTGGCCGTTCCGTCAGCCGAGCGAGCACGTATTGACCCCACACTTCTCCACATCGTGCTTTCACGTGGGTACTGTGGTAACCACTTCGATGGCGAGGAGGTTCTCATGCGAGAGTAGCAAGATCGCGACAGTGACTGCGATAGACATCATAGATAGAAGCTTACATGTACACATGCGCTCCGGCCAGCAAGAATCGGCCATCTGGTCAGTGCCGTGTGAAGCAGATTGAACTGATTACCGAGGAGCCGAGGCTCGTACATCAACTTATGCAACAAGCCTCCGCATGTGAGCACCTACCTGCCAGTCCCTCCTACGTCCTCTCTTATAGAAACAACACTCTTTGCACTACCAGCATTAGACACAGTACTGCAATCATGGCCTCTCCACGTATGTGCACTCTCATCCCACCACTCAGGACAGCCCAGTTGACAGTGCCTCGCAGAGCAGATCCGCACCACGACCACCGACCTCCTCAGGATCAACCACCCGATCATGCTCGCAGGCATGAACGTGGCGGCCGGTCCGAAGCTCGCGGCAGCCGTCAGTGATGCAGGAGGTATTGGTGTGATCGGTGGTGTTGGCTACACACCAGACATGCTCCGCGAGCAGATTGCCGAGCTCAAGGGCTACTTGAAGGACAAGAGTGCGCCATTCGGTGTCGATCTCCTGCTTCCACAAGTCGGTGCTGGTGCCAGGAAGACGAAGTAAATTTCCTTCTTTCACATCTACTGCATCAGCTGACACGTGATCTCCAGCTACGACTACACCAAGGGAAAGCTCGATGAACTCGTCAGCATAATCATCGACTCTGGCGCCAAGATGTTCGTCTCCGCCGTCGGTGTGCCACCAAAACATGTCGTCGACCGCCTTCACGGCGCCGGAATCTTCTACATGAACATGATTGGCCACCCAAAGCACGTAAAGAAGTGTCTGGAGCTCGGCGCCGACTTGATCTGTGCCCAAGGAGGTGAGGGAGGAGGCCACACCGGCGATGTGCCCACCACCGTCCTCATCCCTGCCGTCGCAGCTTTGTGTCGCGGGAAGACGAGCCCGATGACTGGCAAACCTGTGCAGGTCGTCGCAGCAGGCGGTATCTTCAACGGCCAATCCCTGGCAGCCTCCCTAGCCCTCGGGGCCACGGCCGTTTGGGTGGGAACCCGCTTCGTGTTATCCGAAGAAGCCGGTGCCCCGAAAGCGCACCAAGAAGCAGTCCGCACCGCCGGCTTCGACGACAATGTCCGCACAATCATCTTCACTGGCCGCCCACTTCGCGTACGACGAAACCCATACATTGATAACTGGGAGGAGAACCGACAGAACGATATCAAGGAGCTGACTGGTAGGGGTAGAATCCCCGTCGAGGCGGACTTGGAGAGGATGGGTGACGACATTGATGACGAGACGATGGACAACGCCCGACCATTCTTGATGGGCAAAGTCGCGGCTGTTGTAAATGAGAGGCAGAGTGCGAAGGTAATCATTGATGACATGGTCAGGGATGCTGTTGAGGTGATTGCGAAGAGCAGCAGTGCTGTTATTGGGAAGAGTAAGCTATGAGCTAGTAAAAACTCACGAATCATCTCCGCCTGTCAGAACCATCCTCTCTGCTCTCGCCTTCCTGACCCAACCATCCCATGAGGCTGTGCACTCCAGCGAGCAAATTCTCATGGAGCTGCGCCAGCGTAACAGTCTATCGTCTGAGGCTTCCGATTTTGCATTTCAAAAGCTCGAATTACTCGTTACAGTGAGGCATCAAACACTTTGCTACCTCAATAGAAGTCAATTCGCCTCGGCTATGCGTCGTCAACCCTATATGCAGCGTCACCGTCCTGTATGCCAAATCCTCTCCTGGTATTTTCGGCGAGGGGACATAGCAGTACCAATTTGCGTGCTGCTCATTGCTTTACTGCCAGCATGGCCGTCCGAGGCGCACCACCAGATTCGTCCGGATTCTCGTTTTCCGAACAGTTGATGCACTTGCCGCCGCTCGCTCCGGTATCTGACATGCTGTAGTGACTGCGCAGCCGATGTACTGGCCATCTGCATGCCGTTAAAGCCAATGTGTGGCTTCGAAACCCAACGAAGATGCCACTGCTGTCATCAGCGCGAAGATGGCACCCTTGTCCGTCTATCCAACGTGACCCCATCATCCTCCTTGGCCATGTCGAAAGCTGCTGACCACTTCACTTGTTCTTGTCGATCACATGTAATCTCGGCCATGCCTCGTTCAGCTTCTGCTTGTCCTGCTCTGAAGGCACAAAGCCAAGTGCTTCTTCTGCCTTATCCGAGACGAATATTCCAAACGCGGCATAGGCCATGATGCCTCCGCCGATCATCACACGAGTACGGGTGCTGAGGCCACGCCAAGATTGCCAGAGAGGCATTGTTGTGTTCCCACGGCTTTGTGGTCTGAGACGGTTAATTGTAGGTGCTTGGAGGAAAGGGAAAGAGGATGTGGCTACAGGTCAGCGCGAATGTCAATGCCACGACTTGTGGCCTACGTGTCGACTTGGCTCCTTCTTCGCTCCTTGACGACAACATCACTTCAACATCAACGAATGTTTACATATGGTAGCAAGTATGCGAAGGCAGCAGAGGCTAGATCTATGTCTGCATGCATCTCACGGTCCATGGTCCTTATGAGACAGCGAACTTAGCAGCACCCAGGTAAAGTTTTGTCAAACCGGGCTGCATTTGCAGACCCGCAAATGATCCTCCCAACCGACCTCCAACGTCAACAAGATATTATTACATGTGCCACTGCACTTCTCATATCCTCGATCATAAGTGGCGACTCAAACCAAGACCTCAAGCAAAATGGCGCCAAATGCGGTCGACTATATCGCCATCCAGAACACCATTTCCCGGTACTGCATCGCGCTTGACACCAAGAATTTTGACTTGTTGAAGCAGGTCTTCACCGAAGATGTCGACACTGTGTATCCTTTTGGCGGACAACGGAAGGGTGTCCAGCCAATCATTGATGCCATCTCGAAAAGGTCGCTTCCTTCAGAAGATCTTACCACAACTAGACTGCCTGCTCATATTTCTGCAGGCTAAGTCCAGTGACACATCAGCACGCGTTGACGACGCAACACATCGAGATCGCAGCAGATGGCAAGTCTGCTGAGTCGACAACGTACTTCACGGGGATTCATTTTGGCAAAGGCAAGTGGGACGGAAAGGAAGTCACAGTAAGCTTGCGTCGTATTCTATCGAGGCGTGCCCTGATTGACCCATTGTGTAGGCTTGGGGTAAGTACGACGACCGCTTGACCTTGATTGAGGGCAAGCAATCACTTCCAGGAGCGAGCGGCCAATGGTTCATCAGCAGACGGGAGGTGAGCTTCTTCGGCAGACTGGGCGAGGAGGGCGTCATGGATGGCGAGTAGACAGGCTGTGCTTTCTCGCGGCATTGCGGATGCGACCCAGCCGTCTGTGTTTCTAGTCGTCCAAGTAGCGTATCATGATGCGAGTGACTTTCTAGAGCTGATTGATTTCGTCTCGCGAATTGCTACTCCATCTGTCCTGACGGATGTGATACGTGTTTGCCGATGAAGGGCGTTGCTGCTCTCGCCGACTAACGATTGGACATCGACTACTATGCTGCTCATTGTAATGCCCGTCGCGTCAGGCTCGATCACCAACTATGACAAGATGAACCGAGGAAGGGCTAGATACATACGGACGTGAACATACCAGAGAACGGAGCTTCGGGTTCGAAAGAATGCTCGGCAGACCGAGGTGGTGCGGCACAAACAAGCTCGTTCCTGGTCAGCTTGCGAGATGAGCCGAGATCACGTGAGGATGACAGAGCCGTCCATCGACAACTACTTCTGAACCGATCCTTGCCATCACGACTTTCATCTCCAATGGACTGATCTGCGGGCGACTTCGTAAGTAGTACCGACGTTTTGACTTTGGTACCTGATAGGACATATGCGTGATGCGGCCACTCTAAATGCATGCCGAGACCATGCGACTTCAGCCGACTGACTCCACGAGATGGACTGCTACACTATACGCCGTGTCTTCCCCAACGGCATCAGCGTAGAACTCGATGCCCGGGGCCGTAATCGCAGGGCATGAGAGCAGCGTTCAGCTGGGATAGGTATGCGCATCCGTAATGGGCAGTTCCAGTTACGGATATGTAGGAAGCCAATCTTCCAGACGCCCAACATGTTCTGGACGTGCATTGCTATCGCAAGCTATATTGCTACATAAGTCTCTCGCCCGAGGGCATCTCTTCTAGGACCTGCACCTTCGTCGCCCACACTCTCACGCTCGGCACAAGATGCCTCCTCGCACCAGCGACCGATCGATCAATACATGCCGCTCATGCAGGTACGGTAGACTTCAGCCATGCTTACACCTTCATGATCTGATACAATGGCAGGCGCCGCAAGATACGTTGTGATCGCAACAGGCCCGACTGTAACCGTTGTCGGGAGGCTGGAGCTGTGGTGAGTTCTGCCATTTTGCCTGTCGATCCTGGATCGCCATATTGGACAGAAGGAGTAGTGCGCGGCCGAAACAGCGGACTAGAACTGCTTAGAGGCCGCACACGGATCCAGCAGACACGGTACTTGTGGCTACAGGCTATTCTCTTATGTCACACGGCCGGTCTTTCGCGGTACTGCACTCGCCTTGATGTGGCGGGATGATCAAGCAACTCTGCGCCATATCCGTCCCTTGAGTGGTTCAGGCACAGGCGGCGATCTACCCAGACCTGTCCGTAGTCAGGTGTTTGCCCTAAGACCAGAAGCCCTGTTTCTGGCTCCTCTTCGTACTTTACATCACTCAAAATATACACACTTTGTTCGCGGACACCATTGACTAATTTCGCCGCTGTAGTGCGTTTACGAAGACCAAATTCCGCAGCTACCACCCACGTACAAATTCGTGTGTAAGTTTAATGCCCGTGGGCGATCAGGTGATGGAAGAGATGCTTATATTCCTCCAGCTGAACGACCAGGAGAGCCGTCCGATGTATGCCAAAGGGATGATGTCAACAGCGAGTATGTATCCGATGTCTCGGTGTCGGCGGAAAAGCTTCTTTCCATCGAGGCTCGCGTAGAGAGTCTCAGTAAGATGGTTCGAGAGTTGCAATCACAAAGCACCAGTGGAGTCACGAGCTCCGCTGCTCGCTCGGCGACAGACCTTTCGAGTCCAAGCAAGATTGTTTCGGACTCTTCGATTGACTTGATCGGACATTTGTCCAGGCAGGGTGGTGACAGGATGCGATATGTTGAGCCATCTTTTTGGGCAGTAAGTGCTCAAAAATTAAACAGCGTCTGCAGCGATGCTGAAACTTCTCAGTCCATGTGCGAGGAAGTCTCAGAATTGGACGAACTGCTTGGCAACCAGGCTAGATATCTACTGCAACCAAGCGCTGATGGTACGGGAAAGCTCAGCTTCGAGGAAGACGAGGGCTTCACAGTTCGCGGTGGTGATGTCAGACCGAGTAGCCAGAATCTGACTACTCACCTTGCGCTCGTTGGAAATATCGTAGCACAGCCACCAGCATGGAGCTACAATGAACGGATTACTTCGCGGACTGTAGCTCGCAATCCGGACTTTCTACGCCAGCTGCCATCCAAGCGCAGATGCGATGCGCTGGTGGAAGGCTACATCAACGGCTATCATCCTATGGTGCCTGTTATTCACGTCCCATCTTTCCATTACCGATACGAGGAGTTCTGGCGTACGCGGACAGACCCTGATGCATCTACAACAGCATCCATGTCCTTCGCAGCACTGCTTGTGACTGTGCTGTACGCGGGATCGGTGGCATGTCCATCGGCGGTCTTTTCGGGTGCAACTGGCGCGCCTGCTCCTGAAGAGGCTGCAACTCAGCTACATATCCTTGCTTTGAGAGCATTACGGCTGTCTAACTTCCCCAGAACGCCAACACTTGACTCGTTCCGTGCGTACCTCATCTGTCAGTCGACGTGGATGCGCGAGGAGGAACCACTGACTTGTGTGGCGTTCGTGGGTCTAGCACTGCGAGTGGCCACAATGCTTGGTCTGCATAAGGACCCGTCCCGCTTCGGCAGCATGAACCCGATCGAATGCGAAGTCAGACGACGAGTCTGGTGGCAGCTTGTACATATCGATGTCTTGGTTGCGATCGCATCAGGACTCCCTCCGATGGTCGATCTCAAGGCTTGGGACGTGAAGGACATTTCAGAGCTGAAGGAAGAACATTTTGGTACACAGGTCGGTATGGAATACACGCAGGCTATCAAGAGCGGACTGCAAGAGCCTGATGCGGCCGCAGATCCACGCGACCCGAGGAATGCCTCCATGGTGTCGACGGTCGGCATACTCGTGGCAGGGAAGCTGCGAGCTACTCGTAAGTCGAACTGGATCTGCAGACGGACGACCTGATGCTGACAGTGCGGCAGTGGTCCTACGACGCACTCTGGCAATGCTCTTCACTGGTGCTCCTCTTACCACGTCCGACCTGGTAGTCATGCGTAGCGAGTATCGTCTGCTCGGTGAAGACCTTCGCTCGCGGATAGCACGTATACCAGAGCCACAACCTGGTGACCTAGGCCGGTCTGCTATGGGCTCTACGTTCGAGAACAACTTTGCCTTGAATCGGTGGGCTCGCCTTCTGCTCTCAGCGTTCGTGGACGAGCAGTACTGCATTTCTTTCCATCCAGTGATCAAAGCACGAGTCAGCGAAGTCTGGCCAGATCTGTACCCTCAGTATGTGGTGCCACGAACTAATAGAACAGTTGCGATACTGACTTAGTTGGTAGAGCCATACAGCATTGCCGAGCATTCCTCAATAAATGTGCTCAGATGGCGTCTGTACCCGACTTTGGCGACTTCCAGTGGAGCTGGCCCGGGTAAGCTGATCCTATGTCCTGCTAAGAGCGTCGAAGCTAATCCGTGTACATGTAGAAACCATCAGCCACTGCACGCAATCACGATTCTGCTTCTTCACCTCGTCCAAGGTCCAGATGGTGAAGATGCACGAGAAACCCGCAGAGCCATTGATATTGCCTTTGCGCTCTGCGGCTCTAATGGAGGCATTGTTGCAGGAGGATCTGGCCCAGAAAATATCACGAAGCGTCCCTTAACCGAAGGTGGCCAGGAAGCCTGGAGCTACTTCAAGCGCCTGCGATCTAAAGCCTGGCAAAAGGCTGGACTGGATCCGGACGTATTCTGGACACGCGAGCAAGCTGTACGATTCTGCAACGGACATTCGGAACCTCAGCTAGTGGCACAAGAGCATAGGCCTATATGGAACGAAGGCTATCCAGGCGAGCTACAAGATGCGAATGATTTAGCTGGCCACACGTTAGCGACTACCGTGGGCTCCCAGGGCGACATGGAAGTAATTATGAGTCCGCCGAACATCGACTGGACCTACCTCGACGCTGTGTTGGGCAGTGCACAGAATGACGCTGTTCTGGACTACGGCCCATGCGAGGATGAGTCGGGTGAAGATAGATGGGTACCATAAAGCTTACGCAGTGCGACACTATTTTCCCTGATACCTGTGGGGCTCTGTGTGAGCAAGTGCGGACGACAACTTGTCTGCTCATTCGGGATAGCATACATCGGAACCAGCTCGCGTAAATACGCCCGACCGTAATTGCTGCTTGTTAGGCGTGCGCTGGCCGGAGCATAAGAGTTCATTTCAGGTTGTGTGCAGCATGTCTTATTGCACTCTTGTGTCCATGTCTACCGCGCAAAGTACGTCAGGAGCTCAGCATGCGAGTGGATGTCGTGGTCAAGTCATCCAATTGGACTTGCACGGCACCCGGTAGGAACAATATCGACTCCAAAGCTTGTGAAATGTCACCGACACGCGACCTGGAGTCAGATTGTTAGGCTACGGCTTGGGCACACCAACCATGCAGTCGAATATGACTCTATTCATGCATCGCGCCCTTGCTTGTTAGCGGCCGCGGAGGCTCTGGATTACGATGCCAAATAAATTACTGAGCTCCCTAGAATAAGGTGTGTAGAGTTTTAGAAAGTGTAGATTGCGCACAAGCGGGTGAAGCGGATGAAGCGGGCTATACCCGGAGACGTTGGTAGTATTTTGGTAGAAACGCATTTTGTGTCTTGCGTCAGAGACATGAAAATCGCTCGCACAGCGGCCCATGCGGCTCAGATTAAGCATTTCCTGGCATCAAACGTTATGGCCATCGTCCAGCTCCAACAAAAAGTGCCCGCAGAATGTCACTCACGTTGCCAACGACGGCTCTTCAAGTCGATGAACCACTACGTATTATGCCTGCTTTGAGGCAGCGATCTGTCACCGATGGCGGCAATACGGGGTCCGGACCAAAGCAAGTCTCGGGCAGAGCCAACTGTAATGAGCGCCTATAAGTTCCACGCCTGCTCGTCGTGGGCAGTTGTCCAAGGCAATTCACTATCCAGCGACGAGAGGCGTAACGATCCAGGATGGCGCGTGGTCAACTAATCTGTCTAGCTGCCTCGTTCCTTGCGATTACCACATCCTCAGTAACTGCACAGAGCGGATCCCCTGCCAATGGACCTCCAAGCAGCGTTCTCCAGGCCTGTGCCGCCTCCATGGACGGCCAGCTCCCGACCCCGACTCCACCAGGCTTTAGTTGGAACGGCGTGGTGCGGCGATACTATGTAGCAGCCGAAGAGGTCAATTGGGATTATGCTCCCACGGGCGTAAGCATCCACACAACGCGGCACCAAGTACAGCTGCTGACGAAGGAGATTACAGTGGGATAATTGGCTGGGAGTACGTACGTGATGGTACACCGAATGTCATGAACTTATGTTGTATAGGTCCCGCTTGAGAAATCGCCACGCGTGACGATGTCTGGTGCCCTACAGTATGGTACCAAGTGGGAGAAGGCGCTATACCGCGGCTATACGGATAGCTCGTTCACGAATCACTCACAAGAGCCTCTATGGCAAGGTGAGCTATCTCACGCCTGCAAGACTCCACGAGTACAGAGAAAGCTTACACAACGAAGGTACCCAAGGTCCCACCATCCGAAGTGAGGTGGGAGACATGATCGAGATCATGTTCGTAAACCGTCTTAGCACGTACTATGCTACGATGCACAGCATGGGCCTAGCATGTTCGTCGGCCGCTGCATACACTCCACCATCGTGGCCGCTGACGTGCCATTAGATACTAAGTACGCCGAGGGAGCCGACTACCCGAATAACACAGCACCTGGTCAAAACGTAGTCGAACCTTTGGCTGAAGCTGTACACCCGGCGGATGCGGGCGTACCGCCAAACGACTGCGTGGTGTACAAATGGATGGTGCCTTCACTTGCAGGCCCAAACTTCGGCGAGCCGGCCAAGGTCAATCGCAGACACTGGCATGCTTTCATCACGCCATTCACTGACGTCTCACAGGTGCACTCATATCACTCCTACGTTGCAATGCAACAGGACACAAATGCCGGTCTGATTGGCCCTCAGATTGTCTATGCACCTGGCATGATGAACTCGACAATGACGAAGTATCGCGAGATCCCGCTTCTCTACATGATCTATGATGAGGGCGACTCCTGGCTCTCCTCGGTCAACGCCGCGAAACTGCAGAGTCAGGGCCAGACTAGTTCTACTCGGAGTACTGGTACCGGTGCCCCTCCATCCATCGGGTCATACATCTCCCACGGTCAATCTCAATCGCAAGGCGGTCAACCCAGTAGCGGCCAAGGTCAAGGCCAGGGTGGAGGTCCTAGCTTCGGTACAATAGACACCAATAATCTGTGGTCGGGGAACCAGACAGTATGGCAACCTCAAGTGACCAACCTTGCTGGCTCCGGACAATTTCAGGGGGCATCATCCTTCTACACAATGAATGGCTATATCTTCGCCAACAATCCGACCTTCGACATGTGCCTCAACGACAACGTCATCTGGTATGTGAACGCGTATGGGTCAGCATCGCACGTTTTCCACATGCACGGTAACGGCGTCATGTACAACGGTGGCGGATATCCCGCGGTCAGCATCAATGACGGTGTTGGGAAGACGTTGTACATGAATGCTACCGGTCAAGGGAAGTGGCAGGTTATATGTCATGTGAGCTCAGGATCGTTGCTGCATTCTCCAGACCATTAAACTGACGCGAGTGACAGGTGAATAATCACCATAGCATGGGAATGGTCAGCAGTAAGTTCAGCTTCGTATACAAGGAGTCGGATCTCGTCATGCTAATATAGATGCTCTTCAGATTACCAAGTCTGGCCTGCCGGTCAATGCCCGCTACCATCGCTTGTGTAGAGGTGGCATGACAACCTCTACAGTACGGATGCGACGAAGGTAGCGCGGCAATCCTTACTTCGCCTCCTCTACGCGTCACTATCCGCCATCGTAATCAACTATTCACTTCAGTACGCCTCGGAGGGGATTGCTTTTCGCTGCCTTGAGGACTCAGCCTTGATGTTGTTGTGATCTACGACTATTGAACGGTCTATTCAGCTAGTGTAAGATTGCTCGCACCAAACCCAATGCAATTTCCTAGGTGCCAAAGGAGAGACTATGTATCGTGTTAACATTACTCATTCAAACCCTCACGGTCACCACATACTACGATTCTGCACTTTGCTTCTTGCGTCGTCTCTCCCCCATTGTTATGACGGCGATGTAACCGGAATACACAACAGCCACAATAACAATATACGCAATTTTCGCCCCTGTCCGCCGCCCACCCACGACCCAGAACCCAAGAGCACCATTCACCATACCAAGCGCGATACCCACACGTCCGGTAAAGATATGCACGTACGAGACTGCAGTACGTCGCCCCTTCTTGATGAATTGTCTATGGTGTAACCAGCCGCCCAGAGGTTGAAAGAAGAAGAGTCCGAGAAGAACAAGACCGATGATTGGATGAGCGATGTCGATACCAGTACGGCTGAAGTTGCCTTGGTTGACGGCGAGGTAGATACCGAGGGCTGCTGCTGCGACGAAGACGATGTAGGCTAGTGCTTGCATAGCAGCATGGATCCAGATGACGGACTTGAGGTTGGCTAGACGGATGAGTATAGCACCGCCAGGAAACAATGCCACGAAGGCGATACCTGCCAGACTGGCATGTACAAGCAGGATTATGTTCTGAGAGTTGTTCGAAGAAGAACTCGATTCGCCACCGCCGCCGCCGCCGCCGCCGCCGCTCTGAGTCGTCGTGGTGGTCCCACTAGTGCCACTAGTGTTCGTGGCATTGGACGTCTGTGCGGCCAAGAAAGGGTTCTGCGAGCTACCACCAGTAGCCTGCGTGAGATCCAATTGAAGCGATCCGTGTTCATCATGCTGCTGTATCGATGTCGCAGCATCGTTCGTCGCCAACGCCGAGCCTTCCTTATACGCATAGATCCAGTTCGAAGCGCTATCCGTAGGATTCATTGTTCCGCCAGACCAGGAAGTACATCCAGTGCATCGGATATTCGCCGTCATGGTATTGCCCTGCACCCCGCTGCCCTCGAGTACCATCACAGTACTCTGGGATACTTCGGTGGGCATGTTGTGACGACTTGCCGAGCGCTGCGAGATCGTGACATTGCCGCCGTCTGCAGAGGTATACACGACGAACATATTCGTGCCTCTCATCTGGCTTCCTTGTCCAAGAGCGGCCCAGGAGTACGAGGTCGGTGCTGAGATTCTCAGGTAGATGTCTCCCGAGCCGGACTGTGCAGTCGAATCCGGTACATTGACCTCAAAGCACAAATTCGTACTGGGGCAGTTTTGCAGGACTTGTGCATTGGCACACAAAGCTGTCTGAATTAGATCGATATCTTCTCGACAGAGTCCATTGACTCACATCCAACGACAACCAGAGCGGCAGCCCATGCTGGCAGATTCTTGCACGAGATCTGCATGATGCCAGAGAGCGATACTTCGACCAACAGGAAATCTCAGGGGCCTTAGAAAGGTATGTGTCGCGCCTCTGGTATCCTTAATCACAGATGCTCATGCCCGAGGCCAACTTACATACGAGCGTGTTGATCAGGTGACATCAGGGCGGACATGCATCATCGAGGCTTAGGCTTTTCGACAATCCTCTTATCGAACGATACTACATCTCTTCCTCATACCAAGATAGACTTGGCGCTAGCGATTGGGATATCGTGGTTGGCAGATTGGCTTTTCTGTGGGGGTGGGGATGAGACGCGTGCGTATACCAAGAGGCTGAGACTTTTCCTCAAGCTTGGAGCTGACGAATGCCAGTTTCGTGATAGGACATCGGTTTCTGAATGGCCATTGATTCTAAAAAATGATCTCTTGTATGATCGTTGCATCGGGTGGGTTTGTAGGCACTACGCGCAATCAATGGTGATCGATGTAAGAATTTAGTCTGGGCAGGAGACCTTTCTTTTTGGTAATGGTCAGGATATGCTATTTGGAGCTCGTACAGCTCGTACAGCTCGTCCAGCAAGATGCACGATCATGCAGAAGTCGGATGCTGCATGTGCGCTAGGTCTCTCGAAGAACAACGCCAACCCAGCTACGGCAATTTTCCTGGTTATCATCACGTCTCTCACACTGCATGGCCATGCACTGCCTCTATCGTTGATCAAAAGCATTCCCCTGCACAATCGACCCCCCTGCGTCTCCAAGGCCTTCGATAGCTGCAAGATAAACAGTGTCAGCATGGTCACACAATAATAGATTAGAGGAACGGCAAACTCACGTCTCTGATAACTCCACCCAGCAAATTGCTGCTGCATCGTTTGGCTCAGAACCGGCCCATCAACATAACTGTCCGTCGGCGCCTCAGACGTGAATTCCTTGTCGAAGTTCGCCGTGTCTCTCTCATCCACGACACTCGGCTTGAAACTAGGTTCGTACTTTCTGTCCAGCAACTTTCGCCAGTCGATACTGTGGAAGAAAGGATGGGCCTTGATCTCCGCTGCGCCATTGGAGCCTAGACGGCGAGACGCATCGCGGTCGAGGAGACGAGTGAGGAGGTCGCGGGCGGCTGGAGGCACGATCTCAGGGCCTGGGAAGTGGAGAGGTTCGGCGAGGATTTTGCGGTACATTTCGTTTGTGTTCTCGTCATAGAAGCTGTGTAGAAGTCAGCATGGTATTTACATTCACTCTCTGTGGTTCACAACTTACGGTGGGAGACCAGTCAACATCTCATACAACAGCACACCAAGCGTCCACCAGTCCACAGCTTTCGTGTACCCCTGACCATGCAGCAACTCAGGTGCAAGATACTCAGGTGTACCACAGAAGGTATTCGTCTTGTCCTCATCCTTCATATCCAATTTGCAAAGTCCGAAGTCACATAGAGCAATATGGCCAACGTAATCGACCAGAATGTTCTCAGGCTTCAGATCACGGTAGATGACGCCGAAGCCATGCAAGCACTCCAACGCGCACAACAGCTCAGCAGCATAGAACCGTGACCGATTGATATCGAATCTCTGCTCTCTTTGTAGATGATGGAAGAGCTCGCCACCATTTACAAAAGCCAAAACCAGATACAGCTTCTCCGGGCTCTGGAACGAGAATTTCAGTGGAACAATAAAAGGATTGTTGATTTGTGCCAACACGGATCGTTCAGCCAGTGTGTGCGCGACTTCGGATCGAGATATGATATGTTGTTTCCGGATCGTCTTCAGGGCGTAGATTCGCGATGTGTCCTTCTTCATGACCTGCATGACTTTGCCGAAGCTACCCTTTCCGACGACCTTGAGCAGGTCAAAGTCCTCGATCTTGAGCGATCGTTGTCTGTTCTCCACAAACTTCACACCTATCCGAATCGCACCTGTCCCGTATTGAATATCGTGCCATTGTACACCCGAAACTGTGCCGTTGTTTGGAGGTGGCATTGCGCCAGTCTTGCCATCTTTCTTTACGTTCTTGCCGTCCGCTGCCTGTGCCTGTTGTGCGCCCGATTGTGCATCCTCAGTGTAGCTGGGCTTGATACTGCTCGTGCCGATAAATATATCTTGTGCTCGCCCAGCGTTTGGTGGCGCACTCGGGTTGCGGATGTAGAGTGACAGGTTGAGCTCCGTAGATCTGCTGACATCGAACTTGTACTGTGTGCTCTCGCCGCCCCATACCGGATTCTCAGGCGATCCACCTACAGCGTTGACAAATACCTGCTGCTTGTCATAGTCCACTAGAGCGTACGGTAGGTATTTGCTGTTGTAACGGCCGTGGCTGGACGGTACCGAGTTGATACCACCGGCCGATGATGCCGGCCTGTAACTGCTCTGCTGCATCTGGGAAGAGCCTGGCCTCGCACTGTTACCCATATAGCTGCCCGCGAAACTGCCGGTGCTCATGCTCCCGCCATGATTTGGTCGTGCTTGGAAGGCTGCCTCAGCGCCTGGTGGCAGACTGAAGCCCCGTCCTTCCTGTAATGTAAGGATGAGTATGCCTGGTCGCGCTGAGGCTACGGGTGGCGACATCATGGTCTCGGAGGCAGTAATGCCATTTGAGTCTGCGGCGCCATTGCTGCTGGGCGGTGCATTGGGGGGTTGTGCTACGGGCGGTGTCGCTGTGCCGGCAGTGGAAGTGGTGGATGAGGGTTTAGCGGTAGAGTCGTTGATGATGGTCGATTGCGAGGAGGATCGGGAGAAGGTGTTTGCGAGGGGTGCAAGATGTGTCTCCTTGAGTTCTGCAATGCTCGTTAGTACTCGACCTGGCCATGTATGACGCTCGGAAGCTCGTGGTGGTGATATGGAGACACGACCTACTCTTGGTGAGTTTCCACGACATGATGATGGAATATGAAGGTCAAAAGGATGTCTAGTGTTAGAGAGTGTCTACGTCGTCCCCCACAACATGTATAGTTAAGTCTGGCCGCTGCCACAGTGAACGCCCTCTTGATCTACCCCTCTTGGCGTCCTTCTGAAACGATGCCGGCTTTCGTAAGCGGATCCCGGTCGTTCACGTCTTTTTCGTTCACTCTGTGACACATGCACGCTTCGTGGAATACAATGACGCCCACGACTGTAGCATAAGTCGGATATTCGGATGTCAAGAATAGACTTAGGGGCATATAGGTATGTAGGCGTGATCCAAAGGGAGAGGCTGTGCAAGACCGAGGGCGGTCACACGCGGCTGGGCCCGCCACGCCTATCGATAGCATTAATGCAACCAAGAGCAGAAACCCACCTCTAAGATTGCCAATTGTACAATCTACCTGCAGATTAAAACGACATTCGATCATGTATAAGCAGTAGGTGTCCATCATTTTCATCACTCAGAAGCGCAATGGCCTACTACCCCGTTATTCACCTGGCCCTGAAGCTGAGAGTAGACGCCACCTGCAGCTCTCCACAACTCTCACAATTTCCTTTTGATCTGGCCCCTCACACACACAATTCAATCGCAGAACTTACAAACGCAGATTTACCATAGAGGGATATCGTAACTTGGACGAAGACCGCACGAGCCCAAGAATTTCCAGGAAGCTTGTAGAGAATCTCGTGGACTCGCCTTCATCGCTTGGCGTCCAGTTACAGGACAAAGTTCCGTTGCTCTTGTAGCCAACCTACTCAACAACCTCTGGCGGCCACCATGGCAAGCTATACCATATCCAACCTCCCCGCCATCTCCGCCGCTAAGTTAGCCGACTCTTTCCGCGCCAAAACACCTGGAATCTCCATCATCGACGTTCGCGACAGCGACTACGTCGGTGGCCACATAATGGGCTGCCTGAACGTCCCAGTCAATACACATGACTACCGTATGCCTGAGCTCGTGCGCACACTTCGAAACCAGGATATCGTCATTTTCCACTGCGCGTTGTCGCAGCAACGGGGACCGGCGAGTGCGTTGAGGTATTTGAGGGAGAGGGATCGGATGGCGGAGAAGGGGGAATTGGGGATTCGGAAGGATGGGGAGGACGTCCAGAGGGCGCAGCGGGTGGTTGTGTTGGAGGGAGGTTTTGTTAAGTGGCAGGAGACGTGAGTCTTCTTTTTCGTTTGGATTATAGACTAGCCTGTTCTCCTGAACTGTGCTGACCATTGTGTGCTAGGTATGGGATGGATACTGAGTTGACGGAGGGCTATGCCAAGGATCTTTGGGACGACAAGTGGTGAATCGGCGTAGCAAAGCTTCACAGCTTGCTTGCGTTGCAGCGAGCATGTCATGTGTTATGGTTTGTGATGGAGTTAGCTCTACAAGTATGAACGGACGCTCGTGACGACCTCGGCCTGTGTGGCTGTTGCTAAGAGATAGATAGAGGTGCGAATAGAGATGTACCATCCTCGCGTTGACACTCTTTGGACCCTCATATCTTGTCGGCGTCAACGACAATCTTTTCGGCGATATAATTGTTGATAACGCACCGATAGCAGTCCTTCTATGTTGACGTCGACTTCGACATACCCAAGTAACAGGCCATACTTGCTGCCAAGGTGTCGATGCATAGCTTGGAACAGAAAGCGCCATTCCAGCCCATGAGTCTTGCTGTGAGAGCTACTGTTGCTTGCATACCAGTCAGCCTTGTGCGAGACTTCAGACACAGCATCTTCTGCGTCTCGGTTTCAAGACACGCACAACGACGCGAGGAAGTCAACCACCATCTGCACCTCCGCCAGTCGCCGAATCTTCGGCCGCGCCACCTGCCTCAGAAGAAGGACGGCGTGAGGAGGAATAGCTTTCCACGAATCAAAGCGTAAGCTTATTGTTGCGGACAGCGTTATGCCGTAGCGAGCCCCTCGGTGGGGATGTTTTTGCCAAAGTACATGCGCATGTGCAATAGTAGAGTGAGCCATAAAGTAGTCGTGGAGCCCGGACGACTTTGAGAAGGGTCAAGTATAGTCTTTCGTGTTGTCCATACCAATCCTGCAACTCTCCATCCACGGGCAACACGCACGACTACTGCTTGCCAGCCATTGACTCGACCAGAGCATACAGCAACCATGGTCACCATCACAGGCGCGACGACGCGTGATATACGCTTTCCAGTGAGTCTAAGTTGGCCAGCATAGCCTACAATACACTAATTGAGCTATAGACTTCCCTCGACAAGACCGGCAGCGATGCCATGAACGCAGCGGGCGACTATTCCGCCGCCTACGTAATCCTCCACACCGACGCCAAACACGAAGGCCACGGCATGACCTTCACCATCGGCCGCGGAAACGAAATAGTCTGCCAAGCCATCCACCTCCTGGCCCACCGTATCGAAGGCAAGACCCTTGAGGAGCTCGTAGCAGACTGGGGTAAGACATGGCGGTATCTAGTCTCTGACTCTCACCTCCGATGGATTGGGCCCGAGAAAGGTGTCATTCATCTAGCTCTCGGTTCGCTGGTGAATGCAATTTGGGATTTATGGGCGAAGGTGCTGGGAAAGCCGGTATGGAGGATCGTGGCGGATATGAGCCCGGAGGAGTTTGTGAGGTGTATTGATTTCAGGTATATTACTGATGCTATCACACCTGAGGAGGCGATAGAGATGTTGAGGAAGGAGGAGCCGGGAAAAGCACAGAGGATTAAGGAGGCGGAGCAGGATAGGGCTGTTCCTGCTTATACGACGTCAGCGGGGTGGTTAGGCTATGGTGAGGATAAGATGAAGGGACTGCTGCAGGAGACACTATCGAAAGGCTATCGGCACTTCAAGCTCAAGGTTGGTACATCGGTTGAGCAGGATCGGAAACGATTGAGTATTGCTCGAGAGGTCATAGGCTACGACAAAGGCAATATCTTGATGGTGGACGCAAATCAGGTATGGTCCGTGCCAGAAGCCATCGAATACATGAAGCAATTAGCGGAATTCAAACCCTGGTTCATCGAGGAGCCCACATCACCAGACGACGTCTTCGGCCACAAGCAGATCCGCGAGGCATTGAAACCATACGGCATCGGTGTTGCGACAGGCGAAATGTGTCAGAACCGGGTCATCTTCAAGCAACTTATCGTACAAGGAGCCATCGACGTTTGCCAGATTGATGCGTGTCGGATGGGAGGCGTGAACGAGGTCTTGGCCGTTTTGCTTATAGCGAAGAAGTATGGTGTGCCAATCGTGCCGCATTCTGGTGGTGTGGGACTGCCGGAGTACACACAGCATCTCAGCACGATCGATTACGTGGTTGTGTCGGGCAAGCTGTCGGTGCTGGAGTATGTGGATCATTTACACGAGCATTTCTTTCATCCTTCCGTTATAAAGGACGGGTATTACACCACTCCTACGGATGCCGGATACTCTGTTGAGATGAAGCCAGAAAGCATGGATCGTTTCGAGTTCCCTGGCAAGGAGGGCGTGAGTTGGTGGAAGAGTGATGAGGCGAAACCTATTCTTGAAGGCGAGAGGATTTAATGGAGGGATGAAATAGATTTCAAAGCATATCAGGGAGCTTTTTGGCTGCTCGTCGGCCTATAGTCTGTACCGTCATCTGTTTCTGCTGTCTAGGTCCGTGTCACATCATCTCACAGCTGAAGAGCTGGTGGTCGTAAGAAGCTGAAATCTATCAGCGACAAGGGTGCGGCCGATGCAGCCCTGGATCTGCTAAATCCGGTTGTGGTTGCGGAAGTGTAGGCGATGGCTATCATGCTCCATGTCTGTCGTCCAGTCTGTCAGTAAGTAGCAAGTGGCAATACATCTGGGTTCTTTGAAAGCACTCCTGCCCACCTGTTGCATCTGCGAGTTTAGTTGAGGTGCACCTCGAGATCTCTTCCATACTTCGTGACTTGTAAAAGATAGTGGGAGCGTGTACATTCGCGATAGTGGAGATCGCGGCAGATGGTTGATCAATAGACTCCAAGCAAAGTACCCATAGAAACTCCTTGCAATCCCGGGCAACACAAAGCCCTAGACCTCTGCACCACCCGCCTGTCCAGCATTCCCAAGCAAACCAGCCTTCTCCCCATACCCAGCTTTCTCCGCTAACTCCCCTCTCCTCACAATCTCCTCCCGTTCCTTCGCCTCCTTCTCCTCCTCCCGCTCAATGATAGCCATGACCCTCTCATGCGGATTCCCAGATCCACCACCATGACCAGAGACATATCCCGAAGCAGAAGTGGCGACACGCATCTTAGGTTTCTTTGGCTCAGGGGGAGGCTCACTGCCGCCTATCATGGGGTAAGGATTCTCTGCGCTCCAGCCCAGGAGCAGAGGCCGGAAACCGGAGTCGGTTAGGGAGGTGAACATTTCGTGCACGAGGTTGGCTTTCCAGAGCGGGTAGTTGCGGACGCCTTGGGCTCCGGCGTGCTGTGATATCCATCAGTGTCTGTAGCTCGAGGTTTGGTCTAGTGTGGGTGGCGTACAGTATACCATATTAATCTCAAGTTCCCAGGCTCCAGGTCCGGGCGATGGGTATATGATATCCAGCCCATCCGTATGAGGCCATCAAGGTGATAGGTTTGATAAGTTGACATCTTGTTCTCTTCTGGTGAAGGCTTGATATGCCGGTTGTCGAAGAGGATGATCATCTGACCAGGATCGTATGCGCCGGCGGTCCGAGGATCGAAATTCTCGAGATTGTTCGCCATAGTCGAGGACTTTGCTGTAGAGGACATGCTGGCTGTACAGAGTTGCGAGAGTGCCTTGATGGTATGAGCCTCTCACTCCCAGTAGTATCCTTTGCGGAGGGGTGTGATGACTTTGTTATCTGGTCATGCTTGTATCCTCGCGCAGATGAGCTTGAGGGCTTATTATAAATGGTCGTGATTACCTACGCTCAACTATGATCTGGAGTATATCAGCTTTTCACGCGCTTCCGATCTAGCCGTATACCGAGTTCCTTTGGTGAGGCTTTTTCCGAGATGAGGTGTGGAAGTGCTTGCATGTGACTGCGCGTCCCAAACTTTCATGCTGGCGTTTCTGGCGCGCTTGGACCGCGTGTTCGTTGTGGCGATGTCGTCACCTGCACTGGTCTGAATGTAGATGAATGGTCGCACATTTGGTTCAGCGTCCCGACTGCGAGAGGGAGAGATGGACGCGTGCTAATGGTGATATGGAGTGGAGGGAGTACAGGAGTTCATCGGCAACATGGTCAAGCTACAAGCAGCTACGGTCTCGAACCAATTGGTGCATAAGCGGAAGCGCAAGAGGCCGGCGGAGGAACAAGTGGTGGAAGTGGAGGATGGCGCAGAGGCGACAGGTAATACGACTGATACAACGAGTGTCACCACAGTCCCTACCAAGACACACGATGGCGGCAAGAAGCCTCGCCGAACACCCAGGAAAGGGGACAAGCCACCCCTGGAGAGGCACAACTCATCTACGCTCGTCGAGTCCTCTATTCCCTGGCCTGATGTCTTCACGAAGCTTGCTCAAGTACACAGAGCTCTAAACCTGGTCTACACCTTCTGCTGTACACGTAAGCACTTGGCGACCACATACGATACGATCAAGAGTGCTGTCGAAGCCAACATCAAGCGGCCTCTTGATATAAAAGACATTGCCAAGGTGAAGCTCCTCGTACCCGGTGCTATCAACTTCCAGTATGTCGACGAGCAGATGTTGCAGGTTGCACTCATGGGTGAGGAGGATCTGCGCAAAGGCAAGAGAGCCAACGATATGTTCCCAGAAAGTCCACAGGAAGAACGCGCGAGACGTGCTGCGGCGGGCAAAGATGATCACACTGAGGTCCTGCTGTTCGAGTTCATCGATGGTGATCTGAAGAGGCAGGTCACAAATCCGAAGACAGGCGAGATCGTTCGAGCCCACAGAAAGCTACGGGAGGAAGACCTGAAGATGCCAGTCTTCAGCCAGAAGCAGATGATGAAGTTGATCGAAAAGCGAAATACCAAGTTCGCGTCGGCGATCAATGCATGGTTGAATGAATGTGCTGAGACTGGCATGGATGCAGTGGAGCGGCTGGAGCAGGAGCACATCGCTCTAATACCTGCGCCGGCCAGAAGCAGAGAGGCGACCCCAACACCAGTAGACACATTGCCAAAGAGCATTCCGACTGAGCGTGAAAGCATACCGTCCATCATCGAAGAGCTCAAATCTTCCGAGTGGTACACGGGACAAATCGTACCTGACGGTCACCGCGTCTTCGATCCACAGTCACCTGTGTACGGTGAGCTTTCATTCCCGCTTAGCCAAGATTTGGTCAACGCCTTGTACAACACTCGGAAGATCGAAAGTCTCTATAGCCATCAAGCTGAGGCCATCAATGCTCTGCATGAAGGTCAGAATGTGATCGTGGCCACCTCTACGAGCTCAGGCAAGTCACTCATCTACCAGATACCAGTCCTGAATGCATTGGAAAGCGACAAGCAGACTAGAGCGATGTACATCTTTCCCACCAAAGCCCTGGCGCAAGATCAGCGGCGGAGCTTGAAGGAGATGCTTGGGTATCTACCTGGACTCGAAGATGTTGTCTGCGACACCTTCGACGGCGACACGCCCATGGCTGAACGCAATCAGCTTCGAGATGAAGCTCGTATCATCTTCACCAACCCGGATATGCTGCACATGACCATCCTACCACAAGAAGAGAAATGGCGACACTTCCTACAGAACCTGCGATACGTGGTCATGGACGAGCTGCATGTGTACAACGGACTCTTCGGCGCCCATGTCGCACTAATCATGCGTCGGCTCAGACGGATATGCGCGGCGGTGGGAAACCGCAAAGTCAAGTTCATCTCGTGCTCAGCCACGGTTGCAAATCCACAAGAGCATATGCGGACAATCTTTGGCATCGAGGATGTCAAGCTCGTGGACTTTGATGGATCGCCTAGTGGTCGTAAGGAGTTCTTGTGCTGGAATACGCCGTTCAAGGATCCTGGTGACCCGAGTAGTGGGCGAGGTGACACATTCGCGGAAACAGCTCGACTATTTTGTCAGCTGATCTTGCGAGGTGTGCGTGTCATTGCTTTCTGCAGAGTGCGAAAGCAGTGTGAGATCTTGACTACAGCTGTGAAGAACGAGCTCAATTCGCTTGAACGATCAGAAGTCATGGCACGAGTTATGGCTTATCGTGGTGGCTACACGCCTCAAGACCGTCGACGCATTGAAAAGGAAATGTTCGAAGGCAAGCTCGTCGGCATCATCGGCACCAACGCTCTCGAGTTGGGCGTCGACATAGGATCTCTGGACGCCGTGGTCACAGTCGGCTTTCCATACACCATCGCCAACCTCCGTCAGCAGTCCGGCCGAGCAGGTCGCAGAAATAAGGACAGCCTGTCAGTCCTCATTGGCGACTGCTTCCCAACAGACCAATACTTTATGCAGAACCCAGACGAGATCTTCACGAAACCAAACTGCGAACTGCAAGTTGACCTTACAAATCTGCTTGTCTTGGAAGGCCACATCCAATGTGCCGCCTACGAAATGCCCATCAATCCAGACGAAGACGACAAATACTTCGGCAAACAATTACCCTCCATCTGCTCCGAGCGTTTGCGAAAGGATGATCAGCTTGACTTCTACCACACAGCCGAGCGCTTTCTGCCATACCCGAGCCGAACAGTAGCTATCCGAGATACAGAAGACGACCATTTCGCTATAGTCGACACCACAGCAGGCCGTAACGTCGTGCTCGAAGAACTAGAAGCAAGTCGAGCTTTCTTCACAATCTACGAGGGCGGCATTTTCCTCCATCAAGGCCATACCTATCTAGTGCGGGAAATGAATACAGATCGTATGATTGCTAAGGTCGAACTTGTACATGTTGATTGGACGACTCAGCAGAGAGATTTTACCGACATCGATCCCGTTGAAACGGAAGCTATAAGACGCATACCCGGCTCGCTAAGCCGAGCTTTCTTCGGCTCGATCAAGATCCTGCAGAACGTCTTCGGGTTCTTCAAGGTAGATAAGAAGCGCCGGATTCTGGATGCGGTTCAAGTCGACAATCCACCCATCATCATCTTCAGCAAGGGTATGTGGCTAGACGTCCCTCGCGGCGCGATCGAGATCCTGAATAGCAGGCGTCTGAATCTGGCGGGAGCGATACATGCCGCTGAACATGCGATTTTGAGTCTGATGCCGAACTTTGTGATCAGTATGCCTGGGGACGTGAAGACGGAATGCAAAGTCGCTATCAAGGAATTCGCGAAAAAGGAGACTTCACGGAAGCGACCGGCGAGGTTGACGTTTTATGATGATAAGGGCGGCCAACATGGGAGTGGAATAGCGGCGAAAGCGTTCGAGTTCATTGACTTGCTGTTGAATCAGGCTTGTGACAGGGTGGAGGCTTGTCACTGTCATGAAGGGTGTCTGGAGTGCTGCTGTAGCGAGAGGTGTCGTGAGGCGAATCAGGTCATGTCTAAGGCCGGTGCAGAAGTCATACTCAAGTCTTTGCTGAACAAGGAAATTGATGTGGATAATCTGCCGTGGGGCCCTGATGACGAGAGGGTGCCTGCTGGTATCGAGACCGTTGTTTTCGCTCAAGAGATCAGGCCGAGACGTGGTGCGCAAGTTGAGGTCATTGAGGTTAAGAGGGAGGAAGGCGGGACGAGGAGAGTTACTGTTGATGTCGCGGACGGAGATGGGGCTAATGGTGGAGGCGATGACGATGTTGTAGTGATCAAAGACGAGCCGCCTGACGATGGGAGATGAAAAGCACGGCCATCATCGTCTCATCTGGACGGCTAAGCATATGTACAGGCCGCATCACGTCTAATTATGAAGCACGACGTAATGCCAAATTGGACCACAAGACCTCGGTACACGAGTCCGGCCACTCCACGTCGTGCGATCAGGCTTGTTCCTCCTCCATCTCCTTCATCACCTTGACGCGCATCGCAACCTCCTGCTCATAACCCATCTTCTGCTTCCGCAGGCCCTTCCATATCCCCTTCGCAATCTCAATATCCTGCTCCATCTCCAGCTCCCGCAGCTGAGGCGTCATCTTGATCTTCCGATTGATCTCCCACATCCAGAAAGTGTTGGCTCGTTCCTGGCTATCTCCCAGCGGCCTCGTCTCCGACTTGGAAAACTCTCGATGGATTATCAGGTATGGATTCTGCCGAATAGTACGGCAGGAGGCGGTGAATTGCCCGGGGTCATTGCCTTGCAATGTGAAGTGGTAGCTGGAGGTCTCACGGCTTTCGAAGGACCGTTCCGCCACTGCTTGCTTCGCTTTCCAGTGGTCTAAGAATTGACGGATACCGGATGCGATGTGGAAGTATCGGTGCTCGACTTGCGTTACTAAGCCGCCTTTCACGCCGACGAGATAGGTCGGCAGAGTTGTGAACTTGTACGCCCACCCTACGCTTGCATTCGGCAAGGTCGTGAGATGCGCATGCCGATGGCACAAGATCCGTGGCAAGTACACCGCCATGAAATGCTGGCAGTTGTCGGATGGTAGAGTGTACTTGGGCTGGGTCTTCATGATGCCTTCGCCGATCTCTTTCAGCACGCGGTGGCTCATGTGAGTACGACCAACATAAATCTTTTCCGTAATTTCGCGGTCGGCTAGCCCTACACGATGAATGCAGGTGAAACGCGAGAAGGCTTTGACGCCATCGCCATACATCTTCTCGCAAACCTAAAGCTCAAAGTACCGGCCACCAACTTCCACTGCCCAGTGCTGTTCGGAAGTCTTTGAGCCCTGGAAATGACTTTGTGGTGGAGAAAAGGCGTGGCTCGACTTCGTCGGCAATGAGCCTGTCGGCACGTCTGCCTCTGCTGGCGAGTCAATTTGTGGCGAAAGGCTTTGATGGCTTGTTCGCACACCGTGATGCACTGCATTAGTCGCCTTGCTGTCGTATCCTGATTTCCTGTGTCGTATCTCTGGAGCATTCTGTAAAGAATCTGTGTACGCTTTAGCCGGCATTACACCTGGTGGCGAAGGATACCCGGACACGAATCGTGGTCGGCCAGAATCTCGACGACGGCGACTCTGCTGTTCCGAGGACGAATTCGATGTCTGAGGCTCTGTATCAGACGTCTCGGCGTTGTTCGACGACAAAGCAGATGCGATCATCTTTGCGCCTACTGTCAACACATTCTTGACTTGCTTTTTGAGCTTTGCTGCTCCTTCGTTGTCGTCGTCGGATCCGCTAGACAAATCATCCCGACTATCGCAACTATCCCAGTGAGACCGATCATGTCGTGAGGGCTCCTTCCGCTTAGATTCCGACCGCATCGATTGTCCGGACCTTATCGAGGCAGAGCTTCGCATGGCAAAAGGTGGCATGCTGTTGAACACACTGGACACGCCACTTGGTCCTACCTTATGACGTTCATTGTCGGCCACTCTCCGTAACTTGGAGATGACGAGGTATACCCTTTCATTCTTCCTGCTAGCAACTTCATGATTTCTCATCCGTTCGATCCAGTCCCAGAAGTCGTCGAATTGCGTCGTTCCAGATTGCGCATAGCGTTGTTTGTGTCGCTCCCAGTTCTGCATCAAATCTCCCGTCATCATTCAATCGCTTACAATCAGCCGTTGGTACATCCTGTCCCACCATACCGCTGACCTCCATGGTCCTCATATACTCATATCCCACGATGACACATGTGAGGTTCGCAAGGCGACAAGATCGTGCGGCCTCAAAAGCACAGCCTTGCCAATCCTGCCTTTGATTCGGCAACTTCACATCAGCTGCCTGAGTTCCGCCACAATAAGACCTTGGCACATCCTAACATATCTTCCGAGGTCCAGAAGTGACTCACTTGTCAAGTCGAGCCATCGCGAGCATTGTCTCACAATCATTGTGCGTTGCCTTAAATATGCTCTGCCCATCTGTGTCGGAACGACCTGCCTGAGGAGTAGATGTCGTCGGTCTCGAGGTCGCTGTACCTCGACAATAATGACTACAAGTGCAAAGCACCATCTTGGGGATGAACTCAGCAAGATCCTGAGCTGGCTTGGAGATCTATTCGTTCCATGGCAATGGACCGAAGGCACCATCTCGAACTTCTTGAATGCAGAAAGCGAAGACGACAGACGGCTACTGACCAACCTATTCGTGACCACGACCTTGTCAAATTACAATACCATGGGCCTCACGATGTGTGACCAGTCGCCTCTTCACAAGCCCTGCTGATACATGTTCATAGTCCGCACTCGTTGCCGGCGTCATATGTGGTGCATTCTCCTGGTATAACATCCAATCCACGCACTGGACCGTCAAAGCAATATGGTACTCTGGTCTGGTATTCGCCTTTGCTTCCGTGAGCGCCACTGGCTTATGTAGCGCCAGCCTTCTGCGGTTACAATGCCACTCGCAAAGTACAGCGCACATTCGAGCCGTGGTAGGGTATCAGAAAACGAAGTCATCGCCTTGGGAAGCCAGGCCTCTTCAACCATGGATTTGGGGCTGTCCTGGACTGCTGCTCAAGGTGAGCATCTTGCTGTTTGTGGTTGGTCTGATGGTAGATCTGTGGAACTATGCTCTGACGAGTGGTATGCCAGGGCTGACGGAGGATATGAAGGTCAGTTAGCAAGTCCAACAAGAGGCTGAAATATTTGTTGAAAAAAAAAACAGATCGCAATCTTTGTTACGTGTGCAGCATCTGTGGCACTGATGATCTACGTGACGGCAGTCGTAGGACTGTTCTATAGGACGATCCGCCATGTAGACGATACATAGAATCGTAATGTTCTTATGCGTAATGTAACCTGGTCAATGAATGTGAGCAATGCCCGATCCGACCCGTATCCCAACCACCCGGCGATTTTCACATACCTCTAGTCTCCCACTAGCCAGGCCAAATCGACCCACGAGCAAAAAAATGACTACACCTACTGAGAATCGAACTCAGACGCATCGGCTTATTAGACCGATGGCCAGACCACTGGCAGGTACTATAAAGTACGAGTGCAAGCATGCAAGTCGAATAAATTAGTTCGAGTCCATACACCCAGGAGAATTCGAATCTCCGTTGCCAGCTGACTGTATCAGACTGGTGTCCTGGACCGCTAGACGATGGGTGTAAATGCAATGCTGCTTGATAAAACAGTCAATCTGCTGGTACGATTACATGGTTGTTGTAGTGAGGCCGAGGATCAAGGGATGAGTCAGGAATGGTTATATGACTCCCTGCAAACTAGGGACCTTGTGTGCATTTCGATTCCGCTTCGCTTATTTGCGAGCCTGATGTCTATATACTAATCCTATGCCTCATCCACATCTGAAGATACACTCTTCATCATGGTCATGAATTCATGAACAGACCTCCAATAGTCCTAAAGCTTCGGCTCATGTTTTCCTTGTGCACCACCCTGCATTCACGAAAGTCCAGCCTTCTTCTTGAAAGCGTTGATGAGACCGCTGGTACTGCTGTCATGCTTATCTGTCTCTCCAGACTCGTTCAACTCCTTCTCAATACCCTTGGCCAACGCCTTGCCGAGCTCGACACCCCATTGATCGAAGGAGTTGATGTTCCAGATCGCGCCCTCGACGAATGTCAGGTGCTCGTAGTAAGCAATCAGAGCGCCAAGAGTACCTGGAGTAATCTTCTGAGCTAGGATTGAAGTGGTTGGGCGGTTGCCAAGGAAGACTTTGTGTGGCACCAAGTCGTCTGCTGCGCCTTCAGCCTTGACGGTGTCGGGTGTTTTACCAATCATAAGGGCCTCAGATTGAGCAAAGAAGTTGGATGCGAGCATCTTATGCAGTTTGCCGTTCTCGACTGGGTTGTGCGATTCGGCGGGCATGATAAAGTCGGTGGGGATGAGTTTTGTGCCTTGATGCAGGAGCTGGAAGAAAGAGTGCTGGGCGTTCGTTCCGGGCTCGCCGAAGAGAATCGCACCAGTGGTGTACTTAACATAGTCGCCGCTGCGGGTGATGGCCTTGCCATTCGACTCCATAGAGAGCTGCTGGAGGTAGGCTGGGAAGCGGTGCATGTATTGATCGTAGCTGGGACAAGATCAGTATGTGAGTATGTTCCTGATGTGTTAGTACTTACGGAGCGACCAGATGTGTCTGAGCGCCGAAAAAGTCGGAGTACCACACGCTGAGCAGACCACCGATGACTGGGATGTTCTCCTCGAGCGGCGCAGTGCGGAAGTGGTGATCCATAGCCTGACCACCGGCAAGGAACTGGTGGAAGTTGTCGTAGCCGATGTACAGGGCAACGGACAGTCCGATGGCAGACCAGACGGAGTAACGTCCACCAACCCAGTCCTGGAATCCGAACATGTTCTTGGTGTCAATACCGAACTTCTCGACCTCCTTGGCGTTCGTCGAAAGGGCGGCGAAGTGCTTCGCGACGTGGCTCTGCTCCTTGGCGGCCTCGAGGAACCACTTCTTCGCGTAAGTAGCGTTGGTTACTGTCTCGGCAGTGGTGAAAGTCTTGGAGGCGATCAAGAAGAGAGTCGTCTCGGGATTGCTGTGCTTGAGAGCCTCGGCAATATGGCTGCCGTCAATGTTGGAGACGAAGTGCAATTTCATGCCTTCCTTGCCATAAGGCTTCAATGCCTCGGTGACCATAACAGGACCAAGATCCGATCCACCAATGCCGATGTTGACGATGGTGTCGATTGCTTTACCTGTGTAGCCCTTCCACTCGCCACTTCGAACCTGCTCAGTGAACTCCTTCATGTGGTCCAAAACCTCATGTACCTCATCAACCACACTCTTGCCATCGACCTGCATAGGCTCCTTCTTCACATTCCTCAATGCTACGTGGTAGACTGCTCGCTTCTCCGTGAAGTTGATCTTCTCACCTTTGAACATATCCTCACGGAGCTCTTCAAGCTTGGCATCTTGTGCGAGCTTGATGAGCAATGGTAGGGTGTCGACGGTAATAAAGTTCTTGCTGAAGTCGAAGAGGGTCTCGCTGCCATCAGCGTCGTTCTTGAAGGTGCGGGAGAACTTCTGGAAGCGCTTGGGGTCTTTCTCGAACTCGGTCTTGAGGACCATACCACGACCGAGCTTGTCGTGGTGCTCCATCAAACTCTTCCATGCTGGAAGCTCGTTGGCTTGGGAGAAACCTGGCATTGTGGCGGTTTGTGGTGTGGATCTGAAGTATGAGATGGTAAGTGAATGGTCGAAGTACAAGTGAACACGAAATGACCTACGTAGGAGTGCGGTTGTGGAGAGTAAAAAGTAATGCTCACTATGCAGACAGCTTCGGATGCTCGTGGAAAATATTGAGACCTCGAACGAATGGCCAGTGACGTTGAGCCGCCTCTTCGAATGTATGGCGGGGTGCTCGTGGAGGGAATAGTGGGTCTTCCTTGCGCGGATAATGTGCTTCGAGACGCACGTGCAGTCCTTACTAAGGATTGACAGCGACTGTGCCTCCCAGACAGCACACATGTATATCCTAACATCCTGATTACGACATTCTTACAATGGCACACCAAATTGAGACAGCTGTATCGAGATCACGATGTGGGATCTGGAGCACTGGAGATGGGCCGCCATCCGTACCATTGTCAACACCAGACTCTACATCACTCGCTCGTCCTGGCTAGCACCAACCACGCAGCCGGAGCAGGTGAAAATCTATCGAAGTTGGCTCTACGTCTATCCATGCCGAGTCTTCCTACCTCAAGACCACGATTCTCAAGCCCATCCGAAGCTGCCCCTTGTGATTCGGGTGCACGGCGGCGGCTTCATGGTCAACAACCCTGCAGTAGACGACCCGTTAGCACGCCACCTATCAGACAACGCCCACTGCATCGTCGTCAGTATTGACTACGGCAAAGCTCCCCAAAACAAATTCCCGACTGGCTACGAAGACGTAGTCGCCCAAACCCTAGCAATAATCGATGACCCGGAACTCCCGATAGACAAATCTCGGGTCGTGTTGTCCGGAACGTCAGCAGGCGGGAATCTTGTCCTCGGCGCCGCTCAAGATGCTCGTCTCCGTGACAAGCTGATTGGCATCAATGGCGTCTGTCCCCTCGTAGACATCGAACGAGACGCTGCCACGAAGATGGCCACTCGTCCTGATCCGTCCATTCCAGACTTCATAGGCGACACTTACGACGGCATAGCTAAGCTCTACCTTGACGGCGCCAACCCACCGAATCTACGTGATGTGCGACTTAGTCCCATCAACTTCACTTCTCGGCAGGATCTACCGGCACATGTATTGTTGGTTGGAGTCGAGCACGATATGTTCTGTCGCGAGGCACAGGACATGTTCGACAAGCTGAAGCGCCTTACCCAAGGTGGCAACGATTCTGAGTCCGTGGAGTGGCATAAGGTTGCTGGGCAGGTGCACGCATTTGAGAACTTCCCGATCAAAGACTCGGTTGAGAAGGAACAGAAGAGGGTAGAGGCTGTGGAGCAGATGTACTCTGATATCGCGAAGTGGCTGAGGAGGGTGTTTGCGTATAATGTGTAGGGGTCTGCAGTATTAATACTCTGAGGTCAGCTCGTGTGCACATGTCTAAATTGACTTGGTTTGAGCTCTCGTTTCACAGTGTGATATGCTGTGACTCCCATCCCAAAAGCGCCTCGACCTAATGACTCTCATAGTAATCAATCGGGAACCCAAGAGCAACACACTCCGGCTGTCCATCATATACACTAAACGGCTCCTCAACAGAAGGATACTCCAGCAGTCTCAACGTCAAATCGCCTTCGCTTACAGGTCGCCACGTGCTTCCGCTCCTCTGTAGCTCCGCAGTCGTGTTCGTGAAGCCTCTAGCTTGCAAGTACGCCATCTCAGGAGTAGGGTTGTAAGTACGAGCAAAAGCCGACCACGTATCGACGATGAATTGTGACATCGGGATATCGTTCTGATCACGAGGAGGCAGGCCGTTGAAGATGACGGAGCCGAAGACGTAGTAAAGCTCACCGGAGTGGCATTTGAAGTATTCTGCTGATGGGTCGCCGTATGGATGCGAGGGTGTGATAGGTGCGTTGCAGACTATAATACATCAGTACCTATTTTCCAGGGTTCAAACATCATGTTGACGTGACTGACCTGGATAGTTTGGGCTGTAGCCGGATAGCTGATATGAGCGATTGAACTCATAGAAGTACACTTCTTCGAAGACGTCGTGCTTGACCTGTTGCAGTCGTCAATGTTACATCCTGAGTCCACCGTTATGTGATGGACTTACCACGGAGTATGCTGTAGCCTCGTCCAGACAACGGAACTCGCTGTCAGTCGATACCAAAGCAGACGTATTGAAGATGTTCAAAGTCTGATTCGCGCCGCTCGGTTCCGGGAACACTGATAGCGGGCTGATGGTGCTCAGATTGAAGCCCTGTGCAGTCAAGAATGTTGTGAGACTCTGGTTGGCTGCAGGGTAGCCAATAAATGCCGCGCCATCATCTCTCATAAAACCCATGAGCACTGGAACGTGCGCGGCAGGCCCTGTACCATTGACAACCAGCTCATCAGTCACGAGATATGTGCCATCAACGACCAGGAAACGCGCAACTGTGGTAAGGTTGGCGATTGTGAAGGGGCCGAGCTTCCTAAGGCAGTCTACCTGTGACGCGGCGTTTAAGCATCCTGTAGCATTGAGGATAGGTGTAGCAGCCGCCTGGACCTCCTGATCGATTGTGTAATACTGCGAGTACGTAGTCGCATATTCACCACCGGCCAAATTGGACTGTGGAATAGCAGCGGCGTACTTGCCAATGGCAGCTGGGCTAGCGAGGAGAGCACGCACGCTGGCAGCGCCTGCTGACTGTCCGAAGATAGTGATGCGGTTTGGGTCGCCTCCAAAGTCTTTGATGTGAGCATGGACCCAGTCTAGAGCAGTGATCTGATCAGCAAGACCGAAGTTGCCTTTAGTGACCCCGTCCTCAAGCGCCAGGAAGCCCAGTGTACCAAGCCGATAATTGATGGTAATCACGACTACGTCCCCTCGAGAGACAAGCGAGCCACCATCAAACGTGGGATCACTACCGGTGCCACCAGTAAAAGCGCCACCATGGATCCAGAACATCACAGGCTTGAGCTTGTTCGAAGTAGTCTCACCAGCAGCAGGTAGATATGGAGACCATATGTTCAGGAACAGACAATCTTCTGCCCCAACGTTGCCGCCCTGCACACACTCAGAACCGAATGACAAGGCATTGGAATGGCCGGTACCATTGTAAACGGTACTGTAAGTGAACCGCTCAGGCTGTGCTGCATATCTGACACCCTCGAAGCGGAAAGCGAAACGATCACGAAAGCCGGTGATAGTCTGGGAACCGGTACCGACAGTCGTCTGCCATTGCGTGGAGTTGTCGGCGTATGTGACATTGCTGAGTGGTGCGCTCTGGGTGCAGAGTACTGGCAGTGTGGTCGGGCAGGACTTGATACCTTGCATGCCGTCGCCTGTAAAAGTCTTGCAGTCGGGTCCGTTCTGGCCTGCGATCCAGTATGGGCCACTCTCGCCTTCGTAGCAAAGAAAGTTGAGAAAGTCGCCCTTACTTTCTGTCGGAGACCAGAGCTTCTCCCCCAGCGCAGCGCATGCAGCTTGAGCTTGCTGCTCGGTCATGGCTGTGGATAGCACGATGGCAGCATCTTGGTGCATGGACATGTTGCCTGTGCTCGGTATCAGTGTTTCGACAGTCTATAGTGGATGGGCCTTGGCTCGTGCCTACCATAGAGATCGTTATGAGTAACAATGGTCATATCGCTTTTCATGGCTACCGGAGTTGGTCCCTGGCCTGGCTTAGGTCCTGAAGCTGGTGGTGCCTGGCCAGGGTGACCCGGCCCTGATCCCCATGGGCTCCAGCCAGACCATGGACCACCAGGTGGTGGCGCTGAATGTGAGCCTGGCAGGCCCCATGGCGCTGAAGAAGGACCTTGTGGGTGAGCAGCAGCAGTGCCGAGGATGGTGAGAAGGACGATAGAAGTAGTACCCGCCATGTCTGCAATGACCTCGATGAATGAGATCAACAACAACGAAAGGACCTACTTATTCTAAGCAACGGCTTGTCGTCCAGCCTGGAGGTTCATCAGACTTTATACTTGGCAGATCGTCAGTATGGTGCCTGACTAGCCGCGGCCACATGGAAGATACGGAGCATACTAAGCCGCCTTTTGTGGGCCATACTTTGCGATGCTCGCGGACACGATGGTGTGGCTGTCAAGATCCTCGTATGGACGACATGCCGGCTTGTCTACCCCACAGAGCAACCTGGATCAGGTCGTCATCAAGCATACTGAGTGGACGGAAAGTGGAGTACCGAATGGTCTCTGCGTTCGTGATATTAGCCGGCGTGTGTTGGTCGCAAGCGCGGTGCTCCAAAGTAGCGTTGTTGAGGGAGGGGCATGATCTGTCTTTGGTGCGTTATGAGCTGTGCGAAGCACATCCAGTGGCTGGCACCTGTAGGTCAGCAGCATTAGGTGTTGGTTCCTAAAAGTCTGGCCGCATGGATCATGGCAAGACTATTATCATGTATCTTGCTTCCTTCATCGAACTTGATGATGGAAGACAGCGAGGAGGTTGCTGGTGGAGAGTTGAGCAGTGAGGTGAGTAGGAGAACTGCAAGCCGACGTGAGGCGACCACGACGCGACTGCTTTCCAGTTCATCAGACTGCACCTCATTTCGCAGCATCACACACCGCCCTTTCCACGACTTGGAACGTCACGTCGGAATCTGATTAGCATTCATCTGATCTCCCACAACTTCCCGTTTCGGCGATGCACCTTGCATTGCCTTTCTGCGACGCCGTCTCGTTGTTCGTTCGAAACCTTCCACGCTTGCGACTTTCGGACCAGAGCCGCGATCACGGGACTCACACTTCGACTACCGACACGCCAAGCTGATTATTCGGGGCGTAAGCTTCGCATAAGCCGAAACACCAAGTAGCGAGATGAAAGAAGCTGATTTGTTGGGTGGTAGATTACGAAGGACTTTCATGCAGCTTCTAACTTCTTCAATGCTAGCCTCACCCGAATCGCTCCTTCCTCTGAACCAGCGCGGGGCGTCTTATCTGCAACACTCTCTTGCCTTTCACCAACCCTGACCGCATCACCATCATCGCATCGCACCTCGCAGCTTCAACACGCTCAGGAGTCAGGACGATGCAGCACGACAGTCAGCGTCCCGGTGGCGAATGGTGCACCTCGGCATGTTCCCATCTATCAATATATCAATATATCCCACCAAGATCCACGACTGTGCAAGCCTGTGAGGCGAGCACTGATGAGCAGGCCAGCTGCACACACACCTGACGCCATCCGCTTCTAGCACTAGTCGCGCTTGATTGGCCGAATTTGTGGGCCCGTGCACACCTGCGCTCTGGTTCTGCTTTGTGTAGTCCAAAGCAGCACTCTCTCCTCTCTCTTACCCCCCAATTACACCCTCACATACCCGACCACTCACTCTTTGACCTTCCCTTTCATCACATTGCCCGCCTTACTGACTCTAGCACCCGATTCAACTTCTTGCGGCACGCCGTGACCACGAATCATCACCCTCGCGTCAGTCTCGAACACGCGGTCGCTTTGGAGGCCACTCGATACCGCCATCCACCATCCAATACTCTTGATGATTGACCCGCACGAATTGCCATCGCACGAAGAGGTGTCTTCAGGACGTATCGCGTCGGCTTCGTACTGTAAAGCGGCTGCTGTCGCCTTGAAACGGGTCTGACTCCTCCGTGAAGAGCCTTCCCTTTCCGGACAACCACACTCAAAAGTCCGCCAAAGGCTTGCGTTTTCGACACCATACACCTACACGACTTCCTGTGCCTTCGAAAGGCGCCATACTGTGGCCTACTCGCCATGCGACGCAGGGCAGAGCAAGATCCTGTCACCTGATACCCTCCTCTCATCACACCCGTACAGGCGTGATAGCATGACAGAAAGCCTCTACCCCGATACGACGTCCATCGGTGTCGAGCCGGTTCGCGCTCCGCTGCCGCATGCATTTCAACACTCGAGGAACTTCCACGCACAAGTCAACGGCGGCAATTTTGGCGGCGCGCAAGAGGACGATGGTCAGATAAGCTGCTTCTGTGGATACTCGGACGACGATGGCAATACTGTTGCTTGCGACCTCTGCAATCGATGGCAACACACCATTTGCTATTACCCAGAGTACGAGGGCCGAGATTTACCGGACGAGTTACAGCATTTCTGCATCGATTGTCGGCCGCGACCTGTTGATACATTTTTGGCTCGGAAACGTCAGCAGGCTAGAGTAGAACAACAGGACCCATATGGCTCTATCAGGCGACAGGCGTCCAAGAGTCACAAGAAGAAGATCAAGGACGCCGTTGGTTCGCCATTCGCGAACGGTTGGCCTCTGGACAAAGTGCGACACGATCGCAACAGTGCCAGTCCAAGAGATCTGCCACCACCCGCGAAACGACCAAAGACAAGTCATCGTCCATCGGATCAAGTAACAGGCCCGACCAAAGGTCACTCTCGCAAGCGCACTGTCACAAATACGCAGGGTCGCAGTGCGTCACGCTCACCTGAATCTCCCATCAGCTTGTACTCCGAGGCATTCCTACGCTGCTACCAAGATGATGATTGGGTCTATAGCGATGCTAACGTTATGGAAGACCTGGACGTCACGAACTCCTTGAGCCGTTGGCTGCTGGAACCTGACGACAAGTTTTATGGAGCAGTCGGTCATTATAAAGCTGAGGTACTTAGTAGATGGGATCGTGATATCGACGACATACCGAAGCCTGCCTTGGTAGTACAGGAGCACCATGACCCGACAGTCCGCGACCAAGATGGAAACTTTCCTGCGTGGAAGGTCTTGACGGTCCAAGATCCTGTTGCGGATACTGGGTTCATTGGCGAGCTTCGCGGTCGCATTGGCTTCAAGGAGCACTACAGAGCAGATCCCTCTAACCGCTGGCAAACCTTGCGACATCCTGAACCATTCGTTTTCTTTCACACCAAACTACCCCTCTACATCGACGCTCGAAACGAAGGCACAGATCTTCGGTTCGTGCGCCGAAGCTGCACTCCAAACTCGAAGATCCAGGTTCTTATCACCAATGGCACGGACTATCATTTCTGCTTCATGGCTACGAAACCGATCGAGCCTGGTGATGAGATCTCGATCGGGTGGGACACTTCGGACAGTTTGTTTGGACGCGCGGGCGGTGTCGAGTCAATGACATCGGTTTCGCAACAGGAGATGGGACAGCTGTCGCAATGGATATCTATAATTCTTGCCAATTGTGGTCCTTGTGCATGCCAACAATCACCCAGCCACTGCTTACTAGGGCGTCTTGATAAACGCTTCTCGATCGCTACGCTTGATGGAGACGAGGCGCAGCCGGCGAAGATGCCGAAGGTAAAGAAGAAGAAGGCTCGTCACAATATGTCACCATCCGAGACGCATGCATTCAACAGCCGATCGGGCAGCGAAGCACGAAAGGTCGACGCGGACGACGAACCCACTGACTCGCGGTCTGCGTCTGGATCTGCCGGGCGAAACTCAGCCAGTCGCGACAACACGCCCAATACGCATTACTCGGCGAGTGGCTCGTTGTCGACCATGCCTGAACTATCCGAGCGTGAACGCAGGAAGGTCGCCAAGGAAGAAGAGATGTTCAGACGGCAAGAGGAGGAGCAGAGTGGCAAGCAGAACAAGAAGAAGAGGCATAGCGCCGGTTCGACAGCGACGACACCTGGTCCTTCCTCAATCAAGCACGTCAATGGGCAGACCTTCCCATTAAAGTACGCTGATGCTGGTACCTCGCGGCAGGCGGGACTGCCGACTGCGCGGTCCCTGAGTGGTAGGCCACCGAAGAGCGGGACACAAAAACCAAGCACGAAGACTTTGGTCAAGACAATGGCCCGACCTGCACCGAGTTATGTCGACTCGGGAACCCAATGCGACATGGATCAAGAGGACACTCATAGACGAGAAGCCGAGTATGCGGTAGCACCACGCTGGAAATACATTTCTCTTACGCAGAGGCTGCTCAAACGATGCGCTACCAACAACGTCGTGCAGAAGAAAGCAGCGTCAAGCATGTCGCCAGCACCCAAAAGCGCAGAAGGTAATGAGGGTAACGCCGCCAAAGGCTCGAAGTCTAGTACGCCGGAAGAGGTTATGAGGCCTTCTCGTGGCACGACCGCAAGTAACGGAGCTGTCGCTCAAGACATTGACACGTCAGACGCTTCACCAGGTGACATGGACCACGCGTTTCCACCCATCTCGGAGCTGAAGCCGCCTCTTGGCCTGCCATACAAGGACAGCTTGAAAGAACCTCACAGCTTCGTCGAGCCGCCTGCGCCTCCATGGCAGCCGCAGGAGCAGGAATATTTGGCCTCACACGATATCAAAAGCGAGCTGCATCACAATCTACACAAGCCGGAGATGCATGTCGCGATGCCACCTCCAACTCATGTTTTTGGCAGCACGTCGAACGGCAGCAACGGCACTTTCGCACAGTCTCCTGCCGGTCTGACACCTTCAGCATCACTGTTCCCGCCTGGGGTGACCGCGGCCGTTAATCCCAGTCCTGCTCGCAAGAAGATGAGTTTGAGCGAGTATCGACAGAGGAAGAATAAAGACCGCGAGAGTGAGAGCAAAGGCGACCGAGAGAGCTCACCGGCTTCAGTTGCCTCCGGACCCATCGCACCATCACTCCTGCATCCTTCCTCTGAAGCAGGTGTGAATCACAGCCAGGCAATCGAGGACGATGTCGAGATGAAAGATAGTGCCAGTGTTGGAGCTGGCTGAGACCGAAAGTCATGGACGACTTACTTCACTGCTGGAACATCATCGGGTTCTTTTACTCGATGGGTAGCATCGGATGGGACGGGTGGGATATGATGCATATTTTAGCGTGGCGTGCGGTGTTTTTCCCCCCTTGACCTTTCACACTCAAAATCTTCAGCTTTTTGTTTTATGACGACGATACAAGACTCCATTTCCACGCGCGAGTTGTTTCGCGAATGTACTCTACCAGCTACCTCTCTAGCAATCATTAGACAGCATTGATGAGTATGAAATGTGCAGAAAGCAACAATTAACCAAGTCTCTGCCAGGGCATCCTTGACATTCCTATGTGCTACTATGGAATGGGATGATCACAAGCTGTGGTGATGCCAACAATGTGGCGTTCCTCTCCTTCGCCCCTGAAAGCATATGTCGTCAAACCACCCACGATCCGTCTTGCCTCGTCACCATGCAACACTGTTCCAGATCGGCATCAGTCATGTACATTGTAGCACCTTTTCTAGCTCTACGTAGCAGCACGCTGTAGCTGTCGCTGCTGTCCCGCCTCTCCGTGCCACAAGTCGCAGCTCAGCGATCAAAGGACGCCCTGGCTGCAGCTCCACTAGGATCGTAGTGTCTCGAGAGAGCGATCCGTATTCGCAGGTGTAGAAGCGAGAATGCTGGCTGGTCGTGGTGCTGTCTCCCTGAAGTACGGCGATGAGATCCGAACCTCGCCATCAATATCGTCGTCGTCGTTGGTTGAATTGACATGGTGGCCTTTCGTCTTCTTCGGTGTCTTCCTACGGACGAGATTTTTTGGCGTGTCGAAGGGGAATACCGTACTAATTTCCTCGTATTGCTGGCCCTCATCGTCGTCCGAAACGGTAATCACCTTGCATTTAGTGGCAATCTTGGCCTTTCTAAGTGATGGTGTGTACGCAGCCAAGTCTTTCTCGTTGTCGTAATCATTTCCGAGACCACCATAACTGAAGTCAACTAGAAGCTGACCGCGACCATAGTCCCAGGTATCGGTGAACTCACGCTTGGTTGAACCACCTTTATGTCTGGTGAGGTCAGGCTGGGCTCTGGCCGCTATAATTTCTGCTTTCTCGGCTGTCGTCTCCGGGACAATCGTCTGCTTGATGAGCTTTTGTCAACATTGATAGTCTTGTCGCTACCTCGTGTGAGCTGCTCGTGCTCGCGCTCGGTAACTTCACAGACTTGACAATGCTCCCTGCACGCCATGACATCGTCACCAAAGTCCATACCGTGAGCTTGACGGAGGTGGACGTAGAATGCCTTGATGCCATCCAGAATACCGTTTCTCGAAGTCAGGTTGTTGGGGAGATTCGCATGGCATACCCGGCACTCAAGTATGTACCAACTGCCATTAGGACGCTTGACGGCGCAGCCATATAAAGACAGACGATTGGTGTATTCACCTTCCCAGTGCCAGAGAACGTTCGAGTAGTCGTTGGCTCGGTACTGGAGGGAACCGGCTGGCTTCTCAGGATTGCTAGCTTCTATGTCCTCTTTCGTCTTGGTCTCGCTTACAAGCATAGGTTGCCGGGCAGACTCTGCACATTTCTCCGAGAGTGGTGAAGACGATGAATTGAGAAGGCCGGGGACTGTTAGAGCTGTGGTATTGTCAGTCTAGCTTCCATGTGGGTTCATGTCGGGTCGCTTGGGAAAGGCTTTCAAGACACTTCGTGAATGGTGTGACCTAGTGGCAAGAAGTGTAGGCCTACAATATGGAAGGAGCAGGTCTTGGAGGTGAGGATCGCTGATATCTGAAGAGGTGCCCAAATACTTGCTCAGTTGACGCGTACGATCTTGAATAGCCTCCGTATCGATACACGCGGCCTCGATCACAGCCTCTTGGTGCGCCTGAGCTACTTCGAAATCCTTCTTTGCCTCGTCGTATTGATGTGCCACACGCCCAGTTATACTTTCCACATCCTCTTGCGAGTCTTATAGCTTGCTGAGAGCCGTCAAAATGGCTTTACCGATGCCCGACGCCATTGGGGACGCCCTGGTAGTATGTATGCTATTGATTAAGATTTGTGTGCGATGCAGCTTGTCAAGCAAATAGCTCAAACTCTGGTACGCGTGTGTATAGTAATTCGGGGCGCTAGTGGTAAACTTGGCGTGCCGCGAGCCAATCGTGCTGAGAAGAACGCATGGGGTATCGCACGGACCAGCTTTTAGCGCGGAAGAGAGTGAATGTGAGATGGAGCTGCAGAGACAACATTTCCGTACTGGATGGACTGCGCGGAAGATGCTGCGAAAACCTGTGGTCAGACAGCGTGATAAATCTGATCTGAGTATCGTGAAATCTGATTTTTACAGGACTTGCTTGTGATCGTGATTCTCATGTCGAAGCTATGGAGTGTCGTTTCCTCTGCTTCCTTGTTCTTGCCTTGGGTTGGTGGATGACCAAACTCCATATGAGCTGCTTCTCGGCACGATGTTGGCCCGATGTATTGTTGGCTTGTGCTTGGATAAAAGGTGTGCTTCGATATCATCCGGTATACAAGATAGTAGCACGCACTGCTCCATCTCTGCTTTGCCGCACTCACCTCGGTACTACTTCACGCTTTAACATTCCCGGGTAGCACTGAATGACAGAGCAACTCATGTTGAGCAATATCAACCAAATTTTCACTCGGCGCCCTTCCCACCCTTTTCAAACAACTTCTCCACCATGCTCCTACAAATCGGATGATAAAAGTCCCTATTCTTCTCGAACGTCTTCTTCGCCAACCCCGCATCAACCTCGATCAGCCGTCTGAATAGTGGCCGCACAAACTTCATTCTTCCAACTCTCCCAAGCAATTCCGCCGCAGGCTCATAGATCTCCTTAGCTTTCGCCACGAGACCTAAGACATAGAATCGCGAGACGAGCTCGATGTTCTTGGAAGAAGCGTAGCCGTATGCTTGGCCCATCGTATGGATATGTTCGGGTTTCAGAGGTGTTGAGGACGATTGGAGGCGTTCGAGGAAGACGACAGATTGATTCGACATAAAGTTCTCGATGTCTTTGCTGCTGGGCTTCCAATCTCCAGCATTGCCCTCATTGAGAGCCGTCCATTTATCCGCGAGAGCGTAGCACTGATCGGCCAATTCGGTGTCAAAGTCTGGCTTTGGCGGCAGGCCAGGCTTGTAGAACCAGGTATCCCAGTCGACATCGTTCAGCTTCTTACTCGCTTCGGCATCGTTCTCGAAGAAAGAGAGAAGCATAGCTTTGAACTCGTAGGAGTCGACACTCCGTTCCCGGAACTCCGTAAAGTAGTGCGGGATGAACTTATTCCACTTCTCGATGCCGACTAACTTCTCCAGATAGTACAGAAACGTGAAACCCTTCTCGTATGGTATACTGCTGAATGCGTCATCCGGATCCTCGCCCTTGAGACTAGGGATAAGCTTGGTGAATTCGTGATCCTCACCAAACTGCTTCACACTGTCCTCTAATGCCTTCCAGCCAATAATAGCGCTGAAGTCTCGATACTTGTCACCACCATGGATCAGAGATTGTAGTCGGCGCTCAAGATATTCTGTCCATCCTTCGTTCAGCCAGAAGTGCTCCCAGCTGGCGTTGGTGACAAGGTTTCCGGACCATGAATGGCTGAGTTCATGAGCAATAACGTCGACGTTCTGGCGATCACCGCTTACTACTGTTGGTGTGGCGAAAGTAAAGATGGGATTCTCCATTCCACCGTAAGGAAAGGATGGTGGTAGGACAAGAACATTGTAGGTCGTCCAGGCGTAGGGGTAGACGATCTTCTCCGCTGCTTGAATATAAGCTTCTGTATCTGCTTCGAATTCCCATTGGCTGGCTGTCAGCTCTTCAGGACCAGTCCAGACGGTCGACCGTGGACCGATGGATGCAGAAGCAATATCGCCGGAGGCTATAGCGAAGAGGTACGACGGCATAGGTATCTTTTGATCGAATGTGTAGAGTAGTGTTCCCGGCTGGTTGTCCTTGCCCGGCTGAAAGTCGCTGATGCCGGCGGGTAAGCCAGATGCCAATACAGGAAGTGGAGACCGGATGTTGAACGTATATGTGGACTTCACATCCGGAGTGTCTTGGCAAGGGAACAGTGATCGAGCGTGGATGGCTTGACATTGACTGAACATGTATGGGTGCTTCTTGTTACTTGTTTGAGCCGGTGTGAGCCATTGTAGAGCTGTGCAGGAGGATGTGGTCGCCACGTCGATGCTCAGGGTCAGTTCAGAAGAAGATGAATCAGTGTGCTCGTCCTTCAAGGAGATGGTGAGTGGCGAGCCATATGGCTCTATCCTTTTGGTAGCCAGCTCGAAGCCGGCTTGCTTGTTGTTGGCCTTGACGGCTGAAACCTCAAGGAAGCTGGTGTCAAGGATGACTTGATTGGCATCTGGTGCGAGTTTCTTCAATGTCAGATGCACGGTACCCTTCAGACGCTTTGCTTCGAAGTCGATGTGGAAGTCAGCGGTCGTATGCTTCATGCGCCAAGCATTGTAGTTCGATAGAGTGTTGGGATCTCGTGGCTGATGTATGCTGGCTGCTGCTGCTTTGGCCACAGAGTCTGGTGCTGGTGCTGGTCTGATTGCCATGGCTGCGTATCCTCGATTGCGTGGAAAGCAGGCTGGCTTCTTGCTATCGAGATTGTGTACGATTGATATCGATCGGCGAGCAACGAGGGTGAATCTCGAGAGCAAATTCATTCGATGTCCTTAAACGAAGAGGAGGGCCTGCTGTTCGGAGTGCTTCTTGGCATCACGAGATCTGGCGTGCATTAGGAGTGGGGCGACATGCGGGAGCAGCCGGCGCAAAACATGGCGCGTTGAAGCGAGTGATCATAGCGTCGCTCAAGCAATTGCAGTCTGTATAACGATACCGCTAGAGAGGATGTACTAGTAGACCGGTGAGAACAAAGCATATGGCGCGTCTACGTAGTGCTCCTTCGGCTGCACCATCGCCTTCGGCCGCTCAGAACAAACGCCAGGCACTGCGAGAGAAAACGAACACGACGCGTAGCGCAAAGACGGCACCAGCACCGGTATACGAGGACGATGGCAATACAGATGGACTGGTCAAAGACGCGAAGACTCGACGTGGACGATCAAAGAAGAGCTCACAGGCTCCCGAAGAATTGGTCATGACAGGCGGACTTGGACTGCAGACATCTGATCCGCCGGCTGTCAGTACAGACGAGCTCGCGAAGAGCGATGCGTCCGTACCGCCTACGGTCAAGCCAAATAGACGGCCGCCAAGGATGACACGGAAGCCGATCCAAAACGAAGCACAGAGTAAGGTGCTCGAAGGATTGAAAAAGCGGATGCAGCATCAAGCACGAAAAGAGACTGGCGAGGACACGATTGTGTTGGCTGCTACAAAACTGAACTCGATCGATGCCGCGCCATCGTCTGACTTCCTCTCTGCGGCTCCAGGACTGGCGCGACAGAGTATTCGACTGGCACGTGATCTGTCCGAGTACGACATGCCTACCTCTCCGCCACCAGCAGGCAAATCGAGCTCTGCCAAGCGTAAGCGTTCGTCCGTCGCTGCGCCTCCGACATCTGTCCTGCGACCCCAGCCTACACCTGCCATGGACACTAGCGTACTCAAGAATTTCAGGCGCCGGCCCAGGCAGCCGAGTATGCTGGCCATGGTACAACAGCGAGCTGCTGGTGCGCGACCCTCGAATGTGAATGCGACTACGATCATGACTGCAGAGGATGCCAGCGTATATGACTTCGATATCGGGACCGACGACGATGAGGAAGCCTTTGCGCCAAATGCAGAAGGCACGCCAATGCGACTTGGTAAGCAAAAGAGGAAGTCTGCAAGTAGTAGTGCTGTAAAGAAGGATGCCACGAAGCCTGCCTCGCGATCGAGAGCTGCAATCAATAAGCGCAAATCGGGCGAGGCGGATCTATCTACAGGATCTCTGAGTACATTACGAGCGAAGCGCCAACGTCCTGAAACGTTTGCTCCCGAACACGACGATGTTGCTGCTGATGAGGAGCATGATCTGGCCTTCGTAAACCATCCAGCAGCTTCTGCTACGCGGCGCTCGACCACAGCTTCTGCTCGCGGGCCTACACCACCCGCGCTGGAAACCACAGACGATGTCCAGATTATCAATCCTTCCCAGTCTTCGCCACCACCTTCAGTTGGGCTACCAGACGACGAAGGACGTAGAGACTCATTGGATGACTATGTGGTACCTTCGACCGAAGAGCAGCACCAGGTCGAGCCCGAAGATGAGCAAGTAGGAGAGGAGCTTCACGACAACCCCCTAGCTGATGTACCGAATGGGACCATGGCAGAACCTGCTAGCAGCAGTCCTGGCCCAAACCCTGTTTCCGGCACACAGCAGCGTCTTCGAGAGGAGCTAGCCGATCCGGTCACACAGCTCTCACCACAGCCTGAACGACGAAAGAAGCCAGAGAAGGTCAAGCAGATGTCGACAGCTGCGCTGCAATCACTGCTTCCGAAGCGAAGACAGCCTGCAAAACCTCGACACCGAAAGTCAGAGTACGACTTCACGTCCGACTCTGAGAATGAGGGCGGGGTGGAGGAAGTCGCGGTAATCGATCATGACAGCGAGCCGAATGGCAGGCGGCGAAGACAAACAAAAATCACACCAGCTAAAGGTAGACGAAAAACTGCCACCGCTCACACAAAATCAGCCAAAACTGGCAAAGCAGGTAAAGCTCCGGCCACACGCGCTCGAAAATTCACAGCCGCATCTGCAACGGACAAGCAGCCGGTCAAGACATATGGGCGCAGGACTACAGCAGCCACGACCTCAGACAAGGAGAACAACGATGGCTTCGAAGATCTAGACGATGCAGACACCACCACTAACCTGCCAGAGCAGAGTATGTACGAAGCCACGAAATCGAATGAGCTCGAAGAGGCGAGGAGGAAGTTCGCAGAGGTCGATGAATGGGATATGGAGTTTGAAAGTCTGGGGGATGAGGAGCATAGAAGTTCTAGTCAGGGGTGGCGGTAGTGATGAGCTGTAGTGATTGAGCTGGTGCGACAACGCTAAGGAAATGCTTCACGGTCTTGATCGACTTCAGTACATGTAGTCCGGCTAGCTGCCAGATTATATGATAGCCTCACAAACCTAGATCCTGATACCCAAATACCAACGTGATATCTGTCGTTGCGGAAATCTCTGCTACACTAGACTCCATGCTGCAGAGACTCATGTATGCCGCCAGCTATGTCACGATCATATCTTTTGACTGAGCCGCGCTCGCGCCTCGTCGTCCCTCAGCCGCACACAGAACGCTCTCAATGAACCCAACACGCCACGCGGAGTATACGCCCTCGTTCTGCGGCAGTCTACCCATCAGAACTTTCGCCTTCTCCCTGACCCCGGCATCCGTACAGCGAGACGCGACACAGTAAAGCGGCTCAGTCATGCCCATGCCAGGACTGAAATATGCTGTCTGCGGCATACGAGTTGCTACGAGTCTCTTTGGCACACATGAGATCACCTCTGACACTAGTTCAACGATAGCGCGAAATTGAGCCGTGAACTCGCTCCATGCGCTGCTATCGTTGTTTACATTCTTGACAGTGACCAGAAGGGATCCGGAAATGTGGTGAGCTTTGAGCAGACGGCAGGCGTTGAGCTCATTGCGGGTCATGTACTTGTTACTGCTTGACAGGAAATCCGTGAAGGCCTTTTCCCACTGTTCGAACCAGATTCGATACGCATTCTTGGTTCCACCAAGCACTTCTGCCTGATCTGATTCGTCATCGTAATGCACGTTGGTCAGCATGTAGTTGCTTATATTCGCGATGGCCCGTTCCAGTGCTATACGAGCGGCCGCAGCAGACTCGAATACAAGTACGTCAGCTGGGTTAGAAGTGAGGAAGTGTGGCAATGGCACTGGGTCACCGGTCGAGTCGCCGAGCTGTATTTCATAATGCGAGAGGACTGGGTCGATGGCGCCAAGACGCGTAGGATACACCTTAGCATACTGCCGTGCGTTCCGCAACTGTAATGCTAATTTTCGGGCGTGGAGTACATGCGGCAATGCTGCTTGACGCTGGCCCTGAAGGTTCTCAAAGGCTGCGAACAGGACGGAAGCTGTAAGCACCCGTAGCAGCTCGACGTCGTCCATCGACTCTGCAGGTCGTATGAGGCTTTTTATGGCATTGTTGCATTGGCGGAAGCCGAACGTAAGCAAGCCATCTGTCTCGGTGCTTTCCCGTAGTGCTTGTCTCCGTAAGTGGTACTCGTGTGATGCGCCAAGAGCGGCGACCAAGTGCATAATTGCTTGATCGTGAAGGGTCGCTCGTAGGAGGTCAACTCGATAGAAATCTGCGTCAAACCTGTCGTTTATCAGCATTGGAATTCGAAGTGGTCCTGAGTTAGTGCAGCAGGCAGATCAGTTCTGCGACGCCTGGCACTGAAGGAGAAGGATATTGCTGTCGCTGCCCAGACATATATGATCTTCATACGATGCTCAAGACTTACCACCCAGATAACTCCAGAGCACTCATGTTACAGAAGAAATGTAGACTCTGGCGTTCTCGATTCGTGGCTTGCCAGCTGACATGTATGTCGCGTACAACTATGTTACGATCGTGTCTTACATAAAGACCAACATCATGTCGATTGGCGTGCCAGTCCGTGGAACTATTTTGTCGACATCCAGAGTTCTTGGAATCACACGGTATCCCTTCAGCTCTACATGCTAGACAACCAGTGCGGATGACCAGTTTGCTTCTCACACTCATGCCGAAGTCCAGGTGACGAAGTCAAGGGTTTCATCGATCCAGCCACCGAAAAGCGAGCTACCTCCACCAGCAGTCGAGTTAGCCATCGTGTGCATGCTAGTCACGGATGGTTATGGTTTCGAAGGGTAAGATGGAGCCCGCATGAATAGACGGTCGAAAAGCGCAATGCAGCTGAGTCACCGCCACCGATCCACGCTCGGCGCCGAAACATTTGGGTTCGACGTCTAAGGGTTACATGCTCTCACCTCCTTCTGCTTTCAAGCGCAACAGCACCTGCGCTGCGAGAAAAGACGGCGCGGCAGAGACGCCACATCGGCAGCCCACGTGCATAGCTGAGGCTTAGAAGGCAACATCTGAAGAGGTAGAGAAATGCTCTTCGAGCGAGGCAGTACCAGATCGCTGGACGCGCGAAAACGGGCCTGGCTGATGAAGAGGAGCATCTTGTCTGTTTGATTTGCTGAAGGATCGTCGACTCTCGGCTGCTTGTCTTTGCTTGCTTTGATGGCGTCGTGCGACTCTGGGTACGAGGCTTAGTGAAGCGTTGGCGGTGCTGCAGGCTCCCGTTTCAAGTTCCACCAGGATTGAACATCGGGTCGGGTCCGCGAGACAATCTTCTGCGATGTCCAAACTCACCGCTATCACGCAGTTACCTGGCAAGATTGACAATAACCCCGTGGGAAGTTCGTCCACAGCTTTTCCGTGCCGCCTTCCAGATTGGCCTTCCAACTGTAATAGCGCTTTGGAGACTGTAACGGCCATACAAGAAAGCAACGATACTTGAGATATTAGCCGAGCTGTCAACGAAACCGGCAACGTGAATGAAAAGGTAACACATGGCGTAGTCCGTGTGCCTGCCAAATCGAATTGCAGAGCTAAACCTTAAATTCCAGTCTAAGCACGATGGCAAATGCGTCTTCGTCACATGCCCGTCAAGCAAGCTTCACAGCAACATCACTCGAGCCACCATCTTTTCGCAACAATCTCCATGACAGCAAAACCCCGTAGGTGGTCGTCATGCACTCGACCATGAAGAACACTGTCACACTCCTTGTGCTCACAGCTGTGAACCTCCAGACAGTGTTCGCGCAAGATTGCTTCTACCCGAACGGTGATCTCTCGCCAGGCGACGCAGCTTGTCTCCCTTCCGGCGGTCAGTGTTGTCCTTACCAGTGGGACTGCCTTGGTAACGGACTTTGTCGTCTACCGAATGGGACCGACTATTACCTGTACGGAAGGTACACTTGTACCGATCAGACCTGGCAGTCAACTTCGTGCATGGAACGCTGTACGAACAACAACACAGCCTCTGGAGACGAAGCGCTGCTGCAATGTGACGATGGTAGCTGTAAGCGCTGCGAGCTGGCCACACTCTAGGCGAACGATTCTAATACATTCCCAGGGTGCTGTGACGGCGACCGTAGCTGGAACTGCTGCAGGAAAGATGGAACCGAGTACTTTGACCTGCCGGCAGGGAACTCGATTGCTAAGATAACAAACGCTCCCAACCCTACGTCTGCGCCAACCTTGCAGACAGCCAACTCTCCCGCCTCGAGCATAGGTATGTGACTTGCTTTCGACCCTCAGTTCCAGTGAATAGCAGTTGAACTGTGCTCTAGGTAGAAGTGGCCCGGATGTTGAGTTGACTGCCACGCCGGGTGCAGAGACTAGCACTCAATCAACTCCACAACAAGCGATGTCCACCACCAGTTCGCTGACCTCACCGACTTCATCAGCCTCATCAACCTCAACCACTGGAAACACCAATTCACCATCACCCACTACTCACAGTGCTTCATCCACAGTCACATCCTACGGTGTCATCACCGACATCGGTGGCTCACTAGCTACGGTCACACTGGTCACTACTGTGCAAGGGACAGTGCCCACAGATAAAGCTTCCACATACCAGACAAAGTCGCCCTCGAGCAATCATCCGGCGCTGATAGTAGGGTTGGCAGTCGGCATCCCAGTCGGGCTGTTGGCTTGTGCTTTGCTGGCATATGTTATCTGGCGTCAACGCAAGTCCAAGGGACAGGAGTACACATCGCCTCCACGATCAGACGACACAGACGATGCCATGAAGGACAGATTCGGCTACCAAGTAGGCCACGTAGCACCAGATGGAAGGGCACCGGAAATTGACTCATACCCTGTGGCTATGAGCCGGTCCAGAAGTAACCGGAAGAGCGAGCTGGAGGGCTCAACACACAGTCCAGCGATCTCTGTCGGAAGTGCGACACATCTACCCGGCTATAGTCCAATGAGTCCAGGTCTACGCTCTGTCAACGAGGAGCCGGCTGAGTTGTGGGGTGGGTATGTCCCGTATAGACCGACCGTGACGCAGATTCAAGAGGAGGAGCCGAAGATATCATGATTCAGCAAGGTCAAGGAGGATTGTAGGTGGACTTGCATGGTCTGTTGTACAGTAAACGGAGATGTCTATACTAGTTGACAACATACCCTCCGTCCACAACAAGCGCAGAACCCTGCACGAAGCTAGCCTTGGGACTTGCGAGGAAGAGCACACAGTCTGCCACCTCTTGTGCAGTGCCGGCTCTGTCCATGGGTGCTATCGATATAGCCGAGCCTAGCACATCCATGTTTGGCCTTGTCATTGGAGTGTCGATGACCTGCAATCAAGTGAGCACGAAACGTCCCTGATCCTACCATAGGTGAATACATACGCCCGGACACACGCAATTGACACGTATGTTATCCTTCGAGTACTGCTCGAACATCAGCATGTCCCACACTTTCTCGCAAATTGTGATCGTCCTCACATCGATAGCGTCGCATCTGGTCATACTAATAACGGCAGCCTTCGATCCACAATATGCGGCTTCTCGCTGTCAGCCATGACCTGTCCTGAGATCCACAGATTTCGATACTTACGAGCAGCAGGTCTTCCAACAATGCCCAACTGGCTAGCAATATTGACCACGCTCCCCCTAGCCCCAGGCCGCCCATCATGAGTAGGCAAAGGCTCCTGCTTCAGCATCTGCATAATTTCCGCTCGAGAGCACAACCAGCATCCTCGATAGTTGATCCCATTGATACGATCGAACTCGTCCGGCGTCGTAGCATCAGATCGCTCGTTGTTGCTCAGCACACCTGCCACATCTTAGCAATCACATGATTCATGGCATATCTCACGCAGGCTGCCGATACCAGCGGCGTTGCAAGCATAGTCAATCCTGCCAAATGTCCTAACCGCCTCCTCAGTCATATGTTGGACAGAGTCCGCCAAAGAGATATCGACTGGTACGACCAGGACCTTGGCATCAGAACTCGCTGCCTTGATCTGATCATTCGTGGCGTTCAGGCCATCCTGATTGCGGTCTGCGAGAACAATCCTGCGGCAGCCTTCGGTTGCGAAAGAGATGGCTATGGCTTGACCAATGCCTGGTTATTTCAGCCATGAATCTTCGTTACTAACTTGGGGATGTCATACCACTGGCAGCGCCAGTAATCAGGGCCACCCCAGGAAAGAGTGAGTTCGTCGTGGTTGAAGGCATAGCAGGTATCTTTGTCTGTGTCGACTGCAGAGGACAAGACTTGATGTCGACTGTAATCAATTTGCTGTGATGGTGAATGCATGACGCACTTCCTCAATGATCTCGCAAGCAAAGACACGATTTGCGCATTCGGCAGTAGAGAAAGGTAGATGGGTACGTAGCGTACATAATGGTGAGGAACAGTGTCACAACAAACAGCTAGTGAACTCAGCGATTTATTACACACGTTACGAAATCGTACCCATATTATATATACAGGTTCCCTTTCCAAAGGAACAAAAGGAAAGCGGCGGCCAGCCATACACCCTTAGTAACACAATCTTGATCTTGTATCGAGGGAACGGCGGCCGCAAGGCGGGTTTGGTATCTCGTGTTTCAAAACATCTTCCAAGTGACTGATCATAGCAAAACTTCAGCAAAAGCTAAAGCGCACGAATCTAGTCGTCATCCTCGTCTTCAGTAGACTTGGTGGCGAGCACAAATCTGCTCTCGCCGTGCTCGTCCTTCTCGTGCCTGAGCGCGAGCTTGCTGAGGTGGCCGATGATGTTCTCCATCTGGGTATCGTGCATACTGCGGTTCTTGCGGCCGAGATCGGCAAGCGCAGGGATCTGGTTGAGACAGAAGTATGTGATGGCGAGGATGATGATGACACCGATCGAGTATGCCCACACCGACACAACGGTAACGACGGAGGTCCAACCGTGAGGTGTTTGCTTGTAGTAGTAGGCACCCATTGGATTCGGGTAAGGAGGGGTGTGGAGACCACCATCAGTACCGTGCCATAGCCATCCGAAGATACAGAAGATCGTGGCGAGCACATCGACGAAGAAGATGGCGCTGACCAATTGCCAGGATGGGAAGGTGGCTCCACCACGGGTGACGAAAATGAGCCAATTCTCGGTAAGAGCAACTTCGAGAAACAGAACTTCCTGAATGTTACCGAAATTGACGATAATTCCGCCGTTGGGCAAGAACATGGTGCCGCGGACGATCCAGGTCGCAAGAGCAAGTTCAATACCAAGGATGACCGAGATCACCCAGATCTTGGGCAATTGCCACTCGACGGGTCGAGGATCGGAGTGCGCGTTATCGTAGGCAATGGCGACGGTTGCCAGATCGGCGAAGAGGGCGATGAAGACGATCAGATCGGCGGAGATAGTCTCTTGAATGATGACCATCGAGGTGACGAGGTACAACTCCAAGTGAAGACACAGAGCGATACGGTACTGAATGTAGGACTTCATGCGCTGGAAGATCTGGCGGGCAGTCTTGATGGCGAAGACGATGGTGCTGAGACCGGGAGCAAGGAAGACAATATCGGCGGCGGCCTGGGCAGCTTCGGAGGCACCCTCAACAGCGATACCGCAGTCGGCCTTCTTGAGGGAAGGAGCATCGTTGACACCTGTTGATCGTTAGCGACGAAGTGATATGTATGAAGTCTAGGCTGAACTTACCGTCACCAGTCATGGCAGTCAGATGGCCACGCTGTTGCAGCATCTCGACTACCTGATACTTGTGCTCGGGGAAGACCTCAGCGAAACCATCGGCACGCTCAACAAGGTCGTGCTGGGTTGTGCCGGAGAGACCACCGTGGATGAGCTTCTGAGAGTTGTAAACCTTTGTGCCGAGAGCCAACATCTTGCAAGTCTCCTTGGCGATAGCAATGGCATCACCAGTCAACATCTTGACTGGAACACCAAGCTGCTGGGCCTCGACGATGGTCTGAGCAGTATCCTCACGGGGAGGGTCGAACATAGAAAGCATACCCAGGAGGACCCACGGCTCATTGTTTTTCTGGTAAGCGACACCGAGAGAGCGGAAACCACGGCGAGCGAATTCGGTGGCCTTGTCCCTGAACAGGTCTGCGGTCTCCCTAGAGCACTCGGTCAAGTTAAGAACGGCCTTGGGAGCACCCTTGGCGCAGGTGAAGCGATCGCCGCGGAGGGTGACGATACAGGTAATACGCTTGGAGACAGGGTCGAAGGGAGTGAATTTCTCGGTCTTCCAGTCGTCCTTGAGGATGTCACGTGCCTTTGGGTAGCGCTTGAGTGTCAAGATGGTGACCTTGTCAATGGGATCAAGGGACTTGATATTGTGGGAAGAAGCCAGGGCAGCGCAGGCCATCATCCAGTTGACATCCTCGCCCTCAGCGACGTATGGCTCACGGATAGAAAGCTGGTTGGCAGTGAGGGTTCCGGTCTTGTCAGAACAGAGCACATCGACACCAGCAAGAGACTCGATCGCGGTCAACTTCTGGACGATAGCCTTCTGCTTGGCCAGATAAGCGGCACCGACGGCGAGTGTTGTGGTGGTGACGACAGGGAGACCGACCGGTACGCCAATGATGAAGAGGATAAGAGTGTAGTGGAGCAGGTTATTGTCGGACGCTTCGGGAGTCGCAAGCTTCAAGTGACGGAAGAAGCCACCAATCCAGGCAATGAGGACCCAGAACATGACCAGGACGAGAAGCGCTGTACCGATGCTGTTCATGATAGCCTTGAAATGACCTTGGTCCTTGGCACCTTGCACGAGGGTGGCAGTGCGACCAACGAAAGAGTATTTGGCGGAAGTTGTAGCGACAGCGTAGGCCTTGCCACGCTTGCACCCAGTTGTGTAGTAGACCACATCGCCCATGAACTTGTCGACAGCGAGAGATTCACCAGTAATGGCAGATTGATCGGTGGCGATGATGGAGTGGCCCTGTTGTGCGACACCCTCATCTTCGTCACCCTCCTTGTCCTCCGAGCCAGACGGATCCTCCTCTGGGTTGAGCGCATGCTGCTCACGAAGCTCCTTGTACTTCTCGAAATCACCGGGAGCCTCGTAGTCGCAGATGAGACGGGCGTCAGCTGGGACGGTCTGGCCTTCCTCAATGACGATGATGTCACCGGGGACGAGCTCACGAGCCTTGATGTCCTGTTCTTGACCTTGACGGATGACAATCGCCTTCATGGCGATATCACCCTTGAGAGATGCGACGACATCGGCGGCTTGCTTTTCTTGGTACCAGCCGACGGCGGCGTTGAGCAGAAGAATGGCGATGATGACACCGAAATCAATCCAGTCACGAAGACCAGCAGCGAGGAGGACAGCGACTTCCATAGCTGCCAAGAAGTTAGCGTGGGCTCGTGGCTGCAGCGACGTGCATGAATGGTCGGGCCGAATGATGGTCGTGCGCCCGTAGCTCCACGCCCGCTGCGACAGCTCTGCAAAAGCAAAACAAAAGCGCGCAGAGCCATTGGAGGCGACACGGGGAAGATGAACGCGTGGATAGCGTGCAGAATGGTGAGCAGAGACTTACTGTAGAGAATAGGGCCTGTGAAGAACATCAAGAACTTGATGAAAAGGTTCTCCTTCTCAGTCATGATCTCGTTGAAGCCGCAGCGCTTTCGGCGGTTCTCCACGTCGCTAGTAGAGAGACCTTGCTTGATATCGGACTCGAGCCACTCCTCGGGTACGACGCCGGCATCCTTGTCGGTGGCCTGCGAGGAGTTGCCTGACCGCCAGAACTGTGCGGGTGTTAGTGAGCGCGTCAAAAGATCGGCTGTATTGTTGTGAGGGAGCTGCTGACCTGCCACCACGCCTTGCCCTTCTTCGCATCCTCACCATCCTGAACTTGGTTTTCGGGACTATCGGCCGCCTTGGGATCTCTGTATGTAGAAATATACTTTTGGAGTGCAGTGTACTCGTCTGTCGGATAATCCATGTTAGAACATGCTGGGTGAGGAGCTGTTGTCAAAGCAAAACATACCTAGATCTTCGATGTTGCCGGGAGCCTGGGACCACTTGCGGGATCTACGTGAATCTATGGTTAGCTGCCGGCGTCCTTGCTTTGTGTTTTGCTCTTCGAGCAGAAGCTGCGGATTGTCCGGAGGTGCGCCTACCTGTCACCAGCACCAGCAGCGTGCTCACCGTTCTCCAGATCCTTATCGGAAAAGCTCACACGAGGAGCTGCCATGATGACTGTCGATGCTCCAAATCAATGGCACCAGCTGACAGCGTTGAGGGGAAATTTTCGCGAGAAGCAGTAGGGAAGAAGAGCTGCGAGTGTGCAAAGCGCAGAGCTTTAAAGGGAATGACGAGATTCAGCGACGATGCGAAGCGGGAAGCACCGAGCTTCGTCAGCGGCTACCGTGGGTCCGGCGAAGTAACTTTGGCTGCTGCAGCGATCGGATTATCCGGAAGTGGTCAACGAGGATAATTCAAGAACGGGGTGGGAGACGGTCTATCGCACGCTACAGCCCTCTTACTTCTGTCACATCGTGAGCGACTTTCTGCATTCGTCCTCCGGAAGCGCACGAACAAGCTGCAAAGCACGCACTTTGCTTGCGCCGGTTGGGAGTGGAGCTGCCAGAAAGGCCCGAAAATGAAGCGTCCTAACGTCGTCACAGACCGATCGCCTACCTTGCCTGTCGTGCCGTCTGCCGTCTCACTTTCTACTATCGCTGGACGCAGTATAGTTGGCCGTCTGAGCGCGGGGTGCGCACTATCTAACGAATGAGAAGACCTGCATGAGAAAGCTTAAGCCGCACCTCGCAGATGCATCCTGCAACAGCTCTACGATCATGACGTCCAGGGCGGGATGTGCTGGGTAAGTCGCCTGCTGCTGACCAGGTGAGCTCATATCGTCCTCATGCTAACCCATATCCGAGTGGATGGATCAGAGCGACAAATCCTGCACATATTGCCAATCTCATGACAGGTACGACTTAGACATGGTCAAAGCAACCGCCGACTTGCGAACTTGTTCCAAGTGGGCCAAGCGTCTCAGAGTCAATTTCGGGGCGGGCTCAACTGGGCCTCTGGCACGCAACGGACACACGAGCGAACAGACTCTGCAGGGCAACAGCCGGCTCCAGTTGACAAACAAACAGATAGAGATTGGCTGCAGGGCATGATTACAAGCAGCGATTGCTTTGCCGGATGGATAAGGAAAAGCTTGGATAGGCTGTCGTGACTATTGCATTTACATGAGACTCGTCCGGTTCACAACTTCACCATGCCTAGCCCAGCGCCACGGCATGGTGGCTGCCACAGCTTCGCGTGCGTTGAGCTTCCAAAGGCGTGTTGTATTCACAGTGCTTGGAGAGACAATAACAATAACCACGCAGATGCCGGCGGCTTTTTCGGCTGTTGCTGCTGATGCCGTCCTGCTCCGATGGCGGATAGGGCTACGTCTCAGACTGCATCGCTATAAGAATTTTCTCACGAAAGTGCTTGTTTGTAGATCTGGTTCTAGTTCACCGCCGGAAACTCGGGCTCTTGTGTCCACCCTATTCTGCTATACGAATTTGCCGTGAAGACCAGCCTCGCGCCGCCTGTGGGCAAACGCATCCCAACAGAAATCCTAAATCGCGCACTCTGCCAGAAAAGCCGTTCAATCCGAAACAGATGGCTTAACATTCTCTTGTACAACGTTGCCGCGCTTCATAGCCAGAAGATGTCGCACTTTGCCCTTGGCTGTGCCAGCGTGACTTTATCGATTCTTCGTGTCCCGTACATGTATACCGCACACTACTGAGTTTCGTATTCGACCGCGACGAACTTCTTTCGTAACCCACGATCGGCCATACCTGCCAAGAGATCTGCTGGCGCCGTGGCACTTTTCTTCTGCGACGCCAATGTCACATACCAAGCTGCCATGTAGTCAAGTGACAATCTTGGTCTGGCTTGCTGCAGCGTCAAGCTAATCTGTGTCAATGAGCGTATGAAGAGCTGTCGTCTACCTCCAGATGTTGTGTACGAGGCCGTGAAAGATACTGCCTGGAAGTATCAGGATCTCAGGGATCTATCCACGACCTCACTCCCCTCGGGGCAGAACCAAGGATTCTTGTAATATAATCAATTATCGCTAGCACTGCTTCTTATGAGGCTGTTGACATCTACACAGGACGTTCAACCTCGTACCAACTTGCGATTGATTTGAGAACATCGACCACCTTGGAGGAAGGGACGTTCTGAAAGTACAGCGGGTCCTCTTCCCCTTCCACCACGGCAATGCACGTCGAGCAGAGCTGCCATGAACGGTAAGCAACACGTCACGGTAGGTCGTATGGCTATCTGGAATCTCTCCATGGAACGACAGGCAATGTACCACATCAAACCACATTCCAGGCGCTTCCATGGCGACAACCCAAGAACGACCGTCCAGAGTACCACATCACCTTCGGCCGTTCATGCAATCGCCAATTCCAGGTTCATCACTAACCACACAAGCTCCACATTCTTACACGATACCTAAAAATCGTCCTCACGCAATACGCTGTCAGCCGACCAGGTCTAAGAAGAGAATTCGCACGAAATTAAAACATCTGGTGCTAAAGACGCCAGCAGAGACTCCCACCTCACAGCACGAAGCCACGAAGTCTCCTGCCCGCCCGGCAATGATGCGCATGAAAGACTCGGACGACTACATCACCGCCCGAGCTGCCAATCCTTGGACCGGCCTCATATCACCTAGCTGCGGAAGTCCTTCGCCTCAGCCACGTACCCCTGAAACCCCGGGCGAGGCACTGAAGCTGCATGGGAATCTTCCTCCGACTCCTACTCCTGCAACCAAATTACGCCCTGCATTGAGCCGTGCCAATGAAGGCAGGAAAGTCAGTGCTGGGACTTTGCATAGGTGGCGAGCAAATGCTAATGGCTGGGTGTCGGATTTTGGAGGCACTGTCGCGTCACCCAGGGGCTGTGATACAGTGGCGAAAGCGGATTTATCCAGGACCGCGCCACGAAAGGATCTAGCAGACGATAGCTTTGTCGTCAATATGCCGTCTGCTCGCGAACCGCAGCCTTTCGCCCATCCAGGCTGCACGGCATCGCAAATCGCGGCCCTCGAGAACCACAGACAAGACGAGCTTATGGACGGCAGAGCTTTCGGCAACATTACCGCGGCATCTTTCGCTCCGTTCGCCTCGCCAAAGATGCCGCTTTATAGAGGTCGACATACAGATGAGGATAGGATTCTACGCACCGTACATGTATCCGAGGCGTTCCGCAGCGTCTCTCCACCAGCACATGTTGCGCCAACACCTCTCCGCAAGCCAGTCCATCCCCGTATGCTCCTGCAACGGGCGGATGCAAGGGACTCGTCGCCCACTATGGTCAATAAATTAAAGCAGCACGACTATGCGGTATTTGGAGCAGATCAAGCTGGCAACAGTGCAAGGCGTGATCCACGACAACTGCCGCCAATGAGATTCGTTCATCCGTCGATGGTCGCAATACCGCGTCACCGTACTCAACCACCACAACGGCCTGGAAAACGAGTATGCTCACTCGGCTGTGAGCGAGAGGGCAATACGAAAATGTGCAGCGAGCGATTGCACAAGCCGAATGCCACAAGTCGCTCGGTATCTGCAACTTTACTGTTTGATGTTCATAACCATGCATCGCCTTCAAATGATGCGAGCGGCAAGTATGACAACATACTCACCGACTGCTTGCGTACGATCGTTCTTGGCGTGATCGGTATCTCCAAGCACATACATCCGCCAGATATGAAAGCGTTATCTGCGCTATGTCTGAGGAGTGCTACGCCACAGCAGAAATTCGACGGGCTCAAAGCTATGCTACTCATGGTCTCGCAGGTGTCTGCCTTTCTGTTGGCGTTCGCGGTGGCCTGGCGGCTAAGTATGCTGGTTACTCAACTAGTGGTCGTTGTGCTATGGCCTTTGATCATCCTAGTGAAAGTGGCGAAGTGGCTAGCGAGTGGATGAGAGCAGATTTTGCGCATAGACCACTGATATCGTCCTTGCAAAAGCCGCTCCGTACACTTTAACTGCACCTGGACGATGACCTTGAGTAACTGCCATAAATCACTTATGTAGAACACGATCTACCCAAATCAGAGCCCTGTATGCAGGTAGCAGAGACATCACTCCTCCTGATAACTGAACTGATCAACGAGCCTTCACAAGCATCACCTCGATCTGTAAGTTCCAGGACTTCTCGCTTCAATGCAATAACCCTTTGACCCATGCAACTATAGAAAGGCGTTGTGGCATTTCAATGAGATTCCCGAGATGTAAGTTGGAAGGACTCAGCAACATCGAAAGAGTAGTTGACTGTAGGCTAGCGTCGTCGTCGTCATGTACAAGATCATTCTTGACGTACAGGTACCGGAGGAGACTATTACACTCATGACTGTGCCTGACAGGACTATGCAGCCGTAGTCGCGGCGTATGATCAAGTGAAGTGCTTGCAGAGTCGAACCAGCCGTCCGGTATATGCTAATAAGGGACCTCTTAGGTGCTTTACTAGAGTTGGACACCGTGGCCGTCATGATTTCGAGGTGGTGGTGTCGTATGGAGTGGTCTGCGGAGCTGGCGGCGAACATTCGCGTGTGGTCCGTGCAATCTCGTGACGCCATGCATGCACAGTTCAGATGAGATGATGGAGAGAGGCGAAACGATTTGGTGTTTGTTAAGCAGACGGACTTAAGCTATTTCATCGTCTGACTCTCCCTTTCTTACTCGTCCTGCCTATCTCGGGTTGGCCATAGCCTGATCTAATCCATCTGAGTCCTTAAGCATTCCTTAAAGGAGGGTTCAGGCAGGTCACGAGAGCAGAAAGGATGGTGTACGGACGAAGCGTGGCATGGCGACAGTCACTGCAGCAAGCCAGTCGACGAGCATACAATACATCAACATGTAGAGCATGCCAGGCGCAATTGCGCGCATCGCAAATAGCTCCAAAATCATTGCGGGCGACGACAAGACCGCAGACGATACAGTTACGGACTACTTTGGCTGCCTCACGCGACTTCACATCCTCCACCGCAAGGAGGAAAGAGAAGCCATCTGATGAAGACGCCAAGAACGATATTGTTGACAAGCCAAGGCAGGAGGAGGACAGTAGCGAGGCGAAGGGCAAGTCATCCGAGCCAGCGCCGATCCCAGGCGCGGCAGATGGTAAGGCAGCAGCAGCAGGCAGTGGAGGCAATGGTGGCGAGTCGGGATCTGGATATAGTGATGGTGGTGGGCGTGGCAAGCGTGGCAAGATAGCCGGAAGAGAGCTTGTCAAGCCATCAGTACCCGATGTCTACCCCCAAGTGATGGCGATACCCATCGCACAACGACCATTATTTCCTGGCTTCTACAAGGCGATCACGATTAGGGATCCAAACGTCATTGCGGCAGTCCAGGAGCTACTGAAGCGAGGTCAGAGCTACGTGGGTGCATTCCTGCTCAAGGATCAGGATAGCAGTCAAGATGTTATCAATGACCCAAGCGAGGTGTACGATGTAGGTACATTTTGTCAGGTGACGGGCGCATTCCCAGCGGGTCATGGTGAGGACAGAGCTTTACAGGCTGTATTGTACCCACACCGAAGGATAAAGCTCAGCGAGCTCATACCACCAAACCGCAGCCCACCTGCTCCACCAATGCCGGAGCAGGCACCTGCGGCCAACATCGAGGCCACGCCATCAGAAGAGCAGGGCGAGCAACCGGAGACAGACGAACAGAAGGGTGGTGTAATCGCCAGCTTCGAAGAGCAGAACAAGGATGCCGAGCAGCAAAAAGCGCTCGAGGTAAACTCCCCAACCGCCTTCCTCCGCTCCTGGCCTGTCAGTCTCGTCAATGTGGAGAACCTCGCCGACGAGCCATTTGATAAAAACGCACCCACCATTCGCGCCCTAATCTCCGAGATCGTGAACACCTGCAAAGACATCGGTAACGTCAACCACCTCTTCCGCGACCACGTCAGCGCATTCGCCATGTCCCAATCCGCAGCGAATATCGCCGACGAGCCAGCCAAACTAGCCGACTTTGCAGCCGCAGTCTCGGGAGGCGAGATGGAGGAGGCGCAAGCTGTACTTGCAAGCTTGAACATCGAGCAACGGCTCAGCAAAGCACTAGAGGTGATCAAGAAAGAGCATATGAATGCCCAGCTCAGCAGCAAGATAAGCAAAGATGTCGAGTCTAAGATACAGAAGCGACAGAGGGAGTACTGGCTCATGGAACAAATGAAAGGTATCCGCCGCGAGCTGGGCCTTGAGAGCGACGGCAAGGACAAATTGGTCGAAAAGTTCAAGGAGAAGGCTGCTAAGCTCGCCATGCCTGACCCAGTGCGAAAGGTCTTCGACGAAGAAATCAATAAGCTTGCGCATCTCGAGCCGGCGGCTAGTGAGTTCAACGTTACACGGAATTATCTCGACTGGTTGACGCAGATACCATGGGGTCAGCGCTCGGCAGAGAACTTTGGCATCAAGCATGCACGAGAAGTCCTGGATGAGGATCATTATGGTCTTAAGGATGTCAAGGACCGTATCCTGGAGTTCATCGCTGTCGGTAAGCTGCGTGGGACTGTGGAGGGAAAGATCCTGTGTATGGTTGGGCCTCCCGGTGTGGGCAAGACGTCGATCGGGAAGTCCATTGCTCGAGCGCTGAATCGACAATACTACCGCTTCTCCGTCGGTGGTTTGACGGATGTGGCTGAGATCAAGGGACACAGAAGGACATATGTTGGGGCTTTGCCTGGTCGCATCATTCAGGCGTTGAAGAAGTGCCAGACTGAGAACCCGCTGATTCTGATCGATGAAGTGGATAAGATTGGGAGGGGTCATCAAGGTGATCCTTCTAGTGCTTTGTTGGAATTACTGGATCCGGAGCAGAATAACAGTTTCTTGGATCATTATATGGATGTGCCGGTTGATCTCAGCAAGGTGCTTTTCGTCTGCACGGCGAATATGCTCGATACTATTCCGAGGCCGTTACTGGACCGTATGGAAGTTATTGAGCTATCTGGATATGTGGCCGATGAGAAGATGGCTATTGCTGAGAGATATCTTGCACCTCAAGCCAAGGAGACGTCTGGTTTGAAGGAGGTAGATGTGGAGCTCGACAAGGAGGCCATTCACGAGCTGATCAACAAATACGCTCGCGAGTCCGGTGTCCGAAACCTGAAAAAGCAGATCGAGAAAGTCTACCGCAAGTCCGCACTCAAAATCATCCAAGATCTCGGCGAAGACGCCTTCAGCGAAGAGAAAGCCTTGACACCAGAAGGCAAAGAAGCCCAAGAGGCCTCCAAAGAAGACCAAACCGACGCCAAAGACACTCCAAGTGAAGCGCAAATGGAGAAGGAAACAACAGAAATCCCTCGCGTTGCGCTCAAAGTCCCCGACTCTGTCCACGTACGCATCGACAAGGACAACCTAAAAGACTACGTCGGCCCACCCGTTTTCACCGCTGACCGCCTCTACGACACCACGCCCCCCGGTGTGGCTATGGGCCTTGCCTGGACGCAAATGGGCGGCGCAGCCTTGTACGTCGAGTCCATCCTTGGCGAAGCCCTAACATATTCGTCCCGCCCCTCCTTCGAACGGACCGGCAACTTGAAAGCCGTGATGAAAGAAAGCACCCTCATCGCCTACTCCTTCGCCAAAGGCCTCGTAGCCCGCCGATTTCCCGGCAATAAGTTCTTCGATAAGGCGAAGGTGCATTTGCATTGTCCTGAGGGGGCGGTGCAGAAAGATGGTCCCTCCGCGGGGATCACCATGGCGACGAGTCTGTTGAGTTTGGCGTTGGGGAAGGAGGTTGATCCGACGGTGGCGATGACGGGGGAGTTGACTGTTACGGGGAAGGTGTTGAGGATTGGCGGGTTGAGGGAGAAGACTGTCGCGGCTAGGAGGGCGGGGGCGAGGATGGTGGTGTTTCCGAGGGATAATTTGAGTGATTGGATTGAGTTGCCTGAGGTGAGTTTTCGTCTCGTCTGTAGACTTGCCACTGAGAGGCATTGTGACTGACTTTGTGTTCGCAGAATATTAAGCAGGGGATTGAAGGTAAACCTGTCGATTGGTATTCGGATGTTTTTGATCTGGTCTTCCCTGGTGTGAACGCCGAGGAAGTGAATCAGCTGTGGAAGAAGGAGTTACGGAGGCCATCGAAGGAGGAACGAGAGGCGGAGGAGCGGGATAGTGGGTTCGAGAGCGACTAGGGGGATCATAGAGGGATGACTTTTGTTGTGAGGGTCTCGCATTGTGTACTGTATGGGAGACGATGTTTGGAGAAGCTAGCTGGTGGTGTTGTGGTGTTCTGTCGTCAAATGTGCATACTCGTTGTGCCAGCAGTGGTCATTAAGTGCAAGATCAAAAACATAGAATTCCGCTCTTGTATATAGATGTGCGTAGTTCGTCATTAGTGCTTCGCACGAGCCGAGCTATGCTGCAGGACCTGGTTAATGTAGATGCTTATGCTTCCGACTTCGTGCCATTCTGTAGCGTTAGTATCTTACATGGTTGGTCTTCTTGAGTTAGGACTCGAAGACTTGGACGAAACCGAGTTTTTGTCAGAAAACGATCTTCCTCAGTCAATATCTCAAGCCTCGAGAAGCCGCTGGGCTGAAATCGTGCTGGTGCGTAGCGTCTTGCAATCGGCTACTGTTGTGCTAGACAATAGTCCATCGAGCAATGCAAAGCAGGCACATTGTGTCGCACAGCATATCCTTCAGCCATCGATGGCTGCACATAAAGCAACCGGTATGCCGGCTCTCCCTCGTGCGTCGGTCCGAAGGCATCGACAACCGAACGGCAGGACCTTCCCTAATAACTATCCGGTGAATTATGCACCAATCATCTGCGGCATGCGATCACAATCAACTGCTAGCAGATCACGCTGATCAAGAGCGTAATAGGCAGGACTTCTGCCCGACATGCCTGCTTCGCGGGAGGATCGCCACGCGTATCTCAACCTCTGTTTGTCAAGGCTCCGGGGTACAAATGCATGTACCTGGCAGCACGAATGCGGGAGGATGAGTTGATGCATATGCCGTTTGTGGTAGGGATTGCATGTCGTGTGCTGCAGTGAGCGCTGGACGAGCCTGCATTAAAGTCGCGGCGTTGTGCTCTCGCAACGATTTCGTTCCGTTATCTGATTACAGTATGTATGAACTGAATCGACGACCGGTGACAGCAACTCTATTTTGCGCACTAACCACGTTCTTGTCTTTCAGCTAGCCACGAGCTCTGTGGGTCCTGCTAGCGCCTCTGCCGTCACACAATTTTGACTCTGGAGATCGATATGCCGGCGGTTATACTGTATCAATACACTATACTCGATCTATATGGCACCGCACCAATTCTCGCCGATCGAACAGACTTGACTGGTCAACGTGTGAGACTTGTGCTCAGGCAAAGGCGTCAGAGTTGTACTTCGTGAATTCCCACCTGAACTCACACATATTGCAATCTCAAATCAATAGCCATGTAGCTGGCGATCTTAGGCACGACTTTAGGGAAAGTCGGGTTGATTGGAAGCAGATCGGTCGTCGGAGGCGTACAGCTGTTACCGGACGAATTGCTCCATCCGTTAGAGGCACGCAGCCCCGTCTTCAGATATGTCGACGGGCAATGCCACTGCGGACTGACGATCCCCTGCAGCTTACCGCCCACCCGTTTTCCGTACCATAACGGTGGGACCAACTTAGTATGGACGACTTTCGCAGCAGCTTGCGGCTTTCGCAACTGGTCGAGATAGAGCGTAAGACATGTAGAAGTGATAAGGTAGCTCCCGTTAGCGTCTGCCTGTCACGGCCTCCCACCTGGCGCAATCGAGCGCCGAAAGCACAAGCCTTCTGTCGAACGTGTCCGATCGGATCATCTGTAGCAAAGAGGGGCAGCAATGACACTTTCCCGGGATCCCTGCAGACATCGTCCGTGAGAAAGGTCTCTGCGACTTTGTCTGTCTTCGATCAACCAGCTTCAATAATCATCCTTTCCCAGCCGTGGTGAACTCGAAGCTTATAAGCTTTCTCCTCCTCCAATTGTCTCGGCGTATCTGCGCTGTCGTCTGGATAGGCTCGGTCATCACCTGCACGTGCTCCTGCACGCCCCGAACCTACGCCGTGCTTCTCCGCATACGCGACTTTAAATTGTCGGCGTCCTCCTACACATCATGCTTGTCTAGAACATCGCAACAGCCACGCAGCTGATTGTGGCACGCTCGATTGATTACGTCTGGACATCTCCGGTGGCTCACGGACAGGTCTAGCTCGTCCTGCCCACCGATAGGGTGCCCACGAGGCTCTTGAGTGCGCGCAAGGCTGTCGCGCGCTGAGCATTGGACGATCATCAGATTTCTTCTTTTCTCCCCTATCGTGAGCTATGCGCCTTTCGCCCAGAGCTGCGCACTTCGATTGCTAGAGACTCGAAGATAGCCAGTCGCATGGCTCCGGGACGCGAGCGCGACGACTCCGATGGCGGCGACGACTCTCAGGGCGAGGAGAACCTGAGCACTTTGGCAGCCCAAGAGCAGCTTCGAGCACGTCTGTCTCGCAAACGCACGAAGACTGGCTGTTTGACATGTCGCAAGCGTCGTATCAAGTGTGGCGAAGAGCGACCCGTTTGCCGAAACTGCATCAAAAGTAAGCGGCACTGCGAAGGCTACAACCAGCGTGTCGTCTTCAAGCAGCCTTTCTACGACTTTCAGGCTGCACCAAATGGCGCCGCTCATATCACGTTCCAGGCTGGACTGCTACCAGGGCCAGCGACACCGTTCTATGCTGGATTTCCACCACCGGCCAGCGGAAATCTTGTGATGGCACAGCTGCAGCCACGGCCGGTAGAGCAGTTCGTACCCCATGGTGACCAAACACACTCGTTTCCTGCGCCAGCTCAGCCGCAGATGTATCATCAGGGGCCTTACTCGAATGGCGGTGCAAACCATGGCGCGGCGACACTATTGCCAATTCAGCTGTTGCAACCACACCCGCCTGTACCTCTGCCAGTAGCCATGCAAGCCGCGTCTATGCCCGCGGCACATCACTATCCAGCTCCACAGTACACCGGCTACAATTCCGAACCTGTCCACGCACAGTTCCCTCCCAACGGCTTCAGCCCTAATGCTCAGAGCCATCAATTTGTGTCAGCGCCATTGATTCCTGCGCAACCCCCGCCAATGGAGCAGTTGCAACCTCCGCAGCTTAAGCAGATATATACACCTCCCCTGTCCGCTACGCAGTCGGAGAGGACACCGCCTTCCCGGGCGGCCACTGGCCCCAGCTTCCGCCGGTCAATGCAGAGTCCGCGGTCGGGTCAACAGCAGTATCCAGTGCGGGCTGCCACGCTCAACGGAGACCAACGAAATTATCCTCCTCCCCAGGGATATGCTCTGGGCCATCCTGTCACACCAGAATATTATGAGCATGAGACGCACCTCCCTTTGTCTGAGTCGCCAACCCAACTTTTAAGCCAAGCAGCCGTGGAGGTTCACGATGAGGATTACTATGATGTTCAGTCAGACGAAGAGATGGACATCGACACGAAGGCGATGGTCGCAATCGGCCGGACGTCCAATGGCCGGCTTAGTCGAATCCTGGACGGCAACCACATTACGATACATGATTCGCATACCAGGAGATACGATACATTCTTGTACGATGGTATGGTGGAGAAATACCGAGTCGAGGAACATGCCAACCCACTCAATAATCCAGCTACCGCAAGAGTCTTTGCACACTTCATATCCGTGACAGGTCCGAGCCTCTCCATATTCGAACGACATCCTCGGAATACATCTGTACTCTTCACGACGGGGCAGATACCAGTAACGCAGCAAGGCCTCTGGACATACACTATGCCGCTCGCAGCATTGCGCAATCAAGGTCTCCTCCATGCCATGCTAGCACTCGCGAGTCTACACATCGCGAGACTCACCGGGGCATCAGTCACACCTTCAATGCAGCATTACGCGTGGGCTCTCAAGCGAATCCATAGCTGTGTTGGTGACCAGAAGAAACGTCTCAGGCTCACGACCGTGGCAGCTTCAATGCTTCTAGGCTTTTACGAGATTATGACGGCGGATCATATGAAGTGGAATACTCACCTAGCAGGCTCGAAGCAATTGTTTGTAGAGACAGATTTCGTGTACATGATGCAACAATTTCGGCATATGAAGCTCGATGCCCGTGCTCGAGAGCAGATGGGACAGCGGCGGCAGTCGACTTCACCGATCAGTCCGTCACCCGACGAGCTGCTGGATCAGATACCAGATGTTGACGAGCGAGTCATCAGTACTTTCGCCGGAAGAGAAGTAAGGTACGGCGATCACGGGCAGGTCATGACGCCAATCTCATCGATCCCACAAGAGCTGGATCTGAGCAAGTTTGAGATCCTCAAGGACCTGTACTGGTGGTACTGTAAACAGGATGCCTATCAGAGCATCATTAGTGGCAACCCTCTCCTGTAAGTCTCCGCACAGAGTCTAGATATCGTGTTCTGACCATAGCTAGGATGGACTTTAGCCGCTGGGCGGATTGTCCCCCGCGAGCACAGCTTGGCAGGCCAGACGCTATATATGGCACTTTCGATCACCTCGTACTTCTCATTGGACGTATCGCGGATTTCGCAGCACGCGATCGAACCCGAAAGCTCAAGCAGATGGAGCTGAACGGTGGACAATGGAGACCTCCATCTGGTATGCAGATGCCTGCACCACCTCAAGTCCCTCCCGCAACATCGGTGTCGGCCAATGATGGGGGGATAACGAATGGACACCATATGCCGTACGCACCCACGCAGGCGACACCAGCACCAGTACCAGCGCCACCAATGTTCTATGGCATGGCCCCTGCACCGAATCCGCATGTACAAATGCCCTCTGCTTATCATCCAGCCTTTACTACGCCGATGTCAAAGAAGGCCACCCCGCACGACCCATTCGTAGATATCCATATGGCGACGCAGGCCGCCCTCCACGAATATGGTTGTATACGAGCCGCCTTGCATGAATTCCAGGCCAGCCTCGGTGAAGCATTCCAACCGCTCTCGCCAGAGTTCCAGCTGCCGTACGAGACTCCCTTTGGACTATCTGTGTGCTATCGATCTTTCGATATTGCTTGCCTGTGGGCCATATACAATATGACCATGATCATCGCCATCCGATCACATCCTCATATGCCTCCAGCAGCTCACATGGCAGCTGGCGTCGCAGCGAAGGATACCAAGCATCACGCAGAGGAGATTGGCCGTATAGTCGCTGGAATCGTACCCGGACCGGCAGACCAACCTCTCAATCCTAGTCTTGGCGCAGCATTGTGCGAAAGCTGTATGCCATCCTTTTTCGCTTCGGTACAGTATCTTGACCATCAGCAACGAATTGTGACAGTCGATCGCATCTATACCATCGCACATCGGACTGGGTGGGGTACGGCAGAGCTGATTGCTAGTGGATGTGAGACAGCTTGGGTCAAGGCCGCAGAGGCAGGCCGAGGGCCACCGTATCAGAGACTCTTTGCTCGGAAGCAGCAGAGTGATGACCCTAGACTGAATGGAAGCTGGGAGCGGTTGGACCCTAACGCGAGTCCAGATGACAAGGATGATACTGATCGGCGGCATGTTCGTCGCAAGGCTCAGGCGAGGTTGAATTGGGCTATTGGGATCTTAGGAACTGCTGAAGATAAGCCCTTGATTTAGGCACATTTAGCTTCTCGCGGCTGAAAATGTCCTAGCCAACCATAGTACGAGAATAATACTGACGATGTCCGAGTTTCAATTACTGACCACACGATCTTGCGGCAGACCACAACAAGCCGGATTTCGTCCCAATAGATTCAAGTAGTCATCATTGAGAACAATGTTGAGAGTACCTAGCTCGAACGCGCATAGATGCAGAAACTCGGTCTAACGGCCTTTGGGAGTCCTCTCTACTGGCATCTCCGCTATCTCGTAGTCACCATGTCGGCCCAGCTCGACCGGGTCATGCTTGCTCGACATTTCATACACCTCGTGCAAATTACCGGGAGCTTCATGTAGGCCCAAGCCTGTCTTACGAGGAAGATGATGCCATCCTGTATACGCGTCTTCAGAGTCTGACTTCCCATCGACCACAGTCAATCGCTCCATACTAGCCGCCTTGCCTTTCCTTGCCTTCTTTCGTCGGAGCAGTATGAGTATGAGTATCCCAGCGATCAGTGCCAAGCCGAGCACAACACCGACCGCTGCGCCAGCGATGGTTCCTGTCGATGCTTTGCTGGCTGGTCTCGCAGCGGACGTTGTGCTGTTGCTGCCGCTTTGCTGGGGTACGCTACTGGTACTGTTCGAGCTCGGTGATGTGGCATTACTGTTGACAGTAGGCTCTTTGGAGCATTGCCCGCCAACCGAGATCAGCCTGGACTCGGTAGTTGGGTTTGCTTGCCATAGTGTGAAAGTGCGAGCGTCTAAGTCAACCATGAGATAGGCTGCCGATAGAAACTGCATACCAATTATAGGCGGGTCATTTGCATTGACGCCGTCGAGAGGATCGATGAGTACCACGTCTGCTGAGCTGTTGCTTTGCCGTGCACCACTCGGGTCGATATACTGATCAGGAACCACAAGTACGTCGTTCTTGACCCTGAAACTGAGATCACTGTTGAGCACAATCGTGAGGTCGCCCGAATAACTGTTCTTGTCAGTGCTTCTCGCGCCTGCTGGAAAGCTCTGGACCCGACTCACACGGAACCAACTTCGTATGCTGGAGTGTACCAGTACATGCCGGATGTTCGATTGACCGCGAAAGTCTCCGTCAGGTTCTCGAATCGTGAATAGTAAGGATTATCCGGCATGTTCATCACCACGGGAAAGTCGGGCTGTATACATGCTGACAAACTGGACGGCGACAGAACGCTCGATGTTGTGCCATTTGGAAAGTCAAGTATCACGTCCGTGAGTGTCAAGTACATTCCAGACGGACAGGGAGCAGTCCAGTTCAACAGTGTGGAAGTTATGTTCGGTCCTGTGGTCTTTGCTGCATCATAGCCTCCGAACACGATTTGTCCGTCCATTGCCACGTTTGTATTTGGATTGTCGATACCCCACCAGTATGAGTACGTCCTAGACGCGATGTGACCTGCATCTACCAGCGCATTTAAGAGAGTCGAATTTGCGCCAAGTCCAATGTTCGCTTGGCTATCAAATCTGCCACCAAAGTCAAAGCCAGGCATACCGAGAGGGAAGTCCGTGAGCGATTGATTGCCAATACTGAGCGAATCGGTGACCCAGTCGTTATACCATATGTGTGTGCCGACCGCCCGGGCGATGTCGCTCGCGTCTCCCCCTGCTGCAGCTACGTCCAAATGGCTGTGAGAAGTCAATGAAGTGGCTGGATTGTACTGTCCGCCGCGCTGAGATAGACATTGTGCTGGCGTTGACCCATTGAAGCAAAATGGCGAGCTCGTGTTGTATACCCAGGTATCATTGAGATATCTGGCGACTCAACGTTAGATGTGGATCGTACAGCTCGAGATGAGTTGCTCGTACGCGTGAGGTAAGAACGATATGTTTTGCGCTGGTGTTCCTACTGCGATGGGAATGCCTCTCTTGCTGTGCCCATTGGACAACGAAACGTCTGTGATCGGAAGAGCGAAGGCTTGTGACTTTGGACAGTCACAAATGACAAGGTGTGGTATCGAGAAGGACAGAATGGTGGCAACATGCTGCCACGGAATTCGTAAGACATGCATACTGTATTCCTCGAACGAAGAGAGCAAAGGACACAACTGTCAACAAAAGACTTGGAAGCGTCCGGCACCCAGGTAGTAAAGTAAAGTAGCAACCGGCACCGCCAGCACTTCCTGTGGCCAGGAAGTGGTCGCATAGCCTTGTGGACGCTGTGCTCTTCGTGCGAGCGACAATAGATTGGCTAGGACTCTACTCCAAGCAGCCCAACCACGCTGCGCCATTTGGACAGCCAATAAGAGAATTGTGGGAGCTGTGCAGGCGCTGAGCCATCGATTGCTATCTTGCTGTGCCGCCAGGGTGCGTTCAGAGTGCTGAACGCTTTGGGTGCGTCGTTCACAATGACCAGAACTGTCACGGCATGTACTGTACTTGGTATCCATGTCATGCTAAATCGCTGCGACCGTGAAATGTGATAGAATTCTGTTTGCATAAATGCATCGTTGCGAAGGAACGGACTTCTGCGGCTGTTCGGTGATGAATGTGACTGCCCTTGGGCGGTCGTGTCGTCCCCGGTAGCACGGCAAAGATTTCATCTAGGTGCATCAAGTTCACACTTGTGGCTTGGGCGGGCTTTTCAAGGCGGCGGATGATTCGCTGAAATTGGCAGGCGAGGTTACAGCCCGCGCCCCGTAGCCGCTGAACAATGTCAATTGATTTCTCCTGCCTTTCGCCATCGGACTCATCATAATCTTGTCCCTGATAACGGGCTCGCGGCTGCCAGAAAATCACTCGAGTATGGAGTGGACTTGATAAAGTACAAGACCGACTTCAAGTTGCCCAGATAACACCAGAGGACCGGCTAGAAGCCCATTCCGCGAGAGTATCACGCCAAGCAAGCTACGAATGCGGACGAAAGACATGCGCTCAACCCCGAAGAGGTTGATTGTTGCACTGGCTGCCTCATGTGCATTCGTCATATTCTACTTGACTTGGTCAGCTGGGGAGGATAGAAGCTCTTTCTCGTTCAGTAAGCTATGCCAATGAGTACGATGATAGCATTTCTCTAAGCAACACACAGGAGATCACAATGATGCGGTGCTGAAGGGCAGACGACAGGCCATCGAAGGAGCATTTCAACATGCCTGGGATGGCTACTCTGAGCACTGCATGGGCCATGATTCGTTGCATCCAGTCAGCAACACTTGTGATGACGATTTTGGCGGGTGGGGCGCCACAGCTATCGATACATTGTCAACTGCCATATTGTTTGAGAAAGAAGACATTGTCCGGCAGATCATGATATTCATCTCCAAGCTCGACTTCGCAAAAGTCACTGGCGGGTCCAGTATTCAGCTCTTCGAGGTGACGATTCGCCACTTTGGGAGTATGTTATCCGCGCATGACCTGCTACATGGACCTTTCTCGCATCTAGTAAACGACAAGACGCTGCGCGAGAGCTTGTACACTCAGATGGTCTCGCTTGGAGCAGCTCTAAGCTGTGGATTCAGTACGCCTTCGGGCATCCCACGAAATTGGGTAGATCCAACGAAATGCGCTACAGACGATGGTCAATCAAATACAGTCGCTGGTGCTGGATCTCTCATACTAGAGTTCGCTAAGCTGTCTGAAATCACAGGCCATCAGCTGTACGTGGAACTCGCTAAACGAGCTGAGCAGCACCTTGTAGATCCCCACCCAGTCGAGATGATGCCGTGGCCTGGAGTGTTGGGCTCATTTGTCAGAGTTGCAGATGGGCAACTGATGGACATGAAGGGGAGTTGGGGTTCTTTAGCAGACTGTTCGTTACCACGCTTCCTCTACGCTCAGAGTACAAGCTGATATGTTCAAGCATTTTACGAATATCTGCTGAAGGCATATATATACGACAGTAAAGCATACGCTCCTTACCTCGAACGATGGAAACTCGCTGCCGACTCCACGATTCGTTATATAGCGTCGCATCCCTACGGCCAACCACAGTACACTTTCCTACCATATTGGGAGGGGAAGAAGCTGTTCAACGCGATGGATTCACTGTCTTGGTTTGCGGGCGGCAACTTCATCCAAGGTGGTATGATCACCAACAATCAAACCCTTATCGATTTTGGTCTTTCAATTGCCGATACTGGTGGTGCGATGTACCAGATGACGGCCACAGGACTCGGTGGCGAATTCGTCGTATGGACTGATGATTGCAATGATGGTTTTCGAGAACAGTTCCACTTAGAGGACTGCCACGCGAACAACTCCATACAGATCACAGGTGCAGAATTCAAGCTGAGGCCGGAAGTCATCGAAAGCTGGTACTATGCCTACCGAGCCACGAAGAATCCTAAGTATCGAGAATGGGCATGGTCGGCTTATCGGGCTATCGAACGAGTATGCAAGACCGGATCTGGTTTCAGCGCAATCAGCGACGTGAACGCTCCTAACGGCGGCAAGAAGCTTGATCAGATGGAAAGCTTTGTATTCGCTGAGATCTTCAAGTATCTCTGGCTGATGCATCTACCTGTACGTGCCGTTCAAAGACCTCACTGGCGGCAGGGCTAACGTGCTCTAGGATCATAATGCAGACTTCCATATGCAAGATAGCCGTACTGGAGAGCACAATACCTGGGTGTTAAATACTGAAGCTCATCTGTTCAAAGTGGCCGGTCCGCCAGTTTGAGCCGCACCACGAGGCAGTCGCCTCGTCAGGGACATAGTCCATGACCAGGCCACACCCAATTAACCACAGGTAGCGTGCCACTGCTGCACCAAATCCTTCAGTTGGCAGTCGGTACACCACTGGGCGCCGCCCTCCCGCCGGCCAAGATGGACCAGGTTCTGCCAGGGATGCCGCGGCATGAGGAAAGTCAGCAGAGACCTTGATGCCGATCTTGTACTCGGTGTACAGCAAGCACATGCTGCAAGCATTGGTTCATGCTACAAATGCTACGACAACACCAACTGCGAGGACTATCATCGGCCAACGCAATTGCGACTCATGTGCAGCACTTCCAGCCTGCCTTGGCGCCGTATAATTGAATCTGGCGTCAATGCATCCGTCCTCTTGTACTGGGAAGGCATACGTGGCTGGATTACTGGCATTTGACGGGATGTACCCGTCGGCAATACCTCTGGTACAGGGGCAACGTCAGCATACACTGCCAGACCATGTACATGATTGCTTTGACTCACTTCCGATAACTCCAAGTATCTATATCCCACTCCGTCTTCCACGTCCAGAATATCCAGCCTATGGATGACTGGTTCGCACTACTCGGCGAATAGGCGACCATTTGAGCTTCTGCTAATAGTCTATACCACGTTCGTCTTGCCTGGTCATCGCTATGGCTCTGTGGCGAGGTCACGGTGCTGGCTCGAATATCTGTTGCATGTTTGATTAGCGACTATTAATCCAAGTCATAGTCTAGCGTCTAAGACACACTGGTTTGCAAACTCCACTCGCCGACCACTGTTGGTGGAATGCCACTGGACGGATTTTTGAGGGTCTTGCCCGTGTTGCAGATCGCGTCGATGATTTGCGACTGTGTGAGATTGTTGAGGGGCGCGAAAGCGTAATATTGGTGTGTATCGACTGTGAGACTAGTCGCAGGCTCGTTGGATGTGCTATCCGCCGGGTTGTAATCGATCCAATACTGAGGACCCCAAAAAGCGTCTAAAGGTCTTGTTAGCTTACGCACATGTGTTGTGTTCGGTTTGCGGATCGCTAACCATGTATCGCCACGTTGGGTAAGCCTTCTTCACTACTATTATGTACTACGCTGACCCCATCCGCATAGAAGTTTTTCAGCTGCTCCATCGAAAACCGTGCCGAGCCTACTCGAGGTTCGTTGAGCAATTCGATACCAACGACGGTATCGTCATACTTTGGTTGAGAGAACTCCTCGGTCAAATTTCGAAGCACGTTCAGACTCCTGTCTGAATTTGAGGTATTCGTGGCAAACAAGACAGGTCCGATCAAGCCAGAGTTATCCTGGCCATTTTGTGAACCCGGCGCACCATGAAGGTCGACATATACTGACAGTTTGAACTCTCTAGCCCATTGCACAGCTTGTATCAAGTATGGATATTGGCCGGACACATAAGGCTCGCTGTCAAGGATATCGACAGCCCAGAACCCGAGTGGAATACGGACCGTATTCAAGCCAGCCTTTCGGATATCGTTAAAGTCATTTCTGCTGTAGAAGCCTTTCCAGTGTTGCTGTAGCGTTGAAAGACACTTCTGTTTGCCAAGCAAGTTGCAGAGGTTCCACTCGTCTGCGGCATTGGTTGACTCGTATAAGGACGGTGTGATCCATTGTTCAGTAACGAACCAGCCCCCCAAGTTGACGCCCTTAATGGCTTCTCCTAAGGTTGTAGCAGCTGCCCATTGGAGTGCTAGACTAATCAAGAGCAGAGACGTTGCTCCGGCGTAGCATTTAAGCATTCGTTGTTATATTCGGGCGTAGTGATACTGCTGGCGATAGAAGTTCTTGCGTGATGTGAAAGATTACGGTCCGCACACGCCATGATTGCCTTGCACGTCCAGCATGTTTAGTGCTTGGGTGGTGTGGCGAAGAATCAGCCAAGTACATATCGGACGTCATCTTCGATAATTCGCTTGGCGGTCACATCTCTTCTGCGATTCCGACCTCCCTGGCATCATTAGCTCACGCACCAATGACAGCTACCATCGCCGCAACAATCGGTGCACGGTACACTATTCCTAGGACTACACAAAACGCATCTCATGAAGTAAGAGCGCGATTGACGGTAGGAAATTCAAAAGGCGCGCGAAAGTGCAACGCCGTTGGCGAGGTGGAGAGGACTCCTTTTCGATATCCATTCTCACCAGACTCGGCGCTCGTTATCTGCACAGCAAGAAGTAGAATAGCTCCAAACCATGGCGGGACGCCTGAGATACGCAGCTGTCTGCCAGTAGTAGAAAGCACATACGTGTTATAGCGTGGTGCCGCTCCTGCCTTCGAGCAGCCGGTATTCAGCACGATATTACTGGAGTAGCCTGCTAAGCTCTCCACACTCGAAATAGGGACTTGCATATCAGCATCAAACCCTGCATATAGCAATGCGAGATCTGGATCATGGTGTCTCCGGTATGTTTCGGACCCTACTGTCGTGAGGCCAGCCGCAGCACGCGGAAGTGTCCGATATAAGGAATGGGTAGAAGACACCAACACTGGCCTTGAGCCGCCGCTTGCGATGTGCGATAGTTGATCTATACTACAGGAGCTCAACACAATCACCATACTGTACAGTACCGTCGCAAATATATCTTTGTCCGGCCCAGTAGCTCCTGCTTGCTCACTGTGTTTCGCGCATGTGCAGGGCATGACCTTGTTACCAGATGCTATTCGAATGAAACGACTGCTCGTTGGCCGGCCTACATGGGACTCGAGGGGCAGCATCGCGGCGTGGCACTCACAACCATCATTGGCGTGAGGTTTGTTCATTAATCGTTACAGCCGATATGGCTCAAGGCGCACCAAAGAATCCGGCTTGCTGTCTGGATATTAGCAATATATTTCAACGTGAAGTACGGAATCGACTTACCAAACACTGCTCGCAAGGATCTCCGCTCTCGCCGTGCATCACGAAGCCGTTACAGTTCCGGGCTGCGTAATAGTAGCATCGATGAGAATTCTTCTTCCTCGTCACTGCCAATGGTGCCGGTGGCAACGGCTTCTCTCGTGGTAGGGGCTTGTCTGTCAAGTGCCTCAATGAAGTAGTCGAAAATGATGTTTGCAACCGTGGCAGAGATGGTCGACGACGGGCTTCAGAGTGGGTGGAAGTCATTGGAGAAGCTGCGCGTAACGGTATCTCTGTAGCATGAGGATGCGTCCGTCGGTTGAAGATGTTGCGAAACTTATGGCCTTTGCCAAAACTCGACTTAAACGACCTTATCGAGCCATGATCGTCGGATGCTTCCTCGAGTGCAGGCGTTAAAGGGCGAGGCAGCGTTTGACCCAATCGGACGTCAAGACCGGAGTAGTTCGAGTTGACGGAAATGCTACTATTTGCAGAGTGCAAGCTCGAGGTAGAGGCTGGAAGGGGTGGGCTGTCTCTGAAGAGGTTGTCCAAGTATGCTGGACGTGTACCGCAAGTCGACGGTCTGGGTAACATCATCACCATGTTGATGGCTGCGTCAATCGATGCAAGTCAACAATGTTGAAGCCGGTAGAGAAGTAGTTGTCCGTGTTGCCGCAGTTCGAATGATATATTTGGGATCGTTTGATTTGTGTGCAGTGGTGACTCGGTAAGGACTGTCAGTGAAATGTTGCAAGTAGAGCAACCCTACGAGGTGCGAGCGGTCGTAATAATAATGGCCTTGCTGGAGGAGGACAAGGAGGTAAACCACCTTGGATAGGCTACGGCAGATTCTAAAGTCAAATGCCTGATCATCCTGCACGAATACGCTGTACGGGTGCTCTCCTCTCCACTCGAGCCCGAGCGACTTGAGTCCTTCCAGTAGTGAACCGGCCGATCAACCTGCCCCCAGGCATGCAAAGCGCGGGTTCAAACCATGGCGTCGGTGCAGATTGTGCCCAAAGCATGTTCCTTGCGCAGCAGCTTCAGCACAGCCGTCTTTAGTTGAGGTTCGCGGGATGCACGCTATAGTCGCGTACGTGAAAAGCAGGGGAAGTGGCAGTTCGCGCTTGTTCATCCCGCTGCAAAGCCGTCTGATCCTCCGGGTAGTATATGCAGGGCGTTACGGTTATTAATATGTGCAAGGTTAGCATTGTGCAGTAACGTAGGCTACGAGCGAGTGTGACTTGAGTCGGACGTCCTCGTCCTGACTGGGTCTGTTATTATGATTGCTCAAAATACGACCAGTAGCTCGACAAGCTCTCCGGTCTCAAACAACGCGGCCACGAAGTCAATATACCCCCTTGAATCACTTGCCCGGGTCCAAAGGGAGCTACCATGCGGTTGAGTCAAGAGCTTCCGGGCCTTACGGCATGGTAGAGCCTAGGTTCGCCGACAGTCCGACTTTGACCAGGCTCTGTCAAGGACTGGAACTAGTATGTTCATGCATAGTAGAGATGATCAACGTTCATGCTGATGAATTTCTGATCGCATGTTAGCCATGGCATAGGCAGGATATTTATTGGGACTTGTACGGTCAAGTAGATCCGGTCACCAATATATCCGCTCCCTTATCAAAGCACGACTCATCCTTCTTGTGAGTTCAAGTCGAAGGCGCAAGAAGAAGGGGCTTCGGTACCTGAACGGGACTTCCCAAACTCTGTTTGCCCACAATGCAGATCATCAGGACGGATTAGGCCAAGGTGGCCCGAAGTGGATATGTCTCACACGCCACCTGGCTCAAAGAGTTCGACCAACTCCACCACAGCATAAGCACTGAAATTTGTGCATACCGAGCCAAAAGTCATTAGACGTGACACAAGGTCAACATGTCGATCGACTCGTGTTCCTCAGGTACAGCAAGGCATATTTAAGTGTCAATTACGATCATCGCGCTCGAGCACATACAGCAGCAAATGCTCGTCTAGCGTACCTCGCGTGCACACCCTGAATTGCACCCATGCCACCAAACCTGAATGGCTCTCGCTGAGTCGCCAGCATCCTCCGTCCGCTCGTACGGTCCTGACAGTCATCATCAACTCTGTTGGCCTGTGCACTCGCCAGCGAAGCGAGGTAGACAGAGTGGCCATCCATCTTCGCCTACAATAGTTGCGAGTACGACCAGCATCGTGGCCCGTGGGCGAAGAGAGTTTTGCTGAAACACCTGTCACCAACTCTCGCGCATACCAACTGTGCGATGTAAGGTCGACAGTAGTGGCCCGGCCTCTCGCCACATGTGATGAAGCTTCAAGACGCTTTCAACGACCCCGAGCGTGAATTTGATGCTGGAGGTTGGCCTAGATGCAAGACTGAGCCAGTATATGTTCGATTGCTAGAGTGGGCTCGTGACCTGCTCGAGACCTTGCATGACTCAAACATGCCCGACACACAAGCGCGACGTCGTCGCGATTTTGCTGACGCGGCAGAGACTATGTGTCTTTGGCCCTTTGTATCTCGAAGTTGATCATGCACCGCGGCACGTGCCTCACACCGCCGTAAGGTTGCTAAGATACTGAGGTAGGACTTACCGACTTCATGCATTGGCGTGCATTGTGGAAAAAAATAAATTCCACCTGGCCGACCTATGGGATTAATCGTTCTGGCAGCCATTCTTCTCAGGCTTGCAAGTTGCAATCCTATCACCACGTTCCAGACAAAGCTGAACGTCACGAGCAGTGACATGTCGGTGGTGACAAGCACTGATATTTGGACGGCTCAAGAAGGCAGAACGCAAGACCTTCCAGTCCTTTCCGTCTAGCCGTCCTCAAGGCACCGAGCCCACAGCCACGAATCACCGTGATACTTCCAGCGAAAGCGAGCCAGATCGGAGATAGACAATCGCCATGGATGCCACTGATCCGGTAATTCTGTTCCTGTCCTGTACAGTATTGCTACAAATACGGAATCGCTGACATCCTCACACGTACAAAATCTGGGTATCACAAATGCCGCCCATTTTCCCGCAAGCACGAAAGAGCTTGATCCCACAAAACCCCACAGCCAGTCAACGCTCTTAAACTCCTTGAATATGCTTGACGCTCATCTCCCGCTCGCAATGCCCGGGTAGTAGTAAATCGACACAAGATCCCAACACATCAAACGCTTCGTGCAATAACTCCCACCTTGGCTGCTTGAAGCTCTCGCGCAATAGCAGCATCAGTCCTAGGCACGAGTTCCTATCCTTCAGCTTCTCGAGATCGTCTGGACTTGCTACGCCACCCGTGCGGACAAGGTAACGCTGCATATCGTAAATCTGCAGTTCGCGGGTGGTCAAGGTGTAGTTGGACGGCCGGATGGGACCATCTAGAGCGTACCCATACGACCACACGATGAGTAAGGCAAAGTACAAGATCCATGGTCGGTTGAGTAGATAGTCGTCCCGCGCACTGTATGTGAAAGTGGGTACTTGAGGAGTATTCGCTCGCTTGGCTGCCAATTCTTCTTCTGGGATCAACACCTCGCACAGGAAGCGCAACGCGTAGAACGTGGCGTCTCGAGCCCGAGCGCTCGGCGCCCATTGCTCGCGCATCCGTCGTTGTACCACTGCGCGATCCGCGTCCGTCACCGTGCGGCCTAAAACCCTTTCTGAACCAGCGAACACGAGGCAATCGACAATGTCAACGTGCATAGCCATGTGTGCGAGGCTGTGTAGACACGTGCGGGACTCGAAGACGTTGTCGCGGTGATCGATACTGCTACGGTCGGTCGCTTTTGGGTTGCAGACTTGCAGCCAGTGTTCGTTCTTCGAAAGACTGTCATCGAAGTCGCGGCGCCAGAAGTCGAATGCGCGAGTGAGCGGGCTGCGCCATTTGATCGAGCTACCCAGTGTCCCAGCTGCGCCGAGTGAGGAGACTTGAAGATCACGCTGGTTCATATGCCAGCTCACGTTGAGAAGCCCGGCCATAAGCACGACTCGCCCGAACGTGTTGGTGCGAACCTTCTGCCCGTTCAACGTGCGCTTGATGCCGTCAATAAACGAGGTGGGCTTGAAGCCATTGGCTGCCAGGCTTGCCTCAACTCTCTGGACCTCAGCACTACTTGTTGCTGCCCACAGAGCCTCATCGCATGGTAGTGGGAGTCTTAGATCATGCGGTGACATGACAGCGGCATGACCGAACAGGGTGGCATGGGTCGAGTCGATAATGAAGGCCGCAAAGGCAACTCGTCGTGTGGCCTCAGCTGTGATCCACCTGTTCCAGAATGCATCTGGCGTGTTCTGCCCACTTGTGTTGATGGTCCCGTCAGGTCCTGGTGGTGTTCGTGTCGGGTCCTCGCCATTCTGCGGTGTCTCTGTGGCGTTTCTGCCAATCAGTGACGAGCCCCGACGCATCACCACAAGTGTCGTAGCGTGGTGTATGTGTGCTCTTTCATGCAATGCCTTTGTGCTGAACATCTTCTCGAACAGCTCGAGCAGTAGCAACGTCTGAAACGTCCACAGCTTTGCGGTGGGTCGAAACTCGGCATCCTTGAAGACTTCCCATCGTACATGGTACGCAATGAAGAACGAGAGCTCGGCGCTGTTGACCGTTGTTTCACCAGGATGGGTTCGCTCCAGACACGTAGCCCCTAGACAAAACATAGCCAGCAGAAGCAGATCTGGGCAAGTTTCAGGATTGAAGGTAGGCCTATGCAGGATAGGCATTTGCTGGTGTATGTGCATCCAGTAGCTGGACAGATATGTCTTGAGCATATGCAGGCTCATCACATGGTGAGGATCACTCGAATCGCCCATAAGGATGTCACCTTTGGTTCTTCTTTCAGGATTCTGCTCAACATCAGGCCAGCTATTGATGAGATCGACCAATCGTTGTCTATTCTTCTCACTGATGTCACACTCGCGCATCTGGATATCAAGACCATTGGTGGAGGGCACTGCGCTGAGTGGTTCGCCTGGCAGAGATTGCTCTCTAGGTGTGCCGTCGGGCTCAAGCTTTGGCAAGGGCGCGTTGAAGACTGCAGGGTTGTGCATCGGCATCGGTCCGGGCGGAGAAGGCTGCAGAGCTTGTAGGTCGTTACTACCGAACAAAATATTGAGGTAAGCATCGTCGAATACGGTTGGAGGTGATCGGTTGAAGCCGTCGGTGTTGAAGACAGGCATAGCATAGCCCGTTGCTAACTGCTCAATGGCATTGAACTGGAAGTCCATAATGCTGTTTGTTCGGCTGTTGGGAACAGGATGTTGGTCAGCCGAGCTGATGCTTGGAGGAGACATCATGCTAGCTGACCTGGCATTGCCTGCGGGCGAATACACCTGAGGGAACCCAAACGGAGGCAGCGATGGCAGATTCGAGTAATTGGTAGGCGAACGTAATTGATGCGCAGTCGCAGATGGTGACGGATAGGGCTGTTGCGCAAATATGGGCGTCGCTGTGGGCGGTGAAGACAGCGGTGGAGGCTGCATGGATGTCATCGTGTTCGGATGATGGACATTGTACACTGGCGTGACAGTGGTGGGACGAGTATAACTGCCGTCGAAGCTGAAGCGTCTTGCACGAGGTGGTGAGGCAGGAGGACCGTATGGCGGCTGGACACGGCCACCGTCCCCCATCGCCGGGTAGGTGTGATACATGTTGTTGGCCGTCATCTGAGGGTCGATCGGAGGACCATTTGCGCTATGCATGTTCGTCGCGTTATTGGCCACGTGAGGAGCATAAGACGCGTGCACTGCTTCCGGTGGGTGGGAAGGAGCGATGGTCGACATGGTCGTTTCCGCGTAGGCAGGCGCGGAGTGCACTGCATGTTGCATAGTGACCGGCGAGACGTTCATGGTGACGTTGCCTGAGGTAGGTGAGGTTGCACGAGAGGTATTCGCGGTCACGCGCTGGCTGTTTAGGAATGCATCCTTCCGTTGAAGGTGAGAGCCTTTGGCAGTGTGGCGCTCTTTGTGTCGAGCGCACAGGTCGGCACGCACGAAGTGTCGCTCGCACCCTGGAAAGTCGCAACGATAGATTTGTTTCGGAGTGTCTGCGTTTGGTCAGTATTGTCCACATAATGCACACGACATGACATGCGACCACATACGGTTCAGTTGGTGCCTATACAGATGTTCCGCCCGCGAATATGATTTCCCGCAATCCGAGTGCGGGCATTGGTACTTCTTGTCACTGTTCTTAATGACCTTCCTCCTCTTCTTCGGCTTCGAGTCTGCCAAATCGTCGACCTCAAAGGCAGCGTCTTGATCCTCCTCCTCCTCCTCCTCCTCCTCTCTAGATCCATCCTCGTCGCCGTGCACACTGGGCTGCGGTGCTGCCGTACCACTATCGCTCGAACCTGTGGTCATGCCCGTATTCGTCCTCTCCAGGCCAAGTACGGCGGTCGTCTGCTCGCCTTTGGGAACCATGAGGATTGATGTGTCGGTAATTGGTGGACTCGTGACCGGCTTCGGTCGGCATGCTCGAGTGAGTGCGTTGCGTTCCCTCCTATGATCGTCATGAATCCGCCATGTAATGCAACGCAGTGAGCTGGCTTGGTAATGGTCAGAGACAAGACCACGTGCTCAGTGTAGGCACCGCGGGCGGTGCGCAATGATCTAGTGGTGCGAGAGAGGAGTTGCTAGGTGGAGGCGGGCTGCGATAGGTGTAGACGTGATCAGCAGCAAGTGGCATGTGGCCTAGTGTCGACAGGGATCTTGAAAGCAACTTCTCCGCATTTGCCAGCAAGGCGGGTCTCGAAAGCACGCGGCAATGTCGGCCCACTGGCGGAGACGTGGCGCAGGCCTGCTACCGTAACTCTCGACGACCAGAAGAATTCTTCCTTGGGTACGATCGAAAGCACGTCCAAAGTATATACCAACGTCCAACGCTATAAAGTCGTCTCGTAAACGTTTCCCAATCGTGGCACTTCCCTACAGCATCCTTCAAAAATCGCCAACGGAGATGCAGCGACGCTTAAGAATATTCTGCAGCACCCTCATGAGTACGTAAGTGGACGGCTGCTCATCAACAGACCAGATGACCTAGCGCACGAGCCCAGGCAGGGTAGATCTTCACCACTGCAACACCACTGCACGCGTAACTGCAAACGCACTCCTTCGCTCCCTGCTCCAAAGCAGCAAAGACCGTCTGCAGACCATCTCCGCTGTGAGGCTGACGGCTCGATCGGTCAGGCTGAGGTGCAGTAGCCCGCGCCGCTTGTTTCCTTCGAGCAACCAGTGGCGGAGACAGACGCCACCCAGGCCCAGGGTTTACATAACCCATCTCATCATTCTCATCATGCGCGCTTAACGCCCATGCGACGGGATCTTGCAGGCCTCTCGAAGGGACCCACAGGCGACCTCCGATAGCATGCTTGTCGCTGCTTGCATAGGAGGAATGCGATGCAGCCACTCGGAGGGCATTGCGCGAGAAAATTCTTTCACATCCTTCTACAGGCATTCTGAAACGGCCATACTGCTTGCTGGGTGACGACTGTGCTGCCGATCGCGCAGCACACATGCCGTAGGGCAGGCGGGGGTGCGTATCACTCCTCCTGGCGTCTAGCTCACGGTCTGGAGAAAGTGAAGTCACTGCACGAGAGACCCACTGATGTGCGCTTGGCCGGGTGATGATCATCTTGGGTGTGTGCTGCCTCCCGGTTTGTGCTCGACCCCTCCCAGGCTCTGACCGCTCGGAGTTGCTGGTCACGCTCATCCTTACATCGAGGTTGCAGACGGGAGTGCGCGAAGTGGACCTTTGGCTCTCGACTGTTCGTGCCCTTACCGGGCTGTCGGTACAACTCAAGGTTACGGCCAGGACAATAGCGACATCACTTCATCGAGTGATCATAGTGTCATTCTCGAAGCACAAGTTCGCATGTTTCATGCCGATCAAATATACATCAATGCGTGGCCGAGTCCAGTTCTACTACTATCGGCGCAGCTGCGCCTCTGGCCACGAACGGAAGGCGAACAAGAACCACGATACTGCAAGTCGCTCTCTGAGGCTTGCTCCCTGCACACGACTTGGCAGTATCACCTTCACCGCGATGGCAATCGTTATGCAACAAAAGGTCCGATTACAATAGAAACCGACAGACTGGACAATGGCGTCGACTACTGCAGAGCCGCAAGGTACAGACACGGTTCACTGACGCTAACCATGCCAAATCCTCAAGTGTCAAAAAATCTGTCATGCGGGACATTTTTCGCATGATCTGGCCAATTGAAGCCGGTGCTTGGTACACGCAACGCCACTGGCTTGAGTATAGCTCATGTTTGGTCGGCTCCTTTGCCGAAATGCTCCTATGGTCTGCTCGGTGGGCGACCGAAAGGCCGAGGGACTTGCGAACAACGATACAGTAGACTTATGCCGAGACTGTCCGGCTAGCAGCCGGCGTACACTAAATCCAACGGCGGGACCCAAACATGGGCAAAAGGGTCTGAGATTCGTTTGATTCTGGGTGCAGTAAGAACAGGTCTGCCCCTGCCATGATCAGCAGTTTCAGACAAGATCCCTAGGCAGTAAGACATTTCTCCAACATCTGCTGGTTTCTGCCTAGGCACCTTGACATGTACACCCGGGATCCTCCCGTGGTTTGGAATAACGCAACTGTACCGTGCTGTAACGGTCTTCGGCCGTTACCCTCTTTCAGACCGGGTTCGCATTTGGCCTGGCAAGCCGGGATCTGATCAATGAGTACGGAGGACCTCTAGAGAACCCTCGAACGTGCCGCCCGATGGAAATGCTCAGGGGACACATATCTCCACAGGGCCGTGGTGGCTGACCTGCCTGTTGTCGACAAATTGATGAGCAGGACCGCATGTCTCAATAGGCGCATTGATCTTTGCCGCACGGTTTGTGTGGTGTCTCGTAGGATGATGGAGTTACGGAGGTTGCATACGTGCGCAGCGCAGGGCGTAGCGACCACGCATGTGGCAGCCCGCGCAACAAGCCATATGCAGGAGCTTGTGGTGGCGCTGCTTCCTTATTCGGCCTGCATATTGTAAGAGGGCACACTCCATCCCGTCAATTTGGCGCTCGGACGTCGACATATCATGCTGCCGCTTCCATCGATGCTTCTACATCTTCATGTACTCGGCAATACTATCGGCGGTTTTATCGCCCTAGTCAGTGGGCATCTCTATCGATCACCGGAACTGCCTCCGCTCATCATTTCTCTACAGCACGACCACCTCAACCACAAATATCAGGATGCGGAGGCTGGTATACAAACATCCATACCGAGGTACCGTGATAGCACTTCGGCGTGCGCGAAGCAAGATGAGGCCTTGTCATCCAGAACCACGTCATTCTGCAAATGCGAATGAAGCCCAGGCTGTGGAAATCGCTCAGTAACGCAGGGACAAAGTGCTATGCCGCGATCGATACTGTCGGTCCACAACACCGCAAGCCACTCGCTGTACATGGTACCAGGGACGGCCTCAATGATCGATGGTAACACTCAAGTCGTGCCGCAGCAATGCAATGCAACGACGGTTCAGGAAGCAAATGCCTGTCCAGAATCTTGGGGACGTCTTTCCTTAGACGGCCTTGGAGGCTTGAGCTGACACGAAGGAGGGCTGCGATGGCTCCGTCGGTAGTCGCTAAGATTGCTTACTATTCAGCGACGCGGCAGTAAACGGGTCGGTCAACCCGGTCCACGGGTCACCTCATGCACAATTTTCGGTCTAGTCAATCTCAGCATACATGATCCTGCAACCTTGGGGCTGTCGCAGCCAGTACAACTGCCTTGGCATAGTCGGGAAAGATGCAGCAAGGCAGGACATTTTCAGTGTGAACCTGGAACAATTGAAGAAGAATTCTTGGTTTGTTCGGCCACTCCCACAGTGCATGGTGTAGTAGACTAGGCATGCGAGTGTTTCTTCACTCTGCCTAGATCTATGGTCTGACTCGCCAGAAGGCCTTTATGATTATCAAGAGCACCCGGTTTCCATTGCGAATTCCTTGTGGAGCTGGAACCATGGACTCGCCTCGCTCCCTCCTGCTATGCCAAGCAGGAGGGCTCTAGAGCGCCAGCCTCCCGCTCATACATGTCATAGATTCCAATCCCATGATGACGCCGAGTAACCGGCCGAGAAAGTTTCACCACGAGCACGAGTTCCGCCACAGCTCATTCATGCGAAGCCTGCAATACTGGGCACAGGCATTGTGATGCCGTCCTACGACATGAGGGGGTAAGGGGCGCTACTTTCAGCTGCCTCCATCATGCTGTCCTCTTCAGGACGACGCATTTCATTCCAGAAACGGTAAGGGCGTACTTTTTTTTCTCTTCCGTCCTTTCTGCTACATCCTATGACCACAACCCGGACGTTATGCTTTCATTTCTTGAACAGCTAAATGACGAAAGGGCCAGATATGCTCGGATCGAGCGGCTTGTGGGCTATCCATCGCTACTGCATAATTCACAGAGACGCTGCAGAGGAAGTAGGACCGATTGCTAGTGGCCTGGATGATCAATATCATAGATAGTCAAGGATTATGACTATGCGGTGAACTTCCCATCCTTCGCACGATTTGCAAAGAGGAATAGTCTTCATCTCGATTGGTTGCATCGGGCATGGTATGCTCGTGCACGGCTTGCGTTGTGGATCCCCAGGGACGGTCATGAAAAGCTGAGTGAATCGTAGGATGCGCGAATCTAGTCAGTGTACTTTTGAGACAGATTGGCAGGAGATGACAAGTCTGGATGTATGACAGTCCGAAGGCTCATCGGAAGCAACTTACGTTTCCTCTGCCGACCGTTCCGCAGCCTATACTCCTTGCAACATGATCCATCACACCAGACCAGGCAATCAGGGGTAGGCTTTCGCTGCTGGAAAGGTCGATCCGAGACAACGGGTTTGAACAAGAATTGCTCTATCTGACGCCACTTCGAATTCACGTACACTGCATCGCACACGAACGGGGCCGCAACACATCCCAGCCTTGATGCTACGGATTACATGCCCAGTGGGCTCGAACATTTCGATCTGCATGAATCTCAACACAATCATCGAACGAGCGTCGCCCATGAGAGAGTGTACAGCGGTGGTCCGGTAGTGCCATTCTGGCAATGGGAAGAATTGAAATGATCAGCCTACATTTCCGCCTCAAGTCACGCCTGCCGCATAAAAGCTGTGCAAACAGCAGGAAAGGAAGAGGTTGCCAAGCCTGCGCACCTGTATGCGAGCATTATCCATGCCGTTTCTGTGCCGTCTCACGTGGGGGCAACGTGTCATTGTCAAGCGAGGTTCTGCCCGGAGAGTATTACTGTACCGTTGCATGTGAGCACGGATGATCATCGACTAGAAGGAGTGGAAGGATTTCGCGCCCTTCGAGACTCGTCCGTCATCACGGGATGAGGAGTGCAGGGAACGTATCAGCTTAGTTCATCCCTGCGTCGCTCGGATTCGAACCTTGCTGTATCGGGAAGGTACGCAAGCAGATATGGACAAGCATTTTGATCCTTCAAGCTAAGAAGGAGACGATTGATGGAGAGCCATATAGCACTACTGTACGAAGGCTCTCGGCTCTGGAGATGCCATGGGTTTGTAGGAAGACATGCTCCTCATCTATCTCATCTAACCCGCTATCGTTTACGCTAACAAGCAGCGCGAGTCCGCTATGCCGTGCGCGTGTGCTATGCTCTCTATGCCATGCAGAGTCCCATCCTTCCCTTCCTTGGATCGTAAAGATGTTAGGACGCGACTCTATTCCCGGTCACATGCTAAAAGAAGCTCCACAGCCTGGTCGTGCCTGGAATCGCAAGGACCGATCAACACGAAACGCGACAGGAACCTCATGAGGCTGTCTTCGCGCCCTTATCATTAAGCTTCACCGCTTTCGCCCCGTGCGCCGCTCCGTTCGTATGGGTGTAATAATCATCCTGCTGTCGTTTCCTCTCCTCGCTCACCCCATCATTCCCACCACCACCATTCCTCTTCCAACCTCCTTCTCCCTCAGCCTCAAGTCCCAACTTCCCCGTCGGCGTCCTTCCAACCCCCTCCCAAAACACCTTCCTCTCAGCCAACACTTCCCCAGCCCATTGCCTCACCTCCGCCGTCTGAATCTTCCCCGCCACGCGCGTGAACTCCCCCAAATCCAACCCCCCTTCTTTCTCCCGCTCATACTCCATCATCTGCAGCAAAAGCTCGATCTTATCCACATCATGAACAAACACACTCTCCTCCGTCCCCGCATCCTCGTATTCCTGCCACAACGCCCTGATCCTCTCCCCCTGCGCCCCACCCCCGTCAACCTGACATAATAAATCCTTGGTGAAGAAATCCATCGTCCCGGCCTCCCGCCGACTCTTCTCCCCCTTGTCCACCCCATCCACGGGCGTGATGTCACCTACGAGTGCCTCGGCCATGTCGTGCACCAGTGCCATTTGCACGCATTTCCCGATATCTAGACGTTGTGATAGAGAGGGTGGACATAGCATGGTGATGATGGACATGCGGTACATGTGATCGCTGATGCTCTCGCCATGGTCGATGCCGAAGCGGCGCCAGCCTTCGCGTTTGGTGGTTTTGAGGCGGGTGAGGAGGTGCATGAAGGGGAGGGGGGAGGCGGTGGTGGGTTGGGGTCGCGGGGTGATGGTGGAGAGGACTGCGTTTGGTGTCGGGTTAGTTGTGTGGAGGGAGGGTTGTGTTTGGGCTGTTTTGTACAAGTGCGCACCTTTGGATGCATGATGTTGTTCACGTACCAGTCTCGGGCGTCCATTGCGCTTCTACTATCTGGGAGGGGGTGAGGAGGCCTGATTTGTCGTCTGTTGCTATTAGTTACTTTCATGTCGACTATATCACTGTTTAACATACTGGGTGGAGCATTCGTTTGAGGCGCCTCTTCCACTTTGCTGGGAAGCATTGCGTCTGTTGCTCCACTCGTTGTCGCGGATGATGTATGCGATGTATGCGACTCTTCCACTCCGTACACGACGACCAGCAGCTCTTGTTATAGGCCACCAGCAATCAATTATTATGCAGTGTTTGCTGGCTCAATCAATCAATCGCCAGGGCAATAGTGATCAATGATTTCCTGCAGGGATGATGCTGGTGCCCCACAGCTCGTGCCCTCCCACTGTTTACACTCCTCTCTCACATGCGCATTTGAAGGCCGTTGTAACCGTATCATGAGCACGTGAAGCTCGAGACATGATAACGTTGGCTTATCGATGAGATGAAAGAAAAGAGATTATAAACATGGAAGCGTCGCAAGGTCATCGCCGTACAGCCTCCACCAAGAATGCCACAGCAGCAAAACTCCACCACCACCACAACCCCATCATAACCCTCTTCCTCACCAATCTCCGCCTGCTGGACCTGGATCTCCTCCCCGACTATCCCACTCCTACCCCCACCGCTGCCACCTTCCACCCCCACTCCGACGCCCGCCTTCGAACCCGAACAACCGAATTCGCCCTCTACCACCTCTTCCGCCTCTACGACCCGGCGACCACTGCCGAAAAGCTGCGACCCTTCTACCCACCCCTCGAACCACTGCAGAGCATCAATCTCCGCGCTGCTTTGTTCAGATGTCTCAACGAGCTGAAAAAGAATGGTATTCTGGGTCGGGAGACAGTGCTGAGGAAGAGCTTAGTTGAAGAATGCAGTGGAGATAGATTATGGGAAGTCTGTCTTGCCTTTTCTGCCGTAGTGTTGAGGAAGGTGGTGTTGGAGAGGAAGAAGACGTATGCGGGGCATAGACAGGGTGGACCGGTTGCGGAGAGGTTGGGGACGGGGGCTAGTGGGTATGGGAACGCTGCGAGGGAGGGGTTGTTGGTGTCGTTGGGGTTGGCGCATAGAGTTTCGCTTGGCAGGCAGGTGGAGGAGAGGAAGAGGAAGGCGGAGGGGTTTACAAGGGTGTTTGAGCGGTTGGGGGAGAAGGGGGCGGAGTTGGAGGAGAGGAGGAAGGTTGTCAGGGAGAGGGAGAGTGCCAGGCCGAGTGAGAAGAGTCTGAGGAGGTTAGAGGGGGTTGAGGAGAGTATCAAGAGATCGTGGGTGGGGAGTGAACAGCTGCGACATGTTCTGCTCGATGGACAGACTGAGAAGGATGATCTGCTTTACAAGTCTCTTGATGCGAGTAATGGTACTACACTTCCCTCCACCCACGCGACTACAGGTCTCCTGCAGACTCTGTCGCGCACGGTCGATGAACAGAACGAGCGTGTTCGTCGATGGCAGACTATACACGACGACCTCCTCGCGAAGAAACACAGCAGATCGAAGAGCTCGGCCACTGCAATCGAAGCGGTGGGTCTTCGATTCGAAAAGCATCGCGATCTTGGTCTGAGAGATGCGCCTATGCCCACGTCTTCTGCTCCTCCACGACAACGGAGCGATAGTGCCATGAAGATGTCCGCTCAGTACGACGACATCCTCACTTCCATGCGAGAACAATTGCGACATCAACGACAAGCATCCGAGCCTTTGTCTCCCAGTGGCAAATCAGCAGAGGGCGCTAACAAACCTCAAACACGTCCACGTCCCTCCCGCCACTCAAGCCTGCACATCTCCACCAGCAGCGAGACGAAAAATAGCACAATTCCCGGCGCCCAGGACCCACGGCCCTACCTCCTCCTCCTCCAAACCCACAACCGCTCCCCCTCCGAAACCGCCGTACCCATGCGTCGCCCTTTCCACGTCTCACGTCGCAGCAGTAGCATCAAGCCCTCCCACCCTTCACGCAGCAACAGTAGGAGTTATACCGCGCCGAAAGTCGAAAGTCAACGCGGCGTCATTCCACTCAAAAGCGAAGTCTTCTCCCCTGTTAAGAGCCGAGTGGGAAGCTGGCATGGTGGGAGTGGGGATTGGAGTGCGCTTGGGACGCCTGTTGAGACGCCTATGGAGGAGGAGAGGGAGGTTGGGGTTGTGGTTGGGGTCGGGGTTGGGGTTGGTTTGGCTGATGGGAGTAGGGGAGGTGATGAGGAGGCGCAGGCGGTGTCGCATGATAGTGGGGTGGATATGGGGATTGTTAAAGAGAGCCCGGGTTCATCGTGTGATGATGGTGAGAAGGATGTTGTGGCGGCGGGTCATGCGGCTTCGAGCTCGCCTACGCCTCTAGTCGCCACTGTGGCCGCGTCGCCAGAAGCTACGAGCAGCAGCAGCAGCAGCGGCTCGCAGTCGGCCTCTCCTTCAGCTATCTCTGCACCAGCGCCAGCGCTAGTACCAGCCGTTCGGCCCTCCTTGGCCGAGCGCACACGCATGTCCATGGCTTTCCGAAGCCTGGAAGACGTCAAGGACGTGAGGAAGTCTGAAGTCGACATTCTCCCAATATCGGCCGAGGAAGAAGGAGTCAACGACGACAGTGGGGATGTTAATGCTAAGCAGAAGAGACGCGAGACGTTGCTCGAGCGGACACGGCGATCTATCCTTGTAGCTCCTGCATCCGCGTCTACAGCAGAGGCGACAGCGGCCAAGAAGAAGGACAAGCAGAAACCATTGCATACACGTGCACGCAGCTCTATCCACCCCGTCAACAACACCGGCAATAACCATCATACGACCGCCCACAACAGCCGCCGCTCTTCCATCCCAAACTTGCTGCTGGAAGAAGAAAACGAACACGACGACAAGGGTGAGCCCGGTACAGAAAGTGTAGCGACACCGAAACGCAAGCTCCGTGACATTACGCCCCGCGAGCAGCTGTTCTCCCCTGATGCGGAGTATTCTAGTGTTTTCAAGCCCAGGCCGAAGATTAAGATGAGTCCCGTGTTGAGTCCATTGGACGATGCGGAGGGGGATGAGCCTGGATTTTGGGTTTGCGGAGGAGAAGGAGGCTAGAGAGGGAGAGCGGGAGGGGCGTGTTGGAAGGGGTAGCCTAGACTAGCCTATTGTCTACCTGCTGGTCGAGATGGTGTACTACAGAAATTTTCCCACTTCCATCATGCATATTTCAGGAGATTGAATCGAGGCATGGGTCATGCATACTGTCTCTGTTTCACAGGGATGCCCGCTTCTGCTTGTACTGCTACCGCGCTGAGAGAGGGGGGGGGGGTAATGTTGATGTTTTGTTGACTCATAGCACCGACTGATTGATGGGCTGGATATGTCATACATTGCTCCCCTCCGGACGCATCGATCAGTCCGCTAGAGTCTTATCGTTACGAGAGGAAAAGGTACATCCGCGATCGATGGCGGCATTTGAAGAAACCTCTTCGCAATTTGCGCTTCGAGGTCTGCAATTGAAGGGCTTGCCTCCATGATCAACCCCTTTGCTCTGATTGGAGATATGAGGATTCTCGTCATGGTGCTGGAAGCCGCTATTGCCTGTTCTGGGGACATCGCAAGCCGTCGACTTCGACTTCGACCATGGACTGCCTGATCATTATATAAACCCCTCGCACGTCCCGTAACCCATGAAAGCTCTCGGGCTCAGCGAGCCAGAGTCCTTCCTAGGCTAATGGGGACTTGTGCAGATGATTCGTCGCTACGAGTGGCGACGTTGCATTTGCGTGCACTTCAGCCAGCATAGATTCAACGACCTCCCGACTAGGTTCGCTATAGTTCACACACGTCCTCCTCGCATGATACTTCTACATCCTGCTGTACATGCTCTCCTTCTGCGGCCTTACATCGATCTCATGCGTCCACGCACTACGTTTCTGCTTATGCAGAAACCAATACGTCTCGGCCAAATCCGCCGGTTGCAAGAGAAAAGACTCGATATCGTTGAGCTTCTCCTCCGCGCCCTCCCTTGCCCATGCCCGACGCCTGACACCGCCGATCAGCTTCCCGTCCACTGGCGCATCGACGACGATAAATGCAGCGTGAATGCCTTTGGCTTGGTATTCGCGCGTGATGATCTGACATAGAGCACGAAGACCGAATTTCCCAGGGGAGAAGCTCGAAAGGCCTGGTACGCCGCGTAATGCTCCTGTGGCGCCGGTGAAGAGGATGGTGCCTTGTTGTTTTGCAAGCATATCCGGCAAGACACGTTTTGTCGCCCAGAAGGCACCGAAGAGATTGATCTTGGTGAAGTTTTCGAACTCCTCGCTTGTCGTGTCGAGGATGGTCCTTCCGTTCACTCGACGGGCGCCAGCATTGTATACCAGGACGTCGACCGAACCGAGCTCGTCTTGGATTTTGCGGAAACTTGCGTTGACCGAGTCCTCGAGACGGAGGTCGGTGATGTAGTACTTGGCGGTATCTTTCCCGTAGTCGGCTTCGATGCCCGTTACCATGTTCTGCAATTTATCTTCTGTTCGTGCGAGTAGTGCGGCACAGAAGCCTTCTGCGACGAAACGACGTGCAACGGCTTCGCCAATGCCTGGGCCGGCACCGACTACAGCGACGACAGGTCGTTTATCACTGGTTGTAGCCATATCTGCTTTTGTGGGAAGGAAGATGATCCAGGTGGTCAAGCGACCCGAAACATATTTGCTACAAGATTAAGGTGTAGCTACATCTCGGCTCGCCAGATTACTGATCACGACACTCACTACAGTTCACCTTGCGGGGTATGGCAATAAAGTTTGAGTTCCATGATGGCCCATCTATCAGTCATATCATCATTCAATAGTGTACGTCGAGCATGAGAGGCCGATCTCAGACTCCCAGGCCGTGGGAATGGTAGGAGTGTCGGCACCCTCAACGCCTCGATCCATAAGCGACTACTGAACCAGCCAAGCCAGTGTTCGTTACGAATCGCTCCTGTTTGTTGAATTGTGCTTCCGCTATAGTAACGATGCAAACTTGTATAATCGTGAAAGCCGACTGCTTTGTTGGCCCTCCAGAGAAGGATGTCACCATCAATACCACAGTTTCCCTGACCCGGGCGCTCAGATTCCTTTCCCAATACACCTCTACATGCAGGACTCTGATTGCCTTGTCCACGGACTTCGAGTTCCCAGTTCCGTGACGTTCCTTTGACGCCTGTGTCGTATTTCACGGCCTTCGAAGCCCTCAGCCTCACAGAGTTTGGCGAAACAGAAGGCATGAAGCATGCTTTCTTGGTGTCCATCATTAGCGCGACGGGCAAGGTAAGTTGCTTGCGTGGCTGCGTCGAAAGCGGATGGCACACCAGGAAGGTCATGGCCGGAGAGCATAAAGTAGAGGTGTCGAAGCAACATCCGCCGCATGTCGCTGACCAGTCTCTTTCTGTTCCCAGTAGCTGTGCTGCAGTTAACGGAGCAAAGCTCACACGCGCCGTGATCCATGTCGAACCTCATCGATCTACTGGCGATATAAGCTCTGCGCTCCTTTGTAGTCATGAATTGGCAGCTATCTTATATAGGACAGTAAGCTCGTCTCCGGCTGCTACCGGTCGAACAACGTGGCAGATTTATTGCACTTCTTCTAACCCATCTCTGGCCACAACGATCCGGGTAGTGGTGTTTGGCAAGCAGGAATGATTCAGACGGGATGACAAGCGGAAAATGAAGATTCTGTTATCGCAAGTCCAAGTATTTGCGTAAATGATGCGGTGTATGCGACTGGGGTGCCGGACCGCGGGTGGTAAAGCATCGCCTGGGTCGCGGAGAGAATTGAAGACTTGTCTTTGTGTCGCATTGAGACTGTTGTAAGCTGCGGCGATGTCACTATCGCCTATCTGCTTGGAGCTTTCTGTGAAGGACAGAAGTGGCGTCTCCACGTACAGGATCGTGCCAGGTTCCAGAGACACCTTGGCAAAGAGACCTAAGCCATCGCCAGACGACTCGCGGAGCTCGAAGAGCGTGCTTGATATGGAGACGCTGTCGTTCGAAATGAGTCGAGAGGCGAGTATCTGCTGTAGTGTTGACGTCACGACGAAGTACTAGCAATGACTGCTGGAGTGATTCCTGCCATGGCTGCGATTTATATAGTGCTGGGTCCCGACAAGCAAGCAGATCGAACATGGCCTGCTCAGAGATGGTGCAAACCGTCTCAATCGCAAATATCATAGATGTCCGACAACTGCACGCGACGGATGTGTGGTCACACTTGGGCTGCTACATCTGCGCTTGAGATGCTCGGAGAAGCAATTGCCCTGTCGATGTAGATTGAAAGTAGTCGATAGCGGAGACGAGTGCGCCGCCACCGACCACCCCTGACGACTCATCGTTCTGGCTGAAGATCGCCATGAATTTTCGAAGCCTGATCTTAGACTCTTTTGACGGACAGTCAGGATAATTGGTTGTAACACCACTCTCCAATGTATGCTTAGAAACGGATCTTGGTTACTTTCCGTATTTCAACTGTGCAAACATTCCCTGTCGGCGTCCGCCCAATCAGATCACCAGAAACGAGATTCATGTTCAAGGTCAACTCTCGTATATTCGCCACGTGCTTGGCCGCGAAATATTGTATCCAGCACTTCTAGTTCCCCACCCATCTCCTCATGCCGCAGTCGAAGGTCGCAAGCGTGAGCTTGTAATGGCATGCTGTGTTGTAGTAGGTAGGTAGGCTTTCGGCCCGCAGCTGTCGCGAGACCTGAGTGATGCTTGGTGGCGGTAACTCCAGCGGGACTGGTCCAGCATGGGTTGCACTGATAGCGGGTTCGTAGATGCAGACACGAACTTCGACAGGTAGATCCATGAAGCGAAAGGAAGGCGAAATTTCGGTAGCCAGGGTTGACTGCACGATACTGTGAGATAAATTGCGCGGTTGGTGATAGAGCTCCGAAAAGACTAGGTGACTGCGTGTACGTGTGCAACAGCAGAGTGCGAGTGATTGTGGCGGAGGCAAAGACCGACAACGCATCTGAAAATGCGCTAGTGGTGCCTACTTTCAGTCAGCAGACTCGCTGTCACATGTCAGCGGATGGATGATAGGCGAGTTTTGGACTTGAATGCTTTCGTGATACTCCCAGCGCCTCGCTAATCTCAGAAATCGCTCCATAGATATACACATCTCTCGTATCCAACCTAGTCCCGCTTCCCAGGTCCGTAGTAACCGTTGCTGATTCCATACCCTCCCAGCCCTCCTCCTCTTTCAATGCCACCAACTCGATCCTTGCCGTGTGATTTCAGCCTTCGCGGCAACTCCACGCCTCTGAAATAAGCCAAGCATATGGCTGCCGAAGCACCAGCAGAGATCAAGCAGTAGACCAGCGTACTGAATGTCAAATGCCCACCAACGCCTGTCCAGCCAGATGGTAGGCTCGTATTCGGATACCATCGCACGCTGAACCTCAATGGCAAGCTGTCACCGATGACTATCCTCGTCGGCGGCTCTCGTGATATACTGTATGCCGTTGCTGCCGCAATCGTACCAGGCGCAACACTCTTTGGTGCTGCATGAACCAGCACATTCAGACTCGTGCTCACATGCAGATGGCTCAATTGTAAGGTCCCTGCCAGCGCGACCACCATAGGCGTGTAGACATCTGACAGACTGCCCTGACCTTCTGTCAAATCCGTGGTACCCTTCTCAAACTCCTCTTTCGATGGCGAGGGTGGTAATGGTTTGGTTGGTATGCGGCAGGTCAATGGAGCGTCATTATGTACATAGAACTCCAGTAGGTGGAAGAATGGGTCGTCTACGAAGTCGATTGTACAGTTGATGTCTTTCTCCACGCCGAAGATCAGTTCGAGAGGCTTGCCTGTCTCGTTGCATATCGGAAAGGGCGTATAGAGGAGCTCTCCTGAAGCATCGGTAATGTGTTCGCCAGTGTCACTAGTGCCGATTAGTATCTCCTGTGCACCAACTGATGGATGATCTTTCCACGTACGTCGTCCTGTTCAGACAGCTCACGGGGATGGTTTGGCCAACTTTGTAACCAGCTTGTGACAGTGGTGTTTGTGATGTTTCGGCGGCAGCTGTGGAGGTGGTACACAATGCGGCATACAAGACAAGAATCGAACGCCAAAGGAGCGGCAGCTGTGGCACAGCCATTCTGTCGATATCTACAACAAGTCTCTGACCCAAGGTAGAAAGGCAGGGTTGGCACGTGAACAGAACAAGCGCATGGTGAAGTGAATGCACAATCCAGGGTCCGGGGCCGATCTGAGTAATATGTCTTAGCGCGGCAACCTGGCGAGAATCAGGGACGCGCGCGATGGATTGGACTTCTGCCTACACAAGTGGCCTCTGCTCAATTGACATATATACGATGCAGTCCCCTATCAAGTCCACTGAAGTTCGTACCCCACCCCCTTCGAAATGGTCAATCTCGACGAGGACCTGTACCGCCAGATCATCTTTCTTGCTGGCCAGAGCTCTCGCGATAGCTCACGGAGGGACCAGATCTGTATCGACATATTACGGACATGCTGTCTCGTCTCCAGGACATGGCGAAGACTGGCACAACCAATCCTCGAGCAGACAATCGTTCTTGATAATGGAGACCAGCTTGAAAAACGTCTTCTCAACCGATCAAAGAAGGAATTGCGCTTGCTTCGGGACCTCGTCATAAGGCAGCCTGGTGGAGGACACTGGGAGATGGATGTGCAGGCCATACTCAATGCTATACCGACCGAGAAGCTGAGAAGTCTGCTTTTTTTCGAGGATGCAGGACGCTACCGCTCGCCACCATTTGACGACCGAAGTGTCATTGGTACGGCCGTGTATACGCCACCACCACTAAAACATGATCTATCGAGCCTGCGCGAAGCACTCCTATGTAACATACACGGAGGGTCTTCCTGGCTACCTCTGCTACAGGTCACGCCAGCACTGAAAGACTTGACATTCTATCATGCCGGATGGTCCGGACGATCAGAATACCAAGGAAGCCCTTCGTACCTGCCAACCCAACCGCCACCATTTTCCCTCCGGCGTTTCGAGATCTTTCGATCGCATATTCAACCTGAACCATTGCGATGGGCGCTTTCCAAGAGCGTCGATACCCTGACCCACGTAAATATACGGTTTCTCCAACGTGAATGGGACACCTTCATCACCATATCTGCACTACGCGAACAAGGTCAGCTGCCCAACGTCACCCATCTGACCATAGAGTCAAGCGAGGATAGGTGCAAAAATTTCGATTGGCATTTGTCCGATCCCTTGTCAAAATGGTCCGGGATAAAAACAGTATACATGTTCGGCGATGACAGCAAATGCCGAGGCGCCATCGTTCACGGCCTCTCAGAACTTCACCCAATCCCGCACATCGAGATGGGTGTTGGGGATATGCGTTTGCACGAGTTCAGAGCCCTCTTCAGACTACGGAAAGGTAAGTTTCAGAGAAACACGAGGTTGAGACTTGTCACGAAAGCACCACGATGGAGAGCTCGTGGAGGTGGTGGATACATCCATTGGGACTGGGAGGCCCCTGCTTATTGGGAGGAAATGGAGGAGGACGCTGTCGAGATTGCGGCGAAGCACGGGGTTGTGCTTGAGCTTGCCAGTACTTCCCTGTATGCATGAGCTGCTTTCCCACCCAACACGTGTAAAGGCCACGGCACATCACTGACCTCTAGGGTTACGAAGAAAGTAAGAGTAACGGAGAACTTTTGTAGATTGAGCTGAGCTAAAGTATCTAAGCCCGGATTTTCTGGATATGGTCGATCGCCTCTAGGACTACATCTTGGGTTAGCCTTGACATCAACAACACGCGTAGTATTCAACTCACGATAGCCGACAAAGACCTTGGGGTTCTCGGTTGCCGGGAAGTGGCCTAGACCTTTCATCGCTTGATGCTTGCCGCCCGGAATTTTGTCGCACGTCGCTTGGGACCTATGGTGGATGTGAGGTTAACAATCATTCCACATCACAAATCATGCTCACAGCCATTGATGACTTACATCGCTGGTGTGTTACTCCAGTCATACTCGCCAGTAAGCATATACACTGGACACTTCTTGGTATCGATACCAGCCATCCTGTCACGACCATCCCAGCCGCCGAAGTAGAAGTCAAGATCTCCATGGAAGATACCATAGGCTTGGGCGGAATACAAGTGCCAGATGAGTTGTCGATTGACCAGAGGAGCTGTGGGACTCATCATGCCGTAGACCCACTCTGGGTTGAACAGGGCTTGGTTGACGTATGGTGAGCGATCGTGCCATTGCCTCTCCATATTCAGGTAGTCACTTCCCTGCAGAGGGATTGAGCCGACGGCACCGACTTCGTCTGCACGAGCGGCGACGGCAAGGCAGACTTGGCCGGCCATGGAAGCGCCGCAGATGATGGGCTTGTTGAGGCCGAGCTTCTTGACGAACGCTGCAATGCAGCCGACGTAGGCGTCTTCGCTGTTAGTGTGCATGCCTGGCGAGCTGTGTAAGCGTCCGCAGTTGAAGTCACGGGGACTGTTGGGTCACTTACCTGGCCAGTAGCCTTCGTATGGGAACGACCTTCCATGAGCTGGGAGATCAAGAGCAGTCATGTGGCACTTCTGCCTCATACGCTCATCGTTGAGTACACCATGGTACTGGCGACCATCGCTACCAGCCGTGTGCAAGAACACGATTTCCTGATCACCTTCACCGGACTGCTCATAGAATACTTTGCATCTGCCCCAGACAGGCGCGCTAATGTAGGTGTATCGACCAACGATATGATCCTCATCGACCTCGGGCTCCTCGTCTGCTGGGGTTGGACCAGCGTATGCATCATGCAAGATCTCGAGAATACGGCGCCAGACATGTGTCCATTGCGCGAAGGCATTCTGATCGCCTTCGACCTTAATACCTTCTTGCTTGATATTCATCCCGAACATCCCCCAGTATGATTGGTACTGTAGCTCGGTCAGTGGACCTGAGATAAAAACTACGCCTCGACGCAAGCACGACTTACTGGGGCAACCGGAGTGGTTTTCATAAACTCCTGCCATTGCTCAGGAAGCGCGGACAAAGTGAAGAGGGCATCACTTGTCTTCCCAGTGCTGATATCCGCTTTACCATTGGTCACGGTCACCAGGACCGTGTTGGGCGAGCCAGACGACTTGATACCAAAGGTAGCAGGGCCCTCAATGGCATTACTGGTGGTAAAAGCGCTGAGTTGCCCATCAGATTCCGCAGCCTTGTTAGCTTTCTGGAGAGAATCGGATAAAGCAGCTGGCAAATCGGCCCATGGGTGCGAGGAACCACCGTTCTGCATTTTGGTGTCTGTTGCTGCTGCGCCGTTGGTTGTCTTCTGTCTTTTGTTTGAACGAGGAGGCATTGCGGTCCGTTACGGATGTGATCGATTATGTCTCTTAGGCGGGAATATCGTACGTAGGATTGTGAACGAGGAGAAGCTACAGGATGCTTGACGTAGCTACGTACTCATTCTTATACCTATATACGAATACTGATCGACGTAGCACTGCCAGCAACGCTCCTGTGAGCATGGGTCGTCGCGGTCGAGCATCGCCTTGATCGTCTCTTGGGTGTATTACCAGGGTTGGGGTTGTGGGGTAGCTTGAGGTCGTCGCGGGGCAAGCTGCAGGACTTGAAGCCAAAGTCGTTGCCCTGATGGTCAGGAAGGTCAACTCCGGGCAGGCGGATAGCAGAGGTCGTCCAAAAAGATCCTACAGGTCCAAAAGATGCCTCAGGTTGGGACTTGTTATTTCCGTCCGTGTCGGCTCAAAGCTTTCGAACCACCGTTCGAGTCTCCAAGCTTGCCCCGCATCACGTCGGCTCTGGAGTGTTCCTATGTCGCTGGCACTGACGTAGATGACAATAGTAGTGCTTGTAGACTTCAAGAATCATGCTCACTTCCTGACTTGTAACAGCAGTAATCTATCAAGCTGGCTCGACAATCCAAACGACGAAAGACCGACAGTACCTCGATCAAAACTGTCGATATTGCAACCATGGCGTCAGATCTTCCTTTCAAGGTATGCCGCTGCGGCTCTGAGAAGCGTGTTGAGGAAGACGACGAAGGCGATATTGACCAACTGACATCCTACAGCTGAGCAACCCTGAGATCTTCCGCACGAAAGCTCTAGTCGGAGGCGAATGGGTTGAGTCAAAGTCTGGCAAGAGATTCGATGTGTATGGTCAGTTGGGGCTTCATCAATTAAATTGTGGCACGCAGCAAGCTGATATCTGACAGATCCTGGCAATGGCAAGGTATGGGCGACAGCACCAGACTGTACTCCAGACGACACCGATGCCACTGTGAAAGCCGCCCACGAAGCCTTCCAAACATATCGGAAGGTCAACCCAAGGACTCGTGCACAATGCTTGTTGAAATGGGACCAGCTCATTCGGGAGAATCGTGATGATATTGCCAAGATCGTCACATACGAGACTGGCAAGCCGATCGCAGAGTCCCAGGGCGAGCTCGACTACGCCCTTGGTTTCACATGGTGGTTCGCTGGTGAGGCCGAGAGGGTGCAGGGTACCGTCCAGACACCCGCGGCGCCAAACCGACGAGTCTTTACTGTCAAGCAGCCGATCGGAGTAACAGTCGCGCTTGTCCCATGGAACTTTCCAATCGCTATGATCTTGCGAAAGGCGGGTGCAGCTCTGGCGGCCGGGTGCACCATGATTGTCAAGCCGAGCCCAGAGACACCCTTCTCGGTTTTGACGCTCGCGTACCTTGCTGAGAAGGCTGGCTTCGCCAAGGGTGTCTTCAGCGTACTTCCCACCAGTCTCGACGGTACTCCAAGCTTGTCGGAGTCGCTGTGCAGACATCCGTTAGTCAAGAAGGTCACCTTTACTGGCTCGACTCGCGTTGGCAAGCTTGTAGCCAAGATCTGTTCCGATGGCTTGAAGAAGTGCACTTTGGAGCTGGGCGGCAACTGTCCATTCCTGGTCTTCGACGATGCCGATCTCGAACAAGCGGCTGCACAGCTCATGGCTCTCAAGTGGCGACACGCCGGTCAAGCTTGTATCACAGCAAATCGTGTGTACGTCCAGAAGGGTGTCTACGAGAAATTCACCGAGATTCTAGCGGAAAAGACTCGCCAGCTCAAGATTGGACATGGCGCGAAGGATGGAATCACGTTGGGTCCTGTGACAACAGCTCGAAGTCTAGACAAGGCACAAGCTCAGGTCGAAGACGCGACCAAGAATGGTGGCAAGCTTGTGATGGGCGGCAAGAAGTTGCACGGCCAAAGTGGATACGAAGGATACTTCTTCGAGCCCACGATCATCACAGGCGCAAAGGATGGCATGCTCATCTCTCGCGAGGAGACTTTTGCTCCCGTTATGGCGCTATTCGAGTTCGATACCGAGGATGAAGTGGTCAGGCTCGCCAACGATACAAGCATGGGGTTGGCTTCGTACTTCTTCACCAAGAACATCGATAGAACCTGGAGATTGTTGGAGAACCTGGAGGCCGGAATGATAGGCATGAACACTGGAAACGCATCGGCTGCCGAGTCGCCATTTGGTGGTATCAAGGAAAGCGGATATGGCAAAGAGAGCGGCAAAGACGTGGCCATCAATGAGTACATGATCACGAAGACCGGTACGCTTACTCTCAGCGACCATTATTGAATACTCTTCGGCGGTGGGGTAGGTCCTTATGGTGCTGTAGTTTGATAACACCTGTAAGAAAAGGTCAGCATTGCTTTGAAACGCTGCTAGCTTGAGCTCTGCGCGTGGGATCTGAATCGTGTCTGTGTCCTGTCGACTTCCTGGGTCAATAGATTTATCACCACTCCTTGCATCCTATGTAACGATCTGACTTTGCAGGATGACGGCGGGGTGTGACGGTAGTAGCACCACCGACAAGGTGGAGGGCGAATGGAACATGGACATAGAAGCACATCGCATCAACGATACTCTTCACTTCACGCCCGCCAAATGACTCTCGATCGCGTCAGCTTGCGGATGGTCACATGGTATACGCGCAAGATCTGTATGCTGGATGGCAGGCAACTGTCCGGGGATGCGACCAGCCAGATTCGATGAGGTGTCCCTTTCGCACATCTTGTGCTACCCGCCTCAGGCGCATGTTCGATGTGCGCCTTGTCGCAGGTGTTGTGAGCATCAAGGAACGCAAGTCATCCCTCAAGAAGGCTTGACAGGACAGCGTGCTCTTCGGCAAGACAGACGTGTTCTATGGCGACCTGGATATACCCTCATGTCTAGGCCTCGCCGTCCAGGTTCGAAAGATAGAGCAAACCAAAGGTAAAGCCTCTGCTCTTTAGCATCAAGCACGCCATCTCATTGCTAGCATCCGTAGGAAAGTGCCTTGTGTGTACGAGTACGGAGAGCGCCAGACTCCACAGAAATGAGTTCCACAATCGGGTGGATTCGGACGAGACTCTGATCTCAATTTTCCTGACGACGTCATGTGATGCCGACGTGGCCGGCCTCCTGTCGATTGCAATAAAACTCTTTGAACGAGAGTCAGGCGTGCGATCTGCACAAAGATATCCGGAGGGACAAGCTTTGCATCAAGACGCCACATCATCCAAAATACACATGTACGACCCATCACGCCGTGACTCCACATCTGCACGACTCACGCACGCACAGCAGCAGAATACCGGACGGACCGGGCTCGCCTTGAGCCTCCTCCACAGTGATCGACATGCGTGTTGCGGAGAGAGCTGCTCAGGGAAGATAATCATGTCCATCTATATCCCGCGTCTTCTGCAAACCGATGGTGCATGCTGTATGTAGCCGATTGTGTGTCTTACAACAGGCGGCTCCTCGTAAGCGACTAGAGTCCATAGGCTGAAGAAAAGACGAAGGATTTGTGGTGCTACCCACCTTCGAAGTTGTGGTGGGAATCCAGGATTTGATAGGCCTCCCATTATTTGCATGTGCTTCCACGACTTTAGCCTATGGACGAAGCCATTGCTCCCACGAGGCGTGCGTGCATTTCACCCCCACGAACTCCAGGAAAGCAATTGTTGACTGCAAGGGATGTAGCGTTTCCATCTACTGTAATGGTGAGACAACGTGGTACAGCTGGGATATCAGGCTGATGATGTTCGCGGCGTAGCTGAAACTTACGAGAGACTGTTGCTTGCCGTGAGACATGGGAGAACGCGTGGCCGGCCAGATACAGTACTTGGGCTGCGAGTTGTTATCAGAGCAGTCCTAGACGAATTACGACACGTCGGCCTTGCAAGCATTCGGCCCTCGTTGACTGTGACTATATGCAGGTGTGTAGGTAGGTGTACGTGATGCTTGTGTCATTGGACGTCAAGGAGGCTGCTGGAGATTCGATCGATCTCTTTGTAATGGATTCGAACATAGCCGGCATCATTTCTGTCAGGACTCTGCCCTTCTAACATCGTCTCGAGTATCAACGTCCTTCACTCCGAATGTGCTGCGGCACCCAAACCCACGAAGTGATGCCGCCTCGTGCCGAGAGCTTCTCCCGTTGTTCTAAGGCAGGGCGCTTCCTCGGCGCCGATGAATCTTCGTGACTGTGGCTGTGGCGCCGACGTCTCGCCATCGACGAGACACGGCATCACAAATACTGTAGCAAGAGTGATGATTGAGAACCTTGATCAGGTGCCAGCAGCCTGTGTGTTCGGACAGTGCGATTGCAAGTGTGCTTACCACCAATGCTCGTTCTCCTCCTGCTGCCCACTAAGAAGCCCACTTCGGGCAAAATCGCGAGTTGTGCCAGTCGCCCCACGGGTTGGTTTTACTTGCTCAGAGGGTCTGTCACAAGCCAGATTTGAATTGTTCGCCATGATTCACGTGATTTCTGCACAGGAATTTGCCATCACAGAGTTGTGAGCGAACGTCATACACTGCTTGTCAGCTCTAATCGCAACAAATTCCACGTTGCTTCTCCGCATATCGAACGACTTTGTCCTTGAGGAGGTACTCCGTACGGTCTGGGGTTGCCGAGGGAGACGTATCGCAAATCCCGTGCAGGAAGGCAATCACACATCTGAAGCGGTAACGCAGGAACCGTACCAGGAAAGGAGGGCATCGCTGGCCGCCTATCACCGCTATCTCTTCCTCATCAAAACAGTCCCGTCGGCACAACTGGGGGGGCATCCAAGCTGCATACGCTAAGATTCTGTTCCGGGATCACTTTCCCCACGCACTCTCCCGGTCCTGCTTCGATCTGCCTTCGTGCCTCTTTGCTTGGCGGTCTCATCATCACGGTCCCTCTTCCGCTGAACTTCTTTCAGAAAACTCCCACTCGCGCGCTGAGCTCGGCATCATCCCTTGCGGTTGCATCTTGACCACCCCCGACCCCGGACGCCTCCGCATTACACTGCATCATTCCTTTTCCCAGGCTTACTTGACCTTTGCCCTCAGCCAGCTAGGCTGCTCCTTTTCACATGCTCTCTCAGCTACTGAACCCGGAGCACCACGCGCAGGCCCAACAACAGACAGCGCCCACGACGACACAAGAACCACAACAGACGTCATCTGGCTACTCAACACCCACTACGCGTTCACCACACATGGCTTCCGCCGCGCTCGGCGTGTCGCCGATGTCGACCGACGTCAACATGAGTATGAACATGAGCGACGAACATCGACCAGACTTACCCCGCCCTTACAAGTGCCCGCTATGCGACAAGGCCTTCCACCGTCTTGAGCATCAGACTCGACACATCCGAACGCATACTGGGGAGAAGCCACATGCTTGCCAGTTCCCAGGATGCACGAAACGCTTCAGCCGATCCGACGAGCTGACACGACACTCGCGCATTCACAACAACCCGAATTCGAGAAGAGGGAATAAGCAACATGTCGCGGCAGCGGCGGCGGCGGCGGCAGCGATCCAGAACGGCATGCAGAATGGTGTCTACGACAATGCTACAATGCAACAGCTCAACCAGCTCAGTCAATTCGGCAACCAAATGAATCAGATGAATGGCATGCAGCAGCACAACCAGCTCAATCAATTCGGCCAGATGCCTTCGAACGGTATTGGTCAGATTAATGGCCTGCCTAACCTCCAACAGCAACTCAGTCAGCAGATGAATCAGCAAATGAACCAGATGCCGGGCATGATGCCACCTCCGCCAAAGCACTCGAACTCTGCGCCTGGTTCGAATGTGACTTCGCCGAACGTCTCACCTCCGCATTCATATGCGACCTATGCAAGCAATCCTGGCTCCTACATCACGCGAAATGCCAGTGGCGACATCAGTCCGGCTGCTGGCAACTTCCAACAGAGGCCGATGGACATTAACCTGCTGGCGACTGCAGCGTCTCAAGTCGAGCGCGAGAACAATGCACACATCCCGAACCAGCATCTGTCTTTGCCCAACAGCAGATATGCGACGCCTTACCACAGCCATCCGTATGGCACTGGTCGCATGCCATCGCTCTCGTCTTACCACTATTCTTCAAACCCGACTTCGCAGCCCATGTCTCGCTCGCATTCTCAGGAAGAAGATGACCACTACGGACACCGAGTCGCGAAGAAGTCGAGGCCAGGAACCCCACAATCGACTGCACCACCATCTCCAGAATTCCCGCACGAGTCTACATCCCCCACACCGGACCACACTCCGCTCGCGACGCCTTCGCACTCTCCACGACTACGACCACAGTATTTTCACAACGGCGTTCAGCTCCCCACTCTTCACGACTTGTCTCTGCATAACCAGCCACCACCAGCGCTTGCGCCTGTCGAGCCGTCAGCTGACGGTCATCAGCCGTACATTCCGGCTCAGCATAGCGGGCTGCGCATCAGCGAGATCATGGAAGCGGGAGATGGCGCACAAAGAAAGTTGCCCGTGCCCATGGTCGCATCAAAAGACAACAGTCATGCCAAAATCAACGAGCTTAGGGAGCCTGGTAGCGGCATGAGCAGTGGTCAGAACAGTAGTCGAGCAAGCGAGGCGGGCGATTTGCAGGATCGCATGTGATGAGCGAGCGACAAAGAAGGCCGCGCCTCTCGGAATACTGACTTCGGCCACGGGACTGAAGCCATACACTTGTACGGTCTTCATGCTGCATACTTGGGTTTCCTGTTTTCACGCGAGGAGTTCTAGCGATAGATTGGAACGGCGAATGGGAGGCGAGGGAGGGTCGTCTTTGGTCGATGAGTCGCAAGACTGTTATGGAGGTATTTGACTCACGGCTGCTGCGCTTTGTGGTATTCAAGATACCCACGGCACTGGTTTCTGCCGTCTTCGACATGCTGGTCAGGAAATTGCTTCACTCAAACCGCGCGCCGTTTGGCTGTGCGATGCTTACATAGGTGCGCTCAGGTAGCATCGGCATAATACAATATTACTCTGGCATCCTTCTGCCCCGGTCTCACGTATTTGCCGCATCTCCTTGCCGTCTTGGGCCTCCTCGTGATCATCGTTGATCACTGCATGATTTCTCCACGTTCTCCGCGATGGCGTGCAAAGCTTCTTGCGCCGCCTTCGATCCGGTCGTTCACTATTGACTTTCGTGCCTTACCATTCTCTGCAACACTCCACCTCTCTACTACTACAAGCGAACAAAGCGAGATTTCTGGAGACCATAATACGTACTTGGCTTGCGACACGTTTTCGTGAAACAGATCGACTGCCACGTATACCGATTGGACTCCTGCAGGATCATTGGACGCCTTGCGACAGCTACAAAACTGACACGTCGTCGCTGCGCTACATCGGCTGCCGGCAAAGACTTTGCGCAAATCCTACATCCGCACACAATCCGAGGCAACTGTTGAGGTGACCGAACCGATCTTGCTCTCCGTCATCGTGCGATTCTGCTACCAGCCCGACTCGAGGTCTTTCGGCTTCCCTAAACAAGAACCTCCCGCGGAAAACACACCTGTATCCATCCCACCACAAAACATGTAAACAGAGTTCCCCAGAAGAACCATGCACCCCAGAAAGTGCCAGGCTGCTGGGTCTGTAACCTTCTTTTTTTTTTGCTTGCTTCCTAATCTATCGGATGCCTTGTCTCCTTCTATCATTTCGTGCATCGCGTCCCACGGCATTCAACACACCCTTCTCCAATAAAGCAGGCTGCAGCTGTCCTCAACAAAATGCAAGGCTCTCGTCATCCTTCTCAACAGTTTGTGAATTTACGTTCTTATGATGCGAGGGTTCGGCATCACGTCATCACAGCAGCTGGGACTTGTCATTTCACATGCAAGCTGGCCGCTCGCTCGCTCGAGAACTCTGTTCGTCCGCACCAACGTACGCTAGAAGGCGTGTTTTCCCAAAGCATCCTCCGCGTGGCGGACTTCAGCCCGAGGTCGTGATAGCCGAACGCCTCTGTACGAGATCTAGACTCTGCTGGAAATTGGAAGCTGCGCAGCGTGGGGGTGGAATTATGGGGATCCTTTCCGCATTCCTATTCTTCCGGCGACCACGGAAGAATTGGTTGCGCTGGTCATCAACAGGGAAGGTCAAAGATAAGCGTGCGTGGTGGCTGACTTCTGTGCTTCGCTACGTGGTCTTTTTTCATCTGCATGCATGTGAAGACCGCGATAATGGTGGGGTGCAGTAGTAGCCGAGGGTACGTATCTTTCCTCCAGATTGGTGGATGCCGGGTAAGTGGGTGTGGATGGAAGTGGAGGACTCGTACAACTTGGGGCCACGAATGACTTCTTGCGATACGGTACCTCGGACCGAAGCACGTGTTTGCCTGGCTGAGTAGCAAGACAAATGCGGCTCATATTAATGTGACGTCCGCCTGGACTTGGTCGCGAACTCGCTTGTGATCTTGGACCACCGCAACGATGGGCCGGCCTCCATGGAGGACGCGGTGCGGGCATCTCGACATGGTCACCAAGCGTCTGGAAACCGAGGAGATAAGCAAATGAAGCGGCGAGGAGCAACAGTGGAAGGACCGAAGATCCTATCTGTGCTACCTTTTCTCCCGTAGGACACCAACGTGCACCACGAACCCACTACCTTCCTGAAGCCCACCGCTCAGCATGTTGTCAGGCAACCTCCAGACCCGGAACGATCGCATGAATGTCTTGAGCCACTGCTCAAACACTTCCGATTGACGCAGCTGTTGTGCTACCAAGCAGACTGTACTACCTGCTGAAAGATTTGACTCCGTGACTGCTTCACTCCGTAGCTTGCAGATATCCTCGCATGTCTGGACCAGCGGATTGATCAACGCGTAGTTGAAGATACAATCACATGCGATGACAACATCGACGCCTTGGCGCAGGTCGTTGCTGGCTAGATGCCTTTGAACGTCGTCCTCCTCCCAGTCAAGAGCAATGACCTGAATGCTTGACGAGGGCTGCCGCACTTTGCTTGCCTTCCTGCCACCGTGGCTTTTTCGGTCGGACCGATGGCCAGCATTCGCATCGATGTTACTCCGCAGCAACCTGAGCACATGTTGTTGATCCGTAGCCACAACAGCCTTGACTTGCGCAGCTAGCACAGTTGCCACGATCCCAGAGATGCCAGATCCCAGCTCAAGTACCGTGCTGTCATGGTCAAAAAGTCCAGCGTTGAACAGCGAGCTGCGAGGATCTGCAAGCCACTCTGCCACCCGGACGGAAGATTGCCAGACCACAGCACCAGTAGTGCCTTGCTCGTGGCTCGATTGCAGTAGTCCGGGGGACTGGGTGATGGTGTAGTCTTTGGCCCCAATGGTGATCTCGAGGGTCTCTGCCTTAGCATCAATCATGCCAAGATTTGGTAAGGCGGCTGTCTGTGAGAACAGATCGAATGTTTCTGTGAAGACTTAGCCTTTGCTATCATGAACGAGAGGTGTGCATTTGTCTAACCTTCATCGACATGTACGACCTCGTCCCCTAACTTGGCCAAGAATTCGCTGAGAGCCATATTGCCCTCGAGTCACCTGAAGTCGAGCATTCTTTCGCTTTGCTCTTCGCTGTGCTTTGCGCGTAGTCGTGTATATAAGTTGTCAGCATTCTTGTCCGCGTTTTCCTCGATCCTTATGCGATGCAACTTCATCAACAGCAGTGCTTGCCACTCCCTTGGAAACGTGCGTTCGGCAGCGTCTCTGAGCTCTGACCCGACTGTACCCTGCGAACGACCCCACCAGCGATAACGATAAGGATAAAAGTTCCATGAATGTCAATCAAAACTTTTGACCAAATACAATGTAGACCATAACAACCGCCAACATGGCGACATCCGAACTCCCAGAGTGGAAAGCTAAGCTGATAGAGCTGGCTCTCAAGTCCAACATCCTGACCTTCGGCTCCTTCAAGCTCAAATCAAACCGCATATCTCCATACTTCGTCAACTGCGGACTCTTCTGCAAAGCCAACCTAATTCGAGCAATCAGTACAGCCTATGCTCGTCAGATAGACAGCTATGCCAAGGAGCACCCGGAATGGGGTTTTGATATACTCTTCGGACCGGCGTATAAAGGTATACCGCTTTGCGTTACCACAGCAGAGAAGCTAGCGGGTGAGGACGAAAGCAAATGGGGAGACATCGCATACAGCTTCAACCGCAAGGAGGTCAAAGATCATGGCGAAGGTGGCTTGATGATTGGTGAGAGCATGAAAGGAAAGAGGGTGGTCATTATCGACGATGTCATGACGGCTGGGACTGCTATTCGCGAGGCAATCGATATCATCAATGGGCAAGGTGGGAAGCTGGTCGGTATTATCGTGGCTATCGATAGGCAGGAGAAGATGCCTAGTCAGAGTGAGAAGGAGGGTAAGGGCGACGATGGGACGCCCAGGGGTAGTACGATCGCTGAGGTGAGGAGGGAGACTGGTGTGCCTGTCATGGCCGTTTTGACGCTGAGTGATATGATTGCGGGGATGAAGAAGTTGGGACGGGAAGAGGAGATGAAGCAGATGGAGGAGTACTATCAGAGGTACAAGCCATCTGATTGAATGCACACTGGCAAAACGAACTCGAAACCAGCATAAGCATGGCCAATAGTTTATCTGCGCCTGCCAAAGCCACAGGCTCGACCATGCCTGTCACATTACGGACACTGGTGGAGCGAATAGATGCTAGAGTGGCAAGCCGTGGCAACGATGAGCGATGATAACCGAGAAGGGCCCGAAGCATTTTGTACCGATACTAGCAAGCTGTAAAAGTATAACTACAAAGATCATTGAGTACGGCATTGCTCCTCCAGAAACGCCCAGCAGTCATATCACATACCATCATTACCCTACCTACATCACCCACCCGTAAGTAATTCTCATCCTGATCACAGATTGGAGCAGCAAGCCTACTTCTGGATCTTGCTGACTTCGTCCTTGTACTTTTCCGTGATTCCCTTGCGGTTGAGCTTCTGTGCAGAGGTGACGAGACCCTGTCATACGTGTTAACGACCGTTCGAGTATCACAACAGTTCTATAATGACTTACGTTCTGTGGCGTCCACTCCTCATCACTGAGCACAACACCCTCGATCATCTCGATACCAACCAGACCACCCTTCTTACCAGCTGCCTGCATCTCCTTCAGTACAGCAGCATTCACATCCTTGTTGTGGCAAAGGTCCTCTAAACCACTGCCCTTGATCCCGTTATTGCTGGCCAAGCTCTTGAGAGCAGGCTCAGCTGGCACGACGATAGCAACAGGCTTGCTCTTGCTCTGATCGGCATATACGCAAATATTGCCGACGACTGGGCAACTGCGATAGATGGACTCGAGCTTCTCCAAGGCAATGTATTCACCATGCGCCATCTTGACCAAGTTCTTCTTGCGGTCGATGATCTTGAGCGAGCCAGCTGAGTCGAACTCGCCAATATCGCCAGTCTTGAACCAGCCATCATCAGTGAAGGATTCCTTGGTCTCCTGCTCCATGTTGAGGTAACCCTTGACGACAGAAGCGCCACGGATCCAGATCTCGCCTTGCGGTGGGCTGTTCGTGCTGAAGTATCCAGCGTCTGCGAAGTCGACGAGCTTGACTTCCACAGAGCATGGCATCTCGCCCATTGAGGAGTCGGTCCAAGCCAAGGGGTCCATGAGCGCACCCATGGCAGCCGTTTCGGTCAGGCCGTAACCGATAATCATAGGTGCGATGCACATCGAGATGAAACGCTGAGTGTCCTTCGCCACGGGTCCACCTCCATTCATCGTGATTCGTAGACGACCGCCCGTAGCTTCTTGAATCTTCTTGAAGACTACGGAATCCATCAGGCTCGTGCTGACGCCGGACAATGGTACGTAAGAGTTTGCCATCAGGAAGCTTTTCGCCGTGAAAGCACCCCAGAACATGTTCTTGACAATCGGGTTCATCTTCTCGACCTTGGCTTGGATACCCTTCTTGACGGTCTCCCACACGGCTGGCACACCAACCAGGATGGTAGGCTTGAACTCCGCGATGTCGCCACGGCAGTTGCGCATGCTCGCGTCGGAGATTGTGCGAGGGTTGCCATAACCCATGGTGCCTCCCCAGTAGAGGCAGGCAGACTCGAAGACAAACTCCAAGATATGTGCTTGTGGTAGGTATGTGAGCAGACCATCACCCGGGCCAAGGTACTGTCCGACGATCGAGTCGACACCAGCAATAGAGCCGAGCACGTTCCTATGGGTTAGTAGGACACCCTTGGGGGCACCAGTACTGCCGGAGGTGTACATGATACAGCATAGATCCTCTGGCTTTGGTGGAACTGGCTCGACCATGTTCTCCTCACCCATCTTGATGAGCTCGCTAAAGCTCTGCACTGACAGATGGGGGTGCGCTTCCTTCAGCTTCTCGATGTCTCCCTGAAGCTTCTCCGGGTCGGCCTTGGTGGTTGGTGCCTCATCGTCGTTATAAATCACATGCTGGATATCCTTCGCCTCTTGCAGTGGCTTGATGAGCTTGGTGAGCAGATGTGGGTCGAGGAAGATCGCTTTGGCATTAGTCTGCAATAGAGAGTGCTTCAAGCCTTCCTCGCCAAGTGTGTCGTACGCAGTCACAATAGCCATACTCTGGCTGTGCGCCCCATGTGCCGTTGCCAACCAGTACATATGTGTGGCCGCGAACAAGTGCACGCGATCAGCTGCCTGCAGTCCAAGCTTGCGCAAGCCTGAGCCTGCCTTGAGCACGAGCTGCTCATACTCGGTAAAGCTCAAATATTCGTAGCCGCTGAGCTCGAAATACTGCCACTTCTTGTCCTGCTCAACTTCTTTGCCATCCACCATCTTCTTGACCTTCTTGGTCTCCTCATGCATCTTGATGAGCTTTCTCTTTCCCACAGCTTTAGCATTGCCATACTTGGTGCTGGAGCGCTTGAGGATGTCAAATATGGTTGTGGTCTCCGGGTCAGGTGTCACACGCAATCCATCCTTTGCCCTGATGTTTCGACGAGGAATAGTCTCGCCGTCAACCTTCTTCGCGTCGGGAGATTCAACTGTGTAAGGTGGCCGCCTATACGCCTTGGGCTGCGGCACCATCGTCTTCAAGTCCTGGTGATTCATGATGCTGCCTATCGTTTTCGAGTCGTATGTTTGGTTGGACACGTTCGGCGCAATGACGTTGAAATACTGTAGCCAGGCGTCGAGAGAATACGAAGACATGTACGTGACGTCGTCCAAAAGAGGTCCTGGGCGGTCTTGACAGTAATGTGGCTATGCACGCGATGTGCCGCAGAGCAAACAAGCAAGCAGATCGGGACTTCGGTGAGCTCAATCACCTGCATCACTGACGTAAGTCGCGCACGTGCCACTCACCCACACCCGCCTCGAACTCGGCCATAACGTATGCAAGTGGGACACTCTATTGGGTGTTGCTTACAAGAGCGTGCCGTGCATAGGCAAGTACATGGTCAGCTTTAGGGCAAAGGCTGAGAATCCATAGCCCTCGGTTCCACCTCAGCCACTAACTTGCTACACGTATGCGCAATTGTTAAACGGCAAGCCATCTTGCTCCGCACAATGTGTGCCGCAACGGCGACGCATCGACATCATTCAACCACATTCACCAAGAAACCCATGCATGAGTACTGTAGACAGCCATCTCCCTTCCACAAATGCCACTGCCGTTCCGTCACATAGCCTTCTTCGCCTTCTTAGGTGTTCCCTGCAGCACCTGAGCACCACTGGCCTTCATGTCTCCAAGGGCCGCCTCCGTCTGCTGCCGCTTCATGCTTACAGCTTCATGGCGTGCTTCAATCTCATCTTCGAACAGACGAGCCGCCTTGCGCTTCTCCTGACGGGCGGCCTTGAGCTTCTTAACAACCTCGCTGTAGCGACCTAGAAACCAGTCTCCTGCTTCCTCCCACACAACGATATTGAGTGTGCTGAAGTACTCGATCTGGTCCTTTGATCCCTTGGTGAGCATCGATTCAAGATCCTTTGACAGGGTTTCCCCCTGCCCAGGCAGTTGTGATATTCGCGGGTTCTGATCAAATTCTGCCGATTTGAGGTCGGCGTAAGAAAGTCCGTAAAGCTCAGGTAGGTCGATGTCAAGGTCTGCATCAGCATCGTCTCCTGCAGCGGGTGGGCTGCTGTCTTGCTCGCCTTCACCCTGTGGCGAATAGTGGTTGTGGAAGTTGCCTGTCTCGACTCGTTGCTGCCAACCAGGCACTGCCGAAAAGCCATTTGCCTGCGACTGAGGCTTCAAGAGGCTAAAGTCGGTTTGCGGAGCATCTCTCGCGTATGAAGCCCTGACCACTGGAGGCTGTGGCTTTTGCTTTGGCAAGCTCCGTCGCTGGGGTTCTCGTTGCTTCGGAAGTTGCGTCGCTACTTGGCCAGCACCCTGCCCCTCTTCCTCGCCATGAGACGTCTGGCGTGGTTGGTTCCAGATAGCCTTTGGCTCTGCTTGAGCATTCTTCGGACCACGAGGTGCGGTTCTGTAGCCACAAGCCATTTGTTGCAAAGTGTTCTGCGTCGCATCTGCTGGATTACGAGACAACGGGTGGCTATATGGAACAACATTCTCGTTTCTGGACTCGGTGTTGCGCTGGCGCGTCTGTGCTTGACCCTGCCCATATTCTTGCGGCTGATGTCGTCTGCCGGATATGTGTGTTGGCATCTGAGACCGCAACTCAGTGGTTGATGCTGTATGTTGCTCCATCTCGGCGTAGGAGACTGAAGGCACACCGTCAGTAGTGCTCGGATATGAGTCGCCCTTCATGTAGGGCAACTCAATCCTGTGAGGCTCACCACCCGCACCACCATCTGGACGTGGTGTAGCCGTTTCATCGTTGTGGTGGTGGGAGCTCTTTCGCTTCTGCGGTGCTGCTCGGCTCAGAGGATCATCCGCCAGGTCTTCGGGTTCGGTCACATACTCCTCATCAGAATGGAGTGGACTACCAGGAGCATATTTGGGCTTCAGTTTCTGCTGCTGATGGCTTGCTTCGCGTTGCTGAGCTTCATGAGGTAGCTGAACGCTGGCGATCGTCGACTCTCTGTCAATGCTGCTGTCATCCGTGTCGTAGAAGTGCTTTGGTTCAGTATCTTTAGCTACAGCAGGATGACGCGTGACATCGGCCACACCGTTGTTCCTGTGAGCAGCTTGTGCGTTACTTGTAGACTGCTTGTTCTGACGATTGTGCGGCAACTTTGTTGGTACCTTGTACCGATCGAGCGACCGCTCGGTGGACGCTGCATGCTCATCGCGACGCACGAAATCTGTCAACGTCTGTTTCGATGCCATGATTCAAGCTGACAGGCTGATGAACATAGCTGTTGAAGCCCTGTTCAACGCGGATGTAGAGCATTGAGGTTGACGTGACGCGACGTGAAGTGATATCGCGGCAATCCCGCTTGTCCGGGATCAGAAAGCGCGCTAGCCACCCGACATCACATGTCGTCAGTTGCGCTATCAGACGATATCACATTGAATGCTCTTCTGCTTCTAATAATGCCTCGCATGTGTAGCCCGTTCCTACTGTGATCTGGATCATACGATTCTGATCTGCCACATCGTCTCCTGCAGTGAGAGATCAGCACAAAAGCTCGACCGACCAAAATGGAAGGCACACAGAGCATGTCACGTGGGCTGTTTGGTCTTCCGAATGAGGTTTGACATCAAGCCAAGTTATATCATGCACTTCTTCGAGGCTGATGATGCCCTCAGATCCTGCTCTCTATCTTCTCGCTGTTCCCCACAACTTCGCTCGTACAATTCGCACCAACATGCCAACACATCCATTCTATTGTACTCCGTGTGCTACACCACCGATTACAGGTCGCTGCTGGCCTCGCAGGACACACTCTCTATCTTGAATGTCACCATCCGTCTGTAAGGCTTACCGAAGCCAAGTTGTTCTGTTCTTCAATCGGGACAGATGGCCTGGAGGAGCTGCTGTCGAATATGGACATGGCCGCGAGCTGTGTAGGACGAATACGCAAAGCAGGCGCACTATATTCTCGCTTTCGGCCACAGCTAAGAGAACCGCCACTACAGCCACAGAAGCATCCAGCAGGTGACATACCTGGCTCGAGGACATGGCGAGCCCCTTCGTCAGCAGCGGATTATGTCAATACGTTGGACCCATTGCCCGGCGATCAGGTTGTGAGCAAGAACGTGACCGTCGACGCTCATGATCTCTTCTCCCAACTGACCACACTGGTCTATTTGGGCAAGCGTGAGACCAGTCGTGGTTTACTCTTTAGCATACAAGAAGTCAGCGAGGGGACCATACGAGTATGGCGGGAATGGTTGAGCAAGCGATGCGAGAGTAAGAAGTGGACCGATGGCGAGAAGGTCGCCGTACACCGTGACCCGCCCGTCAATCCGACGTCGAGTAGAGGCAAGTCTAGATCCGACAGTGTCACCGGCTACGAAGATCCGACCAAGGATCCAAGCATCTTGTGGATCAACACCCGTGACGATAATGTTGGAGTCAAGTTCCGCGTAAAGGAGCGGAATATGCGACGTGCCAATCCCATTTTGTTCTCAGACGATACGGAAGTGGCTGTGAGCTACGAAGTGGAATTTGAAGGTAAGTATGTTGTGAACAACTTTGTAATATTGGCTAATAGCATCGCAGAAGTCCTTGTCCGCACGACGCATCTACTGCTTAAATTAGAGGGGGCCCAACAGCAGATTGACAACCATAATGGTAAAGCTATTGTCTTTGGGTCGTATGCTGGCTTGCAGGAGTTTGATACAGCTGGTCATCCTCGACGCTGAACCCGATCGTAATGCCAGACTCGCAGTACTGCTATGATGCATTATGGATCTCTTTATGTGCCTTCTCACAGTGTTCTCTTGTACCCAGTGGCTTGTGTTGATATGAATTTACCATCTCTAATGCATTTGAGGAGAGTCTTTGCTCGGGAGCACTGGTCCATGGGTGGATCTCCTCGAGTTGACCCGGCAATCGTGCGTGTCTTCCAAAATCAGATTCACGCAAATACTTGGGTTGTTGCCGACATTCGAAAGTTTCTCATCTGGATCTGCAAATACCTCTTGCTCCCAAAGACTGGCGTTTCTAAGAGCTTCCGATCTCGGCCACAGCTGCACCGAAGTACCACTTTTGGATACAGCATATAAGATGTCCATTGCATATCGAATATCTGGTCATCGACAAGCAGAGCTACCTCGCAGAGCTGCAAACGGTCAATCAATAGGTCTTCGCAAGCCATCTAAATGTCGACATCACAACCTCGCCGCATGGGCCAGATCATCCGGCTGAAGCGAGATTCATTACAAGCGTACAAAGAATGCCACAAAGCTATCTGGCCATCCATTGCCAAACAGATCAGAGACAGCAACATCAGCGACTACTCGATCTACCTAGACGAAGACTCGATGGTCCTTTTTGCGACGATGAAATACACGGGGAACGATTTCGAAGCCGACATGGAGAGGATGAAGCAAGATCCCGAGACGCAACGCTGGTGGCAAATGACTGATGGGATGCAGGAAAGTTTTGTGGAAGGGAGTACAGGGAGCAAGGATTCGAAGGGATGGTGGAAGCCGCTCGAAGAGGTCTTCCGCCAGGAGTAGAGTAGCCTGAGCCTTCGACCATGGGGCTATTGAGGCGGAGCATGGATTGTATTGTTCCCATCATAGTCCGAATCAGCACGACTACTGTCGCCATGCTACAACATCTACAGACTCATCCCAAAGCTGCAAGGCTTGCTCCCTACTCATGTTCTCACCACTGTGTGGCGGTAATCGCCAGATAGTGATGCCAAATCCACTCATCTTCAGACTCGTGACCAACGGACCGAGCGTCAGCCTTCGGACCTTGAATCCTCGTCGCTCAAGCTCAGCATTTGCTAGCTCAGCAAAGCGAGCAAGTACCTCATCTGATGTACTGCCTAGCGAGTTCAATAGCATGACAACTTCGTTATCTTCTTTTGGGTGTGTCGATGCTGAGAATGGGATGAATGCCCTGTCTTTGTCGCTGAAGTCGAGTATGAGGTCTAGCATTTGTGAAGTGAGTGCTTCAGGCGTGGGTATTGGCGATATTTGTTGCAAGCCTGGCTCGCCGTGCGCTCCCATGCCAAGCTCGATGGTCGCTGGTGGTAGAGTCTGCAAGTCTGTAATGGTTGCGTTGGGCAAGGCAACACTGAAATCTGGTCAGTCATCATCGAGTGGTGCCCCGTTCATGCAACATACCGATCGAACGCAACGCCGATTGTGCCAACATTGGCCGCAACGTACTCCATCACCTCAGCGACTCTCTCAAGGCTCTCACCCTGCTGTGCAAGACCACACGCACTTTTCAGAGCTACCAGGTGTCCACTGAGCCCTCTCCTACCTACCTTACCACCTTTCTTTCTACCCACTGCCACGTCATCGCCAACGGGTGTAAAGTGGACCTTGTACCCTGCTGCTTGTGCTCTGGTAATTGCCAGACCAGCGTTCAAGATATCACCGGTGTAATTGCCGCATACTACTAGTGTGCCTTTGCTCTTCCCGTTTTGCGGTTGACACATCCTGATGGCTTCGAAAATTTGTGCAGCTGTCGGACTGGCGAAGACATTGCCTGAGACATACGCGGACAAGTAGTTGTGGCCAACGAAGCCGCCGAACATAGGCTCATGCCCTCCCCCAGCGAAGCCAATGGTCGTGACACGGTCCTGGGCGAATGCTTGGAGGTCGTTCCGATAGACAATTTTGTATTCGCGATGGTAAGACAAGGATGGCTTCAGATACGTAAGGCCGGTGAGCGCATCATTGATTGCTTCTGCTGGATCGTTGATAAAGTGAAACGTTTCCTTCGCAGGTGGTGCCTTCGTCTGCGTCTCGGTCGCCATGAAGAAGAGCTGCTCTCGGTATAATGGCCGGGCTGGTGGCTATCTCGTTACGAGGGGAGGGGAGCAGGCCAGTAATGGAATAGGAAGCGTGTAGACTGTACCTTCTGTTTCGTTAGAGCGTCATCGCAACTATACATGCGAAGCACCATTCAGAAGTTATACGTCCTCATGTCGGGAAAGGTTGGAGACATCGTTGTGTTCCCCGCATTGATGGGAGCTCCGATGTTGCGGAAGAGGTGGACGAAGACATTTTCGGCTTGCTGTTTACGGTTTGCCGGAGGTCAGACAGAATGCCTTTGGCAATGCACGGCGACTTGCAATGACATGAAATGACTATGGTTTGATAAGGCACTGTATATCTCGGAGGTCAGATCAGATCATACCCTCTTTGCATCGTCTTCAACCGCCTTGTCTGCCTCGCCACGTCCATGCATCCGGTTCCACTCTTCAGCATCATCTGCATCATCAGCACGATTCGCTGTCGACTCAGGAATCTCCTCGTCCTCGATCTCTTCCAGGAGGATCAAATTCAGTATCAGAGCAAGAAAAGCAGTGACAGCGAATCCAGTCTCCAGCACAAGCTCGATGGCGTTAAAGAAGCCAAGCAGGCCTTTGTTATTGCCAGCATATGTGAAGACGTAAGAGAACCATGTAGGGACTAGGGTCGCGCCAAACCCTACTGCTAGAGCAGCAGTAAGTATGAAACGATTTCGGCGTGTGAACGGTATCGTTGAGATGATTCGGATACCTGATGTTGCCACGGCGGAAAAGAGGAAGGTCGTCATACCCCCAAGGACTGAGCTTGGTATTGCAACAAGTCCAGCAGCAAACTTTGCGAGGATGCCCATGACGAGCAGCCAGAAGCAGCATGCGTAGCCGGCTTTGCGATTCGCGCATCTTGTCAAGGCAATAACACCGTTGTTCTGGGCGAATGTCGACATTGGCGTGATAGTGCACAGTCCAGCAACGATGCCGTTGAGCCCATCTGCAAGGACGCCTCCTTGAATCCTGCTGTCGAATAATGGACCATCCACTTGGAGGCGAGACACATCACACGTCGCTGTAATGTCACCGATGGCCTCCATCGCGAGCACAACGTAGACGGCCAGTAGAGGAAGCACTATCGGACCGTATAGCGATAGCTTGAATGTGTGGACCTCGCTACCGGCGCCGCATCGATACCAGAGGGATCGAAGTATCCACAGGCAGCAGCTACTATACAGCCGACTAGGAGACCTGCTTATAATCAGCATCAGACCAGCATCTCAGTACATTGCATGGCGTAACAAGCACGACCGCGCAGCTTTTCATGATCGGACTGCCAAAGCGCTCGCATAAAATGATAGTCAAGAAAACAAGGAATCCCAGCCCGACGAACGACGCAGAGCCCCATGGTAATGGGTGTGGCGCGTATATGGTAGGACAAATGGCAAAGATACCGCTTTCAGGCCGGCCCATACAGCTGCCACTTCCTCCCGCCCAGTCCGCAAACCCAGAGGAGATCAGTGAGACGCCAATGAGCAGCACCGTCGGTCCAGTAACCAAAGGTGGAAAGATCTTGCAGAGGATGCGAGGAGGTGTGAAGGACATTGCGACCTCGATCAGTGCACAAATCGCTGCTGTGCCAATCAGTGCTCCGTATCTTTTCGGACATGGTAGCTTGTTACCGTTGGCATCCGAAGGACAATAGCCAGTGGCGTACATCTGGGCAAAAGCCCCCGTTGCAACAGGAATCACAGCAAAGGAAGTTCGAACGACTGAGATCAGCCCAGTGCCCACATAGTATGGCGTCTTCCAGATTTGGAACCGTGTGATCTGTACCGCGGCCGGTATCCCGCAAACTATGAGCGATGAACTGACCAGATACGACTGGATGTTGGCGTCCAGATTGCCAACTCCAGCCAATATGATAGGAGGAGTGATCACGCCCGCCAGCACTGATAAAGCATGTTGGAAGCCGAGTAGCATTGCCAGAAATACTGGCATCTTCTGGTTGAGGCCGAAGAAAGGAGCTGCCCGCTTCTCTCTCTTGAGAAAGGGAAGATTTGGCTTGAACAGGAACGCATAATCGTAGTCGCCAATGAGTCCGTCTCGCGTCGTGAGAGCTTTGAGTAGACCGCGTCCACTGCTGGTGAGCTTTTGCTTGCGGTCCACACTTGGTCCAATCCGGTCAGGACCGTCGTCCTTGAATCCATCGGGTTGCAACATGCCGTCAGGTCGATCTCCTAGGATGAATGTCGTTTCGATGTTTGTGAAAGCACAATGGCCAGAGCATGGTTTGCTGAGGATGTTGGCCTATACTTATTGTATGATTGTAGTCTGCTAGTATATGCTCTAGAGCTGGGTACTGTTCTTGCTTTTGAGATGAGATCGGCTCGGGAATGCTGAGAGCGAGTGAACAGCGAATGACAATCCGGGCGGCTCCTACCTTTGCTACATGTGGTTATACAGATCTTCATGGTCTGAGCCAATGGCGTTGATATCTGTGTTGACAACGCGAAGGACACGGGAAGAGCGCGTTTTCTTGTCGTGTGGTGGCTTTCGCAACGCGCCGGCGACGGGAGAAACTCGGCCTCGGAATAGCGGGTCGAGATAGCAAGTGCTTCCAATGCATCTTGAACACCTAATCCCCAACATCACTCACAAGCACCATGACAGTCGCCCAACGCCATATAATGATGTGTATATGACTCCCGCACGACGCAGCGCCGGAGCTGCTGTAAGCCATGATAGCTTGGTGGCCAGTACGGTGTGGCTGGCTGAGCGCAGGGAAGATACGCATACTCAAAGAACACAGTTCATGTCGGGTTATGCTGCTTGTATAACGATCTGACGCCGTCGTACCTTCCACAGTATTGATTCGTACCGGTTAGGTGACGATAAGCAGATCATGGATACCTCAAGCTTCAGTCTTCGACTTCAGAAGAGGAATCAAGAATACACTGGCGTGGAGGGTGCAACATTCCTTATTTGAGTATCTCGTGAGACCACCACTGTGAAGATCTATGACACTCGTGGCACGAGCATGTGGTGTCTGAGGTCAGACTTGTTGAAATTTCATGGGATGAAGGCAGCATACCGGCGCTGCTAGACTTGTGCAACCGCGTGAAGACTTTCTGGTACGGCAATGCCCGGAGCCTCTATTCTGGTGACGCGAATCTTGAAATTGGCACAGGAGGTACATCTTCAGAGCACGGGTGGAGCAGCCACGCAACCAATTTCTATCCTCACCCAGGATTGACAGAGATTCCGGATGCCTCCGATGAGCAGAAGCGCGATGTGTCGAATGTGGTGGACATGATCATGGTGAGCAACACCTCAAGCCGGAGAGTCCCAGGCGTTTCGATAGACTGGCTGCCAGCTGTCGTAGGCAGCATGGAATCGATACGCCAATTTACGAAAGACGTCGAGATTCGCCGTGGGAGAGGTTTGGTGAACTGTCGCGGTTACACTTCATCTGACGACTGCTTCCAGACATCGACATAACAGGCCTGCGAAAAGACCCCGACAAGGAACATGATGAGTATTCTTTCAGGTGGCGCGATGATTTTCGTTGCTTAGCCTTGGCACAGGACCGTCCCGATCCTTCACAAGCCGAGACTACCCGATAAAAAAAGTATTGCGTGCTCGCCACTGCTCCACTACATGCCTCCTTTACAGCAGAGTCTTCCACGACTACGTGATATCTCGTGAGCATGTCGAAAGCGTTGACTACCAAAGTAGGACCGACAAGGCAAAGGTCTGCTCCACGCCTTGGCGATTTTAAAACCATGGAGAGTGCAATTTTCCCCTTTGACTATTCCCTACCTTTTCATCTAGACTTTCGTTAGACTTTCGTAACATAACACATATTTGGCGAGCTTCCTGGTAGGACGTGATCAATACGACGCGGACCATGACGGAGCACGAATCTTCGATTACCATGGGCAAGAACAGATCGCTTCTCCGATCTGTGCCCTTTAACATCCTCATCGCTTGCGGTGTGTCCTTCACGGCTCCAGGTATTGTTGTCCATGTTGGTTGCGTTATCTGACTGGTCCTAATACTCTCACATAGGCATGTGGGACGCTCTAGGCGGCTTAGGTGCTGGTGGAGCAGCTGTGCCATACGCGGTCTCTGCTGCCAATGCTCTGGTATATGGTCTATTCGCCATCGTCTGCGTCGCCGCAGGTGCAATAAACAACCGCATAGGATTGAAATACGGTCTTGCCTTGGGTGCTATCGGCTACCCACTTTACGGCGCTGGACTGTACACCAACAGCACCGGCACGAATACCTGGTTCCTGCTATTTGGGAGTGCACTTTGCGGCATATCAGCTGGCTTTTTCTGGGCGGCTGAAGCAGCTATTATCATCGGTTATCCTTCACCTGGCGATCGAGCCTTCTATCTTGCTACATGGCAGACGGCGAAAGCTGCTGGTGAGACCAGCTCTGCATGAAGCCCGATCGTTAGTATGACTGACATCCTGTAGGACCAATCGTCGGCGGCGCCATAAACCTCGGTCTCAACGCTAACCGCAAAACTGCTGGCTCAGTGTCAACGTCAACGTATATCGTCTTCATAGTCATCATGTGCCTCGGCCTCCCAATCGCCCTCTGCCTGACACCCGCACAGAAGATCTGGCGTAAGGATGGGACTCGTGTCGTCACCTCCCGCGCCGCATCTTGGGGTGCTGAGTTCAAAGCTGTTGGGAAGTTGTTCATCTCTCGACGGATACTACTGCTGCTTCCAGCATTCTTCATCAGCTACTTCTACAATGGTTTCACCAGCACCTGGCTCACAACATACTTCACCGTCCGCTCGAGAGCCTTTAGTAGCTTCTTCACCAACTTCGCTGGTATCTTCTCGTCGTTCCTCATTGCTTCCCTGCTCGATAACCAGAAGATTCATATCCGGACTCGTGCCAGAATCGCATTTATCTCCATCATCACGGTGCTCGTGGGGACATGGATATGGGCCTCTGTTCTCCAGCAACAGTTCTACACTGCGGCTGGGACACCTGTCTTTGATTGGTTCCAAGGAGGCTTCGGGAAGAGCTACGCTCTGGTCTTCTTCTGGCAGTTCGGGGGGCAGGCATTCCAGCAATTCTTGTATTGGCTTGTTGGGCAATACACAACAGATCTAAGTAATCTCAGCCATCATACTGGTATTCTTCGAGGCGTGGAAGCCTTGGGGCAGACGGTTGCCTGGGCGTAAGTCTTTCGAGCTCGTCACCCGAGGCACATATATCCGGCAGCCGCCGCAATAGCTTCTGGTGTTGAGCTTTGTGCAGAGAATGAGGACATGCTGACATGACTTACAGCATGCAATCCGAAGGCAAGGCGAATCATTTCGTCAGCATTGGGATCAACTTCGGCATCACATTGCTTTGCATCCTGCCGACCTGGATCGTGCTCTCAGAGCTGAAAGGGAGTCATGAAGTCACTGTGGAGAATGTTGGCGTGATCCCTAAGCTGGACGGAGAGGGCGATGCATGATCTTGGCACTAAACCATGCTCTCGAGATTACGCGGTGGAATAGCGAGGATTTTTCCAAAGACGGCACTGTTTGTGACCCAGTATCCTTCATACTAGACAATATAGCTGTACCCTCGGGCCAAGATTGTCCCATTGCACATACGGGACGATGGTCATGTTCATGCAGGTTGACCCGTGGCGACATCATTGGGCATGAGCAACGCAACTTCCACCTCAAGGCGCTCGCTTTCGTCTCTCTGTGCACAGCAGACCATGTTACGATGTTGGATTATCTACATCAATCCGTCGCCCCACGTACTTTCGGCTTGAGTGACGACGACTGATGTCAAGACGACTTTCACGCCTCTTCGACCGCAACAGATCTACCTCCACAAGATCCACAAATACGAAAGCCTATGCCTCGCCACCACAGATCCCCATGGCAAGTAAACCACAACCCACCATGTCCTCGACGCAGATCCAGCAAGCAAGCGAATACCCTCGCCCAGACTTTGTGAGCTTACCTCTCCACTGGGAAAGTCTAAACGGACCATGGGACCTCTACTTCGACGACGCAGACTCAGGTCTGACTCAAGGCCTACATTTCACCGGACTCTCTTCCCTGGACAACCCTCAGAAGCGAACTATTCAGGTCCCTTTCGTATTCCAATGCCCAGCTTCCGGCATCAACGAACAGACTGTGCACGAAGTACTTTGGTACGAACGACAGATTCACGACCTCAGAGACCCCGCAGAGAGGGAAAGTGGGCACAAATTACTGGTACGGTTCGGAGCGATCGATTATCATGCTACTATCTGGCTAGATGGTCATTACGTGGGCGAGCATAGAGGTGGTCAGACACCTTTCGACCTCGACTTGTCAGATGCTGTCTTCCTATCCAGCAGCAAAGATTCATATAGACTCACAGTCAGAGTCTTCGATTCGGCTACCGATCTCACGCAACCCAGAGGCAAACAGTACTGGGGTCCCAAGCCGGAGAGTATCTTCTACACGCCTTCCAGCGGCATCTGGCAGAATGTGTGGCTCGAGAGTGTGCCGAGATATCGTATAGCTGATAGCAGCCACGGTACCATCATGCTCTCCAATGATATCGGAAAAGGTGCCTTGGATGCGAAGATTGCTGTTCTGGGGAGACGGGTGAAGGAGAATGTAGCTATCGAGCTCGAAGTCAGTCTGGGAGGCGTGCTGGTGAGCAAATCTGACCACGAGTCATTGCCTGACAATGAAGATTTCGTGCGCTTTGATCTCGATATGCGACTCAGTGAAGCGGTGGTCAGGCGCCTACCACCAGAGCTTCGACATGAAATTCCACCGGACGATCCAACTTGCTGGCATGACAGGGTGGCGCTGTGGTCTCCAAATCATCCTACGCTCTACGAGATAGTCATCCGCCTCTACAACACAGAGTCTGATACGGTCGTAGATGAAGTCCATACAACAACAGGTATGCGCGCCCTGTCCTGGACCAAAGGAGACAACACGTTCCGCCTGAACGGGGCTCCACTCTTCCAATCCCTATTTCTCGATCAAGGATATTGGCAAAACACTCTCATGACGCCCCCATCTCAAGAAGCGCTAAAGCAGGATATCATCCTCAGTAAAGCCATGGGTTTCAATGGTTGTAGGAAACACCAAAAAGTCGAGGACCCAGCATTCATGTATTGGGCGGATAGACTGGGTTTCCTCGTGTGGGGCGAGATGGCGAATGAATTCGGGTTCAGTGTGCTAGGTTGTGAGAGGTTTGAGCAAGAGTGGATGGAATCTGTACGTCGAGACATTAATCATCCATGTATCGTGACCTGGACGCCTGTGAATGAGAGCTGGGGCTACGATAATCTTGATGGCGATGCGAGACAGAGGGATCATATCAGGAGTCTGTACTACCAAACCAAGATGCTTGATCCGACTAGACCGGTGAACGATAATTGTGGGTGGGAGCATGTGGTCACGGATCTGAGCACGTTTCATGAGTATCAGGATGCCCCGGGGATGGCGAATCGGTGTAAGGATATGCACTCTATCCTCGCCACCGGTCGAGCAATGTTCCTAGGTCCGATCTATGGGTCAGATGGGCCAGCGCGACGCTGGCTCGCAGCACGTCCGTGGAGCACCAATTTTTTGCACAGAGTTTGGTGGTGTAAATGTTGCCGTCAAGAACGATGATTCGAGGCAAGGGAACTGGGGATATACCACTGCAGCGGATAGCAAGGATTTGTTGGAGAGATTCGACAAACTCATGGTGGCGACTGTGGAGGCAGGCCATGTTTGCGGGATCGTCTGGACCCAGTTCAGTGATATTGAGCAGGAGGCGAATGGGCTGTATACTTATGATCGGAAGCCGAAAATTGATCCTGAAGGAGCGAGGAGGGTGGTGGAGAGGGTGGAGAGGATGTATCATGAGAAATTGAAGCATGGGAGATGAGTGGCAGATCATTTCGATCGCTAAGTCTTAAGCAACAGGAAGCTGACTTGATGGTCGGCTGTCTGCCTGGTATTTGTAGACTATACAGATAATCATATCTCCGGTTCATCCCGATCAGGACTACAGTCACCCGAGGCTCTTCAGCAGGTACCTCAAGTAAATCGAGCCGTGCCAAGTCCGGTCCAGCCACGCTGGCTGTCCAAGTAACGCCAAAGCGCCTTCCATGCTAATCGTGCCAAATACAACGCATAGAATCATCCTGCAATAGCAAACTTAATTGGCAAGAATTGTCTTCACCATGTCTGCAGCACAGGTTAGTATGAAAGCCCTACACTGCCTCGCACACCACAGACGTACCCATATAGTTCAACTCCCCACTCGAAGTGTCCACCGCCTTGAGCAGCTCATCGACCTCCTCATCGCTCATCTTCTCGCCCAGATTCGTCAAGATATATCTGAACTGTCCCACGCCAATGAAGCCCGTGAGGTCCTTGTCGAAGACCTGGAACCCACGACAGTACTCTTCCGGCTCGCCTGGGTCGCGGAAGCCGCCGGGTCGGTTGAGGATCTTGGTAAAGGAGTCGAAGTCGACTGTACATACCATGCTGTATCAGTATTTTGTGGGGATCTTGAGGAGGTGGATGCAGGCTTACAGTCACCACTACGCACACCACCCTTCAGATCATTGATCTCCGCCAATGTAGGATTCTGACCGCATGCGCGGAGGAGGTCGCCCAAAGACTCGCCATCGACGCGTCCAGTGCCGCGTTTGTCGAAGAGGGAAAAGGCTTCCTTGAAGTTTGTGCTTTGCGCCTGGTCCGCCATCTTGTGTTAGTCTTGGTGTAGTTCTTTCGCTCTTCTCTTGCGATACTGTCTCGCTCGTTCTCGTGATTGAAAGTGGTAGGGCTGTGTCTACGAGCGCATATGCAGTATTCGTGTCTCTTTGTTGATTTTCAGGCGCGAAAGTCTCCTGAGTGATCGCGGGGGCAGGAGAGCCGCAGGGTCCGACCAATAGCATGTGGAGAAGGCAAAGACTTACCATCTTGAGCTTGTTCCCCGTATAACGATGTTGTTGTTGTTGTCTCGCAAGTGTGTGGTCCTGGAACAGTGATGCAGTAGCCAAGCAAGGGACGTTTCTATCAACGCTCGAAACGTGAGACACAACGCAGGAAATAGTGGGCGCCGTAGATCGTCCGCTAAGATGCAGAATGGTCACTGCGCGGACGCCACATTCATCGCCATGGCAACGATGGAACGAGTCAGGACCATGAGAGGTAGAGAGAACGAAGACGGAGTGAACAGATTATGTTGCATGTGTAGCGACTGCTGATGATGGCGCTCAAGGCTCATTACAAGCCGCTCGGTGAGGAGGAGCCGCCACGAGACCAGGACAACCTCGATACGCCGGCAGCAATCATTCCTGCAACTCTGGACGACATTCCCGACAACACCGATTGTAGATGATGTCGATGATCGTGCGTAGCCTTCGTCAGTGAGATCTAGACCGCCGAACCACTATTTGCTCCATGAACATGCTTCCCGACGAGCTCTCCCACTGCCGTCGCTCCATCACTTCGTAAGCACGTCCTGAGAGTCATCATGACCACCGAAATGAAGCGCATCAGCGACCATCTCTCTGCCATGCACCGAGAAACCTTTGACACCGTCCCTCTTCTCCCGTTCCTCAACCGTGTTCGCGATCGCGCTTTCGACCCTCCCAACCATAGCGTCATACTGAGCCTGCGAGGGGCCCGGTTGGCCTAAGCTACGGTAGGAAGACTCACCCAAATGCTCCAGATGCCTCCAAGTAACGTGATAGCCCTTCTTATACTCGCGGCCGATGTAGACTTGGACACAGTAGTCGCCCAGCTCGCCGAACGTAAGCTTACCATACAGGCTCCCGTGGAACGACCAGAGTCTGGAACACTCATCAGCCCTCCACTGATCGGGCAAAAATGTTGGAGAAGCTGTGATCTGTCTCCCGTGCATTGTCTCGCTCAAATGGATGCATTGATGTGTCATGGCGAGCATCGCATATACCGCGCCTTCAAGCATAGGTCCTTTCGCAAGCTTGATATTTAGGCTGACTCGAGGCAATAAGAACATATCTCTGGTGTCTGACCATCTTCGTAGCCGCCGGATATCGCGGATGTGGATCCAGAGAATTTGGTCCTGGACCTCCTGCGGTAGATCGAAGAGTCTGAAGGGCGTTGGTTCTGGTTGCTTCCGCTCAGTCATGGCGAGAAGAGAGCAGGCGGCGGGGTTTGGAGACTATGCGCAAGGTCAGTATCAGTCTATAAAAGATAGGTGAGGACAAGACTTACACCTGGAGTGCCCTTATCTAGCCGCTCACTGCACTGCTCCAGCATTTTGATGATATTTAACGAGTATCAATCATTGGAAGTTCTCTGACTAGTATGTGTGCAAACCTCCAAGACCGCGAATACAGAAGGAAAGAATGCGTGTGATTCAACAGCATCAAAGCGCGCCTTCCTTGTCTGTGCCGCGCTAACAACAGGAGACAGTGGAGATCATCACGTGGAAGTATTCAGCACCTGGTACAGTAAGTCAATACCGTGCTATCTTTCAGCTAGTATGATCGTCTGCCACCCAAACTACAATTTCGGATCCTTCGTCCTGCTTTTGGAGCAGAACGCGCGAAGATCAACACCAGCACCGGCACCATGATGGCCTGGTATTATTGCCCTGAAAGCCGTAGATATTTCAGCCACGATCGGCGGTGTTCAGTCGCATCTGTCTAGAGTTGGATGTACCCTCGCACTATGACTCCCGCAGATCTGGTCGATCATCTTCCATGGCATCAAGTGGATGACATACAACGACACCTAAATTGGTACGGAACGTCCAATGTTATGTTTTGGCCTGTTGATGTTAGCTGTGGCGATGTTGTTAGTGAGGTGTGTTGTTCATCTGTAGTGCCGGCAGCTATCGCTACGGAGATACTTCGAGCAAGTTCAGGTGTTGGGGATCGTTCGAGGGGGCTCGATTTTGGTTAGTGCTCTGCTTATGAAGACTGATGCGGTTTGCCTCGTGTCCATTTGCGAGGCCAAAGCTCATGTTAGAGAATGTCCGAGATCGGCTTCGATGATCAATGTTGAGGCGACATGAGATCAACCCCGACACCTTTGAGTGCGTCAACGGCCCAATGTGGGTATTTGGACTTGTCTCCTGCATACAGCCTGTCGAAGTGCCGGTGCAAGAATTCAGGATATCGCTGCTCAACAATAGCTTCTCGTGCTCGTCTGACCATATCGAGCAGATAGTGGACATTATGTATACTCAGCAAGTGAGCACCAGCCGTCTCCTTTGCCGCTGTGTGATGTATATATGCTCGAGTGATGCCGAGACCACCGTTCTCGGGCTTCCTGCAGCACATGCATTCACAGTCTTCCTCGGCTGGGCCGAAGTCGTAGGCGTATGCTGCGTTCTTGAGATTGTGTGTGCCGGTATTCGTGATAGCATTGCCAAACCGCGCTGTTCGTGTCGGCCACACGCAATCGAACATGTCCGCACCCAAGGCAATCGAGACCAAAATGTCTTCAGGATAGCCAACACCCATGACATAGCGTGGCTTATGGTCTGGGAGGAGACCAGTGCATGTATTAACGACCTTACAATACTCGGCCTTGGCTTCACCACCACTGAGACCACCGATAGCAATGCCGGGCGTGTCACGATTCACCATCTCCTTGCAGCACTCGCGACGCAAGTCCAGATCCAGCCCACCTTGAATTATGCAGAAGAGATTCTGTGACTCCGGCTTCTTGTGCGCAGCAATACATCGATCAAGCCACCGGACCGACCGATGCATCGCCTCTCTGATCCGGGTAAGATCCGGAGACGTCGTCGCGATCACATCATCCAGTTGCATGATGATGTCTGAGCCGATGGAGTTTTGTAAAGATATGGAATGCTCGGGAGTCAAGAGCATTGGCGTTCCATCGTGCGGACTCAAGAAGCGAACACCCTCTTCTGTGACTTTGGCCAGCTTGAGCAGGGAGACCATTTGGAAGCCGCCGCTATCTGTCAAGATATTGTGCGGCCATGACTGGAGCTTATGGGCTCCACCAATAGCGTCCAGTGTCGCTTGGCCTGGTTTCAGACCACTGTAGATTGTTAGCGCGTTCGTTCAAACAATGGTATGTGTGATGAAACATACAGATGGTAAGTATTGTTCAGACAGAGTCGACAGCTCGTCTCCTCAAGTTGCTTTGGTGATAATCCTTTCAGTGAGGCCTGCGTGGCGACGGGCATGAACATTGGTAACTGTACAGGGCCGTGAGGGAGATGCAGGGTTGCTGCGCGGGCTTTGGTGGTCTACATCTGCATTAGCAAAGTTGTTTGTAGGGAACACAGCACATCTGGACATACTGAGCATTTCGCTATGAAGTCGAATGTCAGTGCGGACGGGCGTAAGCCCATGCCGTCTGTGGAGTCCATCTGAATCTGTGTTGCAAAGTAAAAACGAAGGAGAAGATGTTTTGGTCGGAAAAACTCTTTCTCCGTTGTCTGCAAGGCACAAGCTAACCAGACAGCAATTGAGTTTTGGAAAGTGGTAGACAGAAATACGGAAGATTGACAGACTGTCACGACTTTGACCGCAGGACTGTTCAATAGACGACTCCAGACAAACGCCATCATACCCAGGTATCATCAGAATGCAGCAGCACATAAACAAGGACCCAAACACCAACAGCCCCTGCACACCACGGCCTCTCAATCCTCTTCGACAACAATCCTCTTGGTCATGCTCTCAACGACCTTGACGTAGAATTTGACAGCATGAACTCGCGGGAAGCATATCTCCTCAGCCAAGTAATCGGGGAGGATCTCGATGAGTTCGTGATCCCGAGACTCGTCGAGGAAGGGCTCGTATGCGAACTCGGCTTCTTCGTATGACAAGCCTGTCGGAGTCTTGGGGTTGGCGATGGCGGCGTCGTTGGCTACCGAAAGATGGAAGTGGAGGGCTAGAAGGTCTGGATCAGTATACAAACCAGATTTGCCGTGCATGAGAATATGACGACTTACTTCCGTTACGACCGGTCTGGATACAGTCGTACTCGTCTTCGCCATCCTTCCTCTTCACGCCACGAATGATGAGACCAGTCAAGTCTGAGTACAGATTCTCCTTCATTTTAGCCTCTTTCAAGGCATCCGTCGAGTTGGGTCCAACACTCCGGCTCGCCGCTGTCTGAGAGGCGCTTGTCTTACTTTCCTGAGTGGCGCTATTTGCCACCTGCTGTCGTGCTGCCACTAGCTTCGCTTCCAGTGACTTCACTTCGTTTTGCGAGGTCTGCAGCTTCCCCTTGAATGTTGCAGAGTCATTCGAAAGCTTCTCATTGGCGGTGGACAGGGTAGAGATCTGTTTTTGAAGACCGGCAGACTCAGAGCTGTTTGTCGTACTCTTGCGCAGCTCCGCAATCTCCTTCTTAAGAGACACGATGAGCGCGTTCGCATCCTTCGCCTTCTCATCAGACGCACGCTTAAGCCTCTCGAAGTTTGACTCGGCATTGCTTTTGCCGATCTCCTGCAAATTCTGGTACTTCAGATTAATGTTGTCGTACTTGTTTGTCATGTCGTTGAGCTTCCGTCGCAGCTCTGGATCGCCGCCTCTTCGCTCGCGCTCAGTGCCACTAGCACTTCCACTTCGCTCGCGTGCAACGGGGTACCCAGGCTGCGCAGAAACTGATCGTGCGCTGGCGCGAGGTGCAAGAAGTTGCACAGATGTTGATCGTGCTCGCTGAATGGGTCGTAGCTGTTGCGTAGGCGCTTGTGCGATGTCGAGGTCGCCGTCGATCTCAATGGATTCCTCAATGTCATCGGCATTCATTTGTGTTTCCGGTATCACGCCCAATGTCTCCTTCGCTTTTGGCTTCTTGGCGGCGGCAGTCTTCGCACGTTTCTGCTTCGGCTTCGCAACCTCATCGTCATCGTCAAAGTCCTCTGCGTCGCTCTGCATGTTCGTGCGATCCTTTAACACCTGACGAGACTGTTTTGACGCGGCTTTGCGCTTGGTTGCGGTTTTGGTGGCGGCGGCTTTCTGCATGCTCGATGTGCCCTTCACACCCCTGCGTGTTCCTGCTGTCGCTTTAGTATGTCTCAACGTTGTGCGACACATGAACAGAAGTGCGATATACCATTTGCCGCAGCGGTTGCTAGGTCATCATCGCTGGCAGACGCGCCTGCCTCGAGCAGAGCCGTGCGCGCAGCCATTGCAGTAGCGAAAACTTGCGACTCCAGTTTGGTAAGCTGTCGTGTAGGATCTGTGGGTAGTTTGTGTACGGTATTGCTTCCTAGAGTATGCACCAAAATTGTGATATTCCGTAGAGTCAAGATGGCTTCATTCGCGTGTTGACGCGCGACTGTAAACATCAACGGATGTACCCGCTGCGCACGGACACTTTTTCTTGTATATGGATGTGGACCAATCCCACACTAAAAAAATGCTCTCTCGTCAACTTGAGCAATCATCAATGCAAACACACCCTCAGTTCGCAAGCTTGATTCGTGCTGTATATGTGTCTAGTGGTATGGGTTATGCAACCAGGCATTCGACGCGACTTTATGTAAGCGGACACAACTACCACGACATCACGTTCATACGAAAGCGGCCAAGATCACATTGGATACATGACGAACGACTGGCTCCGCAGATATGAGAAATCCGAAGCATTTCTGCGACGTCCATTAGCTTGCTGAGAAGCCGACTGGTCCGGTTTGCATGCCGACAATCCAAGGCCAACACACAATGATCCCCCAAGCTCCTGTTCGCTATCCTACACAAGCTGCTTTCCAGAATAGAGCCTGGTTTCTCTCTACTTCATGACAAGTATTACCTAGGATCTAATCGTGCCAGTGTTGGTGCCGTACATCTGGCGCTGCTGCTGCTGGTAGTGCGTCGGCTGGGCCCCAGCCGGGCGAGGCAGCTGACCCAGCTCCTGAAGTGCCATCTCGGCAGCATCCTCGCGAGCATTGTTGACATACTGGCCATCGTACCAGTAGCGGGCCGGAATGAACCTGCCATTCACTTGTACTGTGCAGCTCCAAGCGGTGCGGCCTCCTACAAGCAGGTCAGTGGCCACTCTAGAGATCTTGATGATGCAGTCGTGAACTACCTCGCCTATCCGACAGTACCTGCCAAGATGGTGTGCGCATGCCTGAAGCACGGCAGTAGCCTGTCGTCGATCAGCATATATCGGTCAATCAAGCACAAGCGAAGGGCACCTACTAATCAATTGATCCTGCTTTGGACTCGGGGCAGGGACCGGCGACATCGATCCTGGTGGAGAAGGAAGATGCGACATGTTTGCAGCTGATGATAGCTTAGCGTGTCCAGCTGAGGATGGGGGTGTAGTAATGAAGGCTAATAGGTTTGACCTGATCGGAACAACCACACACCAAAAAAGCAATGCCGGTACGATTGGGTGTCAAGATGCTGACAGTCGAGTTAGCCGCATGTAATACACTTTCGATTCTAACGAGGATGAGCTGTGTCTCCGTGAGAGCGACTTATATCTCTCCAGCTTTTGTTTGCCAGTGCTTCCGGGTCCCAACAAGCCCAACAACGATTTCTGTTCGTTATGCAGACATCCGTCTCTCCCTCCATGAGGTATCCGCATCGACACGGAAGGGAGGGTGCCTCTATCAGTGTGACCGTTCAAACGACATGAGGAGGTCATGTTGGCAGATGCGTTGGCACCCTCCGCCATTTTTATTAAGATGAGGAGAGTGTGGCAAGCTGCATGTGAGGCGTGTTAGTGGAAGCTCCATACAGCCAGCTACGGTAGGTTCGCAGAAACACTCGAGCCGCTGGGATCGGGTCGAGAGCCTTGGGCCGGACGGAGAGGCCCTTCCATTTCCACGCGCATGTTAGTTCTGCTGTTAGCAGCAGGCCAAGGTCTCGGACTGGGTCTGGTTGATACCGACACAATGGGTTCATGCACGACGTTCATGCAGACAGCAGTAACAGCAGCCTCTGACTTGCCATCCAGCAGCTCTAGCGGCCCACGCTAAGGGATTGACGTGTCGTTGGAGCCCAGGCTAAAGACGCGGTGCAGGGTGATGACGCTCGAATGCAGATAGCAAGCAATCGCTGCCTCGCATTTCGGCGGCGTTCTGTTTGCGCGGGAAGGTGGAAGTAATGATGGGAAGTCAACGACCTACAGTTACACAAATATACATCGCACAAGCCCATGTGAACTTCCCGGGTTCCTGCTGTTGACACATGTGGTCACCCGTCCATGGTCGCGTAGCTGCAGACCGAAGATGCCGACGAGGCTGATGAAAACCTACAGGCTACAAAAGCAGGCCCATCCTCAGCTGTTGTCAAGCAGGATAGAGACACATGCCAAGGGACTACTGGAACTAGCATACTCATGCTGTTAGATATCGATATGGGATTACATAAACTCGTCTCAGCCCATCGATACCATTGAAATCCGATCAAACGAGCCGACAAACGCCACATTCATGCTGAGATTGCGCATGCAGCAGCAAACACCCGCGTCCACGAGACCCATGCTCCTGTGCAACGCGCAGGCCTCGCTCACAATGCAAATATCATCTGATGCATACTGTCGATGTCGTTGGCCGGCCATTAGCAAACCATTGGCCCTGCAAAACCAGCCGAATATAGGAGAAGAGAATCTGCGTCATCTGACATGTCGTACAGAAAAGCGGTCAGGACTCATGTGACGGCGTCGGGTCTCTCAACGCACATCGGGGTGTGTGACAGTGCGACGTGCCTCAGAGCTGTCATTGTCTTGATCGGGCGTCGAATCACCGCTCGCTGGGTGCTCAATGCGTAGATTTGGATTATGTTGAGGCTCCTCCCGAGGGATGATCAACGTGCATAACTCGACTGTCGGGACATAGTCGCTGGTGTTTGCGATGCTGTGGCACTATGGCCACGCCAGCTCGATGACGGCCGACTCTGCTGGCTCGAGTCCGAATCGCGCCTGAACATCTCAGAAATGAGGCGTTTTGGTCCCACGTACTCGATGCCCATCTGCTTGGACAATGGCATGTAGATGTAGGGTTTGCTGTGCTTCTTCTGAAATCGTGTTCGGATAGTATCGTCAACCAGGGCGATGAGTCCAGATGACACGATGACACTATTGATTGAGTCAGCTTTGTGTTTGCTCGGAGCTTAAATGAAGTGTGCACGTACTCGACGGTATCTTTCGGCGCATGGGCGAGATTTCTGTCTTCGAGCTGCAGTGAACAGGGAGCAATCCATCCGCCTTGCATTTGCTCGACCTCAGCACGACTGTGCGAAAGTGGCAATGGCTCGATGACAGCCAATGCACGATCGCTGCCGTCCTTCGTAAGATGAAATAAGACCTCTCTGGTCGTGCCATCGTCCCGAATTGTTCTCCGCCAAGCATACAGTATGCCCCAGTACTCGAATTCGTACCGTTTGCTGCCCTTGGCCCCTACACGCTTCACATCTACCTGGGCGTAGTTTGAGAACTCGAGCTTGATGGTGTCATTCGACAGCTGAGCATCATCAGAGGCACCGTGACCAGCTGAGCGAGGCCTTTCTTCCTTCTCAAAGTCGACAGAGTGCAAAGAGCCATAACCAGAATCATTCCGTCTGAGACTTTCCAGAGTCGGCGCTCTTGACTCCGACTTAGGACGAATACTCATCTTGGTCAAAGCATCGCTAAGAGAGCGCTGGAAGCCAGGTCTTTTGGGTGCCTTGTGCTGTTTGCGGCTGGTGTGGCACACCTCCCGACCAGAGTCTCGACAGTATCGACGGAAGGAGAACTCACGTGCTTTGAGATCGTGGAGACGAAGATGAAATAATGTCATATCGCAGGGTCGACCATCTGCATATACTTCGGTATCGAGGCGCAGATTCATGTTACCATCCGGAGTGGAGTCGTCATGGCGGATGAGCACTCGTCGTCGTGATGGAAAGAGCTCAGAGAAGTCGGCAGGAGTTGCAGCGAGTACTCTTGACCCACTCGGGGTAGCTCTGCATGCTGGCGGCTCATAAACTGGAATCTCATCCTCAGGCTCCGCTTCGCTCTCTATGGTAGAAGCAACGGAGGCGACGGAAGCACGAGGACTAGACTCGGGTACCCGGTCGTCGAAGAAGCGCCATTCGGAGTTTTTCTTGCTGGTGTAGTCATCGTAATGTACATGGATTGGTCTCTTCGCAGAGCTACCGGTGTATTGAGTATGCTTCGTCGAGTATGACTGATAGCTGCTTGAGCCAGTCGATCGTGGCCTCTCTGACAAATTATCTGAAGCACTAGCCTCCGTACCGACGCCATACGCACAGCGCATATTCTCTACGTTCTGCCGATGGTGAAGAAGCATCTTGTCGTATTTGCTGTGTCGTCACCGTGGCTTATATAATGTATGGATGTACGTCACACGACCAATTCAGACGGAGTTGCTCCAAATGATGTAAGTCTTCCTGCTGTAGCACTCAGAGTTGCTACACGAAGGTGTGGACACCCACACCTGTATGATCTAGCCGTGCTCTTGAGTTCCAGTCCTGTACTCCAGCTGTTTGGACCGCCTCGAATGCACGACTGACCGCCTGGCTACTGCGTTCGTGAAGATATAGGCGACATTTTGGATATCGACCGTGTCTCGATACCGTTTCATGAGTGTGAGGTGTCTATTGACTACAGCACACTTGCTGCCGAGAAGAGATGAACATGACTACGCCCGCACTCGGACCTCACTGTTGTCACGGGCGTGGTCCATTTGCGTTAGCGATGCGATGCACGATCCTATCCCACGTCTCACTAACGACGTTAGCGGAGCAGACCAGGTTCCCAAGCCACCGAGTGGTTGACACTCCCTGCCACCCCCGAATCCCGTGCATGCAGGTAGACACGCCATCGCCGCCACGGCGCTTCGATTGGACACTTCCGTGCTGATTTTGAACGGGATGACGGCGGGCACGGCGCGCGATCTGCGGGTGCCAGCGAATAGATATACCTCACCGACCACCGGAGTGCTTTTGCGAACCTTTCTCGGCACGGATGTCGAAGGATTACTACCAATGGACTGGTGTACTACTGACGCGGAGTCGGACGATCGAGATACGGCGAATTGACTGGATTCGATCTTGAGATATGCGCTCATCCATCACCTGTCTCTGCAAGCCCATGCAGCCATCTCGATAGTCCTCCGGCTGGCCGTTAGCTTATCATTACCAGTTGCCTATTAACACTACAAGCCCAAGTACTCCGCCTAACTTACAGCATCCAATGCCAATAATGAGGCTACCAAATATCACAGCCTAGATCTCGTCTATGCCAGGGCAACAACGAGGCATAAGAAAGCAACAAGGTACCGACTGCGGAGCGCAGCAGCCTCCAGCAACAAGCTACTGTCCATGGCGTATTGTGCATGAGTAGCTGCATGAGCACACCACCTTCCATAGTAGCGTTGCATGACTATAGCACGTGCAACCCACGAAGCTGATCAAACGTTCGCGAAGCGCGGTTGTCAGAATACTTTGTACACCAGATGCGGTGGTCGCCGATATACGGAGTAAATCTTGTGATCTAACAATCACGACTAGTCCTGGAAGCCTCATCAACAAGGATTTGAGACTACAGTAATGATGGAAAATGATGCACGATGTCTGCAAAAGCTAGCGATGCACCAAGACCACCAGCTATGACCAGCCGTGCCAACAGGCTGGAGTATATCGGGCACTATCCACCATAAATCTTATAGTGCGCTCAGGAAGAATGAATCGCACTTCACATCATTACGGTGACCACTAAGAGAAGCACTTTTAACTCGGTGGGCGCCGCCCTAAGGGCAACTAGGCAGCTATCTCCTTATACTATACATCGACGGCAGGAAAAGTGAGGCGAAACTGCCGTTCCTCTCCTCCACTAGAAACACAAATGCACCCCATCGCTCGAACTAGAAGGCACGCAAATCACAATTGCACAAAACCCCACTCCGGTTTTCCACTGTACTCACGCAGCATGCTATCATACCATTATAAACAATGTCTATCACAGCCCACTCTCCGGCCCAACAACCGCTTAGCACGAAGGTTGATGCCCGAACAAGCTCACTATAGGTCCATCGCGCCACCCCTCCATCGTTCGCATCGCCTGATCGTGTACGGGCCGCCTTCGCACAGCTGGAAGGCGGTCTGCAAAGCAATGGCCCGAAAACGAGACGCACGAAAGTATAGCACGGTGCGAGAGAATCCCCGTCTACATCAGGCAGCCGTCGTCTCACTCAAGCACTGACGTGCCAAAACGACGCGAAAGCTTGAGCAAGTGGAGTGTTTCTCCACCAGGCGATACTCGGCTTGGTATTGTAGTCTCACCCGAGCCCTGACGCGCCATAAAGACAAAAAAGCTGTTGGACGGTTGAATTGCTTGTTGAATTGCTTGTTGACAGTGCTGTGATCGGCTTGGTCTTGGTTCATAGGCTCGTATACACACAGACACCAGCATATACAATACGCAATCCTCTCGTGTTGTCGAACCAGAGCACCCTACGATAGCTGAGAACCAACGACGTTCCGACAGTGCTATACGCTGCCTAAGCACACTGACATCTCACTCTTCAACCTAGGTTCGTCGCAATGCGTGCAAAGATATCTGAGTCTCCTTCATGCCACCCATTCTATCTACCTATCTACCTAAACAACATGCCTACCAGATATGCTCCGCTAAGCTCCCGTGAATTGCCTTCCTTCAGAGGAACGCGAAATGCATGAAGCACAACCACCAAGCCGTTCCTCAACATATTCGCCCTGTTCGCGCAACCCTGGACACACGTCCGCTGCCTTCCAAGATTCACGCCGCATCACCTCCCTCGCTCTTCCTCCTTTCTCCAGAACCCTTCATCCCGCAAACCTAAACCTCGTCGCCTCCAATCTTCCCAACCCCTCCCTAGGCGCCACATTCCTCCGCCTATACCCATTAGTGAAATCCTGTAACAACACCCGAATCTTCCTCTCCCCCCCGGCCTCCCCACCTTCCAATCTCTGGCGAATATTCCTCAAAAGCCTTTCCCGTTCCTGCGGCGCGATCGAACCCGGCGGCAACAACCCAACCGTCTTGGCCGTCCACTCGGCCGTAGGCTGCGGCACGAGCTGGAATAATGCCAGGAGTACCCCCGAGGCATCCGGGAAGCAGTCGGCGGGGAAGGTGTACATCATCCCCGTCAGACAGCGCTGGGTGAGACCTTCGCCGGAGGCGAGGATTAGTTGTTTGACAGCTTGTTGGGTGGCGGCGGGGTTGGTGCGGTTGGTGTAGCTTCCGTCTTGGTCGTTGAATTGCGAGGATGGGACGTCCGGGTGTCCGTAGGCGAGGACGTCGCGGAGGAAGTGGAGGGTGGCTATTAGGGGTTCCTCTTTCAACAGGGTAAGGGATGTTGAGGCGGCGGCGAGGATGGATGGGATAAGGGGGGAGGTGAGGAGGCTGTTGGGGTGGTAGAGGAGGACGTCAGCGGTCATGCGGAAGAAGTCTTCGATTACATCGGGGAGTTCTTCGGGAGCGAGGTCGTTGAGGGTACGGAGGAAGGTGGTGGCTTGTTGTTCGTAGAAGGTGTAGATGGCGGCTACCGTGCTCGCGGGGATGTATTGGCTGCTGTCGCTGAATTCGCGGACGATGCTGTCGGTAGCCCAGAGGAAACAGCCCTGTCTGCTGCCCTCGAAACCTGCAGCGAGCTTTTCGGCCAGCTGAGGTAGTAGAGGTGCAATGTGCAAACGGTAGGAGAGTACCATGTGGCGCCAGCATCTGCAAATGCGTTCTGCGATGGGTGTGAAGGTGACGAAGTTCTCGCAGATTGCTGATAGTATGGGGAAGATCTCCTTGCAGTATTCCACGCACGGGTGTGAAGGTGCTGAAGGCTCGACGTATGGCCGCACTTCCTGGATGACGATAGTTATGAGATTAAGATGGTCGGCTATAGCGAGCTTTTGTTCTTTCTCTGTCGCCGTATCTGCCATAGTCATCAAGCGCTTGACTACGGGATCTAGACTGGCTTTCATCGACGCGTATACTGTGTCAAGTGGTTGCTTGGCCAGTACTGCTGCAATGCCTTCTGTGACCTCTTCCTGGCTGGAGCTGGGTAATGTGCCAATGACTTGCTCGTAGAAGACCTGCAGCTGCGTCATGAATCCCTTGAGCAGTTCTGCACAATCGGAACAGAAGAACCGGAAGCTCAGAGCCGCGGCCTTGACCACTTCTTTCGAAGGATGTTGGAAAGCAGCCATGATGAAGTTGAGCTGATCTTGAAGAGTTTCTGGGTGCTCCGCGGTCCACTCCGTATATCGTCCAAGTGCCATGACGGCCTGAAAACGCACCTTCTCCTGGTCTGGTATTTGGACGATGAGTGGAATGAGACGGGGTAGCATGATATTCTCATCCTTTGGTACCATGCGACCCATCGCACGCATCGAGAAGAGTGGTGCTTCAAGCTGCTGCCAATGCGGCACTTGACCTTGCTGTGCCTGTGCGCCATACTGGGATACCCACTGCTCGATCAAGACGTGGCTCTTTTGTAGACAGTCCGACACGCCGATCACTTGGCAGCAATCCTTTAGCACGTCACCCATCTGATGTCTGAACTCTCGGAACTTATCTTCTGCTTCTCGGTCGCCCTCGAACAAATCTGTCGAAGTACTGCCGGCCTCAAGTGTCGGATACTGTAGATGGCCAATCATGATATCCACCAGTTTTGAGTAGACATCCACGAATTGTATCCTGGCCTGCATATATCGATCCAGTGTGATGTATTGCTTCAGCTCGTACCAAAAGTTGAACGTCTGACTCAGTGCCTCACGCTCATTGTCGCGCATGCAGCACTCCAGTACAGACTCAACCAAGGCCCGAAACTGTTGCGCCTGGCGTGCGACGAGTACACACCATGCCTCGCCAGCTTCCGCGAAAACTCTCGTCACACCCTTGAAAGTCTCCCAATCCTCCTGACCCGCTGATTGTGATATCCTGGGTCGTAATGAAGCCAGCCGTGGGTATAATGCCTTGATCGTCTCAACATTCTCATCCACGTCTCTCGTCTCTTTGAAGATGGCGCACATGCATTCCACCGCGGAATCGAAGCTCGTATCCGACTGCAATGCGCCCATAACCACATCCATCAACGGCGACTGCACAATCGCAACCAGTGGCACCTCTCGAATCCAGCTCGTGATGCACTCCATGAGTTGCGGGTTCTTCGCAGCCGCGGGCGACGACTGGGCATACTGCGTAAGCAGCTGTATGACCTGTTCCGCATTCTGCTCCAGCAGCTCTCCTGTGCGATCACGCAGCTCGTCCTCGGTCAGGTTGATCTTTCGCCCCTCTGTCACCTCCTCCGGCAGCACATGCAGGAATTCGAGCACACAGGCTATACTCGAAGCATCGTTTCCAAGTCGACTGACGACCGTCTGAAGCACATCCTTCCATTCCAACATCTGTATAGCCAGATTCGCAAGCGAGACGGAGAGCTGTGTCCGCACAGGCTTTGGTCCCTTCGCGTATGTGGCTAGGAGTGAGAGCATGGTATCCCTCAATTGTGGTAATGCCTCGCGCGGTAATTGATGAAAGTCGAATATGATCTGCAGGACACACTATCAGTATGGTACAGCGTTGGCTGCTGCGCAGCGACTTACCAACATACCTTGCCCTTCAACGTCGTGGCCGCGAACAGCTTGGCCTCGTCAGTCGCCTGGGGTGACTGCAGGATGGCGAATGTGCTGTTCCATGCTTCCTCGGACTTTTGGAAGCGTTCGAGGTACTCGTGTGCCTGCCCTTTTGAGTTGCGGTCGGCGGTGGAGGACATGGTGGCGAGTGCGGATAGCACCGGCGCGAAGGCCTGCTGGGAGTTCATCGTTGCTGCTGTTGCCATAGTTGATGATTGCACTCGCCGCAGGGTGTGAGTACGAGAGGTGGGCACTGGCAGCAGCGGCGTGTGGACGAGAAAGGATGTCAAGGGTTTGACCAGTGGTGAAGAGGAGTGGTCGCCAGTGGTATGGTCGAGTGTAAGTGAGTGGGTGGATGATTGTTTTGCGGGAGGAACAATTATGTGCCCCGCTGACGCACAGACAAGGGAAGTTCGCGATCCCTCACGAGTCATGTGCTTCAAGCTTGGCACGAACTTTGGCGATGAAGTGTCGCATTGAATGCTCGCCGATAACCTATAATTTACTGTCGAGGAACAGCAGCAGACCAAGCACATACACGACCGAAGAGCGAACAGAGCACATAGCGATCATCGCGCACTCGCAAACCCCGCCACCAACCACCAAGCAAGGACCAGCGCCTGCACGCGACCACGCCCATCCACTCGACCAGCCCAGTCCTAATCACACCACCCTCACAAATTATCACAATGTCCGGCCGACCCGGAGGCGGCGGCGGTCGCAAAGTGCTCCTCCCCCCCATAAACTTCATCTTCAAACTCCTGCAACAACAAAGCACCGTGCAAATCTGGCTGTACGAGCAACTCGGGATCCGAATCGAAGGCAAGATCCGTGGGTTCGATGAGTTCATGAATCTGGTGATTGATGAGGCGGTGGAGGTGAAGCAGGTGACAAAGAGTGAGCCGAAGCCCGAAGAGGGGGAGGGGGGTGGGCGGAGGGAGTTGGGTATGTTTTCTATCTGGAGTTGTCTAGGTGTGGGTTGATACTAATCATGTGCTGCAGGCCAAATACTGTTGAAGGGGGATAATGTGTGTTTGATACAGAGCTTGAACTGAACGCAGTAGACTTGTTCGGACGCGATGAGCTCCAGTGACCGTTTTGCGTGGCGTCCGGCGTGGTTCAGGAAGGGCTTGGAAAGGGACATGCATATGCTTCAAGACAACAAACATGCACAAAGTACAGGAAGCTGTTCAGAATGGTGGCCGAATATACCAGCATGATGACCTCGAGTGGGAGGTAGCTCGTTAGCTGCGATGGAACTGATCTCGGACCTTTGGAGAGCAGGAAGTGGTGGGGCTCGTGCATGTAAGACCCCCCAAGCCAACTTGAATTTGCAATGTTAGCTTCGTTCATGCAACACTGCTCGAGGTCAACAACCTCCCATCGCCCACAGCAACAGCATCAACCCTCCAATCCCACTCCTGCATCATGATCTCGCCAGGCGGTAGGATCTGTTCGGCCAGACACAACCCAACCAAGAAAGGCCTTCTACGCTTTCCATCCGCACAAAAGCGAGTCAGATAGCTATCGTAGAAGCCCGCACCATGACCCATCCTGCTCATCGCTGAATCGAAAGCTACACCGGGGAGGACGATGAGATCTAAACCACCTCCACTCTCACCTCCGCCACCGTACTTCCCATCCGTGCCCAACGAAGTCCCAACCCCACCCATACCATTCTCCCTCTCCTCAATCCCGGCAGCGGATAAATGCGGGATCCCCCATCCATCCCTCCCCAGCCCCTCATACTCATCTACAGACCGTAAATGTAGCATGGACATAGCTTTCCCCCTACCCCTTGTATTCCCTACATGAGTTTCCTTTGGTGGTGGTGGCACAGAGTGGATATAAGGAACAAAGACCCTTTTCCCCTTGCCCAAAGCATCGCGGACGAGGAGATCGGTGCGGACTTCGCTTAAGGGCATGGAGAGGTAGATGCTTAGGGTTTTTGCTTCATGATATTGCGGCAGGGAGAGGATGAGGTTTTGTGCTGTGGTTGATTGTCGTGTTACTTCTTCTTCTGGTAGATGAGACAGGCGGGCCTTGATATCATTGCGCAGAGCTTTCTTGGCTTCGCGTGCTTCTGTCGACATTTTGTACTGTAGCTGGTACAGACGAGGTGATATTGATGTGCTAAGTCGTCGAAGTGGCGAGGCTGGGAGATGTACGTGGGCTTGGCGAAGACATTGCCGCATTGCACATGGTCATCTCATGGTGAGGACGATGTCAGCTGAGCTTCGATATGATCGTAGTGTCGTCTGGTCACGGTTGAAGAAGTCTGTCCATGCCACATGCTCTAAAGCATGTCTCACCCAAACCGCCACCATTGGAAGATGTGGCTGAGACGGTGGGCGGAACGGAAAGGCCCGGGTCTTGCGGCTCAGCCTTATGATTGCGTCGCAAGCCCAAGACATTCAATTGCACTAACCCTGGCACTGTCCACTTGCCTCACAACAACCACTCTTACCCATACCACCCTCACGACCGACTTAGGACACCCCATATACGATCACATCACGAACACAGTCGACATTTACAATGCTGTTATACAGCTCTTTAGCAGCGGCGGTGGCGTTGGCTGGGCAGGCGGCGGCGGATACATGGTGCGTCATGACAATGCGACAGGACGAGAGGAAACAATATGGTACGATATAGAGTATGATATAGAGTATACTGACCGGCGACAGGCCCACAAACTTGGTCGGCACGTGGTCGACGAAATCCAACCAGACCCTCACCGGACCCGGCTTCTACGATCCACGTGAGCCTCCATCCACTGCACGTCTGTCAAGGCGAGACGCATCCACTAACTCACCCACCACACAGTCAACGAAAACCTGATCGAGCCCTCACGAACCGGCATCTCCTACTCCTTCACCCAAGACGGCTACTACGAAGAAGCCTACTACCGCGCCGTCTCCAACCCGCAGAACCCATCTTGCCCCTCAGGGATAATGCAATGGCAGCATGGGAGCTGGGTGATGAATACCACCGGCTCTTTAATCCTGACTCCCATAGCAGTCGACGGGAGGCAATTATTGAGTTCGCCGTGTCAGTATAAGAATAGCGTGTACACGCGATATAACCAGAGCGAGGTCATGGCTGTAAGTTTCCATACTCCAAAGGACAAACGAACAAATGGAGACAGAAGGATGGAGTACTGATATGAGTAATTCTTGCGACGACAGAGCTACGCGGTCTACACCGACCCCTACCACAACATCCCCCGCCTCGACCTCCACAAATTCGACAAAGCCCCCATGAACCCCATGTACCTCGTCTTCTCCCCCCCACAAATGCTACCCACCACGACTCTCAACCCGACCACCGCCTCCGCCACTGCAGGCGCAAAGAGTACGAGCAAGGCCAAGAGGAGTCTGGACAGCGAGATCCCGCTTTCTTGGAAATTGAAGCTGGATGGGAAGGATGCTGGTGTAGAGGAAGCAGGGGTGGTGCATCATATTAATGCTGATAGGCTTTGGTGGTTGGGGTTAGGACTTACCGGAGTGGGTGGACTGTTGTATTTGGGCCCGAGGAGGATGGGGGTCTCGCTTTAGGAGAGCGTGTGTTAAATCATGAGTATCAAAGTGATGGAGAACAGAAGAGGAGAGGTTTGTACAAGAATCGGAAAGTTGTATATCGACGGGGTTTACTTTGCATATCATCCGGCGTTCTGTAATGGGCAAACGGCTTGAGTGGTGTTTCGGGTGGCAACGGGATGAGGGTGGGCACTCTGATCGTCCCTGGAGTTTGGACGGGTCGGGAAGGGAATATGATCTGCTTGCTTTTTCGAGTAGAATGCAGTACATTACAACACAGCCTGCTGCAAGACTATCAGGTCCCAATGAGATCATCGCCACTCGTGAAGATCATGTCATGCTCATGAGATCCATGAATCACCCAACCAGTCTCGATCACAAGACTCAACCCCATCGCTTCTCAAAAGCTTGACGTTCCCTGCGGTGCTTTCCCACTGTCTCCTCCCTTTCTATCTCCATGTCCAATCTTCTCCCTCCTACCCGCCTTCTTCCTTTTCTGCTTCCCTCCTTGTTCATCCCTCATACTTACCAGGAACCCTCCTCGTCATCCGTGCCACGGTCTCACCATCATCCGCCGAATTCTCAGCACAATGGTCAAACCAGGGGGTTTTGGGACTGACCCTCACCATGAGTTTACTTACTTTGCCCCTCCACCACGTCTATGCGGCGGTGTGTACATACCCCTTCCACCGGCATCCCGCGCATTTCCTGCTCCCCCACCACCTCTGCTGCCACTGCCAATGCCACGGGGTTTGGCTGGGGTAGCGGAGGCCTGGAAGGCGCGGGCGGCTGCTAGGTCGCCGGTGCGGAGACTACCGTTGATCTGCTTAGGAGGCGATGTCGATGTCGTGCTTGCTTTCCGCACCTGTGTGGGTTTGGGTGTCGATGTGGTTGGGGTGGGTTTTGGGGCAGAGGGTTTGATGGTTGAGGTGGCGGTACTGGAAGTGCAGCTGCGTGTCTGCGGCTGCGAGGGTGTTCTGGCCTTCGCAGTGAGCTTTGCAGCAGGCTTGGTGTTGTTGGGTGGGTTTGGGGTTGCGGAGTCGGCGGGACGGAAATCAGCTGTGAAGTTACCCTCTGCATCTTCCTCCCAGTCGAGGATCTGTTCTGCTGAGCCCTGGTCTGCGCGACCAGAAAGCGAACCCTCGCTCTCGCCTTTCTCTGCCGCAGCATCGACCAGTCCTTCCCTCCTCCCTCCACCAACACCAACAACACCGCCATCAAGCTTTCCGCTCGCCCTCTCTTCAAACTTCTTCTGCTCCTCAACCAGCCACTCATAAAACCCCACCTGATACCCCACACACTCAAAGTACTCCCACCACAACCTCATCCCCGGCTCCATCTCCGCATCCGCCTTCGCAAAAGCCTCCATCAACCCTTCACTCGTCAAACAACTAACCTTGACGCTCACATTCCGCTCCCACTGCTTCAACTCCTCCGCATACGCCACCAGAGCGTCCTTAACCCTCTTCTCCATCCCCACACTCTCCCTACTACCTCCCGTCTCAGCAGTAGCAGGGGTGGCAACAGCTGAGTCCGTAGGAGTAGGACCCTCGTACTTCGGTCTCGGCCAGAAATGCTCCTTCAGCGCCTTCGTGACCCAAGCCGGACGGAGGGGATCAGCCAACTGATTCGCCCAGTAGCGACGGATCCTCTCCGGCACAGTCTCCATTACCCGCTCATAGTCAAGCTTATCACTGAATCGAAGCTGGCTGTACTGCCCAAAATAAGTATAAACCCCCTCCCCCACCTTCGAAACAAAAACCGGCGTGTCGAGGTAATTCTCCTCGTCCGGTCCCTCACCCATTTCTGAAGCGTCAACCGTGTCGTTGAAGAAAGGGGTTAGTTTTGCTCCGTGCTGGCCCGGGTGGACGGGGAGGAAGGGTTCGTATTCGGCTTCGAGGATCCAGTAGCCGCGGGATTTGAGCAGGGAGGTTTTGGTCGGGATGAAGTAGAAGGAGGGTGAGTGTTTTTTGCCGCCGAAGGTCGAGGTGAGGAATTCCCAGGTGAAGGTTTGGGTGTGGGTGGCAGGGATGCAGAGAATGGGGGAGGGGGGCATGGTGCGGACGGATAGAGGTTGCCAGGGTATATCTTTGATCTCAATGAGCGTGGTCTGCTTCTTAATATCGTCGTTTGGGGACTCTTCTTCTTTGTCATTGATCGTAGTAGGAACCTTGATCTCCACAGCGTGAGATTGCTTCTCGGTCTGAGCCCGACGTGCTGGTGCTTGAGTTGGTGTCGAATTTCCGTTGACTTGCTCGTCCTCCAGGCTTACATTCGCCAAGTCCGAACCACCAGTAATGGCAATCGCATCAGCTCGCAGCTTCCTCGCCGCACTCTCTGCAACATCGGCCTGCTCCAAGTACACCTGAGCAACGATCTCCCTGTCAAAGTGCTTGAGCATGACCTCCGGGCGAACATCGTCAGGATCCACCAAATCGAGACCACGCTTGATGACAGCCATAGCATGATCCTTGTTCTTGCATGGGCCGACCTGAAGCTGGACCGCTGCGAGCTGCGCTTGCAGAGTCTGGAGGTCTCGCGCGATCTTCTCGTTGGTCTCCTCGATCGCACGCTTGTTGTCCTTCGCCAGGGAGTTGACGTGCGCGAGTTCCTTGTCATGTTTGGTTCTGGTTTCGATGATGTAGCGCTCCACATCACTTAGATTGCTGGGATAGATGAGGTCCATGTTTGATCCTGGTGGCGTCGGAGGTTTGAAGCGAGCAAGCTCTGTGCCGTTCGGGGTGAAATGTGGGACAGCTGGGTCCAGGCGACCGTGTTGATGGTAGTTCTGAGGGTACTGTTGGTGAAATGGCATGCCGTTTGCTGGTGGCATTGTGCCGTTAGTGTGGTGGGTCATTGTGTGTCTAACACAGGGCCAAGTCGGATTGGAGATGTTGCAAGAACTGGTGGAAGGTTGATGTCTTGGACGTGAATGGTTGGTAGAAGTGCTAGAGGTTAATATAGTTTGTGGCTAGCTTTGCCACCAGCAGACTCGAGCAAGTGAATGGAACTTTGAAGGTGTCAGTGGCTCATAGTGAGAGTGCAGTGCCTGGTATATGAGCTCAGGAAGCAATGGGAGAGCGATAATGAATTGGTCCGAAGTTGGTGAAGAAGTGTTAAGTGATGTGAGGTTGACTGTTTCTTGAGTGAACGTCCGGGTATGGCTTGCATGATCTGAAAGGGAGGATCATGAGACCTAGCATATACCGACAGGTACATTACTGAACTTGCTAGGTATAGCGGAAATTCATGGCATTACAAGTGAAGAAGGAGACATCATCTTGTTTTCACGTTCTGCAGCGCACATCGTCCTGGATATTCTCCCGCGCGAAAATGACTTCGATACTGTTAATTTGATTGAGATCTGCTAGGACCTATCGGACATCGTTGCGGCAGCCACGAGGGTATGAACGGAGGCCAATGATACAGCGGCCAGACCCTTGGGCAGATGATGTCCACGGAGGCCTTCGGGGTAGAGTTTGTGCTTCTAGCAGTACTCCCAGTGCGGTTCCTCGAAAGCGCCAGTCATATTACAATTCTTTTCCGCCGTAGTATGCTGGGCGTTCTTATCAATACTGAATGAATGATGGAGCGGCTGCCAAACACTTGGTGGATGAGGAATGGAAAAGGTGTATGTGTATGCGTATGTGTATGGGTGCCGTCGCGCAAAAGAGTTCAGCGAGACGAGATAGGGTTCGCCCCGTTGCCGCAAGCACGACCCCGAATGACGTCGCGGCTGATTAAAGTCGCGTATTCCTGACATATGGCCGTGAGGTGCGTCGAGCTGAGTAGAGTCGATAAAGAGTACATATAAGGCCTCATTATCATAGCGATGCCGCTCAGAGTGCGCCACTCCTTATACACTGCCAAGACTTGATACAGCAATCACAACTACATTGATTACTTCACAATGCCTCCAGCAAAAGCGCGTCCGGCGCAAGACGATGCCAGATCAGACGTTTCGACGACGAGAGACCGACAAGTTGCCGCAGCAGCACATGCAAGGAGTAAAAGGAACACCGGCCAAGGACAGCCGAATGGTAGTCATCTGAAGGAGATTGCTCTTGTCAGCACCGAGTCCGGCAACGTCGTGGTGCCGGGTCAAAGTACAGGAGTACGTCTAGTCTATGATCTACCGAGATGTCAATGGTGTGATTCTGACCCAAATTGTCTTGCCCGCAGATGTCCTGGACAACCACCTCTCCCAAGGTCCTCAACACATACCGCGTTGCGCATCACCTGCCACTACCCGCAGCCTTCACATCACCGTATAATCAAGCTCTACTCTCGAATGCTGGTATAGGTCGACAAAGCCCCACTATGGCCCGACGGAAAGACAAGAGACGGATAGCGAAGGAGCAATTGGCATTGGCCGTGCGGAAGAATTTCAACACTGCGGCTGTGAGCGAGACGGATGTCGTCGTCGGGCTGGTCTATAAAGTAAGACATCAGGGTGAGTCTTGGCTGTCTCGTGGAGCTGGCTAAATAAGGTGCCTGATCAGGCACGATATGCTGACACGGAGATGTAGACAAAGCCTTCCGGATGAGATCATTGCCTGCTCCTGCTGTCAAGAAGCCATGAACATGGTCCTGGACATCCAGTACTGGGCCAGGAGCGACCAGCTTGCATTAGGAAAGGAGTTCTATACCACAAATCAGCACAGCATCTTGGACATACCGAGTCGGAATACATCGAGGGACAACGGCTTGCGAGGTACCATAAGGCGTTGATCGCGCACTGCTCATACCGTACAGTAGCATGATATCAGCAATCAAGGACTTTTGCTTTCCACTGGCTTCTCCTTTTACAGGATTTTAAGCACATACATGCTAACACAAAGGATGCACTGACAAGACAGGAAGAGAAGCCTCTTACCATTCACCAGCAGCAAGCATTCGTGAATCTGATAAAGCTCCGTTCCTGACCGGTTAGGATCGGATGTTCTCCACATTTCTGGTGAGTGAATGGCTGTATTCATATATATTCTTACGTCAGCCCACGCTCCGGCCTGGTCCATGCACATAATCCTTTCCCTCTCTCTTTACTACTCGACTGGCTCCTCCTCTGCTCGAGCACGCTACAGACAGCCTCGTCTCGACCATGGCCAGCCATTCCGACTTGGCCCAAAACGAATCGTCTGCACAGATCACTGACGATGATGCTGGCTGGTGCACGGTGCAGTCATCACGTTCAAGACGCAGTCGGTTCAATGGATGGGAGTGGGAGACATCCGATACAGACCTCGCGGCTTTCTCTTCTATCTCAGTGAGTTACTTCATGGGCTCGATGTGACTATAGCTACCATACTGACCATCCCGTAAGCCGATTCATTCTCTGTCCTCGGAATCGAAGGGGCCACCGACATAGACTCTGAAGCAGAGGTCCAGGCAGAAACCGGAATGCAAGCAGAAGCCAGAGCAAAAAGTCCAAGCAGACGAGAAAGCAGAGGTACAGGCGGAAGCCAAGAAAGGTGTGCACAAAGGATTTTGTCCTCTCCTCGACCTAACCCTCGAACTAATAACGAGAGCATATATACACCTACCTCTCCTGGGATGTCCATCCAATACACCACAATCGCCACCAATCCACCAACTCGGTGAATTACGGCAAATCCACCCCACAAAGCCGCAAGGAAGCAGACGAGAAGATCATCACATATTCACTGATCTGTCGAAAGATCAACGACGACTTCGAGAATTTGCGTATCCGTCGAGCCGTCTACAAGTTTCGCTTCGCAGACTGCTTGACCGGGCCACGGACGGATATCGCGAAAGAAGAGAGGATGTGTTGTATCATCTCTCAGCTGCGGGAAGTGCCATCTAATTGGCGCGTTGACGGGTCGACTCGATTGGAACGATATTGGGGACTATGCTGTCGAGATTCGGTTCAACAACTGTGGAGGTGGACAGGGGGTATAGCATCTCATGGTGGCATTTCCCTGAGAACAGAAGACGTGATGCTGGTATTGATAACGTTGTATATGAAGCTATGGTGGAAGGCGTAGAGAAGGCTGTTGTGGATGTTGTGGCTTTGAAAAGGACTGTGGACGGGAGGACGGGATTGTGCATTGAGGGGAGGGATGGGATTGTGAATGCCCTCTACTTCGACGACAAGGTGCAGAGTCCGTAGCGACGGTGATCTTTGTTGAGCTTGTGTAGGTGCTAGTGGCGAAAACAAAAGGCCCTGCGATGCTTAGTGGAAGTTCCAACACAAGTGGAGGGATCAGTTGTGACGGTATCTCGTCCATGATTTCTTTTAGCTTTTGTTTCGGTTGTGTGGACTCCTGAGGGCAGAGTCATAGGGTCGGTAGCTGCGAAGTCGCAGAGATAAGAAAAATGGATATGCTCCTGTTTGTCAGCGGTCATGACCTTTGAAACATGTTGTGAGTGGCGAGGAAAGTACAGCATGTCATATGATGTAGTGGCCTGAATATTGACCTTTCGAGCCCGGAATGGTGTGAACAGGATGATGAACACACCCTCGCAGGGTAGCGCGAGAGTCCTTGCATTGCGGAATGGCTCGATACGGAAGCTAGCTGAGCAACATGAACCACATGAGCAGATCGCATGAATCCATCTCCTCCCCATGACATCGAGCAGCGCCTTGCAATTAGCCCGCAGCCAAACGCCAATTTCCACAACACCGTCCGATGCCCACCCATTTCAAAGCCGCCCTCGCCGCCCGAGCAACCATCCCACTACCTTGACCGCGTACTCCCCGCCCCCCTCTTACCAGCAACCAACCACTTAGGAATACTAGCAGTCTGATGCCGATCACCCTCACCCTGCCTCGCCATGCGATTCATCTTCTTCTGCCCCAACTTTGCCAACCGATCAGCTTTACTCCTAGCAACTTCATCCGTAACACCATCCTCACGTCTGTTGGTCGATTGACCGCGGATGGTGCTCGCGCTGCGATTCCTCGCCACGCTCAAGCTCCTTCTCAGACGCTCTTGGGGTGTGGCGTCGACGTCCATCGCATCTCCACCAGCACCCTCCTGGCCAGCGTCCTCCGTACCCGCACGACTGCGCCCACGTGAAGGACGGCTGAGTGAGCGGGCACGAGCCGAGATGGCGCTGGTGTCGTACCCAGCCTTCTGCAATCCAGCTTCCAATTTATTAAGCTGGATCGCCTTCTTCGTCCTGGGTATCACAGCGCGATTCTTGAGACTCTTCCTCATCTTATTCTCATTCCTGATCAATTGCCTCTTCTCCCTGATCAGCTCTGCCTTGTATCTCACATCTTCTTCCTCCGCATCCTCCAGCTCCTCGACTTCGTCAGCGTAGTAGCCCTCCCCATCCAATCTCTCCTCTTCCTCCTCAAGCGCCTTGAGTTTCGCCTCAATCTCCGGATCGAAGAAGTCGTAGACGTTGCGACCGTTGAAGGTTTCGGGAATCTTGTCGTCCTTCCACTCGTCGTTGTCGAGGAGATAATTATCCTTGAGGTTGATGTTGAAGACGCCCGGGCCACCATTTTCTTCTTCGATGTCGCGCATGAGTTTCGGCCGGCCGGGGTCTGCTCTATCGTATTTCATCTTATTGAGAGCTGCATCAGGTATGTAGGCTTCGCGGACCACACCACCCAAAGGCTGAGCAACGTGGATGCGTGCTAGGACGTCCGCGAGACGGCCCGTGGGCTCTCCTGTTGCGCTCGTGCCGGCCTTGAGCTTCTGGGCGTTTCGCTCTGCCAGCAGCCTGTCACAAACTGCGTTCCGCACATTCATGAGACCTTTCGTGGTTGTGCAGGACACTTGTAGCAGCTCGACGTTGCCACTCTTCAACAGCTCCTGCAACTGAGCCTGTGTTTCAGCGTCCAGATCCTCTGGCCTCATCACATCAATCTTGTTGACGACAAGGAATACCAACTTATTCGCGAAAAGCGGCTTGATGCTCTTGAACAGTGCCATCTGTGCTTGCACACTGTACCCACACTGCTCGCTCAAATCCATGAAATACATAATCGCACTCCTCAAATGAGCAATAGCCGTGATACTCTGCATCTCAATCGTATTCATTTCCTCCAGTGGATGGTCCAAGATACCAGGAGTATCGATGGCCTGAAACCTCAACATCTTGTAGTCGAAATGTCCCACGAACAGCGACTTGGTCGTGAAAGCGTACGGCTGAACATCCACATCCGCCCGACTGATGTTCTTCAGGAAAGAAGACTTGCCGACATTCGGGTATCCACAGATCAGTAGTGTCCGTGTGTTCGGGTCGATCGAAGGCAGACGTCCCAGATGCTGGCGTACTTGCTCCAGATAGACGAGCGGATCCCTCAGCCTCTTGCAGATCGTGGCCATCCTGCCCAAAGCCGCACGCTTGAGCTGCTTGCACTGGAACAAACTCTGTCCATACTTCAACAACCTGATATAATCTCTCGAAACCGTCTCAATCAGCCCCTTGGCCGTGTTCAACTGGCCCAGCGCGATCCGGAAATGATCCGCATCATACAGCGTGTTCAGCAGATCCTTATGGAACGGGTGGATATCCGCTAAGCGTGGGAAGCCGTCAAGGATGGCGGAGAGCTTCTCGCTGAAGGTCTCGGCGGTGTATTTCACTTTGCGCATGTAGAAGGCGCGGATACGAGTGATCTTGAAGCCGGCACGGATTTGCGTAGGGAGCCGGCGTTGGGTGCGGGAGAGGACGATGTCGAGGAATTCTTGGGACGTGGGAACCGGTGCGATCTCCTTCCACGTCGTCTTCATCTTGGCGGTGGTGGGGTGGGAGAGGTGTGTGTGTGTCTTGGGGATGGAGGAAGTGGTTAATGGTCTGCAGGCAAAAAGTTCGAATCTGCCAAGACTTTTGATAGCGATAAGATCAAGCGATCGCGCTAGCAGAACTCTGTCTACCATGGCGGCTTGGGGACGGAGAAGTTATGCATCAACAATCGTCTTATCACAGCAAGCAGGACGTGAGTAAGAGACTCTAAAAGGGCTTCATGGTGCACCGGCAACGTCCTCCCTACAGCGAGGCGTCGAAAATAAAGGTCAAGTATCGCCATCACGATACGAGATGGTAGAAACGTCTCTGAGAAAGCTCTGCCTGCACGCTACCAACGATCTCATACCCAACACTCATCTCCATCCACCCATAGCATCTATCATTCATTCATACATAATCATCCTCCTCCCCATCCAAACTCGGCATACCAGACCCCTCCGGATCCAGCTCCCTAACCATATCAAACCAACCCCCACCACCAAACTGACACTTACTCCCCCCCTGGTTCACGAACCCAAACCCCTCGTAAAACTTGATCAAATGCTCATGCGCTATCAACGCCACTCGATCAGCGACACCATGACTCTCGATGCGTTGGAGATACGCCTTCATTAGTGTCCTGCCAAGACCACGGCCCTGATAGCCTGGTAGGACGGCGAGGGAGTGGATGCAAAGTGTTCTGCCGATTTCCTTATGGCCTGGTAACGAACCCGGGTCGGCGTCTGATGTTGATGATTGCGAGGTGGGTGAAGGGATGGCCATGTCGTTGTCTGTTACTGTCGGGTTTGTTGTCTTGGTTGCGATCACATGACCGAGTAACACCGCCTTCCTATGCGGAGCCCCACTATACACCGGTGCTGACGTCTGCGCAGTCGCGATATCGTTGCCTTCGTGAGAAGTGAAGATGCCTAGGCTGAGCTCGCCACAGTGGCTAAGTCTGTACTGGAACTGTCAACCACGGTGTTGATGTCAGTATGGCTCCAGGATATCTCTCGCGACAGCGCTAAACAGGCAAATGCGAGAATCGGGAGATCAGGTATTCGACAGGGATGGGACGAAACAAGGCAGGTGGTACAAGGACGGCGGGTGGCTTAGACGGCATAAGCGGTTCAGCGGTAGCGGCTCGTTGCTGCCCAATGTAGGTTGTTGCACTGCATGTCCGGCAGATTTCAGTCTGCGTTTCCGCTGACGTTTCGGTACTTCGGAGCGACTGGTTGGGCTTCGTGTTGACGTAAGAAAGGCTTACGCCTGCCTGACATTTCACAGGTGTCGCAACTCTAGTGACTGCTCGACCTGGTAAGCTAATCGGTGGCCACACGAGCGCAGAATAACGTCCAGACGCAGCGGCGGACGTCCCGAATCAGGTCACGCTCAGACAGCAACAGAACGACGGTCGAAACAAAGAACAGCCACGGGACTCACTTTCTCCCTCGAACAACGTTCCTGTGGCGGAAATGCTTCTTCCTCTAACCTCGTACAACTTTCCACATCAGACAGACTCAAGTTCTGCGTGTAAGGATGAAGCTCATCTCGCTTTGATCGCGGTGGATCAGGCGTGAGGCCTTGCAGCATCTCGTTCTCCTCCTCAGCGGTCATGCGAGGTTGTTGGAGTTCCTCGACGGCGTCGGGCGATTTGGTCAGTTGGGACATTCCTTGGAGTGTATCCTCCTTGGCTAGGGCTGAGAGGTCGCGAGGCATGGTTTGTGGGCCGGAGTGTGTTTGGCTGGAGGCGTTGTGGAAATGTCCCTAGGGGATTTTCGTGGTTCCAAGTTGTGAGATGTAGTGGCTTTGGTGCACCAATGGCTTGACAGTTCGTGGATCCTGTCAGACGACTTTGTATTCCTAACAGCTCGATTGCCAGAACAGTCCGGATGGCACAGTGCCCACCTGTTGTTGGGGATAGGAAGGTGAGATGGTGAGCTGCTATTTCATGTAGCTAGTTGCAATCGGTATGGTCTACGCTCGAGAGTGTGTTCCATTCTACCTTTCAAGAGCGGAGTACAGGCCGTACCCCTGTCAATGTGTGAGTGACGTCGAGCTTCACATGATGCTCTGGTACAGCGCCACAAGCTCCATGCGGGCGGTACAGTAGTGGGGCATTAGTGCAGGGCCACGACAGTCTAAGGTCAACGGTCAAAGCATCCATCATTCGTGGTCTGGACTCCAAAGTCATATGAGAGCTGAGGTACTTTGGCATTGTTGAAATGTCGTCGAGCGATCCCACGGAGCATTCATCTCACGGACCGGCGCGATCGCTGGCAGGGGTGGTGGCGGCATGGTGACCCTCGAAATGTGGCGTACGTGGGGGGAGTGATAGACCGCTATACCATATACGGGGGTGGAGCATGTAGGTAGCTGTTAGATTGTATGAAGCGAACCTGGGCATCGGAACGACAACGCGCATGAGCAGTGTAGTGCATCAGCAACAGCAGAGCGAGGCCATTCTACGCTGTGCGTTGCAGACCGCCTTTGCTTGACAGCGTTTCGTGATACGCAGGCGGAGGACAGATAATAAAAAGTGTCATCATTGATTGTTTGAGAAGAAGTCTCACCTTCTCTGCCACCACCACCGCCACCGCCACCATCACCGAAAACGTCCCATCGGCTGCTTGCGTCGTAGCGTGGATGCCTTGTATTCATCGACCAGTATTCACCCATCTAAATGAAATCCTCCATCTGAACGACCATATTAGTCATACGGACACGGTATCACTTACGCTCCGACACACGATCCGGTTCTAGAAGCAATCCTCAGCATCGACTTCTATATCGAGCGAGGTGCATCGGCAAGCTTCAGCATCACCCAAGCAAGGAAGGCAAACGACATATTCGTCGGGAGCATCGACGTTGAGTTAGCAGGCTCGAAACGGCAAGATGTGAGTATCACTGGCCCATGTAACAATCGGCGTCCTTTGTGATGCGTCTCACTGTCAGACTATACCTGTGTTACACCCCAGCCCTGCCTCATACCAGTGACCGGAAGGGGAAGAAGAAATGTAACAGTCGCTAATCATTCTCCGTGCCTCCTTCTAGGCCGCGGGTCACCATATCTATCATCGCTCCCAACCACACCCTCGACCAGGAAATCCTCACCCTCGACCTCCCACCCGGCTTGTCGATCGCCGATCTCAAGGCCTTTGTCAACGCTGAGACCGACCTGCCTCAGGACGGGCAACAGTTCTACTTCAATAATACCCCTATACAAGGCGACAGCAAGACTCTCGAAGAGGCGGGTATCAAGGATGGCGACATGCTAGCTATGCTGATGCGGCAGCCTGACCAAGCGAACAATCAGCAAGGCAATATGGGCGCACAGCGAAGACAGCAACAGCGGCGGCAGCCTGCGGGTCGAGCAGCCGGAGGTGCACAAACGGGTACACATGAGATTGAGACGGCGAGGCTGAATATCCTTGGCAATCCTGCTGCGATGGCACAAGTGAGAGAGCAGAGACCGGCGTTGGCAGAGGCTATCAATGATAGCAATCGTTTTCGGGAAGTGTGGATGGAGATGACACGGGAGGACGAGGGACGAGAGCAAGAGAGACAAGAGCAGATGCGGCTACTGAACGAAGACCCATTCAACGTGGACGCGCAACGCAAGATCGAGGAGATGATACGGCAGCAGTCTGTGCAGGAGAACTTGCAATTCGCGTACGAGCATAACCCCGAAGGTGAGCTTGAGCTGGCGAAGAAGAGATACCATCTATTGAAACAGTGCTAACATGACAAACTCCAGTCTTCGGCCGCGTAACCATGCTCTACATCCCCGTCCTTGTCAATCGCAACCCAGTAAAAGCCTTCGTCGACTCCGGCGCCCAAACCACGATAATGTCGCCCTCCTGCGCCGAAGCCTGCGGCATCATGCGTCTGATCGACAAACGCTACTCCGGTGTAGCCAAGGGCGTCGGAACCGCCGCGATCCTCGGACGAGTACACGCGGCAGACATCAAGATCGGGAGCGCGACGATGAGTTGTTCTTTCACGGTCATGGAGGGGAAAGATGTGGATCTCCTGCTTGGACTGGATATGTTGAAGAGGTATCAGGCGGTTATCGATCTGAGGGTCAATAAGCTCGTGTTTGGTGATGGGAACGAGGTTAGCTTTTTGGGGGAGGCGGATATCCCGAAGGCGTTTGAGGAGGCTATGATGAATGAACCGACTGTGTCTGGACCTAATGGAACGGAGATCGGGGCGGAGACTGGGACTGTGCGCCAGGGTACCTCTTCGTCCACCTCCGGCAAAGCAGCAGCGTCATCATCACCCAATGGCGCCTTTTCTGGTTCCGGCCAAGCTCTCGGAGGCGGCTCTGCTGCTGCTGCATCAAGAACGTCGAATGGACCTGTGACTCATGCGGCTACGCCCACTGCTCAGCGACAAGCCGCTCCGCCAGCAGCTAGTAGTCATCCTAAGGAAGCCATCGATCAGCTGGTGAGCCTGGGGTTCGAGCGAAATCAAGCTATTACGGCGTTGGACGCGTGTGGTGGGAATGTGGACTATGCGGCCAGCCTGCTTTTCCAGTCATAGGAGGGGGATTTGTGTGGGCTGGACGCTCGCTTTGATGCGATGGGGTTCAAGGGAGTGCTATGGTAGCTTACGGGGAAGGTGATGGCTTTCACTGGGGTCAAGGCGCGTGCATGCTGCGGCTGAGGCCCTCTACCGTTTAGCATCGGTACATGCTCGCGCGAGAGGCGCTGAGGGATGGCTTGCTTGTTGCGCTGCGTCAAAAGGTAGCCTTTGCCATGCGATGGAAGCCTTAGCTACTGAGTACCACCACTTCTGAACCACGATCGTGTCATTCCGTTCATGTACATGTTCAAGGTGAGATCATCGCTGAACTTGAAAAAGGACTCAAGAACTTCATCGACGTAAATTCTCCCGATATATCACCGGTCGAGGTCGAGCAGTCTGCGCCACTATTCATCCCTCAAGACTCCTCACATTCTGCCAGGCACATGTTCGAGGCTCCGCGAGAGAAACAGACCGCCGCAGTCTCCACCCATCATATCTCCAGTCGACCAGCAATACCACGCTCATCGTTCCTGAAAAGTCTGACCAAGACCACGACAACGACGCCAAGAGGCCGAAGCACGTTCTCCCAGGTTTTGGCCACTTGCCATGCCTGTCTTAGCCATTCCACGGTGAGAGCTGATGTCGATGCTGTTGAGGAGGAACTTGACCATGTGCTCATTTTGAGTGGCAAGGCGTGCGAGAAATTTGGCCAGGAGCCTCGTGTGAGCAGATAAATTGTGCAGCAGAGGAGGAAGAATGTGAGACCGAGAACTGCTGGGGGCAAGAAGCCGGACCTCGAGCATGTGACGATCGTCGACATGCTGCTTGTTTTCGTTGTCCTGCGCTGACCGATGGTTGGTCGTGATGTATTGTTGTCTTGGTCGGAAAAAGGGTTTGATGGTCCTACCAGCTGTCCGAGATCTGGTGTGGCTAATGCTTTGCCTTCGTGGGAATACTGCATGCATAATGTGTGAGAAAGGCTCATAGACGCAGATGAGAGCCTTGACGGAGGGTAGAGATAATCATGTGTTATGATGTGGACCCATGGATTCCGAGAAAAGAATAAGCATAAATGACCATCGAATGCCACCTCATGCGCTCGGATGCTACCATAAGCTTCGAAGCACAATCGACCAGGGCGTAAATGTAAAGCTTCCCAATGTCTTCCAACATCGTCGCAGCCCCGATCACCCCTCTCGTACCGCGGATCCCGATCGTGGGCCCAGACTCACAACGCAGCCGGCCAAGCATGTGGTGGCGCGTAAGCCGGTGGATGGGAGTCTGCCATCTTCACAATCTCCAGGACCTCAACAATAACACCGAGTACCACAGCTGGAATGACAATCTTCAGCTGTCCTTTGCTGCAGTAGATGACGATCAATGCGATAACGGCGTAGGCGAGCGTCAGAAGGCCATCCATGTTTGGTTTCGAATGCTCAGGGACTTTTTAGCCCAGTAGATGGTGGGACATGCTTTCCCAGGCCGGTTCGATTTGTAATTTTGTCCCGATTGTCCGTGGAAAGGCTTTGTGCTTCGACGCACGAGGAGGTGGACGCGCTGGAGCTCATATATTGCTTGGCGGGGTGAAGCCTCACGAAGCTTGTGTAGCGACGTCGTCCGCTCTACTGCCTGCTCCTAAACGGCACAGTATCTTCAGCCTATTGGAAGGCCAATTAATACCTTGTGCTCGAGCGAGCAACTGTGTTAGTTTGTCTCCACCATTTAGCGCAAGCAATTTTTCAACATTGTGTTATGTAGTCCAGCAAGTACCCTTCCTCGTGTGAGCTTTGCAAGTTCCAGTGGATGTGCCAACGATTAAGGAGATGAATCGTCACTAGTTCTGGCACTATTTTGAAGTTCCATCTCAGTGTCCATTCGTGCACTGTCCAGGTTTTCGGTGTAAATGTATATGCTGAATATGTCAAATCTGACCATGATTGGTGCTTGAGCAGCATTGGTGGCCGAATGCTCACCCAGTGTACACTGACTATTGCCTCTGGCGTGCTCGTGACGGTAGTCCTTCCGAAAAGGCTTGTGGCAACCAGGAGATGGCTCCTTGATACCAGCATGCTGGCTCTGGAAATGCGTCTCCAGACTGTCCTTGCAGGCGACGACTCGTTACGAGCGTGCTCGGGGCGTACCTTAGCGGAATACTGATCGACATGCTTGGCAGGATGATGGTGCGAAGAGTCTAATTGGTCTTGAAGCGCTCCTGGCGTATCTCGCACTTCCCTCCTGCAGCGAGATGCCAAAGAGGGCGCTCCACAACGAGCTTGCATGGTCCCTTTTCCTGCGGACATCGATGGTTGGGGTAGACATCCCAGTGCTGATGGCCGATTTTCAGAGCGAGGCTGCCTGCCTAGAGGGATTCTGTGAGGTCCTCGCCTGGTATTATGTCCGGGTACTGTCAGCTCAGGCCAGGAAATGCTGGGTCAACGAATTGATATGAACGTCATCAGGCAGGAGTAGCTGGGCTCATATATACCACGAGACCCTTGATGGAATCCGAGATCACTTTCATGTGCCATGCCTTTTGATTTGGCGCTGCAGTGGAACCCCATTCTTGCTAACTAGTGAGCCAGCCGTTCTTCTTCGCGGATCTGTCGTCATATCATAATTCATGGAATAATGCGGCAAGCCAGTGCCATTTCCAAGGTCATCATTTCCAGTAGGCATTCTCGATTGATTTCTTATCAGACTGTATTCATCGTCGTCGGGCAAAAGGAGTTGTAGGAGAATTCGAAGTCGAAGAGTTCTCCCAAACGTCAATCTTCAACGTTAACTCCTTTCGCCCTGAGAATGTATGAGCAACGACCAAAAGAAATGGTGAAGGGCCTGGCCGGGATTTGAACCCCTTCAGAAGTGTCAGTTCAGGTCCAGCAACGATGGCGGTATTGGTACACTTACGGGGCCTGTCACATTCTTTCTCCGTTCAAGTGAAGAGGGAAAATCCCGAAGCGACAATCATACCACTAGACCACCACTGCAAACACGTTAGATACCATGTCTTTGAGCTCGCAGATCATGGATCAACTTACGGCCGCATAATTTGTCGAAGCAGAATTTTTATATCGAATATGTACCTATGTAAAACACTAGCCCGAGCTTCGTCCGACGACTCCGAGCACCAGAAGCGTCAACAGAAATGTAGCAAATTGAGCAGGGATATCATAACTACTCGAAACGTCTCCCAGGGACTCATTTTGGCTTGCTCCAACATGGACGACGATGATGATGTCCCGCCTCTGCTGGTCGCTGTGGACACTGACGATGGAGATACGCCGGTGGCAACATTGACGTCTGAACTGAAAAATACATCTGTCACTAAGGTGCCAATCACTATTATCACTGGTATGCAAACGCTATACACTGAGCTTTGAAATCCGTACTAGAGACTCATATATTCAACAGGCTACCTCGGCGCTGGTAAGACAACATTACTCAACTACATTCTCACAGCTCGGCATGGGAAGAAAATTGCCGTCATACTGAACGGTAGGTTGAACGACCACATGTTACCACCACATTTAACTGACGCCAGTAGAATTCGGCAACAGCACCGACATAGAAAAATCACTCACGGTCAACCAAGGAGACTCCTCCGTAGAACAATGGCTCGAACTCTCCAACGGCTGTATATGTTGTTCAGTCAAGGACAGCGGTGTCAATGCCATCGAGTCCTTAATGGACAAACAGGGCACCTTCGACTACATCCTTCTCGAAACTACTGGTCTAGCGGACCCAGGCAATCTCGCACCAGTCTTTTGGGTGGATGAAGGGCTGGGAAGCACGATCTATCTGGATGGGATTGTGACGCTTGTGGATGCGAAGAATGTTCTAAGGTGTCTTGAGGAGCCGACTGGAGAGGAGGCTGTGCGTCATGATGGGGAGGAGCGACATGGGCATGGGCCTGGCCCGCTGATGTCGACAGCTCATCTTCAGATCTCGCATGCCGATGTCATCGTTATCAACAAGGCTGATCTCGTTACTGCTGATGAGTTGACTGCTGTGCTTGATAGACTAAAATCGATCAACGCTCTTGCGCAGACTCATATCACAGACCACAGCAAGATACCGGAGCTTGAGGGTCTAGTACTTGATCTACATGCTTATGACAGGGTCGATGCTGCAAGCCTAGACTTTGCAAGCAAAGGTCATAGTCATCTAGACCCAGCCATTGGTACCATTACCCTCGACCTGCCAGCACTCACAGACTGCAAACTCAAGCAGCTCGATGCTTGGCTGAGATCTGTGCTCTGGGCGCACGACCTGCCAGGACATACTCCAGTGGCAGATTGGGAGGTCCACCGAATCAAAGGACGTCTGGCTTTTCTCGACGGCCGTAGAAAGATGCTGCAAGGTGTGCGAGAGATCTTCGAGATATTTGATGGTGAGAATAGCAACGGTCCTTCCGACGTGGGCAAGATCGTCGTGATTGGCCGCAATGTTGGCAATGCGGAAATAGCACAGGCTTTCCAGACAAGCCTATCTGGAGCGCTAGTTGCTGGATGAGGGAAAGGTACTACCTTCGTGCGAATGAAAAAACTCACACCACACTCTTGTCCCGATGGAACATGCACATCATCCCATGGTCGCCGACACCGATCATCCATGCCCCATCCGGACTCCAGGCAATCTGCGCGGTAGCGAAGTGATTCCCCACCACATCCGTATTGGCCACGATAGATCGATGCGCCTTCAGCGGCATGAAGGAGTCCCCGAGGTCGTACTTGCGCTCTGGCGGCACGGAGACGGAGGTCGAGGATGCTTCGGCTGGGACGTGATCAGCAGATGTCAGTAGCTTGAGACAGATGACTCACGTGTTACACCCATGATATCACTCCCAGGACCCGAATTCTTCCTGAGCTCACCCATGCGACTGAGATTTGTCTGGTTGACTGCATTAGCAGCACCACCTCTTGACTTTCGACCGCGAGATTTCTTCATCTTCTCTTCACTAGGATCGTAGCCCTCTTCTAGCTTTTGTAGATCCCAGAATAGGAACTTCGACTGCTCATTACCCATTGCCAGTATCGGTCGCATATCAGGTTGCTGCAGCAGGCCAAAGCGAAGATAGAAGCGGGTTGTGTATGGCATGTCGAAGGTGAGCAAGCGCTGAAAGCCACGAGATCCCTTCTCGTGTGGGAATGATGAGCGAGAATAGATTCCAGGGCCTGGTATAGGTGGATCGGTTGGTGGATCGAGCTCTGAGTCGAACCCTTCGATCTTCCATAGCAAGATCTCGTTACCATGGCCTTGGTCTTTGGCGGCGCGTGATAATATCAGGTCGCCGTAGAAGACAACGCAATCGACATAATTAGCGTGCACTTCCGTCGAGTGAAAGTGCGGGTAGTAAATGGTCTTTGGCGCTGGGTGTCCATCTATAACCCGCCCTGTTTCCAACTCCTCAAGACCAGGCACATACCAAAGACAGACGGCGGTGTCCAGACCTGCTGTGAGCATCCACCTGCCGTTTGCATGAAAGTGGCATGCCAGGATTGTTTGACGATGCCCTTCACCTGCGAATATCGCAAGGCATGGTTGGTCTTTGTGTTTCGGATCAAGACTCCACAAGCGTACAGTGTAGTCAGCCGATGCTGAAACAATGAGGCTTGGATTGGTAGGTGACGTTGACAGGTCGTTGATTGCACCACCATGGCCCACAAGCGTCCGTACATTGGTGATGATTTCAATGTCGAAAACGTGTATCTGCTTCGGCGCCTCTCCTGCGGCACAGAGTAATGGTTTGCCCGTCTCGGGGTTCTTAGCCCAGGTCACGCTGTTCATATGCTGTTCTTCCTGCACATCGTGAGTCCTTATCTGCTATTTGGAACGGATATGCTGACCTCTGCATTTTCGAACCATAGTAAAACCTCATATGGTGGGTCAGCGTCAGGCTGTATCCGACAAACGATGACCTGGCAAAGCTTTAGTACACGGCTGTAATAGTATGTTCAGGGGCGACGCCTACATGAATTCCTCCTGCTACAGCAAATATCTGCTCGTCGTTCACAGTGCTGTACGGGTAGAATTTGACGTCGAACAGACTGCCGGTGCCGCCACCTTGACAAGTATGATTAGACTTTGTAGACAGTATGAGAAGGAGCAGAACCTACAGTCTGCCACTTTCGTGCAGGAGTACAGATTCGGAAAGACATCGCTCACCGGTGCCATGATTGCTCTGCATTCAAAGCTGTCGGCATGCCGAAGCTTAACGCGGCCCGATATTGTGAGCTCGAATGTGAGGCGCTACCCACGTGGTGTTCAGTGAGAGAGAGCTGGTGTTTTGAAAATCTGACTCGTGATGCGGAAGGAGTCACTTCTCGTTTGCGGCACTCTAGCCAATCACTGTGGCATGCGGATATGCTCGGTGATGCACAAAGGCGAATTACAGAAGCATGGGCGAACAATTGCCTCAGAGTGATGCGCCGTGCGACGTCGAATCGACGATTTGCTGAAGAGGTGAAGTGGGAAGTACTTCGGCTCTGCTATCGAACAGGATCCACAGATAAGTTTCGAGGTAAGAGGGATCCAGCGCGGTGGTCGCGACGTTGATCACCGCATGTGCGTGGACAGGTGCCGAGCTTCGGACGATTGTTGTCTATAGTAGGCGAGTATGAATACTTGGCCCTGCAAGCTGCACGTCGTACAGAGTGGCCAGGAAAGGAATACGCGACCTTCGGGAGCTATTGGCCGGCCTGCAGTATCGTCTTGTGAGGTCTTCGGGAGTCTGTGAAAGTCAGCTCCCCTCGGCATTCGCCTGCAGGAGGGGTCGTCGTGTGCGTGTAGCACAGCTCTAACTGTATTCTGATAAACGCTGTGTAGCCGAGACAACAGCAGTAGCAAGGTTGTTGACGTGGTTCACTTGATAGACTGCTTAGCAAACGGCGGCCATGCAGAAGCCACCCTTCTGTATTCGTTCTAGCGGCACCTTTGTCCGTCTCCGCTTGCATGGCTCTCACAATCTTGACAACATTAAATATTCGAGGATCACATATTTGAACAACAGATCGAAGCGTTCCGCGATCACGACTTTTCTCGTGCATCTCATCTCCGCAGCGTGCGAGAAGCCAAGCGACACAAACGAGCGCCACAGCATCCACTTATGGAAAACTGCACTCGAGCATAAGCGTGACGTCAGACGGGCGGACCCTGGCCAGACAGAACCTCACGCTTACAGTCCGCGCATAGGCCGAGTATTCTCAATCTAGAAGCAATCCACTGCCGAACGCAATTGGGCCCTTCAGAGAGACTCGGAAGACTCCAGACCCGAGCGAGACGAAGAGAAATTATCGGCTACCGCTTCCCTTGATACAAGCGACCCGACATCACCTTCTACTGAGCAGTCGTCCGCAATTGCCACCCAAAACACCGCAGCACGGCACGACATACCCGCAAGTTCTCGGCATTAGTATCACCTTACAGAGCCAAATCTCGCTTTCCTCTGCCTCGACATCTTGAGTACCCTGGACTACGACAACATTATACCATCCAGGCGCGTGCTTTAGCTGGTACTCTCGTCTGTTGTTGGTGCCAATGCGCTTGCGACGGTGACCTCGCCTTCGCGCACTACCCACATACCGGACTGGCATTGGAGATTTTGCTCCTTGAAGGCCGCGGCTCTTCACAATGGAGACGACATTTATCTCGATTCACGGTATGCACCTTCCGCATGTGACTGACGTGGTCGTCGCGCCTTCCCTGCTGATCATATTCGACCAGACCTCACGCCCGAGGCACGCATTCTCTACTCCTCCGACTCCGTCGTTGACATCCTAGGCTATACACCCGATGAGATTGTCAATCGGTCTGCATGGGAGTTCTTCCCAGCAGACGAACTACCATACGCTCAAAAATTCCATGAGAAGCGCGTGCAGATGGACAAGGCCGCCGTCCTCGCATACTGCAGAGTAAGAGATCGGGATGGAAGATGGATAGGATGCGAGTGTTGTTTTACGATTGTCTACGACGTAATGATAGTTTGTACTAGCATATACAAGCATGGGCTGGCCAGCGAAAGTAGGTGATCGGCGGCTCAAATGGACGAGGCTTATGCTAATATGGGCTACAGAACGAGCCCTTGAAGCGCCAATGGTCCGGCGCATGTTCTCTTCTTCACCACGCGACCCACGATATCACATGCTTTCACACATATCAGCTCGATTCAAGCAGGACCATAAGGTCAGCGAGCACGAACCTCGAGCAGCGCTTTTCCTCAATAGGTTCACGCGAACACTTACGATCATGTATGCTACGAGCGGCCTGCAAGATGTCATTGGCATACCTGCAGAAGCTATGCGAGGACGAAGCTTCTACTACTGTATTGCAGAGAATTGTTTACAGGACGCGGTGAAGTGCTTAGAGAATGCGAAGGGGAATGATTCGATAGCATACTTGCGATTCTGGTTTCGCGATCCACGGGTAGACGATCAACGGCCACCGCCGGACGACGATAGCGATGATGAAATGACCGGGACTGAATTCAGTGTGGCAAGTTCGGTGGACGGTGGCGTGCAATTACAGGGCCAGGACAACACATCGCCAGCTAGTGCTGGCTCCACAAATTCTAGCGCCGTGCGGTCGTCAACCAGCATGGAGGTAGACCGCCAGGACGATAACGAGCCAAACTCGAGAACCTCGTCGGGCGATAGCACGAACGCTGTCGACACACATGAAGCCATATTTGGCACTACACTTCGCGCTGAAGAGTCCGTGTCATCACTCGGAAGCTCACCAGATCGTGATCGGAGAGCACCCTCACGGCCTGCCCATGTCGATCCTGTAGAACTGGAGGCAGTCGTCTCTTGCGCTTCAGATGGTTTGGTAGTCTGCTTACGGCGAGCACGACCAATGATACCACACCCGACACACCGACCGGGACGACCTGTGTATGAGAATGGACTCTTCGCAGCACCATGGGCACAGGAACCAATGTTACCACCCGTGGAGCGCAGATCTGGTGCAGGATTTGGACCGACCTTTGCGCCTGCACTTGGGCCGCACGGCGCACGGCCACAATCTGGATCTCCTATCCGGGCAGCGACAAGAGACCAGCACGATTTTATGGCTGCAATTCGCGATCAGGCTGTCTTTGCCTGGGCTCTCACGGGTATCAACGGCACGCTTGCGAATGCGGCGATGGGCAAGGCGACTGGGGAGTCAGTCCCACCGGATGGATTTCCGATCTGGTCGTGTGATACGCAAGCGACATCTGGGTCGGAAAGCGAGAGGAGTCCAAGTAGTGGGTATTCGAATGGGCACGATCGACAACGAGCGCAGATGTTCGGCGATCCTGGCCTACGAAGAAATGGAGGGTGGTCGGGTGCCAATGGTAGTCCTGGACATTATACGACGAACGGGAATGGGCACACACCTGATGGTATTCCATGAGGATGTGAGGACGAATGGTGGACGAAAATCTTGCGAAGCAGTCGCCGTAGGTGTTGAGCCATGAGAAGACGGTCGACTGTTGCACAAAGGAAGTGCTACTGCATCAATGCATAGTCGATTGACAAGGCTTAGCCAGACCAAGGCAAGGTGCCCTGCGAGCAAAGGAACGGCCATGATGACTATGACGACCATGGATAGATGGCGTTGCACGCATCGCTCTGGGAAAGGGAGGGAATATAGGAGTTATTGGCAGGTAGTGCAGCGTATATGCGGGATGGCAAATCATGGGGATACCACTATTGCTGGGCGTTTCAAAATGATATCAGCAATGGATGGGGCGGTACACATGCATGGAGGATACGATGAATGTCGCATGAGACGATCTTGAGCATGGGTTGTTAGCTAGTAGGCTGAATTACATGCTTCGCTCTATCAACTCTGCTTGTGCCCGAGATATGATAGTTACAGGCAAGTGTTATCGGCCGAAGGATGTGTGTATGTTCTTCTTCAAACCACGAAAATGTCACTTGTACCGGACCATGAAAAGATACGTTCTTTAAATGCACTAACTGTGAAGGTGGTTAGCTGCGGGCGGTACCGTGGTCCCTGCTTTAGGAAAGCACGACGTGCATGTGGACGTGAACTCCTGCCAGTGTTAGCTTGAACCTATAGCGATTTAGACCTGCGGTACCTTGGTTCGTCTTGTACAGTAAGAGACTGTCCTCTCTTGGCTACGACATCATGGCAGCAGCACACTCCCCTGCATCGTCACCACGGTTGCCCTCACCTCCACCAATCGCCGAAGATCAACTCGGACCTGCATCACCCGGCTTGTCGCTGTTCGAAGAGCATGGCAAGCTACCGAGCAATGCGATAGACACGGGAGCATCGAGGCGGATACGGCCGGGCACGAAAGCAGAAGACATGGCCGAAGGGCCACCATTGGTTGAGCTCCATGAGGTGTGCAGCGAGCATGATAATGAGAGCATAGATCAACACTTACGAATACATACAGATCGACTCAGCCTTCCAACTAACCGAACACCTCAAAGCCCTCCACTACAACCACACCCACCCACCCAACACCACAACCACGAACCCAATCGTCCCCGAGATCGCCAAACAGCTCGCCCAACCACCGCCCAACACCTCCCGCGAAATCTGGCTCTACGAACTCGGCCGCTTCCTGATCCAGAAAACCAACTCGATCATCGTCGCTCTCTTCGCCGACGACCCTCCTTGCTCCCCGCAAACCTGCTCTGAGATGCGCGCAAGCGAATGGCAGTACCTCTGCGCCGTCCACGACCCGCCTAAGAGCTGCGCCGCGATCGACTACTGCTGCCACACCCTCGACTGGGCCGCCACGACCTTGACAAGCAGTAAGATGTTCCCGTCCCGTCTTGGCCTCGGGTCTGGTGCTGCGGGTCTGGGTGCTGGTCCCCAGAACGCGGATAAAGTGCTTCAGCATCAGATTAAAGAGTTGACGAATATTTTCCGGAGGGTGTATAGGATTTATGCGCATGCTTGGTTTCAGCATCGGGAGATGTTCTGGCGGGTCGAGGGGAAGACGGGGTTGTATGTGCTTTTCAAGACGGTTTGCGATGAGTATGGGTTGATTCAGGCGGAGAATTATACCATCCCGCCTGAGGCTGAGGGGTTGGAGCCGGCGGAGCTGGTGGTGGAGGAGAGATCACAGCTGCCTACGAGTGTGTTGGAGCGGCCGGGCAAGAACGAAGAGGTACAGGACAGTGTGACGGAGGAGAACAGAGTGCTTGCGGTTGGTAACACGATTCAGAGGCATACGAGGACGAAGTCAAACCTTACGGATTCCGCGGCTAGTATCAAGGAAGAAGACGAGGAGCCCGAGACTGAGATTGATCAGCGGAAGCCTGATCTCGGGCGTCAGGCGAAGGAGATGAAGGCTATAGCTGAGAGCTTACCGCAGCCGGGACAGAAAGTTGAGAAAGCTGAGGACAGTTTTGAGAAAGAGCCTGCTGAGACTGCGGAGGGTGGGACGAAGGATAGTGAGGACGAAGTGGAAGGAGAACCGAACCTTGGTATCCAACGCAGTGATACTATCAAGCCTCATCACAAGGAGGCTGCGTCCGAGCAGACTGAAGAGAGCGAGGATGTGGAGACCACTGTTGTGGAAGTCGAACCAGACGAGGCTGAGGATGGAGCAAAAGAGCCAGCGATTGTGGAGGTCGAAGGAGAGGCGAAGGTGGAGGTCATGGAGCCTGAGGCGCCTGCCAAAGAACCGGAGGAGGCTGGCAAGAGTGTTGCGGATTGATCTGAGTATCACAGTGAAGCTCAGTACCGCGTATCAGGGTTCGGACTCTCGTGCTCGCTCTCGATATACGAAGAAAGTGCAAGATGCAATTACACCAACCACTGGGTGCAAAAGGAATTATGAGATTCGACGGTTATATGATACCCAGGAACATGTGGCATATATTCAATTCTGCGCATGTGGCGCCTAGCGGCGACCGAAGATAATAGAAGAAGGAAAATTTCGTAAGGAAGACTTCGTTGCTTCTTTGGACAGCGCCACCGAACAGGATGCCTGCATGGAAAAGCCTCTTTGTCCACCGACCAAGCATAGTAGCGATACTCTGTAAACCTTGTTCAACGCATTCATGGGGGATGATCATACAGCACTATGTAAACGCAATGCGGGAAAGCAGTGCTTCCACGTGACTGACGAGGATAGCGTGCCTTCCTCGTGAGAGCATGTTGCGGATACTCCCGGGCTTCACATGAGTCGGCGCTCAACCAGCTAGCTTGACTTGGCGCACGCTGCCTCCGTTTGTATTTGTGCGAAAAGCCATTGTGGATTCGCACTCGCCGCCAGTATACAACAATCTCGTCCTCAAGAAGTGGCTTGGACGACAAGCACAATGTCAGACACGAGTTCGGAGACATACGAGGGATACCGTGACCTGCCGGCTGGCCAGAAATCGCTTGAGCCATCGTTTGCGCATTATCGCCTTCTTCGCGATGCTGATCGTGGTGCTGTCAATCGAAAGACAAGGCTTGTTACCCTTCATACTGGTGGGACGGATGCAGAGAAGGCATCGATCAGGAATCTGACGGACGTCGCCGAGTCTTGGTGCAAATGCACCATACTCGCAGGCAATGACTGGTCGATCGCGTCCGGCGAATGGAAGTTTCGTGTGACCTTTGACAGACTGGTATGTGCTCCATAATCTCTACCATACAGTTGTCAAGCTACTGGCCGCTAATACAAATTATCAAAACAGCTAATGATACCAACTCTGAGACTCGAGTGTGCCTTCGATGAGATCCCGAGATTCTACATCCATACGAGCAGCTACAGCACTACGGGCGTCCACGGCCGTACACCAGGTCGTCCCGCGGTGACTGATCCTAAACTGATACTGGAATTCCATTTCTTCCCAACAGGCGATGGCCTTGAGGGCTTGCAGGCTTTCCAAGTACTTGGCGATGATGTCAAGTTTGTGGCTCATGGAGCTACAAGCGAGGGCTTCAATAAGATACCTCTCCATATGCGCGACAATCCCACAGTGTGCAAGCTCAAGGCGATGCTCAGCCCACCAGCTAGTCATGATGTGACGCTTCGACTCCTCGACCTTCCCGACAGTATCGCCCGGAGGCTATTCAGCATGCGGGCTTCCCATCTGCCAGGTGGCAGTGCTCAGCTCCTGGATATCTTCAAAGGAACAAACTCTGGCCACAGGCACACCGAATGGGGAGCTTTTGGGACAAGTCCGGGCTCCATACGTCCGCCTCTTGCCATGATGCAAATGAATCCACCACTACCAATGACGCCCTTGAGCAGCGGCGACACATTTTCCACCACCACACAAGCTAGGATCGAGCTCTTGTACTCAATCCACTCGCTTCATCAAGAAGAAGTCGATGGTCTGAAGCTGTGGGCTAGGGGCACCCATACTGGCCAGCTTTGCGCATTCGAAGATGTCGCCTACATGGTGGTCAAGTTTGGTCCCTTCAACAAGCTTGGAAGCGCAACCGATCACCGGAAGTTCCGTCTCAATGATCGCATCCACGTCAAATTGAGTTGGCGGTCGCCTCACGGTAAAAGAAATGATCATAAGCTCGGCGGGATCCATTGCACAGCGGCCGTGCAGCTGAGACCACATGACGCCGTCTTCATGATTCCAGGCATTGATGTCAAGAAGTTCCCGGGCATCTGCCAGAATCGCGATGACTGGCATGCAGACAAGTTCGATGTCAGGTGCGATCCTCATATCAGCAGCTTCGCGGTCTCGAATCAGCTGAAGACTGCGGATGCCCTTTCCAACCCTCGCAACGCCTTCTGGCGTAAGATCGTGCTCAATCAGCTTCATGATGACATCGAGACTGTCGAGATTGCGACCAAGAGGAAATTCGATCCGCAAAGCAAGCCACGCGAGGTCTCGGACGAAGCTGTACGCCAGGCCATGGAGGCCGATGGACCCAAGTTTCGCAAGCAGATCCAAGACGCTTACCAGGAGATGCTGAATTCTCGCAAGTGGAATCCTGAGCAGCTGGAGGCGCTCAAGACAGTTCGAAGTGTGGTCGGCAGTATTGTGCTCATCACTGGCCCCGCTGGGACGGGCAAGACACTCGTGCAACAGGCCATATGTTCCTTCGCCTATCTGCTGGGTTTACACGTCTTAGCTGTGTCACCAGCCAACAGCACTTGCGCGGACTTCATGAGGAAATTAAACAAACTCTTTCCGCATATCAAGGCCACTCGTGTGTTCCCAGCGTCCGCCGAGCTCGATAACAAGGGAATACCAACGGCGAACCCGTGGTTGCGCCTCCGGCTGGTCATGTCAGTGGCGAGTCCATGGGACTGCTGGACTTCGACCTAGCCCGTGCTGCGATGCGGAATCACAAGTATGAAGAAGGTCGAGATTATGGGCTCCAGACCCAGGTACTCGAAGCTGCCTATGCTGGCGATCGCGTCTACAAGAGCAAGGTAGCTCGTCAAGGTCGGGTAAACACATGGGACGTGCTGCAGAAGTGTATCAAGGATCGTGATGCAGGCACGTTCGATATGCAAAGCTCGGAAGATAGAGCGGCTTACTCCGAGAGCTATGCCAAGTGCAAGCAGCATTTCCTCGCACATCAGCGTTTGGTGTGCACGACCACCGGCAACGTTGCGTGTACTGAGCTTGCGCTGTCATGGGCTGTTGACGACGACGATCTCGGTGTGCGTTGCGCGGGTGTACTGCTGGTCGTCGATGAGGCGTGTAAAGATCAGGAGATTGCGACACTGAGCTCGATCTTTGTCAAAAAGCATAAGTTGGTGGGCGTGGTCATGGTCGGTGACAAGAAGTATGAGTAATCATGAACAGATGTTCGCTACTGTGCTGACACCTTCTAGGCAACTAGAACCAACGGTGAGCAGCCAAGGCAAGGGTTCGATCTTCAATCACTTTTCAGAGAGGGCCAGCATACCGTTGCTCTCGCGTCTCAAGCGTGGTGGCTTCCCCTGTGTCGAGCTTGTGGAGCAGCATCGAATGGTAAGTTGTATGAGAATCGCAGCAACAAGATAACGGAGACTGATCATCTCCAGAATGTCCATGTGGCCAAATGGCCGAGCAAAGTATTCCACGCCGACAAATCACGGCACCACAAAGACTGCTACCATCCCCTGGCCGAGGCGAAGCCAGGTCTTGACAACTGCCTCCGCACCATGTTTCTTGCCTTTCTTCTGGTGGGGACTCGAGAAGCCCTCACTGACGAGCAGCTGCGCACCGCGTACTTCGAGGTTCCTGGCACACGCCGACCGAGCAGCAACGGCACTTCATGGGTCGTGCGCGAGCACATCCGCCCCTTTTTCGAGCGGATCTCTTGGCATCTGAACGCATATTATCGAGGCAAGACTGCGGAGAATGTGATGGTTATAGCAGCATATGGCGAAGCTGTAAGTGTATGGTGGTCTGAAGCAATTTTTTTTTGATATACTGATGTCTTCCTAGTGTGCGCGCTGGTCCGAAGCTTCGAACGACATTCGCCGCAAGAACAACCTCATCTTGGACGATATGCCGACCATCTGCACGATCGACTCCACTCAAGGTCGAGAGGCTACAAACGTCATCATTGACTGCTCTGTACAGACCGATGAGAAGAACTATACTTCAATAGGTACGTTCTTGCTCTTAGCTCTGCTATACAAGCCATTGACCTCTTGTGTACAGGTTTCGTCGACGATCCGAAGCGGATGAACGTGGCCATGACTCGTGCGAAGGAAGTCCGTATCTTCATAGGCGGACGGTGCGCTGAGAAGAGGGTGTTGAGTGGCATCGCATACGTCGACTACTACTGGCATTGTGTGCGGAACAATTTGATGTGGATTGTCAATTCGAGTCTGATCACCTCCGAAGGCTCGACTTGGCTCAAAGACATCGTCAAGAGGGACATCACCTTGCCCCGCACGCTCAGCGACGACGTGGCTCGACGTTGAGACTCGGAGGCCGCTAATGAGATATCATTGACGATCTTGCTATGAGACGTGAGTCTCTGTAGACAGATTCTGTCTCTGGCAGATATCTGAGCTGCAAACAGATTCGATATCGTACGTACAGGAATTCACAACACATTACCATGTCAATCGAAGCTAGACTCGATGGTATTGGGAAGAGTGTGAAGTGCATCACACGCCTGCCAATAGCAGACTGTATGGTAAGTAAAGTCAGCTTGTAGAAGTGAAAGCTAACTCAGTGCGTGAGATCAATCACTCGATGCCTGACGAGAAGTAAGCATCATGGAGCTTCTAAGGTTGGGACGTCTCCGTTCCTTCTGCGCATGATGTATATCATCCCGCCCATTCCTTGCCGCCTACCTAATACAAGCATACTTCACAAACCCTCCACTGACCAGAAGACCTAAAAGAGGTCGACAATATTGATCGCAACAAGTTGGCCCATAGCATACACGACATGGACTACCTGTACTACCTCAGAATCTACATGACTCTTCACAACATTGTCGCATTTCCAATTGCTTACTACAACAGCGCCTGGCATGATCGGACTCGTCTGAAGTTCTCTATGGTTGGACTTCAAATCACCTGGTTCATAACATATTTGTTGCTCAGGATCGACTCAGACGAACCGGGCAATATTTTGGACATCGCAACGCATTCATGGAACTTCTATATCTAACTAGGTAGCCTTGTGGTGGTATCTATGGTCACGCACATCTACAGCCTCTTTTCATACGCGGCAAATGCCAGGAATCTACTCCACGAGATCCGAGAAATGGAGAAGCCTGACGGCATAATCAACAGACTTGCGACGGAGAATACTATCTGCAGCCATCGTTCACTCGAGCGTTGTTTCTGGCTTGCATGGGCGTTGATCATGGTCACATGGCTAGCTCAGTCCCTGCTGTTGATGGAGATCTCTTCGACGGCGGGCCCGGCGCGCGAGGCAGCCGCTTGTATTATGAGCACGCTAGGGAACGCATGTTGCTGGTGTGCGGTCTCGATTGCACTCCTGGAAGACCAGGTCACCACTGCTTGGCAATGGGATGATACCAAAGGAACCGCGATCACGAATCTAGAAGACATTCAGATCGCGTACTCGCGGCAGTGGTGCATCATGCTGTTCGTAAAACCACGATGTGGAGAGATAGCTCTAGTATGAGTATGGACCAGAGGAGAATCTTCTGCGGCTGTCAGCTGTACGCGATGCTCGAGCGAAGATGGAGTCGAATATTGTAGCCCATGGGCTGATGAAGTTGAGCAGTTGGATGTCTCCGAGAGAAGTTGCTAAGGGGTAGCTAGCCTTGTCGGTGCTATGCTACTGTACCTGGCCTGGTCTTCTGGCCAACTCATCGAGCATGATCTGCTTGGTGCATGACATAGCAGGCTGAGAAGCCATGCTGCTCAACGGCGATATTCATGTCTTTACGTGCGTACAGAAGCCTTAGCCTGGTACAGTCCACAGATCTCGACATGCAGTTTCCAAAGCTTTTACAAACCTCGTCAGCTCCCGAAGATGGCAGCAAAGCGCTTGTGTCCCAGTGCGATCGCCAAATCGGACATCCATAGTCAAGATCGCTGCGTGATTGGCTCTGTATGTCACCACGAGAAGAATGAGGCGTTCTTGGCAGCCTTGCATGGACATCGAGGCGAAAGCGCAACGAGCCTCTGCATGAGACCACTCCATGCAGCAGTGGCGTGACATCTCATCGTGTCCATGTTTCCAAGAGAAGGATGATGCAGCAGATATCGAGTCGTTGAGCCCCTGATGACTACAGGAATCCGCTCCTAGTATATTTCCATGCTAATCATTTTTTGCTGGCAAGGCTGCGAAAGGCTACCCAACGCCATCTCGGCATTCCGATCGACAGCTTCCCTAGCACACCCGATGGTACGTCCGCCCGGGACGCCTCCGTACATGTGGCCGCTCTCGATCGAGACGATATTTTACTATTCCCGTCCCGTCTCTGATACATCTACCACTTGCAGAGAGGGCACCTATTCCCTAGAGTGAATACGATAGATAAGCGAGGGCGACAACCAGGTACCTGGCTTCATTCCTTACGCTGCAGACTTTGATTTCCAGACGTTCTCGGCGGCCATGACGAACTACTATCTGCTATGGCTGGCTTCAACAGCCCAGCTGCCATTCGAGACTGGAGATCCTTGGAGCAATGTGGTAAGCTCAAGCGACCTCGACAACTTGACATGATGTCCATGAATGCTTACGTTAATCTTAGATGAGCTTCTGCCTCGCCGCCGGCAGTCCAGCAATGATAGCCTACTCCCTTACCATTACGATCCTCAACCGCTTCTGGGTTCGCAAATCCTTTGGTGAGCTCCAGCAGAAGGCTCAGGGACCCAACGTTCGAGATCGCTATAATGAGTACGCTGGCCGTATCCGAGCGGCACAGTATCTGTTGTAGGAAGCCCAGCAGATACCGCTCCGAGCATCGCAGGAGAGAGGCTGGTTAAGCAGTCTGGTAGTCGTGCCCGCAAACACTCGCTGGTGGGAGTTGATGGAAGCTCGGCTGAAGAGCACGAGACGTGGGTTCACTGCATCGCTTGTGGCGCAAATGTTCCTGGCTGCCATTGCTTACCTGTTTACTGTCATCTCATCGTTTCTCGCGGCTCTGGGAGATCCAGCAACCGCGTTGCAGATCGCCTCAGGCAGTCTCTGGATCTGGCTGGTAAGGCACCTCGTTTGCATAACGAACGACGAGACACTGGTATCTCGGACGCTGATGTCGCTGACAGATCCCGGTCATTCTGGGATGGATCACAGTCGGTACCCAGTATAGCCACCACTCTATCCAAGATGCCCTGACCGCTGAGCGCGCCCATCGAGCCATGGAGCCGCCCATCTTCAACAACGAGTACACCGATTATGACGAGCAAAGAGGTCTCATCGTCCGTTCCGGTCTGACACCACAACCACACCGCGTGCAGACAGTCCAAGGAGCTTTCGATGCTCCCGATCCCGATCGACTGATCATTCCGAAGTGGTGCGGCTTCGGTGTCGAAGGCGACGAGCAGCAAAAAGGTCCTACGTTCAACTACGCCAGACTGTTCACCTGGTGGCAGCTGGCTTTCACAGTCAGGAGCGCGCTGTGGCAGACATTAGATCATGTGAGCCAAGGTTGAGTGTGTCAGGACGTATAGGGTCTTCGCCTACGCTGGGATGACGCTGCCAAGGAGGGTAACCTGACGGGTGACTGCGTGGAAACGGCTAGGTACTGCGGTGTTGCGACTCGGTCCATCAGGGCGTACCCGACCTGGACGAAGATGCCGTCCGAGGTGTACCGCAGGATGTTCGCGGCGGCATTGGCCGGCCTATTTGTCCAGTGGTGAGTGAGGCATGTTAACACCGAACATATCATCAGTCGCTGATTAGAGCTGTGTTAGGGGCACGACAGGCGCTTCCATTCTGATAGCTTACAAGACACCCACAGTGGGTCTTGGCTGTCGCTCGACCTCGTACATCGTCTATGGTGCGTTGGGAACTGTAGCCTGGATTCTACTTCTCGCGTCAGCACTCCTGTCCCACGAAGCCATGCTCCGGTATCAAGCACGGCATACACTCAATACGTCAATGGACTTTCGTATAAAGCATCAGCCTCAGAATCCGAATCAATACGTCCGCACCTTCATGCATTCGGCTATCTATGGTGCGGCGGTGATGACGAGGTATATCGGAAAGTGCTTGGCGATTCTGAGTACGGTGGTTCTTATCCTCAGCTCGCTATTTGAATTCATCGGCCTGTATGACAATTGCTGGTGTCAAGGCAATGCTATTGGGCTTGGGAATAAAGGATGGGTCGTCCTTTTCAAAGGCACGCCGGCCTTGGCAGCCTCGGCAGCCTCATCTTGGGGTGGTGGCTTGACCATGACTCTTGTGGATTGCATCGCCTCCTATACTTTCTTCGCGCTTGGGTCCATGAAGACGGACGATGACTGAGAGGATCCAATGGGACATGGAAGGCGTTCCCAACGGCACGTGACAATTATGACTTCTTGAAATCGCTCTGCTATAATGATGTTCAGAGGAGCTGATGGGGATCGCGGCTGCGGCAAGTGCGGCACATAGCGATATATAGCGGCCAGTAGCAGTCGTAGTATGTGGTGCTGCCCGATTGATAGACTGCGCCGTGTGTCCATGAGTACTGCTGGTAGTGGCGAGATACTGAGCTCCATCATTGGATTGTGGTACTCCAGTAGCCATCAAGGTGTAGATTGCCTTGATGGCTGTGCAGTCAGCATCTCCGTCACGCCGTGCTAGTCATAACGTGTCGGAAGCCGTGCTGATGCGACATGGTTCGTTGTATATCAATGAGACAGACAAGGCCGCCATTGATGGCTATGCCGTTATTGTGCACCAGTGGCTTGTCGACGATACATGTGCAATGCAAAATCGAGTCGTGCACAAGCCTGAGGCCGCAGCAAAAGGCGAGGCTATCCAAACTCTGCCTCCTGCAGGATGCGTGCGCACAAGGGCTGCAGAGTCTCAGCGGAACGACTTCCAAGAGGATGCAAGCCTCCAATCGCAGGTACCACACGGGTAGCCGCAGGGTACATGTGTCTCTCTTTCGCTGCTGTCTTCACGCTAGAACTGCGCCGAGCTCGCGTTTTACAGCGCAACATATGATTGAGCTGTCTCCTGCTGCCCGACTTTAAGCTGGAGATGGTTTGGTGGCGTAGGCGGAGCTGATGTGTTCGAAAAGCCAACGTGCGTGTTGGCTCACCATTTGCACCAACAACAATGGGGCTGTCACTCGTGTCATGCAATCATCGTTCGCACACGCAGTGCGCCTGATGCAGATCTCGCTCTCGCTGGAGAGGATAAACAGCTGAACGGGCCCACCTTCGTTGTCGATCCATAAGGACGGGTGCATAACGCTGTGTCGCTGCTGGTATTCTCGCTTCTCTCAAGCTGTCACTTCGTTATCACGTCTCAACGACAGCGGACGCGTGCATTGTGTGGCTCATATTATTGTCCATTTGCTGTGACGACGACGCTTGACCGTGTTCGCATTGGCTTCCCGAGAGGGCGGCGGCGGCGTCTGGCTCCTCGTCCCGTTAGGTGCTCGTGCTGGAACACACCGCATCGCATCACATCGCATCTCCAACCAAATTCGATCGGGTCCTGATTCATGAACGGTGCTCGAGCCTCAGCGTGAACCTTGACCAGCACGAAGAGTCACGAACCACAAGAACGACGTTCAACACTTCGACAAGACGAAAGAGACTCGTCTGCATTATCGTATCCCTTCTTCTTCTTGCAGCAACTCCGCACGACCTTTATGGATCCGTGCATATCGCGTACTACACCAGCAGCGGCAGTACCACCACATGGCTGAATTAGCACGAGAACTGCAAACCGCGTTCGCATACTAAGCCTGCCGACCCATCCTATCCTCGACCCGTGAGTGGTCACATCAGATGCCTCACCTCTTCCCATTCGCCAGCCATGGCAGCGGCGAGCATAATACCACTACCACTGTACAAGAGATGGAGCAGGATCGACCACATAAGGTGCATCGACGAGCACCTTCCCTATTGAGAGGTCTGGGTGGACTGCTCAAGAGGCATCATGACCATGATCTTCCTCGGGACATTGTTGAAGCGCCGCAGACTGCTCCTACTGAGGTAGCATCTACCGGAGACTACTTCGGACCTACTCGGAGACGTAGTTCAGAAGAGGTTGTCGCGGCTTCGAAGCGAGCCATACCATCTCTACCTCGACCACAGACGTTCCGTAGGCAGGAGTCTGAGAAGAGAGAGAAGCTTCAGCTCAACGAACCCAGTCCGACTGAGAAGCGTACTTTAAGCGTCGATCGACGACGTGGTCTCAGTGCAAGTGCTGCCAGGAGACCAAGCTCGCCGATTGTTCCTTTTCCGTCCTTCTCCATTTCAAGCATTGATCCGACGAATCAACCTCCACCAACGCAATTGGAACTACAATCGTCAAGTAACGGATTGCGGTCGACACGAGGTCCACCTGAGGGCCTGCCGCCGCTACAGATACCAGATCAGCCTCAATTCAACTCTGATGTCTTCATGGAGGATGACCAACCCGAAGATGATCAGCGTTCTATACGTGACGAATACGAGAGAAGCTGGATTCTCAATCTCAGTATGCACTTCCGCGACAAGTCGAATCGTGAGAAGTTCTTCGTCACGTACGCTGAGAAGCCAAACAAATGGCGTCGCATAACACTATCTTTGGACTACCGCGATGCTCCTGATGGTTCACTGGAAGCCGACATCAGCACACTTCATTACCAGCGTGACAAGAGCTTCCGCATTTACGAGGCTATCCGGGAGTCATTACCTGAAATCCAATACTACGATACCGTCACGAACCTCAAACTCGAAACGACACGAGACGACTGTCAACTACATGTCCATGTTCGTGAGGATGCCAATGAAATCATTCAATACCCTGCTCTCTCACTCTTCTCGCACGTAATCACACCTCTCTATCGCGAGGGCCAGCTGGAATTCATCTCCCACCTCTCCGGCTTCGTGTACAAAGTCCTCGCTGATGGCATGGTGGTCATCAAAAAGGAGATTCCTGGTCCCGACACAGTCGACGAGTTCTTGTACGAGGTCAACGCTCTTGACGCACTTGTCGACTGCCCGAACGTCGTGCAGCTTCAAGGTCTCGTCACTGATGAGTCTGGCTCCGTGGTCAAGGGTTTGCTTATCGGTTATGCATCGCAAGGTGCATTGGTAGATATGCTCTACGACTTTCGCGGCACGTCTGAGCTTCCGTGGTACAGACGGGAGAAATGGGCGAAGCAGATCCTGCAAGGCTTGACTGAGGTCCATGAAGCTGGGTTCGTGCAAGGGGATTTTACTTTGTCGAACATTGTCATTGATGCCGACGATAATGCTCTTATCATCGACATCAACCGACGAGGATGTCCTGTTGGCTGGGAGCCACCGGAGTTGAGTCGTCTGATCGAGAGCGGGCAGCGGATCGGAATGCACATTGGTGTCAAAACTGATCTGTTCCAGCTTGGAATGGTACTTTGGGCGTTGGCGGAGGAGATTGACGAGCCAGAGCGCGTCAGGAGGCCTTTACCGGCTGTTAATCTTGACGTTCCGGACTACGTCCAGCAGATCATCGATATCTGCTTGAGTGGTCGACCACGAGATCGCGCCGAGGCGAAGGAACTTCTTCGACTGTTCCCGGCCTTAGCAGGCGGAGCGCCGTCCCGTGCGGGGAGGTCAGTGGACTTCGGACAACATAAGCAAGCTATCAACGACAGCGTCTCAACCCATCGCTCGGACAAGGAGTACATTGACCCTGATATGGCAGTGACACTGGACGAGGTCCGCAGACCACGACCTGAGCATAGTCGGGCTTCGGACTTCACCTCTGCAGTCACTTATGTTGACCCGGACTCCAACCCGGCCTCGAGCTATAGATTCACAAGTACGGGTTCGTGGGTGGATGTCGAACATCGCCGAGGTCGATCGCCTGTCTCAAGCCGAAGGCGCAGGAGTTCACCGTACGGCCGCTCTGCTAGTAGCGCGACTTCTGTGTCGGTATCGTCTGAGACGTTTGAAAGGGTGCGTGATGTGCCTGGCCGTGAGCATAGGGATGGTGGGGAAAGGTGTAGGGTAGAGGAGATTGGCGACGAGACGCTGAGGTCTGAGTACCCACCTGCCATCGACGACGATGACTGTCTTCCGCCTTTGCCGCCCAGCTCGACTGACTTGCTCTCCGAGGTTCGCATTGCACATCAGCAGGAGCTAATGCGGAACAAGCAGCTCGAACTCATGCACCAGCAGGAAGAGGCATCCCAGATCCCACTTCTGCACACTGACTCCGGCTTTGATGAGACAATGATTGATGAGCTTGAAGTCCAGCCTGGGCCTGCTACGAATAGTTACGACACCAATCGCCACAACATCGGCTGTACGCTTCTGACCGGGAAGGTCATGGATGTTGTTCAAGCGCGCGAGCATGCTGGATCAGCAACAGAACCCAAGGATATGAGACACGGTGAGCTCGAGGATGAGCAAAAGTTATGATTACGACGAAATACGACAGGTAATGCATTGATGCCGGTGTCACGGAACGGCAGCGTGGTGTACTTCTACTTTTACTTCTATATCCATATTCAGCATTCCATGTATGCAGCAATTTTATCCTTTTCGGCATTGATTCGTCAGGTCTTGTGATACGTGTTTGGGGCTACGGCTGTTCGCGAGCTCCGAACAATGGCTGTCGACTCGATGGATAATAAGTGTCGTCCAAATCCGATATTCCTGCTCCTCTCCATGTTCTAAGAGAAATCGAGGCTGGAAATATACCTTCTCCGTCAGCGGCACTGGATTTTGATATGCCACCCCACTCCCCGCCATCTTGAAACGCGAACCCTGGTCGGCGATCACTTTGAGGCGCATGCACCAGTCGAAGGCTGAAGCAAGTCAATGATCACGAGCTCAGCTCCCGTACAACCACACCGCCCGATTCTTTCCAACAGCCACCTGCCTTGTCATTGTGCTCCCAAATAGGAAGTAGCCCCACCTACCAACATCAACTACCACATTCACCACACAATAATAATCTTCCATTCACATCAACTCTGGCTCCACCAAAGGGCTCACGTTCTCCCTTCTGCCGCCCATTCCTCCTCCTCTTCCTCCTCCTCGTGGTCATTGTGGCGCTCATATCTTACGTCCCGCGACTTCGAACGATTGTACGACAGATCTCGGTGCCGAAAGCTCCCTTTAGCTTTCCATCTCCAACCACACAGACACATCCTCATCGACCTCTGACAACCGCGACAATGGCAAGTGCCAAGCACAAGAAGCCGCCGCAGGCTCCACCACTCTTCACGCATACGCCTGAGAGCTTGGCGAAGGATACGAATAGTATTTTGAAGAGGAATCAGGAGCTGCAGGATAGAATTGTCAAGGATGTGAAGCCTGAGGAGGCGAGCTTTGACAATGTGATTCTGCCTTTTGCACGTGATGACGATCAGATGAGTCTGGAGACACACATCATCGGCTTCTACTCTGCTGTCTCCACCGACTCGAAGCTGAGGGATGCATCAGTAGCGGCGGAGAAGCAGATGGATGAATTCGCGATCGACTCTGTCATGCGGGAGGATGTTTTCAAGCTGGTGGATGCCGTATACAAGAAGCAGAAGGACGACAAAGATCTCGAGGCGGAGAATAGACGGTTGTTGGAGAAGGATCACAAGGGCTATATCAGGAATGGGCTTGGAATCTCTGCTGGCCCAAAGCGGGACAGATTCAAGGAGATCAAGAAGAGGTTGTCTGAATTGAGCATCATCTTCCAAAAGAACCTGAATGAGGAGTCGGGAGGATTGTGGTTCAAGCCTGGGGAGCTAGAAGGCGCACCAGCTGATCTGATCACGGGCTTGAAGAAGGGCGAGGGCGAGCACGAGGGTAAAGTGTGGTTGACTTTCAAGTACCCAGACCTCTTCCCTGTACAGAAGTACTGCAGAAATGCTGAGACGAGGCACAAGCTGTTTCTGGCGAATGAGAACAAGTGCAACAACAATATTGAGCTTTTCAAGGAGGCGATTGTGCTGAGAGATGAGGCGGCGAGGTTATTAGGATATCCCGATCATGCTACTTTCCGGATCGAGGATAAGATGGCAAAGACGCCTAAGACGGTAGATGACTTCTTGGGCGATCTGAGGAAGCGACTTGCGCCCGGTGGCCTCAAAGAGATTGAGAAGCTGAAGGAGTTGAAGGAAGCTGAAACTGGAGATGCGGAGCAGTATTTCTTGTGGGATCATCGGTTCTATGATACTCTGATGCTTGAGCGGGATTATCAGCTGGATCAGGAGAAGATCTCGGAGTACTTTCCTCTTCAGTCTTCTATCGACGGTATGCTTAAGATATTCGAGGAGCTCTTCGGCCTGGCTTTTGTCAAGCTGGAAGCAGAAGACCGCAACGCCATTTCCTCAACAGGCAAAGGCGACGACATCATCTGGCACCCAGACGTCCACCTCTTCTCCGTCTGGGACGACGAAGGCGAAGGCAATGGCTTTGTCGGATACCTATATCTCGACCTCCATCCCCGCGACGGCAAATATGGTCATGCAGCCAACTTCAACCTCTCACCCGGCTTCATCAACGAGAACGGTACCCGCCGCTACCCAGCCACAGCCCTCGTCTGCAACTTCAGCAAACCCACGCCCAAGAAACCTTCCCTGTTAAAACATGACGAGGTCGTCACCCTCTTCCACGAACTCGGTCACGGGATCCACGATCTAGTCAGTCGAACAATCTACTCCCGATTCCACGGGACCTCCACCGTCCGCGACTTTGTCGAAGCACCCAGTCAAATGCTAGAGAACTGGTGCTGGACGCCCTCCCAGATCCGCGCGCTAAGCAAGCACTACTCCCACGTCTCACCAGAATACGCGACAGCGTGGCAGGAGAGCGCGAAGGAGGAGAAGCAGCCTGGTGAGCATATGCCCGAGGAGCTGATCAAGAGTGTTGTCTCAACGAGACATGTCAATGATGCTTTGTTTAATCTCAGGCAGTTGCATTTCGGGATTTTCGATATGACTGTTCATGAGCCGAAGAGTCACGAGGCGGTGGTGAAGTTGGATGCTAGTGCGACTTACAACAGTTTGAGGCACGAGATCAGTAAACTTGATGGGCCGGAAGCGCTCGGTCAAGGCAACGACTGGGGACACGGCCAGGCGACATTCGGGTAAGCCTTTTCATCCTCAATGGTACACACCCAAAAATCCGAGCTAACCTCTTACTCACAGACACCTGATCGGCGGCTACGACGCAGGCTACTACGGCTACCTCTCCAGCCAAGTTTACAGCACGGATATGTTCTATTCGGTGTTCAAGAAGGATCCAATGGATGGGAAGGAGGGGCGACGATATAGACATACTGTTCTGGAGAAGGGGGGGAGCCAGGATGAGATGGACACGTTGAAGCAGTTTCTGGGGCGGGAGCCGAGTACAGAGGCTTTTTACAAGGAACTGGGGTTGGCTTGAGGATCCAATAATGGAATCAAATCTGCTGGCCTATAAGCCTCCGGTGAGTATAATACGGAGCAGAGGGAGGAGCCGTGGTGCAATCCCACCTCTGCCAGTGCTACCGATGACCAATGATATAGGACATCGAGAGCAGCACAAGCTATACTCAGACCCCGTCCTCCAACACTACCACCAATCACGCCGCAGGGCCAGACCGTACTTTGATCGCAAGTATCTACGTAGCATCACCTGACATCTTCCCTTCTCCCTTTGCATTTTGCCCCAATGCCCATACTCCTTTCTTCAGTATTTTATCCATGGACGAGCGTCAACCCCACAGTCCCACACTTCGCACACTTACCCGCAGGTAGCCGCCACATGCCCTCCGGCCCTTTCTCCGCCGTAGCAATAGCCTTCAACTTCTCCCTCCGCTTCTCCCCCACCAGCAGCATGACATCCATGGCACTCACATCCCAAACCTTGTCTTCTTCCGGTGCGGAATGGTACGCCAGCACTTTCTCCGAGATAGCGGTTTTGGCGTCTTCAATGGCGCCCTGCTCGAGACAATCACAGTATTCGTCGAAGCCCAGATGGAATTTCTTCGTGATCTTGACTGTGCCGTCGACGCGCCGGTGGAAAGTGTAGTCTAATCTCGTCTCCAGCAGTCCTTCGACTGGGGTTCGCAGCTCGATGTCGCGGATGTGCTTTGAGTCTGGACGGTTGGCCACCCATATTTTTTGGTTCGCGAGGGAGGCCATGGAGTGCTTCACTAGCAAATTATGATCGCTTTGTTGGAAGGTGAAGCGGTTGGAGGCATAGAAGATGGAGAGCAGCTCTTTTCGCATCTGCTTGCTTGCTATGGCTGCCGCTGGTTCTCGAGGATATGAGCGTTGTTCGAGCCGCTTCCGGCGGCCTTGAGTGACCCAGATTGGTCGGATGGAGGGTGAAATGGGTTCTTCCAGGACTGATATCAGCTCGTAGATCCTATTGCGTAATTCGGAAGGGAGCGTAAACAGGTGGAGTGGTATGGCTCGTTCCGGTAGTGGACCATGGTCTTTGGATGGTGCTGGTATCGCTTTCTTCAGCACCAGCTTCGAGGCTTTAGGTTTGCGAGCTTTGGCTGGCCGAGCTGGTTTCGCTGGAGTGGTCTGGTGTTTGTTCTTGCTAGACTTCGTAGCTTTGGCGAATTGCAGATGTGGCGAGTCTGGTCCGTAGTGTGCGCTTGGCCACGGTCGGGACCCTTCAGGTGGTTCGAAGTCGAAGACGCTTTCTTGGGAGATGTCCAAGCCACGAAGTCTCATGATAGTTTTCAACATACTCTCTTCTTGACTTGGGAGGCTCTCCGACATGTGCATTTGTGGTAGTGGCTGTGACGGATGACTAGGGATGGCACCCATATCAAAACGACGACGTTTGCGATCCTTGATAGTGCGTAGTTCAGAGCTGTAGCAAGTGCTGAACGCAACAGACTGACCAGCTTCTGCAGGTGCTCTCATGCCGGAAACTTCGTCACAGCGAGTGGGAGGTGCAGACGAGGGTGGGTGAAATACGTAGTAAGACCGGTAGAAGCAGCAGGCAGCAGGCAGCAGCGTTGCACGTGAATGGCGGTTTCAGACTCCTGGATAGGTCGTCGTAGTTGACTTGTGCTGGGCGGTGCGAACAGTCTTGTTCAGAAGCCTATCAGTAAATTGTGTGGACGTATGGTAGTAGTGTAGTCAGCCGATGTACCTCGCGCCTGCCCCGCTGACGTGCCACTAAACCCCACGCACATCGTCTCGGCATACCTAAGCTTTGGGCGATCGGGCCGTCACGGACCGTAGACGCTTGGTGACTCAAATGATCCTTTATATTAAGACAGGACCCCTCGGACTCACGTTGCTTCACAACAGAAACACAAAGTCTACCGTCATCAGGGACTTCCGTATCTAACTACAGCATGTACAAGTAATGTGGCAAGATCACGAAACTAGCCTCCGTTCTTCCCATCAACCTTTGTCCGAGCAACAGACGCACTGCCAACTTCGTGACTCGATACCACGATCAGAGAAGGTTTCTGCATGACGCCGGTAGCCGTGTCCGTTTCAACTTCCTTGCAGGCGCAAACGATAGCGCTCCAATGGACAGCTCGCAGGATGGCACGCTGCGCTGTCTATCTCTAGTAACGTAACACGGTAAGTGCAGGTGATACGTGTTCATACCTATATCACGCTACCATAAGCATGACTGAGCTTCTATATATCTCTCCGTCTTTGTGCTGTTCAAGAGCTCCCACATTTCTTCCTCACACAACAACATTGCCCAACATAATCAAAATGCCGATCAGCAACTACGGCGTCTGGAAGGGTACGCCCACGAGCTTTACAGCTCAGACTCTCCTACAAGACGAGTCGCCACACATCACACTCAAGTTCTCCGATGGCTCGGGAAAAGGAAAGGAAGCGGCGATCAACGTGGCGTCGACTGACTCCGACACCCGCCTCGTCTACTGGTTGCAGCGCCAGTGGGACCACCCTATCACCCAAGACCTGACACCGCTTGCCGATGGCTTCCATAAGGCATCTGGCAGCGGCACAGACCTATCCCTCGACTACGTCAGAACTACACCAGCGCTGGTAGACTTCAAAGCCGGCCAAGTCCTAGACGACAATGGTTCAAACTCCACCACTAATATCCTCGACCAACTCGAGCCAATCCTCAACGATGCCATCTCGGCCAAGGCTGACATCTACATCTTCGGCTCGAGTTACGGAACTGGTATACACGACATCCACATGAACCAGGGCTCGCAGCCACGATTCGCCAACGGTATCGGGGAAGACGGTGCTATAGTATTCCACTATGCTAGCGATGGGCATTTTGAGGCAGTCTTCTTGGCGTTCGCGAGCCAGAGCATTCCTACTAATGATCAGACGGGTGCTGCAGAGAGTGGTGGGCAGACTTTGGCGCAGCTTGCGGGGGCTGACAGTAGCTAGACGATTGTCGATGTGGACCATCGATTCGAGTGTGCAAGACCGGCTTGAAGCCTTTTGCTGAGCGTCTAGGCTTGTAGACCGCCAGCCAATCGAGCATTTCAGCATTGGCACTTTTTAGACCACAAAATGTTCGAGCCACAACTCTCTAGTTCCTGCCACAAGTCGGACTCACCATTGATTACCAGTAAAGAAAGGTGTGAGGGGTGTATGGCAAACGGAAGGAAACACATTCCATGGCAATCATTCGTGTGCAGTTCGGGTTTGCGCGCTATATGCGATGCTTCAAACGTCCGTAGCTACTTCCCTGAATAATACTGTCTCCACATCTTCGTCATATATGCTTGATCCTGAGACTGAAGATGTGCCGATGTGGTCTGTGGAGCTTGAGACGTAAGTGAGTGTCAGAAAGCACGTTCTCCCCTTGACGGGTTTCGTGATCCGAACTTGTGACCGCGAACCGTAATGTGCGTAGGGTTGAACAAGAGATGGGCGCAAGCTAGGCAAAAGGGAAGGAACGCATCCGGGGATATGTTGGTGTGATTCCGTGATTTGAGAAATTCTTGTGTGAAGCTACTTCCCTGACTTTCCCCCATGTGTCCAGTATCCTATATTCGCTTTCTCCTGAATGCCGAAGAGCTGCCGCCTGTGGTGTGCAGTCACGCAGGTGCAAACGCCAGCAGCTGGCGGTCTTACTGCTGTTACTGCTGCGTGGGGCTGACAGTCAACACTGATGCATGACTCGTGCCCAGACGGGAACGGAAATATGAGTCACAGGGAGAGCACAAAGACTCAAGATTTTCTTGCGTGGGAATTCTGCGCATTGCCTGGGAGCCCCTTTTGGGATGCCTGCTGCATGGACATCTAATCACTCGCCCCGAACGCCCGCTCAAAACGCTATCACAATACACATCCTCCTTAAATACTCATTGTCATCGCGGCCAAGGATACCAGTACACGGCTACCGCACCTCCTTACCCCACCCCATTTCCTTCATCCTCCCCTCAATATTCCTCCATACCTCCTCCACGACCTCCCTATCTCTCCATCGATCTTTGCCCTTATCGATCTGCGCCACCATGACACCTCGGCCCCAACCCTTGACACTATCCGGCACGATCTCGCCCTTCCATCCAACGTAGATGCCAAGTGCGTGGGAAAACAAGTCAGCAGGTTGTTGCCATTTATAGTTCTTGAATTGCCAGGTCTGGCCTGTCGTAAAAACAGCTACCAGACGCTCCCAGTAGTCCGGTCTGAACGTCGAGGGGTCGTCTACGAGGATGAATCGGATTGGTTTTGACGCTGCCAAATGTGGGATTGTGCGGGTAAGATGGAGGATATTTGACGTTGTGCCGGATTCCGGTGGTGTGTAGACTCCTTCTTCTAAGAACGACTTGATGTTGGGCATGCGTAGGAGACTTGATGCGGATGGTGAGAGGAGAATGATGGGCTCTGGTCTTCGTCCTGGTTGCGCGGCCTTGACCGGTGGTCGCAAAGCAGGGTTGTTTGTAAGTGTAGGCGCGGGTTGTCCGCCGGGTGGAACTCGAGATTTGCCGAAGAAGAGCACACTATACTTCTTTCGTACGTCACTGAAGTCCTGGATCTTGACGCCTCGGAGCATTAGATTGCGGTCGCCCATTTTCCTCTCTGCAGCGAAGATCTCTCGCAATCGCTGCTGCTCCCGCTTCGCTGCTGCACCGTCCGTCAAGTCGGCATCCCGCATCTCGACATCCTCGCCTCCTGCTGCTGTGGCAGCTGCATCCTTGGCCTCAGCTCGGGTAGCTTTGTTGGCGTCCAGTGATCGTATGAATTCGCTCTCCTCCTCCCCCACCTCTCCTGCCAGCCATTGGTTCAGGTCGAGCTTTTCCGCGAAGACCAAATTCGTTACGGTCTCTTGCTTCCCATTCGACCGCAATTCCTCATTCAATGCTTGCGTAGCCGCAATGTAAGTTCCCGCACTCTGGTCCTTGTTCTGCCAGCAGAAGAAGACGGAGCGAAGGTCCAGAGCTCTGTTTCCTGCTGCCACTGATACGAATCGTGTGATTTGCGGAAGCGGAATCGCGAGATGCTGTGCGCCATCTTGTATTGACTCGGTGTTGAAGATGAGATGTGTTGCGAGGGCGAGGGAGAGGGTGGTGTCAGTGGCTGTTGATGGGTCATCGCTCGGAGAGGGTATTGGAAGACTGTTGGCGGCGACACAGCCGCGGAGAAGGGTCAGAGGATCCGGTGGAAGACCATCGGTGGTCGTCATGACGGTAGGTGTTGAACGAGAGCAGATGCGAGTGATCGCAATGCTGAAGCAGCACAAGCTCAAATAATGTCGCGAAGGAATACGCGCTTGTGGGTCTGAGGAAGGTACGCCGATACTAGTCACGTGTTGAACGGGACAGCCCCGCTAGCCTATCTGGGGCTCATCTCAGAACAACCACGTTGGTCTGCGCTTCACGATTGCTACGGTCCAAGATGACATGCTGCGAACCCTGCTGCATTACCGTAGAAGCGAGTAAAGGCGCTGAGTAACGGTGCCGGAACAACCTTACAGCAACTCCGAGCTCGGGCTATGCGATCATCACTTCACACGGTCAATATCAAGCGTCCGGATGCCCTTCTGCTGTCAGGGGAGAGGGCAACGATCACAGAAGACCGCGATGCAAGCTGTTGATGTGCGTGTGGCAGCATGCCTGGCACTGCCACGAGGCCCCATGCAGCTGTGAAATGTCTATATTGATACGTCCTCTGAGTTGCGAGATCCACTGGCGCTACCGTAGTTTCCTGAGGCTGGGTCGGACCAAATGACATGTCACTGTGCACGTCCGAGCGTATCCCTAGTCTCTGCATATCGCTTTGAACTGTTCACTGGAGTGATATACGAGTTCGTTCTAGCACCGCCAATGTGCGTAATCGTGGGCTGTGAGCATCAACGTGAAACGCCCCTGGCTGTGCTGTGCCGCATGCATGCATCAGCGCTTTGCAAGCGAGCTGGTACAGCCTCTCCACTTGCTGTGTCTGAGTGCAAGACACTCGCCTCGACACTACGGTCGACGTGCTTCTGGGTTCGTCAGCTTATTATATGGAGGGCACCGGACGATCGGACGTCCTGACATGAACTACGTGACCTGTGACTGTCCACTCGTGCGACACGCATCATCTCCGTAGAGTCAACAGCATCTCAGTGTACGATACGGGAAGGCAGGCAGTGTGGCTGTGTCGATATCTGTAGAGATATAGGTAGCATCAGAGAGCAGCACTCTCTGTCCGCTCCAGACTGATACTACCAGAGCTCGGCCGGACGAGATATCTGCTGCTCGTTACAAGAGCAGCAGACGCAAAGTGACAGGTCGCAGCCACATCAGCCGTGAGAACTTGAAGTCGGATCACAATGGAGGTGCCAAGCTTTGCTTCGATAAAGGAAACCTTGAGTGGCGAAGTGATACCCGAAATATATATCTGTATTGCAGTAGAGCGGAACGCTCGTTGCACTCGGCAGATCGAGCTGCACGACCTTGCTCTTGCCATAGAACGCATTCGGAGGGACGACGCAACAACGAATCTCAAGAACACCAGGTCCATCATCGAATGGCTAGTTTGTCCAAGGCACCGAGAGTACACGAGCAGCGGCATAAATAGACATTATACCAGGAAGATCGAAGCCGGATGGAGACACGAGTTTCCTTTGGACTATTTCGCTAAGCCTTGCTCTCCCATGCAGCCTTCCAGGTTGGGCGACACCAGGGCGTCCCCTCGAACCAGCACACCAGACGAGCGGTGTCACGATCATGCCGGACGGCCTACGCCATCCTCTACTCAAAGCGAGCGCAGTCTCTCCACTCGCCAAAGCAATCACTTGGGGTCTCCACTATCACGGCAGCAGCGATCGTCCAGTGATTCGGGAGCTTTGGAAGCATCACTAAGTAACATCGTCCCACAAATCGTTGCAGACCACGTCGGTATGGATCCTTTCGTAACGGACGATACTCGAGAAGTTCAGCTTCCGAGCACCGGCCCGTTGGTGGGCTCGCAAGTGCGCGAAGGGCAAGTCGCAACGCAACTAGGCCAAGACAACCTCGAGATAGGCTCTACCCAGATGAATGATCGTCTGGTACCCGAAGCACGAGCAGAGGTGAATGAATCCGCAGTTCATACCAACGGGTCGTCTAGAAGACGCAGTTCTCCCGCAACACGGACTGGATTCGAGGCTGGCGAGATGTCGAAGTGGGCTCCGCAGACAGCGCATGATGAAATGCGAGATCTGCTGGGCCAGCCTCTGGAAAGCGCCAAGGCCAAGGGATATCTGTACATCTTCCCGGATGTCAACAAACAGTATATCAAGATCGGGTTCACCACAGGCAAGCTCTGGGACCGGTTCAGGAAGATTGAAGACAGTTGTAAGTCGGTGCAACGACTGACATTGGACTTTGACTCGCGCAGATCGTTGGCGAATATACCCTACATCCAGTTGCTTCGACTGGAGAAGCTCGTGCATACTGATCTTGCGCACTGTCATCGATATCTCCACGTCAAATCAAAAGGTCGATGGCGTGCACAGCATGAGTGGTTCGAGATCGATCCCAAGAGCGCCTACCAGACAGTCGAATATTGGTGGGATATCATGAAGTCAAATGAGATTCTGCCAGGTCGCCCATTGACGGAGAATTTCCAGGCTTCGCTGGACACTGGAGCAGATGCTGTGGTTGCTACAGTAGCCAGATGCATGGACGTGGACGACGCTTGGCGACTGGCACACCAAAATAACGAGCTTCGCCTTCGCAAGTGGAGCGCAATTTTGCCGGACAACTCCCGTGTACACCATCATTGGGTAGGGCGAAAGTGGCTAGTTGGTTGTGTTCTCGTCTTCGTGCTATCAAACATCGGGTGGCTGGTTTCTTGGTCTACTTGGAACGTGCAGACGATGGCATTCTGTGCCTCGGTCGCCGTGTTCGTGACAGCCATAGAGTACCTGACTATGCTTATGAAGCAGTCGACAGTCATGGGAAGTGTTGTGAAGGCTCATCGTTTCGCAGATTAGCAACCCAGATCGTTCGAGCAGCTCGTAAATGCCGGACATAGCCTCTGACAGTGTGCACTGGAAGTCAGCATCAAAACGAGTTCTTTCGAGCCATCACTAGACCAGAGCCCCACTCAATGTCAATGACATTGTCCTCCTTTCTGAACACTTCATCCGCGTCTGCCGCCTCGTCGAACATCTCATCGACCACATCGCCGTTACCGCCAGCACTTCTCGCGCTCATACTCGAATTCTCCTGGCTCCAGACATGATAATTGGACCAAGTTCTGAGGTAGCCTTTCATTTCTCCCACCGTCAACCGTCTTTCCATGAATAACATACCCTTGCCACTACGTCGGCCATTAGTACCGACCTCGTACTCGATCCGCTCGAGATCCTCCCAATCAGCATTTGGCGGCTCGATAACACGCAGCTTGTTCTGCGTATAGCTGCGTCCAGGCATCGACCAATAGCTACCTAGCTTGCCTGGCCGATCGTCGTACTGATACGTCTGCATGATCCTCGAAGCACGTGGAAAGTCAACGAAAACAGGATCGCTGTAGCCCCAGAACGCCAAAGTCCCTTCTGGTCGAACCAGTCGCCTCATCTCGGGCCAAAGCCTCGGATAATCGAACCAGTGCGCTGCTTGGCCGGCAACGACGAGGTCAACACTCCCTTCTTTCAAGCTTGGAGTACTCTCTGCCGATCCTTGCAGGAAGCCGATGTTGGCATACTGCTTTTGACCTGATATACTCGACTCAGCTTGCTTGATCATGTTAGGACTCGGATCCGTGCCGACGGCTCGATCGAAGTGCTTGGCTATCTCGCATGTCACTGTCCCGGGTCAGCAGCCTAGATCAAGACATAGTCGCTTCTGTCCACGGTGGTATCCTAGGATAGTGTCGTAGAACTTGGCTGGGTAGTTCGGACGGAAGGCTGCATACGAGACAGCGGAGAACGTAGACTTGCTAAGACGCGTTATTGAACACTCACGAACACGGATATGATGTGCAGCTTACGCGAAGGCTGCCATCGTATCCTGGCCTACATGTCCAGATTACTCTTCAGGTGGAGTGTTTGTTGACGAGAGTCAAGTCGAAGTTCTTGGTGTGCATTGACTCGGCCGATGTCGGCGTCGTTTGGTTGATGGCGAAACCTCTTCTCCTTCGTCGTTGCTATTCTTCCACTTGCCAAGCATTTCTGCGTCGACACTGCGTGCACGAATCCGGCCATAGGAGATCCGGGAATTGGTCGCTTGTGGTTATCAGCGACCAAGCAGGCCGCTGACTTACTCCAGCCGGGGCGTGGTTCCTTACAGACCACCATCAGTAGTTTCTGTATTGCATCGTAGCACGTACGGACGACTCATGGCGAGACAGAACAGCATCTTGGCTTCCATGGCATAGCGCCATCTCAAAGGCCATATTTACAGCTCTGCCGCCAGCGACTACTCTGAAATGCACAGGTACCATTCCCTCAGCGAGCCTACCGGATTTCGATGTCCTGCCACTCGTCGCAATCCATCAGGTCCAATGCGTTGGCGGTGTCATGCGGATAAGCATCGCCCACCACAGCATAATTTACCAAGTCCGTCTGCTCACCAGCGCGATCGTCGCCCAGTAATGGCCTAAGTACCAGTGGGAATACGGCCGCTGCCACCAGGAATACAACATCACCCTCCTCCGCCACTTCGGGCCCGAGGCCAAGCAACATTGCGGACGGACAAGGTGGGTGACTAGGCTTGGATATGCAGAACAACCTCCGATTCTGAGCCCCGGTGGGTACCCAGTACGGAGGGGGTGTGACCTCGTGGCCCAGGATGAGCTGCTCGATAGAGGCTCTCGATGGCAGCAGATCATCATGGTAGCAAGCTGCAAGCCTCCAGTACCGCTCCATGTCCGAGCTGTTGAACCACTGAGCCAGCTGCGACGGGGCAGGAGGCGACCCTCCGAACTCGTCGTATGCACGTTTACAGCAGGCCATAAGAATCAATTCACGGAACGCAACTCGCCGGCCATCAAGTGGCAGAGACGTGGTGGCGTTGTCGGTGTCAGTCATAATCTCCCGCCACCAGTCAATGCGGTCCTTGCCAGGACATCCAACCACTGGAGGACAATCGAGCAGAAAGCGGGACGTCTGGTCGAAGGTCGTCCTCGAAAAGAACGCCCTCGTTGGAGTACCCAGCTTTGATACACGCCCTACAGGCTTACCTTGGACAAGAAGACTTCGGTCCACAACTCTGGGTTTACGTGCTGTTCTGGCTCGAATTGCCGTCTTTTGTATCTGGTTCTGGAGTAGCAACGATTGGTGTAGGAAGGGAAAGTCCGCCCCAGAAGGCCAGTGACCATGTGTTGGGAGCCAGGAAGGCCATGTCGTAAGGTCGGTTTGGTGCCAGCAGGAGCAATATTCCAAGCCAGCCGCTATGCTCGATGATGTAGGTCATAGTATCCAGATACACTTCGACTAGAGATCTGCTGTAGTCGATTTGCAATGGTATTGGCGGTACCCGGTATGCCTCCGCGATTTGTCGGATCAGGACCAATTTCGCAAAGATCTGATCACGTGGCTCGCTTGTAAAATCCGAATAGGTCGTCCACATCATCGTTACAAACACTTTCAAAAGCTGACGACTCGTATCTTGCGTGTCTTCATCCTCATCAGGTCCAACCAGGCGTTCGGCGACACCCCAAGTGAACTCGGTCGTTTCGACCTCGAGTGTATTAAAGCCTTTAGCCAAATACTGCAAGCAGGCCAACTTTGAAGCTTGGATGCCAACTTTTAGTCCGGAGGACAGAGGTCTTCTGGTTGATGGGCCTATGTGCTGCGCTGCGAGCGCTGAACCAAGACCATTCCTGATCAAGTGCAAGGAACTTGTGACAACGTCGAACTCCACGAACACGACTTCGCCAACCCAAAACTCAAAGTCCTTCGCCAATGCACCTTCCTGCCAAACCCATGCGCGTCGAACTACAATAGATGTCAGGATTAGGCGTCAATAGCTCGTATGTGACTCACACCACGAACGACTCCAGAAGCGCACAATGGGCTCCCAATGACTGCTTCCTATCAATGGTAGCCCCTCAGCGTGTAAATTGTATCCGCAAGGCACCCAGTCAAACTCGAATGGCTTGCTCATCTCTTCGTCCACTGAGCTGTACATTTGCAGCAGCGCCCTAAGCATCTCGCGTACGTAATATGCCTCCTGCTCTGGATCAGGCCCCAGCCAGATGATCACATAGCTAGCATTGCGATAGATTCGATGCATCGCCCGAACTTGAGCGGTGCGTTCTTCATCGTCATCCTGGTTGATACAAAGAGCATCGATCCAATAATAGCGAGGTAAGGTCTCGTCCCAATCAGGTTCTTCGGGTGAGTCTGCCAAGTGATATAAGAGATGTCTCAGGTTTGCTGTGACGTCGAAAGGCTCGCCCTGCGGTTCGACTGGCCATGGTGGTTTGATCTGTTCGGCCAGAGGTTCGTCCCAGGCATACGAGATTGCTTCATAGGGTGGGTAGTCTGCTATTTCGTGAGTAGTCAGGGTACAGTCGAGTACGTCGACATCGTCTTTGGCACTTGGGCTTGGGTTTCGACGGATTTGCAGCAATCTTGTGCAGTCATCTGGTAAAGGTTCGCTATATGCTTCATATCTCGATGGCGCCATGGCTGAGATAGAAGTAGTGCTCCGTGAAGTGGACAGATGTGCGCTAAGTACGCCATTGTGCAGGAGGGAAACATAGCTGAGGCTGAGGACCCTGCAGCAGAAGCGGATGCCAATTGCAAGCCAATACATGTATGAGCAAGATTGGTCTATGCAGACATAGGACGGATTACGTTAACACATAAGTCGGAGTTGAATCATCATACCACTTCTATAGAAGATTGAGTAGTGTCACATCCATCCGTATCTCAACCGTATCCTCAATCCAATCCAATGCCCCTCGCCCATTCCCAGATCCATAACCAAAAGAACGCCAGGCCATCCATGATGCTCGCAATCATAATATGCAATACGCCCTCGCACAAAGGGAAGACTTGTTCAAACGTCCAACGGTGGTGACAACTATCATAGATCACTCCCACCTCCCCCTCTTACCATCCAAAACTTGCTCCCACCTCTCCTTCTCTCTTCTCTCCTGTCTCGCCATCTCAGCTGCAACGCCAATACCATAGCTTACCGCTGCGAAGCCGACACCCACACCCAGCGCCCACCTCAGCTTGCCGCCCCTCCGCCTCGACCTCGCTTTCACTTTCTCGGCTCTACGTGCATGCTTCTCATGGCGCTCGTTCCACTTCCGCTGTTTTGATGCAGCCGGGGTGGCCAGGCGAGTGCCCGCATACACGGGCTCCTGGCGCTTGACGCGAGGGTAGTGTATGTAATCAATGTCTTCTTCTTTCTTATTCATCGCCGCTCTGACCTTGGCCCGATCAACCAGGTCATCGTTGTCAAGGTATGCACGGTCATGGTTCACGAAACCTGTGGGTGAGGCATAAGCTCCCGTCGAGACCTCTGGTACAGGCATAATCTTGGCAGTACCATCGATGGGATTGACATGTGCTGCCCGAGCAGCATCATATGCATGGGCAGCTTCCTGCGCCATGGCGTTCTCGTAGGGCATGAGCTTCCCGTTCTCAATACTGGTCGGATCATATGGCTTCGGCGCAGGTTTGTACCTATCGTGGAAGTTCGCAGCTTCCTCAGCAAGAGCATTCTGCTTAGGCTTGATCAAGCCATGGTCAACTAGGCTTGCATCTTCATCGATTGCGGCCGGGATGGTAGGCTTCTCAGCACTTGCTTGGACCTTCCTGAACACTAGCATGTCTCGTGTGCCATAGATGACCTGCCAGCCGTCTTGCTGCAATTCAGCAAAATGCGACACAAACCGAGCTGGTTGATAGAGCTGGCTGAGAGCTTGAGGAATACTGATCGGTGTCTCAGTGCCGGTGAAATTTGCGGTTGTGGTCGCAGTAGACAGGATATCATTCCCAGAATCGTAAGCAAGAACCTTGTACACTGGTGGCTCTTCCCAGTTGGCTGCGGAAGTTGCCTGGGACGGCGATTTTATCTCTTCAGCCAAGACAACGTCTTGTTTAGGATGCTCTTTCTTCACGTTGGCATTGACAATAGCCTGCCTAGCCTTAGTGATTGTACGGGTCAATTCGGCCGACGTCTCGAGCTGCGGAAGCGCCTGTGCTTCATGTGCCGCCTTCTCCTCAGCCTGGATCCTAGACTCGAGCCCATCGTCCTTGAACTCGTACGAAGTCGTCCTCTCGTGCTCAGCAAGAGCCTCACCAAGGTCAACATCGCTCTCCACTTCAACGACCTGCGGAGCCTTCTTCACTGACAGTCTCTTAGCAGAAGCATTTGCCTCCGAGCCTGACAAGATCCGTTGCTTATGGTTCGTATCGATGACACCATACTCGCGCTCGTAGATCTCACAGACTTCCTTCACAAGAGCCTGATCACGAGCTTTCTGCTCCGCTCGGGCAATCATCTGCTTGCCGGGTGTAGCAGGTGCAGTAGGCTGCTTGTACCACTTGCCAGCACTAGCGAACTTGGCGATATCAGGCGAGAAATCGCCTTCCGCCTGTACCATCTTCTGCGGCATCTTAGCTGGCACTGCTACATCTCCTGCAGCTTTGCTAGCCTTGGTAAGCTCGGCCTCAAGGAAGTGTATCCTCTCGACGTGCTTCTCACTGTGCACTGCGCTTTGCTTGTACGCGATATCGAGCTCCTGCCTGAGACTCCTAATCTTGTGCACATAGCGATTCTCATGAGACTGCATCAAGAATTTCTGTTCCTTGACTTCCGCCTCGAGAACTTCGTTGGCCTTCTTCAATCGTTCAGCCTTGGTTTCGTCGGCCTTCAGCTTGGCTTGTGAGGCTTCGTAAGCGGCCTTGCGTTGTTCCATGTCTTCGGCAAATCGAGGCACGGGGAAAGGGTAGGGTCGCTTTGCTGCAATGCGCTTGACACGATTCGCCTGCAGGATGTTGGCGGCATTGGACCACTCCTTTGGCACACTCGTCGGAATCTCGACGGTTTCGGTAGCCTCATGAGCACCCGAGTCGTCGAGATCATCTGTGCGAGGAAGCTCTTTGGACTGCATACGCTGAACCGCGGATAGCAGTACTGATCTGCTGTCTTCTTTGGCCGTGTCGGTGCGTCGGGACAGTGTCGTCTGAAGTCTGTTGAGAGCGGCTTGAAGCTTCTGTTCCTGGCGTCGTGGTGGCGACCTCGTTTCCATGGTCTCGAGCGTGTCGGCGAGGCTGTCGATGTCGTTGGACCGTGACGTTGGCTGTACTTCAGACTTGAGTGTGTTGCCGAGGTCATCGAGGGCCGTGGTTACCATATCGGTCTTCTGATGTTGGTCAGGTCTCGTCCTTGAAGACTCATTTTGCAGTGTGCTTCCAAGAGTGTCCAGAGAGGCATCCGCTGGTATCTTCGAGGTGCCATACGACTCATGAAGTCGTACGTGCGATGCTGTCAGGGGCTGGCCTGACGTCTCGGATCTTGATATCTTCTCCTCCTTCTTAGCCTTCGCAACCCACTTTCGTTTGGTCGTCTCCAGCTCAGCCTCCTGGAACACAGCGTTCTCAGCCTTATCCCACTCAGCAGCTTTGCTGTCGAAATCCGCCTCCATAGTAGCTTTCTGTTCTATCGTGGTCGGCTTAACAGTCCTGATCTCCTTGACCTTGCCCATCCTGGCACGCACATCATCAGCTGTGAGCATATCCATATCGTTTGCTGGAAGCTTGGCAAGTGCAGCTGGTCGTGGAGGACGAGTCTGTTCTTGCTGGGCGGAGTGAGAAAACATCCGGTCCATGTTCTCTTTCAGGCATGCAAGAGTGTCCGCCGCTTCTTTCGTGGCTGCGGCTATGACATCCATCGATGATTCCGGTGCTGGCTTGGCAGACTTATATTGCTTCACAGGCACCTCGACGGCCCTGATGTCCCTACGAGGTGTATTGATGAGCGAGCGCATGTCTTGACTTCTACTTGCAAGTGCAGTGGTGGACAATGTGTTTCTTACGACAACGTTGGTCTGCTCTGGCTTGGGCAGATCGATTTTGGCGGTGTTGACTGCTGGCAACGGCTTTACTGCCACCATGCGGTTGCTGATGGGATCGTAGACGAATTGCTTGAGCTCGTTCGATACAGAGTCCCACTTCTCGAGTCTTGCTGTATTAGACCATGAATCCCACGATGAAGAAGAGTATGATGCGTAACTTTTGGTCTTAGGAGAGGGAATAGATTCGGTAGTTTTGACTGGAGGAGAGTCGACGGGCGGAGGTTGACCTGTAGACGAGGATTGCCTGCTTGGCTCTATTCTCGTCGCCTTTATCTTCGACTTCTCCCGCTCAAGCTCCTCTGGTTTGCTCGGCTGTTTTGCTTGGCGTTGCATACCCATTTCCTCTCGCATCCAGCTCGGTACAAGCGGACTCCAGAATGGCTCAAAGCGTTTGCCGAAGACTGCCTCATAAGGATCATTTTGTATCTGCTTACGCATATACTCCATCCTCTCCTTCCACTCTTGCTCCCGCTGACTGAGTTCATAGCCATCCTCACGCTGAGCATCTTGTTCCGAAGCTGGCTGAGCTCGAACATGATTCAACGGCCATCTTCCACGACCGTTGAAGTGTGAAGCGAACCGGATATGCTTCGGCGTGAAGAAGGGCCGCTGATCTGCATCGTAGAAGTTGGCTCGACGCTTGAACTTCTCGATAAGCTTGGCTCGGGTCTTCATGGTACGGTAGCGAGTGAAACGGTGATACATCGGGTCGATATGGGATTCCCAGTCGCTGCTGCCTCTTCGTCGCCAGCCCCAGAAGCTACGGCTTTGTTGGGTGGCCGCCGAGGTTACCTGGAGAGTTTGAGAGACAGAAGCCTGACGGAGTAGACATGTTGGAGCTGTTGATGCCAGTGAGTGTCTGCGAGGTCCGAGTAGGCCACTACGTGCTTGTGGTGGAAGCATGGTTGATAGACTGATGGACTCGACGCGTGACCAGGCTGCCAGCGGCTCGGCTTAACGGAGCACTATAGCAATGACTTCATTAGCTGGTCGATGTCTTGGAGATCTAGTGTCATGAATGTAGCATGATAAAAACAATGCCGCCAACCACTTCGACTACACCAATGCGAGCAGTGGGGAATGGAGAATAGATAGCTTCCATCATGAACAAACAGAGTCACACCTCAGCAGGCGCCCTCGGCTGACAGCTCGAAGACTAGCGTGCCTTCGGACTCTGATAAGCCCCGCCTATCTCCACAACGCTCGGATGGGGGTGGTGCATGTGACCTGTCACATGTCAGAATCGGCGTACCTTCCTCTTTCGTCGAATGCTTGTCATTTGCCGCTCGAAGCTTCTGGCTTCACGCGCGAATGTCCATTGCCTTCATGCTCTTGTAAGCATGCGAGACATACATTTGGGTCGCGACGAACGTATAAGTATCTGAGCACAGGACAAGTATGGCAGCTTCACGCACAACAGATCCGTTGGAAGACGCAACGTACAGCGCCATGAGTGTAGGTGAGGTTGAGGCAATCGGCGCTCGTTGCCAGATGCCATTTTGTCGACAACTTGATTTCTTGCCCTTCAAATGTGAGAGCTGCAAAGGGTGAGTTGGTGGGTATCATTTATTATCTTCACCATCACAATAGCTAACGCAAGCCAGCAAATTTTGCCTCGACCACCGAACAGAGTCCTCCCACGAATGTACACACAAAGGCGAATGGGCGCGACGGCGAGCTCAATCGCAACAAACTCCAGCCAGCCGAGCGTACACCCAGTCTCCAAAACCTAACATTCTAAATCATGAACAACAATGCGCCGACCCCTCCTGCAAAACCCTGATCAACACGCCCCTGGTAATAGGCGTGCACTGCGAGAAATGCAACCGATCATATTGTCTCAAGCACCGCTTGACATACGAGCACAATTGCGACAAACTCACACCACTTGGTGCACGACCAGTCGGCCAAACACAACGAGAGAAAGGATTAGCAGCCTTCGAGAAATTGAAAGCCTGGGGAGCTGCGAAACGAGCGGCGATGCCCAAAGCACCGGCTTCAGCATCCAAGCAAGCTGCTGCTGCACGTGTACAGGCGAGTGCAAACATGAAAAAGACTGCGAAGGGTGACGAGAAGATACCAGTGGAGAAGAGGATATATGTGTATGTAGAGGCGAGCTCGGAGACTATCACGGCGAAGATACCAAAGGGAACGTTCTTCTACAGCTCAGAGTTCAATGTTGGTCGAACACTGGATCTGGCGGCGAAGAGCTTGCAGGTCAGCAACATGAATAATCGGTCCGAAAGCGCAGAGGATAAGCTGAGGGTGTTTCATGTTGAAAGTGGAAGGCTGCTTGGATTTGGAGAAAAGCTTGCGCAATGTATTCAGTCGGGCAACACGATTGTCCTGCTGAGAGGCGTTGGTGCTGGTATGGCAAGCGCACCATGATTGAGCATGATCAAAGAGAGAAGATCATGAGGCATGGCAAGTGTGCTGTTTTGATATATCATTAGCGGCATGCACGGCGGTTCGCGTTCGTGGTTACAGCAAGCGTCGGCGTTGTGGTGTTTATAGCACGGCTGATCGCTTCGAGACGTCCTCATGGACCAAAAATTTGCAGATCTGTCCGCGTGGTACAGCGTAAATTCACAACACAACATCTCCAGTTCGTTTGCAACAGGGGACAAATCGCATCAGGTCACGCAGCGGGAGAGATTTGATGCCTTCCGAAGCAGCAACCAATCGTCGCCAAGACCCCGCTCGCTTCCTCGATACGTCTCGTCTCGCCCCTTGCATCTTCTAGTTCTGCAAGCACATGCGATCTTGCCACAATCCGACAACGGTGTCGAAAAGATTTGACGCGCCATGTGCTGCTTCGTCATCGGCAGGTCGTGATAGGAAGACTTATGTAGCTCAGAGGTAGCTGACTTGACTTTCTTACCGAATTTCTCTTTCATATTCCGACCTACTGCCACGAAACTGCTTTTCTTACAGCACAAAACAAGATGCCGTACTACTCAGTCCACAAGCGCCCGGATGCAAAGCTCACGGAAGAACAACAGAAGCTCAAGCAGACCCTCGTAGATTCAGGACAAGAATGGTCCTCGACCTGGCACAACATCCTCATCCTCGATCCAGCCTACTTCAGCGCGTACTTGCGCCTTCGTAGCGTCCCGCTACTGAAGCGCAAGCTGTCCCCCAAACTCCAGGAACTGGTGCTCCTCGCCTGTGATGCCTCCTGCACGCACATGTACGAGCCTGGTATCAAAGCCCACACCACCAACGCCCTTCGTGCCGGCGCAAGCAAGGAAGAAGTAATGGAGACACTGGAGCTCACATCCGTGCTTGGCGTGCACTCGCTGAGCGTAGGCGTTCCACTTCTCCAAGAAGTCATGGCAGAAAAAGGCCAAAGCTTCAAAAGCGACCTCTCACCCCAACAGCAAAAAGCCAAAGACGACTTCCAGCGGAAACGTGGCTACTGGTCCGAGTCATGGGACGGCATCCTACGAGCCTCACCAGATTTCTTCGAAGCCTACACGCATTTCAGCTCTGTGCCGTTCCAGCAAGGCACGCATAATCATCTTGATGCGAAGACGAGGGAGTTGATATACTGTGCTATCGATTCAGCGACCACGCATCTGTATGCGCCGGGGTTGAAGCTGCATATTCGGAATGCTATTGAGCATGGAGCGACGCAGGAGGAGATTGTGGAGGTGTTTGAGCTGGCGGCACTGATGGGTGTGCATACTGTGCAGAAGGGGGCGGATGTGTTAATGGAGGAACTAATTGCTAATCACAAGAAGTGATTGCGGAAGTGCTTGATTATTTTCATCCATGGGGCGAAGTGTGGCGTTAAGTTGTAGATTTAATTGAAGGGAAAGCGTCGTTTCCTACAAAGAGAACTGTTCAGGACGAATGTGCAGTTGTGTCGATGTATGTCTCGAAGATCAAGCAGGAGTACTGGATGACTCCCCATGCCCGGCGAAAGAGCTGCTGCTGCTTGCGGTCCCATGGTCAGCTAATCACAGTGTGGGAACAGCTTGCCCACACCTTCTACTTCCATCGACTTCAGCGAGTATTTCTACGTGTACGAAGAGCACAACTTTCGGCCCAGACCCGGTAGGCACCTGAGGACATTAAAAGATGCAGACTGACGTAGCAGTATCTTCTCATTTGGAGCTGATTGATACCGTCACGGAGCTCTACACCCTCCTCGATACATTAGGAGCTACACGCGGTCTTGCAGTCCGTACTCCACCCTACAAAGCTGGCGAAATCAACAAAGATGCCGCAAGTACCGCAGGCTACGATACGGAAGTTTATGGAGCTGATGACTATGTTGCCCTATATGGACGTGGCAGACCACTATCTGGAGCTCGAAATCCAGCCCAGTACATATCCCATGTCTTATGTTGGCGAGCAACTTGATGTCGGCTATTTCGAGAGTCAGAGAGAGTTGTACAATGATGATTTTACGGCACCATGCGCTCTGCGTCTGACGTTCGGTGAAGGATCATACGGGACTGAGTTCATCTACGATACCAAGACCAGTAGGCTCTTTCAAAAGCATTTGATTACCTCCTCTAACGACACTGTAGAACACCTCATACCATGGCACCCCTATAGCCAATTCAGAGGATCAGGACGGTTACTTTCACCTATCTGGTGGTCAGCCGCGGGAAGTGCTTGAGCCATTCATATCGAAATGTCAGCAACTTCTGTATTTTGGCATAGCAGAGGGCCTCGATTTCAGGTATGAGTTCTATCATGACTCTGGAGGGCATCCACCCGTTGACTGGGAAGAGCACTTTCAACGGCAGTGGCTGGCAAGCTACAATGTATGGGCTGCCGCTCGCAAGATGAAAGACATCTATCTCGACTGCGGCTGGAACGTCAACACGTCCGATCGGTCTGGCTTTAGAAGTGACGAGTTCATTGAGAGGCGCGCGACATACTGGACGAAGGTTGTGCAGCCGCTTTTGGACATTGAGGAGAGAACTTGAAAGCTACTGTAACCCACGAAGGCCAAGATCGCTCCTTGCGAGCTTGCCACCAACGTGGGACCGAGTCTCACAATGAATCGATAATTCTTGTGCCACGGACTTGCAGCGTACGCTTTCGTCTTCATGTCTGCTCACAGGATGCCATTTATCTGCCCCGTCTCGAGACCCTCAGAGCGGCTCGACGGCCCGTGCCCTCAAGCCGTCATGTAGGCATCATTAGTTTGAGCTTCATGTCCATGCGAATCAACATCCACCCGCCGCAAGGAAAAGACAAAATCGATGACGACTTGCCAAATGCATGGCATAGTCCACGAGTGGACGTGGAACGCCCTCGCCGGCTTCCTTATATGTTGGGTATTTGAGTACACGTTCTTTAATCTCATCTGTGACGTCCAGTCTCGTTAGACTGTAATCAATCTTAGCGATGAGTAGCTCAAGGCCCATGGGCAACAAAGTGTCGCCCTCAAGTCGTAACGATACGCGGCAGCAACAACACTACAGGAATGACCCTGCCAAGTCGCCTGGACATGACAAACACGTCTCTATTCGTGAGCGGCTGTCGCACTTCACCTGGAGCTGGTTCGAATGTACGATGTCAACAGGCGCCATTGCGACTTTGCTTTCCCAGCAGCCATTCGAATTTCGTGGAGTACTCACTATAGGCAAGATCTTCTTCATCCTGAATCTGATACTTTTCGTCCTATTCTCATGCCTAATCACTTTCCGCTTCGCCATGCGGCCATCTGCACTTACTCGATCGCTACACCATCCGCATGAGTGAGTTCGTGGTGATGACGTTACTATGCGATACCAGATACGACTAACAGCCTACAAGGAGCTTCTTTTTCGGCACATTCTGGGTCTCTATCGCCTTGATATTATACAACACTCAACAGTATGGCGTACCAAGCTGTGGGCCGTGGCTTGTCAAAGCGCTCGAGGTGTGCTTCTGGCTTTTCGCCGGATGTGCTATGCTAGTTGCGATCTTTCAGTACCATGTCATATTCGATGTTGAGCGACTGCCTGTTGAGCACGCAATGCCCGCCTGGTAAGTAAAGTGGTCGTCTAGCTCCAGCGTTGTGCTAACAATGACTGCCAGGATACTGCCAGGTATGCTCGACATGAGGATGGTTTGATGGTTTGCTAATTGACTTCAGTCTACTCCTTCCTCATTCTTGGGCCATTGGGAAGCACTCTTGAGTACAGCCAACCACAGGCATCGGCGCTGCCAATCTTCATCGGAAGCATACTATTTCAAGGACTGGGATGGATGTTTGCCTTCTTCATATATACAATCTACCTGACCAGGCTTATATCGAACGAACTACCTGAGCCCCCCAAGCGACCGGGCATGTATGTTGCTGTGGGACCGGCTGGTAAGTTAGCCATATTGCACTCCGTAGCCTTAGTGCTAATACAAACTAGCATATACATCTAATACGCTCGTGGCTCTGGCTTATCAAGCACCTAAGGTCATACCAGACGACTTTCTCGGCATCACAACCTTCGCGGTCGGGGATGTATGGAAGGCGATCGGTGTACCAGCTGGAATATTCTTCTGGCTCTTAGCCTTCTGGTTCTTCGCTTTGACCACCGTGAGCGTGCTATTTGGTGCTCGACAGATGCACTTCACAATGCAGTGGTGGGGCTTCATCTTCCCAAACGTGGGTCTGACGATCGCCGCGATCTACATAGGCAACGTGCTTGAGAGCAATGGTATTAAAGCCGTGACCTCGGCCATGAGTGTGTTGTTAGTGGCGATATGGCTCTTCACGACGGGAATGAACGTACGTGCAGTTTGGAAGCGCCAAGTCCTGTGGCCAGGTATGGATGAGGATATGGAAGACATCGAAGGCCACAGCCAGGACGAAGACAAGGGAGACTGAAGTCGGCCGCAATTACGTCCTAATGTCACTTCCTTACGCTCATCTCGTCCTTGTGTATCCGGGTGAGAAAGCTGCTATACAGAGCAGCTCACCATCATCAGGTGAGGTAGGCGGGTGTTTTCGACATGGCGTCGAACACCTCGCATCATTTTGATCTACGGGGCCCATCCGTTAGCTTCGTTGCGGCTAAGTCGATCAATGCATCTCATATCACGCTAGACAAATACATGGGAGAAGATCTGCGCGACTTGGCGAACAGCTACTCTCCTCTTGTCGCCGGCAACACGCAGCTTCAATCTTCGATCCTATGCATGAGATCGTCGTCCTGTCTCGGTGTCCAGACCTCGTGAGCAACTCGGGTAAACTCACACAGATATCACGGCCAGCGGCCAAACACCACGAGAGCCATCATGCTTGCGGCGTGACGCGCTTTCAACCGTTCTCAGAGCCTAACGAAGCATCACAAATACTCAAGAGCTGGACATCACGGCCCTCGAGCCTCTGAGATCCTTGAATTGATATAAGCATCATCCTGCCTGCAAATGTGCCTCGGAAGCCCTCTTACATGTACATCGCTGCTGTAGCTTTAGTCTGCTCTTGACAGCTACCTGGCGGACATCATACCGTATGCCCGGAAAGCGCAAGACTCAAGGCCAGCCAAGCAACCTTGGTCTATAGATCCACGTTGTACCTGCTTAAGACAGGCGATCACTGCGGACAAACTACGTATTCCCGACTATGTCACTGTATTTGCATTCGAAATTGGAGCGATGCAATGCGTGTCACCAATACTGCTACGTCACGTAGGACTACAGGTCCACATGGCGCACGACGACAGTCTATAAAGACTGTCCGGACAGATTGTGCGACGTCTTCTCCTCGATGTGGCTCAATACTTGTAGGCCATAGGAATCATCATGCACTTCTTCTCAGCTCTCGCACTCGCGGCCACGGCAACAGCTGCAGCTATACCAGATGCTGTTCTCGACAAGCGCACTACAACATGCACCACGGCTGGCTCAGCAACACTAGCTGCCGCCAAAGCAGCATTCACACAAGCCAAACTGGTCCCTGGTGTGATCCCGAGCTTCAACCCCAAGGTGTCGGTACAAGTGGACTATAATGGCAAGCAAGTCAATCTCGGCAACACTTTCTCGGCCACAGGTAAGAGAATTATCGCCATGCCCACTCCGTGCTCTCCTACTTACGACATCATCTAGAAACTCTCAATCAGCCAATAGACATCACTTTCACCGCCAAGCCTGGCTACGACGCAGCATCAACCAAATACACAATCATCATGGTGGACCCAGATGCGCCTGGACCAGCCGCACCAATCTTGAAGGACATTCTGCACCTCATCATAGATGATGCGCAACCCGTTTGCACCGCCAACCAGAACCGTAAGACCATCGCCACGTATGCTCAGACCACGCCGCTCTCTGTCGCCGCACATCGATATACCTTCTTGGTGTATAGACAGCCACCCAACTATGTGCCGCCGCCGACTTTGATGTACCTCCCAGGCAATCGCGCCAAGTTCGATCTGAATGCGTATGTCGCACAGGCAGGGCTTATTGGACCTGTGGGTGGCAATTTCTTCCGTGAGGGCCTTGGCTCGACTGTTTGTGCTGTCACTCCTGGATGTACTCAGGACGGTACCGGGTACAAGGCTCCTTCTTAGTCGAGTGGGTGGAGGAAAAATTAGGAAAGCGACTAGGCATATGGATGCTTTGCTAACCCCAGGAACGATTCATGGCCACGACTATACATAGCGTGAGCAATAATAACGAGCTTCATCATGGTTCGACATCATTATCATGCTTTCCATTCGCACTATGCCACCGCCGATATCTGCCAATCCTCTGCCTGTGCGGTACATCTTCGTGTGAACTGCCAAAGCATCGTGAGAGCCGATCATAACAACTGTACATATGCGGATCCGCTCGCCCGGGCTCATCGGCTTGATCTCAACCTTCGCTTGCCGCCTCCCTCAGCCTAGTTCAATCACTGCCGGACCACGTGGCAAGCCGGAAGAACTTCGTCACGGACCACACGGTGCTTCCCATCTGCCCCTCCGCCTGCATCTCCACATCCCGAGGATCCCCATTATCGAATGTGTAGGTTTCTGCAGTCGCAAGAAAGTGGGATGGCGGCTTTCATTCGTGTCCACCTTGACCGGCGGTGTTTGTTTCGCGTCGTGGTCACGAACGGGTGTTGACGGATCTCAACAAAGTTCCATTTCGGGTTGCTCAGAGGCATAGAGTTCTAGTTTTCCGCTCACTTGAGGCGGTTACTGCTTCACCATCAGCAGGGAAGGATTTAGTGCCATTAAGCGAGACAGTATATGAGGTCAGTCACTGCCTGCAAGTGGAGAATAATCATCTGAACTAACGAATATGCATCAGCTCAACACTTCGCCTGATCTTCCCTCCCACTCCCTGCCAGTAGCTCGCTCTACTACCAAAACTGCCGACATGCCCGAAGCCATCCTCGACGACATCTCACATCGACGGTACAATCCATTACGTGCGTCATGGGTGCTAGTCAGTCCTCATAGGACGAAGAGGCCATGGCAGGGACAGCAGGAGGCTGCCAGCAGGATTGAACTCCCAAGCCACGATCCCACAGTGAGTACAAGCAAGGACGTGCAATGTGTAAGGAGTTCTTCGATTGATGGGCGTAGTAGTGCTATCTCTGTCCTGGCAACAAACGAGCACAAGGCGATGTCAACCCAAAGTATGACAGTACATTCGTCTTCGTCAATGACTACTCTGCGGTCAAAGAGCAACAAGAGGAGTACAAGCAGCCCGATCAGGACGGATGTGAGTCGATGTGATCAAACGCCTGCAAGGACAAGAGACTAACGAACGGGGCAGCGCTCGCAACACGACTATTAAGAGCAGAGAGCACGACTGGAAAATGCTACGTGATAACATTCTCACCCGAACACAACGTCACCTTGGCAGACATGCCTGCGCCAACGATCATGCCCGTCATCGATACCTGGACCAAGATCTACACCTCGCACATCGATCCCCACTCGCCACTATCACGAGCTGCCAAGCCTACGACCTCGTCACCTTCAGCACCGAACGGCAACATCATCGAACAGCCCAGGCAGCAATATCGCTACATGCAAATATTCGAGAACAAAGGTTCAGCAATGGGCTGCTCAAATCCACATCCCCATGGTCAGATATGGACGACGACATCCTTACCGGAAGAACCAGAAGTCGAACTTGACAACCTGAAGAAGTACCGAAGAGAACAAGGTGGCTGTAACTTGCTAGAAGACTACGCCAAGCTAGAGAGCGAAAAGGGCGATCGGACTGTATTTGAGAATAGCAGTTTCTGGGCCGGAGTACCATGGTGGGGTACCTGGCCCTTTGAGATGATGGTCGTGGCGAAAGAGCACAAGCGTGCACTTGTCGACCTCAATCAGCAGAATAAGGAGGATTTGGCCGAGGTCATGGCTGAAATTACGAGGAGATATGACAATCTTTTCGAGACTAGCTTTCCTTACAGTAAGCAGCGAGGTGTCGCATTGCAGTTACGACTTCTTACTAACACGTCTTGCAGGCATGGGCATCCACCAAGCCCCGCTCACCGGCACTGACGAAGAGATCGAGGCCTCACATTTCCACATGCACTTCTACCCACCTTTACTGCGCAGTGCGACCGTACGCAAGTTCTTGGTCGGCTACGAGATGATGGCCGAGCCACAGCGCGACATCACGCCTGAACAGGCTGCCAAACGACTTCGGGATTGCGGAGGCGAGCTCTATAGAAGGAAATTGTAGCAGGAGCGCCGTTCAGCTCCGGACCACGATGGGAAGGCATGATTGACGTATAGTATATATGTGGCATGGATATTGGCTAGCATTGCATTGGAGTCTTGTAGCTGGGAACTGATGCTTGGAGCGATTAGATGTGACTAGAGGAGGATGTCGATGTCAAACGAATGCTAGTCCACGATGTGCGGACACTGCATGCTTGTATCACTTTTGCCCTTACGGAGATAACGTTGACGTACTAAGGATTTTAAGGTCCTGCACAGAGTACTGAACATGACACCGATTGGTGATGATATGTTGCAGCCGACACCAGTGTCAACGACAGAGACACTACGAACCAAGACTTGCGTCCAATATCGCTGCTGGAGAGTGGCCGGCCAAGCGATGTGGTAAGTCTTCATCCAGTAGCGACACATCTTACGGTACGGCGCCGTCCTGTTGGCTCAGGTGCTACTAGGATAGTGCCTGGTGAACAACTGTTGAGTCCTGTTTGGTCAGTCTGCCTCGCCTTGCCATTCTTCGGACTGTGATTGGCAAGCAATTGCTGCCTAAATGAGGCTCAGTCGAGCCGGTGTCAGTGTCATTGTTCACGGGCCGTTATTAGCACGTGCAGACGGTGGCGTTGCACCATTCGATAGTGAAGTGACTGCTGCGTGTGACGACAGGACCTAAAGCTCACGTGTTGATGTGCGATGGAAGCTTGACTTCATCGTAGCACGGGCGGAGACAGACGGATCTGGTCATGCCTGAGGAGCTCCGCTTTGACTCGAATGTGGGTGGCGAAGCACTGGGCACATCTGCGTTGTGAAGAAGCGGTGATTGGAAGGAGATGCTGCCGTCGTGCCTTCCTGATATGGAAGCAGCTTGTAACGGGAGTCAATCCTTCCCACGAAATGTGTATGGAGTGGTGAGCTCTCAACGAAGCGCACGAAATGTAGCGGACTGCAATTCTGATTAAACCTTGGCGGGTTGGCATGTATGGGATGCTCACCGAGATATGTGTGGCTAGAATGCTTGTACAACCAGGGGCATTCGGCACAGAGGCCAGTTCGCTTCTGGCCAATCGTCAAGCCATCATGACCAGAGCGGAGGTATCAAGCCTTTTCAGCCATCGGATCCGCGGCACTCACAAGAGGAGGAGATGGCCCAGATACCGGGCTGCTGCAATTTACATAAACAGATGCTGGGTTGTGTGTTGAGGTGGAGGGAGCACGGCGCGAGGTAGAGGCGCGATGATGGGCGATACGGGTCACGGATCATTCTGTCATCCAAGCTCAATCCCGAGTGCCAAAGCCACATCGCTCCGAGCACTCACAACAAGCCTCGAGTTGAGGGGATCCATATGATCCAACCCTTCGCCTTACGCTAACACCGCACCTTCAAGACTTCGCCTTCTCCCGGGGAGCCTCAGGTTTCTGATCACGAGTCCCATGTATCGTCCGGAAGGCATGCGACAGCGCGCCGCCGATCAAGAACAACGACTACAGCGCGGGAAGTGGATGGGGCGCGCTTGCTTGCTTTCTGAGCGATGTGCTCTGCCACTTGACTGATTGGGACGAATCTTGAGCTGATACAGGCAAGCGCTCACTGTCTATTGAACGCCCAGCTGCAGGCTCATGGGGTCGCCCACGTGAACGGCGTCACTAAGATGGAGACGGGGGAGAAGGCTAGAACCTTCAAAGGCGCGCGACCGCGCCTCGAAATCCGATCTTCCTCTCGTACACATAACTCGTTTCGTGGGACTCCGCTGTAACAATGTTGTATTACACAGCACTGCCTACCTCGTCATATGATGCTAGCGCTTCTAACACATGGTAAAGGGAGTCGCCCTCCAGGCGTCGCGCCGATGATTTGATGCCCGATCATAGGCGGCCCCTCCAGGGCTCTGTCGGGCCATACAGGTTGGGAACTCGATTCTACTCACACTTGAACCCTCACTGCATCTTCCCTACCCCTTATCCTTTGATGTGAGAATAAGGAGCCACCTGCGACCAAGAGATGGTACAGCGCCCGCAGATCGAACAGAGCCAAAAGCAATTCAACATTGTGAACCGACGACCGAGTAAACCGCCTTCTTCAAAACCATTGGTCAGACTGCCTCTGCTCGGTCATCCGTTTTGCAGCCATGGTAGATTATACTGGGCCCGACGAGACGGCGGGAACAGGCGCCTGGGTCACCGACGACGATAACGTCGACTATCTGCAAGCTTCCGGATCATTTGTATGCCGCCCAAAGTCACTAATGGTTACTTGAGGGCCAAGCACGTGGGACCAGATTGTGCTGATAAGTGTCAGTAGATCTCAGATATACACACAGGGCGACCGACCAACACAAGCACGCCTACCACGAGTACTGCCAATCCATATGCATCGCCGATCCAGTCCGATCGCTCCACTCCCTACTTCACTCAGTCTTTTCAGAGACAGGAGTACCGATCATGCCCTCCATCTCTGCAGTACGCTGGCGGGATACCTAACGACATAAAACAAGTAGCAAGGCTTGAAGCTCCTCTGACAAGCTATCCCCAACAGCAACTCACATCGCCTCGAACCACAGCTCATCAATACGTAAATCAGCAAAGACAGAGCATCCAGACAGCAGCACTCCCGCCCAGGCCTCACTACCCATCGACGCTACAAGCTGGACACAGCTCGGAGCACACCTTTGCGCCAGCGCAAGCACACTCCAGCTCTTATACTGGAGTCATCCCGTATTCGAACGCCAGCTGGGATCAAGCAGGCTTTGGGCCGATTTTATCCTTCAACCAACCTTATCTCGACCAACCGAACATCCATCCTAGACTCTCACAGTGGCAGCATGGCACTGCCACCAGCGATCAGCGACGGCCTTCGCAAACTCCTGTCGACCCATCGCAATATGCAGTGCCGTATAGTCAAAGATTACCCAAACGCCCAGCAGTAGCCTCACCGCCTGGGATCCCGTACGGGCAACAAAACAGGACTGAGCCATGGTTTCACCAGGAAATAATACAGCTGACTGACGCACCACCCTTCGCGCTGGATCGATCGAGAGATGCCGCGTCTATACCGCGGCATGGTGCGAACATGTCACCAACGATTAGTACAGAGAGCCGCAGTACATCAACGGGTAGGACGACAAGGACGAGCAGGCTTTCGATGGTTACCGAACATCAGTGCGACGATTGTCTTCAGCATTTTCGGTGCGGAAACGATCTAAAGTACGTGTTTCAGTCGGCACTACCATGGTTCATACTAATCCTTATCACCAGCCACCACATCAGAAATACACATACCGATCGCCCATTGTCTTGCGATCAATGTGACAAATTGTTCGTCTACCAGAAGGATGTCACACGCCACCAGAGAGATGCGCACAGCAACTTGCGCCCGTGGTTCTGCTCGGATCAGAACTGTGCTTATGCCATCGTGGGCTTCAAGCGCAAAGATCACCTATTGCGTCACGAGGGAGGTCAACGTTGTCCGAGAGCGATTACACAAGGCATGCGTGTTCAGTCAACCCAGCGGCTGGGATGATATACCTATGCGACAGCAATAGTCCGGAACAGGCGGACGTCTCCTGTTTACATAATAGCGGGTTGAGCGAGGCGCTTGGGAAGATACCACCAGTCGCCAGGCCAGTTCTATGAGAGTCTTTTACCACCAGCTATGTAGGCTATTCAACACTTGTCGTCAGTATTTGTCAATGTAGAGACGACAGGCTATGCTAGAGCTGTACCAATAGATCGCAACCATTGATCTCGCCTAATGCCAATGCAGGTACCACATGTATACACTTTCGGTCCAAGCGATAGAGCCTTACCTCTATTATCATTATTTGCGCAGCGAGCACAATGACTTGACACTGCCGGTGTGCTATTCGATACTACCAAACTTAATCAAACGAAAGTGGTATTATCTGTCTTCCGAGCTTCCAAATGCTCTGACATAGGTTTATGCAGAGCCGTCCGCAGTCTCTACGACCTAGAGCGTCCCCCAGAGCTCTACCTAGGCTTACCGAAAATGATAGCTACATCCTGATCGTAGCACCCATTGTATCAGTAGATATGGCAGATCTTATTAGCGTAGTGAGTTAGGATTCCCTATAACATAACTACAATACTAGCAAGATCACTTGTTACCTCTATCACCCTCTAGCTCCCATCGATGCACCGTATTGTTACGAGCGACATGTTCAAGTCTAGTAGATGACCTTGCATCAGCTTCGACCAGGTATTGCGAATCCGCTTCAACGGGGGCTTGTTCCATTCAAACATGGGAGCCGCATCGTCTTCGTAGTGCGACTACCCCGGCACACCCTTCTTATTGCCTATAGCGTCGTGATGCATCAACGCATCTCCAGACGCATCCCGCTTCTGCCGTCCTTTGTGTCGCCAGACAAGGCACAGGCCGATAGCAAGCAGTATCGGCACTCCGAGACCAACGGCTACACCAATGGCTAGACTAGTGTGATGGTTTGGCGCTGGTGTAGAAGCAATAGGAGACGCCGAGGCGGCCGTGGATGGTGCTGCCGTCGCAGAAGCGACCGAGCTTGTCGATGTAGTCTGAGCGGCATCCGACTAATCAATACCGTTCTGTGAGACGCGGAAGATGGCACTATTCGCACGGCATCCTACGCAGTCGTGATCTTGTCCATTCGCGAGCTCGAGGTGGAGGTTGTACCTCAAGTTTTGGCTATTGATGGGTCCGGCCGTCCAGTTGAGGAGGGGAAGTCCGAGGTCAGATTCGCTGTAGCTATCATCAGTGCTTTGTCCTGCTCTACTTGGCTATACTGATCCGCCCGCACTCGCGAGGGGCTGCCACGAAAAGAAATTGTTATCATCAGGACCCGAGAAGATCGTCAGGTCTGTTTGCGCGAAATTCGTCGTCCACTGAATGAGGTATGCTGTGTTGTTGGCGATTGTCAAGCTCGATGCATCTGGTGGACTGAGGAACGTCAGATTGGTCGCGGCTGCAGCAGTGAGAAGTAAGTAAGTGTAGAGCAGGGTGCGCATGTTGGGCTGGCTTTCGACTCAAAAAATGAATTGAGCAGGTGGACAATGGTGAAATTACATCTGCTTCGAGAGTGCACAACGCATGAATCTCAGAGCAAGTGGCAATCTACGTCGGATCCTTCACTTCACCAGGTTCTGGTTGGTTATCTAGCAAGCCACCAATAGTCTGTCCGCTGTCAAGCTGTAACCGCTGAACCAGGCGTGGCTGGGAAGGAACTGCAGCTTGGCGTTCGGGAACGATGAATCGCAACTCTATCGAGCGGTCCACGAATCTGCACAACTTGCAATGGATGTAAATGCAAGCCTGACCCCGAGGGATGGAAGGAAAAGCGTCTTATTGCCTTATGTTGCTTCGAAACAAATACCGTGGCTATCGATCAGGACAAGGTGTTTGTTATTGAGCACAAGGTCATGTTACCTTGCTCGCATCATTGACATTGATACCATCACTGAACCACGCAACGGCAGTATATAGAGCTTGTATGATGTCGTCCCAGCATCGTGACCATTATATCCTCACTACGAACTTCGAAGTATCGATTGTCCCATACATTGAACTCCCTACGATGCTGTCATGTCTCCTGTTCCCACGTAAAATGCTCAGCTGAAACCTCGAGCCTCCATCTCCTGCGGGTCTCGAGCAGGAGCTTCCGCTGGAAAGGCTGTACGGGAGTTGGTTTGCGGTGACGCCCCGTAGTGCTGGGGTTTCGCGCCCCAGGTCGAATTACTCTCTGGATATGACGGAGGTGGTTGATTACTGTTGTGCTTCGTGTCGCGGCCGCGACGCCTCCAGAGGAAGAATGCACCGGCAGCAAGTAGCAGTGCGCCGCCGACACCGACGCCAACACCAACCCCGATGGCAACGCTGTTGTTTGTTGGTTTGGGTGGGGCGCTGCTTGTCGCTGCTTGAGTCGCTGACGAGGACGACACTGCTGGCGGCGAGGTTGTTGAGCTGTCGGAGCCCGCTGCCGCAGCAAGACCGGTCGTTGACGGTGAGCTAATACTGATACTCGTTGTGGTTGGTGTACTGGTCGCCGACGATGAGGAAGAGCCAGGCAGAGCCTGTATGTAGAATTGACGGCTCCAGAACCCGGTTCTGTCATCACCTCCCGGATCGGCATCGACTATGTGCAGAACGTACGGCGCCGCGGTGATCCCACTGCCACAGTTTTGTGTGTTGCAATTCGGTGGGATAGCGCAATTGACCTCCCAATCATAGGACATGTTACCGGGGGCGCCGGCTGCCAAAATTGTCAATCGAGGCACACTCTACCTGTCTGTGAAGGTGGAAACGTACTAACGATCTGGCACTGATTGACTACAGCCTGGTTGACAGTCTGGTTCCAGATATAGTAGATGTTGACCAAGTTGTACGGTGATTCCCATCTGATGCCCATCGGGCTGCCTTGATTGAAAATGCCGGTTGATCCAGAAGGCCACGTGAATTCGCCATTCTGCGTGTTGTTGATAAAGTTTCCCGTTGGAAGAGCAGGTAATGTCGACGCTGTTACGCTCTGAGCCGCAATACCACCGGCCCCAATGCACAGAGCTGCGAGGTATGTGAAGCAGCGTCCCATTGTGCGTGTTCTGGTCCAAGATCTTTTAAGATACGTCTACACTTTCCCGTCGCAATGTGGACCAGAGACAATGGATCAACTAAAACGGAGTGCAAGGGTAGTACAGCAGTGTTATGCAATGAGTGCACCACGCAGAGGACTGTAGAGGCCTGCACTCGCACCAGCAGACACCGTTGCACGACTCGTTATCTTCTGCGCCCCCTCTTCCACAACACTAATAAGATTCCGCAGCATTTGGGGGCTGTCATTTGTGCCGTGCAGCCCGATTGAGCATGGGGCCTGGGATGCGAACCATTAAAAGCAAACGGACTTCTGTCGAAGGATTGCCTAGTCTGCAGCAATCCTGCGCCCTGTGCCGCTTCGTTCGGTTCACCGGTCAGAAGAGGGGCCAATGGCAACACGATCGACGCGGCTCGAGCTGTTGGTCAATGAGCATCCCGCTGCATGCACGCCTGCCCAGAAGCGCCACACAATTAGAGAGAATTTAGCCTCGTGTCCTGCCATGCTTCGAAGCCTTTACAAGCTTCACAGGGAGACAGGCGTGCTATCAAGCACGGCAGAGACGGTCCATCTGGGTTGTTGGCGTAGCACTGCTATATCAGCAGATTATTATATCAGGATTTTTGATATGGAGGGGAGCCGCTGCACGAGTCGGTGCGCCTTTGTTGTCTAGCCTGTTGGGGTACCGCCTACGTGGAATCGAGATTGATCTAAGCCACTAGCGTATGAACGGACCCGACGGCTTTACAACCGAAACTCAAATTTTGGCTAGGCCGCATTGCTCAGACAGATAGGCGCCTATCTCAACGACACTCTTGGGGCCATCGGACATCGCCACGCTCATGCTTCCCGTGTCGCTAATCAGCTTGAGGTGATCGTCGTGCCACTAGTTCCACAGCAGCGTTTTCATCACATGGAGTCTCTGAATTCTTCCTAGCGGCAGTCATCCATGTCATGTACACCCCTCGCTACTGTCTCCAGCCGCCGTGCTGGTGGCACCGCCGGCGTGGGTAACTACTGGTGGTCCGAAGGGGCTTCAGAAACGCATGTGCGGCCTTCTCTACCGCCATCCTCAGTTCACAGCCTCGTTGAGCAGATCACTGTATGCCTTCCAACGTGCGGCTTCCTTTGAGCAGACACTGCAACCAGACTGATGTATAGCCTTAATTTTGTGCGGAGCCAGCGTTGATCCTTACTTCACTTTTTTAGCCACGGCGCGGTCTTATGCAATTGCTGGGACCCTCCTCGATTTCCTAGACCGTCGCAGGCACATCAAGACGCTGCGAACAACGACGCCAGAGCGACCTAGTCATGCTCAGTAGCAAGCGTTCACACATTCGCGCTGTCCTGGCCTTTGCTTTCCTCGCTCTGCTCCTAGTCTGGAGTATCGCCGGCTTGGGTGTCACAAGCAAGTCCAGGTTACTTCCACTATCAAGTGAAGCATCACAAGCTGGACAGCTGCCATGTCACGAGTTACCGGGCGCAAGTGACACCTTCGTCATCCTTCGCACCGGCTCTACAGAGATAGACGACCGGTTCGCTATCCATCTGTCTACCAGCATACGGTGCTTCCCGAACTACCTCATTTTCTCGGACTTCGACGAGGACTATCTTGGCGAGCACATCATTGATGCCTTGGCGGATGTCGACCCAAAGTACCAAGAGAGTAGCCCGGACTTTGATCTTTGGCGCCGACTCCAGAATGGCGGCCGATCCACGCTGGATACATCAGAGCTTGCTGGTGATCCTGATCGGTTCTCAAGCATGACTGGGAAGGCTGACAATCCAGGCTGGAAACTGGATAAGTGGAAATTCCTGCCTATGGTCAACAGGACATTGCACGAACGGCCCAATATGAAATGGTACGTCTTCATAGAAGCGGATTCTTTCTTGCTTTGGTCTCAGCTGCTGCAGTACCTCTCTGTGTTGGATTCGACCCAGCCAATTTACGCCGGAAGTCAAATGTTTGCCAATGGTGACATCTTCGCGCACGGCGGCTCTGGATTCATCGTTTCGCAGCCGGCCTTGCGACAAATTGTGCCTTACTACTCCGCCAACAAGGCCACAATCGAGCAGTTCACAGAGGGACATTGGGTGGGCGATGCCGTTCTAGGCAAGACATTCACAGATTCGGGTGTGCGTTTCAAGAATGCCTGGCCAGCCTTCCAAGGCGACTACCCTGGTCTCGTGCCGTATGCACGCGCGGACGGCCGCTCTGTGCCGGATGAATCGCTCCGAGAATGGTGCTATAACACCATATCTTACCATCACATGTCGCCGTCAATGATTCGGGAGCTGTGGAGTTTCGAACAGGAATGGATGACCAAACATAATGCAGTAAGTATCTCTGCGCCTCTATCCCACGATGCGTACGCTGACCCAGCGATACAGACATCCGAGACTATACGTCACAAGGATATCTTTACCAATCTGGTGATGCCTCAGATGATGTCGCCTCGTACCGATTGGGACAATCTGAGCGACAAGGAAGAGGGCGTGCTTGGGTCTTTGGAGGACTGCCGGCGGCGTTGTCAAGAGCAATCGGAGTGCAGACAATACTCCCTCGATGCGGACCAAATGTGCCGAACACGTGTCGATCCTCGACTGGGTAAGGCGGTCAAGGACCTCAGATCAGGTTGGATTGAAGATCGCATAGTTGATTTCCAACGAAACATGGCACCTTGTGGTAGCGAGGGCTGGCCGCTATAGAAGATACCAGTACAATCGCTACGCAACTCAGGCAGGCTTCACGATCGCAAGTCCTGTGGGTTTCCAGAATACACTCCCGCTCTGCAAGCGATGCTTTCGAACAGTGGCCTCCCAAAGCCACGCCATTCGACTAGACCTCAGTTCACGGTTGCAGAGAGGAAAACTCTAAGCAGGTCAGGAGCTACAAGACCTTTGGACTCTGTCGAGTCCCGGGTTGTTGACCCGTACATCCGTGGCTTCATGATCGACCAGACATACATGATGCTACCCAACTTTACGTTTGGGAGGATTGTGATAGCCATAGTCGAAGTACTCCACCGTGGAGTCGAGCAACTTTAGTCTCGCTGCGAGCGGCGTCCCGGGGAGCGTTGATCAGGATGATGCTGTACTAGCTATACGTGGGGGGAAATGGCTGAGCTTCGGCGATGATCGGCGGTAATGAGCAAATGGCTATGGAAATATGGTCTGGACCGAACCTCCACGAAGGCGCTCTATGGCATATACTTACATCCATATCGCGTGCTGTCTGGACCGAGTTGCCATTTCTCGTCTCAATGCGCCCATAAGAGCGATATATAGATATTCTTGTTGCGCCATTGGCGCACATCGCAGACGTCACACATTGAGGCTGTTTGATTGAAACTGTCCAATTGCCTTCCCATTGAATGTCTGACGTTGACGTCGACATATCGCACACAGCGCACTCCAGGGCAAAGGAAAGCATACTGCCGACGATCAAAAGAAAGGCCTGAGGCCCCTGTCATGGCTTCTTCTATCCTGGTCGGTCCAATCAGGACGGTACAGACATGGTAGAAGAGCATGACGGGGATAGGCCTCGTTACCCTCACGAAGACGCTTGCATGCAGTGATAAACTACATGGGAGGCATCTTTCAGATCGACCACAAATAGTCGTTATCGGGACTCGTGCTAACCTCGTTCGATCATCAGCAGCAGCTGGTAGATCAAACAATTGGACATGTGCTGCGGCTAGCGCCAAGCCTAAGAGTCGAGATTATCAACCGAGTAGTAGAGGAGCAACGGCCAAGCCGATGGTTCGTGCGATTGTCCTAACCAGACTTGTATCTGTGGACGGCACGCGAGGCTGAGAGGCGTCCAGACGTCGAAGTCTATTATCGACAGCGCATGCCACTGACACGGCATGTCTACCCGTGGGTGTCGATCCACACAAGAGCCTTTGCCCACACACTTTTCTGGTCGTAGCTCTCGGCTCCATGTGTACCTAAGCGTAATACCGTTGGTTGAAGCACTAATCTCACCGGTGCACCGTCCAGACTATGATCATCGGGATTATCCAATTTGTGGAGCGGGTGAGCCTGCATGAAAGGCGACGAAATTAAGAAGTTCTGATCTGCCGGTTCTTGCCTGAATCGGTACTCGATGCCCGTCCGCTGAGTCCAAAGACCCATGGCAAAGCCTCCAGCGTCCTTGAACACCTTCCTCAGCTTCTGTCTGCGGACGTCATTCAGGGTGTCGTCCGCTTGGGTCATCAGCAGTCGTGCGGGCCCATGCTCGAATAGATCTGCCTCTCGGGCGCACTTGTCTACTAGCTCGCTCTGTACGTGGTCACGTAATTGGCATGCTCCTATGCTGGTGTCCTGCTTGTCAGGTGTCAGTGCTCGCAATGTGTCAGATCTCCAGATGTGTGCCTTTCCCGGGTCAACTGGCTGAGCATCAGTCCGTGAACAATCATGTAGCAGGGCAGTATTGTTACCATCTGAGATCATGTGGAATGTATTGTGGAAAGCGTCGGCTGGATCGATGCGGTTACTGAGTCCCTGCAACTGATCCGGTAGCTCATCGAAGCTCGCCTGCAGGCTATCCGACATGAAGAAGAACGGGTTGTCGAGTGCCATCGTATGTACTGCCGAGGAAAGTAGCCCAGTGAGACAAAGACGTGTCATATGTCGTACTTGCGCGAGACGTGATAAGCTGTTAGTCGGCGAGAAAGATGCCACTTCACATGCGTTCAGCGCGTGGGTCAGCTCGGTAGCCACCCACTCCGGTTGTGACGCCAGATCTGCCAGACTATCTGAAGCATACTCTTTTGCAAACATCAAGATTGTGTTCTGGATACGCATGAATCCATGCGTTATGGTTGTGTCATCTTCCGGTTGGAAACAATCACCGCGCAGATCCTGGAACACCTGGAGCTGAAGTTTATGGATTTCGGCCTCGAAAGCGTTCTTCTGCTCGGCCTGCTCGTGACTATGTCGCTGCTTGAGCAGCGTGGTCTCATGGTCCACTTCTTTGATCTTTTGCCTCAAGCTGGCAATAGTCTCCGTCTCCAATAAATCAGGGTCTGTTCGCTGCAGTCCATTGGTAGACTGCCGATTGTCAATGGGAGCTCTGTCTTTACGCTCCGAAGGTACTGCTGTGGTGCTCTGCGAAGACACATCAATTTGCGGCAATGGTGGTAGTACTTGATCGCAACGTTTTGTTCTTGCAACTTGACTCTGTTGCTTAGACCGCGATGATTGCTGAGAGCCGGCAGTAGAATTTGCGTTGAGCTACAGCTTATCAGCATAGTATACTGACGATGTATTTGTCCTTAACTTGCCGTACGAGTCGTCACGGCAGCCTCCCGAGTATTGTGAGGGCCGTCCCAGATCTTCCTGACCTTCTGCATCGTAATTGACGTTAGTGCAAGTGCATACTGTTCTGCAATCAATAGTATCGTGTAGGAAACAAGAGAAAGAGAAGGACGACCTATGATTTGGGATCGTTGGCGAGTACAGCCACAGCGGGATGATCATCCGATCGCCCCCATCCTCGTAGTCGTCACACTCTCTGCAAAACTACCATCAATCGATTCTCTTTCACCATATGACAATTCTATCAAAAGTCTTGAGTATAGTCCGCATTAAAGTATGACAAACGGTCGGCCTATGATGCTGCACGATTTGTGACACACATTATGGCGCCTAGCCAGCAACGAGAAACTCCCGGGAGGGTTCGCATTGTGCTTGGTGTGGACTATGGCACCACGTACTCCGGTAAGTCATGGCAACTGTCAAATCGATCCATGTCAGTCTGATCTTTGCTGGCAGGTGTCAGCTATGGAACAACCGACAAGACGAATGCGGCCGACGTGACCGTCATACGATCGTGGCCAGGCAGGGACGGCGAATGGAAGGTTCCCTCGCGCATAGCTTATGAGCGCGAGAACAACACGTTTGGTCTGACTCAAAATGCTTGGGGTTACGACGTCCAACCGTCCATGGTGTCTTACTCGTGGACCAAGCTACTACTTGACCAGAGCGCTGGTCCTCCTCATGATGATCCGGATTTCCGGCTGGCGCTGGATCAAGGAATGTTGCGTCTGCCATCGAACTACACAGCTCAACGTGTCTGCGGTGATTTCTTGAGAGAGGTCTACAACTACTCGACAGCGCAACTTATCAAACAGATCTCGAAGGAGGTCTTCGACTCGACACCTGTAGACTGCTGGTTAACAGTGCCGGCTGTCTGGTCTGACCAGGCTCGGGATTCGACACGGACTGCGGCCTATGCTGCAGGCTTTGGTTGTCGACCTCAGGATACAATCAATATCATTAGCGAGCCAGAAGCAGGGGCTATCGCGGCGCTGCACAAGTATACTCACCCAAGCTCTTTAAACAAACCGCAAGTAAGCATTCTTCTGTACACTTCCGTGGCTATGTCTGTACTTATATCCTCTAGGTGGGCGAGAGCATCATGGTCTGCGATTGCGGCGGTGGGACGGTCGATATCACGACGTACATGATTACTGATACCACGCCAAGGCTGGAGTTCCGGGAAGTATGTGTCGGCATAGGTTCGTGTGATGTGCTTCTGGAAGAGGCGCAATCTAGCTGACTACTCATAACCAGGTGCAAAGTGCGGTGCGACGTATGTCGATCGTAATCTACATAAGCTCATGCGTCAGAGATTTGGCCAGGCATTCAATGAAGTCGATATGAAACGCAAAGGTCCTGGTAGCCGGTTCATGAACTCCTGGGAGAGTGTCAAGCGTGGGTTTGGATCAGCAGGCGACTCTCGCGTCCAAGAAATTGGCCCACTAGTCATGAAAGGTGTCAATTCATCACAGTACTACGACGAAGACGATAGTCTGGTTCGACTGACCAGGTGGGCCACACTTCCCAGAATCATGGGGAAAGCCAAGTCGCTGATAATGGCTCTAGGACGGACGTCGAAAGCCTCTTCGCGCCCGTTGTCGACGAAATTCTGAGCCTGCTTGTCGACCAGAAGATAGCCATCGAGCAACTTGGCCATGCACTCGACGTAAGCCGCTCACATGCGGCGATAATTTGTCAATGCTGACATTTCCCATAGCGCCTTGTCCTTGTGGGCGGATTTGGTGACTCAGACTACCTCTGTTCACGTCTTAAAGAATGGTGTACCTTCAATGGTGATCTAAAACTTCTGGTCTCGGAGCACCCACAAGCAGCAATCGTTCGGGGCGCCGCCCTACGGGGCATGGGGGCAGTCGCTCCAACTCAGAGATGTTGCAGAAGGAGTTATGGAGTAGGAACTAGTCAGCCTTTCCGGGATGGTCTTGATCCCGAAGCAAGGGCGTATACAAGTCAGTGGGATGGCTCGAAGAGATGCCTCGGTAGAATGGATTGGCTGATCTTGAAGGTGGGTATAATGCCCGGATTCGAGATCAAATCCAAAGCATCCACTGACCCGTCTCCAGGGCGCTTCCATAACCAAAGATACCCGAGGCGCGGTCCACTTGAGTATACCCGCTACGAACGTCGATGACATGAAGATGACATGCACTCTGTACAGTTCTGCCCTGGATTTTCCACCGGAATATACGGATGGGCCAGGTAAAGAGAACAGCAGCACAACTGTGTGTCGCTTTGCTAATGAGCTTCTCTAGGTGTTCAAGTGGTCGGACACATATTCGTCGACTTCACTCGAATGGACAAGGCTCGAATGCCACGACGTCGAGAAGGCAGGTTCGGCAAGACGAAGTGGAATTTACCATTCAGCATCGAGGTTGTATTTGGTTCTGGGACCGGTGTACTGGAGTTCAGGACTGTTGTCGATGGCATCGTATCTGGCTTCGCAGTAATTTCTTTCGAATGAGGCAGTGGTGTTAGCGTAGTCTTCTTCGGATCAACATGAGGGTGTTGACAGCTCCGAGCTGGAAAGCCCGCAGAGTGGCGACATTGGTTGGACAGGACAGGACGATATGGTCGAACATAATGCATTTGTCACACACACCGTCTGGACCACAGGTAGTGGTGCATCTCGTCCTTGGCCGTATGCCACCGAGTGTTCGCTTCAATGCCCGTTTGATGAGCCTCGACAGCAAGAGCACAGAACAGGTGAATGCTTTGTTTCACAAGGCACCAGTGCAAGCAGAGGGTCCTCTCCAAACCCTCTCAACAAGCGAAAACGCTTAGACATATCCCGTAGCCGTGCTATGCTGTGGTACGAAGAGCCACACAATGTCATGGAATGAAGTATGGATCGTCGATAACGGAATTTCTTGGCCAAGCAAACAGTGCGCACCCAACCGGAAGAGCTGCTTACCTAGTGATTTGTCGAAGGCGACTCTGCACCTGGGACCTCTTGTGCATCTGTACAATCAAGCCTTCTGCGACAATGGCCCACTATGAGGGACCCGTCCGAAACGAGTTGCCACAAGCCCGACAACATCTCCCAGGTCTTTGCATCGTACCTGGCTGCCGATCTCTCGCGCGTTCCACCATCACATCACTCGCCCGACGCAATACACCCGGTCTCATAATCCTTCGCCGTATACCCGCGATCCACCAGCGCACACTCACCCCAAGTCGGCTCACGGGTGTACTTGAGCAACCATGCGCCTGTCTCGCCTGCTGGACTACTCCCGTTCTTCTGGTTAGTGTAGGTGTAGTACCCTTCCGCTGCACTCCCATTGCCACTCAATGCGAAAGCACAATTGTATGGACCTGTGGCGCTAAAGCCGAAGCCGTTCCATATTATACTGCCGTTGCCGGCGACATAAACACTTCCCGTCAGGACTGCGCCTACGCTCGTGCTGCGAGGACTGGGTCAGTGCTTAGCTTCTGAGTTGGTAGGGCGATTTTACGCACTATGGAGGAGCGCCATAAGCTGTTTGAGCTAAGACGGGTATGATAGTCCAGGAATCAAGCTGTGGTGATGCCGTCAGCTATGGGCAATCAGAATCATAAATCCCGTGAAGGTCGAACCTCGAATGATTTCGCTTTGAAATTGCAGAACTAGACGAGCCATATTAGAATCTAGGCGATCAAACGAAGGCATCAGAACAACAGACGGTTATGGTCTCGTTAAAGTTACTGGTGTAGATGCCTTGGAACGAGCGTATGGTCTGGGGCGCAGCTTCGTGGTAGTTGAAACTGTTTGCCACTGGGCACAGGTCTTGCCCCTTGACCAACGACGCAAGGAACGCGGTCAGATATATCTGCGTTAGTGGTCAACACTACGCCGACTTCTGGTGGGCCAACGGGGGGGGGCCACCGTTAGGTAAGCCATGCTTGAATCTTTGATAATCGTTCTAAACACTGGCTGGTTCCGATGTATGGTGACAGTCTTTATGTGACAGGAGTATACAGTCCTGTAGGTGCGGTGTAGTATGTACTGCGTTAAGCTAAGTTCGTATGTAGATTACATGTATGCCATCTGCACGTTGACGTAGGTAGATACAGAGACCCTCCGAGCTCAGCAGAGTCTCGCTTGAGTATGGAACAGCTAGTATACTATGACGAAGTTAGCAGTGACTGTGGCCGAGAAGCACATCATTGGGCGCTATCGCCGTCGAGCAATGCGTCTGCGCTTCCTGGTATGAGAACAAGGGGACACAAATATTGGCCACAGTACACACAAATACTGCGATAAGTGCGTCGAACGTCAGAACAAGGAAATGAGCCTTGTATTCTCGCGCCCATTTGAGTTCATCATATCCGTACTCGTGTTTCGCGATCGGACTCACTTGCAACGTCAGACATGCTTGCTCTCATCGTGTCGAGTAGTAGTCGAGCGTACATCAGCATCGACAGTATGCGGCTCTTGGTCTTCGGAGAGAGCGCTTGCGGCGTCTTCTCACAAAGAGGCAGCAAGGCCTAGGGACTGCTGAGTTGTGATGTGCGTTATTGCTAGCACCACTGGAGAGAGCAGGGGATTGTCATTTGGAGACCAACCGCGCTTGACCTCACGATGGCGGGTGGTAGCATCAGATGTACAGCGACGAAGTGATGTCTCCTTGCAACACACGGGACAATCTCTCTGTGGTCTTCATTGCAAGGGTGAAAGTATCCTCGTGCGCCGACACTTTGATCGTAGAACCAAGAGAGTACGCCGGAAAATCTCACGGTGCGACAATTCTCCGCCGGTACTTTGAGTCCACCAAGCACTTCCTCTCCCGCCTTCCTCGACACGAAAACACTAGGTACATCACGTCTTGCACATATACCGCACCGGAGAATCTTAGACGCCTGGTGACGGTACACTACACACTTCTACCGATGAGGACCATTCCGAGACTTTCCTGTCATTCTTCCGGGACCCAACCCTCTTCACGAGCGTCAACAAAGATCTGTAACAGCTAGTGTTTCCATGCCTGCCAATACCTCCTGTGCCCTCCTTCGGACGTACGCAACTCAATCTATGTCGATCGACCTACAAGCTTGTCTTCTTCGGAGTGATGTATACCGAGATTTTGGGGTCATCTGCGACAGATGGAAGGTTAGTACAGGTGTGGGCTGAGCCATTCTCCTTCTTACTTCATTTCCAACGAGTCCACAAACATCAGTTGTCTCGTTTGCCAGCCACTCTGAAGACCTCCAGAGATGGCGTCTTTTCTAACCCTCGCGCTGCTGGCCAGCACATCCATCGCCGCACCAGCAACAGGCAACATCTTCGCTAGCACGAATTGGCCTCAACCTCACGTTGTTACTGGTGAGGATGATTCAGCTCACCCAAATGACGCGACGCAAGGCTGGGGTGGTATTCACGTTCACGACCCGAGCATAGTCCTCGGACCAGATGGCCACTACTTCTCATTCTCAACTCACGGCTTAACAGCCATATCTCGAGCTTCAAAGGCAGGAAGTCTCGATGGCGACTGGAAGATCTTGGGAAGTGTGCTCAAAGGCAAGAGTGTTATCAGTAATAGCGGTAATGCCGACCCTTGGTATGCCTCACCTGCTCGAGTATCCCCGAAGTGCAGAGCATCGCCACTAATCGCAATGTGACAGGGCACCAGACGTCCATAAAGTAGGTTCAACCTACTACAACTTCTACTCTGTCTCCCAGTTTGGCAGCCAAGTCTCTTCCATCGGCCTTGCGACCTCCACAACCCTGCTCCCAGGAAGCTGGACTGACCATGGGGCCATCCTGTCCTCGAGCCCGACTGCTGCCTACCCGCTCAACACCTCCAACGCCATCGATGCGGCGCTATTCGTGGATCCCAAAACGGACATACCTTATCTCAACTACGGCAGTTTCTGGTCCGACATCTTCCAGGTCCAGCTCTCGTCTAATCTTATGAAGGCGAACCTCAAGACCGCCGTTGGGCTGTCATTCGATCCTGTTGGTACGCAGGCAGAGGAGGGGAGCTACATGAGTTACAGTGGTGGCTACTACTACCTCTGGTATAGCCATGGTATCTGCTGCGGCTATGATCCGTCCGCTCTGCCTGCCAAGGGTACAGAATACTCCATTCGTGTCGGCAGGTCGAAGGCAGCCACTGGGCCCTTCGTGGACAGCAATGGCGTCGACCTGAGGAAAGGCGGCGGTAACATTGTCTACGGGAGTCATGGCAATATCTACGGTCCTGGCGGGCAAGGCATCTTGTCTGGATATAATGGCAGGGATGTGCTGTACTTGTGAGTGTTCGCCAATGCTTCTGGGTACAATGTTTCGTGCTGACATGATCTTCCAGCCACTACGTCAACACGACCAGCGATCCAAAGTACGCGGACAACCTCAAGTTACTCGGCTGGGATTACATCAATTACAGCTCAGGTTGGCCAGTACTGTCTTACGACTAGTGAATTAGGATTCAGGTCAGAGAAAGTTTTATGCGAGGAAGCTAGCATACCTAGAACTCGATGTTAACCTTCAAGCTCTTCGTCTCCGCCGCTCGACTGAAGACATCGTACGCCTTCTCGATCTCACTGAACTTGAAATCGTGCGTGATCATAGCACCTGTGTCCAGCTTGCCAGCACTATTCAGGTCCAGCAGTTGCGGTATAGTATGTGCACTGACCAATGCCATACTGATAGTGGTAGACCGCGGCCACAACCGATCAATGTCGAGCTCCACTTTCGTACCGTGTACTCCCACGTTCGCAAGATGGCCGCCTATACCCACAAGATCCTGACACATCTTGAAGGTAGCTGGGACGCCTACAGCTTCGATCACGACATCGAAGCCATCGATGTCGCCGAAGTGCTTGCTAGCTAGCTCTCGCACATCGCCCTGAGTCGGATTGATGCAGTCATCTGCTCCTATCTTCTTCGCCACTTCTAGCCTCGCTTCGTCTTTGTCAAAGAAGACAATCTTGCGTGGCGAGTAAAGTTTTGCTGTAATCGCGCAAGCTAGACCTACTGGCCCCGCACCAACGATAGCAAGAGTACAACCAGGCTTCACTCCGCCGCGGAGGACGCCGACTTCGAGCCCGGAAGGAAGTATATCCGAGAAAACGAGAAGGCTTCTTTCGTCCACGCCCTCGGGGACGTGGTAGAGATTCGCATCAGTGTACGGGATGCGAACGTATTCAGCTTGCGTCCCGTCACTAGTGTTGCCAAGAGTCCAGCCGCCATTCTTGCACTGGTCGTTCATCGACCTTTTGCAGAAGCTACAGGTGGCGCAAGAAGTGATGCAGGCAATGAGGACTCGATCGCCTTTCTTGAGACTTTTGACTTCTGGGCCAATGTCGTGGACCAGGCCTATGCCTTCGTGGCCTAAAGTGCGGCCAGCAGGTGCAGTAGGGACATCGCCTTTGATTATATGGAGATCTGTACCGCAGATGGTTGTGCGAAGGAGCTTCACTACGGCATCTGCGGGATTGGTGATAGTAGGGGTTGGTTTGTCGACTACCTTGATCTTGCCTGGGCCGTCGTATGTTAGTGCTTTCATGCTGGCGATCTGCTTGTGCTATGAGTGTTATTTGAGACTTCCCAAGGTGGACCCATTGCTGATATATATAGCTTGAGATTGCTTGGGACAGCGTTATCCCCCGTGAGAGGGGGTGCTGGGGTACTTGGTTACAAAAGCTGCAATGCCAACAGTAGTGCTGCATATTGTCCGTTTCACCGAGCTGCTTGGCTGGTCGGTCGATGGCTAGACTAGCAACCTGGTCGAGCGTATGGTATGGATGTTTCGCCCTCCTGGCTGCCGTACTATACCGCTTCCTGTATCCATCATCGTCGAGGTCTCATCGTGACAATCCTTGCCCCGGAGCAGCGAGCGAGATGCAGGATCTCAGCCGATGTGTCGATACCTGGCCCTTCGACGCATCGCTCTTATACAGTCTATTATACTACAGGTCAACACTGTGCTTTTGCACACCAGAAGTGTGGTGGTCATGGAAGGAACGCAGCCTCGGCCCAAGGATGATCATCGTCGTCGGAGCATAACGGGCACGTACCATAAGAGGTGCGTATATGATGGTCATCTCATCGCTCCGGCACGAGTCTGGTCGACCTTCCACTCCAACACGGTGAAGATATCGTCCTACACCCTCCAACCCTGTGCAGCGCATCGTCCTTCCCCTTCGATATTCCCGGCCTCGAACGCACGGTTCCTGAACTATTCTGTTTTGAGTAGCGTCGCTGCCCCGGATCGTCAACCCCAGCTTTTCCACTCACCGACCCTGGGATTCTTCCTTGAGCCGCGCATATGTCGAACATATCACGAGTTACAAGACCCTCGATCTCTCAACAATACGCAAACGACCGATTAGGCCAAATTCAAGGACATATGGCGCCTCACGCAACCAACGGCGATGAGCCGATCATAACAGCCTTCAATGCTGATGTCGTCCCACAAGCACCTGAGGATCCGCTGTTTGGGTTGATGGCGGCGTACAGGAAAGACACAGATTCGAAGAAGGTAGATCTGGGTATTGGCGCATACAGAGACGACAACGCAAAGCCTTGGGTACTCCCAGTGGTGAAAGCGGTAAGGACGGCACAAAGCTTGTCTAGCTGTCACCCGATGGCTCGCTAATTATTGACCAATGCAGGCCGATGACCTCCTACGCAAAGACCCAGATCTCAACCACGAATACCTACCAATTGGCGGCCTCGCCGACTTCAATTTCGCCTCTCAAAAGCTCATTCTTGGCAAGGACTCGGCAGCGATCCAGGACAAGCGAGTGATCTCCCTGCAGACCATCTCAGGTACCGGTGCTGTACATCTCGGCTCTGCATTCATCTCAAGGTTCTACAATCCACAATCGGCGGAGGCCAAGGCGATATACTGTTCCTCGCCAACATGGGCCAACCACAACCAGATCATCACAAACGTCCACTTGCCAGTGAAGACCTACCCATACTTCTCCAAAGAGACGAAAGGTCTAGACTTTGATGGCATGATCAAGGCGATTGAGAGCGCAGCCGAAGGCAGTGTTATACTTCTCCATGCCTGCGCACACAACCCCACAGGCGTAGATCCCACACGAGACCAATGGACCAAGATCGCACACGTCATGAGACAGAAACGCCACTTCCCTTTCTTCGACTGCGCGTACCAGGGCTTCGCCTCAGGTTCACTCTCCACCGACGCATGGGCAATCAATTACTTCGTAGACCAAGGCTTCGAACTTATGATCGCTCAATCATATGCCAAGAACTTCGGCCTGTACGGTGAGCGAGCAGGCTGTTTCCATTTCGTTGCAGCTCCATCCGCAAACGCACAAGACGAGGTTGCGCGAGTAGGCAGCCAACTCGCGATCCTCCAGCGCTCCGAGATCTCCAACCCACCCGCTTACGGCGCCCGAATCGCGAGTATGGTTCTCAACGACGACAAGCTCTTCTCGCAATGGGAGGAAGATCTGCGTACGATGTCTGGTCGTATCATCTCCATGCGCAAGGCGCTGAAGTCGAAGTTGGATGAGCTGGAGACGCCGGGGAAATGGGATCATATCACGGAGCAGATTGGTATGTTCTCGTTCACAGGGTTGAACGAGCAGCAGGTGGGGAAGTTGAGAGAGAAGTTTCACGTATACATGACGAAGAATGGACGGATATCGATGGCGGGGTTGAACACGAAGAATGTGGAGTATTTCGCAAAGGCGCTGGACAGTGTTGTGAGGGAGACGTCTTAGAGTATGGTGGTGACGAGATTGGATGGAGTTGAGCAAGCGCTCTGCTGGAGACAAGAAGCATAGGTGTATTACTCAGGCACTGGTCGCTGTTTGTATACTAGCATGAGCTTTGTCATGATGTGAATAACAAGACTTGGATAGAAAGCTAGATACTAGATGAACAGGTCGACTCTGCCACTGCCAATCCACAGTGATGCGCCTCTCCTCGTTCACGTGTAAGGTGATCCAGATCTCGTTGCTGACGTGGTCTTGGCACCAACAGCCCCGGATCCATGCAATCGGATCCGTACGCTTCCTGCTCCGAAATCCTCTCTCATGCCTTCACCCGGCCCAAAGCAGTTTCCTTCGCGCCGGCTGGACTGCTCAACACGAGTTCGTTTGAACTCTCATGCATATATGCCCATCAAAGCGCAATACATGCCAGCACAGCAGTTTTCAGCGATCATAAGTGCATGGCGTTTCTGCTCCTCTTCTTGGACCTCTTGGTCAAAATCATAATCCGAGGCTCACCTGATCTCTCGGGCTTTGCGTGTACGAGCGGACCCGAGCCCATCCTGGCAAACTCCAAATCCACCTGAACATCCATGCACAAGTCATTGCTGACGCACCCGGACGCCGGATGTGATGAGCAAGAATCATCAGGCAACAAGTTTCCTGACATCGCATAGGCCACGCCCGCACGGTGTTTAGCAATGTCCCGCAGCTCGCATTGTCATTCGTGAACCGGCCGCAGCGATGCTGCCGAGCCCATCCGTCTGACGAGTACATTACTGCCCAGCTGCTTGGAGGGCTTTGTATTCATGATCAGCTTATTAGTTGTGCTTACTTCCCTCGTGAGACTCATCGAACGTGATCTTTGCTTCTCATCTGCGATCAAGAAAGAATCATCGACATTGTGAAACATCTCGCAGACATACCTCAGTCCTACATAAGTCACCTGCATAAATGGATACCATGGACGTCACACCATCACCCGCGCAAGCAGCCTACCGAGCACAACTAGCATCCTACCACGCACAACAACGAGCAATGATCGAAGCACTGCGGAAAACGCAACCTTCACAATGGGCCACGCTACCATCAGACGAAGACGAGCAAGAAGCACAATACTACGCCTTCGAAGACGCAATCGTAGCACCAATGCAACAACGACAACCACATCAACAAAGCGATAATGTAGTCGAAACATTACATGTATACGACCCAAGCGCCGAAGCACGCAACGATAGCTTTGGCAGCTCAACCGCGTCGGAAGCTACGCTGACGCCCGGTCTGACTGACACGAGTGCTCCGTCGAGTGTGAGAGAGGCGATTAGTCCCGCTGCTGTGGCGATCAGGACGTACGCTGTAGCCCCCACTCCGTACAAGCAGACTAAACCACCAACGAAGCCCAAATCAAAGTCGGGCAAGGGGATCTTTCGGATGTTCGGCAAGAAGTCGAGTTATGGCTCCTGATGAGGCGGTGTTCATTAATGTGATTCTCGAGAATGTCAATTTCAAGCATGGTGTTGGCGGTCAATTGCAAATTTGGGTCACTGGAGCACATGAAGCTTGTGCGCATGAGTATTTACGAACAAGTTGCTAAGGCAAGCATGTATGAACAGCTCGGAATGAGCCTCTCACCTCCGACTTTCCTGATCGTGTTCTGTACTTCCCACTCCAGGCAGATTTAGCTCCGGCTGTCCGAGTGGTGTTTCGACTTCGTCTGATATTGACATGAGGTCCACCTTGTACGGCTATTGAGCTGTCTCAGAGCGCTGACCGCTGTGGCGGTTGAGTCGTAAATCGTAAGCCTTATACCCTGAGCCTGAGTACGTCGTCTTTTAGTGCAGTATGTATATGATCGACACCACGGTGTCCATGGTTGCGCATTGCACGCCCAGCCCGCTCGTGCGAAGGCTTGAGAGTCGCGTGTCGTGCGTGACGATTAGGCAGCCAGCGATCAATTGACGTTTCGACGCTAGCAAAGCCTCTCACTCCTAGGTCTGTCACTATGTGATTATAGACCAGTAGCTGCGACTAGAACTGAGTTCTACCAAAGATGAGCTCAGTCCAGGGATCTGATTGAGAGCTCGAATCTCTACCCATCCACATAATTGCTCAACCTCCCAATGCTCGCTCTCTTGTCCTCCCTTCCGGTCTGCATCGGTGTTGCCGGCCTAGACATCTCTCGCTTGAAGAGGGCTACACTTTCTCGATGCGCGACGTACTCCGAGTCCGCATAGCCCAGAATCTCTGCAATCTGTGAACTCCTTACTCCGGCGATCCTCTTAACTTCAGTGGAGGAGTAGTTCACTAATGCTCGTCCGACTTCCTCTGCTTCACTGAGTGGCGCGTCACGAGATGGCAAGGCGGAGAGGCGCACGCATTCACTTTGGCCGAAGGAGCCTTCCACGTCTACGATCCCGACAGGAAGAAGACCGGACTTCTTAGTCAAGGCTGTGAAGGCTCCACTATCGATGTAGATGGTGCCATGTGGCGCTAGACCGTGTAGAAGCCAGAAGTAGCGATCTCGTATTGGATGAAGGTCGGGAAGAAATCGGGTATGCAGTGGTGGTAGATCTGGCTCGTCCAGTTTAGGTGCCGAAATACCGGTTTCATTCAGCACGGCAGTCTTTTGCAGATTCTCGACATCTGGCTGATGAGGACGGACAGGCAACTCTCCACTTGCGTCCATGCTTCGTAGACCACTTTTCTGCGCCTCTACATGGCGGACGATTGCAGCAATATTGCCGGGCTTGCTACTCCGTGTGATCACCGTTGTGACGCCTGCTGCAGTCGCCAATCTCGCCGCCACGATCTTCGTGCCCATTCCTCCTGTCCCGAGGGACGATCCGGCACTACTGACATCCACGTCCAGGTCGGCGATATCCTCCACCACCTCTATAGCCTTGGCATCAGGATGCGTACGAGGATTCTTGTCGTACAGACAATCCACGTCTGTCATCAAGAACAGGTAGTCCGCTTGCACCATGCCTGCTGTGATGGCAGACAAAGTATCGTTGTCGCCAAACTTGATCTCCTGGACTGAAAGTGTATCATTCTCGTTCACAATCGGCACCACGCCCATGTGTATCAACTCATGTATCGTGTTCTGCGCGTTCAGGTACTGTGTCCGATCGGCTATGTCGTTTCTCGTGAGCAATATTTGTGCTACAGGGACTCGAAGGTGCGAGAAGAGTTGATCCCACATGCTCATTAATTTGCACTGGCCTATGGCTGCGAGGGCTTGGACTTGCGGAAGGTGTTTGGGTCGCCGTTCCAAGTTCATCTGTCGTAGAGCCATGCCAATGGCGCCGGACGAACATATGATGATGCGGTGCCCTTCATCATGTAGACTGACGGCGGTTTCGACGATGGTGGAAAGGGTTGACAGGAGGGGTTCGTGAGTCGTTTCATTGACGATGGAGGACGTTCCTTCGAGGCTGTCAGTGGGTGTCTGAGGGAAGTGGTATGTATTTTGGTAGCTACATGGCTAGGTACCGAGCTTGATTACGATCGTGAGGTGCTTCTTCCTCTTTCGTGGTGTCTGTTCATCGTGCGTTGGATGCATGCTCTCGGATTCAGGTGTGGCTGCGTCTCTGGTCGCCATGGTCGTTTAAAAGGTCCGTAGCTACGATATGATACCGGATCTCTGTCATTGACACGCCCTACGCCCTTAGAAATTGTGTTCTCGAAAAGAGTTGATACTTTGATTCTTGGGTTGCATATTGCTTCGAATCTCGCCGGCTTCGGCTTCGGCTTTGACGAGCTCCGTATTCTACTTCTAGAATACGCTTTCTACATTATGCCAACCAGGCCATAATACTATACGAATAACTCTGAGGATCTTGCAGCTGCGTGACAGATATGTGTAAGACAACGGCAATCGTGAAGTCACATCACTGTATCACTGCATGGGAAATACCTTCGACGCAGCAAGTACATGGTACCCCCAAGCATGTGAGTATCAGCGAGCTGAGTACTCGTTGGGCGTAAGTCTATATGCACATCGACTGCTTCAAGTATCTCCCACGCCTCCAGGCCCAACGGCTCGCAATCTCATCATTGCAAGGAGATCGAACAACCTCCATCGACCAGAATCTCCGCTCCCGAAACGTATCTACTCATATCACTAGCCAAGAAAACAGCAGGCCCCGCCATATCCTCCGGGTCTGCCACTCTACCTAATGGAATCCTGCTCTCCAGATACTTGAGCTTAGCATCATCAGCCAGATCTTCCGCAGCCAACTGCGTCCTCGTAGTCCCTGGCAAGAGCGTATTGCATCGGATGCCGTACTTCCCAAGCGCACAAGCTTGACTCTGCATCATCGAAAGCACTGCAGCCTTGGTGGGTGTATAGTGGACTTGCTGTGCGCCACCAAGATGAGCACTGATACTGGAAATGCCGATTATGCTTCCGCCTTTCTTGCGATCGACCATGACTTGTGCCGCGGGTTGTGTTGACCAGAAGGTCCCGATGATGTTGGTTTGGACGTGTGCTTCCAGGGTCGCTGGCTCAAGTCTAGGTCGTTGTCAGTCATGACGATGACGAGAAGCAGGATACGAACGTGAGAAGGTCTTTGAATTGGCTCACGCCTGCATTCGCCACGAAGACATCAAGCCCGCCGAAGTGCTTTACAGCCGAGCGTACAATGCTCTGTCCTACGTCCCTGTCCGCAATGTTGCCGACGACGGCGCAGAGCTTCTTCGGATCTGGTGCCTGCTTGACAAGCGTCTCGAAACGTTCTCGTGAGGCATCGTCATCGAGATGGTTGACTACAACAGAGGCGCCGTGTCGCAAGTACTCTGCTGCAATGGCTCGACCTATGCCCGTCACTGCTCCAGTAATAGCTGCGGCCTTGCCGATGAGCAAAGTTGCCATTTGCAAGATTGACTGTTCGTGTTGCGTCGTCCAGATCTAGCGGCGAAAGGCTGGCGTAAGAACGCCACGGCACTATCAACGTGTTACTAACGGTCACCTTCTAGCCCACAGCTCACACCCCCTGCTCTGACTGCCTTCGCCATCGTGAGTGGACTGTCTTCTACTACAGCTCTCGCATGGCACAGGCGTTTAGTGGGTACCGAGGCGGGGAGTGTTTTTGAGAAACGACCTCCTAGTCTCTGCCGCGGACGAGGTCTTCCGACATAGAGGCAGATAGACTTCGTGCAGGAAGCATTGGGTCTTGGCGTGGGACTATAGCCGAAGTCGACATCTGATGTCCGACATCCCAGTGTGGAGCATTTTGAAGCTATCAGCTTGCCTTTCGTAGCTGCAGGTAGACTTCCACCTACATCGTCACGGTGCTTGGTCATGATGAGTTGGGCAGATCGAATTTTTCCATCTCTGCTCTGATGTGGACACGAGACGAGACCGAATACAATTGTTAGTCAGCATCGCCCCTCGACACGGGTCAAGCTTCCAGCATGGACCAAGTCACGCCTCATGAACAACGCGGGTCCGAGACAAAAGACACTCCACGACCCAAGACGACTCGTAAACGGGTCAGACTGTCGCGTGGCAAGGGCCTGCGAACCAAGGCTGGCTGCACAGCATGCCGAAAGAAGCACTTGAAGTGCGGAGAGCAACGACCTCAATGTGTTGCTTGTCACAGGGCTGGTCTTGAGTGCATCTACACTGGTCCTGCGAACGGCACGACAAATCATGGTCGCGTCGCTTCCAGGACACCTCATCATATTACTGGCCTAGCCGGCTCGAATAACTCGGATCATGGCCGAGCGACCGGTGATGGGCGAACTCTGCAGTCCTCGAGCCAGCCCGAGGCTGAAATGTCCAGGTCATCTGTGAAGGCCGTCTACGCAGCTTCGTCGTTGCGGGAAGTGATTGAGATCAAAAGCTCTCGCAATGGAGCAGGTGGTCCGATCAGATCATGCTTGGAGGACAGCACGGCGCCTGCAGCCTTCGCCTATCCTTCTGTGGTCGATCAGCCACCTGAGTTCTGTCAAGAAGAAGAAGACACCGCGCAGATATACCTACCAGGTGAGGATGACTACTCGTTCCAGGAGACGAGCCCTGGCTCGCAATGGAGCGGGTGGCCGTACATCACTGCCGAAGCGGCGTCCTTACGCTACTTTGGCATGTTAGCCACCGACGCGGCGGAAGGCGTGCTGATATCGCCCATACTACCGCAAGTTTCGGCATTGCTTGATATTGCGAACGTACCGCAAGCAAGTGCGACTACTGCAGTATCGGTATCTTGCCTGGCGGAAACTGTAATCACATTGGATGGCACATATGTAAGCTCTGATACCGTCACTCTCACTGACCTTGAAGTGGCACTACTGGAGCACTTTGTGCATCACTTGAGCCTGTGGATAGATCTCACAGATCCCGAGCGCTCATTCGCTACTATCGTGCCGTCTATGGCACTTCAAAACCAAGGCCTGATGTCCGCCATACTTGCACTTTCTTCTCGCCACATGTCGCTGAAAGTTTCATCCTCACCGTCGATCATCCCATTCGATTTGCCGCGAAATACAGCCGTGGAGTACTACAATGCGACTCTGCGATACTTGCAGCATGCCATGAAAGATGCGTTATACCTCCGCTCAGACGAGCTGCTCGCAACAGTGCTAATAATCTCTACTTACGAGATGATTGACGGTAGCGGCAGTGGCTGGGAGCGTCACCTCAAAGGTGTCTTCTATATTCAACGATCGCAGACAATTCATGGTGAGAGCACGGGCTTGAAGAAGGCAATTTGGTGGGCGTGGTTGCGGCAGGATGTTTGGGCTGCACTCAAGGAGCGGCGCAAGATACTGAGCTTTTACAAGCTGACACGAAAGTGTGCCGAACTCGACTTCTGGGGTCTCGTCAGTGAGTCAAGCATATCAGTGGGCGATGAACTATCTCTGACCTCTTCCCCCAGACAGATCTGTGTTTCTGCTAGGCCAGTGCATTAATTACGCAAGCGATACGGAGACAGCTTCTGGAAAGATTGTTATTCAGACACGAATCAGCAGAGGCAATGCTTTGTGCAACGACCTGGCTGAATGGCACGCCTTCTTCTCGTTCCATGACAGACGGCTTCCGGTGACTAGTCAGCAGCAGGGCCCCATCAAAGCCATCTGGATCAATCCCTCTGCAGCCAGTCTCGCCGTCCAGGTGCATGCTCTTGCTCGCCTGCTCCTTCTGGAATGTATGCCTGCCCTCGGCGGCATGAAAGAAATTGCTCAGCGGAAGAACGATTTTGAGAAAGCCAGAGACGCGGTCATCGGTATTGCTATGCGTACCACAGATCCTGCGGCGGTCATGATTTCGACAATGTGTTTGTATGCAACTGGAATTAACACAGAAAAAGTCGAAGTCAGGACAATCATTCTGGACTTGCTGCGTGAACACCAGCGGACCACAGGATGGCCGAGTAACGACATGGCGGTCGAGCTCGAACAGACGTGGTCGGAATCTGAAGGCACCAAGTACTTCACATGATCGCCTTCGATACGGTGTAGCCACAAAGGACAGGCCGCCTAGTCCAATCGGCTGGTCCTCGAGACGGGATACATTCAACCGCGTCCCTCGTATTGATGAGCCACGAGTCGTCATCCGCTGCCATGTCTACCTACAGCTTGATACTGGCGTTCTGGTAGCATAATGCACTCCACAGTGTTCAGCCTGCGACATATGGTCGATGCAAACCCGCATTTGCACCAGCAAATACTAACCTTCAAACAATCTGTTGGTTGCTTTCAACCAATACACTGTACCACCATCTACGAGAATAGCTACTGAGGGCATGGCTACTAGCAACGGCGACCACACAAGCAGTGAACACAATGTCACACAGTCAACGGCGCCCACAACTCAAATCAACCTGACTGGGAAGGCTATTGCTATCACAGGCGCCAACAGAGGCATCGGGCTTGGTATCGCCAACTCATGTCTAAGCAATAATGCTGCGCATGTGTACGGCATAGACATCGGCGATACGACTGAGGATTTTGTGGAAGTGCAAAAGAAGTATCCCGGCCGTCTCCATGCACTGAGAGCAGATGTCACGAAAGAGGAAAGCGTCACGAAGGCGGTGGATAAAATCCTCGAGAGTGGCGGATTGCACGGTATGGTTGTAAACGCAGGCAGGACTAAGCACAGGCTGGCACTGGACTTTACGACAGAAGGGATTGAACAGTTGTGGTCCATCAATCTGTACGGCTCGTTCTATAGCGCGAGAGTCGCAGCAAGAGCTTTTATCAAGCAAGGCGTCAAGGGCTCTATTGTATTCACAGCTTCGATGGCGTCGTACCGACCGAACAAGCGAGTTCCGTCGGCACCGTATGATGTCGGTAAAGCTGGTGTGAGAGTACGTATGAACAGCTATCGTGCGGCTTTATTACAGCATAGTGCTGACCTGGTGGTGCCGTAACAGAACATGACGCACACTCTAGCGACGGTAATCTGAACCCTTGGGCTCGGTAGCTTGAAAAGCAGGCAGTAGCTAACAAGACGTAGGAGTGGGCTCAATACAACATAAGAGTGAATTCTGTGAGCCCGGTGAGTTGTGCGTCCAACTTGCCACGTGGGAAAGGGTGCTGATGTTATGAAAAGGGACTTGTGAAAACCGCAATGACATACTGGGTCGAACAGCAACCGGATTGGGATCAGCAATTGTAGGTCAACTCGTGTGCAGAGCTCAAACGTTCTCTGACCTGTGCTACAGGAAACAGTACGGCGGCATGCCACGACTGGCGGAGGTAGAGGAACTTGGAGGCGCGGGGGTTACATCTTGTTCGAGCCGTGTAGGGAAGACGTTCCAAACAATCTTGTCCAGCTATGTATACCTTCTGAGTGACGCGGCAAGCTATACTACCTCGATCGGTGCGTGTGACAGCCTTGGCTTCTTCACGATCTGCGCTTTGAACGCAGGTGCTAACCAATATGTGCTACAGACATTCCAGTCAATGGTGTCATCGGCATCTGTTGACGAGCCTTACCGGACGTTGAAGCATATCTTATGCCACATTCTGCCCTTACCAACACATGATCTCTTCATGCCGCGGGGTAATTACTGTGGCTCCATTGCATGGCGATCGTGACTGCAGTACGTCACGTAGTTGACAATAGTGCCCAAGGTTCGAGTCCCATGGCACACTTCCTGTCTGCGCTCATGTAGGGGCACTGGGAGTGCGGAAACACAGACCCTCTGTCAATTTTCCAGCTCCATGATACCATCTAGTCGACTGATTGACATTTGACGAATGCGCCACGGCGACCGTTCAGGGTCAAATCATCTAGAGTGGTCCACTACTTAAGTCCTGATGATGCTTTGGAATGTAAAAGATGCGCACAATTATTAGTGGATGGTGCAGCACAACGGGCCGTGTCCTCGGCAGCCTCTTCCGACGGAGAGGGTCACCCTCTGTTATGCACCTGCGGTACAAGGGGGTTAGAGCTCGTTAGACGAGTGAGTTCCAAGCGATAGGTCGGGTAAGTAACTACTCTAAGGTTTGACCTTTTAGCGGGTTAGTAACTTAGGTTAAACACGAACTATCTATATAGGAAAGGGCTTATCTATATATATAGGAGATTCGTGTT